GCTGTATTCTTGTCAATACTCGTACGGAGTAGATCTGATCGAAAATAACATAACAGCAGGGGGGTATCATAGGAAGCCGTAAAATACACATTGACTTTTCAAACGAAAACATAAAACAAAAGCAAATGAAATAGGAAAAAAAAAAAAAAAAAAGAAATATCCAACTTATTGCATTAGGTTTGTAGAGCAAGGCAACATCCCACGACATACTATCGAAATTATGATGTACCCTCTTCCAACGTCGTGTCACACTTAGGTGCATGAAAATTGATGAAGTATGAACCTCACCTTGGCGTGCCCCATCATTGCATTACGAGGGTTAGGTTCCTCCCCACCATGTTGCAGCATGTAAAGTGCTCCAGTCATTTGCCCTAGTACATACATCGTCCCCCGACTCCTTCAGTCCATTTATACCTATCCCCCCTTTTACTTAAAAGGAATTCGACGCTGCTTTTTCTCAGTTCTTGTTGCCCTAACGCCCGTCTACCTTTGGTGAACCTACATCGCGTCTGACGATTGCAACTATGAAGCCATGCATTCCAATAGGGACGGCTGTCATGATCCTAGGGGTCTTGATGCCTCGCGCTATGCTAGCACGGGCGCAGAATCCTGGTAATGTCGCCCTCGGAGATACTGGTGACTTCGACGACGGGGATACCGGTGGCTTCGACCTTGGAGATACTGGTGACTTTGACGACGGGGATACCGGTGACTTCGACGACGGGGATACCGGTGACTTCGACGACGGAGATACCGGTGACTTCGACGATGGAGATACTGGTGACTTCGACGATGGAGATACTGGTGACCTCGACGACGGGGATACCGGTGATTTCGACGACGGGGATTTGAGTAGCTGTCCTGCTACCCGGGAGGCTTCTCAAAACATGTCTCCGCCTGCAGGGAAGCAATATGGCTGCTCTACCAGTCAGTGATGCATCTTTTCTTCCCTCCTTCTCGTTCTGTGTTGTATTAATCCATTATGAGAGCAGACAACGGACATCTCTATGAGTCTTCGGATGGCCATCACTTCTACATGCAGTGTTGTACCAATATCCCAACCGTGACCCCTATCTTTGGTCAATGGGCCACTGACTTCGGAGCGTGCATGGACGCCTGTGCCCAAGAGCCTTCTGGTCGGTGTAGAAGGTAGGTACTTTGGACCAAAAACTGGTTAAAAGATTAATTGAGACAATACTGACCACGAATCTCATATGTAACAGTGTTGGCTTTGACTCCAACCCGTCTGCTGGCGACACGGAGAACTGTGTTCTGTACGAGGTCGGGGGCTTCCTTACCGTTGACCACGTCAAGTATCACTATGCATTCCTGGCCGAGCCTCCAACAGCCGACCATCCAGATGATGACATCAAGCTTTGCACGACGGAATGCCCGGGATCCAACAACCAGGTCTATACCACACCCTATGGAAAGGTACGCCGAGTCTGCTACATCTCACCTTGAATTTCCCCAGACTGGTTTATGAACTAAAACAAATTTAGACTATGCGCATGGTCTGTGGCAAGAGACATGGTGTCCAGGCTGTCATTGAGCAGGTCGAATCCTGGGAAGATTGCATGGACCTCTGTGGCAAGCTTGTGCCATGCCAAAGTGTCGACTACCACCGCCGCAAGAAGCGCTGCTACCTAGGCGATCACGCTGGTGAGCCCACTATTGATGCTCCCGGGTTCAGCGCTGCGTACAATATGGGCTGCGCAGGGGCCTGCTGTGGCTATCCCAAGTCCACAGCTTCAGGTCCGTCGACTCCCCTAATACTTCCTCCGGGTGATCCGTGCCCTGACTTGCATGACATTGAGCTGACCGTCGGGAATGAAAAGTGGCAAATTAAATGCACCCATGTAGCTGGCCACAACGAATATGCGATGAGCTCGGCCGGTAGTTTGGAGGAGTGCATCCAGAATTGTCAAAATGAAGGCAGCACTTGCGTGTGGGCGTGGTTCATTCCCAGCAGTGGGTACTGTGGCGCATTCAGGGATGACTACTCTCTATCGCCTCTTATTCACGACCGTCAGGCCCAGGGTCACTTTAACTTGAAACGTGTTTAGTCAATTCAATGAGTCAATTGGAGAGAATGTATAATCGTGTTGATTGAACCTGTGGATCCATCTGTGTGTTTGGGATATTTCATCTACTATTCATTGCTTTTCTGCATCCAGACTGTCCCTTCAGTATACCTAGGTATCTGCTGATTTGCTATATAGAGTACAACCGAACGTATTAAGAGCTCACTTTCCGTTCTCTCGTGAGAATCCCTCAGCTTAATCTAGCTGTCTTTCCCAAGTAAGAATTCTTACTTTGCCTAGCGCAATATCACGTCCATGATTTTCTGTAGCGATCACTATTTCTTCCCATTCAGAAAATATCACCTGATCCCATTCACCTACCGTGCCAGGTGGCACCTGGGCAGAACTCACTCACGGTCTCAAGAGAGCCCACTCTCAGCTACAGATGACTTCCCCGTACTCCGTAGGATAGAACTTGTTCTAGTGGCAAAAGTTGTTGATGGCGGCTGCTTGTAGTTTCAGCCAGCCACCGATAACATGAGATGTTACTCAATGTGCAGCTGCAAAGCAAGGATGGCCATCTGCGTTCATGTTTCATGCCAAGTGGAGGATCAATAGGCCGTTGGGTGGTATCTCTTCATTTGTGATCAGGAATACCAAGGCGACTCGTGCGTCTGTATGATATACCTGGTATGTAATACCAGTGTGTAACTCTATACAATACCGTTACATACCCATACCTCGTAAGATTGGAGCACTATCGAGCTACTACATCGTAGTGTTCATAGGCGCTCAGCGTGCCAAGGTAGTATGCACGTATCTAGGAGGAGCTGGCGGAAAACTTTGGAAAGTGACAGATTAGACTCACCTACCTTTCCTGACACACGATGCATGTCACGGTGATCTCGAGCTGATTTGAAGCTAGTTTGGGCAGTGCATATGCAAGGCCAGGAGTTACAGGGCTAAACCGTTTTAGTCGTGGTTCGTGCCGACCCGGAGGCGTCACCCTGCGTAAACAGGTCTCCGGGTACGAGTCACTCGTTACACAAATTTGAGACATCATACCCCTTGCATATAGGATAAATATTGGCGAATCACACTGAGTCGTGAAACGCGGGGTGTATATTCCGGTAGATAGCAGCTAGTTCATCTGCGTAGAGCAACCGGTTCTCGGGACGCGACAATGTCAGGTCAATCTCGCTGGTGTGCACCGCCTTTCCATCTTCGGCCTCTGATATGCGCAGCTGTCGATCAAGCGGTCGAGGTCTTTCTTGCCCACTGTATTGATGTGGCTGGCTGAACGCAAGTTTCAACCTTGCAACGAAGATTGTCCCTGCGCATTACAGATCATCTGCAGTATGAACTATGTTCCTCTTCAGGTCGTTGCACAGCATTAGCGCAGTAGCTACTCGAGTCCTTGCCGAGTGAATCGAGCTGTATGAGGGCGATGATACCATGCGCAGGTGCATGCATATACTCGATCAGTTTGGGATCACACCCTGGGGTTTAATTGCATTCCGGCACAGCCATGACCATTCCTATTCGCCTTTGCATTGTAGCTGAACGATTGGGCTAGTCTTAGTCTCCAGTGTTGCCTTGACTTTTGGTTCAAGTACCCACGATTATCCGTGGTTTTGTCCAAATTTCAATCTTCTTGCTTGGTGACAAAGACTCATCACCATGGGTGTCAAGTCCGGATTTCTGTTGTTCTCCTTTGCTGTAAGCTTGGTTCAAGCCCAGAGCCGTTGCTCCAGGCCCTTGTTTGCAGCAGAGCCTGATATCAACGACATTGTTGACAATCCATCCTGCCCAGGAGGTTAGTTCCTGTCTCCGGTCACAACAGTTCACCATTTTCTAATTCACTTCTCTCCCTCAGATTATGGCAAGCTCATTCAAGCCAGTGATGGTGGCTACTTCCGATTGATGTGCTGCACGCACCAGCCCAGTGGGATCACCGGCGTTGGGAGTAAGGCCAATGTAGCTTCATATAAGGACTGCTTGGATCTCTGCCTGAGTGATGCTCACCCTGACTGCGACAGGTAAGACTTGGGACTTTGCAAAAGTTGAACCTGCCCAGAATTTGGAGGATGCTGATTTTGTAACTTTGTTCTGTCTCCAGTGTCACATACGATGTAGGTAAGACCTGTGGGCTCTACAAGGATGGAGGGTTCTCCAATGAGCCTTGTGGAAATGATCAACACGACTGGCTTTACTACATCGACCCTCCACCACAGCCAGCTGCCAATGATCAGATTGTCTCCTGTTCGACCGAGTGCCCAACTGCTCACGGGCAGAAATATGTCTCCGAGTTTGGTGAGGTAAGTCGCTCTTCTCTCGTTGTATGTTCATTCCAAGAGCTAAAGTGTTTTGTTTTCATGTTCAGCTGTTCCACATGGAGTGTGGCAAGCGTCATGGCACAGTTCCATTCCGCGACGAGCCTCAACCAACCTACCGCGACTGCATTGATGCATGTGCAAACATCCCCAAGTGCTCCAGCGTCGACTACTCGAACCGCACGCTCACTTGCTATTATGGCACCCACTCAGGAGCACCCCCAGTTGAGGCTCCAGGCTACTTCAGCGCATACTCGCTTGGGTGTGCAGGAGCTTGTGAAAAGGGCGAAGATGGTTGCGAGTGTGGTGGAACGAAGAAATGTCGAGGCCGCGGTGCAGGTGATAGCTCTCACGATGATCTTTAAACAGAGTGATTCATTTTTGGGGTGGCCGGGTGGAGTCGGGAAATTGTAGCACCTCTTGTTGATGCCCAGGTGTTTTGCTGTTCTTTGTCAGATAGCTATCTCAGCCATAACGACATACATTGATGGAACACTTTGATAAGAAGACATAAGAAATTTCCTTTCATCGGGATCTCAAAGGCTGTCATTCGAGCAGTAATTAGCAGGGTAGATTTGATCGCGATATATAACATGCACCAGTGCTGTCAGCCTCGAGTGTGGTTCATTGGTTCCAAAATACGTCAAACTCTTTCTGTTCTCGTTGCTTTCGTCACTGCACAAGTTCCCAGCCACACCAGCCTCATCACAAAATCACTTGTCCCTTGTAATAGGGATCGCTCGCCATGCGTTGACTCACCCCCAAGTGTGTTGCGCACTGTATTGGCTACCGATATGAGGGTTTCCAGGTCAAGTTGTGCTGTATGGTCAAGGGGATGAATGAGAATATTCAAGAAGAGTGACATGGCGGCGGTTGTCAGATACGGCACTATCAGACTGTAGCCAAAACGAATTAGCAAAGAAGATAATGATCTTCCTAATAGAAACCATATCAGAATTTGCTTACCGAGACCTTTCTGGTGTGACGTTGGTGCAGAGGACCTTGATACACCAGATGGTTGATCGACTCGCCTCAAGAGAAAGATCGAAACTGGAATGCACCACATGGTGTAGGTCCTGGTCCCCATCGCCTGCGTCGGGCATACATTTTCGGACTGTGGTGTGAATGACGGTCATGAGGTGGTGGTAATCCAGTTGCAGGGATATGAGTCGATTGAAATGGGGACTACATTCCCCGAGAGCGCTCAACGGGGAGCTTTGAGAGACAAAAAGTGCAGGGCGAAAGGGGAGAGGGATGGACAAGCGCCAGCTCTCGATCTCGTCATCAAGCTGCCTTATATTGAGAAGAAGTTGATTATTGTCATTCTTCAACGCTTGGGCTGAGAAAAGGCGCCGACAGACCTTTTCTTTGAGTAGACTCAATCGAGGATCCGCTGGGAGGTGGGGGGTTATGCGCCCAGATGGTTCACCATGCGAATCGGTAAGCTCTTGCCTTTCAGGCGGATATGTTTCATATTCCATATAGCTGTCTGGTAATGAGATATCACAGTACGTATCCGTGAGTAGCGGCGGGTTCCCTGTGCGAAGTGAAATCTCTTTGTCAAGCACGTAGGATATCCAGAAGAGCATGCGCGTATGATTGATTTCTCGCTGTTGAGGATCTGAAACTCCTCGGGGAGAAATGAGATCCAGGTGAAAGTGCCCTCCAAGGGAGCAAATCATGGAACATGCCATGGAGTTAAGCATATTAGCCCTTTGCCAGAGGCCATTGAACATCAAACGCAGTTGCTGGTTTACATCGTTAATATGACACCCAAGCGTGTGGACCATGGTCGCATCTTACCAGTAAAAGTATTGTCTGAATAGTTGTCAAGCTGGTATTTCCCAAAGCTTGTGTTAAAAGAGATCTCGCCTTTGCTGCACATGCATCTGCATCTATGAGATTTGGAGTTTGCTGCGATGACTTGAAGTGGGATGCCATGGATATAGCTGCGAGGACACAGGCCATGGCTGAGAGTTGTGCTGTAGAAGTCTGTGCCTCGGTGGGTGCATTGTAAGCTGATCGGAGAGTGTTTTCTATGAGAACCTCGTCCAATACTGGAAATGCGAGGCGAAATGATGACGCCCGATAAGCGCTCAATATCTCTCGAGTCAAAAATTCATCAGGTAGTTCGCACAGCTCTGGTCCAAATGTTGATCCTGGATCTACGGAAGATGAATCTGAGTCGGGGATACAAAAGTCGTCCAGCGAAACGTTTTGACTGGTCTTCATTGACATCCAATGTCTCCCTGCTTCAGAGCAAATCGGTATACCATTGAAAAACCAGTTTGGTCCCATCTGGTTTGAAAGCCCGTTGGGCTTGCTCGTTAGGTCCTTGATGGCAGCTTCATTGCGATCAGAGGGTGTCCGTGTAAGATTAGAGGTAGTTGAGTGGACAGGGGTGTCGATGTCCACATTTTGTGTTCTCCCAGCAGAAGGAGAGACTATGGCCGGTACTTCAGTGGCGACTCCGATTCGATCTGAGGTCTCTCGCAAAGGCGATTCTTGCACCAACGCCCCTTCTAGCTGCTTGATGCGCTCTGACAGGCTGTGTACTTCACTCTGGTCCACGCTACGTGAAAAGCATTAGAAGTCTCTTCATATTTCCCAATCTTTGTCTATCAGATACCTTGTCCGTGGCTTTTTGCGTGGTCTCTCTCGATCAAATGTACACTCGAGGCTGCGATGTGTACACCACTCACATGGTCCTGGCGTGCTGGGAAGCGAGCATTGTATCTATATGGGGCACGGGAACTCATTAGCCAGAGCTGTCAGAATTGAAGCCCTCCATAGATAAGCACCTTTCTGCGATGGCAGGCGTCGCACGCTTTCTTCTGAGGGGATGGTCTTTTGGGCATTGTGTCGGCAAGAAACTTGCCGAAATCGCCGAGACCGTAGACACGGGGTTGTCGGGATATCATGTGATATGTGGATCCACCCGTGGACCCGGCACTAGCTCGGCTCCATTATCGGATCTAATTTTGTCCGAGGTACACACATCACGAACCGCCTCAAGTGCTCACTACCTATTAGGCAAACAGTTTCCGAGCCATCTGGGCACACTCCTCAGAAGCAACAAGCCAAGGTATATTCTCATTTATTGTTTTGCGGCTATGCCTAATAAAGCTCAATGAGAGAATCTCAGGTAGAAGATTGGCCACCCAAATGGTTTCAAGGCCGGGGAATGCAGGGAATCTACTGATGGCACTCTCAAGCAGCGTGGCCATACCACAACCTTGATGATGGCTCACCGAAGGCCTAGAAGTCAGACGAAGTAACAATGTCCCAGGCGCGCTGTCTTGACCCCCTTATCCCATCAGAGGCCAAACACTTAGGAATGTGAATCAAATGCCCTCGTTGAATCCGAACAAAGGCGGCGTAAAGGAAGCCCGCGAATGCAACTGCTACAACACTGATCAGAACAGGCCATTGGAATTGATCCGGTCGTGAGAACACAATGGTGGCAATGTAGGAGCAGATCTCGAAGAGATTCTGCCACGCAGCTTCAGTAGATGAAAATGAGCCTCGTGTACTCGCATCAACGCCCTAGGGAATCAAACGTCATGTCAGCAATAGAGTACCAGGTTTGAGGGCGGGTGTGCTTGGGCTTCTGAGCTCTCACCTCTTGCACAATGATTTGTGTACACAGGTCGAAACCCCTCAAGCCAATACGACTCAGAATTGTGCCACCCACAATACCAGATGCTGACACCAGCGGAGCCTCCTTAAAATCCCAAAAAACAGACATCCCTGCGACTAGGCACGCGATCTGCCAACATGCAAGCCAAAGTCCAGCACGGGTTGTTCCGATTCTTTCCATGAGCCAGGGTGCAATCCAGGTCGCCAGAAACTCACAAGCGACAGATAAAGTTCTTGTGGTAGCAATCAGAGCGGAGTCATAGCCTGTCGACAGGAGCCAGGTGATCATTTGCCCGGAGAATGATAGAACCGTCAGGTATAGCAGAGCTCCCGCAAACGATGGAAGGAAGACAGGGTGTCGAATATAGGTGACAAGGTCCTGGAGCGCTTTGTTTGCCAGAGTTTGACAAGGCCTCCATATGTGCGCTTCAAACCCGTGTCGCTCGGACTCGATGGTGGATGTATTAGGATGAGCTATCTGCTTGGGTTCCTCAAGCTCTGGCACCATGTGATATACCTACGAGCTCCATGACAAGTTAGAACTGGCCGATTTTCGTTTGGACGATAATATCACACGTACCTTCGCAATTGAGTGGTATTCAAGAGCGACAGAGCATACATTCATCGCGAGGTTTACCAAGATGGCGACTTTTGTTGAAATGGTATCCATGAACGCAATGAATAAAGGCCCTAGTAACTTGCAAATCAAGTCAATTCGCCTCATTTGGGCGTTCATGGCTGAATGTCACAGAGGAATGTCAGCAAATTAATGATCCATCGGGGAGGGTACAAACCCTTGAGGCGCTGATGGTCATCTCCAGCAACTACCACAACCTATTTTCAAATGGTCAGGGATGCTCCCACAAAGGCCTCCAGTAGCTCTGTACGTACCCAATCTCTCTCCACGGAAACCATGTTCATGATGGAGCATAGCTTCTCCATGCATGCCAGAAGGGCGAGGGTTGCAAGCAGGGAATATTGAATTCCACGGGCCATCTGAATCTCCACTTTGAGAAAATAGAAAATAGCACATGATGCAGCCACGGCGAGTCTCTGTAGCACTGAATTTGCATGGACCTTGTGAGTAATTGATGTACCAAGACAACTTAGAAAAGAAACCAATCACTCACCGATAGATACACGTACAACTCTCAGTCGATTCGTGACATCGATGTAATGTCCCACGACGGGTGCAAAGACAATGGCTGCTAAGCCGCGAGAAAGGGCATAGACTGACATTGGCAACAGGGTGCCAGGATAGATTGTCGCCAGATACAAAACTGCTCCGAATTCGAAGACTCTCGAGTTCCATGTTGATAAAAAATGAGATAGATAGAGCCGATTGGCAATCTTTCTAGAGAAGGCGTCTCCTGGTCCATTTCCGCTGCTCTGAGAAGGGGAGGGTGAAGCGACGTTTGCATCATCATCATCATGCAGCAAAGACACCTCCTCGGCTGACCTTTGACACTCCGATAGAGAGGCCGACGCTCCCAAGCCGTGAGAGAACATTTAGTGGGAATATTCTCGATCTCGAGACGTTGTGGGTGTTGGTTCGTGAATTTGTGGTTGACCGTCAGGACATGGGGAGGACACAGGACCAATGCCTCCCTGGCCAGTGCTCTTCTCGGGAAACTGAATTCCATGACCACATCTTCATGTGCAACTAGCTTGCTTTAGCTCAGCAAACAGGGCCCTCCGAGTGGCGTGGTAGAAGAGCATATGCAGGCGCTAAGGGTGCACATGTGGAGCCCGGGCAAATAAGAATGTTAGGTAAGCGGCATTTTCGGCCCGGGGGCCCCGCCCAGTTGGATGTTGGGCGACACCTCCAGGGCTTTGAACTCGGCTTGTGTGATCACAGGTATTCAGATGCTTTCGACCAGGCAATGAAGGCTTGGTCTTGAAGTCGAAATCTCTCACCCTTTTCACTCTTCTCGCCCTATATTAGTATTCCCTCGCATTTCTACTCTCCTGCTTGATTTTTTCCCCAAAAGGGGCGTGGTGAGGTAATGGACCTTGAGAATATATATGGAAATGCCATCGATGTCACTGACTGAACTGAAAGAAGAAAACTCTGCCGACGGGGTGCTCTGCATCCCACAAAATCACAACAGAAGGCTACCTATATATCCTCAAGAGTCAACCTTGGAAGGTGGTCAATGGGCCTCCTTATCAACCACGCGACTCGGACGTCTTTCAGAAGGGACTTTGAAACTTGAATCTCAAACAATTGAAAGGTGAGCCATGATTGTTCACCTGGGCAGCTAATCGGTATTGCTATGTTGAAAATCCCGTAAGCGACCTACCGGGATGATGCCAGACAACCTTGGAAATGGTCGCAGCCAGGCTTTGTTAGAGAAATGTAGCGATGGTCCCCTGCAACTTGGAATGCGTTCTAAATCACTCGCCTAGGAGCTCCAGGATGTCCTAATTGGGAATTATTTGGGGGCATCTCTCACCCCGCAAAAGATCTCATATGGATATCAAGTCTTCGAATGCTACTGGGGTCTATGGGAAGCTGTTGATGAAGATCACGCCCGGTCGTCTAGCGCTGGAGATAGCCCCATTTCAAGTTTGCGGCAAGTCTCAGGTTGGTCGCACGACTCATTGAGAATGTTCACAAAAGGTGTGCAACACTATAAGTGGAGAAATCTTTCGATTGAAAATTGGTCAGTACGGAGTGTACAGTGGTTAGAGAAATCCATGGATGGTTTCTGATCTGGGATTCCTCAAAGCTGATCAGTTCTCAGAGATGCTGAATCCCAAGACCTGGGAGTGCACCTCGCTGTTTTCCCTAGCAACTCGATAGGCTCGCTCCATCGAAGAAACCCGAGGCATTTGCTGAGACATAGCTCCCCCACTCCACCTGCAGGCACTAGGGGCATATTGTTTAAAAACTGCAAATTTATACCCCATACAGAGTTCTCCGTGTCACATCCTACGGCATGGACCGCATATACAGTATGTAAGAGTGTTGATCATGGTCCCTTGCATGAGCCAAAATCGGACTCGGTCGATCCATATCAAGGAAATTAGATGTCTGTGACATCAATCTAGCTCACGCCTCAGAGATACTCTCCATTGTTTCAGGGCACTTAAAGTCCAATTGAGTGGTCCAAAACCCCCGGTTGGTGTGGGGTGAATTATGGGGTAACCCGATCAGCCGCAAAAACGAGCGATGCCATCTGAAATCTGCGACGCAAACTCATCGTCTTGCGTCCTCCATTGGATCAAAACTACACCCTTCGCGCGTGAAACGTCGATCAAACGGAACAATTAATACACCTGGCATGGAAATATTGTCTTGCCCTAGAGTACAGGTGTAAGGATGGAAGTACGGTGTACGGAGTAGTTCGAAAACAGTCGAGACGGGATCGACATGAGATCGGCCTGGTTTAGTTTCAATATTCTGTCGGCAGGCCGATCATGACGCTTCACCTCAAAATCAAAGCAAAGAGACCGCGCTCTGAGATGTATTTATATCGTCTATTCCGCCCATGTAACCTGGCATCCTCGACAATTCATTCAGCTCGCCTTTACCTACACAAACCTCCCAAGTCTCCGAACCATTCCCCTCAAAATGAAGCTTGCTATCGTCGCCTTCGCCTTTGCCGCTCTCGCACACGCCCAAACCCTGGCGGACGTCCCCTCTTGTGCCGTTCCTTGTCTGGAAGACGCCGTCAAGCAGAAGACCGGCTGTTCAACTAGTGACTACGGCTGTATCTGCCAGAACAAGTCAACTGTCCAGTCTGCCGCTACCGAATGCGTCGTGTCCAAGTGTGGTGTCGACACTGCCCAGAGTATGGCTACCCAGGAACATTGGAAACACATGCACTAATCAGTTGTATAGACCAGGTCTTGCCGGCCGTCCAAAAGATCTGTGACGCCCAATAAGGTCTCTTTTGAATGTTGCGCTGGGATCCCGGAGTGAGCTGCATCTTGTGTAGCTATATGATCGAACCTTGGGAATTCCTGCTCTGTTGATTCTGCAAGAAAATACATTTGCTGCTGGTTAAGCAATGTGACGAAATCCAATGACCTTCGTACTACTTAGGCAGTAACCCACATGATGTCCATGTTATGTGCTGAAGCCTGACGATATGAATTAGCATTTTATGTATATCAATAGTACTCCGTACATTTGTTGAGCTGTGATACCACCGCACATTCTTGGGTAAACCTTGGAAAGAGGTATCAATCATCGTGCACTAGGTAGTCCTCGGTATCTGTCCTAGTGTAATGAACAATTCGCAAATTGACGGTCGTACCTAGTATTCGAGGAAATTCCTGGTCAGCTTCAATGCAGCGTGCTGATGCTTGCAGAGTCGGGGTGAATATGTATGGGGTTCGGGGTTCCTGATGAGCCCCGTTTGCGCTATACATTGAACCTAGTAGATCCATCGATGTGGCTTTAAATGTTTCGGTGACCTCGAGAACACAGAAATGTGGGAGCGCTCATCCCTATGTACTCCGTAAATCGCTTTTTCTTTCTTTCTTCCTTCCTTTTCTTGTGACACTGCTAGTGCTATCGAGGCCCCGGAATGTATGAATCACATCCACATGTCATGTTACCTGAACAGCTCGTAGGCAGTAACTGGCAGCAGGCTTTGAGACATTAATTCAGGGCTGTGCACCATGCCATTGAGGTCCTCTAGCCTAGGATCTCGAAACTCCATCCGAATCCATTGCGGTTGGAGATGCCTCGCGCTTAAATATGCCGAAGTAGGATTCAGACTGCCCCTAGTAGACCCCACTACATGACGTTATGTATTGGAACTAGTCAGGTCTCTTCTTCTGCATCGACTCCGTTCACTCTAACAGCGCTAAGTGAGGGCTTTAATACGAGATAAAACGGGGCATGTTCCAAACCGCCCGCTGCTCCCCTCTTTTCTTCCGACTCCCCACACTTCTCTTCCGTCCCAGATTCCATTCCACCATGACCGCCCTCATTGAAGAAGCCAAGCGCGCGGCCGCAAAGGTCGCCGTTGAGAAGCACTACCCTCAGGATGCCCGCTGGGTTGGTATCGGCAGTGGTACCACCATTGTCTATGTGGTTGAGGCCATTAAGGCTCTCGGCGTGGACACCTCCGCCACCAAATACGTCCCGACCGGTTACCAGTCCAAGCAGTTGATTATCGGCGCCGGTCTGACCGCCGTTGAATTTGACAGCATTCCCTCCGGTACAATCTTTGACGTGGCTTTCGACGGTGCTGATGAGGTTGACGAGGACCTGAACTGCATTAAGGGTGGCGGCGCCTGCTTGTTCCAAGAGAAGATCGTCGCTATGCAGGCCAAGGAATTCGTCTGCGTTGCCGGTGAGTTTACTACATATGATATGATGCCGATTCCATTGAAACATATGGTTTCGCGATCATACTGAACTTGGCGCAAAACTAACTGGACGCCCTTCAGATCACCGCAAGCTCCAACCCCGCCTCCTCACGGGTTGGAAGACCATCCCCATTGAAGTCGCCCCCATCGCCGCCCACCGCGTTCTCCTCAAGCTCAAGGACCTCGGCAGTGTCAACCCATTCATCCGCGTTTCCGCAAGCGAAAAGGAAGGCCCCCTCAAGACCGACCAGGGCTTCTTCATTGTCGATGCTCCTTTCCCGCCCTTGTTGATCAAGTCCGATGTCGCCGCTGGCAAGGATGTTCATGGTAAGGATGGCGTTTGGGCCGTCGAGGAGCTGGCCCGCAAGATCAACGAGATTGCGGGTGTGCTTGAGGTCGGTATCTTCCACGGCCAAACCGGCCCTCAGGCTACTGCCGCTGGCGGTGTTGGTGGACAGCGACCCGTCGCAGCCTACTTCGGTATGGCCGATGGGTCGGTCTCCGTTCGCAAGGCCGAGTAGATGTTGCATCGCGAACAAGAGATTTTGGGGGCGATACGAGACTACGTAAATAGATGAGATGATACCAAGATTTGCCTTTTTTCCACCTCGACCTTGGATACGCTAGGATCGGAACTGAGGCTGTGTGAGGTTGCGGATATTTGAAGTGTTTTGTTTTGTATTTGCTATGGTATCAAGGCGCTTCATTCCAAGCAGAGAAAAGAAAAAGAACAGTTTTGGTGGCCCCAGGTCTATTTGGGAGCCTTGCCCTTGGCCTCTGTTTCGCCCAATTCCCGCACATAAATCACCACCGAGCCCTCGGGAACATTGTCGTGACCATCCTCGAACCCGGGGCTGACTGCCATGGCCAGGTACTGCCCGTTACCACTGAACGCAACGGCGGAGACGCTGGTCTGGTACTTCTGATATTGGCGAATACGGCGCTTGGTGACTCCATCCCAGAGGGCGACAACTCCATCACCACCGCCGGAAGCGAATGTACCGAACACCGGGTGGAAGGCCAATGCATTGACGGGATAAACGACATCGACACCATCCTCCGCGGTTTGGCGATGGCACTTGAACGCATACTTGCGGGCTTGAGATTCGGGCGACGGATCAAACCACTCCACTGCGACACGACCCTCAATGCTGGATGAAGCGTAGCCGTTGTCATCAGGCATGCAGGCGACTGCACGAGTCATAAACTTCAGACTACTCTCGCGGCGCTGCCAGGGCTCTACCTCCACGCGATTGCCACCAGGCACGGTGCTATCCGTTTGCGCAGTCAGTATGGTCAATGCCTTGAGGTCGTAGATGTGCAAGGACCGTGAGGCCATGGCGACGACAAGCTTGGTGCCCGTGGCAGAGATCGAGAACGGCTTGGACGGGAGGGGAATGATGATAGGCAGAGAATCGAGGTTTGAAGCGAGGTGAATATGGAGTGTTGAGTCCCATGAAGCGGAAATAACGAGGTTATGTTCGCGGCTGTACACAACATTGCACACGCCAGCCTCGTGGCTGCTGAGTACGGTTTGCTCGGAGGTATTGAGATCAATCCTGCGCATGTTAGTAAAGCAACACTCGCGATTATAAGGAATCATTGATCAGATCCATTGGGGAAAGTCTCACTTCTTCACATCCCAGTCCAAACCGGCCGTGTAGATCTCGTTTTCGGTTTCTCCGAAGCAGACATCCAAGACAGGTGCGCGGTGCTCAAACTTCTGTAACAGCTTTCCCTCGCCAACTTTGCCATTTTCATCGCGCAAGTCGTACAAATATACGTTCTTGTCCCATGACGAAACCACGATTCGAGTAGAGTTAGGGTCGGGGGAGAACTCGAGGGCCGAGATAGCATCTGTAGGTGGCGAAGCCACGGTGAACTGTTCTGCAGAGTACGGTCAGTGATCATTCAAGACAGTGGAAATGACGACCAGGGATAACTCACGAGAAGACATCGTAATGGAGCTGCGGAGTTGAAGAAGCTCAAGTCGGAAAGCTCCTTTAGCAGCCATTTTCTGCCGTCGCAAACCGCCATCTGATTCCCCGCGCGTCGATAAGAAAAAAAAGACCACGCCCTGACATCACTCAGCACAACTGCAAATCGTATTCGGTGCGATATACTCAATATGCCCTTTGCTCAGTTGGTTATTGGCCCTCCGGGAGCCGGGAAGTCCACATACTGCAATGGCATGCACCAGTTCCTAGGCGCAATCGGCCGGCAATGCTCTATCGTCAATCTGGACCCCGCCAACGACAAGACTTCCTATCCGTGTGCGCTGGACGTACGTGATTTGGTGAAACTAGAAGAGATCATGGAGGAGGACAAGTTGGGCCCAAACGGAGGCGTTCTGTATGCCCTCGAGGAGCTTGAGCAGAACTTTGACTGGCTGGAAGAGGGACTCAAGGAATTTGGGGGTATGATCTTTCACGCCGAGGTCCATTGAGTATGGCTGACAGCTTGTCTCTAGAGGATTATATTCTATTTGACTGCCCTGGTCAAGTGGAACTCTTCACGCATCATTCATCATTACGAAACATCTTCTTCAAAATCCAAAAAATGGGTATACGGGTTAGTGACATGGTTTCGAACACATCATGAAATCGCCAGCTAACACATGAACCTGCGCATCAGTTGATTGTAGTTCATCTCGTTGACTCATACACACTCACCTTGCCATCAATGTATATCTCTGCCCTCCTCCTCTCCCTCCGCGCCATGCTCCAACTCGACCTCCCACACCTGAATGTCCTCACGAAAATCGACAACCTTGCCAACTATGCCCCTCTCCCTTTCAATCTCGACTATTATACAGAAGTCCAGGACTTGTCATATTTACTCCCAGAGCTGGAGAACGAATCCTCACGACTATCACACCAAAAGTTCGGTGCTCTCAATAGGACCATCATCGACTTAGTTGAAGAGTTCGGGCTCGTTGGCTTCGAGACGCTGGCCGTCGAAGACAAAAAGAGCATGATGAGTCTCCTGCGCGCCATTGACCGTGCATCCGGGTATGCTTTCGGTCCTGCCGAAGGCGCCAACGATACTGTTTGGCAAGTGGCTGTTCGGGAGGGCATGGGTACCACTCACGTTCGAGACGTGCAAGAGCGCTGGCTTGATGCGAAGGACGAATACGATGAGCTGGAAGAGCAGGAGCTAGAAGAGGAGGTCCGCCTGCGCAAGGCGGCAAGCCAAGTTGAGACTACCGGGGCGGCTGGAGGAGACGATGACATGGAAGATGATGATGGGCATGCCTATGACGAAGAGCTGGAAAAGTGGAAGCAGAACATGCCTGACAGTGGTGTCAGGGTACAACGCAAGGCATAATCCGAAACCAAGACTTTGCTCTGGCTTATCTTCCGAGCTCGAAAATACCACTTTTAGCATTTAATCGGCACCGAACAATTGGGGTATCTCATTACCATATACATATAAAAACACATTCTCGCTCTACTCGTCATCAAGCATGGCTTCATCCTCACTTTCATCCATCACAGAATCAACAACGGCAGACCCCTTCGCTCCGGAGATCCCTTCGATCAAATCCCCCAGAACACCCCGTTCCTCTGCATCTTTAACACGTACAATCTCTGCCCTAGCTCGGCGGATGGCCTCCTCCTCCGCCTTGCGCATAGTCCCCGACACGCGAATCACGCGGAAGACGCACCCACGTTCTCGACCTGTGCCACGCTTTTGCGGATTCGAAGACGGTTCCGGGACGCCGGACATGTATGTGATAGCAGACCAGACTAGACGGAATGCAGCGCGGGGGCACCGCACTATCGCCGTTGACGTTGCCGGGGAGAGATATTTCACTAGTAATGGTTAGATATGAGACGTGGTATTGGATGTGGGGACTTTGAAAGGCTTGTGGTCCCCAAGGGTGTAGCTCTTACCTTGAATGCCAGCTGCTGAGGCACCTCCCAGCTTTCCGATTCCCCAATCGCCGTATAGCTCTGCAACGGATTCGCGGATCATCTTCGCGAGGAATCCTGCTGTGAGTGCGTCGGAGGTTGGGGAATGGATTGCCAGGGAGGGGTTGTGAGGGGCGGAGCTCAGGGTTGCCGGCCAGGTTGATGGATCTGGATACAGAATGTCCATGAGTAGGTAGCGGCTCTTGAGGCGGACCATGGTGAAGTAGTGGTAGCTTGATGTTTCGGGTGGCGCAAGTCTAGTATAATCAAACTTCCAGACCAGAGAGGCGATTGAAATGTTGAATTGGCTCGCACGAGTATGCTACCTAGGTAAAGATGATGTTCAAGCAAGGTTGCAGACTCCAAAAAAGATTGCGACTGATAGCAGACGCGATAAGGATGTTTCCCACCTGGGCAGCTCCGCCAACCTCAGGCAACGAAACGACATCCATGAATTCCTGAGGCCGGACATCTATGTTTCTAGCTCAGGCACTAATGAGAATTTATGGCTACAATTTACTCCGTACATTCCAAAGCTCATATCATGCAGAAAGGCACGTTCATTATTCACCAAAGTGGTCTAGTCATCTACTGTAAAACGAATTAAATCAGATCCGTAGTCGAATTGCACTTTTTTTTGTGTCAATTCGTCAACTTGGTCATGCCACATGGACGCAGTACATCGATACACATATAACTGCTCAGAAAACATAAGAAAAGAAAAACCAAGGGATGAACCATCCGAACTCCACCGCCCTGAATGGACGGACTATATGCCAGCGGACGGCGCTGCAAAAAGTCACAAACAAAATCACAGGTTGACCTCGACACGGCCCTCGGCACCACCCTTCTGCAAGGTGGGGAGGAGGTAGGTGATGTCGTCCCAGGGGTGACGGTAGAGACCGGTGCGCAGGCGCTTCTGGTCGAGGTAGTGGGCAATGAGACCGATGGAGCGGCCGAGGACGAAGAGACCGTTAAGGACACCCATGCGCATGTAGTCCTCGGTCTCCTCGGGGGTGAAGGCACCGCAGTTGCGGAGCAGGTCGACGAAGCAGACAGCGACACAGCCGTCAACGTTGAGAATGAGGTTGTCCTTCTTGGAGGTGGTGACGGTCTCAACGGCAATGGCGTAGTCGAGCAGCTTGGTGCTGGGGAAGTGCTTCTTGACGAACTCCTTGACGAGCTCGACACGGAGATCGGGGTTCTGGCGGGACTTGACCTTGTGGCCGATACCGGGGATGAGCTTGTTCTCCTTGCGCATAATGTCGACGAAGTCACGGGGGCTCAGACCCTTGTCGAAGGCCTTGGTGAACTCCTCGGCGGCGCCGTCCAGGGCACCACCGAAGCGAGAACCGATGGTCAGGAGACCGGAGACGAGGGCACTGATGAGGTCCTTGCCGGCACGGGTGGTGATAATGGTGTTCATGGCACCGGACACGGCGGGACCGTGGTCAGCAGTCAGCATCAGAACCATCTCGAGGAACTTGCTGGCGTAGGGAGGCAGGCGGCGGCGGAACCAGAGGAGAGACATGACACCACCAATGCCGATATCCTCACGGAAGACATCGGAGATGGGCATACCGGCGTAGAGCAGCTCCTGGCCACGGTCGTCGGAGATGGTGGAGATGAAGGCAGCGGGCTTACGGACGAGACCGAGCTCCTGGGCCCAGGAGTAGTCAATAGGGATCTTGGGGACAACGGGCTCGGGGGCAGGGGTGATGGAGCCCTTCTTGACCTCGGCGTCGTAGACCTGCTTGAGGGTCTGGGGGAGGTCCTCGAAAGTCTCGGGGACGTAGATGCCAGCCTCACGCATGGCCTTGTTCTTGGCAACGGCGGTCTCGAGCTCAGAGTTGGCGGAGGCACCGGCGTGACCGAACTGAACCTCGGTCTGGAACATGCTGGCGCAAGTTCCAATAGCCCAGGCGACGATGGGCTTGGTGATGGTGCCGTTCTTGATGGCCTCAATCACACGGTACTCCTCGACACCACCGACCTCACCGAGGAGGACGAGAATCTTGCACTCAGGCTCGGCCTGGTAACGGAGCAAGTGGTCGATGAAAGTGGTACCGGGGTAACGGTCACCACCAATGGCAACACCCTCGTAGACACCGTCGGTGTTCTGGGAGATGATGTTGTTCAATTCGTTGGACATACCACCGGACTTGGAGACGTAACCGACGGAACCCTTGCGGTAGAGCTTGGAGGCAACAATGTTGTCCATCATACCACCGGTGTTACCGATCTTGTAGGAACCGGGCTTGATACCACCGACGGTGGCGGGACCAATGATGGTGATACCCTTCTCCTTGGCGGTGACCATGATCTCACGGGCACGACGCTCGGGGACACCCTCCGCAATGATGGCGATGGAGCGGATCTGGGGGTTCTCCATCAGCTCCATGGTGGAGGAGTAGACGGAACGGGAAGAAGCGAAGTTGACAACGGTGTCAACGTCGGGGTGCTTGGCCATGGCCTTCTCAACGTCCTGGTAGACGGGGAGGAGGGTCTCGCTGGTACCCCAGTACATCTTGCTGACGAACTGGCCACCGAAGGTGTAGATGATACCAGCCACTGAGGGGGTGGTACGCTTGCAAATGAAGTCAAAGTCGAGCATGCCCTGCACGGCTCGGGGTTGCATGCCACTGTTCCGGTTAGCTCACCATCGCCACGAGGATTGTTACCATCCGGGGACTCACTATACGAAGCATCGTGTCTTGTTGTGGAAAAGGCTGTGTTGGAGGGGAGAGAGGACCCGGCTGGGAGGAGCGAAACGGGTGATGTTGTCGTTGGCAGACTGCTGGCCGTTGCCGGCGGGGAGAGTAGAGGGCATGATGAATCTAGAGGTGGATTAGTATGAAGGAGTGCCAGAGGAGACCAGCCAGACTTACATAGTTAAACAAGCCGCTCAATGCGAGATAATTGAGAGAGAAGAAAGGAGAAAAGGGGGAATTGAGGAGAAGAAAGCAGCTGTTGAGAAAAATCCGCGGGGTGAGTATTTCGGAGTACTCGCAGATACACCGTACAGCTCCTACCAGACCGCCGAGTTCCCCACCGGGTTTCAATACGCCCAACACTCAGTCCCCAAAGTACGGAGTACAATACTGCATGCCCCACCGATCGATACAATGGTACGGAGGACTTTGTTTACAATCTATATACTCCGTAGGGAAATACAGGAAGCATTAAGACAGTACCTACCTAGGTAGTATAGCAGTAGTACTATTAGTATACTGTTAAGTAGATTGTGCTCTATAGTACAACAGTCCTGGCAGTACCCTGCTGTCTAAACAATATGACCTATAGCTTCAAGCAGCGGTCTATCACCCAACAAATTTTTCCAGCGGTATCGGCCATGGAGGGCGAATGAAGGGCGCCACTGAAAGTACCCCCCGGTGGATCACAGCTGTGCGTCCCAACGAAGACCACCCCACCGTGGATCGTCTCTCTGGTCTGTTCTCAACATACACGGTGGGACCTGCCGAATTGTACGCTGTAAGTTCCAGCACAACTTTTTTTGGTATTGTACGCTGTACACTCCAGTATTCCCCCCCCCCGACTTTTCCATCTTTCTCTTTAGCTTCTGCAATTCTTCTCTTCTCTCTTCATCTCTCCTCCCCCAAAAAACACCACTACACACATCATGTCCGCCAAATCCATCTCCGAGGCCGACGGTAAGGCTATCATCAACTACCACCTCACTCGCGCCCCGGTGATCAAGCCCAGCCCGCTCCCCGCCTCGACAACACACAACCCCCCTCCCCGCCTGGCCTCTCTCTACTTCCCCGAAGACAAGACCGTGAAGGATGTCCTGGACCAGGCCGAGGTCTCCTACCCCTGGCTCCTCGTCCCCGGCTCCAAGTTTGTTGCGAAGCCCGATCAATTGATCAAGCGCCGTGGTAAGAGCGGTCTGCTCGCTCTCAACAAGACTTGGGCTGAGGCTCGCGAGTGGATTGAGTCCCGTGCCACCAAGGATGTTCAGGTTGAGACCGTCACAGGCGTTCTGCGCACTTTCCTCGTCGAGCCTTTCGTGCCCCACGATGCTTCCACCGAGGCTTACATTTGCATTAACTCCGTCCGCGAGGTAAGCTTTCCCCGGAACTTCCACCTCCCCCCCCCCCTCTTGTTCCCACGTGGATAGGAACACAAGCTAATGATTCAATTCCAGGGTGACTGGATCCTCTTCTACCACGAGGGTGGTGTTGATGTCGGTGATGTTGACGCCAAGGCTGAGAAGCTCTTGATTCCCGTCAACCTCAAGAACTTCCCCTCCAACGAGGAGATCGCTGCCGGTCTGCTCAGCAAGGTTCCCCAGGGTGTCCACAACGTCCTGGTTGACTTCATCACCCGCCTCTACGCCGTCTACGTCGACTGCCAGTTCACCTACCTCGAGATCAACCCCCTGGTTGTCATCCCCAACGCCGATGCCACCTCCGCCGATGTCCACTTCCTGGATCTCGCTGCCAAGATTGACCAGACCGCTGAGTTCGAGTGCGGTACCAAGTGGGCTATTGCCCGCAGCCCCGCTGCTCTCGGTTCCGCCGCCGTCGCTACCGACGGCAAGGTCAGCATCGATGCTGGCCCCCCTCTCGAGTTCCCCGCTCCCTTCGGTCGTGAGATGACCAAGGAGGAGAAGTTCATCTCCGACATGGACGCCAAGACTGGTGCCTCCCTCAAGCTCACCGTCCTCAACTCCAAGGGTCGCGTCTGGACCCTCGTTGCTGGTGGTGGTGCCTCCGTCGTCTACGCCGACGCCATCGCTTCCGCTGGTTTCGTGAGCGAGCTCGCCAACTATGGAGAGTACTCTGGTGCCCCCAGTGAGGCCCAGTCCTTCCAGTACGCCCGCACCGTCCTGGACCTCATGCTCCGTGCCCCCATGCACCCCGAGGGCAAGGTCCTCTTCATCGGTGGTGGTATTGCCAACTTCACCAACGTGGCCAGCACCTTCAAGGGTCTGATCCGTGCTATCCGCGAGGTCGCCCCCGTTCTCGTCGAGCACAAGGTCCAGATCTGGGTCCGTCGTGCCGGTCCCAACTACCAGGAGGGTCTCAAGAACATCAAGTCCGTTGGTGTTGAGCTCGGCCTGGACATGCACGTCTACGGTCCCGAGATGCACGTTTCCGGTATCGTTCCTCTCGCCCTCCAGGGCAAGAAGACCGATGTCAAGGAATTCGGCGCATAAGCGGGTTATACCCTATATTTGATGTTTGTTTCTTCTTTGCAGCGTGTGTCCGTTGCATCGGTTTGTGGTATAATGCATGGCATGACATGACTTGTTTGTTTGTTTGTTTTTTTGCGGGATTCCGGGGGTCCGCGGTCACCCCGGCGTCTGTCCTATTTTGCTGAGGCTATGGCGTTACTTCCCGCCCGGACGAAAAGACCCGGTCCTTCTGGCGCCGACGTGCTCTCCGTTGATTAGATTTCATTTTCCTATGTTCAACTACCGGGGGATTTAGATCGTGTGATGTCCCGTCGGATAATATCAATGATATGAGGCGTTTATTGTCCCATTCTTTCCGTGTATCACTAGAACATTCACTCCGTAGCTGGTATATGTCAGTAGATGTACTTTGATCTACAAGTTTTAAGGTTGCCGACATCTGAGTGCAAAGGCGCTCGACGGCAGAACGATGAAAATTACGATGAAAATTACCCGTATATAGTGTTACGGTAATTTATGGGAATAAGCTCAAGATGCAGGATCCAGGAACCCGGACAAGCTCACGGACTCCACATGAGCTTCACCCCGGATTGACAGGGGCATTCAGATCTAACTCTAGATTAAAAATCTAAGGTAGGGACCGTGCTGGGGCTTGCAATACCGAGGGGCTGACGCGCTTCCGCTGCCCCGAGATTAGGGCACGATTAGCACCGGACGAACGGGGACTATGAGAGCTGAGTATAAATAGCGAGCGAGGTACGTACTCACAGGCTATCCTGATTAGGCTAGATGTCTAGCCTAGAAAGCAGACCTTGAGGTGTCTATACAGCTACACTGTCATGGATATTATGCGATATGAAACGATATTTCACCAAATACATGCTTAACTATTCCCTAGGTTGTCTTAGGGCTTGTTCCAGTCAGTTCTGAGAACATATCAACGGCACGAGCCGGGAGGAACAACAATATGAACACTGATATTATTCATGTTGGTTCTTGAGATGGACCTTTTGCCATTCTCCAGAGCGATCTTGAAACATCCGAACACTCTCTCGGACGGTTTCCATGTACACCCAATCTGGCCAAGGTCTACAACAATTTTGGAGAACTTGGCCTTGGTCGACTCACTATGGCACTTGTTTGAAGCCAGGCACAGGCTGTGAGCATTTCTTTCCAAAGCCAAGGCCAATTCTAGCACGTTACAAAGTCCTTCTTCCCCTCATCCACGGGTGGGGTACGCGACATGCAGGGGAAATCCCACCGGTTGATTCTTCTCGGCATTGATGCAAACTTCGAATCAGCCAGCCATGTATACAGGTACCAGCAAATTGCCACCATATAAGCCTGGCGCGCAGTATTGCACCGAGGGCGAACAGGTTTAGGGCTGTCTTTGAAGGATGACGGCTACCCTCGTTCGAAGCAGAATCGGCGGTCGATATATCCGATGCAACGGCTGCCCCAACTGAATCCCACGAAGACTAAAGAAGATTGGCGTTCGTCTCACATATGTGAGAATTTTGGCTTTGTTGCTAAGCGCTGTGATCGAAACGATCAATACGGAATACCCGTGACTGGCCCCGCAGATGCCACACGCCCCGCAAGCCGACACCTTGCAAGGCTGCCTCTTATCTGTGCAAGGAGGCACGCTTTTTAAGTGCATGGCATTGAGCCATGATCAGTGTCCAGCGCTTCATACATATTGGTAACATTGGTGCATGAGAGCCAGTCGATCTTGCATGGAATACGGACTACGAAGTAAGGGGCGCCAAATTAGGGCCCGCTGGAAAGTTCCCTGCAGTCAATCCAAAAAGGCCGGTACAATTCCTATTGATACCCCGGGATGGGTGAGGAGTCCTGAAAACTATCACGGGAGTTTCTTGAGAAACATCTCACACCTTTCATTTGGCTCTCGGGTATTACTCTGCCAAACTACCCTTCGTGATATCAAGGTCGTCTTGATCACTCTTCACGGCCAAATAGAAGTTCAATCTTACTTACACTTTGATTAGCGATACCTTCCGGTCAGCCCTGAAATTGATCTATCTGATCACAACAAGGAGAATCATACCTAGTATACGCAGTACGGAGTACAGAATAGGTAGTATTTCACTTATCCATTTCACTTTTTATTTAGTACAATTGCCATGTCCCAGTTAAAGGCCAAACTATGTCTTAGTCTCACTCGCAGCTGACTGGTCTATATAGTTCCTAGCTTTGGTTGTAGCCCTGGGAGTTTGGGAGAACTCCCGGTAGGTAATAGCACTAGAGGTAGTGTTTAGACTTGAGTGTCAAATCGGGAATCGACATCATTTCCAGGTTTCAAGCCGATGCGGCTCTGCCTAGGTGCTTTGTCCATCTGCCCTAACTGCCCGCGGGGATCGCTGGTTATTCATGGACGGCATTGAAGGTTGTTTCATAGTGCTCTTTAACGCCAAGTCGGTATATATAGTATAAGATAACATAAACTGTGATATCCATGGATACTATGCAAGTACCCCTTTGGGCCAAATGGGGGTCTGATCAACCTTGGAACCAGAAACACCACGCGGTGCACTCAAGTTATACAGGAACACAACGGTGACTTGTCAATACACATGCTAAATGATAGATCAAGAGAAACAACATCAACTTCCAAACCGCTGCATGAGAGCATCTCCAGGGGGGAACTCGGATGGGGTTGTTGGGCCTTGGGGGATTTGGGGAAGGCGAGTACGATGCTGTGGAGGAGGGTTGGGTAAACCGGCTGTATCCTGGTTAGCTATGAACATCGAAAGATATTCGAATAGTACATACCTCTGCGAATATCCCAATTGGGGTGTCTGGTAGGTGGCAACATTGTGTTTTCACGGGATGTCTTCGGCCTTGTTCCTTTAGAGCTACCAGTACCACTTCTTTGGTGCCGATGGAGCTGCTCAACCCCATCTTTGTTGATGGGGAAGGGAGGCGTACGTGGAAATTTCGAGCTTGACGCTGGACCTCGTGATGAATCCGTAGCCAGTGGAATCGATGTTGGGGCATTCAACGTCAAGAGGGTCTGAGAGACTGTGTCTGATGCGGCGCTCTGCATCCGGGATCGCATTGCTCGAGACTTGAGCAGGTTGTAGAGATTGCTCATCTGGGAAAGCTTGTTGGTCTTGTCACGACACAGGTCATTCAATTCCTGGTTTTTCTTTTGAAGATCATCTTGGGCGGATTGCATATCTAGTTTGGCAACGTTGGTTAGAATCCCAAGCCGAACAACCGAGTCCACATACCAGTGATCCTGTTCTGCATGGCCGTGATTTCCGTGTTCGCGTTATGTATAATTTTGTCCATTTGCGTGTTTAGATTGGCATACTTTTCCGTGAGCGACTTGGCCCGGTATTCCTGATAGAAACTGAACGATCATCAGCGGTCACTCGCGACCGAGTAGAGGTTTATGCTGAGACCTACATTTCCTGCGTACTTTGATACGCCCAGAAACCCAAAGCACGCCCAGCACATTCCATGATGGTGTTCGGATCCAATCCGCTCAGTACACTCGTTTTATAATCCTCCGTTGGGTTGAGGATGGTAGAGACGGCATCGTCTGGGTTGAAGAGCACCGTTTGACAAGCAGGACAACGTCGACTGCTCGTGGTTGGATGGGACAGCCCCAAGACGCCTGCGCAGTCGTGACAGAAGATGTGACTGTGATCATCAGCACTGCCAGGAAGCAGACACGCAGCAAGCTTACGAGCAAGTTGTCACCACTGCTTTCTCTTTCAGCTCCGCTCTGCATTTCAGGGAGTTACACCTGAGTGCGAAATCCATGTCGTAGTCGGTGTTGGGAAGATCGAGTTGCCGAAGGTCAGAAGAAGTGCCTTCCAATTTTACGGGGAAACTTCAATGTGTCGAAAGTTGAAAAAGGACAGTCTGTATCTATGCTTTTGATTATATTTTGGTGAGTTTTCAATGCTCTAAAAAAAGAATGTATTCCCCTGTGCATCACGTCGCGTGGAAGTCATCTTCTCTTCAAACTCCTTGCCAGGTTCATACTCGTGCCATAGACTGGCGGGGTATATGTGCTTGTTCTTCTCGAACCACCGTCGATCTACCACTTTGGTTTCTGAAAATTCTTTGTCTGCGCCCTCTAGCTGATCATCATTGGTCGATTGAATACCACCCAAAGCAGGCTCTAGGGGAGGCTGGTTGGAATAGTCAAACAACAGACCCCCAGCGCGGGAGAAGCTGGGAACTTTGTTGGCGATAAAATGGTAGAATTCGTAATGCTGTACGCAGGTTAGATGAAGCTCCTAGCGAAATTAGTGGCAATGGGCTTACATGTGGGACAATAACGTCGCCTTTAACAAGCATCAGGTCATCGACACTGACACGCGCCCACTCCCTCCGGGTATCCTTTTTGGCCTGCGATGCGTTGTTGCCACCGCGAACGCCCATCTCCGCGCCAACCTTGCGACACCGATCCAAAAAGAGCCAGACATGGTCGCCCTTTTTGACTTTCACTGATCCAGCAGGGATACTGGTTCCGTCATAGAACACAAATGGAATCAGGATCTCTGTATTCTTCACGGCTTCCTGCATAACCAAGAATTCTTTGCGAAGCGTGTCACGAGCGTGCGCCTCTGCCTCGATAGATGCCTTTGTCAAGGCCTTGGGAGGAGGAGGGGCGTTCGGGTTTGCTTTCATGCGTCGAACTGCGCCATCCTCGGCCGGGGTTTTTGAACCGGAGCGTGATACACTCGAATCGCGGGGCGTTGTGGCGGATTCTTCTCCAGTCTCGTCCTGATCGTCGCCGAAGGAGAGCTTGCTCTTAGCGAATGGCTTCTTTTTCTTCTTTTTAGGGGGGCCGTCACTCCGAGGGGGCGTAGACCTGATGCGCCGTGGTCAGCTTGAGGAATTGCATGGGAGCCGGTACTTTACTTACCCGTCAGTCACTTCACCTGTGGAGGGGGTTGCGCTTCTTGAATTACCAGATGCCAGTCGACCCAGCGACTTGTCATGCGCTTCGCGCTCTTTTTGCTCAAGTACCTCCGCGCGACGCTTGCGAAAGTCGGAAAGATGAACGAGACCGACAGTTTGCTCCTTGAGCATCTCCTCCGCGGAAACGGTTTGTCCCGCGAAGGACCGCGGAGTTGATGTGCGACTATCCTCCTCTTCTGCCATGATGTAAATAAAGGCACCTAATCGGACGAGTGGGAAGAGAAGACGCGGACGCTGAATCGATACTGACGTCTTGTACGACACGTGACCTTGAATTCCCATCCGTGGACCTGGGCAGCTCTACTACACCGTCTACGATGACCTGGATATAACAAAATTACAAATTATGACGCTTGAAAAGAATCGAAATCTCTGAATAAATAGCCTTTGAGAGCCATCAAGTAGGTCAACGTCGATTGTGGGAGCTCAAACATCACCTCTGGAGCTCTCATACAACGCTGCAAACAAGTCAAACTCGGCACGCAGCGCGTATCCTGCGTCGATCTCGATTCCCTTTAACACATCTTTTTGCCTAACTCTCTGTACAATCGAAAGCTAGCAACAATGGACGAAGAAGACGATGACTTCTATGATCCCGTCGATACGGTCCCGGCGACCCAATCGCAACATCCACCTCAAAATGAGACCCAGGAAGACAACCACATAGACGACGAGGAGGAAGTTGAAGAAGATGACGACGTGCGCGAACCCCTTGAGCCCATGCCCAGCTCCATTCCGGTCTAATCATTGAGCAGGATGATTTCAACATCATTACAGAAGCCCCCGAAGGCGCGCCACCACCCGAGCCGTAGGTTCTCTCTTTGCGCGCGCCCTACACTCATACTGATGATACCAGCTCCCATCCTCGCCATGCGAGCCTACGACAAGAGCCGTCAAGGCCAAATTCCACCGATCCAGGCTCGGTAGCGATGTCTGCGACTCCGTCCGCGACGCCACGACACGAGAACACGACTCCGCAAGTCGGCCACCCAACCACAGATGCTTCGAACGAAAAGCCCGGCTCTGCCTACCCGGCCATTCGCAGCTCAACCATTGATGTCGAAGCGAACCCTGTTCACCCTACGACCGGGAAGCCCATCATGTCCACCGACATGGACGCCGATCTCCCTGGCGACGACAAGCCCTGGCGACGACCGGGAACAGATCTCTCAGACTACTTCAACTACGGATTTGATGAATTCACCTGGTCAGGTTACTGTCTTAAACAGCAAGGCGTGCGCCAAGAAGTGAACAGTCAGAAGAAGCAAATGGACGATATGCAGGCTTTCATGGGCATGGGTATGCCACTGCCCGGTGGACCCCCCGCTGCCCCCGCCAGTGCCGCTCCCCCGATGCCTGGAATGCCCGGCATGCCCGACATGAATCCCGATATGATGCAAGGCATGCTAGCATCCATGATGTCGCAAGGCTTGGACCCTTCTGCCATGGACCCCATGGCCTTCATGCAACACGCGCAGTCCATGATGCCCGGCGGAGGCCAGCAAGGGCAAGCTGGCTTTAGCGGCCAAGCTCAGAACCAGGGCTTCAACCAAGGTGGCCAGGGCCAGATGGGCTATGGAGGATATGACCAACGTGGGGGTTACGGTGGTGGACGAGGTCGTGGACGCCGATGGTAGTTCAATATGCGTACCTCCGCTTCCAACTGTGATAGTACTTGGTGGTTGCTGTGACTCTATGACAAATTTGATTTTGGGCGTTTAAATGCATACACAATGGGAATGACAACGGCGATTGATGGTTTGCAGGACTCGACAGTAGAACCTCTTTTCCCGTAAAGATCCAATTGAAACCGAGTAGGTTAATAGAACCTGAAGCTGCAACTCATCAAAAGTGAAAAGAATCGGAGGCTAGTCAACTCTCCGGTGGTCCGTTTGTTTGGCCGGAAAGAAGCTCATGGTCGGTCTTGGCATTCTGGAAATTTCTCCAGTCCAGATCTTCTTCCCCCGGTTCCATCTTCTTCCCTTCTCCATCATCCCCAACCTTTGATCCCATCACACTTATCTTCATAATGGTATGTGCTACACCCTGGTAGACTGCGTGGATTGGTTTTTACCGAGCTCCCATTCCCAACATGCCAGCTTTGTCGTCTCTCACCCGAAGCCCGAGATAGCCGAGATTCTGCGCATTTGCGCGGTCAACGCAGTCAATTGGTTGATTATGATTTCAATTTACTAACACGCGTGTCTCTAGTCTATCCTCCGCAACATCAAGTCCCTTACCCCCCTCCTGGACCGCGTCCTGGTCCAGCGCATCAAGCCCGAGGCCAAGACCGCTTCCGGTATCTTCCTCCCCGAGGCTGCCGTCAAGGAGCAGAACGAGGCCCAGGTCCTCGCTGTTGGCCCCGGTCTTTTCGACAAGGATGGCAAGCGTCTCCCCATGGGTGTCGCCGCCGGTGACAAGGTCCTCATCCCCCAGGTATGTAATTTGTTGTCCCGTCGCTGACCACCATGGACACATTCGCTAATAATCCTAGTTCGGTGGTAACGCCATCAAGGTCGGTGAGGAGGAGTACACTCTCTTCCGCGATCATGAGTATGTTCAAACACCCTTCCTTGTGTGAACTAAACTAACAACCCATCAGCATCCTGGCCAAGATCAAGGAGTAAGCAGATCGACAATCTGTCTCCACTGATTGTGTTTCGCGCCACCAACCCCCCTGTCATATCCAAGGTCTCCTTCGCTGAGAAATGCGAATGGGCCAATGGCATTTGACGTGTATTATATCGACGCGACGCGAGCTCGACCAACCTCATTGATCTCAGGAACAAATTAAAGGAAATCGAAAAATCACAAAAATCTATGTCGAGTCGGGCGTGATGATATCTACTTGGATTTGCAAATTGGTGTCAATTATTCGTCCTGATTCGACCTGTCTTTATATTTTGCATATGAGTTTTTGAAGCGCTGGATTGGCCCTGGGTCTTGCATGTCTTTGTCCACTGTACTTTTAAATCAAACAGCGGCTTACCACTTCGTGTGAACGAGGTCGGAGTCGATAATTGCAGACTTGATCATCTCCTCTCGAATGCTCTTAAATACACAAAACCTCGGAGTCTTCGCCCATGGCCAATTGGTCCTATACGTTGGCACTGTGTTGGTCATTTCTTCGTCTCAGGTGCTTGAGAGGTTTGTTCTCCGTTGCTAAGAACCCGTGGACTAACAATTTGCTTATGAGTGCCTCGTATCCAGGCCAAGGGTATACAGCACAAACGTTTCTCAGTGTTTCGTGTTCCAACCTAGGTTAGGCCTGACCTTTATGGGATAGCATGTATGTGACTGCCCAGGTGGGCTTGTTTGCTCAGACAACCTTGGAAGCTTCAAACTTGGAATGCCCAGGTATCCCGGGGCCTTGATTAAAGATGAAGATTTGGACGGCCATATGAAAGAAGCTCGGGTTCATTGACGCCAACTTCTGATAAGGGACGTGGTCTGCGTAACGTCTACAATTACTCGTGCTCATTCCAACCTTGGAAACTTTCTGGTATTTCATAGCATTTCTTCCCTCGGTCAAAGATCTCACGACTTCATCTCAAACACCGCTGGAGCCGTAGGTAAATTATTTTCCTGACATGGTCAAATCCAAACACCCACCGGTAGCACAACCCTCAGATATGTTATGCCCAATTCGTTGAAAGGGCCCGTTACTCATACCGAGGCGGATATACCACGCCAATCAAGTCTCCCATTTCGGCATCCTTTTGGCTCGGTTAAATCAAGGGAAAAGGGATTGAAAGTTGGGGGGAGGTCTTACCATTCGCTCGAATTCGTCGTCAAAATCATTGTGGCCAAGGCCGAGCTGATCCTCATCATTTGCTTGAGACTGTGAAAGTTAGTACATGCAAGTACAGCGGCTTTAATACAGGGTGAGTACCTGGAAGTCTTCCATGCTAGAAACTAAACCCTCAGGACAGGCATTATCAGCGATAGGAATCCCCATCTGTACAATGGGTTGCTGACAACTGGACTCGTAGGAACTATGCAGCTGCGCCGCCCTCGTACCAGTGACCAAATCCACCTCGCGCATACATTTTTCTGCAGCGACGACAGTGTTGGAATATCCCGAGCATAGGCCTGGGATATCGGGATCCGGAGACGAATTATAATGTTCAAACACAGCTCGGGAATCGGGGGCCACAGCGGGAACACCAGGTCCACTTGGAATCGTGATATGATTGAGTGGATTGATGCCAGACAGCACGGGGCTTTGGGCAGACAGTTCTTCATTTCGTAGGATAACGTCGATACCGAGGCTCCGCATTTCTGCCTCCACGTCCGGGCCAGGAATCAGACCGAGATAGTTGGCGGGAATTGACATAGATTCCGAGTACGTGTTGGCACTTGAGGAATTGGTGTCTGCGAGCTCAATTTCAGGCGGTGGAACCGGAATCTCAGAAACAGGCTCATCAGGCAGGAGACCTGTCATGAGTGAAGTCGAGCCACTTTCATTGAGGGTACTGAGCACGGGTACAGGGGCCAGATCCGATGTCCTCAAGTCAGGGAGAAGGGGGCGCCAAATGTTGCCATTGTACGGCTCGGGACATAGGGCTCTTTGCAAAGGTTCCATGTCCTTGGGGTTGCCAGCCAGGCGATCTTTTAGGATACTTGAGCGAAAGGCATGCTCAACTTCCCTCATGCGCTCTTCTGGGTTCGCAGCTGGGAGACCATCGCGAGGTGGAATGGGAGGCCGTGGCTCGCAGAACTGGTCGATGTATTTGGTTGGAAAGTCGAGCATGTAGTCTTCGGACAGGTGGTAGAAGCGAGCATACTCCTGCAGAGAGGGCTGGTTAGAGCCCTCCATGGTGTGACCTCAAGAATCCTAAGATTGAAGTTACAATCGAGTGGATTCAGATCAGGCACAACTGGAGAGAAGAGAGAAACGCAATTCAAGAACAAGATCACGTAAAGATGGGGAAGGTGCCCTGAAACAAACAAGATCTGGCAGGCGCGAGTCACACCTTGGTTGGGGAGACTGCCCTAAACAGCACCTGGGCAGTGTCGAGAATCCGAGCAATAGCTCCATATTTATATCAGCGCCTCCAAGGCATTGATCGACTATGTGAAAGACAACCGAGAACAAAGAGGGATTCACTCTAAGACGAACAAATGTAAGGGAAATTAGCTGTCACCCACAGGACACCATTGACACATGTCTGCTTTTTCTAGTGGCAAGAGGAAAGGCATAATCAGATGAAGGAAATAACAATCGCTTGATTTGATGTGTCGCTAATGGCTATGAAAATATAAATGCCTGATGGCACAAAACCGCTCCCTCAATCATTGTAGTTTGATTGGCGAGATCCATCCTTGTTGACCGCCGGCAGTCCATACAAAGCATTCAACTCGTCTTCCTGGGATCTTCCAGTCTCCTCCAGCACAGGCTTCTCGGCCTGAACAGCTACACGGATAGCGTGACGGCGGTGTGGTGTGAATCCATAAGAGGCACTGTGGTTGGTGGACCGGTTGTCCCAGAGAGCAACATCATCCGCGCCCCAGGAGAAGCGGGCGTGCATTTCTTGTGTGGTAGCAATCACATCGGTCAGGTAGCGGATGATGGCATCGCTCTCCGCGGCAGGGATGCCAATGATCTTCCTGACGAAGCCGGGGTTGAAGAAGAGACCATTCCAACCGGTAACGGGATTGGTGCGGATGAGAGGATGAACAGTGGTAACGGGATCGCGACGCACAGGACGACCCAGTGCCCGAGAGTCATTAGCTTGCATGTCGGCGGAGTGGGCTGCGGTAAGGCCCTTGAGATAGGTTTGCATATGGGATGAAAGGACGTCATAGGCGGCGTATTGGGATGACCACAGGGTGTCACCACCGCCTCCCCGGGGTGGACCAGTGAGGAGCTTGAGAGAGGTGTAAGATGGTGGTTGGAGCTCATAGGTCACGTCTGAGTGCCACAAGAAGCTGGGGGTGAAGAGGGCACGGTTATCGGCTGAGTTGTCACCGGTGTAGACGACATGAACATCCTCAAGGCCTGCTTTGCGAGGCACTGATGTGGTTGCATGCTATAGACCGTGAGAATGCATTCAAGGCATTGATTTCAGAAGCGAGTACTAACCTTGTGCAGCTTGCCCCAGTATCTTCCCAGATCCCGCTGGGCATCAACATCGAAGTTCTTTTGAGAGCGGAAAAAGACAACGCCTCGGTAGGCAATCAACCGGGCAAGATCATCCTTCTGGGCATCATCGAGGGTGGAAAGGTCTACGCCCTGAATTTCAGTTCCAATTTTAGGGTTGTGATCAAACACTGCTGTGGCGTCTCTGAGCAGGTTGCGGAATTTCGGGTCGCCTCGCAGGCCCTTGTCGTTGTATTCTGTGTATTCAAGAGGGGGCCAGTGAATGTCCGGGAAATTGGGCAGGAAATCAGCATGGGCGTAGTTGTCGTGCTGAGTGACTGGGGTCCGGCCAGGCTGGTAGCCAAACTTGTTATCGCCACTGGCGGCGAGGGTCTTTTTCAGCACTGGAACGGTGAAGGCTGCTGGCCCTGTCACGACAGGCTCTTCCAATGAGGGTGCCATGTTGGGTTCAAAGTTGTATGTGTGTAATCGAATGCGAGGTATAGGATATGTTTGAATATGTCAAGATGCAGGACGATCTTTTGTTATCAGATGGGAAAACAAAGTTTGAATGGAGCTCAGAAGGAAGAGAGAATGTGATTTATATAGATTCATGTCCATGAGTCAACCCCAGATAACGCCATCGTGGTCTGAACGGATCTTGCATGCCCCGGAGTTCACGGAGATTGCGCCATTTCACAGTTGAATCACCTCAGGCGAGTGACAAGGGGCCCCCAGGACCACAAAAATGGAGACTCATGAGGATTCGAAACCCAATTGGGACCCATAGATCTTCTTCTCCCCCAGAATTCTCTAGAAGAAGGGGGCGATCACGTCATTTGGCTGAGGCAAGATTAGCAATCACCTTACAGAGTACGATGTACTATATGTAGGCTCCTTCACATACTTTGTTTCACCGCTAGTCCGGAGTACGTGGTCTGATGTCAACCTTGGAATACGTGTTCAAGAGATCTAGGGACAAAGTACTAGTGCGTGATCGAAGCGATGTATAGTAAAGGTGGAGGTCAAGATTAGGGATGGGCGCTAAGCAATAACGATCACGCAAGAGTGGCGGGTTCTTGCGTCCCCTCTTACTCAGCTGGCTCCACCTACCTAGGTAGAGCCCTAACATTGGGCTTCACATGTCCGAATGTCCTACACCGTGTACGGAGTACTGCAGAGATCTTCGACATTCAAGGTTCCAATGACTTTATCAATCAGCGGGAGATTGCCAGATCCACCAAACCTACCACCTACGGTTACAAGGTGTGTAATGAGCGTTAAACACTAGGCGCTAAGAAAATGTCATGTTTCCCATACGCCACGGCGTTGTTATATTACAGGCTAGATAGCTGGGGGATTCTATCCAAGGTGAAACCGTGCGTCTCCTGACTGCTGCCCCGAGAGATCCTGCACCTGTTCGGAAACAGTGCTCAATCGGGTAGCAACACCCATGATACCCGCTTCGACATCTCCAAGGACCGCTGCAAGTTCATTCACAGTTGACTTAGGGGCTGCACCGGCGCCATCACGGGACTTGGAGCTGACAAAGTCGCTGATCTGGCGATTCAGAGTCGCCTCCACTCCGTGCAAGTGGTCTTCAATCTCCTTGAGATTTCCGGTGTATTTACCGAGGACACCTTTCATCTCCTTAGAGCGGTGTGAGAAGTAGTCGATCAGGTTGACGGGGACGCCATTGACAGACGTAGCGGATGCATCACCCTCGACCCCATCGGGAAGGGCGAGTGTGTTCTTGCGGCTAGAGCGCATGGACCGTTCAGGGATGTTTTGGTCCTGCACAGACCACCAACCACCGCCATTGGATTGGTATTGCAGGGGTAGTTTCAAAGTGTCAATGGCGCGGAAGGCCACCTCAGCCTCGGCCGCGTCCCGTGTAACAAGGCTACGGAGCCCGTCGATGTCACTCGCGTCGTTCTCCAACGCATGTTGCATCGTCTCCAATTTTCCTTGTACGTAGTCCACATCATTGGGGATTGAGGCGCCCTGTTTTTCGATGGTGGGGAGTAGATCGCCGACCTCATGGCACATTTTCATTTGGTTCAAAATGTGTTTGTCGATAGCCTCGATCTGACTGCGAATTTCGTCGGCACAGCTCTCGTACTTGGTGGTTGGTAGAAGGTTGCTGACATCGACTTTGACGCCGGGGATGACGGTGTTGGTGGCGGTGCTCTGCTGGAGCGGTTGTGATTGTCCTTGCGTGTTGGTTTGACCGAATAGAGAGAGGGTGGGCTTCGCGGGCTGCTGTTGCTGCTGCTGGGTGTTCTGACCGCCACTGTGAAAAATTAGGAATCCAGGACATGCGATGAAACCAACGACGCGAGCACTTTAACTTACAACATGCCTGTACCGGTTGCCGCGGAGCCAGTCGTTGATCCACCAAGGCCACCGAGACTAAACGCCGGCTTGGGTTGGGTTTGAGCTGTGGATGCGCCGCCGCCGAAAAGACCGCCCGTTGTGCCTTGAGTGGTGCTGGTGCCAGCGCCAGCGGTTGCGCCACCGAAGAGACTAGAAGTTGGGGCTTGTGTTGTTGCGGATCCTGCACTGGGGAAGAGGCCGCCGCCGCTGGGCGCAGCAGTCTGTGTAGCTCCAAACATGTTGGATCCGGTTGACGGAGTCTGAGTAGCACCTGCCGCAGGGGCGCCGAACAAGCTCCCTGCTGGCTTAGGAGTAGAAGCTGCGTTTCCGAAAAGACCGCCGGTCGTATTTGTTGCCCCGGGAGTAGCTGTGGATGTGGATGTGTTGTTGCCGCTGCGGAGAAGTTAACTTTCTGCCCTTCGCGTAATATTGACACAACCCAATCCACGCTAAAGTCCACACAAAGTGGCTGTAGAGGGAAGATTGGAATGATGATCAATTGAGCTGGATCAGAGCAAGGGGGATTGGCGACCCGGTCTGATAGGCCGAGCTGCATGCCCAAGATCCGAGACAGCAAAGCGAAAGCACTCACAATAAAGAATTAGAGGTTGTGCTCAGAGAGAGCGCACTGGGTGCAGATGTCTTGGGAGCAAACATTATGAGGGCACGTCGACAGGCTCTTTGTCACAACAAAGGGAAGCTGCAGTCGCAGTATCAAAATGCGGAATGCGCGGCATCAAAGTTCTTCCGGCCCGACATACAATTCCATTTGGCCAATGTATCAGTATCAATCTATTCTAGGTGGTCGGTGTTTATCTGCGTTTCTAAAGACTACATCAGAATCCGAAGAATTGAGGATCTTATTTACCCGGGATCAATCGTAGTCAACGCGTCCGGGATGCCGTAAATGCTTGATTCAACTTTGTGAGCTGCATCAACTGTGACCCACCCAAGGATCCTGGTGCAGACAATCTCCCAAGGCTTTCCTGGTCAATGAGGAATATTTGAGCAGCATTACAGCATGGCCGTTGAGGATGTCACTCAGCATTTACCAGTCTGCGTTGCATCAACAAGACAGCGCGGCGATGGAGCAATCACGCCGCACGAGCCAGCCCCGGTATCTTCGTCGACATCATCACATTCTGAATCTGAACTAGCTTCCGACGAGATATCTCCTGGTGATGGAAGTGACAAGAACTGGTTCAAAGGTGCAGAATGGTAAGCCTACTCAACCCACAGCTGGAGCACCGGGCGACATTGACCTTGCACATATAGGTCCCCGGATGGAACAACGCTGCTGACAGACTCAGCTGATCATTCCATCCGAACTTGGATTCTGTAAGTCTTCTCAGGCGTTTTTATTGATCTTGGCTGACCCAGCTAGGCCACCAGATTTGCTGGAAAGTCAATCAGTCCATCAATTATCACCATATTCTACTTTTCCCTCAGCGGAACCGACTTATGCTACGGCAATCTATCCATTTTTTAATCTACAGGACCCATCTACAACACTGTTCCTCTCTTCTGTCCGTGATCATCCAATCCGACTTTCGTCGGCTCTAGCCCCAACTTCAATGGGAAGCTACTCTCTTGTCAACCCGATGACCGAAGCCTTCATCTCCCCACACTCAATGATTTACCCTTCAACTATGGGTGGGACACACTTTCTCACCGGCTCCGACAGCCTGATATGTCTCTTTGATGTATCCAGGCCCGGGACGCAAGGCCCTATCTCTTCTATGCCAACTATACCCAGCAAGCGCAAACAGATCGTGGGCGGTGGTATTGGCATGAAGGGCATCGTTTCGGCTTTGGCAGTGAGTCCCACCGGAGACGGGATTCTCGCCGCCGGCACTTTCACCAGACATGTTGGCCTTTACAATTCCAATGGCTCCGGCGAGTCCCTTGGGACATTCAGTATTGCCAAAACCGAGGCGAACCGTGATATTGGTGGTCGTGGTATCACACAACTTGTCTGGAGTCCCTGTGGCAGGTATCTGTATGTTGCTGAACGGAAAAGCGATGGTGTTTTGGTCTACGATGTCCGCGTTACAGGCCAGATGCTTGGGCACTTGCGCGGGCGCAAGGCGCTCACCAATCAACGAATGAAGATCGACGTTGTATCTTCTGGTCCCGATGGGTCTCATGAGGTCTGGGCTGGTGGTACAGATGGACTCATGCGGGTTTGGAAAAGCCCGGAGTACTCTGCAGGTGGGCAAGACCCAGATGCAGAATTCAAGGTCCACGACGGTAAGAACATTCTAATTCAGTTCAACGCTCCATGCTGACATACCTAGATGCTGTAACAAGCGCGATCTTCCACCCTACGGCAAATGTTGTAGCAACTGCCTCTGGGCAGCGACACTACGATTTAGACGATTCTTCCGACGAGAGCGATGTTGATGTGTCCACGAAAGCCAGATGCATTGACAATAGCCTGAAGGTCTGGTCAATGCCGCTCTTACAACCGGAAGCGGGGCCCGACTCTGATCCAGCGAATCCTTGTTGAGATATTTGGGTGTCAATGTAGTGGACTTTCAAATCCGCCTCTGGAGGTAGCTCCGAGGTCTACCTACATAGGTACATAGGTACGGCTATCTGTATTTTGAATGTACAACCTTCTCCGGTGGAACTTGGAAGATCAGACATTGGAATGCTTAAGTACTTCCGAGGCCGTTGTAAATTATATATATTCATCAGACGAATGCTCTTGTCTAACATGCTTAACCATTTGCAACTTGGAAGACCAATGACTGAAACCTCTACTAGAGATATTTACACGAATCACAGCAAGCTTTTAAGGAATACGAATCCCGTACTTCTCATACGGGAAATTCTCCAACGAGGAGTAAAGTTGGCCGAAACCATCGCCAATCTTGCCAGGCTGCCCAGCGCCCTTGACACGCCAAGCCTGAAGCTCCTCAGCTTCTTTCTCAGCATCTGCTTTTTCGCTTTCCTTGTGCGAGCCAGTGGCTCCCGCAAGGACCTCTTCCTCTCGACCCTTGAAGGCATCGAGAAGTCCATCCTGGGGGACCCAAGCGACCTGCATACCGGCACGACGACCTGCCTCTACTCCGGGGACGGCATCCTCGAAAACAAGACACTCCTCAGGCTTGATCTCAGTCTTTCCCTGAAGGCGCAGCTCAACGTTGATGGTCTCTAGGGCAAGCAAATAGATGTCTGGCAGAGGCTTGCCTCGACCCTTCCCAATCCGAGGGTCGTCACCGAGGACCTTGTTCACTTCAGGGAAAACAGACATAAGCTCAGTGAGGTGGTCGGTCTTCAATTTGTAGTTGGTGTGGTGCGACGATGTGGCCAGTGCAATGTAAACAGGCTCGTTGGTTGACGCCGTGGATTTGAGGTTGGACAGCAAGGTTTCTACCCCGGGAAGCGGCTGGGAGCGCGGGAAGTACTTTTGCTGCAGAGCGAATCGTTGTTGATTCAATTCCTCGTCGCTAATGGGAAGCTGGGCAAAGTCGTGGAAGATCTTGCCGGCCTAGGTATTGTGAGAAATAAGCCACGAGACCGATTGGGCGTGCAACTAACCTCTGGCTGGGGGCGGCCTTGCATCTGTGCTTTGATTGACCACGGAAGCAGAGGCCTGTCATACTTCTGAAGAATTTCATTGGTGATCACAGTGTACAGATCCTCTGAGTCAATCAACAGACCGTCCATGTCAAAGAGACATGCTCGGATACGGGGAAGCCTGTGAACATGTCAACTGGAGATCAATGCCATTAGGTTCATATACTCACTCATTGTTAGAAGCCATGACTGTGTGTATGGACCCTGAATCTTTCGCAGTGGGGTGTTGACAGCCCTGGAGGGATTCGATAAGACGCGGGGAATTATCCTTATCAGTCCCGTGATTGGCCCTTGACAACATTTGATGATCTCGTTCGACCTCCACCTCCTTACAGAATGACGAACCCCCCAGACGCGCCTAAGCGCGACAAGAACGATCATGAATCGGAAGACAGCGGTGATGAGGATGTCTTCCACGATGCACACTTCCCGGCGGAAGAAGAAGCTGTGAGCCGAGCTGGATTTCCCATGACCCTCGTTGTGTTGCTAATGTACACCCTTGTAGCAACTCTTGAAAGAGTCCCAGGAGATAAAATCCGAAGCAAACAAGTTGTTCCTTGCCACAAGCTACGACCAAGCCATTTCCTGCTACGACCGAGCCCTTGCCTCATGCCCAAACTACCTTGACTTCGACGTCGCTGTTCTCCACAGTAACATTGCCGCCTGTTATTTGAAGTTAGAAGAATGGAAGTCGGCAGTGGACTCGGCGTCTGTCTCCATAGAGCGGCTGGAGAAGATCATTCCTTCTGTCCCATTGGAGAAAGGCAATGCGGTGAAGGCAAGCGAGGCCACCAAACCGGATGAAAAAGACAACGACGGTGTGGTGGAGATCTCAGGGGACGACGAAGATGCTGAACTGGAGGAACTCCAACGCTTGAAGAAGCAGGATGAACTCAGGAACAAGGTGTTACGGCTACGAGCCAAAATCCTCATGAGACGCGCGAAGGCGAAATCACAAATCGGGGGCTGGGGTAACTTGCAAGGAGCTGCAGAAGATTACCAAGCGCTGGTTGCAATTGAGACAGTCTCGGCGGATGATAAACGCATCGCCCAGCGAGAATTGCGGGAGCTCCCCGCTCGCATCAACCAAGCGCGGGAAAAGGAGATGGGGGACATGATGGGGAAATTGAAGGATGTGAGTATATCAGCATGCTACCCATTGGATCCTGTTGGTAAAACTAACCCAAAACAGCTCGGGAATGGCATTTTGAGCCCATTCGGCCTTTCAACGGACAACTTCAAATTCGTCCAGGACCCGAAAACTGGAGGTTACAACATGAACTTCCAGTCTTGATGTGAACCATTCCTATGGATCTGCGCGCATCCGATACATGGGTGTCATCGGTGCCTCCATTCACACTGTTATTTGCATAGCGGGCAGTATGCCTAGAGGCGTTATGAGTATGTGTATTATCCATTTTACCATCCTATCCAATGCCGCGCTGCGTAGCAATACCTGGTGCCCTTCCGGCTCAACACGATCGGCTCATCATCAATCGCGAGATTGCTCAATTTTGCACCGAGAACTGATAATTGGACATAAATCTCCTGTCACTCGTACATATGACGTACGTCTATGGTGAAGGGCTGAGAATTGATCTCATCAAATGACTCATCATCCGGTCTCGCTCACAGTTCATTCTGTGTCCAAATTAGGATCGTTTGTTACCTGTTGCATTCGGGTTTAATACACCCGGGCGCTATTCAACATGACGAATTGACCACAGGGTGAAGGCTTTTTTCCCAATCCGCCCCCAGACCCAACACCACTTCAGCGTAGGGTATCTCTAGTATAAAGTGTAAGCCAATGACCCATCTGCGTTGCTTGAGTGGTCGTGGGGGCCGCTAACCACCTCGGTCTGCTCCGGCACTAGCAGGCATCCTACGCTAAGCGACCTGTAGTTATAAGAAGCAAGCCAACCCTGACTTTCGATCACCGTGAACATGCATCAAATTCTGTTGACAACATCTAGTCTGTGCGTTAACATTTAAAGACATTATGATGATCTTGCTAATAAGACCAGTGTCGTGACCTTTTCGGTGCTTGCATCCTTTCTTCCACAGATCCGCCATGTGTGGCTCAGAAAAGAAAATGGAAGAGTTTGCTTGAACTATATTCTCTTGAATCTGATTTCTTCAGTGGTCAATCTCTTCTTGCCCTTCTTTTTCACAGTCAATGCTGGCCAGGACATGCCAGTCTGGGCACATGTCCCAAGAATTGCTCTTGATTGGATCAATCTGGCGCAGCTCGCTGGCATATGGGCCATTTTCAATGTTCTGTGAGTTAGACACGAAGTGACCAGGCATGCATGTAAACCTAAATTCTAATTCAAGTTGATAGGTTTTGTCTTGCGATCTACTACAGCCCTATCAGCCGTACCCGCAAGGCTAAACGCATAGCCGCATACATCTTCGTCCTCGTCATCTCCCTGGTACCTTTGATGATCGATGCAACCACGGACCTATTTTGCTCGCCGATGAAATCTCCATGTGGTGTCCCTGATCTGATGGAGTTTTTCATGGCGCTCCACCTACACATCCTTCAGCCGGTGACCCTCGCGCTCATGGTTATATCCTTCTATGGACAGGCTCACCAACGAACCATTGACCTGAGTCCTACAGGCCTCAAGCTTCAAAGCTTTATCTTTTTTATTTCGGCTGTTTGGTGGATGTTCCGGATAAATATGCCTTGGGATATGATCGACGACGAAGCACCACTACCTTTTCCAGCAAAAGTCATGATTTGGCTTCTTTTTGCAAGGTTTACAGCTTGCGGAGATGCAATTTTTGCCATTGGACAATACGTCTTGCTGCGATTGGTATTACGGAAATCGCGCGATGAAGCTCCTCACGCAGCCACGGAGAGGCAACCTCTGTTGAACTCAACGCATGAAGACATTGAGCACGTCTAAGATAGATCGTCCGCTCTGGGCTTGCGGGGTATCTTCTCATCTACTGGAAGGCAGGATAGCTCTCCTCAGGTGGTATATGACCCGAGGTGTTAGATTTCATCATGCTGTGCCATCTAGGTATTTTTCAAAATTATAGAGCAAAAAATTGTACCTACATCTTGCCGAATTCAGCCCTCGATACTCTACAGATTATCAAGTTACACAGTAACATAAGTCTAATAATAAGCAGACCAATCAGCTTGAAGCTGACAGCTCGTGTGAGGTATATGGGCAAGATCAACGCGACGGAAAGCTCTTCCACAATGAGACACCATTGATTCGAACTAAGCACATTTGCGAAGTGAACGGAATACTACCGATTTCATATTAGCTAGAAACTTAGCCTCAGACTTTCGAGCTCCAATGCATAGGCTGTGGACACTTTGCGGGGTACAAATATGTAGGAGATCACCGGGGCCATGTTCTTTGATGCACATAGCCTGTGACACAGGCCTAAGCGCCCAACGGCGTTTGACAATCACCAGTTGACAACACATACCTAGGTATCATCCATCAACAGCACGCCGCTCAAATTTCAAGACACGAAAACCTAGTCCAATCATGCTACTGAAAGTTTACACTACGGAATCGATTGGCGCGCCGCGCAATCACATTGCAATCTACATCGAGACCGCCCCGGACGAAGACGCAGGCTGGCTTTACCATGTCACTGGAACGATCCTCAACGGCATGGAATACACACCCAGGGAAACACCAAACCCCGCGCACCTCCCGGAGTATGTGCCATCCTCGATCAAGCAAATCGCGACCATTGAAGAAGATAATTTGGACAAGTTTGTCAAGGAGGTTTGCCTTGCGGTTCCGCCTCCCAGAGCGCAGGTCACATTGCGAGGCACGCGCTTGTACCCGGGTACTCCGCTCTACCGCTGTGGGGATTGGTTGAAGGATGTTCAGGAGATGGCCTTCCAGAAGGGGATCCTCAATTCTCCTTGAGTGGTGGGTCCTGTGGCCTCTGCGGTGCTCTGGTCCACCACTTGGTTGATCATGCACCGAAGATCCCCAGTTTAAAGCTGTTTTTGCAGGCCTGCCAGCAACGCGCGAAGCTTATCTCAAGGCACTTCTTTACTATACTCCTAGGGCTCGGTGCCTCGTGATAGCATGTGTGAAGGGATCAAACTAGTCAACCTGTTGCACGCAACCGAAGGGGAATTTCAATTTGGCCAATCTAAGAAGGTACGACCAGTCACACTTCCGTCTTTCCTCCCATTTGCGTAGTTCCCTGATAGGTACCATGGTAGCCCTCTACCTTCTCACTCATCTGGTGAAACACCAATTGTGCCAGTCGACCCGAAGGGTACACCCGCAAGCCCGCAGGATTCATCACCTGGAGCAGAGCTCCGACAGCCCCTTCATATCCACTGTCCATTACGCCGGCGTGGATCAGCACACCCGACCGAAACAACGAGCTGCGGACAAACACCAGGCCCATCATATCGAGGGGAACAGACACGGTCTCATTGAACTCCACCAGATACGATCCGTGACCGAGGTCCAGAAACTCGGAGGGAAAGTGGATTTCTTCGGTTGAGGCGGTCTGCCGGAATTTGTTGTCGAGATCGATGACGCCGGGCGAGGTCCACTTCAGGATCCGCTTCAGAGTGAGGTCTACTCCACAGGGTTGAACTTGGAGCTTCGGAGCTTGGACATTGCGAATGATGCGTGGGAGCAAGGAATGCCCTGGTATTATCATATTGGACACTCATGGCTATACTCCGTGCATGGAGATTGAATCCGATAGCAGTACACCTCCCTGCTCCCTGACATGCGGAAGTAATGAACCGCACTCCGTACGGAGGTCAAAAAGGGGCCTTGGAAAACAAAAACTAGTGGGTCCACTCTCCCGCAGCGATCGCCGATTGGCTTGATCAGTCACCTTGAGCAATCGCATCTCTGCAGATCAGTGTTGAATTGGATCTCAATGTGGAGAATAGTTCTTCGCCAAACATCGAGTTCCACCGCACAGTTCCAAGCGTGTTCTCGTGTTCTTGTCAACAAGATGTTCTGCGTGGTGTTCTAGGGGCTAACTCACATTGTGACTAGAGTACGGAGTACATTTACGGTATATTAGTACTCCACCCTAGACTCGGTGCATAACTACTGTACATCCATGTCCGAGGTTCAGGATGAATAATCCGAGCTGAGCTCCGAGGCTGAAAGAGGATAACCATGGGTGGGCCAGATTCAGGAGAGATTAGGTTCAAAGTCAATCAGGGCGCCAATGACAGCCCGTCAGTGATGGAGACCGGGCCAGGTTTTTACCTCGGTGTTCCCGTCACTGCATGGTGTTTTGGTGGATTTGTTTTTTCTGATTTAAAGTCGCATATCCCCATCGCGCGGCCTCGCTCACATTTTGGACACTGTTCGCTCTCACAATGGCTGTATATCGCTCCTCCTACCCAGATCTCGACATCGAGTCGATCGATCTGGTCTCCTACCTGTTCTCCAATCCCTTCAACACTCCCCTCGATAGACCGATGTACGTCGATGCCGTCTCCGGCAAAACATATACCTTTGGCGATGTCATTCAGCGCACCCGTTCGCTCTCAAACGGGTTGCGACAAAGCATTGGCGTGAAGCCGAATGATGTTGTGGCCTTCTTCAGCCCCAACTCGATCGAATACCCCATTGTTTGCCACGCATTGATCGGATCGAGGGCAATCGCCTCTCCCACGAGTGCGGCATTGACCGCACTGGAGCTGAACGCTCAGCTGAAGACCAGCGGCGCGCGATTCGTGATTGTTCATTCGTCGCTGCTGCAGACAGCGCAGAAGGCAATCAAGGGAACCTCGGTCGAGAGAATCGTCATGGTTGACGGTGACTCCTTCGATGGCAAGCCCACCTGTGAGAAGATGGCTAGCACCTTCGCCCCAACCGAGTTCCTGACGGTCAACCCCGCCGATGCCAGCCGCCAGGCGACCTTCATCTGCTTCTCTTCCGGAACGTCAGGTGCCGCGAAGGGTGTCATCACCACCCACCAGAACATGACTTCCAACCTGCAACAATGGCGTTCCATCATGCTCGAGTCCGGCAACCCCTCCCAGCGACCCTCGAGGAGCTCCGCCATCGGCTTCCTGCCCTTCAGTCACATCTACGGACTCAACCTCTTCATCTGCCAGTGTCTCATCTGGGGCACCACGGTTGTCGTCATGCCCAAGTTCGATCTCGATGCTTACCTCGGCTATATCCAGCAATACCGCCCCGATGAGCTGTCCATCGTGCCCCCCATCGCTTTGATGCTGGTCAAGGATCCCCGCGTCGGCAAGTACGACCTGAGCAGCGTGCGCAAGATTATGTCCGCCGCGGCTCCCCTTACCATCGAGCTCTCAACGGCCCTCGAGGCCAAGTTCAAGGAACTGTGGAACACCGAGGTCTTCTGTACCCAGTGCTGGGGCCTGACGGAGACATCGCCCCTCGCGACTGCCATCCCCAACGACCACATCGAGAAGCGCCTCACGGGAGTTGGCTGTATCGTGCCGAACATGGAGTTCCGCTTCGTGGACCCCGACTCGATGAAGGATGCCGAGGTCACCTCGAGCGGATCGACCCAGCCCGCCGAGATCTGGGTTCGCGGCCCCAACGTGGTGATGGGTTACTATAACAACGACGAGGCTACCAACAGCTCGTTCCACATCGACGAGGCTGGTAAGCGGTGGTTCCGCACCGGTGACATTGGAACGATCGATCCCGAGGGATACGTCTCTATCCACGACCGCATCAAGGAGATGATCAAGTACAAAGGTCTGCAAGTGATTCCCAGTGAGCTGGAGGGTAAGCTCATCGACCACCCGGACGTGGAGGACGCGGCCGTGGTGGGCAAGTGGGTGGACGAGCGAGCTACCGAGTTGCCGGTTGGATTTTTGGTTCTCAGCCGCCAGGCCAAAGACCGCGATGAGAAGACCGTCATTGCCGGCATCAACTCATGGCTGAATGAGCGGGTCGCCAACCACAAGCGTCTGCGGGGTGGGATCCATCTTCTGGCGCAGATTCCCAAATCGCCCAGTGGAAAGATCCTGCGTCGGGAGGTCAAGGAACTGCTGAAGAGCAAGGCACCCAAGGCTCGTCTGTGATGTGAAATTTTGAAACCCCTAATAATCTGTATATTATAGTCTAAATGTGTGATAGATAGCAATGTCGACCGTTGAATTTGAAACACTTAGTTTCCACAAAGTTTTGTGTCGAATAGAGGATGCGCTAAATGAACGCTTGATGGAGACTTTGGCATCCTTCGCCAATCGATGTCGATCGACGATATTTACATCGTCTTCGGGGCCCGCGGACCCCCGAAACGGAAACAAATCCACCTCCGCGCAATGTGGCGCGACAACACATCGAATACGAAGGTACAAGACGCACAAATTGTCCGATGTCTTTTTTTCATTTCGCAGACCCTGACCTGGACAAGCCTTTTAATTGTGGGACTTGAGCGTCAACTAAAATTTGCTCTGCTAGGCTTCAGTCGATCCGACCCACTTCTCTCCTATTCTGCGAATTCAATTCGGTTTCCCCTTTACAAGAATCTCATGGCTGAAAATTGGTGGTCAAGTGACAGGCGGCCAAGATTCGTTGAATTGAGGTCGTCAAGATGGTTCGTCATGTTTGTGGTCTCGTTTGCCGCAGGAACAGATGTCTTTCTCTATGGATTGATCGTCCCAGTGACACCCACTGCACTGAAGGATAGAGTGGGACTGTCAGACGACAGGATTCAAGCCTGGACCTCGATCCTGCTCGCTCTTTATGCAGCAGCACTTCTGGCAACCGCCCCGGTGGTGGGGTATATCGCAGATCGAGCAGAGTCGCGAAGATGGCCACTATTGATCGGTCTGGTGGCTCTGGGCGCAGCGACAGCCCTGCTGTGCATTGGTACTCATATGGCGCTTTGGGTTGTCGGGCGCATCTTCCAGGGTGTTGCGGCGGCGATCGTCTGGACCGCCGGTCTTGCATTGATGGTTGACACTGTCGGCCAGGATGGTCTCGGTCAAGCCATCGGGTATGTTTCCATGGCTATCAGCGTGGGAACACTAGGTGGTCCGCTTCTTGGCGGTGTTGTCTACCAGAGCGGTGGATACTATGCTGTGTTTGGTCTTGCCTTTGGCCTCATCGGGCTGGACATTGTCCTTCGACTGCTGCTGATCGAGAAGCGACACGCCCTGAAATGGCTTGTCCCAGAACTGAGACCACCAACGGAAAACGATCCATTGGAACCTGGATCGGTGGCACCGGCAGTACCCCCAACCCCAAGCACTGCATCAGAAACCCAAGGACCCCCCAAGCCTCTTCCTTCGCAGGGCGGTTTAGGCCGGCTCGCCACTCTGCTGAACTCCCCTCGCCTCGTCGTCTCTCTCTGGGGATACTTCGTCATCTCCCTCGTCTTGGGCTCTTTCGATAGTGTTCTGCCACTCTTTGTTCACGACACATTTGGATGGCAGCAAAGTGGCCAAGGGCTCATCTTCATTCCACTCATGGTCCCTCACCTCACGGATCCGCTCACTGGGTGGATGCTCGACCATTTCCCCAAATCCTGTCGCTATATCACCTCGACCGCTTTCATCTGCGCCGCTCCTCTGTTGGTGCTTCTTCGCCTGGTGACAGACAACTCCATGCAGCAGAAAATTCTCCTCTGCGCTCTTCTCTCCCTGCTAGGCCTTTGCTTAGCTGTGTCCATGCCACCTCTGGTGAACGAGACGTTCTACGCCGTGAAAGAAAAAGAAGATGAATCCCCGGGTATCTTTGGCCGTGGAGGTGCTATGGCTCTTGCGTTCGGGCTGGTGAATATGGGTTTTGCCGCTGGCACTCTCATCGGGCCATTCTTCGCAGGCTTCATTCGGCAGAGCGCGGGATGGGGCACCATGGGGTGGGCGCTGGCGCTGATCGCTGGCATTTCATCTGTCCCAATTCTCTTGTTCTTGGGCGGATGGATCCTGACGGCCAAGCCGAGTGAAACTACAGTCACGGACAACCCTGCTTAATGTGGGAACTGTACATAATCATCTACTTAATGCTGTACATATAGATCTGAACATTGCATATCGAGTTCCCCACACGCTTCCCCGCAGCCCCACATTGATAATTGCTGACACTCGACTTTGGGGCCCTTCGGGAGTTGAGGTGAGTGGCATTAGCCGAGTATACATACTCCCTGGGACTCCCTGTCTTCCAGCTTTACCTGGACATTATTCCAACATGGCCGAGATTCAACACATAGGTCTCAACGCCACTTTCAAGGGCAGACGTCTCTCTGAATCGGTTGATCAATTTCGAGGGATCAAGTATGCCAGTATCCCGGCTCGCTTCGAGAAAGCAGAGCTAGTCAACAGCTTTGATGTCGTCGTTGATGCTACTGAATACGGGTAAGCTGGGGCATTTTGAGCCCAATATCTCCGTTGCGAACGCATGGTAAATCTGACCAATGATATAGTCCGAGATGCCCTCAAGCCAATATAGATGTTCGCCATCTTCTTCGCATTCCAGAGGATTTCGTCATTGAGCCTGAAGCCGAGGATGAATTCGAATGTCTGAACCTGGAGATTACATGTCCACCCAACTCACCCGTAACAGGCCCTTTGCCGGTCGTTGTCTGGATCCACGGTGGCTCTCAGATAGTGACATTCTGTTCAGCGGCCTCCAAGATCTGCGACCCGACCAAGATTGTGGCTGACTCTGTCAAGGCGGGCAAGCCAATCATCTTCGTTGGAATCAATTACCGTCTGAATATCTTCAGCTTTGGAGATGGCAAGGAAAGAAACCTGGCGCTCAAAGATCAGCGTCTGGGAATTGAGTGGGTGCGACGGAACATCGCCGGCTTTGGGGGTGATCCAGTGAGCGATTTCGATAACAATCTTCTGGCCATGCTCTAACAGTATACAGGACAATATCACGCTTTCGGGCGAGAGTGCTGGTGCGATATACACTCATGCGCATCTCATCACAGGCCCTCCTGTCAAACGGGCAGTGATGGCATCTGGATCGCTCTATCTGTCCTCGCCACTGCCACTGGAGAAAGGTGATGGTTTGATTAAGTTGCTAGAGTCAAAGGTTCAAGAGCTTGGTCAGCCATCGTTGCGGCAATCCTCCGTGCCTGTCTTGATCCAAGCACTTGAGGAATGCAATGTGAACACAGCATGGATCCAAGAAGAACCTGAACTAGAAGGGTGGGAAGCCCGACCAGAGCAGGTCGAAGAAGTCATGATCGGTGACGTCGAGTACGAGGTACGTTGGATGTTTCAAGGATAGTGAGCATTCATTGACGAAGATGCAGTCAGTGATCTGGCGCAACGGCGTTGAACTCCTTGATGGAGAAACGATCGCCGCCGCATTCGACAACGATAAGAATTGGGGCACCCAGTTGCGGAAAATGTATCATGTCGTCGGCGACCGTTCGACGGCCGCGAAGCTAGGTGCTCTGGATCTTGTCAACGACATTCGCTACACTCTGCCTGTTGAGGTTATTTCCGAAAAGCTGCGCAGTGCTAACAAACGCGTGTTCAACTATGTAGTGGATCAGCCAAACCCCTGGCAGGCGTCTAGCCGGGCACACCATGCCGTTGATCTGCTTTTCCTCTTTGATGGGGTTGATCTCTCCTCCAACCCAGCAGCCAGCGCTGTTGGGAAGGAGATGCGACAACGCTGGATCCGGTTCATCAACAGTGACGGTCCTTGGTCTGTTGACCGAAGGTTCGCCTTCGGTCCGGTGGGTGAATGCAAGGAGATCAACGAAGTACAATTTGCTGCTCGCAGACGCGTAGAGCACTGCAAGGTGCTGCGGGAAGCTGGTCCTAGTGCTTACATGCCTATTGTCTTCGCATTGACCGCTGGGCGCATCAATTTGCTAAATTAGAATTAGACCAGAATGGGATCTTACCAACCTTGGAAACCAACATAAATCCAGCTGTCTGAATTGATGAGTATAGTAGTGGAATAGCCTGCTCAGGTGGTATGGGAAGGTATAGATTTGACCAGTTGGCGCTCTCGGCAGTTGCAGCCCCATGCGACTCCCGTAGATCATCAACCTCCATCGCCCAAGACTTAGTCCTTCTCCACGCAGCCGTTACTCAGGCCTGACTCATGTGGGGTTCCCATTCTTGTCGAAACCGAGATGCCTGGTTTGCCTATTCGCACGAATCAGCTCGTTTTCCTGAGAAGGTCGGCAAGTTCAGCCCCTGTCTCTCTGCCGATGGACAGCTCCTTGGAGACAAAGACACAATATGAGCCTGCAGATGAAGATCCATCGCACGGATAGTCCGAGATATCCGTGGCCTGTCGTGGCTTCAAGGTTGGCTCGGGGAAATGGCTCGAATGATGATGCTTGTGGGCTTGGGCCGTGTTACTCGGACTGACCCCACAAATTGGCAGTTATATATACTCCATAGATCCCATCCCGCATTCACCTGAGACGCAACTTGGAATCTTCTCATTTCGTCAAACCTTTCACATCATGCCCTCAACCGACTCTTTGTCCGATCCCCAGGAATACCAGAAAATCTTTCACTGGGCCGAAACCCAGAAAGATGGCACAATCCCTTCTTTCAACACGCGACGTAATGATCCTTATGAGGTAGGTCGGACCCCTTTGAATCCTGACCACCGCTAATGCTGCGCAGTATCAATCCGGCTTTGGAAACGCGTATGTACCTAGGTATTCTTAACTCATCGAGCTATTCAACATGCTGATGTAGTCCATCGGGAACAGCTTCGCCTCTGAAGCAATCCCTGGCACCATTCCACAGGGCCAAAATAGCCCTCGCAATGTCAGATTCGGTCTCTATGCCGAGCAAATGACTGCTACGGCTTTTGTCGCCCCGCGACACTGCAACAAGAAGGCGTGGCTATACCGTGCCCGCCCGGCTGTCGCCCACCAGGGTTTCGTATGCATCTCTGGATTGGAAAATTATCAGCACTGACATCTGATAGACCGAACTCCCCGACAACAAAGATACCGAGGCGAATTTCTTGCCACTCAACCCTCGTATTCACGTCTCCCCTACCCAACTAGCATGGCATCCCTTTGATATCCCCGAAACTGGAGATGTCGACTTTGTATCGGGGCTGAAGACGATCGCTGGGTCAGGCGATCCCACTCTGCGGGAAGGTCTGGCCACGCATGTCTATGTTGCCAATACTAGCATGAAGAAGAGAGCGTTCGTTAACTCAGACGGCGAGTTCCTCATCGTTCCCCAGCAGGGTGCTCTTGATATCCAGACTGAATTTGGACCCATGCTGGTCCAACCCGGTGAGCTCTGTGTTATCCAGCGTGGAATTCGCTTCAGTGTAAACTTGCCTGATGGTCCCTCGCGCGGATACATCCTCGAAGTCTGGGGCACACAGTTTGAGCTTCCTGAGCTGGGACCTCTGGGCGCTAATGGCCTTGCCAATGCGCGGGACTTTCTAAGTCCGGTGGCTAGGTATGAGATTGCCCAAGAGCCATGGGAGATTATCTACAAACTTGGTGGAAAGTTCTTCAAGAGCACGCAAAATCACAGCCCATATGACGTGGTTGCGTGGCATGGCAACTATGTGAGTCTTTGCTCTTTGGTCGAACGACATCGAGACTAACCACTTCAGGTCCCCTATAAATATGATTTGACTAAGTTTGTCAACGTTGGTTCTATCTCTGTAGACCACATTGACCCGTCTATTTTCTGTGTGCTCACGGCGAAGTCTCGCGATCTCACTGCGCCACTTGCAGACTTCCTAACGTTCTCCCCTCGCTGGGATGTTGCCTCTCGTATGTTACCCGAGTGTGGTCTCTTTATACCTAGGTATGCCACTGACAGCCAAAAGACACATACCGTCCTCCATACTACCATCGAAACGCCGCCTCCGAACTTATGGGGCTCATCTACGGGGGCTATGGGGGCCGATCAGATGCCTTCCAGCCTGGCAGTGTGTCGTTTGAATGTGGCAGTATGTTCAATTGATTACTTCTCATTTTTTCTTAAGCAGAACTAATTCTACTTCGCAGTGGTCCCACACGGTGTCGCATACGAAGAGTTCAAAGGAGCAACTGAAAGCGAACCGCCAGCGATGCAAATATCTCAAGCTTCGATCGCCTTCATGTTTGAGTCTTGCCGTCCCTTCACGATTACTGACTATGCGTGGAATAGCGAGAAGAGACATGAACATGAACCCAAGATGTGGGACAACTTGGTTGACAATTTCTCGAAGCATGCCAAGGAAGTGGAGGAGATTTTGGCCCGAAAGGCGAAGGGGCTTTCCATTCACTGAGCAACTGAGCTTGAGATCATTATCTCAGATTGACTATATCCATTTTCAGCAATTGAAACTATTTTAGCCATCCGCACTGAACTTTATGTCTTCCAAGGTCCACAGTTGACTCTTGAGCGCGTCGGGTTTTGTTTCAACATATATCCCATGCCCAGGTGCATGTCGGCTTCACCAGCGCCTAGGAAAACCTTCGGACATGGCTATATCTAAGAAAAACCTTGTAGCCCCATCTTACTTCCCTCTTTCGGCCCAGAAAGGGTCTTGGGATAGTCCGTTGTCTGTCCCCTTGAGTCAAACGCCTGGTTGATCTCTTCGAAGATCCTCCCAAGTTCGGATTGACGATACGTCGAGAATATGCCCAGTGGCTCAGTGCCCAGGTGCCAGGTGGCCAAAGAGACTCGGTCAACAGGACCACAACAAAGCGCGCATGGATTTTCATATAACACCGGAAGAATCTTGAGAGAAAATCTCAACTCTTGCTTCCAGGCCAGGAGTATCTTCGAGGGCTTAAATGCCAGTGTCGATCCCATCGGTGGTCGGCGTTTCGGCATCCGATCTGGCGCACCGGGGCCCGACGAAGCGCGACTCAAACGCCAGGGCTGCTGGTTGGCCACTCATCCCTTACGACACGGTGAAGTCGCGTGGCTCTGGCACCGACGACGAGAAAATGGCTTGATGATCCCGTGTTTTGATGGCCTCCGGGCCTTGGAAAGGGGGTGCGGCAGAGTTTGTTCATGAACCTGCAAGTATATAGACATGGAACCATCACGTTCAGGGTCTCTTACGGTCTGGTTTCAAAGAAACTGTGCTCCTATTCATCCCTCAAACCATATATCTCTTACTCTATTCTTCGGACTTGCCAGCTCAGTCAAAAAATGGGCGGCCCTTATATGCCCAAGACGGCTGGAATGGGCCTTCGCCCTACGATTGCCCTCGACGTCCCAATATGTGCCGTCTTCCTCGCTCTGTTCCTCACCGGTGCCGTCTGCCACATGACTCTCTTCCGCCGGAATCTAGCAAGAGGCCACAAGTTCATTCCATCGGCCGTGACATTCGGGTTCTGCATGTCGCGGATCGTTGCGAATGCCATTCGCATAGCATGGGCTTGCCATGGCTCGAACATCAGTCTTGCCATTGCGGCTCAGATCTTCGTCGCTGCTGGCGTGCTGCTGCTATTCATCTTGAATCTGCTCTATGCCCAGCGCATGTTCCGCGCTGTCTATCCTGTCCTGGGCTGGACTCGGGCTGTCTCGTGGGCTTTCAAGGCTCTCTATACTCTGGTAGTCATTACTATCATCATGGTTATCACATGTGTTGTGCAGAGCATGTACAATCTTAACACGAACACTCTTCGGATCGACCGTGATATCCAATTGTACGGTCAGACATACTTCGCCATCATCTCCTTCTTGCCCATTCCCCTGCTCCTGGTGGTTCTTCTGTCCCCGAATCGAAAGCAGATTGAGCAATTTGGCTCTGGCACTTGGATCGCCAAAGTCCTGATTGTTGCACTGGTTGCTTTGCTTCTCTGCCTGGGCGCCTCCTTCCGTGCTGCTACTTCCTGGATGCCACCACGCCCTTTCACGGACCCTGCCTGGTACCACAGCAAGGCTTGCTTTTATGTGTTTGATTTTGGCATTGACATCCTGGTGGTGGCTATTTTCTTTGTCGCGAGAGTCGATCAACGGTTCTGGGTTCCCAATGGAAGCTCCCAGGTGCGCCATTACAGAGGACCCGCCGATGAAAAGAGTACCCGAAGCCGTGCGACTGGAGACGGGCCAGGGGTGCGAGATCTGGAGAGTCGAGGCAGTAGTCTCTCTCGTGGTAAAACAGAAACCAAGTGACTGGGATTGCTTCTGCGGGCTGGGAGGGGCGTGTCATTTGGGATTGAAACCTACTGTATATTATGCCTGATGTGATCAATGAGCAAACCCCTTGTTTTAAGGTAGCGCCAAAACAATTATGAGAATGAGAACTCTGCTGTTATGGGCTCTGCTGCTCTGATACGTACCTAGTAGTATGTGGCAGCCGTAGAGGGAAATCTGAGACTGGTAGTTTCACATCCCAAGAACTTGACCAATTCCCTAAAAGCCCTATGTCGACATCTCAAAAGATACCTAGGGATCACGGACTCATTTTCAAGACTGTGCTGGGAGATAAAGTGACATCCAGACCAAATTATTGCAAGGCAAAACGACAGTTCAAGCATGGGAATGGGCAATATGGCCCCGGTGAGATTCCACAAGGGTCATAACGTACGCCACACGCGACGCGCCCATTGAAGTACCTAGGTATTCTACGGCCAGGTGAGTTCTTGCAAATGGTCTTTTATTTTCATGATTGGTATCAACAAGTGGCCAGGCATCGAACCATACAGAATTAAGTCGGCGAGAGCCCCGTTCGAATGCAACCCCCATTCTTCGCCAGTCCAATTGCCTTTCGAAGGACGAAGATGAAATCTATCACAGGAAGTAGTCGGGTGTGCGCCTCGATACCATAGGTTCTCCCGCTCGGGGGCAAGGGTCGAATTGTAGGCTGGGAAAGCATTAGCAGGTTGTGACGAAAGCCTTGACGACGCCAAGGATACTCACAATGTGTATTTCAAATGCTCATCAATCTCCATAATCGCGGCTTGGTTGCCGCAGCGGTAACAGTAATTAGGGGCTGCAAATGAGGTTAGTCACTGGGGTCTACCACGGCCAGGTGCGGGAAGCTCATACCTGAGAAGATGGTGACGACGTTGCGATCCTGCGACCAGTTATATCCTTCCATCACCAATTGATGGGCACGTGCCACCAGAGTCAAGCCATTGTTGTGGTTGAAGGCTTCGGAGATATCCTGGCCGAATGTGTATCCAGCACCACGGGGGGAGATTCCCCATCCGCATCGGTCATCGGGATCACTCCAGAGCAAGTCACACATAGGACCCTCGTGGGGCACTTCTTGAATGCGATCCAGCGACCGGATGTTGTCGAGGGTGTCGATGGACGGGCTCAGTCCACCGTGGAGACAGAAGATCTGGTTTTCGATGAGGGCAGTGAGGGGAAGGTAATCGAAGAGGTCGGTGAAGTATTTCCACACATTGGCGTTGCCGTATTTGCGGAGACATTCGTCATAGAAACCGTAGACCTGCGTGATCTGGCGGGATTCGTGGTTTCCACGAAGGATGGTAATACGCTGGGGGTAGCGGATCTTCAAGGAGACGAGAAGGGTCACGGTCTCGACTGAGTAATAACCACGATCGACGTAGTCGCCTGCAGGGAAAGTTGAGGTTAAATATGTTACCCCACAACGACTTCATCCGACCGGCGCCACTCACCCATAAAGAGATAGTTTGTGTCCGGGTTGGGACCGCCGATGCGGAACAGCTCCATTAGGTCGTGGAACTGTCCGTGTATGTCACCGCAGACTGTCACTGGGCATTTCTGGCGGGGAGGTCAGTGAGCTACGGGGGCAAGGTCGACATCCCGACCGAGGAACAACATACCACTGGCTGCACATTGGACTCATCCTGCAGAACCTCTCTCGCCTGTGAGATAGATAGATGATCAATTTGGATTCACTCTTAACTCGCTGCGGGAGCATCAAAACCCACCCGATCGCACAGCCGTCGCACGTCTTCCTCCGCTAATTGCTTGCAAGTCATCAAACTCTCGATCCACCCGTCCAGAGTCGGTATGGAGCCGGGGTCGCTCGTAGGCGACAGGCGGTGTGGCTCAGGGGACCGCGCAGTGTCGATTTCCATGTTGTTGTCCATTGCGTCGGTGTGCTCAGCTGGCTGAAAAGGAGGGGCCAGCTGGGGGAGGGGCGGTCTCGTGAGAAAACAACGGAACTCGTGGGTAGGCGCAGGTGTCGTGGGGTTCTGAAATTTAAGGAGATATTTCCTCCAGATGACAATTCAATTAAACGACAAACTCCCAAGATCGATTCAAGGGATAAGGGGATGGACTTTGGGAACGCGAGAAAGGGAGAAGAGATGGGAGTTCGGGAAGGTCAAGTTGAGAGTGGTGAAAGCAAGATGCGCCACACTTGACACTTCAGCCACACCGCTTTACTGCCCCATACGCATTTTCTCCAAACTACATCATACAGGGAACTTATGGGATTTTATTCTGTGCAGCAGCTTGGATGGGCTGATACCGGGAATCCAGAGACGAGAAAGAGAAAAAAAAAAAAACAAAAACTCTGGTCATGACTCGTTAGATGATGTCCCCGCCAAATCCACCACCAAAGCCCCCAAAGCCTCCCCCACCTCGTCCATTGTTACCGTAAGGTCCTCGATTACTACCAAACGGTGGCTCACCAGGTCCGACGGGATCATATCGAGCTCCAGGGGGTGCTCGAGGATCTTGTCTACCTCTACCGGGGCCTGCTCCACCAAAGAGGGGGTCATCGAAGGTAGGATGCATTCCCCCACTAGCTGGGCCATAACCACCCATGCGTCCATTGAAGGGATCGTGGGGAGAAAGGCCCTGGGGGTATAGATCTTGCGAACCGATACTTCCGGGAGCTCCTAGTCCAGATGGCCCGTCCCCAAGACCTGACGGGCCTGCTCCGAGCCCAGCTGGGCCGCCACCAAGTCCTCCTAAGTACCTGCGCGGAGGGCGGTTGATCCGGTGCTCATCTTCAAACCCAGGAGGGGCAAAGTCTACTTGTGGTTTGGAGCGACGAGGTGCTGCTGCCAAGGGATCATCGAATGGACGCGGGCGAGCAGGTTGTGGTACCGGGCCATCGCGCAGAGCGTCTCGCTGTCTGCTTTCCGCCGGTGTGTCCCTTGAGGCTTGACCTGTCCCCTCGTAATCCTCTGGTTGTAACCCAGAGACAATCTTCTGAATCACATTGATTTTGAACAGACTGATCAAATCACCCAGCCGAGCGGATGAGCTGAACACCTCTCGAAGAGACGATTTGGTAACTTCGGTAGACAGAGGAAGGGCCGACGTTGAGATATAATCCTTGGTCGGGATGTCGAAGGAACTGGTGCGGTCATCGCCTAGCGCCAGCGCAAAGACAACCGCATTTCCACCCATGCGACTCACTTTGAGTAGATACTGGGTCTCGGAGTTCGCATGCGCATATCGGAAGGCGATCGTGTCATTAGTGTTCCATTCTGCGGGGAGAGTGGTTTTATCTGGGGTTTCTGGAGATGTCAGCCAGGCGATCAAGAAAATACGAGCTCTTTTGCATACCTAAATTGTGGTCTTCCCCAAGGCCAACCAATTTGAAATCGAGCGCTGCCAAGCAGGCATGGCCGATCAGTGCCACCGCTTCATGGGGTGTTTTGAGGCTTGGCTGGCCAGACTGAATAGCTTTAGCCGCAAGGTCTAGGATGTGATCCTGTCCAAATAGATTCGAGTCTGTCATTATGGGAGAGTGTATCGACGAGTTCTCGATGGTAAGAGCGAAGTTGTAATCACCAGCGATGAGGCTCCCAATGACCTCACAGGCCACGTGAGACTCCACTTCTCTACAGGGCTGCATACAAGACAAACATCGTCTGAACAGTTGAAACGCTTCAATTCAATTAAGATACGCTATCATTATGGGAATCACTAGAACATTGCTTAAAGCATTGCTTTGGGGAAGTTCTTCATCGCTTGCCGCACACCCAGGTCCGCCAAGATCTCCTCAGTCCCGCCCAAAATAGCGTCGAACTTGTATGTGCGGTGGAACATCTCGATGATCTTGCCCATCCCAGACTGGGTGATGCCACGACCTCCAAAGATATTCGTGGCGTGGCTAGCGATTTCGCCCGCTGCCTGGGTGCAGTGTGACTTGAGTAATCCGATGGGCCCACCGAGATGCTTTGCTTGCTCGGCGTAGGTCATATTGCACATCTGATAGGCAATGGATTCGAGCCACGCCTGGTTAGATTCTGTCAAGGAGATCATTCGCGCCAGTCTGTCATCCGTTAGATGGGTGCTGAACAATGTGCATCGTGAAACTCACTTTTGGCGAATGGCGGGTTGTTCGATTAACTTCTTGCCAAAGACGATGCGCTGGTTACACCATTTCATGGTCTCTTCCACCACCGTCATCGACATGCGGACAACAGCAGCCACCATCATGAATCGCTCATGGTTGAAGTTACTCATGATCACAATGAATCCCTTGTGCTCCTCGCCCAGGAGGTTCTGAACCGGGACCTTGACATTCTCGAATTGGACAAACGCAGTGGCGGCCGCAGTGGAGTATGATGTCTTGATGGGTTTAGTCTCAACTCCTTCGCCCCGGGGAATCAACAGCACCGAGAAGCCCTTCTCGGTTCGACATCCCGTCACGAAGTAGTCGGCGAACATGCCATTCGTGATCCATTTCCTGCGTCTGGTCAGTATACAGACACTTGCGACTCGGCTCAGACGAGTGCGAATAAGCAAAACTCACTTAGTACCGTTGACGATATAATGTTTGCCATCCGGAGTCTTGACCGCGGTCGTCTTCAGGCCCGCGACGTCGCTGCCGGCAAAGGCCTCAGTGATAGCCAGACAAGTCTTCTTCTGGCCTGACAGGACCTCCTCGTTGATCCGCTCTTTCAGAATGGGATCTCGCAGCCATTGCTGTACTGCTGTCAAGCTGATGGCCATGCCCGCCATATTACCATCTTGGAAGCCGCGGGCGTTGGCCCGCACCAACTCTTGCGTCACGATCATATCATGGAGGTAGTCGAACTCCTTGCCGTCCACGACCCCGCCAAGCAGGCTTCGGTTGTGGAGATGCTTTCCGGGCCCCAGACGCATGGCCAGTACATTTGTCTCGGCCATGCGGTTGATGAGCTCTTGGCTAATGTAGGTACCATCTCGTTCCTTCTCTTGCGCCTCGGGTGTGACGTACTTATCTGTAAACTCTCGCACTGCCCTTTGCAGGCGGCGGTGAGTCTCTTTGTAGTAGGGTGATTTGAATTCAGGACGTAGCCATAATGGTTCGGCATAGGGCACCGGGCTCAGGGCGCCGGGGGTTGGCACGATGACTTCGGACTTTTCTCCCTCGATCGTGCCGATGCAAAGCTGGTCTCGGTATTTCTCTAGGACCTCCTGGCGGTGCAGGTTGTAAAAGTCGGTTGTCGCGTCTTGGCCGGCCACCTGGGCAAGGACCACACTGCCCCCGGGGTGGGCGTCCACAAAGTCCGTTAAGTCATAGACTTGGTGGTCGATGATACACCAGAGGGACTCCTCGGTGTTGTGCTTCGCAACTTCCGCTCGGGTAATGATTTCAGACATGTTGGTAATACTCGTAGAGAGGGAGGAGGAGAGTAAATACCCCAGACTTCCAATCACACCTGGGCTGATTCTAAGCCGAGGGCCGAGGTGATGTCAGCAGATTTCACCCTCGTTCATTCGAATTCTCTGCACACTAACCCCAAAAGTAGAGAAGTCCGAGTATCTAGTAGAGTAGCAAAGGCCGGCAGTCCAATTATTTTCGAACAGACGGTGATGACCACCTGGGCAGCCCCACTAGTGGGGATCGACAACGGTCGGACTGCAGTGGACAGATTATTCGATCAACACTCATACTCCGCGATGTGCCTCGGCTCCACTAAATTGCCATGGTCACACTGTGGCTTTCAAGGGGTACCCCATAGAGTAGTGTAAACCCATCCAGATCTACTAGAATGCCTGTCTGACTAGAGATATATGTTCGAGGGTTGAGGTGTAGCAGTGGCCACCTTGGAAAACATGGCCAAGAGTTGCCGAGGGCATCCGATATTGAACAGACGGCAGCCCTATCTCCTCCAAAATCAGAGGGAAGATGATGTATTGAGCTGTCTGGTCGCTAACTAGAGAGGCCCCTGTTCGTGGACAATACGTTAATCTAAGGCCAACCTTGGAATTACCAAAAGACCGCCAGTGTCCGTTCCCGGACCTGGCATGCAGGATGTATTGAAGTATTAAAAAAAATCGAAGCTCTCCTAGCATGTCTGAGGCTTGGGACTTGAGTCCATCAACTTCCAAAACCCAGGCTGGATTGTCGTTGGGGGAGATCAGGCAAGCCCTGTCCCACCGTCTAGGTGGATATCTCCCAAGTGCGCATCCCTGTGGAGCTGTTTTTCTGGCCCCGAGATTCACACACATCGCACTCTCCTGCGCTCCAATACTGTCACCACTCCCTTTCCCTTGTCTCTTTTTCAACCCGTGGGTTCAGTTGATCGCTTTTCGGTACCAGAATAAGTGGTTCCAGCTACTGCTCCGCGGAGTTGGCTCGAATATGAAGGAGCTCGACGAGAGAAGTCGCCGAAGAAAGGCTCCACTCTGTACCTGACTGGCTTTGGGTTGCGTCGACGCCAAGATCCCAGGGTCCACGGTCACCAGATCACGGAGCCAACCAGCCAATCACTGACCACTCTTCGAGCGATTGGATTTCATGTCTTCGATTGCCTCATCAATGAGCCACTCACAGACAGGCTCGGCATCGCTGCCGACCCGCCAACTGCCTAGCACGACCCCGTGCTGCTCCAGGACCTCCGTGGCGCGCTCCCAGCGGCGCCGCCAGAGCTCCTCACGCTTGTTGGGAAGCGGTGCAGGTGGAACACCTGAGTCGTTGGACGATTGCCGAGCTCCACCGACGGGGGATCCGGAGAAGTTGAGGCGGTCGCTTGCATACTGGAACCCCTGGTAGGCTGCCTGGGCGGCGGCGGCAGGATATGACTGTAATCCACTTGCAGGCGCAGGGTTAGGAGTGGTTGATCCACTCGGTGGGGTGGATGAACCATCTACACTGGCAATGGATGATCCTGTGTTTGTTCGACGGGGCGGTGGATGAGGTGGTGGGGGCTTAGCGCGAGCGGCTTGTGTTTGGCTATTGTCCTTATCGAGACCCTTGAGCCATGAAGAGGGAACGTCGTTGCCCAATGGCGCGGTGCTGCTTTTGGAAATTCCCGGCGATGGATCCGACTCTGCCTTGGATGCTGAGCCACGCTTAGGCGGCACAGGAGGCACTGCCTTGCGCTTCGGGGCCTCCTGGGGAGGCGGGTTGGATTCACTCTCCGTCGCATCGGAGGGGGTAGCGACCTGGCGCAGAGAAGACGGCTTGGAGGCCTTGGCCAGATCGGCTGGAGTAGAAACCATGCGTAGTGCAGATGGCTTGATAGGCTTTACTGGGGGTGGTCGTGGGGTGCTTGGGTGCGTAAGCCCGGACGGAGGTGGTTTGTCGTCAATGATGAGATCCGTCAGATCAATCAGGTCCTCAAGTTCCAGGTCCTGTGGATCTTGTTCGGGGTGCACTGGGGGCGAAGCAATAGTAGTGCCACTTCTAGGAGGTAGTTGGGGCCTGTTGGATATCGCATCTGAGCGATCCTTGATATCGGGCGAGCTTCGGCTGCGGTTGGACTGGCTAAACTGACTGACCGATTTGTCGAAGAACGGCTTGCTGTGTGGAGTCGTGACATCGCGGATGAAGATTCCCAGGATCCGGCCGGGGTTGGCGAGGACAATCTCGGTGTACACCTCAAGATCAGCTTCACCGCTGTCACCAACCAGGATGAATTTGCGCTCGGGGAAGTCACGCAAGATTTGCTCCAGAGAACCTCGCTTTCGCTCTGCCGTGGGCTCGAAGATGCCTTGCAGCATACCTGAATAGTGCTTCAGATGGAAAGATCCTGGAGGCAAGCCGACCATCTTGAAATAGCGTTCGAGGAGAGGATAGAGCTGCCAGGGCGCATTTGAGACGTAGTGAATCTGCACGCCTTGCTTGGCAAGACTTTCATACCACTGGCTGACTCCTTCGACCTTGAGTTCATCCAGTTCACGGATGAAGGTGTTGCGGAACATCTCTTTGGCACCGCCAGCAATGGCGGAGTGTTTGACAGTGTCGTCAATGTCACTGATCAGACTAATTCCGGTCGGCTCAATGATTTGTATGGGCCGAGCAGCAGACAGGTCTTCCGATGCCAGGACACGGATATGCGTGGGGACAAATGGCAATGCAGCACGAAGAGTGAAATGCCCAGACTCATCCGTTGTGATGTTCCGGGATTTGCTCTCGTTTTCATCAAAGAAGAACACGGTGACCGGCATACTAGCCACGGGGTTTGTCAGGAACGGACGAAGTCTTTCCATAAGGTGTGCGTTCGCAACAGTCAGCTCGTCCTTGCTCAAAGCAGCCGCAGGTTGTTGTGAACGGTCCACATTCGAGCTCTTCCAGGCTGGGTCTGCGTCCTTGACGGCCGATTCAACAAGCGACTGCATCTGCTTGTCAACATATTCATCTTCTCCTTTGCCCGGGGTCTTTTCGTCAATGTCGTCATTCGGGGATCCGGTGGGCGCAGAGATTCCGCTCAGCTTCCTAGCCAAGGCGATCATCAATCTGTGCTTTCGGCTCAGGGGGCCTCGACCAGGTGCGTAGATCCAGCCACGCACGTCGACGGCGACGACCGAATCCTCGGCCTCCGTCTCGTCCCACGAAGGTGCCGGCATATCGTCTTCCTCTGCTGCTGCGGCCCCACGGTATTCGTCAATAGTTTCGGACCATGAATCACGTCGCGGGCGTGGTTCGTCGGTCTTTTTGTTCTTGGATAATTTTCTCGCATAGCTGGGAAAGAGGACCATCTCCTCGTCGCCGGACCGTGCGATCTCAACATCGGGAAAGGCACCGGGAGTGTTGTAGTAGTCTTCATCATGTTCGTTCCTCTGACCAGCCCATTGGGAGGTATAGGATTGGCGAAGCTCGTTGGCGGCTTTAAAATATTCATAGACCTTCTTGCGACGGCTACCAGGGGCAGCAGCGCCATCGCCGCTGCCCGGTCCCCATGTCGATGATAGCCCGGATTGCGCCATTGAATCGTGCGGTCCGCGGCGGGGCTCTCGGATCGACTTCGGGTGTGTAGTTGTCGGACTACCAGTTCCTGCAGTAGTCTTCCACGTCCTAGGGCGTCGCTTTTGCCCTAGCAGATAAGTAAGAAGGCGACCTCCAAGTCTCGTATCGCGCGCAGCGAGTCGCGCCTGTCGCTGGACGAGCGCCCGGTAGACCCGCGATTGGGCCCGATGGCGGATTGCGGGGAGGGTTTCGTGTCGGATACCCCAAAGACGGGAGTGGGCTCGTCTAGTTGCGAGCGGGCCGATCAGTAGGCGAAGTACACGGGCGAGTTTGCCAGGTCGAGGCTCGCGTGGGAAGGGGGGGAAAAGCGTGGTAGGCGGGCGCCGGAAGAGGGACCTCGACCGGAGGGTGGGCCAGCGGAAATGAGGTTTAGGCGCCAGTGTCTCGGGTGGAGGGATCTAGAAAAGTGCAGACGAAAATGCGAAAAAGAAGGAGAACTCGACCTGCGGGGAAAAGAGATGACGATGATTATTCGGGTGTTCACCGCGTTCCGCACAATCCTGCTTCGGCTCTCGGAGAATTCGAACGTTCTGGTGGCGATATTCACTACCGGTTTCCCGTTTGAACTGGGCTAGACAGGGAATGCTGAGGCAGGCTGCCAATACTTTCTATGGGACATAGCATTCTGCTTGTCGCCAAAATGGCAATAAAATAGTATACAATGAGTAATATACATGACATCCAGGAGCGAATCACGCACTGTCTTCGGTATAGTTCACTTTCTTGGCGCGAGAAGTTCGCCGAGAGGGCGATGTGAGAGTTGAAGTATTCGCTTCTGTGCCCTCCTCGGGCTCTGGCGTTGACTCAATGTCCGCGGCCTTTCGCTTACCGCGAGATTTGCTGGCTGGGGGCGTACGCTTGGTCTTGGCTACCTTGTTCCCTGATGTCTCTTCCGCGACGGCGGGGTCTAGGGGGATATCATCGGCGACACACTCTGCCTTGACCTTTTTAGAACTGGCCTTTCTTGGACTCGGCGTAGCTTTCGGTTTCACGACCTTCTTGGCCGGCCGGAGCCATTCTTCCATTCCCCGAGGCCAGTAGACTCTGCCATCGGGGCCGCCCATGCCAACTTCTTCGTCGGGGATGATACGCGGCGGAGGTATGGAGCCTTCAAGGTCCACAAATCCCCCGTTCTTCTTCGACCTTTTCGGCGGTTTGAAGGGCTGGTTCTCGTCAGTGCGCATGTAGGGCAATAGGTCATTAGCAAGATTGTAGCCGGGAAGTTTGAAGGTTCGCATCAACTCAAACACGGCTTGCTCTTTGTCCTTGGCCTCGATCATCAAGTCCATCGTGGGAGCACATGGAGGTAGAGTCGCCACACGATCACTGTGTTTGCGTCGTTGCCGTGGGGTGATCGCGGCGGCCGTTGGCTCGGAATAATGCATCTTCTGCGTGATGTTCTTGCGCGTCCATGTGGCCGCTATGCGATCATAAAGAGGAATGATGTCCTCTGTGCCTTCCCGAAGCTCATTGGCATCGAAGATGATATTGTGGTGGTGGTAATCAAGCACAAGAGGGATACTGAGCTCCTCGCATATCGGTAACAGGTCGTGGACAGACCAGCTCACATCATCGTTTTCCAGGACCAATCGGTTTTTTATATCCTGGGATAGCAAAGCATAGTTTTCTCTGAATCGATCAAGCGTTGCGGCCTTGTCGCCAAAGACCCCACCCATGTGCAGGATCATGACCGCATCACGGTCTTGCTGCGGGGGCAGCTTGAGCAACTGAAGCATCTCCGAATGATATTCGAGGTCGCGGTAGGAGCTCTCTATGACTTCTCTTCTCGGGGAGCCAAATTGGGTGAACTGCCCAGGGTGAACTGACACACGATGTCCAAGCTCAGCCACTACTCGTCCTGTGTCTGCCAGAACTTCCGACGCAAATGGAGCCAATTTGTATCCATACTCCTTGTGGCTTGCAAATGGAAACATTTCACTGCTGAGCCGCATGAACTTGATACCGTATTTATCATTCCAGCGAATGATCTTCACTAGGTCCCGCGCATTCGCTAGGCCGAGTCCTTCGACGAAGGCTTGTCCGCGCGCAACATCGGCGGGCTTATTGCGGTCCGGTCGGTTCTTGACCGGATGTGCAGGTTGATCGGGGTCTTGAAGGGGGTGCCTGTTTTCCAGGATCGAAGCAATGCGACAGGTGCGGGAGCAGAAGACGGGAGGGGTGGAATACCGGAGGTATGTATTTAGACAGGCCTGTTCGCGTGGGAATTAGTGTTATGTCCACCATGGGAAGGAAGATTTCTTGCGGCGTAACTTACATATCCCAGCCGGCCTTTCCAGGGAAGAGGAAGGTAGCTGCTGTGCACCGGAGGCGGACGCCCAAGGGCCTCCTTCAGCTCGTCCGCCTCAAGCGGAACCTCTACATCTGATTCTGGATCGAGAGAAGCCATGCGTTCCGCTGAGGGTATGTCCTCATTGAGAATATCCACTGGCTTCTCTCCAGACTTGATGTCATCTGCGTTGGCCATGTCGCCGGGACCCTGATAACTCGTTTCTTGACCAATGTTTGAGCGATTTTGCGAGTAAGGGCGATAGTAAGGAATACCCAGCCGCGACAATTGGACTATAGGATGGGCAGCACGCTTGGATGCAAACCCCAGAGAGTTGCGAGCCGCATGAGGAACGGATTTGGTCGTCGCCACGGGAATCGATCGATCGGTGGTTCTCAGTGACGTGTGGCGACCCTGCGGGCCAGCTTCCAAGGAACGGACATATTTGAAAGACAGGTCCTGCAGCCGAACAAGAGACCGCCGAAACATTCGGCTTTGGGGAGTATGAAAGTTGCAGAAGTCAGGGACGGGGCCATGACGCGCTTGATACGCGACGCATCGCTTCCGCGGTGCTTCCGCCCCAATCAAAGCGGCAGAGCTGGTGTGACGGTCACGTCCATCTCCGCTGGGATTCAATCAAGCTTCTGTATCCATCCTAGTACAACCTTGGAACAGAGATCAGATGACATAGTGAACTACCTAGGTATTGAGCCTTGTAGCCCCTCCAGATGTCGGAGGCATCAAATCACCTCTGTATTCAGATGATATCATTGACGCCTCAGGCAGCTATGCAAATCATGCAAATCGAACTCTTCGACTCCAATGCACACATTCGACGCTGGGAACCTCCTTCGACCAAATTTATTTATACGTCTGGAAATACGGAGAGAAATTGATAGGCGATTCGCACCTTAGGACCTATTCCGCCAATTGACTCCAACCAGCATGGATTCAATGCCCCCCATGGATTTGGCTTCGTTCCAGCCTGAATCAATGAAAGCATGGCTGTACTCTGGCACCTCCGGAGGTCTCGAGAACAATTTGAAGTTCAACCCATCCGCTCGTGCACCGCCTGCCCCTCAGGGGAACGAAGTTCTGATCCGAGTCCTATCAGCAGCCTTGAACCCAGTCGATTATAAGTTCCCTGAACTGGGACTGCCAGCGCGTATGCTGATGACCTTCCCTGCATCTCCGGGCATGGACTTTTGCGGTCGTGTAGTCGCGACCGGGCCGCTTGCAAAGCATTTCAAAGAGGATCAATTGGTTCATGGGTGCCCTGCAAGACCAGTCCAGTTTGGCTCGCTTGGGGAGTACATCGTCATAGGAGCAGACAGGATCGGGGCTGTGCCGGAAAACGTCTCAGTCGATCACGCAGCTGCTGTCTCGCTTGCCGGATTGACCGCGTACCAAAGCTTAGATGGGCATGTGAAAGCCGGCGAGAAGGTCCTCATCAACGGAGCTTCTGGCGGCTGCGGGATTTTTGCCGTTCAAATTGCGAAACAGCTGGGATGCCATGTCACAACGACATGCTCCACTCGGAACATCGAGTTGTGTTTGCGCATGGGGGCAGACGCGGTGATTGACTACACCGCGCATAAAGACCTCGTCGCGGAGCTACAAAAACGAAATGAGACTTTCGATTGTATTGTTGACAATGTGGGCTTGCCTGCTGCATTGTACTATCAGTGTCACCACTTCCTCAAGGAAGATGGAGCCTTTGTGCAGGTTGGTGCGTCAAGCCTGGCGACGTTCCTTGGACGAATGGGGTGGCCCTCTTTCCTTGGGGGTGGGCAAAGGAAATTTGTGCCCGTGATGACGCAAATGGACCACAAGAAACTGGCACAGCTCGGAGAGTGGGTGTCTGAGGGCAAGATTCAGATACAGCTCGACAGCGTCTTCGAGTTCCACGAAGCACAGAAAGCTTTTGAGAGGCTTCGATCGGGCCGCGCGAGAGGCAAGATTGTCGTGCATGTCAGCGATCCCCACAACCAGGACATGGAGTCTTTCGGTATTGGGCTTTGATTATGCCCCAAGACATCTCACCCAACCTTCCTATCGCCGGAGTCCCTTATTCGCTCCTTGAAACTACCCGATGCCGGTACATAGACCAAACGGAACTTGAATAGTCCAGCATCATCGGCATACGCGAAAATACCCCAATCTCGAGTTACTTTGATCCCTTATACGCGAACGAAACCTTGCGCCCACATACATCTTTATTCCTATGAGCTCTGCCAAAAACGCCCGCGATTATATCAGTATTATATTGACTTCAAGAAACAAAACGGGAGCATCGCTATCATTATAATCCCAATCCCCACCTGCGTGTATCATTTGGACACGCTATAGACCGGTGAAGACAGGAATACGAGCACCATCGACATATGGATGCATCGAAGAAATCCTCGCCTAGAGAGCTCTCTGTACTGGCAGATCGAGCCTAGCCCTTTGAGAACCGCACATTTTTCCGTTTCCAGATCATGGCCACGGCCAAGATCTGGGCCGCTGAAAACGCACCACACATTTTCATCTGCATACTGTACGCAGTCGCATAAACCTCCCGAACTAGCAACTGGCTTTCCGGGGAGAATGTCATGATTGCCTCGGTGGTTTTCAACAAGGCAGCCAACTCACCAGGCTGCAGGGCGTGTGACAAACGACTCCGTATATAATGGAAGAGAATGGCACTTGAAGCGGCAATTCCCAGCACGCCACCCAACATGCGGAGTTGCATGCCAATCCCCAATGCACTAGACTGATCTTCCATATCCACCACGAGGGACGTAGCCATGTAATATGCGGATACACCGAGGCCAGTTCCCAGCCCAGCCAATACCAAGTACCCAAATTGTCCGAGCCAAAGCTCTGTGGTGGAGGCAATCTCTGAAAACAGGAAGAGGCCGGTCACTTGTATAACCAGGCCAATCAATGCAATATAGGCGAAGGGCATTTTCAGCCGGCCTGCCAAGACAGAGCAAGCTATAATGCCGGTCAGACAGCTCAGCGCAAATGACAGCAATTTGACGCCCGACCCAACCGGTGAGCTTCCGTTGACAATCTGGAACCTTTGCGGGATGGTGATCACACATACGGTCATTGGTAAACCCGTTGTAAAGAATCCACTAGAGATCGACTTGTCAGCCTAGTCCATGAGATGCCACGGTCACGGGGATTACGAACAGTGCCACTCCCATGAAGAGTCGATTGCGTGTCAGCTTCCACGGGAACATTGGAGTTATCTTGAGATCACGGCGACAGATCAACCACTCCCAGCCGATGAACGCAAGCCAAGAGATACCAGAGATCACCAGGAAACTGATCACCAGCCCTGAACTCCACGAGTATTCGAAGTTTCCCTCTTGAAGTGCCGCAATAATGAATGAACAGGCCGTCAGGACGAGGAATGCCCCTAAGGAATCTACTTGATGAAAGGCCGCCTTCATCTTGATCCAAATTGGAGTTGACGTCGATGGCTTGTTTGCTGCCGGCGCTGGATTGGGGAAATGAGCCGGCAAGACGAAGTACAACAATAGTAAACCAACCACACCCGCCGGAACACTGCTGTTGTTAGTTTTGACCAAGACGGAATGAGATGTGCTCACTTCATCAGGAATACCCAGCGCCATTTCCCGTCATTGGCGATGGCACCGCCTACGAGCGGTCCCAGGACTAGGCCCATCGAGACGACTCCGCCGGCGAGGGAGCTGGCTTTGTCATATTGCTCATATGGAAAAAGTCGGAGGATAGAGAATAATGTCAAGGTGTAGATTCCGGCAGCACCAAGGCCTTGAAATGCACGACAGACGACCCTGTATAGACCGATTAGTAAATGTAAAGTCAACCAGCAAAATTCACGTTGACTGACAGTTGACTAAGGGTTTGAGCTCCACCACATCCACCTGAAAACGCAATAAAGATAGTCACGGCAGTCAGCAGAGTTGGTTTTACTCCAAAGATGCCACTAAAGCTTGCCCAGATGATCAGAAACCCTAACGATATGTGAGTTGGGCCAGAGTAGGGATGAAACGGGGAGACAACCTGTGTAGGTAAGAAGATACGAGGTGATGACCCAATTGCTTTGACCAGCAGTTTCGAGGTCGTTTGTAATGGTCACCAGCGACGTGCTTACAATGGTCACCTCAATACTAGTGAGAAAAAGAGGCAGAGCGAGTCTGGAGAGTGTTAACTTGATGATCGAACTCGTCTGCGATCAAGGACTCACCCTGCCATCGCCAGATATAATCGAGCGCCGTGCAATGCACCATCCCATCGGGCAGGAATGCTGTCATCGTGGGATGCGGTGCGCTGGACGGCTTCGTGGGCCTCTTTCTCAGCCATCGGCACGATCGATTCCCCTCGAGATCTGGAAGTAGATTTAGAAAGAGAACATGGGATTTCCTTTCCAAATTCTTTGCTATGGCTGCTGAGGTGTTTATCCCCGGCTGAAGATGTGACGAATACTCTAAGCTGACGACAGGTGCCGGGCTAGCAGCAAGTTGCATATACTAGCTCCCTTGTGCTTCTCCTGTATTCATACTCGACACTCCACCGTGTTGTTTCACAGCCGATAAAATTGCATGAACATGCATGAACGCCACTTTTCGTGTCGTGTCCCAATTTCCGTAAGCCGGCAGCTCAGCTCCCAGGCTGATCGGACATTCAAGACTTCTCATGTTTGGCATTACCATCAATAGCTTGACCCGTAGAAATGTGAGAAGATATGCCATCGTGAAAGTAAAAATGTACGAAGTACTGTCTACTGTATAGTACTAGCACCCCTGGCATCGCGATCCTAGTGTCGAAGATCGGCGATCCCGAACTCTGGCGAGATCTCCAGGGCTCCAGAAAGGGCTGATGTCAACCCTGCAGCGCTCAGACCAGCCAACTCACGTTTGCAGTCAGATTTCTCACGGTAAGATGATCTTGGCAATCCAGCTGTGAAGACCGAGTTTGCCCGTTCCTAACAATAGTCAAATTTCATCGGATTACCTCGGGAGTTTTGTACAGAATCACCCCCAAATTGAGTCCTCCAGGGCTGTAGGGGGGATCTTGTCATGATCTTCGCATCACCCCTAGCATGGTTTCACACTCTCAGTTCAACATTGGAAGGTTCTACATACACTTACTATGCATACTAAGGCAGACTTAGAAGTACACATAGCCTAAGGTCTCCCAAGGGGCCCGTGGCCATGTACCTGAACCGAACCCTATGTTTCACTCGGGCAGCCCCTGTGACAGCGTCAGCTTTCATCCAGAGCGGAAGTTTGATCCTTCTAACCTCGGAACCTTTGAAGCACTGGGATAGAGCATAACCCACCCGTGGATCATTGCCAACCGAACATGACTAAAACGGTATATCTAGCCCTGGAGGTGCGTGTCGCCGCGGACGGACACAGGATAGTAGGATAAATAGATTCGCTTCATATTTTGTGACTGGGGTAAAATCGGAGAGAATGCGCCACATAAGACCTTTATACATATGAACTTGCAAACATACACTAGCCCAGCAAACCGCTGGCCAAAGCCTCCAGATCGCCCAGAGTCTCGATGGACTTGGGGGCCTTGGAGGGCTTCTCGTCGCCCGAGACACGCTGCTTCTTGCTGGGGCGAGGCTCGGGCTCGGACTCCGAGTCGGAGCTGGGGATCTCGAAGGGCACGTGAGGGAGATGTGAGAGACCCTGGAAATCGCCTTCCTCCTCCGCCTCGGCCGCGATCTCGGCACGTTCGCGCGCCTTGCGCTTCTCCTTCTTTTCGCGGCGCTTCTCGCGCATGACTTCCTTGTCCTCGATATCGGCTTGGCGGGTACGCTCGGTCTCCCCCTCGAGGAACTTCTCGCGCTGAGTGTTGGCGTCGCCCTTGGCTTTGAAGGCATCTTCGGATTCCATTTCGTAGACTTCGTGCGCGTTGCCTTCGTCGTCGTAGACGAGCTTCGTACCCTTGCCCTTGAACTTGAGGAGCTTCTTCTTGGACTTGAGAAGCTTCTCGCGTCTCTTGGAATCGATAATGAGGGGATCTTGGCCTTCAATGTGAACCTTCTTGACACCGGTGGTATCCTTCGCGTCGGAGTCGGAATCGGAATCAGAGTCGGATCCAGATGAGTTACCCAGATTCTCGTCACCTGCAGCAAAGCGGCGCTTGACCGAGAGGAAGTCGGCATCCTCGTCAGCTTCGTCGTCGACATCTTTGCTGGCATCCTTGGTGCCATTTTCGATCATCGTGCCATCGTCGTTGATAAGCTTAGAGTAGTGCTCTGCCAATACACCCTGATTGCGACGCTCGAACATACGGTCGTAGCGTGTGCGCACCTCCTTGTCGTCCTTCTTGTCTTTCTTCTCTCCATCCGAATCATCATCACTGGACATGTGTGCCATTCTCCATGACTCGTTCTTCCGCTCCTTTGCGTCGTCACCCTTGATGAACTTGATACGCGGGGCTCCAGGAAGACCGAGACTCTGCGCGTACTCCTCTAAGGGAAGCTCCTTGATCTTGAAAGTCTCCTTGTCCTTTTGAACATAGACTGATTTGACGTAGGAGATGAACGCCTTTTGACCCAGATATTTGAGCTCAGGGTCCTTGAAACACATGTTTTGTAGCTGGTTCTTGACGCTGTGCTGTTTGTTCGCTTTGATGTTGATTCTCACGATGGGAACCTTCTTCTGCTCGAGCTGGCCGAGGAATCCCTTCTCCTCACTGGGGTCTAGGAAAAGCACCGCTCGTCCAACACGCTCATATCGGGCCGTTCGCCCGACACGGTGAATGTATGTGTCAGCGTCTTCGGGGCAGTCCATTTGAATGACCCAGTCGACGGCGGGGAAGTCCAGACCACGCGCAACCACATCGGTGGCAAAGAGGACTGCGTGCTGAGCCTGGGAGAATTTTGTGGTAACGTCAAGGCGACCGCCCTGCTTTTGACGCCCATGCAAATGCAAGAGAGAGATACCGGGCTGTAGATGACGCAGGGCTTCGTAGCAGTAACGGACTTGCTTGCCCGACGATAAAAATACAATAGTTTTGGCTTTGAGGTTGGCGCGAATGAAACTCCAGAGGGTATCGAGCTTTTGGGGCAATGGGATAACAGTGTAGTGTTGTTGAAGGGTGGAGGGGGTAGCTGCGGCGGCGGATTCGTGAACCGAGACATACTCGGGGTCTTGCAAACTCAGTCTAGCCAGGTCACCGACCTTCTTGGTCTGTGTGGCACTGAATAGCATGGTCTGGCGCTCCTTGGGCAGATGGTCGATAATGGCATCCACGGTTTTCTGGAAACCCATGTCCAAAATTCTGTCGGCTTCGTCCAAAACCAGCATCTGCAGATTATTCGTTTCAAACATGGCCGTCTGGTCCAAATGTTGCAACATACGTCCAGGCGTGCAGACCAAGATGTTCATGCGACCCATACGGTCTTGTTCCTCCCGCAGACTCTTTCCGCCGATGATCAGACCCGCGGAAAAGTGGTGGTTTCTTCCAACCTTCCTCAATTGTTCGAAAATCTGGATTGCGAGTTCGCGAGTAGGCGACAGAATGAGCGCGCCGAGGCCGTCGAGTTCGGTCCATTTCTTGCGGTAGAGGTTTTCGATGACGGGGACAAGGAAGGCGAGAGTCTTTCCACTACCCGTCTTAGCTGCACCGAGGATGTCGCGCCCCTTGAGACCATGGCTAATGGCACGCGCCTGGATATCGGTGAGCGTCTTGTAGTGGGAGGCAGAAAGTCCAGAGGCCGTGGGCTCGGAGAGTGGGAGATCGGAGAAGTTTTTGAGTGAGGCTTTGATATCGAGTTCTTCGACCTGCTTCACGAGGTCTGAGATTTGCTCTTCGCCACGCTTTCGCTTCAGGACCCTCCCTGAATCTTGATGGGCCTTGGGCTTGGGCTTGCCTTTCACTCCTCGGGGCGCCATGATACTGTTGAGTTGATCTTGGGAAAATGCGGGCGGTGAAAACATCTTTTTTTTTATCTTCGGAGCATGGCAGAAAGCGGTGGGGAAAGCGGTGAGATCTAGATATAGAGCTTGCCAGTTGGTTATGATTACGGAGTACTCTGTAGTGACTGAGACATCTTCCAAGTAGAATGGAACACGAGCTGCCTCTGATTTTAATTCTTACAAGGACTTCTATTGAAAATGTTTTCAGAATGAGAAAGTAACCAGTACGAAACCTGCACTCTCTCTAGTCGGCGTTCGGCGCTAAGCACGATGACTCAGCACTGATAAGCCCGCCTGCTCTTATCTCATTTGAGCTCCGGTCCTCTCAGCCCAGTGTTTCTCTCCAGTCTACAGTTGTCCCACCATGGCGGACGATGACCAAGACATCTTTGACTCCCTTGAGAGGGAGGCCTCAGACTTCAACAAGGTATGACTCGCGGGGAAAGCACTGAGAATTACCATCACTAACACGCGACAGGATGCCGAGATTGATCGCATCCGCAAGGCATTCAGTCTTGATGCGTAAGTCGAGCCCTTATCAGATGATGGATTCTGTCGTCGCCCTCCCTTTGAATTCCAAAACTGACTTACCACAGATACGCTGTCCTAGATCTGCAACCTGGAGTTCCAGAGAAAGACATCAAAATCCAGTACCGCAAGAAGTCCCTCCTTATTCACCCCGACAAAACTAAGAACCCCGCCGCACCCGATGCGTTTGACCGGCTCAAAAAAGCTCAAACCGCTCTTCTAGACGAAAAGCAACGCACATACCTTGACGAGTGTATCTCTGACGCGCGGCGGCTGTTGATCCGTGAGCATAAGTACACAGTTGACTCCCCCGAGCTGAAGACCGAGGAATTCAAGGTTGAGTGGCGCAAAAAGACCGTCTGGGTGCTTCTAGAGGAGGAGGCGCGCCGTCGACGTCAGCTCAAGGCGCAAATGCAAGAAGAAGGTCGCGAACAGCGCAAAGAAGACGAGGAGATTGAGGCGCGGAAGCGGAAGCGCGAACACGATAAGAAGTGGGAGGATACCCGAGAGGAGCGCATTGGTAGCTGGCGGGATTTCCAAAAGGAGCGCAAGACTGGGGATGAAAAGAAGAAAAAGAAAAAGATGAAGGTGCTGGGATGAATTAGGCAATATCCAATATCCACGAGAATCTACCGAGTTCCACAGATAAGCTGCGGGGACGCGGGGTCCCGGAAGTTAAGAAATCAACGGTTTTCATTTCGAACAGTTGTAGCGAACATTTGAAGTTCATCGAAAAGTCGTTGGTCACATCCCCGCAGTGTGGATCAGTGTCCCCGAGAACCTGTGAATCTGTGGGCTGAACGCTGAACTCCCCCTCCCCAACTCCCGAGGTCTCCCTATCTCTCCTCCCTTTCTCGCGCCATGACTCAATCCGTGAGATCGCCATTGCCTCACGATCACCTCAAACCGTTTCCTCCGCCTGCTGCATCGCAGACTACCGCCGAGCCATTGGACAATGCCCAAGCCGAGGTCAATCACAATGGGGACCTCGACACAACGCCCGAACCCAATGACGTCCCACCCCTCCCCGCTGTTGTCGCCCGAATTCACGCGCGGGTGAAAGCCTTTTTAAATGAGACACACCCCGAGGACTCTTTGCTCGCCTCCGTCCAGCGCCAAACCCGCATCTCACTGGGCGTGGTGTCAAGCGCACTCAAGCGTTATAAACTCTCCGAGCTCTCCGTTTCCTACAATGGAGGCAAGGATTGTCTAGTACTGCTCATTCTGTTTTTGGCCGGCCTGCACCCCGAGAATAATCCCGATGTCCACAATACCGAGACAGAAGCCCAAATAGCCGCTGCGACGTTTATCCCATCCATCTACGCTCTACCACCGGATCCCTTCGACGCTGTCGAAGACTTCGTTGTCACTTCCGCCAAAGCATACCATCTCGCCATCACAAAGTATACAACATTGCCACCCGCTTCAACGCTCCGCTCCAGCTTTGAAGATTACTTGGCGCGACACCCCGGTATTCGGGCGATCTTTGTCGGCACTCGGCGGACAGATCCGCACGGGGCGCAACTGACTCACTTCGACAGAACAGATGGTGGCTGGCCCGACTTCGTGCGGGTGCACCCGGTGATTGATTGGCATTATGCGGAGATTTGGGCATTTATCCGCCATCTGGATTTGAGGTACTGTTCCCTATATGACCAGGGATATACAAGCCTGGGAGGAACATCCGATACGCACCCCAACCCCAAATTACAGAGTGATGGGGATTACCTCCCTGCATACCAGCTCACGGAAGATGTGGAAGAACGGCTGGGGCGGAATTGACTTGGATAGCGTGTTGTCTTTCCTGTGTATAGAACAAGATCATTCCCCTCTTCATAGATTGCACGTTACAGCTACGCTCACTTTACTGGGAGCTTGAACATGAACATTACTAGAAGTCAGTAGCTGGTAAATAATATCATATTCGACTGCGCAATCTTAGCGGCGCGATCGCGTTCTTTCAACGAAGTCTTGGGACATGCGTCTGGAACATACACATATTTCTGAAAACATGCAAAGTCTTATAACTGCGAAAGAAAAAGAAAAAAGAAGAGACCTCATCCATCATCAGCATCTCATCATCCTCAACCGTAATAATAGGAGCGTATTGATATCGTCAATCGTCAATCGTCACTCGTCACTCGTCAATCGTCACTCGTCAATCGTCAATCGTCAATCGTCACTCGTCAATCGTCACTCGTCAATCGTCAATCATAAACCTGGTCATAAAAAGCAAAGTTGAGCCATACATTCTCGTACATTCTGCGAACGGTAAGAGATGTAGTGAGTAATGAAATTGGAAGCCTTCTCGCCAAGGCACCCAGGGATTTTTCCCCCGCAAGGCGAGGATCTATGAAGCATCCCGGACACTTGAAAATGTGTGGGATCTTGTCACACCGGTGGCTAAGCGCACGACCGGATAGGGGAGAGAATAATCATGGGGGATGAATCGGCGGAAGCAGAGCGGGTTCTCTTGTTCTCCTTGCGAGGGGTCGAAGCGTACGAGCATGGCTCCACGGATGTCTCTGGGATGGCAGTCTTGGATGAGCCACCAGAGATATCAGTGCAAGAGCGACGGTCCAGCGAAAGGGATCGCTCGTGATGGCGAGAGGGTATGTCAAGCGCGTTGAGACTCCGCGACGACAGCGAACTATCCCGTGCACTGCTGGATGCCTTCTTCAACCGTGAATGACTGTGAACATGGTTAGCATGTCTCGGATTTGCATGAGACCCAGAGCTGATATGTATACATACCATGGGGAGATTGTGGTGGCTGGGGTCCAGTCTGAGCCTGCTCCAACTGGAGAGACATAGCTGGCTTGAGAGTTTGGAGTGAGGTGAGAGCCACGACGCATCGAAGGAGAGGGAGTAGATCCTTGCACCACCTCGACTGAATAGTTGTACTCCCCTGCACGATAGGCCCGACGCTCATTACTCTGTTGTTTCAAGATCTTCTGAGCCTTGGTATCAGCGAATCGCAGAAGCAACTTCACGCCGTCCTCCTTGGTGACGTTATGGAATTCAGCAAGGACCTTTTCAGCGACCTCGCGGTTTTCGAATCTGTTGGTCAAGGCGTGAAAGTTAGGTTGGAACAAGTAGAATCAAAAGAGATATCTGTTACCGTGCAAATCCCACTTCCTTGCTCACGCCTGTCTTCTCATCCCGACTAATTTTCTCCGACACAACGCGCCATGGCTCGAAATGATTGCGAAGGTCCTGTCCTATGGGTTAGTGTGATTTCATTCGGAGCAATGAGGAGTCAACTCACAGCCTCGGTCCATTCAATTGGGATATTGGTACAATATATGTTCGTAGAAGACCGGTCCTCGAGATCCTTCAGACGAGAGTTGCGAGACTTTTGGGCAAAGCTGGCCTGGTAGCCGAGGTAAAAGAAACCGCGGATGCAGTTCTCGCATGACTCAAAGCTGTAATATTGGACAAATCCGAACCTATCGTGTCGTTAGCATTTATCAGCATCGCTTCCTCCGCGTGGGTGCATACCCCTTGCAAAGACTGGTATCCAGATCCACGATTGCCTTGCAGCGCTCAATCTTTCCGAACCGAGCAGCGTAAGCATGTAACATTTCATCAGTGGTCTCGGGTAGGAAGCCTCGAATGTAGATGTTTGTAATACCCTCCCGGTTCTCCAGGCACTTGGCGAGAGTCAACTCGGAAGGGTTGGTCCACATGGCAGGCACCGCGCGAGGAATGGCGGGATCTTGTTGGGTGAGGGCCTCCAGGTCTTGAATAGCATAACCGCTTGATGTCTTCATCATCTGGAGAGGAAGCGAGAGTGACCCAAACGGGGGAGACATTCCACCGTAAGGGAAACTCCCGACAGAGGACATAGAACCGCTATCAAGAGAGGGCAAGTAAGCAGAAGGATGATAGTATTGAAACTGGCCCGCATTCTCAGTCTGGGGTCCGTTCTGGCCGTCGGACATGTTCCAGCTACCTGGCTTGGCGGGTTTTCCGTCCTGTATATCATAGCCTACCATGTAAGGCCAGGAAGAATATGCACCAGCCATCATGGGACCGACAGTGGGATAGATACCAGTTGAGAGATATGAGAACTGGCCCATTGAATCATTCTGGCCAGAGACAGGATTGGAAACGAAAGATGACACGGTCGGAACACCATTGAAGACGGACGAGTTCGGGACCAGGATGAAAGGGCTGTTGTAGGCACGAGCAGAGCTCGACCAATCCATGTTCGTGTTCATTGGGGCAGAAGCAGCGGTTTTCGAGCCACCGGCCTTGGAGCGAGAGTTTTGCAGGGAGAAACGACTGAACATGTTATTCAAAGCCACATTGCTGCTTTCGCAAGAGCTCGGGTTCGTGGATTGCTGATACCGTGGACCATATGGCGTACGGGGCTCGGCCTGATGGTATTGACCGGACTGGGAGCTTGACGTCTGACCGGATCCCGACGAGCTTGTGTGCTGGGAGCCCTGAAGATGCATCACGGGGCGCCTTGACTGTAAGAAATCATGGTGTCAGTATGCTCTTTGAGGTTAGGCCTCGTTCTATATCTGAGCCGGGACAAACTCCCTCGAGGGAAGAGGAATGCAAGGCAAGAAAGACGTTCTCACATGTATTCCTGTGCCTACTAAATAGACCCCGACAGAATCCGGACGCTATCCCAGATTGTCAGTGGCCCATCTTGGAACCAAAATTGGCAGAATATGAAAAAGGATGGGAATGATCACATACACAGACGCGAATGGGCGGTTCCCTCTGGAGACTGAAGCGTGACCCACGGCCACAGGTAGACGTATCTGACACCGAAAGCTCGAACAGTCAATGCCGAGCGAAAAGGGGGATGGGATGGGAGTAATGGAGATGATGAAGATAGGATGAGAAAAATAAGGGGGAAAGATGAAAGTCACAAGCTACAAGAGGGAAGAGTTGAGGGACAGCAGGAGCTCCGTCACATCAGCCGGGGGAAAGAACGAGAGAGGAAGTCACATGGGGGGAGACCCTCTCTGCACCAGTTTTGGAACATGCACTCTTAGCATGGGAGTCCCTTGTTTTATTTCATCTATTATACCTCGACGCGAATGTTGAGTATTTGGCGGTAAGATGCCGATTGCATCTCTCGGCTGTTCGTTAACTGAGTAGCATGCAACATGAGTCGTAAGAGGGAATTAGTTGTAGCCTTATCCAGACTGCTCCGTAAGCCACTTGTAGACAACTGAGAAGTCTTTCCCGCGGTGCTTCTCTTCAACATCCTTGTATACTTCACGTGCCTGAGCCCCCAGTGCGAGAGGAGTGCCGGACTGTTCTGCAGCCGCAAGAGCCAATCGTAGATCCTTGTGCATCAGACTCACCCCGAAACCACCTTCATATCCCCGCGACGCGGGGGCCGTTTCGACAACACCGGGCACAGGATTGTTGACCTCAGAGGGCCAGCAACGACCGGTCGACGAATTGATCATGTCAGCCAGGGCTTTGGGCTCAAGACCCCACCGAACACCGAGATTCATAGCCTCGGCAGTGGCGATATTGTTCAGAGCCAAGATGTAGTTGTTGGCAAGCTTGCCGGATACTCCAGCACCGGGTTCTCCAAGATGCCAAGCCTTCTTGCCCATCAGAGCGAGAACCCCGCGAATACGCTCAAGGAGCTCCTCTGATTGCGAAGAGGCGCCGAACATGAAGGACAAAGTCCCAGCCCGGGCACCAACCACACCACCGGATACAGGAGCGTCCACGAACCGACCGGTTTGAGTGGTGTGGATCGCATTGGCAATATCCTTGGACGTGGTTGGGTCAATGGTAGATGTATCGATGAAAAGTCGCTCCTGCTCAAGGGATGGGAGTGCCCCGTGTTTTAAAATCGAGTGATAGACGTCGATGACGTGTTGAGACTCTGGAAGGCTAGTGACCATCACCGTCTACATGCAGCAAGGGAAAGTAAGTATAGAGCAAGGCCCAAAAAAAAGCTAGTCATGCCACAGGGCCGCCATGTACTTACCGATTTCTCCGCGACTTCACGGGCATTTTCAGCAAACTCGACCTTTCCTTCATTGGCGCCGGCACCATTGCTGCGTGCAGCCTCCTGGGCTTCATTGGCAAATCTTGTCATCGCATCTTCGTTAATATCGCGCACAATTAGAGTATCGGCTGCGGGAATCTTGGCGCGGAGGTTCTTGGCCATATTGTACCCTTGAACCAGTCAGTCAACGTATCCACTCTGGCTCAAAGCTGCAGATCCCAAACAACCGAGGGTCTCGCAGTTCTTCCCAAACTTACCCATTTGGCCTAGTCCAACAAAGCCCCACGTCGCGTCACGATGCATGGTTGTGGAGAAAGCTCGGGCCGAGGAGGACGGCCAGCGTCGGATATCCGCTGTGCAAGCCTTGAAGGGATTCACCCTCCGCGGGATGCTTAATGTTGTTCGAAGGCTCATGGTCAAGCAATTGAACTGAGCCGTCAAATGTGCGGTGGTATGTGAAAGGGAGCTGTCAATGACGGTGCGTGTGATCGGATGAAGACAGGGATGTGGACAATTTGGACAATTTGGACAGCGCCAGGCTCAATGAAAGTGACACAATCCGAGCTGAGGGGGGATGGGAGCATTTAACCCAAGCCCAGCACCATACCGCATCAGCCGTGGCTTACCGAGCAGCCAGGGGGGAGGGTCCTTGAATTGCGGGGAAGACCCGCTTTGGGAAAGCCGTGGGGAAGCGCTGTCACGTGCGGCACTCAACCTGCCCAGCCCTGGAGGTGGCCCAGGTGTATACTAACTAGTCAGTGAAAGTAGAATTCTCATACTCCAGGTTCATAAGAATATGCAATGTAGACATCAATTGTGAAGTAGAACACCTAAAAATGTAGTTTCACCAACTTCCGCAGAGTGAGTATTATACAGGATGCAGAAGTGCGAACCGACGCTTGAGAAATCAATGGCTCTGTATATGGTCGTTGAAGGGGTATGTAGTATGTAGACCAAACTCCCAAGAATTTCCCGTACACCGAAGAAAGATTGATGCAGAGAAGAAAATAGAAAATAGAAAGTGATGGGTGCGAACGTGGGAGGAATCACCTAGGTGATGCCGGATGGCTGGTTGGCGCCGAGAGATACTCTTCAGGCACCTTGGGCACACGGGGTGAACTAGCGGTTTGTGTCACAGCGCGATGCTGCGCACGGAGGTGATCCCGCTGCCGTTCCTTCTCTCTGTTAGCGGCACCACCAGTCAGTCTCCGCATGCCGCTGCGGATCATTGACTCCAGGGAATGTGGCCCGTCAGTAGCGCTACGGACCATGGGGGCGGGCATTGGATGTAATCGCTTGGTCACTGGGCGTTCTTCTAGATCCGAATGTGCATCATCCGGCTCCTCATCCGACATGAAGGCGGAATCGCCTAGTCCAGGGGCTGGTGTGGTGTTGGGTGCGCCAGGCACGGTGTGGAGGTAGAGGTTGTTGGCAGGGGAAGTGACGGAGCGGGTGTGGGAAGTCGGGCGTAGCAGCTGTGTGGTATTTTGTGGGACTGCACTGATTGGAGAATATGGAGCCGGGCCATCAAAGCGGAAGTTTGGCGGACGAGACTCGGCGAGGCCATTATGGAACGAGGATGTAGACCCCGTGCGAGCGAGGGACTTGCGTAAAATTGGCGCAGTCTGTTGATCGTACAGATGGGCGTTCGTATCTACCACGTAGCTGCCTGTGAACCCTCGTAACATCGGAGGGGCGACGGGATTCAGAACCGGGGTTGCAGGGTCGGTCTCCTCAAAGAAGTCATCCAAGCTATCCAGCTTCTGCACCAGATCTCCAATATTTCCATCGGTCTGCGTGTCGATCGATTTCATGGTATCGGCTCTCATGGGGAAGAATGAATCGCTGCTGTTGTACTCATCTGCATGGAAGGCAACATCCGGAGTCATCACATCCTCATTTTGCATATCTTCAGCCTCAACACAGGTATAGAATACAGCGTGGACATTGTTCCGAGTCATGCTTGACTGAGTCGCGGGCATGGGAACCGACCAACCGGTGGGTTCGGGAATGCCGTAAAGACTCTGGATTCTTTCGTACTCTTTGCGGATAGCGCGAGAGGATGCTGAGGATGCCATACTCATACGGAGATGGTGACGCTCCATAGGGTTCCCGGAAACGGTGATGATATGGTCTAGGACCTCGAGGGCCTGGGGGCAGAGCTCGGTCTGTAAAAGCCGGAGTAACGGGGAGATCAAATCGGGGCCATGACACGTTACTTCGTTGCGTCTCATGTCCACCTCCGGAATCAGAACACAAAGAATCCGCATCACTCTGACACGGAACCAATCTGTGGTGTTTGTCAAAAGACCCATGAGGAAGATCAGGCACTGGAAATCCAGCTGGGGGAAATAGTACAACTTGATCTCGGTGATGATATGATCGAGAAAGACGCCAGCCGTCTTGTACTGCTGATTCGCGAACCCGAACAACGAAGCTGCCAGGCGGGGGCAGCGCTCACTCTCGGCAACCCGCGCGAGTAGGCTAGCACGCTCGATGGGTTTGGGGTCACTGAAGCCTTTTTCGAAGCACTGAAGGAAATGGGGCAAATTGGCCAGCACGGTGAATAGTTGGCGGGTTCCGTCCCCAATGAGGCTGTTGTTGGGCAGACCACTCAGGGTATGCAGGAGATCGAGTGTTCGATCAAAAGAGTCTGATGATTTCATTCCCTTGAAGACGAGGTCCTGTAGGCCATCGAACCCGCCTTCCCACTTAGGTGGCTGACCCTCGAGGAGCTTGGCCACCACTGCTGGATCGCCGAGATCGACTCGGCTGAGGAATTTGTCAAGCATACCGATACTCTCGGTAAACTCTGTCTCGTGGATTGTGTTCAGACAGGCGCAAGTCGTCCAGAACAGCTGAGGGTAATTCAAGAGATCAGAGGGAGCTAGGGAGCTGATGATGATCTTCAAGGTGGTGAGGATCTCCATTGAGAATGTTTGGTAGTCTGTCTCCTCATCTGCAATGGTATTTGAGAGCCGGGCGAGCATGTCTGCGAGCATTCGCGAATCCAAAGACGTCGAAATACAACGGAAGATTTGGAAGGACCGGCAGGCTAAGTGTCGTACTGGGCATGATGTGGCCCAGTTCAACGCTTCCTTGGCCCACAGGTCACCAACACCTTCATAGGCAAAGCTGAAGAATTTGACAACGTCACGAGTGACAGAGGCCATAGAAGCAGGCACGCGACGATCGTCAGACTCTTCATCCTTGCCATGGTTTTCTTCATACTCCCAGACAACAGCAGGGTCACTCTTGCGAATTGATTCCACAAAGTCTTCTACGGCTTGTCGCGCACCAGCAGGGGCATCATCCTCGAGTTTCGCCGCAATCAGTTCGTGAATGAGGTGGACCAGCATCTCTCGGGCTTGTTCCTGCACAGTGACTGTATAATGATCCCACAGAATGAGGACAATGTGGATGAGTTTGACAACGTCTTCGAGGGCCAAAGTGACCGGGGTAACCATGAGGTCAACGAGGAATATCAGCGCCACCTGTCCAAGAGACAGACCCGCTTGCTTGTTTCCGACGGGGAGAACCGTCCCAAGGTCTGCGACGTATGGTAGGCTGGTGATATCTGCAGGAGGTGGAGTCAAATCTTTGCGTTCTTGCACCATGTTCTTAGGCACAACCTGCAACATGAAGAACTCGATGACTTTCGATCCAGCCGGCGTGCCAGACAGGAAGACGACCATTTGTTTAGCGTACTCCACGAAATTCTGCTCTTTGCGCTCCAGACATATGCTGATGATGAAATCAAGGACCAGCTGCACATTGCCCCCATGAGGCCCTGTCGCCAAGGCCTGCCACAGCGCTTGTACCTGGTTTGGTAGAGTTGTGCTGCAGCGAATGGTGATCTCGAACAAATTCGCCAGCAACATGTATGACTTGGCTGTGGGGCCACCATTGGGGTCAACCTGGAGCTCCATTGTCTGAACCCAGGGCAGGATAGCGGCAACCATGTTACGCTGGCTGTCGGGTTGGAGATTGCGGAAATGCAAGGAAAACTCGGAGAAGATAGTGAAAGCCAAGTCGGAGTGCTGGCTTGCTAGTCTTTTCGAAATCTCGAATTGGGCAAGTTTGTACACCGCGGTGGTCTTGTCTGAGATACTGATATCAAAGTCTTGAAGTCGGGAATTCTTTTGCTGTCGTTCTTCAAGCTTCCGCAGAAGTTTTGCAGACTTCATTCGAATCTCCCGCTTTTCGTTGCCCAAGGTCACCAAGACCGCCCCCAAAATTCTCCAAAATCTGAGAGGGTAATCCGGGTACTCGAAAAGCACCTGACTGACTACCTCGATGTAGCTCTCAATTATCTTGGGCCGCTCCGTTACGTAGCACATTTCAATCGATCGCTCCATCAAGTACGAGTGTTCCTGGTTGTGGATGATCAAATTTTTGAGTGCCCGGCGACCAATGGCGTGCCATTTGTCAGTGACGGTGTTGAAGATGATTTCAAGCCATGAAAGCATGCGACTGACGTCGAACTGAAGAACCGAGCCACTTTCGGTAGTGATGCTGATGGGCCCAGCGCACAGGGAAGCCATTGCGCCCAAGGCCGCCGCGCGGAGGTTCTTCTTTTCAATTTCCATAGCAGCAGCAGTGTTTCGCATCTCGCCAGTCTCGTGCGGCTGCGCCATAGCAAACTTGCGCATGTTCTCTTCCCTCTCTGAAATTTTAGCTTGATTGGGTGAGTATCCGCACCAGTCTTCCATCAGGGAAAATGCCGATTTTCGAGCTTCGAAGGGCATCCAGCGAGATGGGTCCTTGGCGCGATTGACTCCCTCGAAGAGTTCCTCCATCAACCCACAGTAATGAAAGCGCAGGCGCTGGAATTCCCAGTCGTTCTGAACCTCGGCGTCACTCAGGAAGATTCGAATATCCTTCGCGTAAGTGACGATGTTATTCACGATCCAGTCCTCGTTGTAGACCTCTGGTTCCTGGAGGAAGTGAGAAGTGAGTTTGTAGACGTTGGTGACTTCTGTCCGCAGACGATCCGTCTTCCTGTTCCGGCGAGGGCTACTGGGACTGCGGAAGTGGTTCCCGATTCGCATCTTTGCTTCTTCGTTACACGTGGTGACAGCGTACTGCAACGACTCAAGAAGAGTGCGATATAGGTTTTTGTGGATGGAGCCTAAAGCCACCACAATGGCGCTGCGGATGGAATCTCGCTCGGCAGAAAGTAGAGGAATAACAAAGGCAAACAAGCTTCGGGCGGAGCTGATCTTGTCTTGAGACTGGTGGGCTCCCTTGGAAGCTTTGCGGGCATGTTGGGCATTCGCCAGCTGGCTTTGGGACTGAGCCCCAACGTTGGTGACAGTGGTACAAGCCATGACCAAGTAAAGCTTCCATTGCTCGACAAGGATCTCGGATGTCACATTGCTTCTGCCAGCGGGGCGGGGCTGATATACATCTAGTTGGCCGTATTGAGGGAATCGTACGCTCTCGGCCAAATGCGTAATAAGTTTGTGCATCTGAACGAGGCGTGCACATACAATCTCCCTTCCCAGAGTTACGGCAAAGGGACAAGTCTCGAAGCTGACACGAATGATGTTTGGGAAGACCTTGGCCCACAAAGTTGAGTCGTAGGATACTTCACTACTACACAGCTCGATAAGAGTGTTTTGCGAGGCGCTCCGTCGTTTCCCTTTCTGGATCCGGCTTCGCTCAGCAACCGTCAGATGTTCATCGTTGACATCTAGGATCTGCTGAGAATCAGCCTCGAGAATCCGAATGATGCGGGTGTTCTCTTTCCCGAGAGCGCTGTCAAATTCGGTTATCAGGCGCAGGACCGTGATAGCAAACGCACGCACTCGTCTCGATTGCGAACACAAAAAGAAGAGACCGTGTGACTCAATTTCTTCCACGTGTGCAAGGACGCTGGACAAATCAAGGTGGAGTGCGCGACTGCCAGATATAGACCGCTCCAGTTGGTCCATCGCTGCTGCGCCTCTGGTTTTCTCTTTAATCTCATTGATCCAGATCTGCAAAAGCTCAACATAGAGCCTCAGAGTAGATTCAATGTGTCCTGGACCAAGCATTCCCTCGTCTGACATGGTAGAATAACGCTCATCGAAGTTGAAGATGAATCTAGCGAATCCGATCGTAACCTGCTGGGCATGTAACTGCCGTGCGATGGCCTTCAGAGACTGGGCCGAGGAAGTCGCGATGTTAGACTGAACATGCGCAGTGCCCGTGCAGAGTAGGTTGATGAGCGAGTTGAAAGGAATGTGGTCGGAAAGACAGCGTGGTAGAGCCTGGACCGCCACGTGGAGGAGGTCGTAGAACCCTTGCTTCTGATCCAAAGTGGTAACATGGTCATCACGACGCCCGAAGCTGAAAGCTTCTGAGATAGGCGTTTTGGGCGTAGTTCCACTGAACTTTTCGTCCAGCACTGCTTGCCCGCCAAACGTGTTATCACAGAGCAGCGTGATCTTTCCCAAGACTTCACAGAATCGAAAGTAATATTCTTTCACATTCTCACTCAGTCTTGCTGTGTTGACTGGTTGCCCTGAGGTTGGGTCTTGCTTTTCGGCATTGTTTACTATAGTGTGCTCCTTGAGTAACTGAGGGCGGTGGAAATACAGGGGCGTCGAGGCCTCCGTGAATGGGTTGGGCAGCGAGCCAGTGGGAATCGGGGGACACAGCTGGTCACTTGTTTCCAGGTCCGACATGGTAGCTAAGAAGGCTCGGATTCCGATGACCATCTTTTCGGGCTCCATCTGCTCTATCCTCAACTCCTTGCCTGACAAGAAAAGATCGGAATTGATCAAGGGGAATATGATATTACGGAAACAAACATCCGGGTGCTTGAAACCGATAATTTGAATCAGCTGGATCAACGGATCGGCAAAGACCGGCTCTGCGCTAAGATACGTTCTCCGGCCGGTGGGTAGGGCGATTTTTGCCACTTCTTCGACCTTGCGAAGTGTGGTCGTTGGGGAGTCAGAGAAACGGAAGAAGTAAGTCCAGACCAGCCGGCAGATTGCGTGGAGCGCCGGGGCGCGAGTTGGCCGGTCCTTTAACCGGGCAGGTAAGCTCGATATCATTGGTAGCCATTGAGAGGAGAATGTATCCTTGTTGGAAATACAAAGTAACAGCACGTTTAGCGAGAATGAAGAGGCCCAATGGCGTGGCTTGGTAAGGAGTTGGGCTAGGCGCGGCTGGACCAAGTCAACGAACTCCTTCCAGCGAGGCAGCGAAAGATCACAACTGGGATTGGCCGCGATGGGCAGCAGTAATTTCTCAATCACGTAACAGTAGGCCTGCTTGATGCGCTGCCCGTGAGCATTGACGAACAAGCGTGCCAGAGAGCGCATAAAGTCACAGGATTTGGGCCATCCTTCTGGCGAAGTAGGCAAGCGCAGGTATCTCATGCAGAGAATTAGCAACTCAGCCTTGGAATCCCCATCACGAGAAGGCCCTCGGGCTGCTTCCTCTTTCTGATAACGGTCCAGCTCCGCCAGGAAGCGTCCCGAGACATTGGAGAAGTTGGACTCGCTCATGATGCCTAATAACTGGCCGTATATTCTCCAATTTGCCATACGTAGTGGGGATGCTGAGATCTGGTCAGGGTCGGAAGTTTTCACTTGGCCGAAGACGATGTCTTCCAGGCGATCCGCCATGTCAAGGGTTATTGAGGCCAAGCTACTCTGGTTGAAGATCTCGATCAGAACTCTACAAACTAAATAGACCGAGACTGTCGCCCGTCTCTCGACCAGAGCAACATCGTCGGGGCGACTGACGAAGGGCGCCGAGGGTTGCGAGCGCTCCGCTGCGGCTGTAGGGTCCATGGGCTGGGTGGGCTCGGTATTACGACGCAGTAAGGGACCATTCTCCGTGGCGGGGGAGGGTTTCTGGTCGGTCGTCATCTGTCGTGCAGTGATGGCCGCATCTCCTTTGGCTTTACGCCAAAACATGATTGTATCAATCAACGGTTTCGGTTTCTGTCGAGCGATGTGTCCCAGTGCTGAAATCAATTGGTCGAATGTTGGGTCCGCCCCAGGGCCGCACACCTCTTCCACAGGAGCTTGAGAGTCTCCCAACTTCATGATGGCTTGATTGATTTTGCTGTCCGCCTGTCCAACAAACGAGTTGAACAAATGGTGCAAAGCATATTCCCCAACCGTCTTTGATTCCGAATGTTTCGACTGCGAGCGACTGTGTGATCTCTCCCGCCGCGCTTTCCCTCCCGAATTCATTCGCTTATGCAGTAGGGCCGCGGGACTCGTATCCATGGGTTCTCTATCGGTATCTTTGATTGGGCTCAGGATTGGCGGCACGCCATGGCCGGCGGATACTGCGGATGTCCCCGCGGGCGTCTGGTAGCCAGAGTGCGTCTCGAGAGGATCAAACTTCGCCGGCAGCGTGGCCTCGTCAAATGCCCCGCGTCCGAGAGACGCGATGAGCTCCGGACTCAGAGGACTGTTGGAGGCGGTCGACCCAGCCATGCTTGTGTTGCGAGAATGTTGCACGCCGTGGACGATCGAGGTCTGCCGGTGGTGCCCGTAGGAATTGGACGGTCGTCGTTCTAAGCCCCCTTCATATCCTGGCCGACTCCCCGGTACATCGGGGCTCTTGGAACCGGAATGGCCGCGCCTAGGTTGAATGGGAGCGAGTGTGGACGGGTCAACGGCTCTTCCACGGACGGCTGAGGATTCGCGGCTGTGCATGGGGGTGGACTGGGCGGTGCGAGTACCTCGCCGGTCGGACGGGGACGCAAGATTATGGTGCGACACGGATCTCAGGTCGTCAGGGATGAGGGGCAGCGTTGTTTGGCCTAAGCCAGCTTTGGCAGGGTTTGAAGCCACTATTCGCATGTTAGAGCCAGTTCAAGGCAGTCTTGGAATCCCCGGGGCCCTTACTTATGACAGTAGTTCCAGCTTCATTGTCTCTAGTTCCAGCTCATGCCAGGGTTCAAGGCTGCTAAGGGGTGCTTCGAGATGAGGTGAGCTTGATGTTTTCCGGGCGCACGGTTAACGAAGGTAGGGACCGTCATTATTAAGCTAGCCATTTCCAAATAAATAGTTACGTCCATATCAACTACCTGGATTTATTTTTTGCGTTTCCAGGTCTGTTCAGGGTTTTCCCCTTCGACCTCCTTGGTTTCAGGGTTCGATCCTCTACAGGTTCCTCCGGAGATCGCGGGAGCCGCACGTTTCACCTCTGTGATACTGCAATCCGCCCGTAAGCTGGCAGCGTATCTGCGAGTACTGCGGACACATCTGATCTATTTCAGTGCCTACGGAGTAGAGACAGACAATACCCTGCAGACCAGTCCTGGCGACTCCAGACTCCGTAGTCTTTTTCGCACAGGGGTTCCTTACACTCTGCATCTGCGGACAGGGCGACTCCATTGCCGCCTTGGCGCCTTCACAAACACATCTACTCCATTCGTCGGAAGCCATGCTGACCGGCATAACAGCGCAAATCCCATTCATAAAATTGACGGAATCAACCTACTCCGGACTGTAGTAGTCTGGCTTAGACTGCGCAGATGCCCATGTGGGTTAGCGCTAATCTGATACGGCGATCACTCTCCTCAAACTGCTAACGGTTGGGATCTCATGTTTCAAACAGTAGATCTCGTCTCTGTTTGGTGGTCGGTTCAATTGAGCCTTGTAGGATCTGGGGTGAAACAGTGCCCAGGTGACTTGAAACACAAGCCTTTCACTTGTCGTATTTGCTGTTCGTCACGATCCCTAGAAGCGGCTGCACCACTTGGCATCCACCTGGGCACGACTACTGGCCTGTACTAGTCCAATGTATTTCTGTGATGGCTGTTGCTTATCTCTGACATCTCTCGCGCATACCTAGGTGAGTTAATTGGCATAATTTTGAGCCGGTTGACCCCTAGGTATTGGAACTCGTAGTATCTCAGATGTATATTTGTGGATGTCGAAGCTGTGGCAATGATGGAATCGACCAACACTGGAAGGTTCCCTTGAAAACTAAGATCAATCAACTGTCCTGGAGCTACCGAGACATACCTAGGCATTATGACGCTTTTTGTAAATTTGATGTTTACTATGTAGGCAATGCGAATGAACAATCCAATCACCGAGACATGCGGCCTCTACGCGTACCTACATAGGTAGACTTAGGCAGTCAGCAACTTAGAAGCCACCTAGGCATACGAACATACTATACACCAAACTCAGAATCTTAGAACTCAAGTTAGATCGCCAGGGACCTCGGGAGGTTACAAGAATGGATGCGGAAATTCCGAACGCTCCGGCTTAATCTAAACGAGTCAAATACCTCGTTTTGTCTTTCTTCCAAGGAGCCTGATACCCGTGTTCTTCATATCACTACTCCGTAGGTCTGGTTCCAAGACCCAAATATCTATTCCCATAAATCGTCTGCTTGACAAAGCAGACGCTATATAGATGAACCAAGCACTTCGATTTTTCATCTGTACTGTTTGCCTCAAATCTGCGATGACTCCAATATTCAAGCTGACGCGACATTTCGTTTCGCTATGTCAACAGTTATACTCCGTAGTATGCCCATCAACGCCATCAGTCCGTCTACCTAGTAATGCTCATATGCTCCGGCTTCGTGCCAGAATCATGGTCCCCTTTCTGCCGCGGGACATGCACAGGGAACCTGCATAAGATGTCTGCGATTGCAGCCAGAAAGCGCAACTTGTGGCATTTCCAAAAGACAAACTCCCTTGACGTAGTCCAAGCCAAGGTTGAGCCGCAAGGACGGAAGCGTTCCGAAGGCGTAGAACGGAAACGAGATATCTCCCGGGTGGTGTTGCCGTTGGCCGTTGCCCCCAACTTACCCGAGCTCCGCCTTTCAACGCGGAGGCAAAACACCGCCAGACCGGAGTGCAAACTGAACGGTACGCTCTTCTGATTGACTGTTTGCATTGCCTCCCCGGTGTGTACAAACCGACTTTGCTCCCGGTGACTCCCTCGGCCATATTTCCCCACATATAAAGGTCGTGGGGACCATTACCTGGTTGCCGTTTTTTTCAGCTTGAGTTTGTTCGCATGTGTCACACGAGGACGGAGTATACCCTACACTACACTACACCACATCGGAGTTTCTTAAAGTCAAGTGAGATTCACAAGCGGTGAAGGCCGAGGTTGCGATCCACACGGAGCCAGGACAAAGTGGATCAGACCACCTTTACTTCTCTCCCTCCTCCCTCCTCCTGATTTGAGGTCATTTAGGGTCTTTCGAGGGTCTCTTTCCAATCCCGGAATTTTTGTACAGTTTTCCCTTCTTGATTTGATTTGTTAATTCCTGTCCATTCTCGGCCGCGGACCACAACTGGGAGCAAACACCCCTGCTCGCTCTCTCCCCCCCCCACCCACAATGGCCCAGCTGGACACTCTCGATTTGGTCGTTTTGGTGGCTCTCTTGGTGGGTAGCGTTGCCTACTTCACCAAGGGTAGCTACTGGGCCGTTCCCAAGGATCCCTACGCCTCCAGCGCCGTCGCGAACAATGCCGCAAAGAGCGGCAAGACCCGCGACATCGTGGAGAAGATGGATGAGACGAACAAGAACTGCGTGATCTTCTATGGATCACAAACTGGTACCGCGGAGGATTATGCCTCCCGTTTGGCAAAGGAAGGCTCTCAGCGCTTTGGCTTGAAGACGATGGTCGCCGACATTGAGGACTATGACTACGAAAACCTGGACAAATTCCCCGAGGACAAGGTCGCATTCTTTGTGCTGGCCACCTACGGTGAGGGCGAACCCACGGACAATGCCGTGGAATTCTATCAATTCTTCACTGGCGAGGATGCCGCCTTTGAGAGCGGTGCCACCGCTGAAGACTCTCCTCTGTCTGCCATGAAATACGTCGCATTTGGCCTCGGAAACAACACCTATGAGCACTACAACGCTATGGTCCGCCAGGTTGACGCTGCGCTGAGCAAGCTTGGTGCGCAGCGCATCGGCACTGCTGGTGAGGGTGACGATGGCGCCGGTACCATGGAGGAAGACTTCCTCGCCTGGAAGGAGCCCATGTGGGCTGCTCTGACCGAGGCCATGGGACTTCAGGAACGCGAAGCTACATACGAAGCGGTTTTCTCTGTCACCGAGGATGAGCTCAAGACCCCCGAGGACGACTCCGTCTATCTGGGTGAACCAACTTCCGCCCACCGGGAGGGCGCGGCCAAGGGTCCCTACTCTGCGCACAACCCTTACGTTGCCCCCATCGTCGAATCCTCCGAATTGTTCACAGTCAAGGACCGCAACTGCCTGCACATGGAAATTAGCATCGCTGGAAGCAACCTCAGCTACCAGACCGGTGACCACATCGCTATCTGGCCCACCAACGCCGGCGCCGAGGTTGATCGTTTCCTTGAAGTTTTTGGAATCACCGAAAAGCGTCACTCCGTGATCAGCATCAAGGGTATTGATGTCACAGCCAAGGTTCCTATCCCGACCCCCACCACCTACGACGCGGCCGTCCGCTACTACATGGAAGTTTGCGCCCCTGTCTCTCGTCAATTTGTCTCAACCCTCGCCGCTTTTGCCCCCGATGAGGAAAGCAAGGCTGAGATCGTTCGCCTCGGTAACGACAAGGATTACTTCCACGAGAAGATTACCAACCAATGTTTCAACATCGCCCAGGCTCTGCAAAGCATCACTCCCAAGCCTTTCACTGCCGTTCCGTTCTCGCTCCTGATTGAGGGTCTTAACAAGCTCCAGCCCCGTTACTATTCTATCTCTTCGTCTTCTCTGGTTCAAAAGGACAAGATCAGCATCACCGCTGTTGTCGAATCCGTCCGCTTGCCTGGTGCGTCACACATGGTCAAGGGTGTCACCACCAACTACCTTCTCGCCCTCAAGCAGAAGCAGAACGGGGACCCGCAACCCGATCCTCACGGCCTGACTTACTCTATCAATGGTCCTCGCAACAAGTACGACGGGATTCACGTGCCCGTCCATGTCCGCCACTCCAACTTCAAGCTCCCCTCTGACCCCTCCAAGCCTATCATCATGGTTGGCCCCGGTACCGGTGTTGCTCCATTCCGCGGTTTCATCCAGGAACGTGCTGCTCTCGCCGCTAAGGGCGAGAATGTTGGAACCACTCTTTTGTTCTTTGGATGTCGCAAGAGCGACGAAGACTTCATCTACCAAGATGAATTCAAGGTAAGCCCTTCTTTCCCTACTTTAACCCCCGGAACCCCAAGCTAACCAATTTATCCTAGACCTGGCAAGAGCAGATGGGCGATTCCCTGAAGATCGTCACTGCCTTTTCTCGCGAGGGATCCCAGAAGGTGTACGTCCAGCACCGCCTCAAGGAGAATGCCACTCTCGTGAGCGAGCTCCTGAAGCAGAAGGCCAACTTTTATGTCTGTGGTGACGCTGCCAACATGGCCCGCGAGGTCAACTTGGTGCTCGGCCACATTATTGCCGAGCAGCGTGGCATGCCCGCGGAGAAGGGCGAGGAGATGGTCAAGCACATGCGCAGCAGCGGCAGCTACCAGGAGGACGTCTGGTCATGAGGTCACGAATGATGAATACTTCTCTGTTCTCGCTTAGACTTTCGAGCGTTTATATTGGCATTTCTTTCGGGTCGGGATTATTTTGTGGCTCTCTTCTCCCCTTTCGTTCCATGTATTCCTACCACTGCCCTATGAGGACTTCCCTTGAGGGACATGTACTGGGGGTTCCGCATTTTGATGTAGACTTTTGATTTAAACCAGAATTTAATGTTATTTCTGAAGCTACCTAGTATGTATCTACAGGACGGGTGCTTGAAAAGGCTCTAGAATAAACAAATACAATTGGTATAGAACTCTTGGCCTTCATTATCCAACGTGAGTTGGAGGAACAAATGTTAGAACGGAGGGTAAAGGCGGTAGAAACAAAAGGCGGGGCTGGAAGCTTACTCATGTTCTGCCAGCAGAATGCAAGAAAGCGATGCGATGAGCGAATGCGGACTCGAGCGTCATGATACACGCATCACGCATCTTGATTTACTTGGCTTTGTTTCCATTCCTCCTCACGCTCGTACAAACTCACATGTTACTCATTTGATTCAGCATTTCCAAACCCATTGCGCCGAAACCCCCCCAAGCCGAGCGCTTACCACCATCATGGCCTACGTTGTGCCTATTCACGGCGCGAGTGCTGTTCGACATGCTGTGAAGCTCAACTTCTTCTCCCCGGATGAAGATTGTCTAGTTGTGGCGTATGTCAAATGCCATACCTACCGCCAGCCTTGGCTGGCCGAATGAGCACACCCGAAGCTAATCCCAACCCCATAGCAAGTCAAATCGTCTCGAGTATTACACGCTCACACCGGATGGTCTCACTCTCACGGCAACCTCCAGGCTGTTTGCGCAAATTCACATGCTAGCAAGACTACCGGCACCCGCAAGCTCACATACCGATCACCTCTTCATCGGCACCGATCAAGATAATTACTTCACCGTGGCATGGGATTCAAGAAGTCAAGAAATCTACACAGCGCGAAGCTGCGTCGATATTGCCGAGCCATCCTCAAGGTCATCTCACTGTTCCCCGCGTTGCCTGGTTGACCCTACTGGCCGATTCATGACACTTGAGATCTACGAGGGGGTGATCGTGGTGGTGCCAATTGTGCAGCCTACGAAGAAGCGAGGCCGGGTATCAACAGCTGCAGTTGATAATTCCCCCAAGGTGGGGGAACTCTCCAAGCCGACCACGTCACGCATCGATGAACTCGTCGTCAGATCCTCTGCTTTCCTGCACTCCGAATCAAATCCGTGGCTAGCACTACTGTATGAGGATAACGCGCAGAAGGTGCGTCTTAGGATCCGTGAGTTGGAATTTACTCCTGGGTCCTCATCGGGATCTCCCCCAGAGGCTACATTCAACGAGGTCCAAGACCTTGAAGGGGGGCAATTCGGACAAGAGCTTGACCTTGGCTCCTCACACTTGATTCCAATTCCCGCACCGCTGGGTGGTTTGATTGTTCTCGGCGAGACGACCATCAAATATATCGACGATAACGCCAATAATGTCCTCACTCGGAACCTCGATGAGGCGGCTGTCTTTGTTGCCTGGGAGAAGATTGATAGCCAGCGTTGGCTTTTGGCTGATGACTACGGGCGACTCTCTTGTCTTTCGTTTATTTTGAATAATCAGGGAGAGATTGATGACTGGAAACTCGATCAACTCGGCACCACCACTCGCGCGGGGGTCCTGGTCTATCTTGGTGGTGGAATGCTGTTTGTTGGCTCTTATCATGGCGACTCACAAGTGCTTCAGTTGAATGATAGCTCTTTCGAGGTCATCCAGGTCCTGTCCAACATCGGACCTATCCTCGATTTCACAGTCATGGACCTTGGAAACCGCACCAACGTGACCCAGACCCATGAATTCTCATCTGGGCAGGCTCGCATTGTGACTGGGTCTGGTGCATTTAGCGATGGTACCCTGCGAAGCGTACGCAGTGGGGTTGGTATGGAGGAACTCGGCTTGTTGGGCGAAATGGAGCACATCACGGGTCTCTGGGGTCTGCAAACCCAGAGTCACACCAATGGTGATTGTTTGGATACCCTGATTGTTACATTTGTGGATGAAACCCGTGTTTTCCGTTTTAGCCCTGACGGTGAAGTCGAGGAACTAGATCAATTCCTTGGGCTTGCACTGACAGAGAACACCCTGTTGACCGCGCGTCTTCCTGGCGATCGAATACTCCAAGTCACGGAAAAGCGAGTGCTGATCGCCGACCTCGAAAGTGGCATGCTCACTTTTGAATGGGAGCCTCAGACTCACAAACACAAGCTGATCACCGCTGCCTCTGCCAACGAGGATAATCTCATTTTGGTTGTCGGTGGCCGTATTGTCGCTTCTTTTGACCTCCAGGACAATGTCAAGTTCATCGCGGATAAAGACTTCGGCGATGACCAGCAGATTTCTGGCTTGACCGTCCCTTCTGAGCCACAGGGAATATTCATCGCTGCATTCCCGCAATCGGCTCAGGTGTCTGTTTTCGCCATCGCTGACTTGGCTGAAATCCACACGAAGTCACTCGGGCCTGCTGGAGAAAGCTTCCCACGATCAGTTCTTGTGGCTCAAGTACTGGCTGATAGCCCGCCGACCCTGTTTGTCTCCATGGCAGATGGCTGCGTTGTAACCTTTGCCTTGAACCCAGAGGACAAATCACTCAGTGGGGACACCAAGCTTGTCCTCGGCTCTGAACAGCCGATCTTCAAGAAACTACCAAAGGGAGATGGTTTGTACAATGTTTTCGCCACCTGCGAGAATCCAAGCCTGATTTACGGCTCGGAGGGTCGCATCATCTACTCTGCCGTGAACTCCGAAGGAGCGACGCGAATCTGCCACCTGAATGCAGAGGCATTCCCCGACGCTATTGCGGTGGCCACCGAAAGAGAGCTCAAGATTGCACTGGTGGATAAGGAACGCACGACACAGATCCAAACTCTACCCATGAACTCAACTGTTCGACGTGTTGCATATTCGCCTTCCGAGAAGGCATTTGGGCTTGGTACCATTGAGCGCACGTTCACAGGTGGTGATGAGGATGTCAAAAGTCACTTTGTTCTCGCTGACGAGATCCTGTTTGGACGGCTTGATTCTGTTGAACTGGGCGCAAACGAGCTCATTGAGAGTGTTATTCGAGCGGAAGTATCTGCTGGCAAAGATGAACACGGCAGACCCGCTTCCAGAGACCGATTTATCGTCGGTACTGCATTCACGGAAGGTGATACGGATGCTGTGGGTGGACGGATTCTTGTTTTGGAAGTCGATCATGGTCGGAAGCTCACTCAGGTTGCTGAGTTGCGGGTTCGGGGTGCTTGTCGGGGCCTTGCCATTATGGGCGATTGCATCGTGGCAGCCCTCATGAAAACGGTATGTGCAACAACTTGATTCCTTGAATCCTACTGACTTTCTCTAGGTTGTTGTTTACAAGATGAAAACCAACAACGTTGGACCGATGAAATTGGAGAAACTTGCCTCGTACCGGACCTCCACCGCACCGGTTGACATCATCGTCGTTGGAAATATGATTGCTGTGGCAGACTTGATGAAGAGTCTGAGTCTTATTCGATATGACCAGGGCAAGAACGGCGAGCCCGATAGCCTTTCAGAAGTCGGCCGCCACTATCAAACCGTGTGGTCTACCGCTGTCGCCTCTTTAGATGACGAGACGTTCCTCCTGAGTGACGCCGAGGGCAATCTTATTGTGCTTTCTTCAAACAAGGAAGGTGTCACCACCCAGGACAAGCATCGTTTGGTTGCGACTAGCGAGATCTCGCTAGGTCAGATGGTAAATCGAATTCGCCCGGTGGACATTCCTCACCTCGCGAGTGTGGCAGTAACACCACGCGCTTTCATGGGAACAGTACGTCCTTCCACATCTTTACCATAGTGGAGCAGATCACTAACTCATCATGCAGGTCGAGGGGTCAATATACCTTTTTGCGGAGATCAACCCGGACCACCAAGACTTCCTCATGAGACTTCAAGCTGTGCTCTCTACGAAGATCAAATCCCTGGGCGATCTTTCATTTGACAGGTTCCGTGGTTTCCGCACCTTGGTCCGCAAAGCCGATGCGCCATACCGATTCGTTGATGGTGAGCTCATTGAGGAGTTCTTGGGCTGCTCTCCGAGTATGCAGCAGGAGATTGTCGATGAGGTTGGATCTGATGATGTCGAAGGGGTCAAGCGGATGATTGAGGCATTGCGTCGGCTTCACTAATTGTACGAATTTGATGACTTTCATGATATGCGATTGTATTTTCAATAGATATGAAAATATACCAAATTATGGTTTCACATCTACGTGATGATCCAGTGTCAACAATTATCTAGGGCTTACAGGTCACTTAGCTGCAAAATGAGACCTCGGGAATCTTGAGGTCGCCATCGAAACGGCAAGGGTCGCGGTATCTTGTCGACGGGTGATAGCCCAATAGGTCAACACTTTGACAGGGGTGTTATTTGCATGATTTGCAGAGGAATCCCCTCATATAAATTTTGTTGAGTCTCGCTGATGGTGCTTGCTGGCTCCAAAGGACCATATGTTCGCGCGTCCCGTTAGGTATGTCGCTTTCTTATATCCTTCCACCCCATTCCCCAAGCTACACAGAAGCATCCGAGTGCGATGCCAGTAGCCAGGTAAAAGACGTGATCTATTCCCTGGCTATAGGCCACCAATACCCCAGGAAGCTCATCCTTGGAGACGACAGCACGGACGTCTCCAGCTCCAGCAGCAATCACAGCGGCCGAGTTACCAGACGAGGCATGTAAACTGAGCGCGGCCTTCAAGCTGTTGATGAAGGTGACTTGACCCAAAGTAAGGAACAACGCTTGACCCATACTTTGGCTAAACGAGAGCATGGATACTCCGATTGAAATCTGCTCTGGTCGAACAGAACTCTGTACAGCAATCATTGGCTATCAAAGTTAGACGATCACGTTCCAGGCCAAATTAGCCGTGAGAGATTTGAGAAAGGATTCTCTCACCGATTGAATGCCAATACCCCGACCCATTCCAAGTATGATTTGGTATCCGATCCAGGTTGCCGTGGGGGTTGAGGGCGAAAAAAGTGATGTTAATCCATTTCCGATAGAAGAAATCGCCCCAGTGGCTATACTGAAGGGAAGATAGTAGCCCACTTTTGCAACTAATGTTTCATCAGCATGAGATAATGTCAAGGAAGGACTGCAAGTGAGTATCATACCCAGAGGTCCGATTGAAATGACAAGAATCAACTGACTGATGGCGTTGGGGAGTAAATAAACGCCACTCATCATGGGCGAGACGCCCTTCACTACCTGGAAATATAAGGGAAGATAATATGATGCACAGGCAGTCATACCGCCCAAGAAAAACAAGAAGAGACACGAGCAGGCCACATTTCTCTGGCATACCATGTGAAGGGGGAAGAGCGCCTTTTCACCGGTGCGGTGTTCCCATGCGAGAAACACCGCGAACATTGCGGCCGAGCCGCAGAAAAGACCAATGACTGTCGAGCTATCCCAGGCAAATTCGTTTCCGCCATAATTGAGCGCCAATAGAAGCTGGATCAACGCGGGTGCAAGAATGAAGAATCCGACGAGGTCCAATTTTTGGCGAATAATTTGGAGAGGCGAGAGCGTGGTGGTATTGCTGCTTGAATTCGGAAGAGTGACGAAGAACATGGCAAGGTTGATTAGACCACCGATTGGGAGATTGATGTAAAAGCCTGTGTGTGGGTGAGTATTAGCTACGAGATAGCCATGAAGAGCCCGGGGATCAGCTTTAAATCACGTACACCATCGCCATGATACATAATCCGTAAGCGCTCCTCCAACCAGGGGCCCAAGGACAAGGCCCAGCTGGGAGACTGAAACGAGAATTTACAGATTAGCGAGGTCGGGGCAATGTAGTATATTCTCAAACTTACCCGCCATAACAGTGCCTAGGGTAGCTGGTAGAACATAGTTAATACAGATGCTTCAATTTGCGCGAGAGTTGGCCGGTACTGGTTGCACATACCAGCTTGTTTCTTCAAAGAAAGAGATCTAGCAATTATCGTCAAAGACCCATTCTGGATGCCCGCGGCTCCAATTCCAGCAACGGCTCGCGCGATGATCAACATTTTTGATGTTGATGCTGTGGCACATAGCAATGACCCAATCTCAAAGATAATCAAGAATACAATATAGGTCCACTGATAAATGTAAGCCCACATTGGCTTCGCTTGAAGGAGCGTATAGCGAAATACCTTTAGGCTGAAGTGTGTGTATATTCTCCCCGTGAGAGGCTGGAGTGATGAGCTAGTTTGCCTATTAGTACAGAGATCGTGCGCAGCCTTCCATGAAATCAGCCACAGGCGCTGACATACCTAGTCAACTGGTACGCGCTACCATACCATGCCACATCTGAGAGTGAATGAAACTGGCTAGTGATAGGTGGAATTGCCTGTGATCGAGTAGTTAGCTTCAAGTTGGGAGCTCGCATATCGGTCTGTATTATCTTGATTCATACTTACTGGAGCAATTATTGAAGCATCCGTGAGTACCAGAAATGAAGCCGAGGTCAAGGTGATCAACAAAAATGCACATTGGAAGGTTGTGAGATTGCCATCTTCTACCACTGGCTGGACTTTGAACTCTTCTATCACTGGCTTGATCTCGATAATTTCAGCATCCTTGGGCACGAGTGCCTCTGTTGAAGCACTATAGTATCTCGTATCCCGTGAAGCCGATAACATGGTCTCTGCCAAACACACGACAATTGAAGATTTGAAGGTTCGTGGGCGCAAGAGCCACCATATCGATCGATCTAAATACCGCCAAGAGTGATAGCAAGATTCAGGCCCACAAAACCCCTTTCTTATGTATGGAGTCTTGACACAAGGGGCAAATGTGATGCCCCACTTGCTTCTTCATGTTTTCGATGTGTCACCCCCTGATTGTACACATGTTCCACTTTTCGGGATTCAACATGCGAGTTCGATGTACGGAGTATGCATTTCCACCTTCTATCCACTGTAATTTCTGAAGACTACCAATACGGTAGGATCATCGGACTGACGCACGAAATCCGGGCAAGTGAGGTGTTAGGAGCGACGGAAATTTTCATCCCCACTAGATCTTCGATTTCCGTTCTGGGTGACTATAGAGTGATTCTAAGACGGGTAACCAACTGCCCGGCATACTCAGCCTGTCTTTGACAGACTGACTTGCCCATCCCTGGGAGATTCGCGCCTCATCATCTTTCCACCTTTGCACCACGGGACTCACCCACTCACCAATGGCTGATGCAGTTTCTTTCACCATCTCAAATGGTACCTGGTGACCAGCACCTTCAATTACTGCTTCCTTCACTTGCGACCTTTTGGCCCCACCGCTTCCCCCTATCCCGGCACCTGTTCGACGCAACATGTTCGCGCGAAGCTTGCTTGTTTGGATCGGGCTGCGGTCTCCAACGACATAGAGAACAGAGGGTCGGACATGATCGAGCATCTTCCACGCAATGACTGCTTCGCTCTTATAGAAGGGGGAAATTTTATTGGCGGGGCCGATCATGTCAGGTTGAAGTAGAGGATCATGCGAAGGCCCCGGATGGACTTGCTCTTGTCCCAAAGGCATATGCGCATCGAAGTTGGGTCGGATGTACTGCAACACTTCTTGGTATTTCGTGCTGGCCAGAGTCACCGGAGGGTCATCCAGCTTGATTGCTGGTGTGTCCGCTGTTTCCAGCTGTGGGTAAAGTATTGTTGGAAGGTCTCGATAACCATTCTGGGACCACAGATCAAAGACGCGTGGGTCCCATTGCTTATGCGCCTTTCGTGCAGCCTTAAGCGCGGCAGATTTTGAGGGCCAGGTGTCTCTGCGCTTGAGTGAAAGCAGTGAAAGCAATGGTCCAAGACCACTAAAGGTGTCTGGTACGATAACCGGCTCAATCAAGACCAAAGATGTGAAGAGGCGAGGATGCATCAGAGACAAAAGGGCGCTTTCAAAATATTAGCAATTTTCGTACAAACCTTGGAATTCCAAAGGAGAAACTCACAGTTGTCCAGCTCCCATACTATGCCCCACGCCGATGATTGGCCGTGGCATTTCAGCTCGGAATTGATTGATCATGCACATTAGATCTCGGCTGTGATCTAACCAGGATGCTGTGCATAGTTAGGTACATGCATCATTCTCGGAACAACAAGGATCTCTCACGGTCATCGCCGAGCGTCGACTCGTTTATCAGGCCGCTGGCGCCAAGATTCGCAGTATCAGCAATCCAGATGGATCCAATTCGAAACCCTTGGTGTTCACTTTGTGCGAGGAGGTCCTCCCATAGTGGCTCATATAGCTCCTGTAACTTTGATTAGCACTGAATTCCCTAATACCATACCTGGCATTTGAAGCCCGAGATAAGGGATTTTACCTTTGGGAAGCCACCGCCGTGAGCGCCAACAATTGTCACGTCGCCCGGTTGGGGAGTCCGGTTCTTGATGGGAACATATTTTTTTACCACGAGCTTGACGGGACTATCTTGCGACACAGTTGCTCGAGGGTACTCGCGAATATATTGCCCATCAATCACATGTTCTGTCACAGCAAAAGGGAACGTTGACGCGGTCATCATGGTCGAGAGCTGGACTTTGGTGTAAACCTCGCAATGCTGCTGAATATCACGGTTCTTTTAAACAAAAGATCTTCACTGAATACAATGTGGAATTTATTCTATACTGTAGACGGAAAGTGCCCTGCCAATTTACATTACCAGAATCTTTTACACTAGCAGAGAGACTAGAAAATAATCCGAGTCTTGGCAGCCAAGCCATCGACTGAAGGATGAAGATCGACAGCTAAATGTGGATCCCTGTAACCGATCTGACCGATCTACTCCGTATTTACGACTCTTGTACGGAGTACTCCGTATTGTTGACGGCGCAAGGATGTGTTGAAGATCGTCGATCTCAAGCTCACACCGAACTCCGCCGAGCTCCATCCGGATTCTATACCAGCTCCAATCATATAGGACTGGGACTGCCGACTCTTTCTATGATTGGGAGAGTTTAAGGGGTTTTGAACACACCTAGTAGACTCCATACTGGCTGAACTATTGTACGGAATGTATCTCCTGTGTCCACTTCACGCCCCAAAGTCTTTCAAGTTGTCGCTCCGCACTCTGGGTCCAGGAGTGATCATTTTCTCGATCGTTCGGCTCCTGAACGTGGACAGAATATATTCTCCGAGTGTCCCGACAAAAATCATTTCCTAGTCTCCATAATATTCGACAAAACTTTACGTTCATACAAATTGAGAAAATGGTATTTCTCGACATCGAACATCAAACAAGCGAAGCACCTACATGGGACAAAATATCATCTACTGCACATTCTGATGCAGAAAGGTGCTGCCAAGAGCACCACTGGGAATTACCGGCCTTCTATCAAACAATTTGGGCGATTGTTTTAAATCGCTTCACCGGATCCCAATGTGTGACGTTTGCTGTCAACACTGCACACAGCAACAGGCTCTCACAGCTATGCGAAAGCACAATCGACCTAGAGACCTCGATGGTCGAGTTGATGGGAAGTCAACATCCGAATATTTCAAACGTGACAAATGCCGATTTGAACTGCGAGACTGGCGTTCTGTTTGACCTGCGTGATGGTGAAAGTTTCAGTGGAAAGGAGTTTCCCTCGCCCCTCCAGACCGTGCTCTGCATCGAGGGTTCTGGAGTATCGTTGCTACACTCCTCGGGCATGCCATCATGGCACGCACAAAATCTCATATCCACTGTCCAAAAAGCGATAGAAGAGATTTTCCAGCACCCCGGTCAATTGATCAAAAACCTCGATCTCTTTAGTGACCGCAACCAAGTGCAATTAAGTCAATGGCATGAGCAACCTCTCGTTGAGAACCTCGCTCCTATGGTAGAAACCATTCAACGGCATGCCTCTGAGCGCCCAACCCACCAAGCAATTTGCGCTTGGGATGGTACTCTCACATACGCCGAGCTGGACAACGTCACTACCCAATTGGCACATCGGCTGCTGGCACTGGGGGTTGGAGAAGGTGACATGGTGCTTTTGGGATTCGAAAAGTCGATGTATACCCATGTGGCCTTAGTTGCAATCCTCAAAGTTGGCGCCATTTTCGTCCCAGTCAGCCCGAAATATCCCATGCCCCGAATCCAAGCGATTGTTGATGCAACGAATCCCCGTCTTGCCTTCACCTCAGCCGAATTCACCTCTATATTTGAAGGAGTTCCGGTGCAAACTGTGGCATTGGATTCAACCTATATTCAAAACTTACCCACGACTGACCAATTTACTCGCACTCTCTCCCCGATTACTCTTGATCAAACGGCGTTCGTGATATTCACATCTGGAAGCACCGGGAAGCCGAAGGGGTGCGACAGCCCGCATCGAGCGCTGGCAGCTATGATCAACCAAGGCCCGGCCTTCCAGATGCATCCCTCCAGTCGGGTGTTGCAATTTGCCCCGACCATTTTCGGCGCGTCCTCAATCGACATGTACCTCCCTCTCCTTGTTGGAGCGACAATTTGCGTTCCGTCACAATACGATTTGATGAACAAACTGGAGGACTCGATGAAGCGCTTCGAGGTGACCTTTGCCTGCATGACCCCATCCGCTGTCAGCAATGTCAATCCCACACAGGTGCCGGGACTGGAAACCTTGTGTCTGGTTGGCGAGTCACTTGGCCAGGCAATCCGAAAGAAATGGGAGACACGGCTGAATCTCAAGTCAGGCTACGGTCTTTCCGAGGGAGTGGGTATCGCCTGTGTGTCCTCCCTGGATTCCTCGACCCATGCGCGGAATATTGGTGTGCCGCCAGTCGCGCGGATTTGGCTTGCAGAACCATCGAATTTCCAGAACCTTGCCCCCGTAGGATCGATCGGCGAGATGATGATTCAAGGGCCATATGTCGGGCATGGATATATCAACGATCCAGAAAAGACATCTGCCGTGTTTTTGAAACCGCCCAAATGGTCCCAGGGTTCGACCGTCGCGAAGAACCCCTCCCGCATCATCAGAACTGGCGATCTAGCAAGATATCAACCTGACGGCTCACTCGTGTACGTTGGTCGTAAGGACACGCAGGTCAAAATCAGGGGAAAACGCGTCGAAGTGGGCGAAGTCGAGGGTGCAATTCGGCTCCACCGGCGGCCTGACGAAGTGGTGATTGTGGAAGCAGCGTGCCCACTAGGGTTGGAAGATACACCTACGATGGTGTGCTTCATTTACTCACCCGATCACCCAGAAAATTCAATTACCTCTCTTTCTGCACTGAGACCCCCGAGTGCTGAATTCCAAGCCCAGGTTGCAGGACTCGATACCCACATGCGCGCGACGCTGCCGGAATGGATGACTCCCAGCGTCTACATGCCACTTGCTTACATCCCGAAGACTGCCTCCGGGAAGACCGATCGTCGCGCTCTGCGACAACTCATTTCGGAAATGACTTGGCAGGAGATGGAAATCTACCTACAGGCTAAGGACGAGCCGCGTGCGGAGCCACAAACCGATGTTGAAAAGCGCATCCACGGGCTTTTTGCTCAAGTTCTTCAGCGTCCTTTGGACTCATTTGGAATCCACGAGCAGTTCCTTCGTCTTGGTGGGGACTCTATTAAGGCTATCGCCCTTGTCCAGCGCTGTAAGAAGGCTGATATGACTCTGAACCTTGCGCAAATCATGGAAACCGGCACAGTTTCCCAGCTCTCCAAGCTAGTGCCCAAGCCCTGGAAGGCTGTTGCAAACAGTATCAATCAGAAGACTTTACCGACAGCTGCCGTTTCTGACCGTTTGAAGGATCTCGGTGTCTCTATGGGGGATGTTGAGGAGACAGGTCTATGTTCTTCCATGCAAGAGGGTATGCTTATCAGTCAATTGAAAAACCCACATCAACACGCGATTCGAGTGCTCTATGACGTCCGTCTGCAGAAAGACGATTCCAACTTGGACATCGACCGATTGAAGATGGCATGGAAGCAACTAACGCAGCGTCATCCCATGTTGCGCACAATTTTCGTGATTAACGTGACATCACAAGTCTTTGCAGTTCGCGTTCAGTTGAGCACGGGCTCATCACCTCGGGTTCATCTATATGAGGAAAAGAGTGGTCAAGACATTCAAAGTCGACGCCAAAATCACCGCCCGCCTACCGCATTGCCACAACTATCGCTGCATGTCACACCTGGTGGTCGAGTCACGGTTGAGCTAGAAATCACTCACGCAGTAACCGATGGCATGTCCATGTCTATCATAACACGCGATCTTAGCATGCTGTATAATGGCCGGCAGCTCCCTCCCTTATCTTTCAAATTCTCTGACTACTTGAATCACCAAATGACGACGCGCAAGCCAGACTCTCTATCATATTGGAAGAAGTACCTGGATGGTCTTGACTCAAGTCAATTCCCAACAATGAACGGCGATGCTTCCGGTCAGGATCTTGTTAAGCCTGATGGTCACGGATTCATGACCGTGCCCGTGGACTTTGGACCTGCAGAGCAATACAAGACTTTTGGACAGGAGACGGGAGTCACATTGGCAAGCGTGGTCAAACTGGCATGGTCCCTTGTTCTGCGTGTGATGTGCCGTACGGACGATGTCTGCTTCGGCTATCTGACAGCCGCTCGTGATGCACCCATCGAGGGTGTGATGGATGGAGTTGGGCCTTTGATCAACCTCATGATATGTCGCCACCAGTTCGAGCAGAACGTCACTGTTCAGCGCGCACTGAAAGCCATCCAGTCGGACTTTGTCAGCAGTTTGCCGCATCGAGACGTGTCCCTTCGTGATATCCGGCGGGTCATGGGCCTGAAGAGCGACGAAGCTATGTTCAATACCTGTATCACACAGTTCCCAATTGCCGGCCAACATGATATGGATGACACGCTCATGTCGCTTCAAGAGGTGGAGCGGGAAGATCCCACCGAGTTTGATATTGGTGTTGAGATTCTGGTCGAGGACGACGAGATCACATCAAAGATCAAAGCTTACACTGAGTTGATTCCGATTGAACAAATCAAACAAGTGGCCTGCTTGTTTGGGCATGCCTTGACGACTATCATCTCGAATTTCCACAGTGATGTGGGCGACCTTGGGCTAGTATCAGACGAGGACCGTGCCATGATCCAAAAGTTGAACAGCAAGGCACCACAGCCTGTGAACCAATGCGCCCATGAAGTTATCCGGGAGATTTCCAAGGCTCAGCCCGCTGCACAGGCTGTGTGTGCTTGGGATGGAAACTGGACATATGAGGAACTGGACCGCGTTTCATCATACCTAGCAAGACGTCTTCAGCTACAAGGGGTGATCCTGGAGGCTTTCGTTCCGGTCTTGATGGAAAAGAGCCGTTGGGTTCCTGTGGTTCTGCTCGCAATTCTGAAATCTGGTGGTGCATTCGTCCTCTTGGACCCCTCGCAGCCCATCTCGCGATTGCAGGGCATCTGTGCCGATCTAAAGCCCGGTATTGTGGTGGCATCACCAGAGCACCAAGCGACTGCGTCGGCAATCGTTGGCAATATCATCACTGTCTCCGACGATGAAAAATTGAGAGATGATACGGAAGAAATCAATCCTCCAGTGGAAGTTGGCCCAAGAAATACAGCATATGCAGTTTTCACATCCGGATCTACAGGCAAGCCAAAGGGGGTGGTTATCGAGCATCGGTCTCTCTGTACAACCGCCGCCGCTATGAGAGTGCATTCCCCCATGAACAGCAACACTCGGATGTACCAGTATGCTTCACATGCATTTGACGTAAGTGTCTTAGATCTCATGATTTGTCTCATGGCCGGAGGATGCCTTTGCATCCCATCTGCCGCGGATAGGCAAAATCGTCTATTGGAGAGTTTGAATGAGTTCAATGCCAATTTCGTGGCCCTAACCCCTACCGTGACTCGGACCTTGCAACCAGAGCGATTGACCTCGCTCAGAACTCTGAATGTTGGCGGAGAGGCACTTTCGCCTTCGGACGTTCAACGCTGGAGTGCGGTACCCCACATTCAGATAATCAATATGTACGGGCCAGCGGAGTGTACAATCAACGTCACAGTCAGTGGTCCCGTTACCCTCCAGACACCCTCTGGAAGTATTGGTTACTCTATGTGCAACTCCCTTGCATGGATTGTGGACCCTCAAAACCATTCCAGGCTGCTCCCAGTTGGAGCAGTTGGTGAACTGGTCATCCAGGGCCCAGTCGTATCTCGCGGCTACCTCAACCAACCAGAACAAACAGCAGAATCTTTCGTTGCACCGCCGGCATGGCTATCACAGTACATGCAGGTAGGACCTGACGAAAGACTGTATAAGACTGGAGACCTTGTCCAGTACGCCCCTTGTGGTTCTCTGTTATACAAAGGACGAAAGGACTTCCAAGTCAAACTTCGTGGTCAACGATTTGAACTTAGTGAAGTTGAAGAGCATCTCCGTCGCGTGTTCCCAAGCGCATCAGATGTCATTGCCGAGGTTGCTGCTCTGCCGCAAGGCAAAACAAAAGCTTTAGCCGCGTTCATCTACAGGAAGGCCTGGGATTCATCCCAGATACCCACCAGTGAGGATAAGGATGTTGATCTGCTCCATCCTCCCTGTGAGGCATTTGACATTGCAGTGAATGAGGCCAGGGCCGCTTTAGCCGATGCACTCCCGAGCTACATGGAGCCCACGATATATCTACCACTGGCTCACATCCCTCGATCGCGTAGTGGTAAAGCTGAGCGTGGTCAGCTACGACAAATGATTACTTTGGGGCTGCATGAGAAGTGGGGGAGCGACGCACACGCTGTGACGGCCAAACAAACACCGCGCAACGAAGCTGAGTCCCTGCTGTGCAGTAGTGTCTCCGAAGTTATTGGTCTTACGGAAGATATGAGCATGAACGACAATTTCTTCCGTCGTGGGGGTGACTCGGTGGCGGCTATGATGTTGGTTGGAATGCTGAGAGAACGAGGTTATCAACTCACTGTTGCACATGTGTTTGAGAACCCTCGCCTAGACGTGTTGGCGACGAAAATGACTCGTGCCACTCTTTCAAGCGGTGCCAACGTTCCTCAACAGTTTGCCCTTCTGGGGGAGGCGGACGGTATTGACTCTCACCGGGCGGCTGTTCGTCAAGCTGCCGAGCAGTGCAAGGTTGCCGAGGACGACATTGAGGATATATATCCTTGTTCCCCCCTTCAACACTCATTCTTCCTCTACAGCACGTTGAAGAAAGGGACACTTCTTGCCAGATTTGCGTACAACCTGCGCCCATCCGTTGATCTTGATCTGCTGCGAAAGGCTTGGGACAATGTCACCAAGGCACACCCGCAATTGCGGACGAGGATCATCCGAGTCGAGGGTCAGGATACTATGCATCAGGCAGTTCTCCGCCGTGGGGCTGAAATGGAGTATTACCAGCCTCCCACCGAGGACTTGTCCGATTACGTTCCCGACCTGCCAATCGAACCTGCCCCCGGAAAGCCTTTGTTAAGGGTTGCTCTTTTGCGTCGACCGCGATCTGACCAGCACCGTTTCCTCGTCAGCCTTCAACACTCTCTATATGATGGTTGGTCTCTGATGCTGCTGATGCAAGAGCTAGAAAAAGCCTACGCTGGCGTCTGTTTGCCGCATACCCCTGTCTCTCCTTTCATCGGGTATTTGGAAAAGACCGAAAATGCGGCTAAGACATTTTGGACTGAGCAGCTACAAGATTTGCGAGCTTCCTTCTTCCCCGAGCTACCGTCACCGACCCATACTCCCCACCCGAGCGAGGTTTTGACCCGAAGCGTGGAGATTCCAAAAGTTGAATCACCTCAAATTACACTTTCTACCAAAATTCGCTGGGCGTGGGCCCAGGTGATTTCTCACCTCACTAGCAACTCAGAGGTGGCGATCGGAATGGGTACAGCTGGACGAGGAACCCCAGTCACGGGGATCGAGAAGATGGTTGCGCCAACAATGGCCATTTTCCCTTACCGTCTTCACATCGATGGAACTCAATCCGTCATCAGTGCGCTCCATGACGCTCAGCATCAGTACAGCCAGATCCTGCCGCACGAGCATTACGGCAACCCAAATATCTGTCGACTGGCAACTGGTCCAACACCTGCTGCAGCATTGCAAACGCTCCTCATTGTTCAGCCCAAGGGACCCGAGGCCCCGTCCACGCTGTACTCTGAGCAAGAGCTTCTCCCACAGACTGGGGCATTCCATGTTCGTGCACTGACGCTCCACTGCCACCTCCAGGAGTCGTCGGTTGAGACCCTCGCCTGCTACGATAAGGCGGCAATCTCAGAGGAAGAGATGCTTCGCGCTATTCACTTGTTCGACAGGGTCTTTGAACAGATTTGCATGGAACCTGATACCCTTGTTGGAGACTTACACAAGGCTCTGTTTGCGTGATATACTCCGTACGAGGTTGAAAATCACAATCTTTCCATTTGGGATTTGGGATATTGCAAGCCATCGTGGACCACTTCCTGGTCGGAAGAAATCCGCCCAATACAAAGCCCACCTGGCATCATACAGCAGAATGATAGAAATTTACACCCAAGTTCGTGTTCAGTCATTCCAGGGCTGCGAGACCTCTGGATACATAAGATCGTAGATCCCGTCTTATAACTCGAAGATCTTAGATCGGGCTGCCACCATCATAGCTACCCAAATATCCCGGCATTTGCTTGTCGTAAACCCAGGTCGGTAAGTCCATGGATGTGTAGTCCAAGAATTTTGCCTGCCGAGCCCAGCTACTCATGATGTTCTCGAAGCCATTGAAATCCATGGATGCACTTGTGACCTCGGGAGTGGACCTGACGTGCAATGCTTAATTTACTGTCGGCTATTCTAACCTTGAAATACTCGGGGGGGTCGTGAATAATAAGAGATCATATTTTCCACGTCCATTGGTGGATATTGGCTGCGGGCTGCGGGGATACCTATTGGCTATCTGTAGTAGATGCTCAGTGTCTGAATATCCATGGATATTTGCGCAACGGGTATATATTCTGAACCGATCCGGGATCAACTTTATGATGCCTTGGGGTAAAGAAAACAGGACTCTCCGTGTGCTTGGCCATGCCGAGGCTGTAGCGAAGCGGGTGCCGGGATTGGATCGTGCCCAGGTGGCTTTCACGATGAACTGCATAATAATCTCCACTGTGTACAATATCGGAGATTTCGGCGACCCTGCAGATTACGGGGGTTTTGCAACGGCAGAAAATACCCTGTTCGAAGGGATCAGGGCGAGGACGCGTTCGCCGAGCCGTTCATTGGGTCGGCGGTCGGGGCTACCCTGTTTGGGATGAACCCCCGAACTCAGCCATCGCGATCAGCTGGATAGATTTGGACAATTAACCCTCGACAAGCCGACCTCGTTAGATGTAATAATCATGTTTCGCATCATCTGAGAATTTTCAAAGACTGGAATTTCCAAAATCGTCCACGGGTACCCGGGTAGGCCGGAGAAAGGATAAGCAGACACCAAGCCCGGGATAAATAAATAGGCAATGCGAAGCTTTTTTTTTAGGTTCCTGGCGCTAGCCCCGTTTCGGTTAGGACGACATCACCACGTGTGGCTGTGGCGATCTGAAATGTCTTGTCCCATTCCACTTGTGTCTTGTATCGCCCCGGCCGAATCTCATCGCCAATGCCCGGATTCCGGAGTCTGCGGACTTTTGCTGTTCCTGGAACCCAGTGCCGCGGGCCTGGAAGCGCCCCGATATGCTGACACTCGCGCTTAGGTGTTCTATTGGCTTCGATCTACTTATCGCTTATTTATTCCCTGAAGAAAGATGTACCGCGTTACTTCGTATGGATTCTGGGGCTTGAAGGTGCGGCTTTCGGGACCGCCGGTGTCCGCAGTGTTTGGAGGCGAAGTCTACGAGTATATGAGCCGACCGATCACCAGGATATTTTGTTTCTGTTCTTGCACTCATTCTCGATCAATAATTGTGAGATCGAGTCTTTGATTCCCGGGCTGTGCAGTCCCTGAATATTTCTCTGGAGTCTTCAAGGGGTGACCCTTTAGATACTCGAATATGCATCTCTGGTCTGTCTTAGGGCTAGCAGGCCTGTCGGTAGCCTCCGCGATTTCCAGCGCTGCCGTTCCGGCCACCACGACAACTACCGTTGCTACGACTACTTCGGCTGTGAATACTGTGAAAACGGGCTCTACCTCGACGTCTTCAAGTATGGGTCCCGAACACTGGAGGATATAATATACATTTAGCTAACCCCTTCCTAGCCTCCACGACCGCCGTCACTGTTGCAACAGATAGTAATGGTCAGTTCACCGCGATTGGTGACGCCATAGCCTATGCACAAACCCATGCTATCTCGACGGTGACAGTCCTTGCGGGTACATATACCCAAGCTGTGACTGTATCTGCGACTCCAACCGTGACTGTTATTGGCCAGAGCGATGTGACCGACGACTACAACCAGAACAAGGTCACTATCACCAATAGTGGTACTGTTGTGACCATCAACAACAATGTTAAGCAAGTGAGCTTCAAGAACTTGAACTTCGTCAACACTGCATCTGCCTCTGGTGTCATGACGTTGAAGGGAAACAAGTACGCCTTCTACGACTGCCAGATTGTTTCAACCGGAACACTAGGAATCACCGCCAGTGTTGGTCTTGGAATGATCGCCAATTCCTACCTCGAGGCTGTGGATAAGGTCATCTATGGTGGTGCGAATATTTATGTGTACAACACTGAAATCGTGCCTGTGGCCAGCTCCGCGCTTCTTGCGTACATGAAGGGCACCACCCAAACCACCACTTCAACGCTGTACAACTCCACTGTTGTGTTTGATCATGTCACAGTCGCCGCCAAATCTGGATCGTCGATCAGCAATGTCGCGTTGGCCTCTGCTAACGGGGCTGGAATGGTTGTACTTTATCGCAACTCGGCTCTCGGTAGCTTGATCGCAGCGACCGGCGCCCACGTCGACACCACCACTCAGGATGGGTTTAATCTGATTACAGAGTACGCCAATACTGGATTGGGCAGCTACTCAAGCAACGCTGTGAATCGGGCAAAGTATGTTTCGATTCTCGACGCGTCGTCGTTGTCACAGTACAGCGTTGGTTCCGTGTTTGCCGCCGCCTACCCCAGCTATGCTTCCGCTGGTGCCACTTGGGTTGACTCCGCGGTTTTGGCTGCCATCGACAGCGCGGATGTGATCAATACCTCCACGTCCACCTCATCCGTCGCTTCTGCCACCTCTCTCGCGTCTTCAACCACTTCTGCACAGACAGTCATCGCCACCGCAACTATTGCAGCCACCGCAACCTCTACGTTAGTCGTGAACCCAACTGCCGGCCCCTACAAGAATGTCACCGCTGCGATCGCTGCTCTCCCCAGTGATGGCAATGAGTACACTATTTATGTTATGGCTGGAACCTACAACGAACAGATCTCGGTCACCCGCAAAGGTAAAACCATTCTTCGCGGTGAAACCGCCTTTGAGAACGATTACACTCAGAACAAAGTCACTATCTCTTACTCCAATGGTGTTTTAACCAGTGCCAACAAGAATGAAGATACGCCGGTGGTCAATGCGAAGAACACCGATGGCAAAGGTCTAGCCATCTACAACATCAACTTCCAAAACACCTTCCCTCAGACTACAAACACCGCCGCCCTCGCTGCCGACTTCTATGGTACCGTGCAGTCGTACGGCTGTTCCTACATTGGCTACCAAGACACCCTCCTTGCGAACAAAGGCACCCAGGTCTTCTCAAACTGCTACATCGAGGGCTCTATCGACTTCATTTGGGGTTTCTCGACAGCATACTTCTACCAGTCAGTCATAGCAACTAACACTGGTGGCTCTTGTATCGCCGCAATGAGCCGTTCCTCCTCTACTGCAACTGGAGGGTATGTGTTTGACAGCTGTCTTGTCACATACACCTCCAGCTACGGCAGCACATATCAGAACACTTGGCTCGGCAGACCCTACTCCTCATATAGCCGCGTTGTCTACATGAACTCATATCTCGATAAGCACATCAACCCTGCAGGCTGGCATGTGTGGTCTACCAGCTCCCCTCAAACTGACAATGTGATATTTGGGGAGTTCAATAACAGCGGCCCAGGAAGCTGGTCCAGCAGCCGTGCATCATTTGCTACAAATCTCACCGAGGCCCAGGCAGAAACCTACCAGCTGTCAAACTGGGTAGGGGGAACTGCTTGGCTCGATATGGATGCGTATGCCTACGTCCCGTCCTATGACGTTACTGGTGGTGCGAAAACCACTGCCACTGCCACCACTTCGACAACTTCCACAGTAGCGACAGCTGCATCGACTGCCTCTGCAGTTTGGGCGCACCCTAGCAGTGGTACTAATCCCCCAGCTGGTGCTGTGCTGGTCAGTGTTTCTGGGTCTGTCAATGGATCTTATGGCAATCTCACCGATGCCCTTGCCTCTCTCCCAGATGATACAACCACACAGATTATCTTCATGTATGCCGGAACATACGAAGAGCAAGTCCCCAGCATCAACCGGAATGGTCCAGTGATGATCATTGGCTACACTTCTGGCAACCCCGGCCAGAGTTATACCGACAATGAAGTCACAATCACTTTTGCGCGTGGACTTTCAGTCTCACCCCTCCCCACAGGTCATTCCGACGCTGAGACAGCAACTGTTGCTACCGCGTCAACCAAGATTGCCTTCTACAATGTCAACATAATCAACTCGGATAACCTTGATGGCTCGGAGTCGTCTTATGTCACTCTTGCTGCGTCCATCTATGGTAATCACGTTGCATTCTATGGTGTGTCCTCCCAACTCCCTTGACATCCTCTTCGTATCATATTCAAGCTAAACATTCATAAAGGCGTTTATCTCCAGGGATGGCAAGATACTCTTCTGACAGGCGCCAAGACTGGATACCAATATTATGAGTCTTCTTACATCGAGGGCGCGATTGACTTTATCTGGGGATACTCGAAGGCTTACTTCAAGGGCTGCACCATCGGCGCCAAGAAGGCAAAGTCTGCAATCACAGCACAAAGCCGAGCCTCGGCCAGCGCTATCGGTGGTTACGTGTTCGACCAAACACTCTTCACTGCAGCCGCCGATGCTACTGTGGATCTCACGCAGACGGTCTATCTTGGTCGTCCCTACTCCCAGTATGCTTCTGTTGTGGTCAAGAACTCGTACCTCGCAGATGTGATCAATCCATCCGGATGGAAGGTGTGGTCAGCAAGCGACCCACGAACTTCTGGGGTCACCTTCGCTGAATTCAACAATACGGGCCCAGGTAATTGGGAAAACAATGCGGCTGCTCGTGAGGCGTTTGGATACGCTACGCTACTAACGGAGGATACTTACTCCCTAGCCAGCGTTATGGATTCTACTGACTGGATTGATATGACCTACTGGGACTCTATCAGCACTCCAAGTTCTGTTTTCAAGGCTGTCACCACAACAGCTACTGCAACCTCGGCGGCAGTTGCCACACCAAGCGCCACAGCAGCGTATGATGGAACCACTCCTCCCTCCGGTGCATACATTGTATCAAAGACAGATCTTGGAACCAACGGGACTGTCTACGATACCATCCAAAGCGCCCTCAATGCAATTCCAACTTCCTCAAAGATCACACCCACCATTTTCATCTACCCCGGTACATATGAGGAGCAGCTTGTTGTCAGCAAGTCTGGCTCTGTTGTTTTCGTGGGCTACTCTGAGTCCACCTACGACTATTCCCAGAACCAGGTCACCATCCAGTACAACCATGGCATTGACACCGGTGCAGACCAGTCCAATTCTGACGGTGCCACCGTTTATGCCACCGGGAATTACTTCCAAGTAAGTTCCGTGTTTCAATTCAATAAGTTTGGGAGACGCTCACACTTATACAGGCCATGAACATCAATTTTGTCAACAACAACGGTACTCAGAAAGACATTGCTACTCTCGGATTTGCCGTCAGGTCAAGCAAATACGCCAGCCTCTACGGTAAGACTCCATATCTCCTCTCCTTCGACAATAACCGAATGTGATTCTGATGACATTAAATACAGGATGTCAGGTGAAAGGAAACCAAGACGCTCTTTTGATTAACGGCAACCTTTTCATGAGCAACGGATATGTCGAGGGTAACATTGACATGATCTGGGGTAGTGGCTCCGGTTACTTCTTGAATACAACCATCTCACCAAACGAGGATGGAATCAATCTTACTGCAGACAAGCGAGCTACAAGCTCTACCGCTGGAGGATTTGTGTTTGACCAGTGCATAATCATCCCGTCCACCGGTGCCGGGTCTATGTTCGAAATTTCACTCGGCAGGCCATGGAGCCAGTATGCACGGGTTGCATACATTGACAGTTACCTTGGCTCCTGCGTTGAAGCTGCTGGCTGGGAGCAATGGTCTACTTCTAGTCCGCAGACCTCCGGCGTGACATTTGCCGAATACGGAAACTATGGCCCTGGCTCTAGTACTTCGAAACGTGCTTCATTTGCCTCTCAGCTCGACGACACCAGTGTTGCCCAGTTCGAATTGTCTGCCTTCTTTGCTACTACCTCTTGGATTGACTTTACCCATGTGTTTGGTACACCTTTCGTGCCGGGAACAGCCGTCACCACAGTCCCCGTCTCGAGCACTGCTATGAGTACCGCTGTCGTGACCGCAAGTTCTTCGGCAATTGTTTCTGTTCCTACGTCGACAATCACACTCACAGTGGATGTGACGTCTACTTCAACGACCGCAGCATTTATCACGGTCACTCCTGCTGATCAGACATCGACTGTGAAATCCACCGTTACCTTGACTATCACACCGGAGGACGTGACAAAGACATCAACCCTCAAGTCCACTGTCACCAGCACACAAATTCTAACAGAGCCAACCACAACCTCCACTAAGATTTCTGTCATGACGATTGATATCGGGAGCACAATTACACCTGATGCAAAGACTGTCACCAAGACCAGTAAGGCAACAACGACGAACACAGTCACAGTCACTGGGAAAAACACCACCAAAACGATCAAGAGCACTGTAACCTCGACATCAACTGTTGCCGCCCATGCGTCAACTATTACCAGTAAAGAGACATCAACTGTGACGAGCGTCAAAACAACCAGTGCCAAGGCAGGAAAGACTACCTCCGTTGCAACAATCACAGTTGGAACCGGAGGAACGACAACCGTTAGTGCGAAGGCCACCACTGAAGTCATTACTTCCACTTCTACCAAAACCAGTATCAAGACTGTGACCACTACTGTCAGCTGTGACTCTACTGCTAAGCGGATGAAGCGGGACATCTTGCCCCGAGCTAACGCCGCCACTGTGACTGACTATGTCACGGAAATGGCATACGTTACCAAGACTTCCACCACAACTATGCCCCGTGCCACCGATTATATCACCGATGTCACGACCAAAACAACTCAGCTCAAGGCAGCGACAACCACACAGATCATCACATCTGTCGCCACTAAGCTTTCCACAAGCACCATTCCAGCCGTCACTTCGATCACTACCGTGACTGACACAACCTCCGTAGGAAAGACAACAACCCTGAAGGCTACCACTGTCACCAGCATTGTTACTGCTCTGGCCACCAAGCAGTCCACCGAGACTCTCCCGGGTCAAACCGTCACAGTTGTGAGCCTCAAGACAGCTACTGTGAAAAGTACGTTGGCATTGCCTGCTACTACAACCACCATCATTGTCACATCGACCATGAAGAGTACTACCACGCTCCCGGCCTCGACTAGCACTGTCATCAAGACTTCGACTTTGACCAATACGCCTTCTGTCACTATCACAGATCGTGCAACAGTGACTTCTACCAAGGCCGTCAAGACGACCTCTACCAGTATTGTCACTGCTACCAAGACCGCAAAGTGCTCTTGATGATGGCTCTCTATCCTTGTCCTTGATCTTCATATCAAGTTCATTTCACTCTTTGACTCCTTTTCCTTCTTCCTTTATTCTCTTTTTCGTGATCATTACCTTACTTTTCTTTGTCTTTATTTAAATATACAATGTTAATGAAATCCTAATGATGACTAAAAACATTCTGCTTAAACCAAATATAGGTGAATTAATATATTCAGTAACTAATGTAACACACCGCACTGATATTTCTTTTGTGAAAATTAAGTGAAAACGAACCTCGGGAAAGAGAAAGGCTGATCAGGGAATACTCACCTGGGTAGCCTCAGTCCACGGTATTGTAGTTTTCTTTTGCGCAAACGGAACCTCGGAATAGTTGCTCAAAATTGTTTTTCAAAAAATTTGATGTAATTTAATTGTCCATGCAACATGTCTGGAACCGATTGAAAGGTTTTCCCTCAGTCTGCAATATAACGCCACAATTCTTTCTAAGGGGTCACCCCCAGTCTCAGAACCTTCCACTAACCTTGGAATGGGGTCCACGACTGCGACTCTTCCACGCGCCGTTCAGTGAACCGCTGAGTTGGCGAATATCAGGAAAAATTGACCGCTTGATGATTTTGCCAATTCAATTCATCACTCCAATATTAAGAGGATGCTTCCAAGATCAAAGATCAGGGATAGGCTTCCTGACCGCAGGTACATACTATCCCCCGAAATCAGAGGCTGCCCAGGTGACGATCAAATACACTATAGGGAGTAACTCACTGGGTAGATCCTGACTTCCTCAAGGTTCCAGACACCACTCGTGGCGTATATGTCGTTGTTAATCATCTTTTGAACCTCTTCGACGTTCTCGCCCGTGTAAACAACCACACTTCCTAGGAACTTTGAATCTTCCCCTTCCTGGGGGTGTTTTTCGAAAATTGCGCCTATCATAGGCATGGTCAGTCTTCTGGATCATCCAGATCAATACTATACTAGGTATTCAGTCACTGGCCTACCTACCTCCATCCACAAGACTTCCCTGGGCGATCAATGGTTGAATCCCTTGGTAGTGGCCACTTCGGCTAGCGGTCAGCCCGAGATATGTTTGCGACGAATGTCCTTTCCTTACCCCTTGACCTTTTTCCGCAACGCTAGTACGTTAGGATTATCTGGTAAGATGCAAAGAAACTCGCGTTTCTTTTGTTGACTATCCGTCGTCAGACTTTTCGGGAAATAGACGCGGGATCGACCTGAGACGCGAGTTAGAGCATTGCTAGCTCGTGGTATGGATCGATTGAGCAACATGTTCGCAGTGGCTGTATCGTTTTCTGAGAACGCTTGGATGATTTCCAGGTTGTAATATATACATGGTTCGGAGGTCGGGAGGAGGTCACCGACGTTGCTTACCCACGCGCTGGGTGTCGGAACGTTGTTCCGACATCGACCCTCGGAACACCGCGATGTGGCATGCTCATTGATCATTTCATGATCTATAGATAGAGTACGCAGGGGCAGAACGTCCAAGGGTCGGGTGGGGTTTCAGTATGGTAAGGGTATCCAATTTAGGACTGGTGGATATTAGTCAGATTGGCAGAAAACATAATTACCTGAAATACCATTACCCGGCAAAGAAGCAAACAGGGCAAACTGTGCAAATAATGTAAACAATCTATCCCATTTCTCTTCCCCAACACCCCCTAACTACCGCGCCCGCTGCCCAAATGCCCTAGGGCTCGCTACCTCTGTAGTAAGTATACTGTCGCCCGGGGGCCCCTGCTGTCGCTCCTGTCCGTCTCTAAGTCTGACTGTTACCATTGCAGCCGTTACTTCAAATCGAGCTTATCTATTTTAACTGTACCCAGGATATTACTCTACGTGAGGATAGTTAGTGAAGTGAAGCTTTCTGTAAGGAAGTTTTGGTTACTGACTGGCTTCAGGGATTTGATAAGGATCGGGGCCTATATACAGCCCTGGAGGTAAATGAATAGCTTCGTGGTGGGAGATACTATTTACAATACACTGTATAGGGCGGTGGATAGTATAATACACACTAGGTCCATGAAGGGTAACGTTACTGTACTGAAGCCCCACCCGACCCTTGGACGTTCTGCCCCTGCGTAGATAGAGCTAGGTAAGCGTTGCACCATAAACGTGCGTCGAACATTCTTTGGTCTCATTTTGGTCTCATTGCCTAGGTATTTAGGCTATCGCACTTGGAGAGAAGAGAAACCTGGGAGAAAGGGGTGGTGGCCTGAGGCACCAACAAGGTAATTGTCGGACGCGGGCTACCGAAATGTCCACTGGGCGTTATAGTACCCTATGATCTAGATTTTGATCTTACCAGTGTGAATCAACCCTTTTTGTCTGATCCAAGTAGTTTCTCTAAAGGAAAGGACTCGCAGCGAATATCCGTTGGCACCGGCCCCGAGCCTGGGTCGTGATGGTGAAACCTCCATTCTTCTACATGTCTTCAGGGACCTAAAGAATACCATGCAGATGATTTGAGTACGGTTTCTCCTTGATGAATTTACCTGGGCAGTCGCACGGAAGGCTGTCCAGGTGTTCTATATACTTGGACGGAACCTGACCCTTCGGAACTTTTCAAATGTTGGAACGTCTCAGCATGACTCATTCATTACTTACAGTGGCATTTTAACTTCTGACAGATGTTTGAGGTGTCTATATAGCTGACGAGTGGGAAACCTAGTAGAGCCTGCAACCATGGGATCTGGAATTGAGCAATCGGGGGCGCAGTCAGAATTGGGGGGCGGCACCGATCCCTGGGCTGTGATCCCTTCCTTCTAGCTCGTCTTTTTCATTTCACATCCTTCACCCTTCACCCTTCATCATTCATCTTTCATCTTTCATCTTTCATCTTTCACTCCCCATCAATCAATCAAAATGGATCAACCTTGTCAGGAGCTCAAACCTCCGCTTTTCCCTCAGCTGGGCAACTTCGCAAAGCTACCACCAGAGCTACGCTTCCAGATCTGGGGCTCTCTCTTCGAAGATTTATTCTATGACAGCAGAAGTTCACCCCGTGCCCTGTCTATCCTCTCTTGTAATCGATACATCAACGAGGAGACATCTCGTATCCTATACCAACATCGCGCCTTCGACGTTACAATCAACCTTCATTTCGAAAAAGGAAAAAAAAACATTCAAGGTCAAAATGAACGTGAGAAATACCGGAAGAAAGAAAGGATGTTTCAAAGGGAAGGAAATGAGCTGCTTCGAGGACTGCCTGAAATTCCTCCAAAGTTTCCCAGGCGGGGAATCTCAAACGACCCCGCCGTACGGAGTACATTATGATTGACTGCGAATATCCGGAGTGGGACTCTAAGCGGTTTGAGATATGGAAGAAAATCCTCAGCCTTGTCGACACTTTGAAGGTCATGCCGAACGGCAATACCATTATGATCGACTCTTACATCAGTGAAAATGAGTGTCCGGGCTTTCCATATTTAATGCCGGAGATTGAAAATTGCGTTAAGCTTGCGCTTGAGGAGACACCAATCAACATACAACAGCAGGTATATCTGGAGTCAAGACCTTACCCTCGAACGTCCATCTGTCGTACAGGGCCGTTCATCTCGCTTCCTTGTGTCTACTCCACGGCATTGAAAATAATTCATCCCACAATCTGTGACCCTTCAATGGGAAAATGCCGATGCCGGAAGACAAGACGTTCTGGGCGTACGGTCCGTGAGCACCAAAGTCCGCAGACTACAGTGGCTGATCCTATGGATATGTCAAGAATGTATGTTGAAGCCTTTGCCCTCGAATCCGCTCTCGTTGGTTGATGAATCACTGCAGTGCCACTGTCGCCCGCTGACACACACTGCGTTAGTGGTTCTAGCCTCGAATACCCTTGCTATGTGTTACTTCCTCCATCTGGGGACCGCTTCTACCGTTACAGTAATGGCTTCACACATTCCTCTGTCCCCCTCAACACGCATTGCTGACAGTTCTTGTGAAGGATGCCTGAACAGCACAGCCGAGAACGCGAACACATCTTGATGACACTATGTGTGTCGATTGAAAGTGAAATGTACTAGAAATACCTCGGGCGCAATGATGATCGTATGATAATGTGATGGTCCAAAGAGGCGAATGGCGCGCCGGGATAACAAAACCACAAAATCAGTGTTCTTGATGATCAACCAAGCATGACACACTCACAAAAATTTAAAGTTGTAGGGGTCTATCATTTGTTCCAAGGTTGGAAACACCTAGGACTGCGGCTTTCTGAGGGCGAGCTTCTTTGTAACCGTACGCGCGCAGAGTCCATTCAGCAATATCGACTCTCACCTACTGGCGAGGGAGACAAGAGTGTGGAGCAAATATTATCTTAGTCAAGCTCCGTTTGATGCCTTGATGGAAATGACAATCTGAATTTAATATTGATGGCCAAAAACCGCCAGAATGCTGTACTTCAAGCACTAGAGGTTTGTCGGGATTTCATAATTGATTGAATCGATTTTAGATAGATACTAGGTAATTATTGAGATCTGGTAAAATCTTTATGCCCATGGAGCTACCTAGACAATCTACCTAGGTATTTATCTCAATTCTTCCAAGGTTGCTATTTCAAAACTATATATGAGCTCGTCTTAGCTTCATCCTTGGAGGATTACTAGACCCCAGCACCACGATGAGGTGCGAGCTCTTCGCTGGGGGGATGGAATTTCTACTAGCTATCTACCTATACTAAACTAACTATACTGAGCTAACTATACTAAGCTAACTATACTACACTAACTATACTGCACTACGAAGACTAAGCTAACTATACTACCTATGTACTCTACGAAGTCTAGACTAACTATCTACTCTACGGGAGAAAGGGGTGCTGTCCCATCTGCAGCGGGGACGGGTCGATAACGGCGCGATGGCGAGTAAACTGGGTCCATCGTTGGCACGTAAGGGACGGGATCTGATTGTGCTCTGTCCGGCCGGGAACAGGGCTGCTTCAGCCTCTTCGCCTCTCCGTCTTTGCCGTACATCTGGTCCAGCCGGTCTTTGCGCAAGCCTCGGTCGAGCTCTTGCTTAAACTCCTTCTGCTGTATAGAGGTAGGCATGACGTTCCGGAACTGTAACTGATCAGGCAGGCGTGTACGATCCAGCCATGCCTTGAGGTCTGCGCACGACCTGGCGATTCGTTCCCAGGTGACACGGTCATTCATCAACTTATCGGGCAACAGACGTTCGACCTCACGAGCATCATAGATGATGTCCGCGGAATTGGCTCTTCGAACTCGTACGTTGTGGCAAAGTTGATTTCTGTCCGCATACACGCGAATTGCCGCCCTTGCCATCCTATAGTCGATTCGAGCATCATCCTGTCGGAGTCTGATGACCAGATCCCTCAGGAGACTCGTCATCTCCCCCTCTCCGTTGGAATTCTGGCCATCTTCCCTTTCAAGATCTCGCTCAAATGAGGCGACAGAGTCTGGCAAAGACTTGAGGGAAAGACGAGAGATCCTGCGCAGACAGTTCCAGATAACACCAGCGTAATCTCCATACTGTAGAAGGAATTGGACTTTTCTGACCGTCTCCGTCCCAGCACTCACGTCTTCACCATCCGGACCGCCGTCATCTCCAAAGGGTCGCACGGCAGCCTTAGCATCAAAACCCTTTATAAATGACTCGAAATCCGCAGTGAGGTGCACGAGCTCGCCAAGCTGCCGGGCGAAGCTGCTGTTGGACGTGGGACTTGACTCTGACGACGATGATACATCGCCTGCTGGTCGGAAGAACCCCATCAGCGGTTGGCCGGACCGCTGGGGCTTATCATCCGTACTGCTGTTAGCAAAAGAGGGGGGAGGAGAAGACCTAACTTCGCGGTCGGTCCGCGCTGAGCAGTCGGTCTGCGGTCTAGATGAGCAGTTAGCAGCGTGCTTCTAACTAGCCGGCGTTGGTTTACTCACATGTCTTCCATATTGGTACGACCTCGGTGATCGGGAGGCAGGGTTTGTATAACAAATTATAAAAAGTCGTCTGATTCTGAATCCTAAGCAGAAAGTCGAAAAAGGGTAAGGAAAAAAAAAAACCAAAATGGAGGGGGAACGAGGAAGTCAACAAAAGCAATTCAGATTGTTACAGGCAGGAGCAATTGGATAGAAAACTATCTGTTTAAAGTAAGTGCCCAAGAGCTGGTTGTCATGGGCGTCGAGGTCAGGTTGGCAGTGACGACTGAGATCGGGTTGAACTCGCTACAATGAGGGGGCAACGTTGGAACGTGATGGCTGATATTACTGGGGACTGCTGAGAGTGTCAATATGCTCTAGTTGTGGGATTGTCTTATAGCCTCCAATCCCTCGGTGGTGTTTACATCAGATAAGACGGCCATTCTTATTCAGTATTTTGTGACCCTCCGGCGCTGGAGAGATCTCACTCTCTTCTAGCAGTTGATTTTGCTTGATCAAGCTTTGTTTTCATGAGCATTGACTTCTAGACACTGGAATTGGGTAAACAAAGGAGTGGGAGAGCACGATGTGATTAATACAGAGAACTCTCGGCAGGACCTCTACCAGACTCAACAAAGCCGTGAGCTCTTAGCACACTAAGGAAACAGTTTCGTGGTGTAGTTTCAGGCATTAGTGAATACATGTAGGGTAGGCGACATTCTGCGGTTGCAGAAACTAACCTGGAAGTAACTACACACCCCTTCATGAATTAGCTTCCGTTTTCTACCAAGTCATTATAAGTGTGAGATGTCGCTCATCACTGCCCGCAGGGTCATAGTCGTCGCACATTCCTGCCTGTTTCGTTAGAACGCCATGCTTTCCCCATTTCATGAGATGATGTACTTAGTGTACCTGGGCAGGCGCAATCGTTTGCACTAGTGTCAAAAATCTACAGTAAATGAAGAAGATGGGGGAATGGCTCGAGGCATTATGCCTAGAAGTTTGAAGGTTTCATATCACCATATGTATGTAAGGTCTGTCGCTTAGAAGGTTTCTGTCGTTGATTTCACTCTTGTGGCTAGTGTCGAACTTTCAAGCCACCCAGGCTGATGGGCCAATTTTCTACGAAGCTGTTGGATTCACAAAGTGGTACCTACTACTCACTACTATTTGACGGAGTAATTTTCCCGAATATTGAAACAAGATCGGCGTTCCGGGCGAGAAAGCGGAGAACGATGGTGGCCGAAAGAAGGCCCGGGGGTTCGGGGGAACAAGCTCGGGCTCAACGGGCGGGACGTCGGCGGTCCCGAGGTTCCGCGATTAGGCTAACTTACTAGCCAAAGTTAGTTGGAAGCACATGACCAGTAAGCATCCACGAGGGCCCCAGATCGCGTCGATGTCTGCTCGGAATTAGCAAACCAACTACCTTTTAATATTCATCTGGAGGGTATAATCCCAAAAGTTTTGGTGTTATGAGAGAAAGACGGAGAAGAAGGCAGCAGAAGCTCTCGCCGAGGGACATCTGTCACTGGGAGTGCCGAGCCCGAAGAGCGCTGCCTGTGGTGCACTCTAGAGCTTACCGCTGCAATAATCGCAAAATCAGCTCCATCTCTAAAGGACATTTCGGATTAACACTCGTCATACGAGTATAAAGCAGAGAACAACTCTGACTTTTAGCGGCGGGCAAGTTACCTTATTGGGATGAACCGAAGTTTAATATAGTATTCCAAGGTGAGCCAAGCGCTACCCCACAACCCATGCCCCTCATGACAAAGTAAACATAGCGCGACAGCCCTAGGATTCTCCCAATTTCTCCAGTGCGCCAGGAATGCGATCAGGTTATGATTATCTTCTCATTTTCAGACGAGACTTATATCTTTCATACGATAAAGTCTGCACTCACAACAGGCCTGGCAGAAGCTTTGCGGCTCAAATACATCCGAATGCTGTATAAATTCTTTTACTTTAACCTTTTGTAAGTATAGGTATTATTCACTCCTCGGGGCCCGGAAAGCCAGACAGAATTCAAATCCAAATGTCCTTGAAGAAGGCAGCACTTGGCAGTCCAGAAGGATCAAGGAGTCTGCTTACCAGAAAGCATGGGTACTGCTTATTGGCCAATCCCGGGGTCAATGGATTTCTAGGTTCGTTAGCGCAGCGGGGATTGTAGCATTCCTCATGCAGTCCTGCATGAGGACCTCAGACATTCCATGATCCTCTGGAGACTGGTTTCCACTTTAGGCTCTTGGATTTCTATGCCCGCTAGATCTGGAACTTTGGAAGCCTCGGTGCTCCGGCGAAATCATGTCAGAATACCATGTGAATGGTTCGGCGTTTCTATAGATCCCATGGTATAAATTAGGCTGTGGTGTCCCACGAAACTTGGTTGAACGCGAGATATTCCTCAAAAAACAACATTTCAAGACAAGAGCCAACTGCAGCTCTGCTGTTGTCACGGGTGAACGATGATTTTCAGATTCCAGTTGCTCTTCTTGAGCCTTCTCGGACTCGGAGTGTATTCCGCTCCTCTATCGGAACGAAACGAGGCACAAATCACCAAGAGAGGCGCCAAATTGAATGAGTTTTTGAATGTTCTTCTTGAACACCTCCCTGTGGTCAGCGAGTCCCTCAATCAGGGTACAGCTCTTATCACCAACCTCAGCAAACTTCTTGGCACATTGACAGGCGCTCAAGATACCTATAATGAGGCCGGAGGCTCCTGTAAGGAGTGGACCGTGGTGTTTGCGCGTGGCACATCCGAGCCAGGAAATGTTGGTACTTTGATGTATTGGAAATGGAGGACTCGCTTGCTAATTGTCTCTCTTCTCGGCATTAGGTCGGAATACTCGTCGGGCCTCCGCTCTTTGATGCTTTACTAGACAAGTTCGGGGACTCCGCAGTTGCAATTCAGGGCGTCAATAATTATGCGGCATCTGTCCAAGGGTATTTGGCTGGTGGTGATGCCGCTGGAAGCACTGAAATGTTGGATCATCAACTATGCCACACCTAAAAATCATTTGCTAACATTACTTTCACAGGGCGCGACAGATCGAAGCCGTAAAATCAAAATGTCCGAATACCAAGGTTATTGCTTCCGGATACTCCCAAGGCTGTCAAATTGTGCACAACGCGGTTTCCAAGCTCCAGGCTACAACTGCTAGCTGGATCAGCAGTGTATTGCTATTCGGAGACCCTAGTATGGTTTCATCCAAAGCCTAGACTAAACCTTCTTGACCTCTCGCTAACGGTATGCAGAAAAGGCACAAGCTCTTCCAAATGTCCCTACATCAAAGGTATACACGGCATGCCATGCCGGAGACGACATCTGCAAAAATGGAATATTGATTGGCCCTGCCCATTTGACGTACGCGTTGAATGTCGAAGATGCCGCCAACTTCGCAGCCAATGCGGCCTAGACATGCGATGGGCAAAACATGGTCCCGATTTATCTAGCCTTATACCTCGGTGAAAAATTAGTCTGACTCAACTTGCAAACCGCGGTCCTAATGAGAAAGATTTCATCATGAACAAATGGAGATAACTAAAAAACATACAACAGTGAGGATTCGCTGGTGGTCACCCACCCAACTACATACTAACTCACCGGCGTGTGGCTTAAGTACGGCTGAGCGGACGGGAAGCCCTGTTTTCCACACCCTGTGGTCGTATGTGCTGGAAACGGCCCTGGGGTGGTAAAAGAAAATCTATAGGGCTCTTGGAGATATTGGAGTGCATGATGTCAGGTAACTAGAGCAATCTTGGGATAGTAGAGCAATAGTCCACGGTATCAGATTTTATCAAGTAACGGAAAGCAAAAATCTTCACAAACAGCCCATGTCATCATGATAATCCGGGGGACAATTAATTCTTTTGATTGGAGTCTTGGGGGAAGAAAGTCCAAGTCGTCGTTGTAATCAGACAGGGCGGCCTCGGGACCTCAGGAAGCTTCCAAGGTTGTCCAGGTCCCTCTGTCTTCCTAAGGAGTCTCGATCTCATGTCTTCTCTAATCTTCTGCTTCTCAGAATCTGAAATATCAGTGCCACGGAGGCTCATACAAGGACCGCACTCCGAAGTGCAGTGGCCTACACCCTTCTTATATCCAGCGAGATGCCTTTTTACACAGCAGCCACATTGCCGGCTACAGCACCTGCCTTGATCCGAGCAGTCTGTACCTAATCAAGCCTTCATTCATGAACCAGGTGGAATTACCCCTTAACGCATCATACTTCCAAGGTTAGGTCGATTAGCGTCGTCCAGTGGAGAGAGATTACTCTAGAGGTATAAAACTTGCCCCCTTTCCTGAGTCACCTTCAAGGCTTTTCCCCGTTCTAGCATTTTGTCCTCCAGGGCTCTTTGCTGGGCTTCGCGTAGTTAGAGTTAATAATCGCGGCCTTATGAGGACCCCAAGCTCTATGTCCCATTGTTTATTAGCGCTGGACCAGTGGACCTGCTCTCGCATGGCATAGATGGCGCATGTACATTCGATTGTGTCAACACCGTTTGATAAGAACCTGCAAGGAAAACACCGTCCTGTCGGTTGCAACAAGCGTGTGCGCTTGGGAATACCCATGGTTATCTTGAAGTTTGGAAGATCACACGTCGGAAAGAAGGTGGGAAGAAGTGAAGGAAATGGAAACAATTTCAGAAGGGAGTGGGAAGAACCTTGGAACCTTGGAAGGCAGAGGCATATGAATGATTCCAAAGTTCAAATGTTCCAACTTTGGAAGGTTTCGTATTTTTTTGACTCTTCCGACACCCAAATAGGGAACTGTACCGTCTTCTAAACTTTGGCCTTCAACCTACAGTGTTTCCCAGATGAGCTTCGGGAATCATCCCAGGGTACTGGGGAGTACCGTCATTATCTTGGTGACTGCCCTTTTCGCTGATATCAAATAAAATAGCACTACATCATCTTCGTCATTCGACATCTCCAGCTGGGCAGAATGAGATGTTCCAATGACTTTGCTCTTCGCTTTGACGTGTGCTCACTTTTACAGTCACATCAAGGGCATCATGTAAAAAGACTATTCTGAATTCATGATTCATAAGCAATTATATTCGTCGTAGTGAAGGTACTGAGCAACCGACGTGCAGCAAAGGTATTCCCCAACCTGCTCAGACCGTCTCAACAAGGATAAGCATATAAAACGCATCGGCCAGGATAGCAATACGTATAAAAGTGTAGCAAAGGTATCCGAACCTGCTCAGACCGTCTCAACAAAGATAAGCATATAAAACGCATCGGCCAAGATCTCGCAACCCCTGTAACTGACGGCTACCACCTGAGCTTCTTCTGACTGGATGGGCACCTGGAGTTGAGGGCTTCGGGGATCCGGCTGTTCTTCCCTAATTGCCCCTTGGATGAAATCCGCCGTGTAATACTCGGGAGGCGTTGGTTCTTGCGCAATAACCGGCGAACGGTCCAGCCAATTTGCCACCAAGGCCTCCCATTGCCGAAGGTTTGGTTGCCAGACTGAGGCTCGCTCGAGGGCCGGATTTCTGAAGACCATGATCGCACCCACTCCGCCTCGAAGATATCCCAGACTGGTGGAAAGGCTTGTCGTGGTATAGATCCCTGGCCCAAACTCGTTGTCCTTGTTGTCTCCACCGGTGTGGGGAATGAAAAATGCCAGTGTAGATCTCAGTGCTGAAAGTTTGACAGATCGGAACAGGAATCGACCCGACTCAAACTTCCCATCTGCCATGCGGTGAATCTGTCGTTCCAGAGCCTTCAAATTCTTGTTGGACTTAGTTCGTGCACACAGAATTTTACCCTCCGGCCCTTTCAATCGACTGTCTGCTGAAATTTCTCCCAGCGGGTAGAGGGCAGGTCTGTCAGTAATGCCTGCGGGGCATTGGTATTGCACTGGAGGCAACGGATCAACATCCGGGCCCCAGAATTGGCGGGGGCACACTTTCTTAACAATATGAAGGGGGATTGTGCCTTGCTCGATATGGTATTCAACAGGCCACGTCAGTTCACAGCCGAATGGGACTGTTTCAATCGAGTCTTGAATTGTGAACGCGGGGCTATCAATGGCCTCCACAAGTTCATCTAGGCCCGCTAACCAAGCTATGCTCCTCAGAGGACCCACAAAAGCTGTACCGCCTAGAGCTAGATGTTAGAAAGATCGGGGAGTCTTCCGAGGTTGGGGTCAGTTTCATCACTCACGACGTTTTCCGTCGGTCAAATATTCCTGGATATCGAGGGGAATCGTCGGTTCGGGATAGCCAAGATGAAAATGCCAGACGGGCCGAAATCCATATTTGGTCAATTTTGCTGGATCGCGGCAATCGCCACGGGCGAGGATGGCATCGCCGTCGCCCAGGTCAGAGTCGCCGTCGTCCATGTCAGAGTCTTCGCTTCGTTCATCGGATTGTATATTGGCCTCTGGTTCGGTCATCTTGTCATCCGTAAGGTCTTGGGACATTTCTTCTGTGTCGATGGTGGTTGGAGGAGTCCTTGGTTGCGGAGAGGGTGTGTCGTTTGTGGTCGGAGGAGTCACTGATGGCCGAGAGGGCTCTTGTAGGCCAAATCCATTCTTGGGTCCATGGTTCGTTTCATCCGATGACTCTTCGGATTTGGCTGCGGAACCAGGGGACTCGGCCCGCTTGCGTTCCCAGGGTGATGACATCGTGGCTTAAAGCTGAAATGAAATCAATAGATATGTGCGGATGGTTAAATTTACCGGGGCCTACGAAGACGCTATAGTAGAGACCGAATCAGGAAAGAACTGGGGGTAAAGCGAGGAAGGCACGAGTAATATCCATTGTCAGCACACTTCGGCAGCGGCTGCCTAGTTGCCTATTCATTCAAAGACATACAATAGAGTCATATTTAGCTGACGCACATTGGTGCCAGTCGCGTTCCTCCTGGGCATCCGCACTCAAAGCATCCTTCTTAGCTTGCAGCTCTCTGATTCGGGCTTTATGGCCGCGAAGCGCCTCCGCCGCAGAGTCCCACTCAGGGGTCTCTATCTGCAGAGCTTTTTCGGTCTCTGGCAGGCTGTTAGGTGTTGTGGGTCGGGGATAGTGGGTTAGTGTACCATGTACCGGAGGTCGGCTCGTGAAGCTACATTGCTTCCCTTTCTCCCAATGACCATTTGCATACGTTGGAAGGAGGTGCAAAAGGCCAGTGGCGATGAAATAAGGTTAAGGCCCTTTTCCCATCCCGGCACATATTGTACTCCTGCCATAGATGCATCTAGTGGCCTATCGATTGCACTCATAGTGCCTCAGCGTTGGGTTTCTTAGTGCCAACGATGGAGTAAAAAGTCTTCCCCTTGGCTGGTATCTAATAATCCAGGTTTATAGGGAAGGGCGAGAGACTTCAGGGCATAGAGGATGGTGTCCGTTTGCTCACTTACTCACTGCCCTCCACGCCATGGGTGCTGAAGGACATTCTAGGCCCAGTACCCAGGCTAAACCTGGCCATTTTCAACTACCAGTGGAGGGTAAGATGGTATAAGGTTGTGCTGCGAGATGGGTGTGGCTCGTGGTTAGAGAACTATTGACGCTTCCAAGGTTACCTGTGAATGGCGAAGCAAACGATACTTTATGGTGATGTATGCTCGTAAAGAACAAGGCTGAGGAAGCTTGATGATGAGAAATACCCGTGTGGAGAAGGGGAGAGAGACATTCGAAGTGATGCTTGCTTGTTTAAAAAGGGACGTGACAGGTAGTCAAAACAATTTTCTCACGCGTCCTGAGGTCCTCTTCTTTCCCTGTTTTGTTTTCACTCCTTTTCCTTTCTCTTCTTTCTCTCCTTTCTCACCACCCCATCCTGCTTTTGCTTTCATCATCCCACCACCATCATCCCTCGTCCGCTTTGCTCTTCACGAGCAGGCATTCATCATCATCAAGCATCGTCTGCTTCGCCCTTAAAGCGCGAGCGGTAATGCCCTCCCTTTATTGAAGTTCGTCTCGGTGTCCGTCTCACAGTAGTCTAGCCCGATCTGTTTATCAGAATGGCGGACAATGCAACATGGCCAACTCCACCTGCAACGCGGGAGAATTCTACGCCTCCTCCAAAAGGCACTACCCCCGCAGTCTCCGCTCTGCATGGTAGCGTACCCCTCGCTCACCAGTGTGACAACTAGTGAGTATCCTTCCTGGAATCCATAAACTCGTGCCACCCGGGGGCACACTATTTCATGACTAACGACATTCTAGTTACCGATTCGATATCGCTGCACACCTAGGTGTTTGAGAACCCTTGCACATCCCCGTCGCCATGGCTGTTGATGACGCTCTCGCCCCCGGTGCTTGGGCAACCTACGGCATCCAAAGCCACTGGCGCGCAGACCGAGGTGACCGGAAATTCAAGACTGGCGACCTTCAACGCTTCGCTGTGGCCCCCTCGCTGCGAGAACCGATGGAGCAATCCTCAACTCGGTGGACTGGCAAGCGCATGGATGAGAAAACCTGTGCGCGGGTGGCAAATATCGGATCTGTTGTCATCAAAATCGTCGGTCAAGTCCAGGCAGCCGTGTGCAGTGATTGCCGGCGAGACAAGGGCCCCTGGAGCCAGCTTGTTCTGCTCACCGGCCTAACTTCGACATTGACAGTGTGTTCAAATTGCTGATTCAATGGCTACAAGGAACGGTGCGACTTTTGAAAACCACCACCGATCACCATAGGCCTCAACCCGTTGCCATCGGCGGGTCACTCCTCCACAACATCGATCGCCTCTACATCTGCTGTCACACAATCAACACCCTCTTGTGGCTCCTGTACCGTTGGTTACAGGAGGGAACTCCCAAGCTGCGTGGGCCTCTCAAAATCATTCACTATTCCTGATACAACACCCTCTTGTGGCTCCTGTACCGTTGGTTACAGAAGATAACTCCCAAGTTGCGTGAGCCTCCGGGCTGAAAATCCTTACTGACATCGACCTCGATCCGACGCTATGTGCAGGCGCTGCTATTCAGATTCTCACCAATGCTCTTCGAGTCTAGGATCTGTACATCGTGGCATTCCGGAATACGAGCCTAGGTCAAGGGCACAAGAACACCTTCGCCAACACCTTTGTGTCGAGTCAAAATCACCTTCCTTATCTCACCTGTACTATCACCAAATCAGCACCCTCCTGCGGCTCCTGTACCGTTGGTTACGGGAGAGAACCCCCAAGTTGCGTGAGCGTCCGGGCTGAAAGCCTTCCCTGACCTGGATTCACAATCATGTTTCTCATCTGACCTCTACTATCACCGAATCAACACCCTCTTGTGGCTTCTGTACCGTTGGTTACAGGAGGGAACTCCCAAGTTGCGTGAGCCTCCAAAGTCTTCCATACCCTTGAGTCAAAAACATTTACTGTTCCTGAATCAACACCCTCTTGCGGCTCCTGTGCCGTTGGTTGCAGGGGGGAACTCCCAAGTTGCGTGAGTGTCCGGGCTGAAGGTCTTCTCTGTTCTCTGACCTGGAGCCAAAATCAAGTTCCCCATCTGATATCTACCATCACCGAATCAACACCCTCTTGCGGCTCCTGTGCCGTTGGTTGCAGGAGGGAACTCCCAGGTTGCGTGAGCCTCAGCGCTGAAAGCCGTCACTGGTTTAAACCAAGATCTACTAAAACGGCGCCGAGATTGCAGTACAGATATACGTACATGGATTCGCCAAATCTTAGAGATCGCATTTCTCCAGCAACAATGGCACCTCCACGGATTGACGCTCAGACTGGGTAAGTCGCGACTTCCAAGAATGCTTTTCCCTCTTTTTCCCTGGCTTAACTTTGATATGGACTCGACAGACACCACACCACTCCCCAAATACCTCACCACACAACATTCAGCTGCTGCAATACTCTGTCATTTAGAGAAAGTCGCTCGCGTGACGTCCACTTCTGAACACTATTCGGTCCATGGCGAACACATATACTCGGAGTTTGTGGATCCAGAACGCCATCAGATTATCCAAGACTTGTTCCAACGCCATTGGATCTATGATCAGTGTCGCAGAGCCTCAAGTTTTCATCTAGTTCGCCGACAAAGATCAACTGAAACGAACTTTCACCAACGACGCTCGTCTCTTTGCTTTTCTGTCTTGATCTGATGACTGCAATGTGTCATTCATATGTGAGCAAATCTGGATGGAGAGATGGAGATACGATAGCCGTCTGTGAACCACATGGTCACCTTTTTGTTGAAGGGGCTGCCTACGGAATAACGCCTCCTACCATATACCCGACGGAGTTGACAATGTCAAACGACGCCCCTCCATGGGAGAAGGTTGATTCTCTGGACAGAGATACACTTCCTCGAAAGCGACGAATCGGTAATGAAAGGTTTCAACTTCAAAAAACACCTGAGAGCACATCTAACGCAGATCTCCCAGTGGATTCACCGGAAAAGGCGCCCAAGCGACCAGTAAGTTGATCAAAATGTACAGCAGATATCCTTCTAACACCTAGAGCTCTAGGGTCTTGGTACGGCGACGAGAAAAATGCTTCATGGACGCACTGGATCCGCCGACGATCGTCGGTGTCCGCTCACGGGATTCGGACCTTTCACTATGCGGATAGCCTACATCATCCCAGCCAAGCTGTATGGCCAGAAGAACAGATATCTCGAGTCTCGACTTGTTTGGAAATGGCTGTCCTGTCTCTGGGGCGAAGGTAAGACCGAGAAGTGGCGAGAAGAAGTGCTCGGAGAATGAATATGGGAAATTGTTTGCAGTTGAATAGCTTCATGGATCCCACCTGTGCCACAACTTCAAATTTGAGTACCCTACCCTACTACTCCGTATGATTTCTGTAATTGTAATACCGTTTTTCAAATTTCTGCTGTAACAAATATCGAGCTACTCCAGATTAGGCCTTAGCTCTAGCGCTAGGCCCGAATAGGTTTAACTGGATCCCCCGAGGCCGCTCTGCCCCTATGAATGTAGGTTCTCGCTCCTTTTTGCTACTAAGACCAGTCTGGATGGAACGCTCTTCAATTTCTGAACCAATTAATAGAAATCGACTGTCTTCCGGTTTTTTCGTCACCCTCCTGGTTTTCAATTTTTTTTCAAGCACCATTCACAAATTCCGGGGCCTCTTCTCCAGCGAGTCTCCCGTTTTCTGGCGCTGTTGTTTTCTACCGTCCGTTTCCCTCTTCTGAATGGAGGGCCTTAAGCTCCTCTTCAACAAGGGGAGGATCGTCGTAGACTTTATCATGCATTGCAGCCTTGGTTAGGGTTGCGCCGATTCGGAGGTTTTTGACCAACGCTGTGAGTCTATTCAGAATAGCGGATTTCTTATCGCGCTTGCTGTCCATGGCCTCGAGGTTGTAAATACATCAAAGGCTGAAACGTCCGCAGGTCATTCCAACATTCAGCCGACGGAAGGAGCGCATGTGTCCCATGACTTCCCCCCGGGCTGTGCGAACGAAATCAAAGATGGCAAATGGGGCCTCGTTCCATTGAAATGTCTCAATGACTGCCACTTTGAGGCTCAGCCAGTCATATATTCTCTCTTCTGTGCATCGTACCCAATCAAGATGACAATGTCTGTCATCTTGGCTTGAATTTGGGACACTAGCTTTGAGACAACATCCAATGAGACATGAACATTCATCGGATTGGCCTGAGAGGTTCCAACGGCAGTTTCTTGACTCTCTGGTACTTGGAATGCGACATTTGCGTTGATGTGAAAAGTGTCGGGATTCAGCTTTCTTACGCGAGCAGCCTATCCCTGTGGATCTGTGGACTTTCCCTTCTGCCATCGTGTCGTTCCCTCGTAAAACAGCTGGTTCGAGAGGATGTGAATGGTTCCCGTTAGCCTGTGCTCATGCTCAAGCTTGTATCCATGAACGCCGTTGATGGCCATTCGCGCCAGCAGAGAAACTCCCATATATCGTCGGAATGGATTATCTGGCCTTGTTATCTTCACGGTGTGTCCTAGCTGTTTTTGGTCTCCGATCAGACCGAATGCCTTTGTGAAGTAGTAGGCCAGAATTGGAAGAATGTCTGACTCCCTGCTCATTCCGGCCTCGTCGACAAAGACCAATGTTGGGTGCAGGCTGTGGTACACCAGAGATGTTCCGAGGATAAATGGAGTACCAAGCAGTACATCGACGCTGATTAGCGTGACCTTCGCGTCTCACTCTTGTCCGTGGAGCAGAGGTCAATGCGTTTTCCCAGTCCGCGTCATCGACCTTCTTAGGTGCCTTTGAGCCGGCCTTGGAAGTCAGTCAGTGTGAGTCAGGGATGAACCAAAAGGTAAGGAGAACATACAACAGCATCGACAACCTGCAAAATCTTGAAGTCTTACGGATTATCGTGGAAAATCTGGGAATATGGTGAGAAGAGGAGAGGAGAAGAGGAGAGGAGAAGAAGGAGAGATATAAATAGGGAAGGGTGGGGATAGGAGAGAAGGGGAAAGTGGAAAAAGAAAGAAAGAAGTGAAGGGTGAGAAGAAAAGTGAAGTGAAGTGACAAAGCAAAAAGTGAAGCAACAATAAACTCAAGAGAGTGAGAGTAGTGTAAATAGAAGACATTCATCCCGGAGACTCACATAACTCGGGAGGGAAAATCAACGGTATAGGAGCCTCAGGAGTGTGTTGAATTTGTGGATAAAGATAAAAAGAAGAACTATTGATACAGTCAAACAGAAAGAAAGGCAAGGTTCATAGGATTTATGAAATAGAAAAGGACTGTAATCGGATGGGATGATCAAAGTAAAAGCAGAGTAGATTCCAGTCTATCGCGACTCGATCTCCTTCCGAGTTATTTGTATGTAGATTCTCGCTCCTTTTTGCTACTAAAATCAATTCTAATGGAAAGATCTTTGATTTCTCAAATCAATACACATCCCCGAAGGTCCACTGTCTTCTGATTTTTCTCGTCCCACCCCTTGTTTTCTATTTTCCTTGGTTTCTTTTCAAGCTCCAGTCACAGATTCTGGGGCTTCTTTTCCAGCGACTTCTTCATTCGCTTGTGCCGTTGGATTCGACTACCACTTTGAGGTTCAGCCACTGGTAGTCGGGATACAACCTGTCTCGGCATGAGAGTTCCGATAGATACTCTCGCTTTTGTGCCGTGTATCCCACCAAGATCACAATGTGAGCTGTCTTGGCTTGAATTATGGACACCAGCCTGGAAAGTAGATTCAGGGTAGCCTGGACGTTCATGGGGATTGCGCGGGAAATTCCGACGGTACTTTCCTCACTTTCTGGTGCGTTGAGGAATGCGACGTTTGCGTTGACGTGAAAGTTGTCGGAATTCGGCTTTCTGACTCTAGCAGTCCATCCCTGTGGATCAGTCGCTTTTCCCTTCTGCCATCGTGTCGTTCCCTCGTAGAATAGTTGAGTCGAGAGCATATGAATGGTTCCCGTTAAGCAGTGCTGATGCTCAAGCTTGTATTCAACAACGCCATTCAATACCATTCTTGCCAGCAGCTCTGCAGGGAAGCTCTCATATGTCGTTGGAAGGTATGAGTGGGAAGAGGAGAGGAGAGGAAGGGAGAAGAGTGGAAAGAGGATATAAATAGGAAGAAAAAGAAGCGTCGGAAGAAAAGTCAAGTAAAAAGTAGGAAGAAAAGTAAGGTGGAATATGAGAAGAAAAGCGAAGTGAGATAAGGGAATGAAACACAGTTTTAATGATACAAGGAGTAAACAATAACTCAATTAAAGCGAGAAGAAGACATATATTGGTTAAAGATGACATCTTGGTGATTGTGATGAGACAGCCACCGATGGAGCGGGAAGCTAGATAGAAGTGATGGACTTCTCACTCGGATAGATGCTGATGAGAAAGCAAAGAGAACGAGAGAGCGAGCTATGGATCTGGGGAAAACATGGTCTCACCTGGCGGGTATTCACAACATACCTCGAGGTTGTATCATTTAATGCTAACGAGGTCTTTGCAGTTTCCAGTGCTAGGCATGTCCTGCAGACGGAGGACTTCTCGCTCGATAAGAACAAGGCAGACAGGATTTGACAGTGATTAATTCCTCCCAGAGGTCGAGGAGAGCGATCAAGAGCTATGAGCCCGTGTGCTGAACATACAAGCTTCTAACGCTGACGTTGTGTATTCATTTCTCCTTCAGCACGAACATCCCTCCAAACCAACCATAAGCCCTATTCAATATCCGTCCAAAGCGACGTGCAGTAGTGAAAGGCAGCTTGCCCCGGGGATGGGGCTCGTGGAACTGAATACTTCTCTCGACATCCAATTTCGTCGGCTGAAATTGCCACACAGACCCATACAGCTTCATAGCGGTGAATCCAACAGAGGCCATGGAGTGAAGGAAGTCATTCCAGGGTATCTCGCCTGGAGTTGAAGTAGTGGCTGGGTTAAAGAAAATGATACGGAAAACTTTGAGCGTGCGTGCATCCACATGGAACGTAGGCTGAATGTCAACAGAGCCTGGACCTTGTGGGATTTCTGATTCCGGATCCTCTTCTTGAGGAGCTGCCTTCCCGCGAGTTTTGATTTTCGTTTTCGGCTGTGCGATGCTCAGGTTCTTAGCGGACGTGTCAGAATAGGCTGATGAGATTGGTCGGTAGAAGGCCCAGTCGTAAAATTCAGGATTTTGTATTTGCGTAACGGGTGCAGAGGCAGTCTTTTCTGGCTCCACCCATTCTCGGGTGCGCTGTAAAGTACGTGGCTGTGAAAGGAGTGCTTGGACAGCTGTACCTTGTAAATCACCGGCTTTGGCTTTCATCAATTGGTCGATGGCGGCCCAGAACGCATCAAGTCTGCTTTCAGCACTGCGTAACGCTTCCACATTATCTTTTTTGCGTCGCTTGTGAATAGGATAGGCGAACGCTCCACCTGCTGGGTTTGCGAGTTTTGCCGCTCTCAGCTGGAGACCTCTTTCGTGGGTAGCGCCGAGCATTAGAGCCCACGACTTTGTTTGTTCGGCATAATCGGCTTTGAGGTCATCTTCGCATTCAGCAAGCTTATTTTCCCAGGTTTGGGCCCATGGCTGATAAAGGTCTAGTTGATTCAAGGTCTGTGAGATTATAGAAAGGTCACCAATAAGACTGTTGATAAATGGGGATAGCAGTTCGCGGGCGCGTGGTTCTGCTTGAAGTAATCTTTCCAGTTCATCAACAATGACGTTCATGCTTGCGAAAAACAAGTCTTGGCCATCTTCCCATAGAGTTGAAAGCAGCCAGAGCAGCTGCTTTTCAAGCTTGTCCGGCTTGACTCCAGGTTTCGAGATACTTACGATCTTTGTGGAGGATGGGCTCTCTGGCACTTCGCGAGAAAAGAACGGACGTAAAGGGGGTGACCCAATAGCTGATAATTTGAGAGTGGTAAGAGGTCCTTTCGCCGCTTGAGTTAGATAGTGCCGAAAGCGGATTAATTGGCGTTCGTATTCCTCTGGCAAATCCTTCGAAGGGTTTATTTGATCAGCATATTGCTTTTGCAATCGGACCAAGTTCTTGGCTTGAGAGCTAAGTTCATGGAACATCTCCACCTCCAAGTAGGCCTTGCTGACAGCTGTGCCAGTTATGCGTGACCATATTATGTCTTGTTGGCCTGGCCGAAGTGATGGATGAGATTTGCCGGTGATATCTTTCAGCATTTCTTGCCGATGATCCTTCGCTTCAAGCATGACACGGGCGAAATATTCAGGGTCTTCACGCAAGGCCCAGAGGTGATCCTCTGCAGCAGATGCGCGAGCAGTGAGCAGTGACTCAATCTGAGAGAGATCTAGCTTCGCCGGAACTCGATATGGGGCTTCTGCTGTCATCACCCCTAATGACTCAAATCCGCTGATCTCACTTTCGTTCTTGAGACGTGGCTCATCCAGGATGGGGAAGTCGTCACTGATCATGCTCTCTTGGTCAATTTCATGGAGAAGACCGAAAGAGCATTGGATGAGGAACTCGAGAATACGCTCTTGTGCCTCTAAAATAATCAGGCCTTCCCCAGGAAGAAATTGTTTGCGTGAAGCCATCCAATCAAATGCGTCTGGCTCCTCATGCCAACTCACAAGTCTTCCGTATTCACGACTGTCATCAGTCACTCCGTTCAAGATCATCACATGCTCGTTCAAGAAGATAGGAACAATTGCTTTACTGACGAATCCGAGGTGGATGGCTCTGTTATCTGCCGCGGCAAAATGGGAAGGCGAATGACGGCCTCGAGCATTGAGAAGTAAAAGGAACGACTTTGTGTCCGCCAGATCCTGTTGGTTGACGTATGGCCAAATGAAGCTCCCCCGCTTGGTGGTACCTTGGAGGCGGTCCTTCACTGCCTCCTTTGAGAAAGCCTCGAAGTCAGGCCGATGATTTGCAGGCATGTCGGGCCAGGCATCCAACAAGATCTTCAATCGTTGTTGACGAGTCTTTTTCAGCCAACGCTTTTGTATGGTGGCCTCGTGGCGCTCCAAAATCAACCGTAGGATCTTGTGCTTGGAGAATATCCCTTCTTTTCTTGCTGCAGCTTTCTTCCGAACCTCCGCTGGAGACTTCATATCCGGTAAAGGCATGCGACCAGGCTGGCCTGCTTCCATGGCCTTGAAGAAAGAGGAGGGGTCATTCCAATCTATGTTATCGACGATAGGGTTGGGTTCGTCGTAAGCTGCCCCCTGGGGACCAAAGAGGTCGAATTGATGACTTCGTCGAGGCTCCATTCTGGTAGAGAAGATAGGTGGATGATGGAATACTATCTGACAGGAAATGTAAGGAGAGTGACAGGAACCTCGGGTGAAAAGGCGCAGCCGCGGTTGTTGGTCCGCGCTCGAGAGCCGATGTGATTGATCAGAATACCCAGAATAGTCCAACAGAAAGGAAAGAAAACACGTGAGGCGATGGAAGAGGGCAACCTTGGAACCTCGTGGGATGGCCTGGAGGCGGTGATAGCAGGGCCCCACCTGAGCGGAGCTCTCATTTCGTCATTGTCGATGGGGACGGATGAAACAAACAGCCCTCTACGATCAGCGGCGCAAACGACTTTCTAAAGCATTGCTAGGGTCCATTGCGCCGAAACGTCTGCAGGTTTCCGTTACAAAGGCATGTGATCCTGTCAAATTTGATCAAGAACTACTCGTGTACGAGGTAACCCCTGAGAGCCCCTGCAGTCCGGGTGCAAAATGGATGCATTAAGCTCATAACTGTGGCTTGGCCTCCAGGGCGCGGATAAGGTACCGGCTTCGTGGCCCCCGGTCCCGTCAAGGCCAACCGCAGGCTAAAAAGAACCCGAACCCTTGGAAAGTTGCGAATCGTGTAGATTATCATCTGCTCGTAGAACATGTGTTGTGTTATTTTTCTCTTGTGGCTCTTCCCTTTCTCCCAGTGCCATATGACCACACGAAATAGAGTCGGGAGAACAAAATTCTTGGCCCCCACTGTATCACCCCACGTGTACCCCGGGGCCCCCAAGTGAACAGGTAGCTGGTAGATGAAACTCTCACTTTCAATCGATCGTGTTATTATTCCATATATCACTTGAGAAGAATGTCTTCGATAGCGTCCACCTCCCTCAGCTGGGACCAGCCCCTCCAGGCGCTATCTGATCACGTTGCTATTCGGTCTGAACACATTGCCTCAGAGGAGACTGATCTCCGTCTATACCCTAAAGCCAACAAAAAGTCAGCTGCCGAGTACACAATCCAAAATCTTGCGACAGGCTCAACACTCTTTTCAGTGACAGGTCTAAAATATGGATCCAATTCAGGCCGTGAATTTCGTGACTCAACAGGCCTGCCGCTATTCGAGCTTCGTCGGACCGGTCTCTTGATAAGGCCGTGGAAGGTCCGGTTGCCTGGAGACAGTTCTCAGGATCTCGCCTCTCTGTATATGCAAGGTCCTTCCAGAAAGATCACTCTCAAAGTCACACAGAATCAAGCTTCTGCGACCAGCAGAGAGACCGCGGTCACGTTCAAGGTTCTCCGGACATCTGCTCTGTTCACGTTTGAGGTTGTAGTTGAAGGTCAGGTGGTTGCCTATGTCCGAGAGAATGCGGAGATCAATGATGTTGTGGGTGAACATGTTTCGGGCCCGTATCACAACGTTTCGCCTAGGCGTGTACTGGATGTTCGACTCACGGAGGGACTGGATACGTCTATTGTCAGTGAATTACATCCACTGTGACTTTCACTCACACTTGGAGCACGAAGCTAACCATGCTTTGAATATAGGCAGCGCTGATTGCAGTATTCATATCGGATACATTCTTTGTTGACCAGCTTGAAGCCTAGGCTCTGTGGTTGTTATGTGTCGCTCGTCGTGTCTGGGGGTTATTCTCAATTCATTGTTGCCCTTTTCCAACCTGTCATGTCTTTCTAGCAGACCCGACCGAACGTTCATTCGGGGACCACTGGCTCAATTTCGCAATGGGAGTATTGGAGTCATAGGAAATCTTGGCTCATCGGTCATTTGTGAAGCACTGCTTGTATTACCTCAAGCTTGCCGAAGAGAAATTTCAGCTTTTCCCCAAAGGTTGATAGACACTCCGATCCAATATGGGGGATCTCGGGACTGCAGTTGAATTATGAAGCCCATGGGGATTTGACGCCACATCACATAGGCAAGGAAGACCTGGTAGAAAGCACATGGATGTCATGTCTCATCTAGTAAAAAGGTAAACATTCCGTTGACCTCCATTCATGTGAGAGCGTCTACACATGACGGTCGCATCTCCAATCGGGGGCCAGAAATGGTGTAGTAGGCTTCGGGGTCGGGGGTGCTGCTTTTGTAAATTCACTAGTGTCTCAATGAAAGCGCGATGGCCACAATGGGATTGTGGTTGCTCCAGTACTCCGTGCTGCGGGGATCTTCAGGGCAGTCATGTCCTCAAAGCGCAGGGCTCGGGTGAATACACCCCGTCAATAGCCGACAGTCGATCATTGGCGGGTTTCAATCTGAGATCGTCCATGCAGTGACATAGCTCGGATGTAGGTACGCAACTGGAATTGGGATTCGGCATCGTCAGAGCTAGAGGCGGGGTCCCCAGATCAACATGTGCATTCCGTGGGGTCCTTGAGACTTAAAAGACTGGGGGCCGACGGTCATGGAGACTCTCCTTTTTCTTTCCTTCCAAAGCTAGTTTGATAGCTCTTTTGCAGTCATGGCCTTTCGCTCTGTTTCCTCCGTTTTGTATCTCTCTGCGTCGGTGTCGGGCTTGAGCTTCAATGTACCAGCGTCTCCACCCTCCAACGCGAGTGGTCAGATCTCGGCAGCTCCTGTTGGTGTCTCGTGAGTTGATCGCCTTCACTGAATATTACTCATGACTCACCATGCAGCTTGGAATTCTTCACGTTTCCCGAGTATATTCAGGACCTTCCCTCGACCACCACATGTCTGCAGAACCTGAAAGACCTGACGGGCACCTGGCCTCCTGTGAGAATTGGAGGCACAACACAGTACTTATTGGCTCCCCTCTTGTCAAAAGACGTACACTGACCATCCAAGGGATCGTGCAACTTATGATGCGTCGTCGAGCGAGGCCGTCACCTACACCGTGGCCAGTACGAAGGATGCGCCAACAACCCTGACTTACGGTCCTTCATTTATGTCCTTGGCTGCCAAATATGCCGGCAAGGTGATTATTGGACTCAATCGTCGCCTGGATAACATTTCGAACACCATTGCCGCTGCGCTAGTGGCCCAGAAAGAAATGAGCAACCTATATGCCATCGAACTTGGCAATGAGCCCAATTGTCAGTCACAACCAGAGTCAATGAAGTGGCCATGCTAATAAAAGCACAGTCTTTGTCGACAGCGACCCTATCGCCAGGGGTGCATCTTGGACCGCCGCGGCCGACGAGGCCTCCCAAATCGAATGGCAGGATGCGGTATGCGGAAATCTCTCTGCGTCAGATATCATCTCAGCGGGCGTTTACTTCGGTACCTCCCCAATGAGCCTCGTCGGGCTTACCGCAAAGGAAGGCGATTCGAATGCCTATGTGAAAGATTATTGCTCTCACAACTACCCGCAATCATCTGGTAGCTACAACTTGACTGCGCTCATGAATCACAAAGACATTGCGACTCAAGTCAAGCCATATGCTGCCGAGATTGCCGCCGCATCTGCGAAAGGGAAACCACATGTCTTTGGGGAGACCAACTCAGGTATTTTGGATTCTGGTCAACTCTAAATGCGATACTGACGGCCATCGCAGCAACACAAGGTGGAGGTGGTATCAGTCCAACCTTTGGTGCTGCCCTCTGGATTCTGGACTATGTGATGCAGACTGTTCTCATGGGCACGAACGCTCTCTACTTCCACCAGGGCACTATTGGAAATTGTGAGAACCCTTTGCAATCTTCGCCGGAATATACTAATCCCCCAGGTCAATATTGTTGGTGGGGACGATACAACATGGGATCACCGTACTACGGTGCGTATTTCGCCACTATGGCACTAGCGAATGCCGACCAAGTCGCGCCTTTGGATGGCCAAGACTCCGCCTATGCAGCTTACGCCATCTACAAGTCTGGTGCTCCGGTTAAAGTTCTCCTCTACAACTCTGACTACTACACGACTGGCACTCGCTCATCGCAGACATACTCACTCGCTGGCCTCACTGGCACCAGTGTCACTGCTAAGCGTCTGACCGCTCCCAACGCCACGTCCCGAGTTGATCAAGGCCAGGATCCCACTGTGGCAGGTCGCTCTTTTGCCAACGGTACCTGCACGATCCAAGGTACTGAAGCTGTGGAGACTGCTACTGTCTCTGCTGGAAAGGCTACATTCACTGTAGGTGCTTCTGAAGCTCTCCTGGTCTTTTTGTAGATCGGTGTTTTTGGTGGAGAAATAGGGCCCGGGAATAAAGTGGAACCTTACGGGCAACGGATCAGCGGGGAAGCCCCAAGCCCGCGGGCGCCACCGGGGATTACCTTGTTAGGGCTTAGCGGTAGTGCTTAGTGCATGTGGAGGTCCGCCACTTGAATGTGATTTCAATGGAACTATGCTATATGTACGGACTACTCCGTATAGTACCTTTCCAATTTATCAGGCTCCTTGGCCCCCCCTCTATCAATCTAGAATAGCACATTATCGTATTGATCTTTTTAGGATATGTTTTGTTCTGTATAAATGGACGGAAATTTCAGGATCCCCGTGCCATACGACCCGATATACTACCATCTCAATCATAAAGCCTAGCAAGGTAACCTCCTTATTCAGGGTAAGTGTCCATTTGACCGTAACTTCGGGTGAGCTTGGAGCGAAGCAATTGCCGCTCTTTTGGGACGTCCACTCAGGAGCTGCCTCAAAAGCCAAACCAGCCACACGCCCTAAAATCACACCAATATGGGCTTCAGAACCTTGAACTCGGCAAATGAACCAGATGCTGGGATTGGCCTTGGAATGAGCAGAGAATGGCCCCCGCCCGTACATTCAAGCTCAACGGGGCCCCAGATCCCCGCATTTCGCTTGTCCTTTGCAGCCAAATCCATTAGAGTTTACATGTTTGCTTGTTTTCGTTCGTAAGGCGCGGTGTATAAAGGCTTTTAATCTCTCCATGTGCAGGGAGCTCTGAAGATAATACTCTTTTTCATCAGTACTTCCACAATGGAGACTAAGACGAATACTGAGGTTATCGAAAATGCCAACTCCGACCAAAGAGATGATGGGCCCGTCAAGAGCATGGGTCCCATTATGCGATCTCGGGAAGATGACCTTGGCATGTTGCAATGTGTCAGGCGATTCAAGACTGTGTCGTGGGTTGCCATGATTGCGGCGTTCAGCGCATCACTCGATGGGTATCGTAAGAAATTCCCTTAATTCAAACATCACTATGGTACCCCTTCAACTGACTCCGTATTCCAGAAATCAATCTAAATGGCGGCATCGTTTCGAATAAAGGTTTCATCCAACAAATGGCGACACCTGGCACAACAATCATCCTAGGAAAGTACATCTCTGCATGGGGAGGAATTCAATCCGCGGGTCAAACAGTTGGTCAAATTGTATGTGATTTATGCGTTGTCTCTATCTCCATTTCTTTCTAACTCCGTCCAGTTCCTCCAATACGCAACTGAAAAATATGGTCGCAAAGTCGCATTCTACATCATCTGGGTCGACATCGTGATCAGCGTCTTCATTGAGACTTTTGCCACAAGCTGGGAACACTGGCTCGTTGCCAAACTTTTCTCCGGAATGGGCGTTGGTATGCTCCAGTCAACCATGCCTCTATATCTGTCCGAGATTGCACCCACACAGCTGCGAGGTTTCTTCATCAACGCATACAGCTTGTAAGTCCAACCTCATCGTCTGAGGAACAATTTAGCTAATTTGAGTTAGCTGGTTTGTATTAGGCCAGATCTTTGCCTCGGTGGCTCTTCAAAATCTCAGCAAAAATGACCCGTACGACTTCCGGGTTCCCATTTATACACAGGTGAGTTGCATATCCTTCGCCTTTTTGCAGTGAGGATCACGATTGATCAAAGGTTATTTACAGTGGGCTATGGTCGGGCTGATTGCTGTCATCTTCGTCATAATCCCCGAATCACCGTGGTGGCTTGTCAGTCAAGGCAAGATCGACAAGGCGGGCAAGATCTTGAATTGGTTCAACGGCAAGGTTGACGGGTACAGTGTGGACGAACAAATCGTGAGACTCTTTCTTCAATCTCAATCTCGAACAAGGGATCAGCGTCTGATAATTTATGATAATTTATAGGAAATCATGACTGCGACAGTCACGGAAGAACGCATTGTCGCTGAGCGCAATGCAGAGGAGGGCACATGGGCTGTGTTCCAGGGACGCAATCGAATTCGATTCCTCATCGCCGCTTGGCCCAAGATCGCCCAGCAGCTAGTTGGCTTGGCTGTTTTCAACACTTATGCGACTTATTTCTGTAAGAAATCACTGTATCTGTGGAGGCTGTTCACCACGACTAATCCATCTCCTAGTCCAATACGCGGGCAGCAAAGACCCTTTCCTGGTCACTGTCATTCTCTCCTGTGTGCAGCTCCTATCCATGATCTTGACTGCTTCAACCACCGACAAGCTTGGTCGTCGTCCGTTGACGATTTATCCTTACGCCGTGACATCTGTCTCTGTTTTGTGTCTCGGTATCATCGGCTGCTTCGATTATACCAAACCAGCCACCAGCTCTCTTCTTGTAAGTCACCCCAGCCAGTCATTACTCAAGCCCGAAACTAATAATCTAGATATTCTTTGCTTGTCTGGCCACTCTCTCAACAACCGGTGCATCGGCGATCGGATACGCCTATGCAGCTGAAATTCCCCAGCAACGTCTGCGCGCAAAGACAGCTGGCTGGGCACTAGCAGCTTCCAACGGAATCGCAATCATGTTCAGCTTCTGCACACCTTTAATGATCAACAACAAGCCTGTATCGGCCTGGGGCGTCAAGACCGGTTTCTTGTAAGTACCAGCATACTCAAGCATGACCAGCTTCTAACCCGAGTTCTGTTCTCGATAGTTTTGCCGGAACTGGCACGGTCGCTGTTTTTGTCGCTTGGCTCATTCTACCTGAGGTCGCACGTCGCACACCTGCCGAGATTGATGAAATGTAAGTCCCAAGAAGCACGTGGTTTTCCACGCGTATCTAATGTCTTGGTTTTTTAGGTTTGAGAAGAAAGTCGGTCTTCGGAAGTTCAAAGGCTATGTTACGGAGGTGCAGATGCGTTCGAATGAGCAGTATGGTGAACTTGAGATGCGCTAAGTTTGACAACGCTGTTTCTCACATCCATGGATATTTTGCTCTCGGTGTGGCTGCCCAGGCCAGAAGATGAGTTGGAAGGCGATAAATACATAGCAGCTGGGATCACGCATAACAGCAATACATGTGAGAAGAAATGGACATCAAAGTCCATCTTATGATTTCCCGCAATTCAGACATCCAGTAAAGTGTTGATGGGTAAGAAAACAAGAGAAAAACCGGGCGGGAAAACGACCAACCCCATCAACATTTCTCTTCGCTGTCAACGCTGGCTATTTCTTAATGATGAACTAATCAATTTAAACGCATTACCTTTGGAGTTTCCGTCAGCAACATAGCATTCTTGTTTGGGTTTAGCGACAGCAAAAAGAACATGATCGCCGGGAGCCAAAAGACAAAAAGAAATCGACTTTGCCCACTGTCGGGATTGATCCGACGACCTCGCCATTTCACATACGAGTGGCGCGCTCTACCACTGAGCTAAACGGGCTGTTGATTGATTAACGGCTTAGAGCGTAGTTACATAAATTACCCTTCTTTTAACCAAAATAAAATAACTTTCTCATTGCGCAACCTTGAACGACAGAGGGCTCGCAAATTTCCAAGGCTCATTAGTGACATATGGGAAATATCTTCCAAAACTTCAATAGTATATTCGATATCATCGACTAAATCACCGTTATGATGCGGTCAAACCTTGGAAAATGAGGGTAGTCTTTGAACCTTGAAGGTTGGTCATATTCAGAGTCACGAGCAACCGATATCCATGGACTTCCTATCATTCGCCCTTACGGGGCCAGATGAATAGGGTACAAGTATTGATTGAAAATAAGATAGAAACCAGCGAAACATTGATACATGAAGTTTTCGGCTCCAATCATGCCCAGGTGGAAGCTTCCTCGGGAAGTCACAACATTGAACGGCCATACGACAAGATATATTTCTGACCATGTTCGAAATTTCGCCTGAAATTGTCAAGACACTACCCAGGTATTCTAAGGTCCAAGCCGAGCCACTCTTCAAGGTTTCACTTCGATACTGAAAATTCAACAAAATCCACAACACCATAATTCCTCACGTCCTCGCCGCCCGAAGACTGGACCAGCACTTCAACAGGCTTTTCAAGCCTCAAGTTGACGATCCTCCGATCTGCCTCACCAAGTCTCCAAGAAACTACGGCAACATTGTCACTACCCAAAGCCACCGTGACCTCCAAGTTCTCCGCCAAACTCAGCCGAGGCCGGAACAACACCTTAGCCCAGCCCGGCGCTAGGGGTTGAAGACCAGCGACCTCAACACAGTACTCGTAAACCGGCACACTACCCCAAGCATGGCAATCCGAGCGCTGTCTCACGTCGTCTTCCTCCCAGGTTGAGAGATTATTCGCCAGCATCCCACGCCAGGGCGCCCACATGCTCTCCCAAAATGCTTCGTAGACTCCATTTCCAACGGTCGCGAGTGCCCGGAAAGCATAGAAGCGCATCATATACGAGCATTTCGAAAATCGCGGGCTCGTAAGTGAGGTAGTAAGGATACGTTCATGCTCCGAAGAATCCAAAACTCCAGCCAAAACAGCGAATACCTGGCAGTGTTGGGAATAGGCATTCTCATCGGCAATGTCAGCAGTGGAGTCTGTGAAGTACTTTCCATCCCAGCAATGAGTCCGGACAGCATGCAGTACTGAGGCGGCTCGCTCCTCGTACTCGGCTGCGTGACCTGGGCGACCAAGATTCCGCACCAGGTTGGCTGCCTTTTGGAGGACGTATCCATATAGCAGGCTGAAGTATGTGTGTCGATTGGATTTGCGACCGGACGTTGGCACACCCTTGTCAGGGTGGTCGTCTGTTGCTCCCCAGGTCGTGACCCAGTCGACGTACTGCCACACGATTTCGGGCAATCCACTGACGAGACCTAGTTCGTCTATGTGGGCATCGAAGAAGTCGAGAACACCATCGATTCGAGGGATGAATCCTAGTGCGTATCGTGTGTCGTTGAAGTATAAGTGGTGGTCGCAGACCTGGAGAACCCAGTAAAGGGAGAATCCGGCGATTACCTGCGGGACATGTGATGGGAATCGAGATTGGGTGAGTCCCAGTGGAGTTACCGAGGCGGCGAAGTTGGTTATGGCCTGTCGCATCAGGCGATCATCGCCGGAGAGGAGGTAGTGGAATAGTCCGACCGACCGGCTGTCTCCAGAGTACCTGGTCAAAAAGTATCAGAAATAGTTTCGTGGGGAGGTTAGTGCCAACACTTACTGCAGCTGCTCGTAGAAGGGACAGTCGGAATATCCGTCAAACATGCAGTTTCGCATGGTTCGAATGGAGACATCCCACATCTGACCGCTGAATGCATCCCCAGGTTGGTTCCAGCGGGCTTTGATAGCCATAGGGTAATTGACCTGGGTGGCAGTGAAGGATTCCAATTCGATGGGTTGAGGACCTATGTTGATTTCCACGCGCAAGAGACGGAACGTCCGAAACCAGAACGGCTCATAGACCACACTGTTGGAGTCTGAGACGTCCAGCGTGACTTCGTCATACGGACCTATGATGTGGCCGATGCTCGCATCTAGTCGGTCGGCCTTGGATCGGAAAAAAGGATATTCGCGAGGCTCAAGCTCATAGCCTTCCGAATATGTCACCTTGAGTCTGATCTGAGAAGCACCCCCGACTGCCTTGAAGGCCCACCGAAGAAAGGCAGTCGAATGAACGTCGGCCTGTATGTCAACCTTGTGTACGGAGTTTGCAGCCAGTGTCAAAGAGCCCTTCCCACTCAAGAGCGCAACCCAGTCGCTCTCGCCAGCGTCGCTTTCGCAGGCTCGCACGGTATTCACAACGGCCGGAGTCGACTCGGGCATTGGAATGACCCGTGGTTGCAGATTCCAAGGTGGGATATCGCCATTGAGGGTCTTCATGTTGTACGCGACTGGTTTCACTCGGGGACCAGGCTCGGTCGGGACGATGCGTTCGCTGATCTGGGAATTATGAGTCCGCAGCTCGCATCACGGTCCGGAAGACTTACATGAAGAAATACATCGTCAACCAAGCCCATTGGGAACCGAATGCTCTGGTCAACTGATGCAGTCCAGCCATCTAGAGTACTGATGTCGATGGTCTCGGCATCGGTCTCGATCTTCCCCACGACCGTCAATCCTGGTAAAGCGGTTCTTTCAAAGGGCATCGCACTGCGCGAGGCGGCGAAGTACCGCACGACAACGAATCGGATTTCATTGTCACCCTCTTGTAGAAAAGGCGCAATGTCCAGGGTGTCGTAGTACCAAATCAACGGACTGCTTCTGCCAGGCCCGACTGCGACGTGTCTCCCATTGACGTAGAGTTTGTATCGCGTGTCTGCGGAGAAGTGTAGAAGTGATCGTGTCGGTCGCGCTGGGAGATGAACGGTGCGGGTGAAGTTGACGATCTTCCCCGCTGTGTTGTCTTCGGAATCAATCCACTTGGGGATCCAGATCCAGTTGGCCTGGAGATTGGCCTATGCGCTGTTAGTTATACATTGAAAACATTCTAGATGAGAAGTATACCTTTGTCTCTATCTCTGCCATTTTTCGTCCTCAATACGATGTTGTCCATGCCTTCGCATGTTGTACTAGTAGGGCCTGAGGGCTGAGGGGTTCGGGTCATCTTCCCCCGAGCAAAAATAAGGTTGTCGAAGCCTTCTAGAAGTCAACATGTTGCCTTCTGTCATACTTCATCCGTCATCTTCATCTTCAGACCTCACTGACTTCGTGTGTACTTTTTTGGGTTTGTGAATTTGTCATGGAATTGCCCGGACTTGTCTCGGGGCGGAGACGAAGTGGATTTCGGACTTGGCCGGTCACAAGGCAACCGCCCACTGCCGAGGCTGTGAAGGCTGTGAGGGAAAGGGGCTGCAATCTGATAAGTACAGGATATTGATCCAGCTTCGATGGGGCTCTGTAGGTACAGAGTCCAAACGGAGTGCTCCATAAGTGGATGAGCCTTGTGCGTCATCTGCAAGGAGTTGGGCGCAATTTTGAGTCGGTAGCAAACGTGATCTCTCCATGGCAAACAGGCATGGCGGTTACTTGCATATGACCAAGATCTCCTTTATGCATAACATCCCTGGAATGATAGAGAGAAACCTTCGTTTTACGTGGCTTGCATCGATTTGGATCTATCTACTTTGCTTCTAGCGGTGTATCCATGTTTGTCCCAGGGTGCACCAAGTGCATGCAGTGCATGCAGTACGATGCACGAGTACGGAGTACCCCGTAAGTTCGCGCCTACTGCTCAACAGCCGGATAGTCCGTGTAGTGGAAAGCCTTGTCCTCGAATGGCCCGTAGAATCGGGTCCGGTCATACGAGGCCAGAGGAAACTTTTCCTTAAGCCGACGAACCAGATCCGGGTTACTGGTAAAGTAACGACCATAGAGGAGTGCATCGTATTTCCCGGATTCGATTACCCCCCAGGAATTCTGGTCGTCCCATCCGCCCGCGGAGAAGAACGGGGTTGAGCCAAAGATCTGGCGGAAGCGGTCCAGGGTCACATCCAGCAGACCCCAGCTTTCCAGGAACTTGTCCTTCTCTTCGTAGCCAAAGATCTGCTCATAGCGCTGGTATGGGATTAGCACGTTTCAAGACACAGAGTGTATCCTAATACATACCGGCTCGATGAAGCTGACATACGACAGCGACGGGAGATCCCTCTTCAGACCCTCGCAGAGGTGCGACCAAGTCTCGAGGCGCTGTTCGCCGCGTGCCTGATTGAATAGCCCGAATGGCGACAGACGGATCGACAGATTATGCTCCCCAATGACCTTGGCAACCTCAGCCATCAACTCAAAAACAAACTGACAGCGCCTCTCGGGGGATCCACCATAGGCGTCTTGGCGTTTGTTGATATTGGAGCTCAGAAACTGCTCAGGCAAATAGCCATTGCCGGCATGGATCTCAACGCCATCAAAGCCAATTTGCATGGCCAGTTGGGCGGCCCTGCAATAATCACCGATAGTCTGCTGTATGTGCTCCACAGTCATTTCGATGGGCGGGTGATTGGCGTAGGGAACGGGCGTGGTGGATCCCACGGGTGGATGAGAGTAACATTCCGCGGGCGAATCCCACACGCTGGCGGAGGGACAGACAGCGGGTGATCCAGTCATCTGTGGGATGGTGGCTCGACCGGCGTGCCAGAGCTGACAGAAAATGATCCCCCCTTTGGCGTGCACGGCGTCCACCACGCGTTTCCAGCCCTGGGCTTGTTCGGGGATGAACAGCCCGGGAACTCCGGGCATGCCATTGCTCTGAAACCAAGTAATAAAAAAACCAATTAGTGAATTGTCGCGGATGTTTGGGATTTAAAGTTCATAGTTTTAGGCGAGAAAAACGTTCCAAGGTTCCATGCATTTGACAGGAAATAAGAGTCCGGAGTATGTATTAGATGCTTACCTCGAGTGAAGGGGGAATTCCCTCCGAGATGATCAAGCCCCCCTTGGTCGCACGTTGCGAGTAATACTCCACCACCACATCTCCGGGGATCCAAATGCGATTGGGATGATCCGGGGTGCAAGGATGTAGAGGCTCTCCACGGTTGCGGGTCAATGGTGCATGGACGACACGATGCTCCAGGGTTATGTGGCCATTGGAAATAGTCAGGGGCTGGAAGAGCCCAGAGTGGCGGCCGTCAACGTAGTGGATAGTCATGGAGTACTTCGTATTCCCCGTATCTTGGGTCGGCTCTTCGTTGTACTAATATTTTCTTTTTTCTAAAAAAGACTATTTGTATCGCACGATAATTGAGGGGATTTAGGGCATAAAATGACCCCTGTGTGGCCGGGGCTGATCAGCTTACGCCTAAAAAAAGAGAGGGCATGTCAAATCTGTCAAGGTGTCAACTCGGCTACAAGTGTACTGTATAGGGTTTAACTAAAGACCCAGCCGCGCCGCGATAAAACGACGGCGCGACAAGCAAAGACAAAATATTGGGTCGAACGGACCCATACGAGGCGTCCGAGGCCCAGGACAGACACTGCATCTGGGTACCACGGCCTCGGGGTGGCGGACGGAGCAGCAAGTGGAGCACGGAAATGCCTCGCAAGCATAGTGTTGCAGGAGACGAACTCCACTCCCATCAGCCCGTTTCCTTTCCAGATGTCGAACCAATTTCCGGTGGATCTTGACGTCCGTTCCCCGATCAATTGCCCCCGTCATTGGTTACGCCACTCTATGTAGCGGTTCGATAGCTTTTTTCCCTTGTAGAATTTTCCTTTACGTCGACACGCTCCACTGACGATCTTCCTCTGTGTCAATCCTCATTTTCACAAATCATATGGGGTGCACCCGGACGAACCTGTCCGAGTGTTCTTTATCTCGTCAATTCCCTGACAGTCCGGACATGCAGAGCCCACCATGTCCACCGAACACCCGGTTGATGTCTTGAACACAGTCAACCTCGTTACACAATGTCTATGTATTCCGATCGTTACTCTCTTCGTGGTTTTGCGTTTTTATACCCGCATTCGATTTAAGCAATCCCTGGGGGTGGAAGATTGTGAGTATTCATCCCTTGCGAGGGCGCAATAAATACTAACGACTCTCTAGATGGCTGTCTGATTGCATGGGTATGCACATTTACTCGTGTTCTAGGGTATAAATACATGTACTAACCACTCGTAGCTCCTGTTCATGGGATACTGTGGAATCAGTATCGTCGGTAGGTGCTACACATCCCACTCCATACCAACATACTCACCCAATGCACAGTGGGCAATCATGGCGGAGGATACCATTATGATCAACTCTCGCCAAAAACGCAAATCCAATTCAAAAAGTTCTGCTACATCGCCACTATCCTTTACTGTCCCATGGCACTCTTCGTCAAAATCGCCCTTCTCTCCATCCTCACTCGCATCTTCGCTCCTTACCGCGGCAAAGTCTGGTTCATCTACATCTTCCTCGCCTGTCTCTGCTGCTACTACACCGTCGCTCTCATCATCAAGATTCGCATGTGCGACCCGATCCCCATGTACTGGCTCGGCGACGTGCCCGGCGGATCCTGTCTCGATCAGACCGCGGCCCTCATCGCCGATTCCGTGATCAGTGTCGTCAGTGACATCATCATCCTCGTGCTCCCTCTGCCATTGACGTGGTCTCTTCAAATGTCGCGCAACCGCAAGCTGCGGGTGATGGGTCTGCTAGGCGCAGGTGGGCTGGCTACTGGATTTAGTCTGTACCGACTGGTGCTGGTGTTGAGCAAGGGCAACTCAAGTGATCAGAGCATCGTTTTCATCTGCGTTATTCTATCCGGGTATGTGATCCTTCATCTGATTTGATTTATCCCTTGCATCTCAATGCTAATATTTGTTAGAAATGCCGAGGGTGGTATGGGATTGATCTGCGCGTGTCTCCCCGTTCTCAACGTCTTGTTGGCCTACTACAAGAAGGAGTACTCTTCGCAAAAGTACTACCAGAACGGATCGAACGTGCCATTGAGCGAGAGAAAGACAGGCGCCACATCCAAGGCTGCCTCGGAGTGGGACAAGGCAACAAGCTTTGGCGACCAGAGTCATTTAATCTCGTTTGCCGGCGCCCCAGAAGCGGAGAGCGCCGATTCCATTTACAATCACGATGGAATCAGAAAGACTGTCGCCGTGTCGCAGACTGTCGAATCCTCATAGTAGGGGACTACCTTCCTCATTATCTTTGTATACCCATTTCATAAATCTAATGAACTTTTCCTTCTGTTGATATTCTTCTTCCATTCTCAAAGAGATCCTTGTGGATTGACTCTCTCTGACTCTAGCTGCCTAGATTTTCCCTCAAGATCTCGAGGGCCTGCTATACCTCCATCTATGAATTGATTTGCACACTTCTTTGTTCTTTTCTCCATTGTTGCAGACGCAGTGTCAACCTCTTTCGTCTAAAAATACTTGAACAATGACTTGGCCTTCTTTGAACTCTGTCCCGCCATCGGCCTTGAATATTGGAAGCCCTCACACAGCCAACCTGGACATATAAAGCCATACTCTTTCCCATCCCTGTCATTCATTTACCTGGAGAATCATCATTTTCTCGTAACCTGAATCACCACTGATTACCGCTATGGGCCGAAAACAAGTGACCCCACAAGAAGCATTTCTTCGCGAGTGTCGCAGTATGAAAGCAGCTCTCGAAGCTCAAGCTGATATTCTCCACCCAGACCCCAAGACACTGGGGGCCAACCAGCTGGGCGCCGTGAGCCGAAGACTAGCCCAACTAACAGTCCAAATGGATAAGATCATTACACTAGGGCTTAGAATGGTCGCTACACAGCCCAACAGCACGGTCGTCGCACGTAATCCCCCTTTTTGGAAGAAAGAGCCTAACGCCCCCCAGTCTCGATTCCAAGGAGTATTCTACAGTATGCAGCGCACAATTGAGGCGACTAGGCGAACTCTACAAAAGGGCCCGCGCAATAAACTTGACTCCGCTATGGTCGGGGACCTTCGCGGTATGGCCAGTGTGCTGAAAACTAACCTTCGTCTCAATGAATCATAGAGTACGGATGATTGCAGATCCGGATAGATAGCGACCCAGGACTGAAAATGGAATATGTCAAAAGTACGAACCAAACTTTAGACTCTACTAAGGGGTGGAACTGCGGGCACACGAGCTGATCCTTCCACCCAAAAATTAGTCCTCTCTAGGGAGCAGTACATGTTTGTCGGGTTGGGGGCCATACGCTACTGTAGATCTGATCAAGATCCTGAGATGGCCAATCAGCGTAAGCGGATCGGGAGATCCATCCCGGGTGTAGATTCCCATACAATCAGGGCCAATGAGGTGAGAGCATTCCCTTCGACAGCTCGCACTGAAAGTCAAAGAAAAGGGGCGAATTCACCGGGACTTCTTAGGAGAATTGCAAAAAGACAAAAAAGAAATCTCTCCCTCGGGGAATCGAACCCCGGTCTCCCGCGCTTATCGGTGTTAATGACAAGCGGAAATCATCACCACTAGACCAAGGAAGATGAGATGGCTGAGTTACTGCTCGGCCACTTGGCTGGTTGATGTGAGGATCAGCATAATATTGCTATAATAACGGTTTGTCCATGCTATACCCACAAGGATATTCACGTGCACTATTTGACATGTTTGACATTATTTTGATACCTCTCCTTCATACGGAGTCTTTTTTTACCATTAACAATTATAGCTAAAATATGTCTGCGCACCCGAATCTCACTCGGAACATCGCCGAGCGGTTCGTAGCTTACAGGCTACCAGGTTTCTGGGAAAGCTTCCCGATCCTTCAGATCGCAGATCCCCGTCTGTATGACGTTTGCTTAGAGTCGTTGGGTCATACGGACAATCTCCTGAATATCATGTCAATTGGTCTAGAGTCGTGATTTTCATGACATCTGTGTTTTGTGTTGCGGCTATGTCGGGTATCTAGGGCCTAGGTGGTCGCTGGGGATATATATCTATCCAATTTTGGAGCTCCGATCGCAAACTTCCCGATCGAGATCGACCTTCCAACCTTCCAAAGTTGGAACTTTGGAAGTCCTAGAGGTTGACAGGGCAACCTCGTACCTCCAGAGCTCCAGGTCTGGTCTCTGTCCTGCTGAGCAGTCCATGATAGCAAATCTGCGAACCTTGGAATTTTGCAAGGCATAATCCTAACCTCCCATCTGGGCACTGGGCAAGGGTGAATTCCGAGGTCGATCTACCAAACCTTGGAATACAGTCAAAGTTGTATCCTATAGATCCATGGATGTGATAATACTAGGCAAGTAACTTTCAGAATCTAATAGCTATATAGGCCTCAAAACCCTTGGAGCCATTGCAGGCCGAATATCACGTTTCATGTAGCGCAAAGCAAATATGGATATCCATGAAAGCAATCAAATAGCTGCATGGATGAGTATCTCAGCCTGCAACCTTGAAGCTCACCTCATAGGATTGGGATCAAACAGCCCAGAATTCGACCACAACCCATCCAGCCCCGTATCAAACCCAAGAGACCACGACCCATCGATAAAAGGCCACTGAAACATATCGGTCTCAACCTCATGACCCGCACCATCCCGGGGCAAATAGCCCCCGCCCTCCAGACCAGGCGAAGTCCCAGCATGCGAGCTATGGGTATCGCGGGACTCGGCCGTCGCAGCTCTTGTCGCGTGCGCACTGGGTCGTGAGCGGATATCGCCGTATTCATCCAGGGTGCCGGCTAATGCGAAGCCCTGCGGGCTGTGGATCTCGGACTCTGCGGTTGTTTGTGTGCTTTTCACCGTTTCGTAGAATCGGTTCGCATCTTGGACCGTTCGCCACTGGGTATATTAGTTTGGAAATGGTGGTAGGGGTGGTTAGGGACTCACCCAGCTGCGACCTACGGGCCATACTTTGCTTAGTCGTTCCAGGTAGGCGAGATTGCCGCGTTTCTCTTCTTCGGCTCGTTCGAGGCCCCCTGGGTATCTGTGTGGTGAGATCGTGCCGTACATGTTGATGTGGGCTGCGACGAAGATGCTGAAGCCGGAGTAAGGTGATAGGACTGGGGCGCCGGAGGCATCTAGTGCGGCTAGGATACTGCCTATCTGTTGGGCGGCTTTGAAGAGTTGATCGATTGTGTGGGGTTCGCCTTCGGTGTCGTTCATGTCGTGAAAGACGTCTGAATGGGGCTTGAGATTGGACAGGAAGCGGTCACGGTGTAGGAAGAGGATGCTATGAGAATCTTGTTAGTGGAGCTCACGGCGTGATGTACGATGCCATACCTCATGCAATAGACAAGATTTATGTATGCAAACAGCTCTCCGTATCCGAGAGCAACGTGGGTTTGAACACTAGTGGCTGGGTAGTGAACGGTGATATCCTGGAGCGACCTCCACTCGTCAAGTTCCTCTTTGAGCTTTTGCCAAGTCAATAGGAGCGGTGGTGTCACGGAGCCACTAGACGACAAAGAAGCCAACGATCTTCGATGTTCATTGGCAAATCGCAGGATCCGAATAAATATGTCAAATCCACGAGTGACGATTGTAAGCCCATGCTCGATGGTCAGACCCCTCGCAAGCAGGCAGCTCTTATTCATATCAGCGGGCATCAGCCTGTGAGTTGGTGTATGATTGAAAGTGAAGTCTCGATCGCTGATCGGGAGAGGAACTGAGATATGAGAGAATGAAAGCGCGAAATGCTGACGAGCCCCAGAGCTCAGCTCACAGTCTTGTGCAAAGCAACACCAATAGGTCCGAACCAACTGCTCATATTGTGTTTGCGAGGCATGGAAATCTTGAGGACTGTATTCCATACTGTCATCTGACATCTTTAGCAGAGACTGTATCATATAGGTTGCCATCCCTGTAGATTGTCAGCATGTGCCTGTGATTAAAGAGAGGTATCTGTTGCTGACCGCTATACATCCAAGCCTGATAGGGTCGTCCAGTCCCCCATTCGTAAAATGAGATCATCACAAGCGACTGGGCGAGATAAAGCGACGGTGCCTCAAGTACACGATGAGCGAGATGCTTGCGTGCGAAATCGGCATACACATCTTCTGCTTCGAGTTCCTCGCTGGTCATGAACCGCACGCATAGAGATAGAAGCGAGGCGACAAAAACCGAGTCCACGGAGTGCACATCGGATGAAATGTCCGAGATCAACGTGGGATAGTGGAGAAAATTAGTGATTGGAAATTTCTTCCTGTATATCTCGACGGCATTGACCACAACCGCCGGTGATAAGGCTTTGATAGGATCCTTGGAGTATTGGGCGGGATTCTCAGGAATGCGTCGCCGCACATTTTCCGGGCCAGGTGATACATCACACGAAGTTTTTCGCTTTTTGGGAGTCCCACTCGCACTGGAGTTCTTGCGTGCCTTGGATTTTGAGGCCCGGGGATCCGTCAAGCTGCAATCCTTGATTTTATTCTTTGAGCAACGCTGGCAAGGCGGCTGTCCCTCGTGGACACACTTGACTTTCGCTTGTCTGGGAATACAATTAAACACAGACCGATTGAGTCGTCTTTCTCAAAGCTTACCGACAAGCATCGCACGATATTGACAGCCTCATCGAGCGCACTATACCCCGGAGTGGGAAGAACTGGGCTAGTGAAAAGCGGCCAGAAAGTGCGGAGCATATCGAAACGGGTTCACCGGATCAACGTAGAAGCGCAGCTACGCCATCATTCTCGATTGGACCGCAATGAGGAAATGCACGGAGTTGAGCTCTGGAAGTGGAGTTGGAGATATAAACTTCGTGGGCTGGAGCGCTGTAACTAAACCGGTCATGTGACCGGCGATATACATGACGAGGTTGGAACTTTGGAGCTATTCGGACCGAGATTAATATATTATATTTCTATCTGTAATCGCATAGAATGGTACGAGACAAATCAATTGTTCGCCACAGTCCACTGTTGCACCCAGGCGTTGAATTTGTTGACTTCCATCTCGTCCGTAGCCCAAGAAGTGACTAGCCGGACCACGGAGTTTCCATCATCCATTTGCTCCCAGATATAGAATCGGAATCTGTCCAGCAGATTCCGCACCAATGGCTGAGGGAGAATGACAAACACCTGGTTTGTTTCCGTCTCGGCAGCCAGTCTGTAGCCCAGCTGTTCAAAATTGGCCGAGATGCTCTGGGCCATGTTGTTGGCGTGGGAAGCCAATTTAAAGAAAAGGTCGGTGCGGAATAGTTCCATAAATTGCACGCCGAGGATTCGGCCTTTGGCCAGCAAAGCGCCGTGTTGCTTAAGGTGGAAGACGAAGCCGTCGGCCAGCGCCTTCTTGACGACGATGGCTTCACCCATCAGGGCACCGGCCTTGGTACCACCGATCCAGAAGATATCAGTCATTTGGAAGATATCTTGCAGGGTGAGATCGTTTTTCGGGGAGGCAAGCGCCGTACCGATTCGGGCACCGTCCATAAGAAGCAAGAGATTTTGTTGTTTGCAAATCGCCGAGAGGTTGGTCAACTCTCGTTTCGTGTATACGGTTCCGGTCTCGGACGCATTGGAGATATAGAGGAGGCGGGGCTTGGCCATATGAGGGAAGAATTGATTTTGTTGAATTGCCTTTTGGAGATTGTTGGGTGTCATTTTGCCATCGACGGCGGGGACTAGGATCAATTTGTGGCCTGTTGCCTCGATCGCACCGGCCTCTTTGCAGGCGATATGACCCGAGTCGAGGGTGATGACGGCCTCGTAGGGCCGGAGGCAGCTGGCGATTGAGATAAGGTTTGCGGATGTTCCGCTTGGCACGAAGAAGATATCAGCCTCGTCTTCAGTGCAGCCAATCTTATCCCGGATCAAGTGACGGGCAGCATTGCTGAACTCGTCATTGCCATAAGTGACTTGTTGTGTGGAATTTGTTCGCAAAAGAGCCTCGAGGATTTGTGGGTGGGCTCCTTCGCTATAATCGTCCATGAGGCTGTACGGAATACATTCCTCTTGGCATAGACTGGTTGCAGGCATTGTGTGATTGTGTATAATTCTCTCAAGTGTTCAAAGAAAAAGAAACACTGAGTCACAGTCGAATTATAACCAGGGAAAAGAATCTTCGGGAATAATTTTCTCGGGAATAATACCCTTTTATTCCCGAGATGTGTCAGGGAATCCCTTGCGCCTTGCCCATGCGGCGTCTCGATCTCGGATTGTCTCCATTTGTGGGTCAAACGGTGAGGGGACATGAGGGGTATGTTTCTGCCTTTGTCTGCAATTCTTCACTGTTGTACCACCACAATACTGGTAGATTCCAACCGCGGTCAACCCGGAACGTTGAGGCACCTGGGATCATCAATTTGGTACCACCTGGGCACCGGTTGGGGCGTGAGACAAAGATCTTGCTGCTGAATCACAATCGACAATTCCGGTGCGGGGGCAAAATCATCGAGAAAAAAAGATGCCGCGTCCAGCCGTGCCGTTCAAGAGCGGGAGGGCCCATCAAGCTCCTCCGATGTACACCATAGCTGTCCTTATCGGGGCCAGAACAGTGCACCTGTACAGCATTTTCTGACCATACTAGGTAGAAGGTTATTCACCGTGGAGCTCATGACTCGAGTGTTTGATCATTATCGTGAGGGCGACCGGACACTAGCCCAGATAGCAAGTCCATCAAGTGGCGGGCGCTTGATCCAATAGAGCACATGTGCCGCGCGGACTGAAACCTGGCAATGTCATTGCGAGTATCAGCTCGATGATTCTTTGCTGGAGCGATGGATGCTGTGCTCGGGGTGAAGCCCAACATATGCAGCACGAAGAAATCAAACGAAAGTACAGAGCAAAGCTGAGAAAGAGTGATATCGGAACATACATATAGCCCCAGGGCTGGTAGTACTAGTGTGCCTGCGCATGCAGAGCTGGGCGAATCAGACTGCGCTGATGTTCAAAGGTCGTCGGTCACGAGGTCATTTAGCGCCTCGTGTCGGATGTTCAATTAGCCCAGCGGGCGCTATTTTTCCAGAGCCCTTAAGAAGTGTGCAGGTGTATGTGGGATGATTTGCAATTGAAATCACGCTTCAATGCCATCTGTGAATTCAATACCTAGAAAAGACCTTGGAAGCTGAAGTCTATGGCGAGTCCATGAATATCCCCCTTACCTAGTATGTACTTGTCCCGAGACCCATCCACGGATGCTTATATTCACGTAAATCTCATCATGCCCAGGTGCTACCTAGGTAATAGGTAAATTGCAGAAAATACAGATAAACATTGGACATGCAGGAAGATATACAGAGTAACCACATGTTAGAATGGTTTGGTGATCGGGGAAACCAGCCAGTAATATATGTACACATTGGGCTGGTTTACCGACAACCAGACATTAACGTATCCACAACTCCATCAAATGATACAATATATGCTTGAAAGCCAGAGCAAGATCCTCAATCTTCGTGCGGGGATCTAAGACGCACTCTCTCGTCTGCGAACCCGCTTTCTCTGGCAAGACGCTGGTAAAGTCGGACGCGCCACCCACGGATAACCAAATAGCTCGCGACGACACCGCAGAACAGGCAAATGAGGAGCACGAAGGAGAATGCAGCGCCAATGCTGCGAATGTTTTCGTAAGTGTGGTTCAAGACCGCGATGGTCTTTTGGGTTTGAGTATCAATGGCATCTGAGGAGTGGCGACCAGTATCAGCCGAGTGGTCGCCCTCGGCAACATCGTCGCTTTGGTAGAGGGTAGCCGGGTTTATTGGTCTGGGGGTCGATTTTCCTCTGTAACCAGTGGATTTCCAGTCGGGGTGATTGCTCCGGTGGACTTCGGATGTGCCGAGCACGGTGCCATTGGCATCGACGGCTTTGGCGGTGACCCAGTCCAGATACCCGGCGCCAATGAACATGGTTTCGAAATCAACGCGGGGAGCCTTGCCAACGAAGACGGGGTCGTGGAAGTCGGAGGCCTGAGCGTAGAAATGCCACTCGCTCACGTCAGTGGCTCCGTTCCAGCTAACCCAGAATGTTGTTACCACATTAGTCTCGTCGGTGCCATACACAGAGGCGACCATGTCGGGAGGTGTGTTGGGACGTCCGGTGAATTCGAATTTATAGGCGCGGTAGGAAGAGTAGCGTGGAGAGGTGAAGTTGGCCGTCAAGACGACCTCTCCCTCAGAAGTGTGCTCGGAGATATAACCCCCTTTACTCCAGCAGGTGAAAACATGGTCATTCGAAAGAAGTTGAGTATTACCGCGGAGTCGGGACAGCTGGTAGTCAGGGCGAGTGTAGCGTCGAATGGCGCGGGCAGTGAAGGGTGTCACGCTGGTGTCCAACTCGACAAAGAGGGACGAGGATGCGTTTTCCTCGTTGAACTCTTCGTCGGACGCATTGTTCATGAAATAAATAATGTGGTGTGTGCCATTAGACTCCAAGAATTTGGCATCGTGCTGTTTGGAGAATGTGAAATCTTGCTCGAAATCGGTGAACTTTCCACCCAACCGCCACATGATGTTTCCATCGATGCCGGAGATCAGATAAATGGTGTTCGTGAATCGTGCGGAGATCAGATAGTCCCCAGCGGCGTTTTTGTCGACCGAGTTGATGTGCACATAATCCCAGCCGGGGTGTCCCTCCACGCGCGAACTTGGGGAATAGTGGACAGTCTCGGGGAGAGGGATGCGATTGTAGGAGTCCCACCACTGGATCACCTCGGCCGTGTTGATGTCGAGTTCCGCAAAGCCACCACTCTCCAGCCAAGTCTTTTCCCCAGGCCGGCCGTACTCGTCCAAGCCAATCTCGTGCGAAAGGTAAACCGTGACCAGCGCAGTCTTACCATCATCACGAATCCTGAACTCGTGAATGTCGAAAATTCCCAGATCGCGTCGCAGAGGAAGCTTGCGTTCCACGTTGTAATCGTTGGTCAGGATCATGCCATATCCAGAGTCTTCGGCCCCATCGTAAGCGTGGTTCAAGATGAATGACAGTTGTGGATCGTCAGACAGGCTGTGGACGACCTTGAAATCGAAGGCATTCCGATTATCGAATTGTTGGGCGCCGGTCCAGATCAAATGCTACAACAGCGTGCGGGTCAGTTTGGGAGCGATGTGTGGCGGGGGAGGAAACGCACCCCTTCCCCATCGTAGATATGGGGACCGATCTGGTATTGCTCGTAGAGGCTGGAGGGCGCGTCGGGCTCAATGTGCAGATACGGGGTGACGAACCAGTAACCGGGACTAATGCGATCGCGATTGTGGTGGTGGACGTTGAATTTAACGGCCCTCACGTCAGGGAGCTGGGGAACACAGTGTCAGCGCGAGATCGGCGGAATTGGAGAGCAGAACGGACTGTAACGAATGACATAAGATCATCGCTGGAATATTGTGCCAGCACTGTCTGGCACAGCCATAACAGCGAGATGCTGGGGAACAGCATGATTCTTTCCAAAGGAGTGTGTGGGAGTTAAAGGAGGGAGAATGAGGCCTTCACCAACAGGGCCTAGACAGGCAAGATGCCTGCGGATCGAAGGCGAGCCCCGTGGGGCCAATCGCAGGGACTGGCCGGTGAAGGCTGATATCATTGGACCCTCTGGCGCAGGGAAGGGGGTTGAAACGGAGGAAAAAGTGGTGCTGCGTCCCGTCAGGTCCATGATAGTCCCGTGCCTCGTCAGCTTATTTCCGTACTGACAGACTATGCTAAAACGGTACTATATTCAGTGCAAATTCATATTGTTCAATTGTATTAGTATACAGTGCTAATTTATTTCATAAAGACCCTGAAATATACCAGTACCAATCATCCGTTCGAGGGAAATGATCTACATTGTATACAGCGCGGTCGCAACATGACATCATTGGCTCGAGCATAGGCTCTTGAATGTATACGAGTACGAAGTATGGAGTACAGTATTGTAGAGTAGAGTAGATCTGGATTCATGGACAAGACATGAGATTGATATATACAAATCATTGAAAAGTGAACAAATGTACAGATAAAATGATACGAAACACCCGGAATGCAATGCAGAAACCCAAACACACGCAAGTCAACCTTATGCAGGATCACGATAATTCCAAAGCTTCTTCCGCTCCATAACCCACCAAAGCCCAACCTTCTCCGCCTTCTGAGCCCACTCAAACGCCTCAGGCCCATGACGCGAATGCACCTCCGCAGCAAGCGCACTCATCGTCCAGCCCGTGATAGGCTCAAGCTCATACGGATCCTTGTCGAGGTGGGTGAAGCGGTACTCAAAGTCATTGTTCAGAGGGAGATTGAGACGCCACGGCACAGCGGCGGAGCCAACGCTCAGCATTGAGCCGCCGGCATTGATAACGCCCATGTTCCAGGCTTCGCGGCCGTTGTGGGAGGTGCGGTAGGGTCGGATGAGGGATTGGCCTTCGTACTCGTTCATGAGATCGAGGGCGATTTCCGCATCGTCTTGGTTGAGGGAGTTAGTGTGCACGAGGAGGTCGAGGATGGTCGGGAGGATGGAGACTGCGCTTCCGTTGACGTTGAGGTGCATGCGTGGAAGCAGGGGGTGGTGGAAGAGTAGTGGTACGCGGAAGTTGCTGATGTGCGGGTTGTGGTAGGTTCCTGTCGTAGGACAGTCTTCGCCAAATGCCTGGCCACTGTGGGGTTGGTTAGGTATCGGTTGTGTGGGGGATTGGGGGGATACGTACTGGTCTCCGACAAAGACTGTCAAGGTCTCATCGGCGATGCCGGCGTCGTTGAGTAGTTTCATTAGGTCGCCTAGCCAGGTGTCGACGAAGCGGTTCGCGTTGAGGAAACCATCCATGTGCTCATGCTGGGACTTGTGGAGCTCTCCAAAGTACTCTTCGCGGGTGAACCCTTCGGGTGTACCCCAAGGATGGTGGGTAGTGCTTGTAAAGTGGGAAAGGAAGAGTCGTTTGTTTTGTCGAAGGGTCTCATCAATCATGTCTTTGATGTAGGGACGAGCTTCGGTCTCGGCATAACTGTTTTGGTCAAGTCAGTATCAGTCCCCAGGATTTCAGTGCCCATTCCACATACCCAAAGTAGTTGATCTTCTCCATTCCCTCGTGGAAATAGGTCGAATTCTCCATATCAATGTCCTCGGAGTACAAGGATTGATTGAAACCGAGCAAGTCGATCAGTCGAGTCTGGTCCTGGAACTCTCCAGTGACCGACTGGGCATATATAGCCTCCCACTCGCGTTCAAGAGGCTCGCTTGTCGCGTTCTCCGAAGGCGCAAGACTCTTGCGCTTGTTGAACAGATCCAAGATGTGCATCAAACACGGTTGGTAAGGGATGATATCATTTTCGTGCATGAAATCCACTGGCAACGGTCCCAGACCGCAGTAGTTGACAAGACGCGATTTGGCAGAGAGACTGCTCCCTGACAAAATCCCATCGAAGCTGAGGCCACCCAGCTCTGTGTTCGAGGAATCCACCGACGAGCCAAACCCAGATTCTTCGCCCGTGAGCATCTCTGCTATGGGGGTTATCTGGGAGAGCTTGTCGTGCAGATCCGCCTCGTCCTCTTCGCTGTAGATCTCATAGGTGTCACGGATTTGACTGTACAGTCGGGATGTGTTCTTCAGAGGGAAGAGATCCTTTCTGCCGCTTTCCAAAAAGACAAACACGATGTGGTTGATTGGAATTGCATGATCCTTCAGAGCTTCCTGCAACGGAGCTAGGGGCTCCAAGTCCAGATTCGAGATTCTCATAGGGTCCTGAGACGGGTTATAAAAATAGTGCCGCGGCTCAGCCGTCGCATTCTGATTTTCATGATCCTGTTTGTCTGACACAGACACTGTTTCATTCGACGCAGATCCCGACCCTTCGGCCTCAGGGCTTACCATCCATCTTTCGAAGGCCGCAGGCAGAGGACCCTGAGCCCAAAATGGCTTCTCGTTTCCATATCCAGTGTTTCCAAGGTCGTCCATAGTCGGTGCCCACCCTTTGTAATGACCACTGGCAGGCTCCCGGAACTCTTCGTTCAAGAGCTCAGGCAGCGGGAAAGATTCAATCGCAATCCGACGGGCCCGAGAGTGTTCCCCCAGCATCGTGAATGGAAGAGCTCCAGTCATATGATTGTATGGCACCGCGGGGCGAATCAGCCAAAGCCCAATGGTCACACCACTGGCGACCATCGTCCACAGCCTGGACTTGTTAGAAACCAAACTTCTCAAGTCCGAGGGTCCGGGCAGTTGGTGGTAGATCTTTGAATCTCCCAGATGCGCGAGGGAGCATAGCCAGCGGCTCATGAGATTCCAGATCCCTTGAGCTGCTAGCCAAGAGGCCACCGAGATGACCGTGGCCGTAGCCACCATGGGCGCCAGTCCACTCAAAATCAAGTTCATTCCTTGGCGGCTGGCGCCCACAGATCGGGCTGCGTCCCATCGGATCTCGCTTCCGGTCTGCGAGTAGAAACTGACTTGCGATGATGTTGCTAACAGATCAGTGCATCTGGTTGGGAAAAAGCGGGTCAATATGGTTGGGATCTATCACAACAAACGATGAACCCACGCGATGAATGCCGAACCGATCACGGCGGCCACCGACCACCGACCGGTCGTTGTATATAACAGGATCCATACTGTGACGAAGAGCAGGATCTCCTGGATGAAGAAGGTTGGGAAATAGAGCGCCAACAGCGAAAGAGGCAGCGAGCGATGCTGATATATGTGCAGTAACTTGGAACAGAGACCGGACAGAACCAAAACAGACAAAATCAATCGCTGTGGCTGGTGAAAACGAGGGACAATCATTATAGTCCGCAGCAAGCCGCGACCATCGGGGATAAAGCAAAGCAACGCGCTCTAGCTGAGTAGGAGCAAGGAGGGAGGGAAAGGGGAAAATCGAAAAGGGAGCGGAAATCGACTGCTCGTGTGCTCCACAGCATTTCGGAGTTGTGCCATGGGCGCCACAAATCTGTAGGGCGGATTATAATTGCCAATTGTCTGTCGGATCGTGCGGGTGCGCTAGCAGCCAAGACAGTGGCGCCCAACGGAGCAGTCAGGGGTCCGAGGATGAGGTTGAGGCATCCCATCACTTGAACCGTTCAAGGGCGAGGTGATCGGCGAGGATCGACACAGCCTTATGGTGTTCCACTGTGTCCAGTCCGTACCAGTGCCAGTACACGTCGTGATGTGCTCTGCCAGATATTCGTCTTTGGAGGGTGGGTCGGTGGGCCTGAGCCCGAACAGGGGGGCCTGCAGCCCTGTGTACAGACGGAAATGGTGAGCATAGTGAGCATAAGGGTCTTGGCGTGTTTACGCTGTTGCCTCGTACTCGGATATCGTATCCATCGAGGCGCGGGGCGCAGAGTATACGGAGGACGGAGTACGTCCACGGGTAGTATATCACACACACCGCATGTCTCATATGAATTGGTCGCCTTTCCCGTGGGGGCCATTCTTCTATGTAGTACTCCGTACTCACTACATAGCCCCAATTTATTCGTATTCGTAAGCCTCACATTGATTTCAACATACTATTACTGATTATTTTCATACTTTCTACTGATCCCGCAAAGCCAGCACGGTTTTCAGGTGCTCGTACCCAAGGTCCACCTCCTTCGACCACGCCAACAGACCGGCAGTTTTGATGACATTCTTGATCTGCCGACCATTCAGTGGCACCTCTGCCATCTGGTCAAGTTGCTCATCCGTGAAGCTATTACTGGAGCCGCAGAGGAACTGACTCCAGATATGACGGCGGGAAACGATATCAAGCTCCTGGTAATTCAAGGAAATGTGAATCCGAGACTCAAAGGCTGGATCGATATTCTGCGCCCGGTTGGTGGTCAAGAAGAGGATTCCCTAAGACATGATCAGCAAAATGCTCCTTCCAAGCTCTTTTGTTGGGACTAGGAGCCAAAGCCAACTTACCTCATAGTATTCCAGCATTCTCAGGAAGATCGACACCAGCTCATTGCGAGCAAGATCAGTGGCATCACGAGCTTCCATAAAGACATCTGCTTCATCGAGCAAAAGAACAGCACCCCACCGAGGGACTGCCTTGAGGATCTGCTTCAGGCTCCTCTCAACACTGCTAGCTTCCATCCCGAGGTCGCCGGCGCTCATCACATACAGAGGAACTTTCATGACTTCAGCCACACTCTCTGCAGTCAGTGTTTTGCCGACACCGGGAGGACCGGCGAGTTGCATAATGACACCGCGACCCTTGCCCTGGACCACATCATCAAATGAATCCAGTCGCTTAGAATGGGCCTTCGCAACGCCCAGAATAACCTCCTTGAGTCCCTCCTGCTCTTTCGGAAGGACCAGGGATTCAAATGCGCGCTCGTCCCATTTGATCTCATGTGAGCTTTCCAGGTAGAAAATCAACCACTCTTTATCTTTGAGGGAGTATCCATAGACCAATGGAGAAGCCATCAGGAAATGGGTATCGGTTAATTCATCTTCGTCGATGTGGTTATCCACGCTGATCGTGCCGTTCGGGTGGAAGATATTGTAGGCGTCGGCATCGATGATAATACGCCCCTTCACGTGGTACTTGGTATCTCTCGCATTCTCGTCATCTTCATGGTAGTCTCTGCTGATCGCGGAACCATCGTAAGACTTGAAGTGATACCCTTTATGCTCTTCCCATCGCTTTCCACGCGCAGACAGGATCTGTCGAATGGAATCACTATCCGGGTGATACTTCAACGGGTACACAGGCAAAGACGTAATGGGGACAGTGCCTGTGAAAGTTGGGATGCCGAATCTCTCCGAAGTGTACCCGAAGCGACTCCCGTCGAACTCGACATGGTCGGCATAGAGACACCACCCGCACTTGGTGAGATGCATACTATCGAACCGATGTCCGCGGAGCAGTCCCCCAGCCGAGGAAATGACCACGTCGTGAGGCTCCATGATTGTCCAAGCCAGCGGGTATGTGATGACCCCGTTGGCGACGAGATCCTTTTTACAATCGATCACGTCTCGTAGCTCCTCGTCCATGATGCGGTAGAATAGATCCACGTGTGTCTTGGTGGTGGGATCTTGCTCTTCGTCGCGCAGTCGGATCATGTCTTCCCATCGGTGCACGAAGGGTTTGAAGGGCGCTGTGAACTCCAGACGATCAAGCGTTGTGGTGACTCCGGGGTAGTTGACTAGGACCTTGCCCAGGAAGCCTTTCAGGTGCTCGCTTTGCACAACGATGGAATGAACAGATAGGCTCTTTCGGCCGTCGAAACACTTTTCCTTACGGACCAGAAGGGCATATTGTGCAGAATCGCCATCCTCGGCAGGCTCGGGCAGGTCTGATGGGAGGTCTCGCGTCCATGATCGATTTCCATCCTCATCGGGCTTGGTCTGATATAGGTTACGGAAGTCACAGATGGTGCCTACAGGCTCGTACTTGACTTCTTCTTTGCCATTTTGCTTGGCCGGTTTGGCTATCTGGATGTTAGATCGTACAACATACGGAGTTTCAGTGTACTAACCTGAGTCGTTGGTCTCGATCGCCATGGTACTAAGGTATCTGTTCAGTCAGAGAGTTCAGAAGAAATCGATCGGAAAAGAACAGATGATTATTTCTGAGAGATTGAGAGAAGAAAGAGAGAAGCTGCGTTCAAAGCTCAGCTTTATACCGCTGAAGTACGCCCATCCCTAAGGTGACTGCAGTAGGCATGTCAGCCTCTGAGCTGAGTGTTGCCTACCTGAACAACGCGGGCTACCAATGGAGTATACAGAGACGGAGATCCAGGTCCACCTAGAGCCTCATGAGTCAACGCCCGGCGCTTATTGGATCCACGTAGCATACAGGGTTGACTGCCAAGTTCCAACATCACATCCTTTATCCTGCAAGAATACAATCGAATCAAACTAGCCAATTCTCAAGCAAAGAAGTACTCTGCAGACACCCCCTCAATGATCAATGAAATCACATCTACAAGTGCGGTCGGAATCCTGATCGGAAACTTGATCAGCCTCATTTCGCTTGGCCCTGGACCCTTTCAACCTTCCAGCTTCAAAGCACCTGGGCACTTCTAGTACATGAGTACTGTATTCGTACTTTGTCTCCGTACTCTAGGGCTTAACCCAACCAGGGCTCCATGAATACAAGGTAAAGTTGTCCGGGCTATTCCTTAAACCAACGGCACAGCCCCTTGGCATACGAAAATCAGTCCACGAGTGTCTGAATCGCTACGTAGATAATAGTGGGCTTTTGGAAGTCTGACGATGCGCAGGTGTCTCCGGATTTCCCGATGAGCCGATGGGAGTACTGCGCAGGTGGATGGAGTACCTAGGTAGCATGTCCAGAATATCTAGACACAGCGACCAAGCCCTGAGATGAACAGGCGAAAGCCAAGTATAAGAATGGCATGTTTCAGGGAGATTTTCCTGTAACGGCTGTTGGTCGGGGAGTCTCCACCGAGGGGTTTTAGTTCGGCGTTTTGCACTGCGCCCCGGCCGAAAGACACGCTAAGTATGGGCTGCCTGTTGCGGAATTTTCGATTTCCCCTTCTTTCTCTTTCATTAATTCGTCTCCTAGGGGATTTTATTCTAAGTCTCCATGGAGGGCCAAAACTATGACGCTTTTTGAATGCTAACCTATTCGGTCTGGAACGCTGTCAAACGAGCCCGAATCACTTCCTCCGAGTCTTGAGTGTCCAGCTCACTCAGAACGCCCGAGCCGACGTCATAAATCAATCCGTGAAGCTGAAGGCCACGCTCCTGAATGGCATTCAAAACAACGCCCTTCTGCTTGACAACATTCAAGCCCTCCCGCACATTCAGCTCGGCCAATTTCATCGCCGCCTCATCGGCAGTCATGTTGGATAGGAGCTCCAGATTCCGCTCACGCAGCTGACGCAGGGGCAACAGCCAAGGGTCCAAAATACCCAGGTTCTTGTTGCCCATGGCGGCGGCGACACCACCACAGGCGGTGTGGCCGCACACCACGACGTGGCTCACGCGGAGATACTGCACGGCATATTCGATGACGGCAGAGGAGCTGAGGTCGCCGGGATGCATGACGTTAGCGATGTTGCGGTGCACGAAGACATCACCGGGGTGAAGACCCAGGAAGGTGGTCTCGGGGCAACGCGAGTCGGAGCATCCGATCCACAGGATCTGGGGCTTTTGTCCGTTGGCGAGGGTGGGGAAAAGTTCCGGGTGATCGCGGGCTGTTTGAGCGGCCCATTCCTTGTTCAGGCGCAGGCCTGCCGCATACCGATCTGTGGGATCCGCATCAGGGTCAGTCTGAGTCTCGGAGTTGGTCTCCGGAGCCGGGGTCGGAGGATTTGTTTTGGTGGCGCACGAAAAGGAGGCGGAGGTTGAGAATGGGACGGTGTGCGCAGAACCGGTCGCGCGAACCGGGCGGGAAACTCTGGACTGGGTCACTTGGTGGTGGCCCGGTGAGTCACAGGCTGCCCGCACAGCTCGCGCGAGGAGACCGGATCGCGCAGAAAGTCTTGCGATGGCCATGGAGAGAGAGGGAGAGGGGGAGAGGGAGAAAAGAGAGAGAGAAAGAATGCGAAAAGGTGAAGAGGACTCTCAAATGCGACAGGTCAAATCCCGGCTCAGCGGACCGATGAAATCCAAGGAATTATGATATGATGCCCGGGGACAATTGCTCTCGGCTGTCAGTTGCGAAACGTTGAGAGTCTGCGTACTTCGTGTGCCAGACCCAGAGAGATGAAGCGGGAAAAAAAATGATGGGGAAGATTGCCAAGCAACGACCAAAGCAGTCACACTAACGTACCTTCAGCGGACATATTGAATAATGGATTTAGGGAGAGACTAGAAAGTAAAAGAACAAAAAGAATACAGATCAGAAGAAAAATAGAAATCGGAGGATGTGGAGAGAAAAGTGTTGAGTCCGAGGGAAAACGGAGAGGGTCAACCGCAACCGGCGCTCCGCTATACTTCTGGCCGCAATCTTAATGTTGAAGGAAATTGAAATTGCTGTTCTGATTGGAGCTGGAAATATCTATACTTTTGGGGGTTTACGTCCACTACAAAAATCATGTCGTTCCACCACGGCCACCAACGTTCAGAAGGGTCTTCTTCTGCTCCTCGCTGATCTCGACGGCGGGCAGGGGACGAGCTCCGGCGATCGTGGGCGAAGGCAGGAACCCAGTCTGCACCAGATAAGAAGCATAGAGACCGACGAGCTCTTCCGTCACACCCGCACCGGCGGAGGCGTCAACGCCGGACCAGGCGGCATCGGCGCGCAGAGCAGCCGCGGCATTGACATCGTCCAGCTCGGGAGCCTTGGTGTTGGAGGGAAGGTCGGCAGTGACGAAGTGGTACAGCGGCAAGCTAGAAGGGGCCAAGGTTAGTGATCGTAGGGGGAAGAGGTGACGTCGAGAGAACTTACAGAGCGTGCTGAGACTTCTTGTCGTCGTCCTCACCACCGTTGACATATTGCTCGAGAGCCTTGGACCAGGGGATATAGTCAACCTGCGGAACGTTGTAGCCGTAGAGCTCCAGTGCCCCAAGGAACTCGTTGAAGCGGAGACGAGGGTGTCCAGTGACGTGGGCAACACCGGCAGGGGGAGGGTGGAAGGCACAGGCAATGACAATACGAGATACATGATCTACAGGAACCATGTTCACGGTGTTGTGGATGTTGGGACGGCAGTTGATTTGAATGCAGCCCAGACAGAATCTGATGAGGAAGTCATCGTTGTTGGTAACCTAAGGGATATTAGTATAGATCGAAATGAACCATGGACAAGAACTTACTCCTGTAGTCGAATCACCCAGAACGTATCCGGAACGGATGATGGTGGTCTTCAAGCCTCTGCGGCTAGCCTCCTTGACAAGGTATTCACCAGCCCACTTGCTCTGGCCGTAACCAGTGCCGAGGCCAACTCTGCTGCCCTCCATATCGTCCTCTTCGCTGATGCCATTGCCACCAGCGGCAATGATGCGCTCGGATTCTTGGACGAAATGGTCCTTATCCAAAGCACTGGTGGAACTGACGAAAGCGAACTGCTTAGGCTTTCCACTGCACAGCTTCAAAGCATCGATGGTACCCATCACGTTGGCAGGTCGAAGGGTCGAGTAGGGGTAGACCCAGTGGACAAGAGCTCCGTTGTGAATGACAGCATCGACAGTGTTGGTGAGATCGTCCCACACAGCCTGTGTCAGGCCGAATTGAGGAGTTCCAAGATCACCACAGAGGGCTCGCAGCTTGGAAGTCCAGGCTTCATCCCAGAAGCCATAGGCACGGCAAGTAGCGCGGATACGCTCAAGGGCCTGCTCTTCGGTCTTGGCGCGAACCAAGGCAACAACCTTGGTGGAGGGTGCCTTGCGGGTCAGGAGGTCACGCAGGATGTGAGCACCCAAGAAACCAGTCGCACCAGTCAGGAAGACAAGGGGCTCGGAGGCAAGCATAGCATCAGTGCGCTCAGGGAACGTCTGAGGAAGCTGGCTCACAAGCTCAACGGCGTCCTTCGAATACTCATCATCGGGCTGGGAGGCTTGCACAGCGCTGGCAAGGGTCTTGTCATCACTGGTTGCAAAGGACTCCATGGCCAGCAGGCGATCAATTTCGCCGGCAAAGCCCTTCAAGGTAGGGCTACGGAAGATGGCGTTCATGCTGATGTCAATACCACGCCACTTGCGACGGAGCTCGAAGAACATTTGCTGGGCCAGGATACTGTGTCCTCCAAGGTCGAAGAAGGAGTCGTCGGAGCCAATCATGCGCGAAGTCACATTGGGAATGAGCTTAGCCCACACCTGAGCCAGAGCCTGCTCAGTCTCAGAGAGAGCCTGCATCGCAGATGAGCGACGGCGGGGCGCAGCTGCGCTCAGCTCAGCAGTATCGGGGAAGGGAAGCGCAGGCTTATCAATCTTGCCGTTCGGGTTGAGCGGCATACGCTTCAGAGGAATGATGACAGTGGGAACTGCGTATGTAGGGAGCTTGCTCCGGAGATGCTCACGAGCATCATCACGGAGTGGACGGAAACGCCGCAGAAGGCCGACCATGCCCTCAGCGCTCTCATCGTCCGCAAGACCCTTGCTCTCGAGCCACGAGGCCCACTTGGTCATGTTGGGCACAAAGTAGCTGACCAGAGTTGGCTCCTCATCCTTATCTCTTCGCACCAGAGTCACGTTTTCACGGACCAGCGGGTGACGAGAAAGGTGAGTATCGATCTCACCAAGCTCAATACGGAAACCACGGATCTTCACCTGGTCATCCGCACGACCGGAGCACTCAACATCTCCGGATGGTGTGTACCGACCAAGATCTCCACTGCGGTAGAGACGATCCCGAGGGCCAACGTAGAATTGACGCCAGGGCTCGTTCTTCGCTTCGGCCTGGTCCTTCTCGGCCCAGACTTCAGGCTTGACAAACCAGTTGGTCAGGAACTTCTTCGCACTCAACTCAGGGGAACCAAGGTAGCCCTCTGCAAGACCACCAGCGCGGACATAGATCTCACCGACCTCTCCAATAGCACAGAGGCGAGTAGGATCGTAGCGGTTGACAACGAGCATTTGGACGTCCAACATTCCACGGCCTGCCGGGATGACGTCCTTTGATGTGTCGAGGTAACCCTCGTGGCTGGAGTAACTGGGGATCTCGAAATAGCTGACGGCACGTTGGGTCTCGGTGGTACCGTACATGTTGACGACAGCCACGTTAGGTGCAAGTCCTTGGAGAGAACGGCAGTCACGCTTGATCAAGATATCACCAACAAAGAATGCGTGGTGAAGGGCAGGGAATTGGGCGGAAGCACCGCCCACCAGAATTTGACCCATGGCAGGTGTCAGGTGCGTGACAGTGGCGCCGAACTTCTGCATCCACTCGGCGAGCTTCTCATTTTGAATATCCTCGCGAGCAGGAACCAGCAGCTGGGCACCCAGGAACAAGGGAGTGAAGATGTCTCTCTGGATAGGGTCGTGGGCGATACCACTCAGCATTGTGAACTTCTCATCTGGGGTAAGCTTGAAAGTCTCAGACATCCAAGGGAAGTAATAGGCGAGGGAGAAGTGGCGGCCGCGAACACCCTTTGGCCGACCCTCCGAGCCGGATGTGAAAGACAGAGTGGGAATAGAGTCGGGGCCAACAACGACTCCAGTAGGTTGAGACTTCAGCGCAACTTCGTTGGTGAAGACATCTTGACCGTTCACAGATCCACCGGTGAGGGTTCCGTCATCAAGCAAGGCAAGTGCAGGGATCTCAGTGCGGAGTTCCAAGTTCTCGTTAATGAAGGTGCGCACAATGTCCGAGAGTTCACCTGAATCCCTTGTGGCCTTGGCAATGTTGACCAAAGCGCGGGGACGAGCAACATCGAGGTAAATGTTCTGGCGCTCTGGTGGGTAGGCAGGGTCGATAACGGAGAAGGTGGCACCGGCCTTCAAGATACCCATTACGGCCACCACAAGATCAACACCACGGTAGGCATAGACCATAACGACCTCTCCCCGCTGAATGCCAGACTGAACCAGATGGTGTCCGAGAATGTTGGAAGCCTCATTGATCTGGCGATAAGTGAACTCGCGGTGGGGCGAGGTGCTTGACTCAGTCTCAACCACGCAGAGCTTGCTGGGGTGTTTCTCTGCGTTTGCGGAGAAGATGTCGTGGATAGCACCGCGGAAGTTAGACCAGTTCAGGTTGGACGTGGGGTCGGGCAAGAGTGCGCGCTGATCCTCAGTCATCAGGTCAATGCGACCAATAGCTTCCTCCGGGTTCGCGGCGGCATTGCTAGCAATGCGAGCAAGCTGCTTCAAGATGAATGCAATACGGGCACTTGAGAACAGACGCTGGTTATAGTAGGCCCCCAATTCGACCTCGTGGGCCGCACCATCAGAGAGGTTACCGGGGGCAACATTGACCACTAGATCAGTGGTATCAAAAGTGTTGGCCGGATATTCCTGCGAAGCAGCAGGTGCATCATAGGCAGCAAAGCGGAAGAGGACGGGAGTGCGTTCGGAGTTCAACTTTTCTTGGATGTAAGAGCGAAGGCTGCCCAGTGGGACGATCTGGGAAGCGCCTTCCTTGAACGCCTGTGTACAGTAGACAATTAGCAAACAGTAAAACTATGCCTTTCCAAGATTGAAACAAAGCACTAACCTGGTCAACCTTCTTATAGAGCTGGACAAAGGTCTCCGAGGCATCGATTGGGACCCTGATCACGAATGGACGACCATCCTCGTCAGAGCTGGTCCCCACAGCGATGTCCTCATCGCCGGTCAGACGAGCCACCAGAACGACAAAAGCAGTGAGGAAGACTGTGAAGGCCGAGGAAGAGCCGGAGATCTTCTGTAGCTGCGATTGGGATTCCTTGGGGAGTTGGAGAGACTCAAAGGCCTCAATGGCCCTCTTGTTGTCAGTAGTTTGTGTGTCGGGATAATCGCGGGTCAATGGAGACACAGTGAGGTTATTCAACCTTTGTGCCCATGCCTCGAGGCGGTCCTGTAAGACCGCACCCCCAACCATGATGTATGTGAGATATGAAAGGAAAAAATGACCCGATGAGTCAAGTTACCCCCCCATAGCGGCCGCGGGAGGGGTGGGAATGTCCGATTTCGCCGCTCTCTGTGTGCACTGTGATTGGCTGGGGTCAGTACTCCCCACATCCACTGTAAATTGAGCTGTGAACATCGGTCGAACAATGATCCGCACATCAACAGCTAGAGCCGCATATTCATGACAGTTCTCTCCCCTGAATCCTACCCAGGTATCCTTTCATGTCCAAGTTTGGACATAGCTCATGTCGGCCTCTGAGACTTCTTCGTCACCCGACCCCCAGGTGAGGGATGGCTCGTCTGCCCAACATGCAGAGACAGCTTTATCCGGACCCCCAGTACAAACACAGGAAGACTCTTCGAAATCAGACACCGGCTTGGTAGACACTGTGAAATCAGACAGTGCAGAAGGACAGGCATTTCGCGACATACCCTCGAACCCCGACGCAGAAAGCTCGATAAACACTACCCATGCTCATACACCAGCTGAGATGCAACCACTTGCGGGGCACATGGAGAGACTGTCTGTCTCGGGGGATACACCAGCAGAATCACCGTCAAGTACAAATACACCTCCTCCTCCTCCACCCCCCGCAAAAGACAACGTTTACGCAAACACAACTTCCACCCCTGCGCCAACGCTACCGCCTATTGATACCAACACGAATCCCATTTCCGACAAAGAGCTCCCAGAAGTGCCGAGTGATAACGATCGAGAGTTGAAACAAGGCCAACAAACCGAAGGCGGACGGGAGGATAATGATTCACAGCCCGAAATTCAAAACATTATGGGACAGTTTCAGGACCCCGCGCGGAGTACCGACCAAATGGAGATCATGTCTCCACGGCTCGAGCTGGCGGAGCAGTTTCGCGGAGGCCCAGCTTACTTCCCACCCCGGAAAGCAAGTTTGGACCACGTAGAATCTACCGAGTCTACAACAACTCCAGTCCCTGCGCCTGCGGGGGATCAGCCTGGACCCATCCCCCACAACCCCGAGTCCCCAGTATCGAACCGGCGATCATCTACGTCAACAGTCCCACCCCTCCCAGAACCAGAGTCAGAACAGCCATTTGATTTCCATCGGTTCCTAGAACAACTGCGTCACCGCACTGCCGACCCTGTCGCGAAGTTCTTGCGCTCATTCCTTCACGAGTTTGGGAAAAAACAGTGGATGGTTCACGAGCAAGTGAAGATCATTAGTGACTTCCTGACATTTATAACCAATAAAATGGTCATGTGCGAGGTCTGGCGCGATGCGTCTGATAGCGAGTTCGACAATGCCAAAGAAGGTATGGAGAAACTGGTCATGAATCGACTATATTCTCAGACCTTCGCGCCGGCGATCCCAGCCCCACCAACAATACCCCGAAGTGCAAGCCGAAGCCGACGAAGGGAGCTCGAGAGGCTTCATGGGCCATGGCGCCGTGGCCAACACCAAGAAGACATTGAACGGGATGATATCTTAGCGCAAAAGATTCGTATCTACAGCTGGATCAACGAAGGACATCTTGATATTCCACCCGTCAGCGGCGGTGGGCGTCGGTTTTTGAACCTGGCCCAACAAGGTGCGTGTGCCGACCAGGCTCTTTGGTGAAAAGCATTAACGTTGTCGTCTAGAAATTTCAAAGATCAATAACTATCGAGCCCCTCGGGACAAGGTCATCTGTATTCTGAATTGCTGCAAGGTCATTTTTGGTTTGCTGAAGAACACCAAAAAGGCCGACACATCGGCAGACTCTTTCATCCCGCTGTTGATCTACGTAGTGCTTCATGCAAACCCAGATCATCTCGTCTCCAACATCCAATACATCCTTCGATTCCGCAACCAGGACAAGCTTTGCGGAGAGGCTGGGTACTACATTTCATCCTTGGTACGTCGCATTCTGACAAGATCCACCCAGCATCACCGTGGCCCAATACCCAGACTAACCTCTTTCAGTCCGGAGCGATCACATTTATTGAGTCCTTAGACCGCACCAGTCTGACTGTCAGCGACGAGGAATTTGAGCGCAACGTTGAGGCTGCTGTATCTGCCATTGCCGAACAAAATCGCGAATCCGAAACATTCGAAGAAACCCCCTCCACCCAACCCCCCTCATCCCATCCGCAAGCTGGGCCAAGTCGCCAACAAACCTCGCAGTCCAGTGACGAGGACAGTTCCGCCCCGGTAGCAGGACTACTACGCACTATCCAAAGACCACTGACTACTATCGGACGCATCTTCTCTGATGAGCCCGACTCGGGCTCCGCTGCCCCTCCGGACCGCCTGCACCCCATCGCAACACCCCAACCCGGCGTCGCTCCTCGCCTTTCCCCGAATGTTTACCAGCCCCCTCGCGCAAGTAGTGAGGAGGGCCGCCGCTCCGGAGACGAGCGCTCCCACTCTGCCCATCGAAGTGCCACTTCTGCGCAGAATAATCTCAGCCGTGTCCTTGATGCTCAAGATGCCGCCGCACGACAGGCAAGTGCTGAAGATGCCGAGGCACGTCGGATCCAGCGTTCTGAGCACAGGAATGTGGTAGAGACGTTGTCGAATATGTTCCCCAACCTTGACCGAGATGTCATCGACGATGTCGTGAAAATAAAACAGGGAAGGTGAGTACTCTTTTCGACCTCAATCGTTCTGCCACTAATCTCCTATCGCAGGGTTGGTCTAGCAGTTGATGCATGTCTTGCACTTAGCGCAGAGTAGGATATAGAAATAATGCCATGGCCGTTCGGGAATTCCCTCACAAAATACCTCTGATGATACACGTAAAGTGAGGAATATCGAAAATAATTTGTAGATCGCGTATTGTCACGTCGGCAGTTGGACGGGCGCCAATGCCACCCAAGACCTCTCCAAGATCCTCGGCTCCCCGCAAACCGCGGTCTCTCCGGGACATTCGTTCAAGTCAATTTAAATCCCGGGTCTTTATGTCTTTTGAAACCTGATCTTCTTCAAAAAGCAAAATGTCTCCGTTTCGCATCGTCGAACATGTTGTACCTACCCAGCACATTAGGGAGTATCCGGGCGCGACGGCCAACGAACAAGAAGAACCCCTGCATTTAGCTGTGAAGCAGTATATTCCACTTGATAACCCCAATCCGCAACCAGGCGATGTGACTATCCTCGCTGCGCATGCGAATGGTTTCCCCAAGGTATGCGTCTGAAAATGCCGAGGTCCAGTGGCGCGGCCCCGTCCAGGAGGCGCGTGCAATGCGACGCGACACAGAGCAGTTCGCTAACTGTGGTAGGAACTATACGAGCCTCTCTGGGAAGAAATCCACGCTCGGTCCAAGCAGAATGGGTTCCGCATTCGCAGTATCTGGATGTCCGATGTGGCACAAGAAGGCCAGAGCAGCGTGATCAATGAAGACTCGCTTGGCAATGATCGTGGGTGACAGTGCCTTGTCCGAGAAGACCATGATGCTGATATTGTTGTAGCGAGCTGGTTTGACCACCCCCGCGACCTACTTCATCTGGTCAATGTTAAGCGGGCTGAAATGCCCCGTCCCATAGTGGGCATTGGACACAGCATGGGAGGCGCTCATCTGTAAGTCGAATCGCGAACACTAATTCCACCAACTAACCCTTATAACCCAGCACCCAACTATGTCTAATGCACCCGCGGCTCATCCACACATTGATCTTGCTCGACCCCGTCATCCAACGCCAAACCACCCAGCTTGACGGTCTCAGCATGGAACAGAATATGCGCCGGATCGCCAAAACCACCCAACTCTCAACTTACCGGCGCGAACTCTGGCCTTCACGCCAAGCTGCCGCAGAAGGCTTCAAGCGAAGCCCCTTCTACCAAGCCTGGGACCCAAGAGTCCTCTCCCGCTGGGTCGAGCATGGCCTCCGTGATCTCCCAACAGCCATCCACCCACTGGACCCAAAGACTCAAATCGACTCTGCGGGACCCCCAGTAACCCTGCGCACTCCTCTCCACCAAGAGGTATTCACCTTCTCGCGCCCCAACTACCACCACATCCCGCGCAGCGGAAAGCCCGTCAACCGCGTGACCCACCCAGATCTGGACGCAGACCACCCCCACAACCACCCATTCTACCGGCCCGAGCCAGCACGTATCTTCGCGCAGCTCCCCTTCCTTCGCCCAAGCGTGCTGTATATCTTCGCCGGAAAGTCAGACATGTGTCTTCCCGATATGCGCGCTGATAAGCTCGCCAACACTGGCATTGGACAGGGCGGCAGCGGTGGGGTTGCAGCCGGTCGTGTGCGAGATGTGTTCCTTGAGGAGAAGGGGCATTTACTTGCACAGGAGGCCGTGGATGAGTGTGCCGATGCGGCGGCCTCGTGGCTCGCACCTGAGATCCGGCGCTGGAAGGATGAAGAGGAGAGCTTCCGATCGAGTTGGAGTAAGAAGTCCAAGATTGAGAAGATGACTATCGATGCCGAATGGTTGGAGAATGTTCCGGCGCCGGCGCGCAGACCGAAGGCGCAAAGTGGTGGCTCGAAGCTGTGAGGAATGTGGTTGTCTAGTATATCGTCTGGAAGAATGTCTTTCTCACACAATAATTACTTGCATAGATAGACACAGTACTAGGTACTGGGACCATTGAATTTTCCATACATCTAGTTACTTGTATGAGATGAGCTTGACTTATTAGTTCTAGGAGAAACAGGAATCAATCCCATCCATCTATAGCCACAACTAAGGTTCGCGGACCCTCATGTAACACCGAGAAAAAATGGTATATTCCTACTTGAAATCATGGGTATTGCGTTACCGGTGTGATTTTTGCTCGTATGCTCTACCAAAGATAGCAACGCCAGAAGAATGCCAAAAATATGCTCTACTCCCAGTCTCAGTAATGAGCAGAGAAGGAGGATGGTGTCTATTTCATGGGTATGTCAGGTATTGCGGTTGCAACACCCAAGCCGCCAGATCATGGGCGACGAGTGAATCGAGGTCAGAAAGAACGGCGAAGGAAAAACCAAGAAAAAGGATCACGTTGACTTCTTGGTCTGAGTCAAATCAGAGACGCGCACCACGTCGGGGATATGCCAGAAACGCGCCCATCGGAGGTGATATTCATCTTGTCGGTTGTTGAGACAATGACGGAGCCAGATACCCCACACAATATAAAGGTATGCGCCGATACCGGTCATGACGTGCCTGTAAGACAAGTTAGCAGGAGCTTGCAAATAACACGCTTGGTTCAAAACATACCACCAGCCATGGCCCTCCAAGAGCAGACCCCACGGTAAACCGATCTTGCGGCGCATCTGACGGATCTCAGAGCAGAATATATTATCCAGGTTCCAGATCAAGAAACCACCCAAGAACATGCTCAGCCCGTAAGTGACCATGAACCACATAGTCTTGAGCATCTTGATGTCGCGCACATTTTCGTAATGTTGGCGCTCCTTAGTTGGCACGGGCAGACCCTTCTTTTGGAGCTCCAGACGGTCCTGCTCGGTCGAGTGGCGCCATTTAGGTCGGAGTGTCACTTCCATGGTGTACATGCTGCGCAACACAACGACAGTAGTCAGAAGCGCATAGGCGTTTTGGTGGAAGATTGGGTCTTGAAGATAGTGGTAATAGAGGGTGATGAACACAGCGAGGCTGGCGAGGGAAATACCAAGCCATATCCGTACCGTTGTGGAGCGCGAATATGAAAACAGGGCATAGGCCATGAGACAGGTGGTATAGATCATGGACAATTCATCAACTAGTTGCATGGGGTCTGTGGCGGTCAGCGAAGCTCTCGTGACTGTCCCTGAGAATTCATTCCAGATATGCTTTCCATAGTTTCTCGGCACGAAAGGGGACAGGACTTGCATTTGAGAGTGGAATGGAAGAAGAAGCTGCCTGTTCCCACCACGAGGTATCCCAGCAGAGCAACACTGAAGATCTGATCATGTCCATTTCGACGACAGCTGAGAATGCCCTGAACACCGAGCCACATAAACATCAGGTTCGTCAGGGTGTTCACGATCTCGGCCGCATATGGGGTGGCATAGTAGTCCTGCGTATGTGTTAGCTTTGGTCTGCCCGCGCGGGTGGGATGCCTACCTCCTCGCACCAGTTCAGGGTCGAGGTAACAGGTTCCCAGTACCCATCCTTGGCATGCGGGTATGGAAATGAGAGAGGCCAAGCCATGTTATTGTCGAGAGAGATCAGCTCGAGAATATTTAAGGAAGAGGAAGCGGAAGCGAAGATGACGTCGATGAGTGTCCCCCCAATTGGGTTTAGCTCATTGGCTGGTGCCTCCCGAGGTCCGCACGATGCCGGAAGCGCTGCGTTGCTTGGTCGTTGCACTTGGTAATTCGTGGGATTTTGTTGGTCAATTTCCCCTAGGGTGAGGCTCTATATAGATCGCTGCTTACGGAGTACATATTCTAAGATCTGAGCTCTTTGTTGTTACGATACGCTCCGCCAGACTCTAGGCAGAACCGGGTGTACTGTAGATGCTCATTACAGGACAGTGATTCAAGCGAGTAGATGAACTGTACATAGGAGGAACTGAGCAAGAACAGAGGCCCAGTAAGGACATACAGGTCAATCCGGAGTCAGGGGAACTGCTCATGAGCCTCCAAGGTTGTCCTCCAAGTGAGCCCTGTCGAGATGTCGTAGATGGCGGTGAGGCTTATCGATAGGCCGCAGATCCCGATGAAGTCACCATCCAACGTCTACCCGAGGTCTTGTACCTGACATCGGAGTCTCAGAAAGCCCATTGACTCCTGACGGCTGTGCCATATATCCCCTTGTTTCTTCGCGTGCCTGGAATGCGAGCTGATATTGCCCGCTCTTGGCTGTGACTGACTTGGCCGGCGAAGGTTCTATTTTTTACGCATCCGGCTCTCCGCGCGTACCTGGCAGCCACACCACACTCGGAAGTCCGATCTGGAATCGGACCATCGCCATATTAAACCCATACTCAACAGGCTCTTCAAGGCATACGTGGAAGTTGTCGCCAACAGAATGTCGAAGAACGGCACAATAGCGGTGCCGCAGGTAAAACCGGGCACCTCCACAAGTATGTATCATTGATTTATGTCTGGTCTCACCACTAATCTCCGTCAACTGTTGCCTACAGCCTCAAAAACACCTTTCCATTTCGCGGCCGGTCTTTGCTCTGGTCTCACATCCTCCATTCTTCTCCAGCCCGCCGATCTGCTCAAAACTCGAGTCCAACAATCGCAAGGAGCCGCCCTCCTCCCCACCCTCAAGGCCATCCTCTCCTCTCAGAATCCCATTCGCGGACTATGGCGTGGGACACTACCATCAGCGCTGCGAACCGGATTCGGCTCAGCTCTCTACTTCACCAGTCTTAACGCACTGCGCCAAGCCGTTGCGCAAAGTAATCCATTGGCTCTAGCTAGCCCAGTGACAGGTGTCAAGTCGTCATCTGTTCTTCCCAAGCTCTCCAACACTGCGAATCTCGCCACGGGTGCCGTTGCAAGAGTTGCCGCGGGCTTCGTCATGATGCCCGTGACCGTCCTGAAGGTCCGTTACGAGTCCGATTACTATGCATACCGCAGCTTGCTGGGTGCAGGTCGAGACATTGTACGCACTGAAGGTTTCCGCGGACTCTTTGCAGGGTTCGGCGCGACTGCTGCTCGTGATGCCCCATATGCAGGTCTCTACGTTCTCCTATACGAGCAATTGAAGCGCCGATTGGCCCTGATGACCACACAATCCAGCGACGGAGCCACCGTATCTAGCGTGTCCTCCTCTTCCATCAACTTTGTCTCAGGCGCCGCCGCAGCAGGCATGGCAACCGCAATCACCAATCCATTCGACGCTGTCAAGACCCGAGTGCAGCTCATGCCCGCTAAATACGGGAACATGGTACACGCTACGCGCCTGATGCTTCGCGAAAATGGTCTGCGCAGTCTCTTTGGTGGCCTGGGTCTTCGCATGGGCCGCAAAGCCATTAGCTCGGCGCTTGCATGGACCGTTTATGAGGAGCTGATCCTGCGCGCTGAGAAGCGCTGGGAGTCCAACCACCAGATGGGACTATAGGTTTGCACTTGCTGGCCAGCGCATCACTCCAACCGATCTGTATCAACCTCTTGTATCATATTCTCTTGTCCTCGACAGTTCTCCTCGTGGCTCCGATCTGTGTCCGTGCACGCGCGCGCATACCTTGCATCGAGCTTGCCCCAATGGGGGGCTGTACATAGCAGGCTGCGGCCTGGCATATGTATCCACTGCATCTGCACATGTCATGTCAAATAATCTCCGATCACAACGACCTCAACTCAAATTACGCTTACGGGCTCTCTCTACTCATGGAACCCACTTTTGCACTATCCTGCAGAGAATGGTTCAAGTCTACAGGGCATTGTAGCGATTGCCTTCGTAATAACATAATTGCAGTGGAAAACCGAGGTCATGAAATCATAAGGCGTTACTGTACTACCACATACTCTGTGATATAAAAATCAAAACTAGATCACAAAAAGAAAACCCGAAACAAACCCAAAATTGACACGAAAGGAAAACAACAAGGCGTATACGCATATTCAACATTCTTATCCGGCGTAAATCATGTCAAGGCAACCAACGCAGAAGCAAAGACTCATGTCCACATAACACGGCTTCTGGGACTCTTCTTTCGGACAAGGAACATCTTATCCTTGTTGCGGTCATTGACCTTCAACTCGGTCATCGAGTGGGAAGTCTGAGCGAGGACCTTACCCTCACGTATGCGTCGGGTGTGGGCAAAGAGATCTTCTTGGAATTCCTCACTGATCCATTGTTTGATGACGATGAAGTTGGTATCGGTCTGCATTCAAAGTCAGCATTAGAGCAAAGACGATGTATTCGGGGCTCCTACCTCGTCCCAGTCCCATGGCAGGTTGTAGGCAATCAGTGTTTCGGGGAGTAGGTGTTTGCGGTGGACCTGGTATGGTCATTAGCGTGAGGCCCATGGTCAACAGGAGAATTCTTACCTTGATCCAGGTCACCTTATGTTCGTGTTCCTTGCCATCTTTTCCGTCTTTTCCATCCTTTCCATCTTTACCGTCTTTTCCGTCCTTGGCTTCTTTTTCCTTCTTTTTCTCCTTCTCCTTCTCCTGCTTGCCCTTGGAGATATTTGCAATGTCCTCCTCGGTCCACCCAATGCTGCGGAGATGATCATGGAACTCCTTGATCTTCGCCGCGGCCGCTGCTGCCTCCCGCTGCCTGGCGCGTTCCTGTTCCAGCTTCCACTGCTCAACGGCAGCGGCTTCAGCAGCAGCCTTGGCAGCAGCCTGATCGGCCTGTAGCTGCTTCATGCGCTCCTGCTCCTGCTTCCACTCCGCAACAGCAGCAGCCTTCATGGCCAACTCCTTAGCCCGTTGCTCCTCGGCGGCCTTTGCCTTCCTCATATCTTCATCTCGAATCTCTTGAATGAGCTTCTCCCGCTCCTCCTCTTCCTCCTTCTCCCGAGCAAGCTGCTTCCACTTTTCTTCGCGCATAAGCTTCTCCCTCGCCGACTTCTCGTCCTGTGATCGCGCAATCTCCTTAAGTCTCTCCTCCTGCAGCTTCCGCTTCACCTCCTCCTCTTCCTCGGCCGCTCTCTTCTCAGCGGCATACCTCTTCATCTGCCAGCGCTCATCGGCTCTCCGCTGCTCCTCCTGACTAAGATGCTCCCGCTCGAGTTCTTTCAGCCGCATGCTCGCTGCGGCCTTACGCTCCATCTCTTCAGAGCGCTGCTTGCGCTCAAACTCCTGCATAGCGCGCGATCGCTCCGCAAGCGCATCTTCATAGTAGTCTTCACGCTCGCGCCACATCTTCGCCTCCAGCCGGGAATCCACCGGATCCGGATGCGCATGCGCATGCCGCTCCATGGCAGCTTGCTCGCTGCGCTGACGAACCTTCTCCAGCTGCCGCTGCAACTGCTCGTGCTCATGTCTCAGCATCTTGAGGTCTATGTCCTGCCGAACATCGTTGTGCTCGAGGAGATGTTGCCCCATGACGAGCTCATGGTCCCGGTGGAACGGCGACGGCTCCCGGGAGACGCTGGAGGCGGCACGCTCGCGCCGAGGTGGCGCAGGAGGCACGGCAGGTACAGCAGGCGCAACAGGCACGGCCAAAGGGACGTGAGCGTAATCGTCGAAGTGGTGCGGACTGGCACTGTGGCTATGGTTATGGTTGTGATCATGACGCTCCTCGAAGCGCTGGTTCACGCGGCGGGACTGCTGCTTGTTTTCGGGTCGGTTGTCGGACCGTTGCGCCTGCTCGTTGTAGATGTTGATATTGGTTGGGCCGGGATCCCGGCCGCGTCGACGATTTCCACCGGTCGAGGTCGAGCGGTACATGCGCGATGGCTGCTCTGGGACGACTAGCTGCGGTCGGGGCTGCCGACGGTGGGTGGAGGTGGCGCGCTGGTGGAAATGGGTTCGCTGGGCGCCTCGCCCGACGGAGAAATCGGTGTCGTAGTATTCCGAGTCATCTGAGGCATACTCGTCTGGGAACATGGCTGCTTCCATGGGCATTTTGATGTTGGGTTGCGATGGTGGATCGCGATAGATAGGGTCCTCCTGATAGAGGGGCCTAAGCGGGGAAGAGGGTATCAGTTGCCAGTGGCGGGTGATGTGTGTACGCTGTAGGTTGTAGCGTGCAAGAGAAGAAAGTCGAAAGCCCAAAAAAATACACACAATGTAAAACAGGAGTTTAGCCCGGGAGTGCGCCGATCAGAGAGGGGTAAAAGAAAGAGAAGAAAAACCTAGGCCCGGGGGCTATTTATTCACCTGTCATCTATTCTTATTTTCGGAAACTCGAAACTGCACTTCAGCCTCATGGCGCAAAGCCTTACAGATCGGCCAAAATCCCACCGTTTGAATGGTTCTTTTGGGAATGTTTCCATATTCTACGGATGGACTTAAATCTTTCATTCTGATACTGATACTCGACCCTTATCATGTCCCATCCTCGAATCCATTGTCATATACGGAGTACATCCAGGCCCACTTTTGAGATGACCGTCCCTGTCGACATAGCGCCCTATGACTAGCGCTGCAGACCGCACATTGGGCATCTGAGCTGCACCTTCTTAATGGGGGCGAAATTCTCTGCTCAATTCACGGCTTTTGCCGTAGACTCTGGAACTCACTAGAATTTAGGAATCTGATCTCACCCGGGACTTGAATGTATCGGGCAGATGTTTCAGGTCAATGTAAACCCCTTGGGCTGCAGAGATGGAGGTCCTTAGATTGGTCCCATGGAAATGCCACGCTCGACCCGTGGATGGGGGCCGAATCCCGTGAGATGAGCCATGGCACATGACCCCTCCACCGAGGTCCTTCAGTAGTCTATCTGGAGCACTGGCATATTTTCTAACGGCTACTTTATCACAACTGGAGTAATTTGGGCCTCGACATTCAAACCGTGTAACGGTACTCCATAACGGCGAAATCACATCAATCTGACGTAATCCTGGATCTACGGGGAACTTGAAAGTGGACACGGAGGAGGCCGCCCGAGGTTTGCAAATACTCACTTGACGCTACACTTACCACTTTGTACACAGTGCCAGTACCAGTACACCAAAAGTAAGCTTTACCTTTCCTTTAACTCTAGACTTTACATTGGACTGCGCCTATCCGGTCCCCGCCACCCGAATACTCTAAACAAAGGATGCGAATGTTTACTCCGCACATTGCATGGTTTGCACCATGAAGGGTCCCGGGAAGATCCCTGCGATAGAGCGAGATCAGCCAAGATCATCACCTATCATCTATGTACTGCATCAGTACCTCTGGCTGGGAATGTATCGACTATCTTTCGCCACAGCCCAGCCAACAGAGATATCATTTACTGGTAGAATGCCATGTTCCACGAGACTGTGCCGGGCGAGTCGCGCAGACTACGTCATCTTTTAATATGTGCGGTGGGGAAGGTGCGAAGGTCCTGGGCGCAATGACGACAACGGCGGGATCTGTGGCACATCAAGATTGCCTTGACATTTGGACGGAGCACTATATACTAGCATAGTGCTTTTGTTCTTCGATATTTACTTATAAGTCTGTCTTGACGTCTAGAGGAACTTGGCATTGTGGACACTAGTGGTCCACGGATCTATGGCCCCCGGCCTTCAGCCCTATATCGGATAAGCACATCACTGGAAATGGGGCAGAGAATGTGCATTGCGCATGGTCTCCTTGCGTTTAACGCTTCAAGGTTTTGCTTGCGACAGCTGCATAAGGTCGAACAGCCCCACTACGGAGTACAACGAAGACGTACAGCATGCAACTTGCAGATCCGAAGATCATGTTATATCACACGTACTGTATTCAAGTTCGATGCCATGGTGATATAGTTCAGGAGAGCGGTCCACCCGGGGTAAAGGCACCTGCTCCGAGCGACCTTACTCCGTACATATTGCTGCAATCCCGGGAAACCGACGAACGACCGAGTCTCAAGAAACAAGTGAATAGGGCCGCGAGGTCAACATGGTATATTTTTTCAACCCACTTGTTCGATAGGAAAATGCAACAAGCGACAACTCCTGGGTATCTAAGTCATCACACAAGTATTTCTTTTTAGGAAGTCAGGCCAATGCAGGCCAGACCATGCGGACACAGGGCACTGCATACTCATGCGCCCCTTGCAGTCCAGGGAAGTCCGCCAGCCCCGAACAAAGGAAACCAATCCATATATCTTTGTTGGGTGTTGTAGGTCCACCCGAAGAAACAGACCCTGAGATCGTCGACAGCATGTCTGTCTTAGACCACGTCAACACGATCCCGAGGTAGACTGCCCTGGTATAATGTATAGCGCCCCCGATACCGTATCATCCACAGGGCATAATCACGCCCGACCTCATCTCATTATTTCAACGGATCCAACTCAAGCCCGTCCAGACTTAAGGATCGCCTCGAGATTCTCCCGACTCTTCTGGTTCGTCGTCTCATGGTACTGCAACTTCTTCTCAAGGTTCGTGATCTCGGTGGCAGCCTCGCCGCTCTCGCGGGTAAGGCGCTTGTTCACTGTATTGATTGGAACATTGACGAACCTGGAACAGGGGGTCAGCCACAGATGCGAAGCGGTTGCGAATGAAATCGAAAAGAAAGAAAAAAAGTCCGTAATCCCAAACCGATCCAATTAGATCGGGGGAACAGAGACGGACACAAATGGAAAGAATGCCAATGTAGTGCTTACATCTTCCCGCAACCTTCGTAGACATTGGTTTCACTGGGTAGTTCCGATAGCTCCTTCGATGTGAGTTGCAACATGCGGATCTCGCGCTGCTTGGCGGTCATGTGCGTCTTGGTGAGGCTGATTTGTTGTTGGGAGGCCACTGCACGGGTCTCAATCTCCTGGAGGAGCTGTTGGGAATATCTCGTTAGCCTCCTGGTTCTGAGATTGCGGTTCGATTGGCCATGCGAGGTAGTTGCCGCTAGCGAAACCGGGGTCTGGCGCCCTGAAATGATCGCCCGTCCACAAAACCGACTATGAGGGGGAACCTGGGTCGTTTGTGTAGCGTACCTTCTGGAGAGCCTCGTTGGGAATCGACATTATGACTCTGGACGTTGATTTCGGAGCTTGTTGAGGGGTAGGAGGGGCGCGGAATTGTTTCGTGAGAGTGGAGCTTTGGGCCGGAGGTTTATGGCCTTGTCGGTGTAGAGTGAGTCTGACTGACTCAAGATAGATTAGATGTTTCGCGTCGGTGCTTTTGTGATGTCTTGACGGCCAGAGCCATTGGGATATGTCCGGCGAGTCTCATGATTGGCGGTGACCGCTTTAGGGCGGTGGGCTTGAATTGCCTGATTTTTGACCACGCAGCAGAGGGCCATTGTTGCTAGCATTCTTTCATCATTTGGTGAGAGGCAGACCATTGATGGTCTCAATATCAATGGGGACACAGCTTAAGCTGTCCTAGACCTGGAAACCCTACTTCAGTTGCGCAAATTTTGACTCAGGCCTCGGCACCTATGAAAAGCCCTACTTACTCTCTCATGACGATGCGCGGGCCTGCCAAAGGAGAATGATTTAAATGAATCCCGAAAAAGCGCCTCTTTGTACGGATAAATGCCCTACAAGAGGTTCCCCGGACCCCTGGAGATCAGGAATCGGGCAACTGAACTGACCAGTCAAACCTGGCTAAGAGGTTTACCAACCCGTGGCGTAGCACGCCTATCCTAGCGGCAACCTCTTGATTCTATGATCACCAGAAACCTTGACTTGCCAGCGGAGATGGAAGCGACCCAAGGGGCGGTTTGAGATACAATAGCAAGGAAAAGGGTCGGCATCCGGAATACGAAGTATACCCTGGTCCCTGGATCAAGGCAGCCACTTTGTCGAAGGAATTGCCTCTCCTACCCTACTGAGTACTTTGTATATCAATGACAAATAGCCTCAAGGGTGCAATATACTGATCCTAGTAGTACTTAGAAATTACTGAAATTTTAAAATGATGTATGGAAATAAATAGTATTGGTTCGTGCTATGCGATGTGGAGATCCAAGTGTAGAAATTGAAAAGACCAGACAGAGTGTATCAATGACATTGAGAAAAAAAGGAAATAGAAGACAAGGAAATAAAGAGAGAGAAAAAAAGAGAAAAAAAAAGATCGCAATCCTCCCATCATTCTTTAGTTCAGGTTCATTGAGCTTTACCAATCAGAGCGCCCATAGGCCCCGCCAACTCCTGCTCTGATCTCAAACAGAAAGCGAACAGCCCGTATTCAAACATTCAAATTAGACTTTGTGGGTGGAGATGAGCAGCATCTAGTATTGCGATGGCTCGGTGTTACACCACAAGTCATATTCACCAGCGGTTGGCTCGGGGATAGTCTGTCCATGGCGAGCCAGATCCCATGATTGCTCGCGACCTTCCACGTTTTGCATGCTGGGGAGGTAGGAGTCCATGCCCTGCGAGTAAGGTGCAGGGGTGGGAGGCAGGGATGATGCAGAGGCAACGGGATAGTAGGGTGTAGAGGACTCGTCCCAGGCCGGGTATGAGCAGGGAGAAGCATATGTTGCCATTGTGGACTCTGCTTCAGTGTCCTGGGTGAGTAGACGTGGGTCCATGTCGCCGAGGGGCAGACCGTGCATCATTTGGATCTGGGGCTGGGGCTCGAGGAGCTCGTGGTGTGTGGCTCCTGGAAGTCCAGCGAGGGTAGATTCGTAGTTGATGTCTTGGGGTGGGCTGACGGGGCCAAAGGTGTCTTCGACTTTGGAGATGGTGGGTAGACCGTGGGACATGCCCACTGGGTGGCTGGTGTTGGACCAGTGTGGGTGCTGCTGGATGTAGTTCGGGATCATCATGTCTGGTCCATCGAATGGAGATGAAGCCCGGCTGTCATGGTAGTAGGAGTCCCCGAAACTGTTCGAGCGCGAATGGCTGCTGTAAAGAGGTCTGTGGACACTGCCAAAGTCACTGTCCAGGTCGGAGAAGCCACTCTCATCGGTCATGTGTGATGGCATTGTGGAGGAAAGGCCGCTGTCGCGACGGTTGGTGCTGTTCTTGAGTGGAGCGAACTTGTAGTCTGGGTGTGTGGCGGCATGGTTGTCGCGCTCAATCCGAGCCAACTCATTGTACTTCCTGCGAATCTCAGCAGGCTCCATGTGCCACCCGAGACCGGTGACCTTGGAGACAATCTGGTGGTTATTGGCACCAACCAGGAGCTTGGTGCGCGCGGTATAAGCAGAACGGTAGAGCATGTAAGCGTTCATGGGTCGAGAGATCTTTCCATTCTTGCTCCGAACTTCTTCGCGGCGTGCTTGAGGAGATCGGTTGACCCAGGCAACCATGTCACGGATGGGAGTGGAGGTGAAGCCCTCAGTCAATTGACTGATGGGTCCATCTAGCTTGAAGCCGATGTCTGAGTCCTTGCGGTTCTTCTGACGCCGAACTTGCTTCCTCTTGACCCGTGGAGTTCCGCCTGAGCGGGTACGATAAGCAGGCAGACGTTGTGGAGGGGAGCCTGCTGAGCTCAGAGAAGGAGACGCCATGAAGGGAGACCCTTCATCGCCAGTTGGAGGAGGCGTCATGGCAGGATCAGACATGATCACCTATGGGAGTGAGATCAGTATATATCACCTGATGACACTATGACCAGGCTTACCGAGTGAGATGGCAGGCTGGAGAAGTTGCTTGTGGGCTGGTAGTATTGAGGAGGAGAGCCATAATGCTGGCAAATGGTCAGTCTGGTTGATCGGGTGAAGGTCAGGACGTTGATTCCTAGGACCTACCATTGACTGGCTCATGTCTTCAGACATGATGGGGTAGCTCTGGTAGATTCCAGAGTCAAAGGATTGAGGGAGTTTTCCGTCAGAGGATTGAGCTGGAGAAGGTGGAATCCTCTTCAAAGTCATTGTCGTTCCAGAAACTAAGCTATTGCAAAGTTGATATGGGGGCTTTGGTGTGGAGAGGAAGAGAGAGAGAGGTCAAGGAAGAGAAAGACTTTCCAGAAAAAGGAAAGAAGTGGAAACGGCGTAGAATAAAGAGCACTTGTCCTACTCTGCAGTTGTTGTCCCCTGAAAGAGGTCTCAAACACGCAGCAGGAAGTGAGACAGATGTATCAAACTGGGAAGTATATCAAACAGAGTCACAGTGAAGAGGTTGTCCGAGTGTCAAGATCAGTCAAAGAGATCAATGTAGATCGAAGAAGGATTGAGGAAGGGGGGCGGGTCTCGACTAAATAAGGCAGAGAGGAAGATATCTAGAGCACGTTGAGGGTAGTGAAATAGACTCAACTACGCAAACAGCTAGAGGCTGAAACTGAGTCAAGAGAATTACCATACGAATATTTTACATCTTTTTTTTTGATTCGCCTGGTGGATTTTCCGATTTTTTGATTATTCTTGGGGACTTTTTTTCTTTTCGGATTTTTGCGTTTTTCATTTTTCTCATTTTGATACTGTTAATCGTCGGTTTATTCCGATTCTAGTGTCTTCTTGCCCTCTTGGGGACTTTTTCACAGATTATTCGTGATTTATTCCCTGTGAATATCCCCAGGTCCCATTTTCTTTCTCATACTCTAATTCTAGAGGCGTTGGTCGCAGATTACTCTTTGTCCCGTCAGATCATGTCCCTACCATTGGCTTCCCTGTGCCCTGCCATAAATAATCTGTAAACTTCTTCACCTTTGTGCTAAATCTGGAGGGCACATGGATGGCAAATGGATGACAAACGGCCCTGTCAGAAGCCTGGATTGTCGCATTGGATCTGGCCGCACAGATTTAAATTAAATATTCACCTCTAGTCGATTACCCGGGGTTGTCATAGGCCGGATGCCAATGAACCAGGAGAAGATCTGAGTGGAGTCGGTGCCAGATGTTGGTGCCGTGCCCAGGTGTGCAAACCTAGTGCGCACAGGGTATGGGCCAAGCTTGGATTCCCCATCTGTCACGACATCTATAGATACAGAAGCAAAAAGGGAAAAGGTAAAAAAAAGAGGGTAAAAAAAGCAATCATGGACAAGCATATCGAGCCAGGGTGTATTTGGAATAACATACAGAGTACTAGATAAAAATGTCAGACAACACTAGACATGACAGCCCGGTATATGGCGTAGTACACTGGCATTTGCCAAGTGGAATCTCAAGCTAAGCCTGCTAGACGCGGTATCGACAGGCCCCATGCCCATATCAAAACGGGCTAGAATTACCGGGTTCCCCATACAGAACTGGAGTTCGACGATAGGAATAGGGCTGGGGGAGCATCCGTGGTTGCGCAGAAAGTGAATCTATACTGCACCAGCCAGATGCACAGAATCCCAATGCCCAGAGGATCAACCGTGGATTGCCACACAGAATAAGGCAACAGTCTCTGTAAGGTTGATCTCGGGGAGCTCATGTGTACCGAGTTTTTTCAATTTTACCATTCTACCCAGATCCGATTAGCAAATCAGGGACGAAGTGGGTGACGGGGGGAGTGGCCTGTATTGTCCCCGAAGTGATCGACGGGTTGACGTTGGAGAAGCCGAGAGGGTAGATTTCGAGGATCCACGGTTGGATTATGCTGATTGGGCCAATGGAGGGCGGTTAAGGAGTCCGGAAAGAGTGCGAGCTGAGAGTGGTGGGAGGCCAAGTCTTGGTACAGGCCTTCTTTGGGTGGTCCGTGGTCTTCGGATCGTGACGTTCTCTTCCGGCGTCGCCGACATGGTGTCCAGATATCCCAATTGATCTGTGGAGGAGGAGAAATCAAAAGTCATGATGCAATCTAAGACCTCGATCTACCCACGGTGCGAGGCTTTTCTCATTGCGCCTCGCACTTCTTGCAGCACGCCCGGGAAACTAGTAGACACCGCATCGTCTTTGAGAGTCGCTATTTTGGTCCAATATCTTCGCAATCCTGAAAGTTCGGTGGCTGTTTCCAACACGGGGAAGATTGACCAAGCCTTACAATGGTCCGGGGAGATCCTAGGTCTTCCCCATCAACTGGCCCCGTTGAATTGTGGTCATGCAGGTCCCGACCATGTTTTTTGCTCTTTCATTCCTCTGCCTCGTGGTATAGAAGTCTTGGCTATGCACACGTTTTCTTTGTTGAACCGTCCAAGGTTGTACCCGGGCCCTCGAACTGACTGGGATCTCGTACATGGTTGCCCGGCTCCAGCAGACCACCGCTGATGGGGCGTTCATGCCATGTGCTGCGCAGGGAATGGAACCAATGGAATCCACAGGTATTTGTTGAAAGGCTGGTTCCCGCACCGCATGTCAATGAGGCTGGGTTGTTGGGTCTTGGCTTTCAGACCGGGGGTGTCGACCAGTGCTTTGAGCTTATGCTCGTTTTGAATTCTCACTGCCTCAGGTACTACGATCTTTAAAAAACCCGGTCAATAGATTGAGCTGATATGGGGCTGACAGAAAATAAATTACAATCTATTTCCCGCGGGATCGACATAGTGATCTGTAAACTTTGAGAGTCCCCGCCGACTCGGAGGAGTAGTCGATGGATACCTAGGACACGTCGGTTGAGCCAAATACTAAATGCCAAGGTCAAACGCAGATGCCAACTGCCAAGAGAAGCCATGTGGCCAGAAGCAAGTATACTTTCGCATCCTGGGCGTCGAAGAGCGAGTAATGTACGGGGGACGATACAAGCAAACCTTGGAACGGGACAAACTATACCGAGTCAGCCGCCGAGTCGGCGGAAAATAAAATACAAGTTACTTACTCCGTACAGCCCTTTTTGCCTCGACAGATCCGCGGGAGGATCCATGCTCAGGCCGAAAGATAGGAACCAGATTTACAACAAGGATCCCCTCCTTTCGGCCTTCAAGGCTTACGAGAGGCTTCTGGAACTTCGATCGTTTTCCAAAAGAGGCAAAGTGTCAAACATTAATGGCTGCTCTCAGGTCTGGTGACTCAAACCCTATGCGTCTTCACTTTGCTGCTCTGTTCCAAGTCTCACTGCTGGACGGCCGTTTCATCGGAACTTTCTTTGACCCCTGACCACGGATCTAAACATATCTTCGTTTCAGATTATCCTTGGGATTCTATTCTGGTCCCTCAGGGCCTTGGAGAAAGAAAGTTGGGGGCCCTCAAAGTCTTCAAATCCATGGGGATGCCTCGAGACCATTGTATGGGGAGGCTAGAGAAAGCCCAGGGTGATAAGTGGGAATCAAATAGCAAATAAAAAGCATCTTCATTCCCCGTTCTGTTCCCCATTTGACAGTCAAGGTCCCCAGACCCCGAAGTGTCTCCGAAATCCTTGGTTCTGCGCCTCCCCCTCAGGGATTCTGATAAACAACCTTGGACGATATACATAGAATCCCCTCCCTACAGGGAAAAAGCGATGAAAATCCTTCCAATTACTGCTTTCGGATGGATAATCCGTCCAAGCATATTTGGCCGGGGTTGATGAAGGAATTGACCAGGTTGATATCGGTGTAGGGATTCAACACAGATACTATCCCGAGAAGCTGGAACGCCATGAAGTCTACATACCAAAAAGGCTCTCAAGTACAGATAGCCTATGCGTTCGGGACAGGACCACTCATAATCCGGAAGGGGATTGACAAAACCCCTCAACTTCAGCTATTTCGTGCGTTCAGGCCTCGTTGCAAGGGACCTGACAGACAACGGGGAGGGGAAACGGAGCTCCAGGACGGGGCTCTGGGCGAACCAAATCGTTTCTCTGAACGGGGGATCGCCATTCTCCATCAGCGTGATGTATGGCTTGACCAAATTCTCCTCGGCTATCCCAGATCCGCCCTGTCAAGCCCAAGGCTGCTCGAAAACAAGCTACCGCACCCTCCCAGTCGGATTAATATTTCCTGTATCAATCATCAAGCTAACAGACCGCTATTGTAAAGCCCCCCTGCGCTACAACTCCCGAATGCTAGCGTGTGATGCCGTCTTTTCCAAAATAGGATGTCGCTCGTAATGCACAATTCCTCGAAAGTCGGTGGCAGGTGCTACTTTTCTCAACCGACAGAGAACCAACAGCAAGCTCTGTTGATGATTGGTTGATAGACGACATGTCAACGCTATGAGCTGCCAAAAAACGCATGGAAATGACTATTCGATGCAGGGATGCGAACGTGGAGAGGCGCATCCCCTGTCTCCTTTCTTTTTCCTTTTCTTTTTCCTTCCCTTTTATTTTTGATTTATTTTGATTTATACTGCTCTCTGCCAGTTCTTCGGTTTAGGCGGCAATCTTGATTGCCGACTTGGAATCAGATCGATCTCCGAGCTCGTCTGCCACAAATTGGGTCGTTGTGTCTATTCGGGTTTTGGCTCCTAAGCCCGTGCCGTGCTGAATTTCCGTTAGCCTTAGATGGCGTCTCTCACCAGCGTCGATCATCATATCTTGGAAATCAATGACAGGCTTTGCATGAAGTGTTCTCCACCGGAAGGCAAAAAAGATATACGATCTGGCTCCGAGCCTGTCCGTAATTTGCCCCTTGATTCAATGATGATTGCCAAGAGTTGGAAATCTTGCGTTCTGGCAGATCATGGATTACAAATGCACATCTGCACTCTAGGTTGAGTATACTGTAATTCTCGCATTGGGTATTGTCTGGTCGGGAGCACGGGGACTAGTGCGTAGCAGCAGACCTATAGGTGGACTAGAACCTCATGAATGGGGTTCTGAGGCGTAAACTCTACGATGGTACTCCGTACAGGCCTATTGGAAGCTGAAGTCGGAGCCGAATCCCTCCCAGGTTTAGGCGCCGAAGGAACGCGGCAGGTTATCGAGCTGTACTCTACCCTGTACCCCAGAAGCCGTATGGTGCAATTCATACTGCACAGCATCCTGCATGTGAACAGTCCAAAGTGATTGATAACCAAATTCTACAAGGCACCTCGAGTGCCAAACAATGCAATCTATGACAGCGGGACGAGTCACGAGCAGCATCCCGGCTAGCCTCGCATCGACGAATGGTCAGCTGTTTAGATTTCGGGGATCCCGGTCTCGTCGGCGCCGAAGCCCTAAAGACTAGAAATGGATCTGCGGGCTTGAGTTTCGCACGGAAAAGGCAGCCAGATTCACACGCAGGGCAGTCAAAGCGCACCGTTCGACCCTCCCCGACCATCCGACCCTCCGACCCTCCGCGGAACCGAAGATCATGACTTCTTGAGAAAAGATCTCTGTCACATCGCTAACGTCTCGATGTCCCCACAGCGATTCTTGACCGTTAGTGGACCATTACGCAAAACACAAAGTCTAGATCCGCGGATACGACAATACGAAACTATTTAGACGCCAAGCGAAGTGGATGGCCGGTTCATCACAGCTCATCACCCCCTCTACCGTGCTGTTGGGAAACCCCTTGCCTCGCGACGGGGCAACGTTGGCTTTCAGATCATGAGGACGAAGGAAATGCTCAATTTGCGGGCTCAATATGGCTCTAACGACCAGATGCAGAAGGTTTATCACATCGTGTATGTATGGAGTACTCCATACGTGCACGAGCACGACGATGGTCATGATCTCGCCCGCGATAGTGGAGTCGATCCGGGCAAAAGCACGATCTGAAAACCACGAATGCAATTGTTGTCTTTCCTTCCGCACCAAACTAGTCTAGTGGGGAAATAGTCGGCTGTAGCCTCCCGTGTATGAGACTAAAAAATAAAAAAGATAAAAAATTTGGCGCCGTTGACAAATACTTGTGAGCCTGTCAACTGGTGCGAAGCTCTACTGCGTACAGTACCCTATGTCCTGTTCTGCATTTTTGAACCGTTCAGCTGTCCGGGAGTAATGACGCTGCTCGAGCTTAACCCGGTTCTCAGTGAAGGTCATTTCCCAATGCGTGCCCGATGGACATGGAAGCGCGGGAGCGACGAGTGGCCGGGCCAGGTTCCGGATCTCCACTCTCTCTCCCTTTTATCCGTTTTAACTAGTAGGCTATAGACTCCGTACGGATATCCGTTGGATAGCCTATGTCGTAGAGTATAATTTATGAGTTGCATGGGTGGAGACGGGGAAAACGCTCGGATCATGAGCCTGTATCGTAAATTATGGGGCCCTCTGGAGCTATTCGGAGATTGAGATTGGAACTTGGTCTCCCTGGAACTCCCCATCTTCAAGTCTAGTACCCGGCCTTTGCTCACGCCATCTCGTCTCCAGTACTTTTTTTGCTTTTTTCTTCGTTTGATCCGCGCTACGATTGGTCGGATCACGCTTCAAAGCACTCGGTAGGCACCTGTCCAGTAGATGTCAGGTCGGGATCCATACTGGCAGCTTGAGCACGGATGCAACCTCCAACGGGAATAAGCCGAGGATCCGAAATACGAGATTTCCGTCCAAGATGGTATACTATCTCCATATATTGGGCTTCGATATTCAATATTCAATCTACAGTAAAAGCTAGGCACACACTGACAATCTGGAGAGAATACAGGGCACACTGCTCCATCTGCCAGCATTTCGGGTGCAAATAATTCGGATATAAGCGAATCTCCACCTCCGTTCATAAGAGAGATCGTTCCCGCAGCTGAATTCGTGGAAGATTTTGCCGCCGGATAGGGGCTCGATACAGCTGCAGGTCTACCTAGGTAGGTTAGTGCGTGATCTACATCGATCGTATCCAATAAGCCCCGGCTTCCGGCGCCAGTAGGCAAGTTGACTGCGCCGCCTCCTAGTCCAACCAAGTTGGCCGGAGGACTCCATTCTCTGTACTTTGGACGAAGATTAGCGCGCTGGAAAAATATACGCCTAGTATTTGGTGCTAGCATACAGTACTTTCATCCCTCTTGGGCATCTAAATGTGTCCCTTTTTCCACGAACGGCACGAAAAATAGCACAGCTAGTCAATAGGGCAGCAATTTTCGTATATTTTCAAGAGAAAAAGTAAGCCACCTTTCTGTTTTCTGCTATTCTCCTTTTTTCGGCCCCTTTTCTTTTTTTAGTGGCAATTTACATTCCTGTACAGAGGACAAAATATGTCTCTGGTAATTACAATAGATATGGAATGAGACATTTAATAAAGAAATGAGATAATATGATTGAGAGCACTGTGAACGGCTTTGTGCCGCAGAAGTCACAGCCTGCGGCGCAGTGTGACTAGGCATGTTAGCGGTTGTAAGGTTGGCGATTGTTGGCTGGGCAGGAGTGCGTTGGGCACCGCGTTTGTAGGGACATACTGTAGGTACCTGGCTGTATACGTCGATCCACCAACGCCGTGGATTTCAATCGCGACTGATCGTGATTGAGTGTGACCAACCGTAATTATTGTGTTGACCGCAAACCTGTAAAAGTGAGACCTCGGAAGGAGCTGGGTATTTCCAGAGGTTTTGTTTGGGCCTTGTTAATGTAGAGAAAGTGGAATAATACATTATTGTATGTCAAATGTACCTAGTAAGAGTAACATCTCAAGCTACTAGGTACCTAGGTATGAGAGATGAAATGACTTGGAAACTACCTAGTACAGCCAGTCGGCTGTCGGCTAATATAAACTAACATTGCATGCCCACCTGGCAGGTGATCATGTATCTTAGATCTGACAACCTGACAACTTGGAATATATATCTCGGAGCTCAAAATTCATAGTTTCTTTTATCATGGTAATTTCTATATTTGATGCCAACCTTGAATACATGGCCACGACTATTGAAAACAAATGACATTTCCTGGTAGAATACATGACCTGGTTCACTAAAACACCCGGTGCCCTAGGGCCAGTCCGTCTGAAAACGCCGCTCAACATCCCACCATCTTAATGCATTGTAAGTGAGAAACAAAAAAGGAAAAGAGACAAAGTGAAAACGCCAGGTGTCAACAAGACCCAAGAGAATGAAGATTGTTAGACGGGACGACCAACGCGAAGGACTGCATATCAGGGAAGGGTACATCGACGACGATGAGCTCCAGGGCTGACCACAAGAGAAGAACATCTAAAAACTTTTTGGAGGAAAGAAAACCAAGCTTCCAGACCAGCGTGTTCGATTTTTCGAAGATTTCGAGGTTGGATGGATGGGATGTCGTCTGCATGGGAAAATAACTCCGGATGGATGTCATTTGCGCCCACCCAACCCCTTTTTTTGAAGAAGTTTAAAGAGACGTCCAAGGTGATTCAATGGTACACGTCATAATTTGTTTGGTTTTTTGAATTGGACAGCAGGACTTGGAGCGTAGGTTCGAGGAAAAAAGGTCGGGTGTCCAAATCAGTACTCACATCTATGCACACTTCACAGACCTGAGAAAAATTGCGGAGACGATAAATAAACCGTTCAATCCGTGATAATACACATTAGCCCTGACGATTGCTCCCACGCTGAGGCGAAGGAACGGGGTCAGGGTACTGAGAAGTGGTCCCAGAACCGAGAGGAGGAATGCGGTTGAGAGATGGCGAAGACATCAAATGTTGACCATTGCCCTGATAATGGTGCGTCTGATGGAACATAGACGCGTTCTCCCTTTGTCGGCGCTCCTCTTGCTCAGGCGTCATGCACTTGACCGGTGGGGGGATAGGAGCGTCTGGAGAGCTACGACCCATAAGTTTAGGGCTGGGCTCTAGTCTGCGGATGGGCGGCAGAACCGGCGCACCTGCCATGCCACTGGCAGTGGGCGGACGGGGAGACTGCTTGGTTGGGCTGATGCCAGACATTCCCATGCCATGAGAGCTTTGGGGAGGCGATGAGCGGTTGCCGTTGGGGGTGGCAGCAGAAAATGAAGGGTAACTGCTAGACATTGCCGGTGTCACGGCATGGCCTGACTGGGGGCGTGGTGTCTCGAAAGAACGTGCCTGGCTAGGCGTAACGTGGGGGAAACCAGCAAGTGGGCCAACGTCAGGATTGCCTTGTGTCGGAGACATTGAAGGTTGGTTCTGGACCGGGCCCTGGCTGGAATGAGACGAGGGCGGTCGTACAGATTGGAAGGAGCCCATGTGAGGAAGATGTGTGGGTTGCATTGGGGGCAGAGAGTGCTGTGCGGAGGTAGGGCGTGGGTGTTGCTCCATGCTGGAATGTAACAAGCCATTCATACCCTTGGGAGGGGAAAATGGCGGGCGTGGAGGGCTTGAGGAGGGTAAAGTATCTCGGTCTGCGTAATGAGCCCGGCGCTGGGGCGAGGGAGGTGGATAAAATTCGCCCTGGCCAGCAGTAGGCTGAAGATCCAATTGCGATCTAGGAGGTTGATTCTGAACGTTGGAAAGTGCAACATGCGATTTCTTCACCGGGGAGGGAGGAGCCAGATCATCGTCTTCCAGCTTACGCTTCTTCTCAACGGGAGCAGCCGACGGGGATGCCGAGGCGCTGACTCGGAATTTCAGAGGGGGCAGCTTGGGCCTGTTGGCTTCGTCTTGTTTCTGCTTGCACTCGCGACACACAAACTGGAAGTCGTCCTTTTCGGCCGCCTGCTGAGAGACACCTAGACACTTGCTATGTTGCCACACATTACACTTTTCGCATGCAATACTATGGCTTCCATCATCCTGCGCAAAGTTAGATGCGGATTACCACACTGTTCGAGGATAATCCACTCACCAAGTTCTCACCATGAACCCCACAGCCAGAGCAATCGAAGATCCATTGGTCATCCTGGGTGAGCTCTGCTAGGTTCTTTTGGGACTTTTCCATCTCGGTCTTGAGGTTCCGAGCGGAGACTCTGCTCTCGCCACTCTCGATTCTCTCTTGCTCTTCCGCCAGCCTTTCCAGCTCAGCTTCGTGAAGGAGTCGCTTTTGCTCACGGTCTCTGATCCGTTGTTCCCGAGTCATCATCCGCGACTGGCGATCTTCATCGTGCTGGTTCTGTCTGGCTTGTTCCCTGCGGGCCTCGGCTAGATCGGCGTCATGTTTGCGAATGGCTTCGGCAGCCTCTCGCTCCTCCCGTTCCTTCTCTTCCTTGGCGGCAAGTCGGCTCGATCTCTTGGCCCCAGCGACCAGTTGCAAGCTCAAAAGTTCCTTGTCCCGTTTCTGGCGCTTGCGTTGTAGTGCCTCCTCCGCTTTCTCCAGGATGGGGAGGATGTGCTCCACTATGCTATCGCGAAGATATTTCTCGTCCGCGTCCTTGGTCTTCTGGAGTGTCTCCAAGAAGGCTTCATACTCCCGAAGAGTCACAGCCACGCATTCCCACTTGAAGAGATCGTCGGAATCGGCCGGGAAATCACCTGCATCGTTGGTATTCTTGTTTTCCTCGTCGGAACCCTCTTCCGCGGCAGCCGTGGAGGTGCGCTTCGACGCTCGTGAGGCACGCGAAGATCGGCTCTTCGCTTTCTTTTTGGGCCGCTGGGGGGCAGGAGGCAGAGGACGATCGGTCCGACGGTAGAGGCGGTTGTCGTCGAGCACGTAGTATGAGCGCCCTTCACGATCCCAACCAAATTCTTCAATGCGCTGGTAGATGTTAGTATGACTCGATTGATGGACAGAGCCACGGTGGCGCTAGCTCACCCATTCGGTTTGTTCAGTTTCCTTCTTCTCGGGCATCTTGTCGCGAATACGGTCGGCGTTCCAGAATGTCCAAACCGTCAGCTGATGGAGGACACTGATCTTGGTAAAGACATCGAAATCCAGGAATCTGTTTGGTTCTTCATCGTATCCGAAGGGATTGGTGCGCTTAGGTGCCTTCGCGTTGTATTGACGTCGGGTGTACTCGTCGAAATTATCGAACCTGCCAGCACAGCCAAGTCAGCCCACTTGCTCCCAATGGCGAGTACAGAGAACCGGTATACGCACGTGAGTCCGCGATGCGACGATATCCATTTGAGAAGGCATAGTCCAATCTCCAAGAGTTTCTGCGAGGGCTCAGGCGTAAGGCATTCGGCTTCTAGGTCCTGCAGTCGAGAAAAGAAGCCTGTCAGCACCGTGGCAACAAGGCGAAAGCGGGCGGACAGAGTCCTTGTCAATGCGACGAAGCGCACAGCATTGAAGTCGTCCTATAGTTGCGAGTAGAGACACACCTCGATCCCGAAATCCTCATCAATTTTCATGACTTGTCCAAAAATGGCGATGTACTGCATGAGACTAGCAAATTCCCATGAGCTGCGAAGTTTGGACAAAAGCTCAGGCTGCTCGGGGGCTTCTTGCTCTACCACCGGAATGGCTTCAGAGCGGGTGCGCTTTCGCGATCCCATCGCGGCGGGACAGCCGTCAGGGCCGGGGTTCGAATGTGTTTTAACGGAGGCCGATCGAATCGAGATGCAAGCTACAGCAAATGCAACTCTCAGTGCAGTCAATGAAAGCCAGGCGAGTGAGATCTGATCCGTATGGTTGAGCCCTTTTTTTTTCTCGTGTCGAGAGGCGATGCGGATGGATCAAGCAAGGCGCGTCACGAATAAAGTCACGTGTCCAATTTCGCCGAAAGAAGACAATGAATTGAATAGGCCATTCAATAGAAAGAAGAAAGGGTTGTACTAGTATATTCTGTGTCTAGTCTACTTATGATCAACAATCCCATTACAGTCAAAACAATCGGATTCATCAATTGGTACATGCTTTCAGAAAAAAAAACAGGCCCATGTACACACAAGGAAAAGCAAGCACAAAACAGACAAATCTTTGGATATCTCTTGCTCGTGGGGTCTATCTCACAGAGCAGTTTGGTCGTCAAAGACAAGGAGAAAATGCACACAGACGACAGCGCCAACCATAATTCACGCCACCCGACGATGGACACCAGCAGGGCCATACTGTCGGAAATCAAGAGCATAAAAGAAGCATGTTTCCCAAACAAGATGCAAAAAAGAAACAGACAGGTAAGCAGATAGACATGGAGAAGTAGAATATAAGAGGTAAGAAATAGAAAAGAAGAGAATAAGAAAAAAAGCAGCAAAAAAAAAAGAAAAAAGAAAAAGAGACAAGAATACATTAAACCTTCCGCAACTTACCGAGCCCAGGGAGCAATTGATGCGGTGGAAAGAGAGAAACAACCAGGAATGAAGAGAAAATAGATGGATCCTGATGCCCTCAATCGATGACATACCCACGCTTGATCCAGTTCTTCAACCTCAATTTTTGCGCCTTGTGACCATTAATCGCCAGAAGCCAGCCTTTCCCATGCATTTCATAAGGTGGAACATTTCGGAGGAAACAGATGCTTTTCATATGTTACATGGCTGCGGGACCCCCGTCCGAAACGGTGTCGGACAAGTTGATGAGGAGCTGAGCCAGGCAGCGCTTGGTGGCTGCGTCGTCGCGGAGGACAGAGGAAAAAGTTGCATCCCGCAGAGGTTCAGGGAGGCATTGCCGCAAGGCCTCGCGGGCTCGGCTGTTGTCACTGAGACTGCGCGGGTGATTAGAGAGGATCAGATTGAAGGAAATTCCATGAGCACTTACCGGAGGAAGCAGCGCACAACATGCTTGAGCAGACGGACGGTCTGCTGCTCCACTAGCTGAGTGACCATGTTGCTGAGAACAGTCCCCACCGCATAGAACCTTTCGTAGGTTGCACAAATGTAGCCCAGACCAATATCATCGAGGAGGATCTTCTGCACGATGAAGATAGCCACGGTCTTGCTGAGCTCGGATCCGGTCTCCATGATACGGAGACAGAGAGGGATGATCTCCGTCGTGAGGAGGAAGTTGATCACGTCGGATGAGTCATTCTTCACCAGGGCACCAATGACACCCAGTGAAGTGAGGCGAAGATATTCGAACGGACGAGACTTGGAGGTGGTGTTGAGGAAGGGATAGAGGAAGAGGGGGATGTGAGCTGAATGATCGAGCGCAATTAGCCATGGTTCCTAGAGTCGAGTGAAATTATAGCTTACCGTTCAAAAACAGAGTGCGGGTCTCATTGTGGGATGCGACGCATTGCAACAGCGCCAGCGCATTGCAGACTCGATTTGACGCGGCGGCAGTCAACTGAGAAGGGTTCAGGAGCGGGTAGACAGAAATGATTTCCTGTAGGAGCGCAGTCATGACACCTGCACGTTGCCGAGTTAGCTTCGATTCCAAGGCTGGGCGCACCTTAGGGGAAGGCTGGGACTTTACCGAAAGAGTGCCAGATGACCAGAGCTAGTTCAGGCACTTGTTCTCGCTTCTTACTTAGTTCCATCAAGGCGGCTTCTCTGCGAGCGGGATCCAAGAGTTCTGCGACCCAGATGAATACCTTGCGGTTCTCTTCGCTGATTCCACCGTCCATGACGTTCACCCCGTTGGCCATGCCGTCTCCTCCCATACCGGCGGCGCCGCCGGCTCCCTGCGCAGGATTCCCAGTGCCGTTGCCATTCATGGCAATGCGGCCATAGTGTTGCTGCTGAGCCGCGGCAGCCGCGGCTTGCACCTGGGCATGCTGTTGAGCGACCAGGGAAGCGTGCTGCTGCTGCGACTGGTGTGGGTGTTGCTGGGCCTGGTGGTGCTGCTGCTGATGCTGCAGCCACGAGGGATCGGCTTGGGGGTATTGGTGCTGGTGGGAGAAGACGTGTTGGCTCTGCGTTGAGATCATGGTGGGTGGTCGGACTCGTAATAATCCGGAATCAGAAGGTGGACCGACACACAGTGAAGGAACAAAAATCGGTTGTTAGCGTCAGGAGTTTAATCCCGAAACTAGACTCATTGATGACAGCTGAAAGACGCAAAGTAGGAGACAGAGAGGTTGAGAAGAGAAGTTCGGCAGTGAAGGCGGGGACGGGCCTTACGCCTTTGTGTGGCCGGGGAACTTCGCTTTTGGCGATCTTGTACAACTTCAGCGTTGGGCAGAGGACTCGACGATGCTCGGTTTCTATTCAATTCTACTTTACATATTTTCAAATGCTATTGAGAAATATTAGGTATTCATGCATCCGTCGAGGGGTCTTGACAGAATACATTGTTCCCTGCACGATGCATTTGTTCCATGCCGCTGCCCGAGTGGCTCATGGCAATAGTATATCCAATACGTCTATCAATCTACTCCGTAAAAAGTGCAAAACTGGGTATTGAGGCTGACCTCATAGCACGGATTCCAATAACCAGGACTAGCTGTGAACGTTTCATGTATGTTTCATATCCCGAATTCATATTATCATGTCAAGTTTGTACTCGTAAAATTCATATGTACATCAACATCAAAGCCAAGGTCGTGTGTAAATCATAGTGATACATCAGTCACGTTAAATGCGCCGTATGTGCAGCCGAAATCATAAAAAGGTCAAATCAAAGAGTTATTGGAGGGTGCAAATCATCGACGGCTTGATCGAGCGCGCGATTGTCGGGACCGCCGTGTGTCTCGAGTTCGTCCACTTCGGCTGCCTGGTGGAAGTTAGTATAGTCCCGAGTAGGGTCAGTTGGAGGGGTGAACTTACTGCCGGTTCCAGTGTAATAGTCGGAATAGTAATAGTAGGAGCTGGGGTAAGAGGACTCGGTCTTGCTGTCGTCATGATCCTTGTCCCTGTGTCTCTTCAACCCCAGGCACAATGCAAGAGCCCCGAGGATGATGGCAATCTTTCCCCAGCTATTCTTCTTCTCGCTGACATCACTGCCCTCTCTAGGCGGCTTGGATCCGAACCATGTGCGGCCAGGAGGAGGAGGCCGGCTTCCGTGTGAATGGTGTGAGTGACGCTCTTCCACGTAGGTCGTGTCTCGCTTGCGACGTTTGCCAATCCCAAGAGCTGCGAAGAGACCGTCCAGCATACCCTTGCAGCAGAGACAGGCGCAAATCAACAGCAGCAAGAAGGCACCGGCGATCGAGCCAATGACAATTCCTGCAATGGCGCCGCCACTCAGCCCTCCATCGTTATCAGACGCTTTGGCACCAATCAAGTCCGCCCCATCGGTTCCGACAGGTGCCGTGAAGCCCTCGGTCGTCGTGGGAGCGGAGGTTGCCGTGACCGTACTGGCGCCGTCGCTCGTTCCTCGAACACCCGGAGTGGCCTCAGCACCATCTCCGGTGGCAGTCACAGCCACGGAGGAACTCTCGGCGACACATTCACCATCCTGACACTCCTGCGCAGCCTCGCAACAACGGGTGCCGCACTTCGTTTCGCCAATGTCGGCTCTGCAGGTGCCTGTGCTGGTGGCTGCGGCGATTTGGCTACTCCATACGGAGGTGATGGTCGATAAATCGGTTTCCGTCAGTGTATACACGGTGGTGTAATATTGGTAGCCTCCGCTGTCGCTACCGCCGCCATCCGAACACACGGCCTCTTTGGCACTGTTGGTTGTACATGTCTGACCGCTGGAACAGCACAGCCAGCCATCATAGCCGCAAGGATTCGCACATCGCTTTTCAATGGTGATGTTGAGGGCGTTTCCCTCGAATGCGAGCGGGGTTGCGGTTGTCAATGAGCGGTCGAGAAGTAGCGTCAGTGTCGACAAAACCGAGAGAATAGACGAAGACCGCATTGCAAGCGGAGATACCAGCACCCAGGCCGGCGAAGGTGAGAGGTAATCCGAGTTGACGACTGTCGATGTATTCTGATCTCCGATGTATACTTTGGCGACCTGTAGATCCTTCACCAACCCTTAGTCCCGATCTCGAAGTTCTGGAGTATTAAACAATTTGATTGAAATGGAATGCGAAGAGGAATGGAAGAAAGAAAAGAGAAAGAAAAAAAAAACATGTGGTTGTTCTAGTCCAGTTTCTGACTCCCAGCCTCCCAGCCTCTCCGTATACCCAACCACCCGCTTTTCGTTCGAGGCCAACTCTGCCCTGCTTGGGGGCTGGGGTTTCAAATTAAACACTCCAGACACCACTGTGATTGGCCTGCCGGTGAATTTACCTCGAATAAAAACACCTGCAACGATCGGCGATGCGGGTTGGGTTCCCCACTGACAACGCTTTCAGGATCAACACCGCCATTCTACTCCCCTTTGTACGGGATTACTCCGCTGATGCGAGACAACCTGATTGGGGCCTTTGGGCAGACAAGAGAGCAGCCAATAACACACCGCACTAATACGGAACCAGGTTGGGGTGACTGGGATCTTGCCAATGGCAGCCCAACAGCCAATTGCCCAATCCCTCGGAAGCCCTGACGATCCGACGGCAAGGAAGTCTTAGGCGCATGAAGGTAAATCGCAAAGATGCCAGGGCATATAATGAATTCTCTATTTATGCAGCAATGCCTAGCTCATCCGGCAGATCAAATCGGCCCTCTCTAGCCCCCTAATGGGCTCCAGGCCCCTCACTGCCCAAGTGCTGGAAAGATTGCTCGAAGTCGGCAATGATATCATCGACATGTTCAATCCCAACCGAGATACGAATCATGTCCTCTGTGACACCCGACGCTTTCTTTTCGTCCTCCGCCAACTGTTCATGGGTCGTCGTCCACGGGTGGATAGCGAGACTCTTCGCATCGCCCACATTGGCCAGATTTGAAACGAGCTTCAAACCATCCACGATTTGACTTCCTGCAGTCGCTCCACCGTGAACCCCAATACTGAGCATACTCCCAAACCCTCGGGTGAGGTACTTTTGAGCCTGCGCATGAGTGGGGTGTGATTTGGACCCGGGCCAGAGCACCCAGCTGACATGCGGGCTGGATTCAAAGTACTGTGCAAGCCGAGTAGTATTCTGAGCATGTCGCTCGGCTCTCAGACCAAGAGTTTCGATTCCGAGGAGAAGTTGCTGGGCGGAAAATGGACTCAGACACGCTCCAATGTCCCGGAGCATTTCTACTCGGATGCGTGTGATGAAGGTCGCTGGACCAAATGCCTCCCAGTATTTGAGTCCATGGTACGAAGGCGATGGCTCAACCATCTCAGGGAACCGTGTGGAGTTTTTGTTCCAGTCGAACTTGCCGCTGTCGACGATAACACCGCCGATCGTGGTGCCGTGTCCGCCAATCCACTTGGTTGCGGAGTGCACGACAATGTCTGCACCGTGCTCGATGGGTCTGATATAGTACCCTCCTGCTCCGAGAGTGTTGTCAACCTGGAAGCACAAGTCAGCACTAATGCGCTATCTCCTGCCTCAGACACGCAGCAACCCACCACAAGGGGGATCCCATGGTCATGGGCAACTTGAGCAATAGCCTCAAAGTCCGGAACTACATAGTCAGGATTGCTCATACTCTCGACATAGATAGCTTTGGTGTTTTCATCAATGGCAGCCGCGAAATCTTCGAGCTTTCCACTGCGCACGAATTTGGTCGTCACGCCGAATCGTGGAAGCAAGACGTTCAACTGATTATAGGTCCCTCCATACAAATGAGAGCTGGCGACAATGTTATCGCCAGACTTTGCGAGAGTGGAGATAGTAAGGAACTGCGCGGCTTGACCAGAGGATGTTGCAACTGAGGCAATTCCTCCTTCCAACGCGGCGATTCGTTTCTCAAAGACATCGACGGTCGGCTTAAAATGGCGGGTGTTAGCTTGCCAAATCTAGGCCAGTCGTATGGAATCATCGATGATTGCTCACGTTCATCAAACGGCTATAGATATTACCGAGTTCCTTCAGGCCGAAGAGTCGTGCTCCCTGGGCAGAGTCATTGAAGGTGAAGCTCTGAGTGATCATGAGTTTTTCGCATCAAAACAGCGAGGAAGTGAAGTAAACCAACAGATGTTGCATATATGGGGACCGCCGTTGATCTAGTATGCGGGTCCGGGGAGTAACTAACAATTGGTTAGTCTTGTCAATCTGTGGAGGTCAACTGGTGGGAGGCCATACCCGGCATGAAGCCCGAGTGTCTCGAAGTTGTGCGATGATGGTTCTGCCATTGTTGGGTATTGTGATTAAAGAAAGGCTTTGATCATTGATTCTTTGGCTTACTGTTTATATTGAGACGACATCTAGAGTCTTCGGATCTACTCGGGGGTTAGGGCTTCGACCATTCCGGGGGTTCGGGGGTCCCCAGAAAACCTTCCGGTTCAGCGGCGAAAGCCTCCGCGAAGACCAGAAAGAAGTCACGTCGGAGTTTTTTTTGGACTGGCGACACGATTGATCTACAAATTATTCAACGCCGACCGACCTGCTTGTCATCCATGGTGCGCATGTGTATTCTTGATTGAAAAAGTCTCAAGTATACGCATATATATGTGAAACTTGAGCCAATTCGATTCTGGTGAATTTAGCAACCATAATCACACACCATGGGATCAACTTCAGCTGTGCCTGACTATGGTCGTCGACTACTCCCAGTCGTGGTAGACGAGGCCGCAAGAGATGAACCCCAAAGGGTACTCTTTTACACACCGCGCGACAATCGGCCATCACAGGGCTACCAAGTTGTGACTGCCCGAACCTTTGCCAACTCTGTCAACAGAGTATGCTGGTGGTTCGAATCACAGGTAGCCATTCAAAACGAGACCAAGACTATTGGATACATAGGGCCAAGTAAGTGGATTCAATACCACTTTACTGCATATGTTCCGAAAATTGATCAATGAATGCTAACGTCTCGATAAGATGATCTCAGATACTTTTTGATGATGATTGCAGCGGCAAAGACTGGCTATAGAGTGAGTTTTTACTATAGTGCCGTTGCAGATTTATGTGACTTACGTACAAGCAGCTCCTACTTTCCTCTCCCCGAAACAGCGTCGAAGGACATGTGTCATTGATTGAGCAGTCCGGCTGCAGCTTCTGGGTCACAACAACTGGCACTGGCAGCCTGGACTTTATCCAGGACCTTGGAATACCTTGCATCGAAGCACCTGAGCTTTCCCAGCTGCTAGAAGAAAATGCAGTCGACAACTATCCTTATACCAAGAGTTGGGATGAAGGACGAGCAGATATTCTCGCTCTACTCCACACCTCGGGTTCGACTGGCCTGCCAAAATTGGTGCCCCTTTATCTTGCTACGGCAGCCACTGTTGACGGATTCAACCTCATGGAGCCCGTTAACGGAAGAGTACCTACAGGCGTAGAATGGAAGGGTACGCGAATGCTTTGTGCGATGCCTCTGTTCCATGTGAGTATTGGATACACAGGTGGACCAGAGTATAAAACTAACAGTTCCATCCATCTATCAGGTTGCAGGAATTTGTCTTGGTTTATATTCTGCCTTTTTCTTTCGATGGAGCGTCATTCTGCCATCCAAGGGCCCGATAATGCAGCATGTCATCGAAGAGGCCCTTGACAACATCGAACTGGACTCGGCCTTCATCTCTCCAAGTGTCTTACAGGACATTGCAAAGTCGCCTCGGGTACTGGATAAGCTTTCGAAACTCAAATTCATAACTTCAGCAGGTGGCCCCATAGCCCAGTCTGTGGGAGAAGTGATTCATCCTCGTGTACCCATCTGGCAGACTATGGGTATGACCGAGGGTCAGTGGATGGCATCTGTTGTGACCCACCCAGACGAGTGGGCTTATTTCTACTTCCACCCACGAACAGGATTTGAGATGCGACCATATTCAGAAGATTTATGCGAGCTGTTATACGTCAAAAAGGAAGAGTTGGCTCTAACACAGCCCGTGTTTGTCACATTTCCAGACCTTGACGTCTGGGAATCGAAAGACTTGTACTCGCGTCACCCGACAATTCCGGATCTGTGGCGATATGAAATGCGCCGAGATGATCTTATAGTGCTCTCAAATGGAGAGAAATTCAATCCTTTGGCCGCTGAAGGAAAGTTGGCTAGCCATCCGTGGATCTCAGCCGCCTATATCACAGGGCGCGGTCAGTTTCAAGCCGCCGCGTTGCTGTACCCTGACGACTCAAATCTGGAAAAGACAGACATTCAAATTGTTGAAGCCGTGTGGCCGACTATGTCTCAGGTGAACGAAACACTTCCCGCTTTTGCGCAGCTTCATCGAGATTTCGTCAAAGTCGTTCGTACTGCGTTCCCCCAAACGCCAAAGGGAACGCTCGCTCGCAATCAGACCGAAAAAAATTTCTCAAAAGAGATCACCGATATCTACGAATCATCACTGGCTCTGAAGACTCATTTCCACGTCAAGGGAAGCAGTCAAGTTGCAGTCAACAGTGGTATCAGAGAAGCAATCCAGACCGTATCAGGGATCAAAGAGCTTACATATGATGATGATATTTTCGTGCGAGGATTCGACTCACTTCACGTGGTACGGCTGGCTATATTGCTGGAGTCAGCATTTGATAGGCATGTCGAGATCGAAGCCGGGACAGTGTACGCAAACCCCTCCATTGCAAAGCTGGGAAGTGAGCTGTGGTCACGGCTCCGTGGTCAAAGTCACAAGGAGGCCCTTAATATGAAGTCCACCTCGCAGATGCTTGCCAAATACTCGGCATCATTTGGATCCGGTCGGGCCAAAAAGGAGTATGTGATCATCACTGGTACTACTGGATCCATTGGACCGTATCTTCTTCACAACCTCTGCAACAACAGAGAAGTTGCCCAGGTGTGGTGCTTGAATCGCAGCGCAGACGCCCCAAAACGGCAAGTAGAGCTCGCGAGAGCAAAGGGATTCCTCCCATTGAACTGGGATGGAAAGGTGAAGTTTGTGCAGCATGATCCGACCTCCGAAACGCTCGGTTTGAACGCAGTGGATGCCCAAGACATGAAAGAAAAAGCAACTATCATAATTCGTGCGTGCCGAATATCCCCGGAGAAACGTCTACAAAGCTAATTTTCGTCTCGCAGATAACGCCTGGGAGGTCAACTTCAATTTACCTCTCTCTTCATTCGAGCCGCAGTTCATTGGCTTGAAGGGCCTGGTCGATATATGTCGAGATGCTCGACACAAGATCCGCTTTAATTTCATTTCATCCATCAGCGCTGCAATGAACTGGCCGTGCGAGCTTCTTGGTCCTGTCCCCGAAGCAAAAATCCCTAAATTTGATGCGGCGATCAACGGCTACGGCGCATCGAAGTTAGTGGCGGAGCACCTACTCGGACGAGCCGCAAGACTAGGTACTTTGGATCTGTCTGTTTTACGAGTAGGGCAAGTTGCAGGTCCTGTTCAAATTTTTGGAGAAGGCGCATTATGGGCAAGAAGAGATTGGGTACCTGCAGTATGTTGTTTGCAAGAGGTTCCATGACATGATATGTTCTAACAGCTCGATACAGATCATTGATGCTTCTGCGTATCTCAAACTGCTGCCTTCCGACTTGGGATCAGCTACTAGCCTGGACTGGATCCCAGTTGATATTCTTGCTAATATTGTGGGCCAGCTTGTCGAGTCAGGCTCATTCACAAGTCTTTCGGAAACATACTATAATCTCGTCAACCCGAAGACGAGCTATTGGACTGACATTCTTTCTACGATAAAAGCTCGCCTGGAGATCTCTCTATCTGCCGAGGTGCGAATCGTCTCCCTACAGGAGTGGATTGACTCTCTCAGAAATTCGGAGGCCCTCATCATCCAAGAGGCTGAGGTCGGCCATTCAGAATCCGCCTCCAGAGCTAAGACCGGACTGAAGCTACTCTCGTTTTTCCAGATGCTTGTGGGATTGGAGCAAGAGGGCGATTCTTCCGACGAAACTTCTGTCATGACCAATAGCTCTGACGGATCCAGTGCTGGAGAGCCTACCTGGGATGTTGCAAATGGCCTATCACGAAGCTCCATATTTGCCGACTTAGAGCCTGTGTCGACAACTTGGTTTGACACTTGGTTGAACCAATGGGGGTATTGAAGGTATGTGTTGAAGTTTCCACGATGTATGGTGAGGAACCAGAAGCGATTCTGGGAAACGGAATGCAAGTCTTCTTCAAGGCTTGAGCCTTTCCTATTCTTCAACATTGGAAGGTGCCAGTGAATTGCGGCATATGTATCTAGGTATATAAATATTTTTAGGCACCGTTAAGCGAAAATGACCTGGTTGCTGAGTTTATTCTGCGTACCGCCAGCCCGCACAGGTTATATTTCACCTCAAAGCTATTGTCAGTACATACGACCACAGGGTGTGGAAAACAGGGCTTCCCGTCCGCTCAGCCGTACTTAAGCCACACGCCGGTGAGTTAGTAGTTGGGTGGGTGACCACCAGCGAATCCTCACTGTTGTATGTTTTTGTTTTTTTTGTTTGTTTGACCTTGGAATGTTTACCGCCCATCCTTGAAAGTAGTTTGATATTCCAAGGTCTGTTCCAAGGTTCCAACCTTGGAGGTGAACATCCCATCCCGGTCAGGTGACACTGGCTGTTTCCCACCTCCAGACCTCCAGGCTGGGCAGACAGCTCGCGCTCTCTCCTCTCTTTGCTTTTCCCTCATTCGCCTCTCCCTCCCCCCCCCCTCTCTCTCAGAGATAGGGGAACAATCTATTTCCCAACTTCTTGCTCCCAGCAGGATTCAGATCAACATTCCATCTTAACACTTTGGAAAGGGGGAATCATTCGAATCACAACCTTGGAACTTGGAATATTCAAAAGCTGTCTCTCAAAGTGGTGGTTCCAGAGATGGGCCACCAGGCGCGCCGGCTGCCTGGGAAAGTCAGAAGCCAGCGACGTACGAGTCAGCGTCTACCCTGATCCGCGGAAATTCAGGCGGAGATCAGGCAGCGAAGTTCGAAAAGTGACGTGACTTTCATGGAAGGGTTCCTCACATCCACATCAACCCCAAGCCAGACACCAAAGAGGTCCTCAAGCAAAAACAATATTGCACGAGGAGAGCGCATCAAGACTACTTTGTAAGGTTTGATGGACCCCGTCAACAACAGCCCAGAAGGAAGGTCACCTTTAATCGTGGAAAAAAGGGCTTGGGAGATCGCCGAACGAGATGTCCTCAGGTTTCAAATCTGGTTGGAACTTTGGACTACTCAGGGATTTACTAGCAGTGTTTTCAATTCTGGGCAACATGAGTTGACATGCATCTCTGAGACCTGGTTGCTGCTCATTTCAACACAGCTGGTATGTTGAACAGTTGCCTCACTTGTTTCGAAGCCTCTGAAGCTACAAAAAAACAAAAACAAAAAACAAAAGAAAAATTAGATACGCGCGATCAATTTGTGACAAGAAATAGAGGCCTGCGCTCTTTCCAACGTTGCGAGCCATCCTCGAGTGAGAAGATACTGAGATTGAGATATTTTGATCTAAGCTCCATATCAGACCTTCGCGAGCAAGCCATTGCTCTGCAACACAGATAGATGGGCCGAGGTAATGTCTGCGATTTTGTTGCAACCTGCCAATCCCATACATAGTTTGAACTCTTTGAACAGCAAGTCAAGAGCCAACCCCACGCCACTGGAGCCATTGTACTAAATGAATATGTTAGCAACTTTAAACTTAGGACCCCTCACTGTATTCGACATGTTGGGAAGATCGTACCGCTAAGCCCCAGATAGCAATTCTTCCTACGAAAACAAAGTCTGCCCCTAAGGCGAGGGCCTTGAAGATGTCCGAGCCACGTCGTATGCCTCCATCAAGGGCAATGCGAATCTTTCCCTTGGCGAGCGGTGCTACCTCTCGAAGTATGTCCACTGTCGCGGGGGTGGTATCTAGTTGTCTACCACCATGGTTGGAGATGACCACACCATCAACACCATGCTGTATGGCGAGTAAAACGTCCTCGGCAGAGGTAACTAAACAACATCAGTCGTCGACACAATATCATGGTGTTAAGTATTGAGCTTGCCTCCTTTGACCCAGATTTCCAAATCCGTCTGAGCCCTCAGCCAGGGAATCTTCTCTCCCCAAGTGGCAGAAGTGTCTGGAGCATGTGAGCAAATTATCCCAATTTGACTTTGAAAGTTTAGAGGTAATACCGAAGGACAGGTCAGGAAGACCGCCTCCCATGCCCTTTTCCGATGGAGCGAGAGAAGTGAGATTCGGGAACTTTGTACCAGCTGGTAGACTGAAACCATTCCGAAGATCCTCAAGGCGGCGCCCAAACATAGGCGCATCGACAGTCAAAACGACAGCTTTGTATCCAGCCGCTAGAGTCGAATGAGAGTAAACAATTGTTCTGCCTGAATCTCTTTGCCCAGTGGAATCGACTCACATTTCGCTCGATCAAGTAGGTTCGTCGTGATTCGGCGATCGTTGAATGGACTGACCTGGATTGCGTAAGGTGTCGACTGATCTGTGCTCTGAGCAGAAACATCTTCCAGAGAGTCATTCGAGAGCGCGGAGAGAACCATTGGAACTCGACGAGCAGCACATGCTTTTGAAGTCCCCACCTCTCCATCAGCATGAGCCAGCCGATGCATGGCTGATGGAGAGAGCCCCATGGGTAAGGAGGCTGTGGACCCCCAGAACTGTGTGCTCGTATCGATGTTGGAGACATCACGCAAGACTCGGGGACGAATCAGATACCGGTCGAATGCCGTCTCGTTGCTGTGAAGCCTGTATCATGCGTAAGTGCTGGTTCTGTCCGGGCTCACGGAGCAGCTCACGTTATGTTGTCCATGGCGCCGCCATTGTAGTAGTCTGCCGGAATCAACACTACAATCTTTTTCCAGCAAGCTTCCACATACCTCGATACGTCTGGGATAAATTCTCCGAGGCCGCCTTCTTCAAGTCCTCAATGCTAAAGATCTGCGAATTTGAGACTTCCGACATCTTTACACGCGTGTATCAGAAACCAAGAACATCCGCTCTATGGAAAAACCAACTACAACTAGATATTCAGGCCACAAATTATGCTTTATAGCAAGGTTGATACGATCCAATATGAGCTCATTTCGCTGACTTCTAAATACTTCCGAATATCCACTCGCTGACTGTTTCGGCGGCCACCTTCGGGGTATGTGGGGAGGACAGTAGTATGTCCGAGGGCTTCAGTCCCTCGACGCCCGAGCGCAACGCCCACATGCAGACATATGAGTTTGTCGAGTTTGCATCGGTATGCCGGTATCGGATAGTATACAGTAAAGACCGGCACATTTCCGAGATATTCTGCTCAATCTAATCAATCAATTATCCCAAGCGCCAAAGCGCATGGAAACTAGCGGATATGTAGATCTCTTCCGGTCCTGGGAAACTCAATGATCCACGTTTAGCCCGATCTTGTCAAGTACCTTGATGGGAGGAACTAATGACAAAAGGGAAAAAGGTGGTTCCGCAAATCAATTGTCCTCCCTGTTCGCTGAATAGTGGGCCTGCCTTGCAGGTACGGAGTACGTGCGAATCTTCTGACAGGGGAGGCGGCTTGATGCGAGGACCCTTGCATTTCATCGTCTCATTGAAACCACCTTCTATGCAATGGGCCCGTAGTGTGCGCGTCGTTCAGCCACAACCTTGGGAGTGGAGAATCGGGGGGTTCTTTCGCACATCTTTGGGGAACGTGGAAGATTGCTTCTCGTACTTTTCATGTCCGATGGAACCAGCCCATGTTACACTGGGATTGTAAATGTGGTACCTTTGCATATGATAAGAATTGCAATTGATCTAGATCGGGAGTTTTCCACTTCCACTAGTACACCCGATACCGAGGCGATATTGAAGCGCGGTCATTATTTTCCTGTATGATGTCCGGGAAATGGCAGTCAAAATTAGTGAGTCAGGACCGATGATCTTCAAAATCTCTTCTAAAGGTTATCAAAGAGTTAGTAAATGTAATGCTTGCAACCAAGGTCCCACGGGGTGTCAAGGAGAAAGCTCGTATTCTGCACACTAACCATACCTGCAAAGTGACGGGCTTCGGATATCTTCAAAACCCCGACTCTCGCCAGTTCGGCTGTTAGATTCCCACCTATCATCGCTTATGATCCTGCTGAGGAATCCATCCATATTATCTCCGATGCACAGTGACCCGAGGTCATGCGTGTTGGGGATGAATACGAAGTCGAGTTTCTCTTTTCTACTGGCTGACGTTCTACTGGATGATCCATTTGTGTATTACAAGCATTTCACAAGAACCGCCCCCATTGTGAGTTGCGAACCTTCTCAACGTTCTGGATTTCGTTTTGCACCGAGTGCCGATCCACTAGCTTGAAGGAGATCCCACTACAAGCAGGCAACCCTGTTTTCGTCACAAGCTCTTCAATAGTTAAGCTTGGTCTCGGCTATGGAATTGAAGTAATTAGATCTACGGTGGATTGGGCGTCGAAGTTGAAGAATGTATCAAGGTGGCTCGTGAAGGATTATCACCTAAATGTACATCAACGAAAAGGGGCGTTTTCGCCCCTCAACTGAGTTTGCTTCTCGTCATAAAAGATGTGGCCCGTCAGCACTAGTATCAACCTTGGAATGCTTGAAGGAATTGGATGGCGTTATACGAGATTAATTTGGCTGTATATAACTCTGGCGCACGTACAAATATCGCGGCGCCCTAGTATACTACCGCTCGACATTGACCATCAAACAAGTGATCATTATGCCAAGCAATTTTTCGTCCAGAGCTCCTTGGAAACGATCAGCATGTGATCGCTGTCGTGCACAGAAGCTACGCTGCATTCGTGATGAAGACCAACCTACAGATGCATGCATGAGATGTGTCAAGTCCGGGGCGAAGTGTGTTACTAGCATGGCCCGCCCAACGGGTCGTCCGCCCTCCCGTCAACCACCGGTCGATCAAACATCACAAACAAGCAATTCATCTCCCGATGATAGTGGGGTGGATATGGGAATGATTGGACTGGATTATGATATCTCGTTGGATAATTTCTTCAGCAGCATTGGCATGCAACATTCCGATGTCATGATGGACGAGGAGATATTCATGGATAATGATACTTTGCCTCAATCACCACATCAACATGGAGTTCCCCATACACACATTCCATGTGAGAGCGGAATTGAGTTTAGTTCTTCTCAGTCAGAGTTTCCGGCTCAGCATCATACTCTCGATGCTATGCCACACCAGCAACCGGCAGAGCCAGCTGCGACGATCAGGACCGACGATGCAGAGCTCCTCCTGTCCAAACTAGATTTGGATCTCTCTTCTCAACTGTTTTCCATCAAATCGGTACCTTGGGACGTCAAAGATATTCTACAACTCACTTTCTCGCACACCGGGAATGAGAAAGACCCAGTTAATCCTCAATCCCATCCTGTTCTCCAACTATCCAACGCGGCCACCGAGCTTGGAAGACTCTTAAAAAGCTTGCTCCCAAACCAAACTCCCGAAAATCACCTCTCCTCACAACAATACTCTCCGACTTTTCTGCCCCGTCGTCTCCGCACTACGCAGCTCCTAGTGGCGCTGTCCTGCTACATTCACATTGTCTCTATTTACGACATTATCTTCACTAAAGTTTATGACTACTTGACGAACAACTCCGACCCATCAACAGCGGCTCTTCCCTCGGCAGAGCCAACTCTATACCTTGGAAGCCTACCAATTCCTCCAAATCAGATGCTACCTGGCATATTGCTAGTCCATCTGGCTGAAAATCAACTTCATCAAATCGAGCTATTGATGGGCTTGCCTGACCATTCTCGAGTGTCATCAAGATCGAATGATAGGAATCAACACGGCAAAACCGGGCTTTTTGCAGGTCAAAACAGCCAATTGCTTTTAAATGCTGTGATACAGCTTGGAGACGATCGGAACGGCAATCATGACGATATAAGATGCGTTCAATCATTGAGGAACAAGATGCGACAAATCAAAGACTCCTAGAAGGGATCGGTGATTATTACAAAGATAGAGAATGGGACCAAAGAACGTGTGTTTATGTTGTATGAGGTCCATTATACAAAATGCATGTTTCAACAGAAGCTACACTCATGTTGGATCGCGTCTGTTTGGTACTACATTCTTGTCTGAATAAACCGTACGATCTCAGTCTACAATCGGAACGATTGCGATCGATGCCAAAAATTGTCTTGTAATTCCGGGATCAGCCGGGGCCGGGGCCCCGGGCATCCACAGGCCCGGGAGCCGAATTTGGAGAGGTTACCGGCCTCACTTGGCAAAGTCGGAGCCTGGAGCTAGGGAATTCTCCAGCTCGATAGGTCACTGACCCGTGGACACGTGAAACAGTGTGTAATCGGTAATATAAAATATGGGCAGAAAATACCTAGGCATATTCGCTTCTGTTATTTTATTTTATTTTATTTTAATTTTTTTTTGGAACAACCTTGAACGGCTCTGGCCGAAAGTCCTGGAGGATTTGGCTGCAGATTATTAGGGGCTGTGGCGCAACCCCAACTCTTGGACTCAGCCCTAAGCTCCCGAGGTCCGACCCCCGTGCGGCCTGGGCCCGGAGCACCAAAACCTTCGAATTCACCGAAAGTCTCCGAATAGAATCCTATCGACTCATAATTCTTCAGGAGATGATTTCAGATGTTCCTGCAAGGTTCCTGAGCATAGATAAAAGATGAATACTATACTTCAAACGTGTCTACCAAGTACCTTGTCACTTTGTGAAACCACCTAAGATAAAGCTTCCACCATCATGACAGAGCAAGTCAATAACAAGACATGGGTATTCAAGTGCCCACCGACCGGACTACCCGAGCCGGGAATAAACACGACTATTGAGCAGCGACCTCTGGAGCTGGTACCAACACCCGGTGGCCTGGTCATCAAGCTCCTGACCGCAGGACTTGATCCGCATCAAAGAGATCGCATGCGTGGGCCTGGTCTTGTGGACTACGTCCCTGGATATGTGAATGATGAGCCTATCACCAACTTTTCGATCGCCAAGGTCATACGCTCCGACAATGATACCTTTGAGGAGGGAAGTCTGATCGCCGGAAGTTTGCCGATCGCTGAATATGGTCTCGTTCCGAAAGAGCTTATTGAAGCTCGCGCGATGGCCTCACCCCTTGTTTGGAAGGTGACCAACGACTACCATTTGGACCTCAAGCACTTTGTCGGTACCCTGGGACTGGCCGGAATGACTGCTTGGAATTCGTTCTATGGACTCGTGAAACCAGTGAAGGGCGAGACCATCTGGGTAAATGCGGCATCGAGCTCGGTCGGCGAGCTTGTTGTCCAACTTGCCAAGATCGAAGGAATGCGGGTGATCGCTAGTGTGAGCTCCGATGAGAAACTTGAGTATGTGGTGAACGAGCTCGGCGCAGATGTTGGTTTCAATTACCGAAAGGAACCAGTCAGTGACGCGCTCAAGAGACTGGCGCCGGGCGGATTAGATGTAGTTTTTGAGAATGTGGGAGGCGATCATTTCCAAGCGGCGATTGAGAATATGAAGTGGTTTGGCCGCATCATTAGCTGTGGAACGGTAAGCTGAACCTCATCCGAGACCGGTGACATCCAGAGACTAACATTCCTCCAGGCGTCGCAGTACAACAAGCCTCTTGAGGAGCAGTACGCAGTGACCAACATTTCGGAGATCTTCCGCCGTCGAATCAGGATTCAAGGCTTCATTTTCTGGGACGAAAACATTTTCCCGGACAATATCGACAACTTCCGGGCGACGATGCCGAAGTGGATCTCGGGGGGAAAGATCAAATCGAGATATACAGAGTTTGAAGGTATCGAGCAAGCGGATGCTGCCTTCCTGTCAATGTTCAGCGGTGGAAGCTTTGGCAAGACTGTGCTTAAGATCAGCGATCTCTGAAATGCGTTGTATTTTAGCCATCAAACTCAATGTGTAGGGAGCCTGGACAGAGTCAATTCAAAAACATCAATATAAGCCGTGTTCAAAACATGATAATTCATATACGTGGTCAAGTTGCCCCGAAGTTGATAAACATGGAATTGCTGCTTAAAAGCCACGCTTCCAAGGTTCATGTCCTTGACCTCGGGACCTGTGGACCTAGCACCTGGGCATGGACACACCTGGGCATGTATGTGCCGAGGTGGTGATGATCTAGTCTGAATGTGAAGCTTGCCAGATGACAACATCGCGAATTGGAACCCTGGAATTTCAAAGGTTTGCAGCCAAGTTCCAGGGTCCCACCGGATGATCAAACTATCATTTACTTTCGCATTATATCAGGAAGATGGTCAAACAAAAACCCTACGATAAGCCAGTTCAGCTGGTGTGTCTCAATAAGAAACGCATCATGTCCATCACAGCTCACAATCTCTCTCAACATCGCGTTGGGGATGCAACGAGCCATCCGCACTTGCTCCGGGAGAGCGTAAATTCCATCGCTCCGAATTCCAACAACAAGCGTGGGCTGCTGTATCAAGGCGAGTGCTTCGCTGATAGTGTCTGTCCGATTGCGTGAGATGTCGTGGGAGTCCAGCTTGTGTGTCAATGATATATAACAGTTACTGTCAAAGCGATGGGAGAACTTTTGTGCCTGGTACCGAAGGTATGATTCAACTGAATATTTGCAATTGGTTGGTCGGGAACCGACTGCTTCGTCGGCTGTTGGCTGGCACAAAGATGCTTTATCTGGTGTCAACTTTGTAGGGTGGCCGTTTCTGTTGGTGATATTGTCCTTTTTGCTCATTGTATCACGTCCAAAACGATCCTCTAAGGACTCCCGACTGCGGTAGGTCAATAGAGCGGCCATTCTTGCTGCTTCGAGACCTGAAACAGGGGCTTCGTTTAGTTGATAGTAGCCACTTTTGTATCTGGTATCACTGTAAATTGCGTGTCGTTGGACTTCGTCCCATCCAATTCCCCAAGCACTTTGGTGAGCAGACGTTGCGATAGCGACAATAGAACGGACGTAGAGTTTGCCAAAGAAAGACCATTCAAGTGCAAGCATGCCGCCCATCGAGCCACCAATAACTGCAGCTACTTGATTGACCCCCAGTTCATTCAGTACTAGTCGATGAGCACTTGAGCAGTTAGAAATTGTGGGACCAGGCCAAAGGGATACACATACCGAGCATCATCCCGAATTGTGGTGATGGGAAAATCGGCTCCGTATCGTCCCTCCACAGAATTTCCGTTCTTTGATGTAATCGGGCTGGCTGACCCGTACGGACTACCGAGACTATTCATGCAAATAACGAAAAACCTATCGGTGTCGAAGGCTTTTCCGGGCCCAAGCAAAGGTCCCCACCACTGGCCAACATCTGCACTTCCCGAGAGGGCGTGACAGACCACCATCACATTGCTCTTGTCTACAGAAAGCTCACCCCAGCTTTTGTAGGCTATCGGAACTTTTCGCAGGACTTTTCCTGATTCCAAGACGAAATTTGGGATGGTAGTAGTCGTCTGCCTCGTTCTCTGATCGAGGAAAGGATTATCGAGTACATCGTCTTCTCCTTCTGATCCTGCTCAGCGATTAATGGCCGGAAATGACTCGAAGGGTGGTGAAACAAGACGGGAGCCACGTACCAAGCCTGCGTTTCTTGGCAGCATCGCCGTAATGGGAAGAGGATCTTCGGATCGTCATCGTCCACGCCGATCACCGTAAGAGGTCTGATATAAGCCGACGATATGAGGTCGAGAAAAAAAGGTTAATCAAGAGGGTGGCTAAGAAAATGAGAGCAGGTGTAGGGTAGCGAAGAAGAAAAAGTTGGAGAACAGAGAGAGAGGCAGAGGTATCTAGTAGTGTCAGGGACCTTAATCACCTGATTCATGATCCTACCAAGGAGCCATTTGCACATCCGAAAGATGGTGAGAAATTTGAATGAAATCTATCCGAAGCCCATGAGCAGAGTGGGAGCCTCAGACTCAGTGGACGTTGGAGCGATCACAGGCCCGTCAGCCCTTAGCCTGATACATAATCTCGGACCACCGAGCATGGACATCGGGGTGATCTCAAAGGTTGGTGCCTTCCGATACGATAGCAAGCATGATACTTCCCACGGAAATTGACACTACCAGCTGAAGTCGAGTTGGCGATCTGGGAAACCCAAGAACGACCGGTCTCGGGGACTTTACCTACTGCTCGGGTTTGATGTCTTCGGAGGCTTTCTTACGTGCAGACTTAGAGAAGTACTGAGTGGGCCCAAAGACTCGGTAAGAGTATTACTTCTCATCTGAAACTCTCATTTGGGGGCTCTTCTTGCCACATTTACTGACAAGTCTTACCCGAGCTCCCCAAATCCAACCGACTGCAGCAAACTTCATCGAAGAGTACTAAAAATGAGATTTCTATGCCTGCATGGCTATGCAACCAGCGTCGATGTTCTGCAGGAGCAGATGGCTCCCATAATTTCGCACCTACCCAGCGATTGGGAATACGAGTTTCTTGAAGCAGAAATGGAACCGTCTGAGTTGATGCTTCGTTAGTACATCTATTTCGTCTGGTTCTCGTCTGTTTTCAAAGAGACTGACGCCAAGACAGCCACGCTTGCCCAGGTCCCCAAACCCAATTACAGTTGGTACAACTACCCATACCCCGAAGACGTCCAGCGTGCACTCGAGCGGTTGAGGGACTTCATTGACACCGAAGGTCCATTTGATGGTGTCTGGGGATTCTCTCAAGGGGGCTCAATGGCTGCTCTACTACTGCTACTCCATCGCGCTGAATATGGAGACACCGCGTATCCATTCAAGATGGCGATTTTCACTTCGGCTTTCCTCCCACATCGATTTGATTCCGGTTCCATCAGCTGGGAGTCGAACCAAGAAGGCCACCTAATACCAGAGTATCAGCCGGGAAATTATGACGTATCTGGGGGGAAGAGCGTCGACTGGACAAAGGATCCTCATACTTCAATCGAGTATGATATGATCAAGTTGGTTCAAGATCAATTGAGCTTCCCTGTGCGGTTGCTGCTCAAATATGGGCCGCATGAAACAAGCAAGATCTCTGTGCCCTCGATTCACGTTCGTGGATTGAAGGATCATTATCATTTTGTGGATGGCTCAGTTTCACGACTTTTTAACGACGAGACTTCGAAGGTCTTGATCCATCGAGGAGGTCATCATTTCCCTAGGTTTGCCGAGGAAATCGTGGATTTTGCAGAGTTGATAATTGAGACCGTATGTACTTTGAGTTAGAATAGAATTTAGAAAAGGAACCTTGAACGATGGCTTAGAATTGCACTTGGCACATGAACCCTTCGACAATTTGAAAACATTTATGTTCAATCTATAGATATTTGTGCTATTAAAATGTGATTTTGACCCCATCCACAATCAACCGAAAATAAACATCACACATGTAACTAGTATAACTTGGAAATGGGACGTCTCAAGCTCTAGCTTTGTGTAAGCCTTCGCTTTCTCCGCTTTTCAAGCATCAAGAAAGCAAGGCAGATGGCGGAGCCCAGATACATGAATCCAGTAAAAAGCTGAACTCTCAAGTAAGGCTTCGACGAGGTCGATGGGTCTCTGAGCTGTAATGCGATCGCCTCTGCTACCGTCGTTGGTGGACAAAGCGTCAGCCACAAGATGCCGAGCCCAGCACCAAGATCTTGTAGTCCCACGACTTCAGCCGCAAGCGGAGCAGCAACAGCAAGGAGTGTTCCGGCAAACAGCCCGACGGCTATGGAGAAGAAGTACGTCAGACCGAGCGAATCGACGAAAATCCAAAGCACAAATGACAAGAGGCTTGTCAGGAGTGACGCGACAAGGGCAACATTGAATCGTCCATAGTAATCACTGAGTAGTCCAACAGCCGGGCGCCCAATCGCTTGGCCCAGGTTCAAGAGAGCGCTTGCAAGACTGCCTTGCTGCTGAGTGAGTCCAATCGCAATCGAAAAGCTGGGCATGCTGAAAAGTAAGACAACGTATCCCAGAGCGCTCAGAAAGGCCCAACCCAGAAGCAGTACATAGTCCAATCTCAGCACGACAGACAATCGGAATGGTGCCCCCTTGGACGCAGTAGCTGAGTGAGAGGGTATCCGAAGAAGGTTGGAACAGGCCAGATTGATAACAAAACATAAGATTCCCAATGTGCGCATCGCCCAGGGAAAGCCCATTTGTGGGATCATTTTACCAACTGCAAGTGAATAGACTAAGCCGCCTATTCCAGATCCGGCAGATGCAATCCCGTTCACCAGGCTTCGTCGCTTTTTGAACCAGTATGAAGTTATTCCAACGGATCCACAGAAGCACAGTCCCATGCCAAATCCGAAACACACACCCTGGGAAAGGAAGAGTTGCCAGTCGGTTTTCACGAACGAAGCAGTAATCAGGGAAAGCGTTTCGAAGATTGTGCCGAGGTTTAAGACAAAGCGATGAGACACTCTTTGGCAGAGAAAGGTGGCCAGAGGGGCAATGAGCATAGCACAGGACATGCTGAGCCCTCCAATAAATGCATATTCAAGACTCGAGGTACCGGGGAATACGTCAGAGGAGAGGTAATATGCAAGAAAGACTCCGTATGCCTAAAGGAAGAGGGGAATTAGTATTGCCTGATGCTTCTCAAGGTAAGGGCGTATTGTTGTCTCACAGCATTGATGCCCCATGTATGGGCGTTCATGAGGAATGTGCAGGCAACACAAACCCAGCCATAACCACCCTCCCGGAATTCATCTGTGTTTTGGGAAGGTTTGCTGATAGTGTGGGCTTCACCCTTTTCTGTGGAGGGTGATTCATTCATTTCTGCTCATCCCAGTCTTCTCAACTTGAGTTTTGTGAGTGAATACATGCCGGACTCTTGGTCTTCATATTGGTATCTTCATCGGTATTGCGGGACACAACCTCCGATTCATGTCAGTACCTAGGTAAGCCCGCTGACCTATCTCAGGCATATTCGGAGGTTAGACCGAAAGTGCCGATGTCTCTAGGCAATGAAGCAAAATGTGGCAGAAGGTTCTCGGGTGGTTTGGAGGGAGTTTTGTATTTTATTCTCGGCGATCAAACACCGCTTGCTTCCAAGGTCGTTGTCCTTGATGAAAAATAAGGTCGTTGTCCTTGATGAAAAATACTTCCCACCATTTTTCTTGAAAATTGAATTCCACCAAACTAGCCAGCTCTATCCTCGCTCCAGTTTGATTCATCATTGAAAGGAAGAAATTTTCCTGTCCAATTGATTATATTACTTTTTCAGAACTCTCTATCACAGTCAATATTACCATGCACTTGCGGCCGTACTGCGCTAGTACGGAGTACCCTGACGGTCAAAGTTGTGTTCAAGCCCCGAGAAGGTCGATCGGTAAGATTTGCGGGAACTTCGGCGCCGAGATCCCGAACTCCATAGTGGGTCTATGGTAACCAATCGGAATCCGGATCTCACGGATCCTTTAGCCCCCACGTTTTAGCCACGAGCTACATACATCGCGCATCTCGTTGACAGATCACTTCCTAAAGGGAACTGGGCCGGATCAAATACTACCGGAGACTCCATGGTGGTGTCATTCGTCTCTAGGTTCTGAAGCCATTCTTGCATTTTCTGTTCACCTAGCTATGTTTTCCTTTGTGATACTGAATGACATGTTGGTCTGGGGTACTTATGTTGCTGTTCTAAGTCCAATAGCCATTGGTCAATTTTCCATAGCTACTGGACTTCACGCATTTCCGTCAACGTATGTATCACACCTCGCAGGTTTAATTTGACTCCCAAACTTAGTTTGTCGACGGAACTGACCCTAGGCTCGGAGGCCGCTTTCACTTAAATCAATTTACCCCCGGAAGGGGGGGGGGGGGGGGTCTTTTCAAGTATTGCGTGGTGATTTTTTGCGTTGAGACTCTGGAATCGTATTTAGGAGTATGTTGAATCGTTTGGTAATATATGATGTAGGAAAGAATGTTATTATAGACAAAGAGAATGCAGCAAAAACAACAAGAGCTTCAAAAGTCAAATTTGAATAAAACCTGAGTAGACCGCGGGATCATGGTCTTGGGAATCTTTTAATGATGAGTCCCATGTCTGGTAGCTCTCTCAGTTGCTGCTCAGTCTAGTAGCTAGCTTTCTCTCTTCCCCTTCCAGTCCGTCAGTGAAATCAATCAATCTTTGCCCTCCCTTTTGCCTGGGTAAGTGTGTAGCTTCTCCAGCACATGACGTGAGTGATCTCCTAGGAAAGGCCAGCTGGAACGAGCGCAGTCTTTGCAATGGTCTTCTTTGCGAACTCAGTCAGAGGATCGTTGCTCACAATATCGAAGACGGAAAGATCAGCCTGGAACTCCTTCAAAAGCCAAGTCCGAATTTCAATGGCAACCAGACTATCAATACCGAGGGCCGGAAGAGACTTTCTTGGGTCCATATCCTGAGCCTCTGTTTTGATGATGCGTGAGATTCCTTCCAAGAGCTGCGTCAGGATGAGATCGTAGACCTCTTCTTTACTGGAGGCCGATGAGAGCAATTTCTTCCAATCCTGTGCACCATTGGTAGCGCTTGCATCACTTCCCTGTCTGTTCAGTTGACTGAGGAACGCAAATCGTGAGTCCGCGAACCAGTAAGGATCACTGGCAGACATCTGCTCTAGCTGACCACCAGTAGATGCTCCTAGCGCAACTTGCGTGGGAGCCCGGCCTGAGATGGCTGCTTTAACAACATTCAACACCTCGCTTTCATTCATTCCCAGCAAGCCGCCATCCTTCAACAATTGAAAGACCTCACTTCGCTCCGTTGAAACGCCTATTCCAACGACTAGGCTCAGGTTGATGCTTGTCGCAGCTAGCCCACGAGCAGCGCGGGTTTGCATGAGAGCATCCTGGTAAGCATTTCCAGCGTTGTAGTTGGCTTGTCCACGAGAGCCAATTATTCCTGCTATCGATGACAGACAAACGAAGAAGTCCAAATCATCGGGCAGCAGGTCATGCAGATTTCGAGTCGCGAGAAGCTTTGGGCGGAGTGACAGATGCCAATCGTCAACCGACATGTTGCTGTAGATGCCATCCTATTTGAATGAAGTTAGAGCTGACCCAACGCTGATCATCTTTTGGCGAGGGAACTCACTCTTAGATCCATGGCACAATGGATGACACCTTTAATTGGTGGGAAATTATGGTGTATCCGTTCAATCACGGCTTGGAGTTGAGCCTTTTCGGCGACATCAACGGCGATTGCTGTCGCTAGAATACCAACGTGCTGGAACTCCTCAAGAAATGATCGGGCCTCTGGATTGGAGCTCCCTGAACGAGACAGGAAGATTAGTGTTTTCGCACCTCTCTCCGCAAGAACCTTGGCAATAGAGCGTCCGATTCCACCAAGACCACCAATAAGAATATATGTCCCGCTCTGGGACAAATTGAAAGATCCAAGACTCTCGGGAACGACCTGTGGTAATTAGTCTTTGAGATCTCCAGATATAAAGGATATACCATTGTATAACAGCAAACTTACCGGCACAATGTCATGAGGATGCAAGCTCAAAATAATTTTTCCAATGTGACCCCCAGCCTGTATGAGACGGAAAGCTTCCTCGGCCTCCCCGAATGAGTATCGAAGGATGTTGTTCAGAGGACCAATAGCACCACTTTGTAGCAAGTTCGAGACTTGGATTCCAATCTTTTCAAATCGATCTGGGAAATCAATTACCTGGGTGAGAATATCGAGTCCGGCAAAGGTGATGTTGTTCAAGAAAGGCCGCATCTCCAGGGCGCTGTTGTCGTATATATCGCGCTTCCCTAGCTCTATGAAGCGACCGAAGGGTGCGACGCAATGCCATGTTCTGCGTAGCGCCTCTTGTGCCAATGAATTCAGCACGACATCAACTCCTGTCTGCGACGTCAATCGGAGAATACCATCCGCAAAGGAAAAGTCCCGGCTATTGAAAATGTGAGACTCGTCTATTCCGTATTGATTGACGAGGAACCTCTTCTTCTTCTCGGAGGATACAGTAGCAAATATATCTGCTCCGAGGAACTGTGCAAGTCGGATGGCTGCTTGGCCCACTCCACCGGCAGCGGAATGAATCAAAACAGATTCGCCACGCTGGAGTCGGCCAACGTCAACGAGAGCATGCACAACGGTAGCATATGTGCACATCAAAGAAGCAGCTTCCTCGTTGCCCAAGTGATCGGGGGTCTTTTGGAAAGTCCGTTGATCAACTCGGAGACGAGTCTGGAAACATCCGGCGTGCATTCCAAACACGCGATCACCCAATTTGAACTTAGAAACACCAGGGCCAACTCGACAAACGACTCCGGAACATTCGATGCCTAGAGTGGAGTCTTCCATCTGACCCATAGCAACCATGACATCGCGGAAGTTCAGACCCACTGAGCCGACCTGAATTTCAACCTCGCCAGGGGATAGGGGGTCGATGAGTTCCTGGACAGGAACGTACTCTAGGGTGTTCAGAAGACCCGGCTCTCGGATATAAAGCTTGAGGGGTTTCTTTGCTTGTCCCAAGGGGCTTTTGATAGCTGGGAGGCGGACACCAGATTTTGATGAGTCTAGCAAAGCCTTCACGTCGGCATGTGGGATCAACCGCTCGACCAAAAGATCACCCCCTCGAACGGTATATTCAGAATCTGTGGCTTCGAGTAGGCTCTTTCCAGATAGCTTCTCCGTTAGTCGGCATATGGCGTTGAGATTGGCATCCACGGAAAGGGGTGCGCTTGAGTCAAGTGACAGAGTTGTGAATCCAATGTCGGGGTGCTCGGCTCTAATGGTTCGCCCAAGACCTTTGACAAGCCCACTGGATTCTGCATTCGTGGTCAACCACAAAGTTCCAAATGACCCAAGGAACAAAGAGCGGAGCTTAGAGAAATCCTGTTGATCCACCGACTCCAGCAGGGGATGCTCGAAGTCAAGAGCTGCCAGGAGGATGTATGGAGAGGTGTGCTCTGGGATGTCACCGAGAGTCGTGCTAACGACATGGAAGGATTGCGCTATCAGATTGCTCTCCACTTGACCAATGGCGCTGCTCAATTGCGCCGAGGGGTCGTTCGGAGTGACGATGAGGACATTCCGGACGGCCGAAGAATCCGGTATCTTTCGAGCAATGAAGAATTTCGATTGACCGTCGCAATTCACTTGGGTCATGGAAAAGCCGGCGGATTCCAGCAGCTCAAACGTAATTGGACCAACAACACTGTTTCTGGGGTCACTGGCAATCAACAGAGTTCCATTTCTAGAGACACGTTAGCCTAATCATCAAAGTTCCGCTTCATGCTGAATCAACTCACCGTTTCAAGAGTCCCTTGATATGCTTCAGAATGGTCATGTAATCGCCTTCATGTTCAATGGCAGTATCGAAAACTATGACGTCTTGTGTGCCGTCCTCGAATCCTTGTGGGCTAGGGTCTTGAGATAGGTCAAGTGTCTGGTTTTGAACCAACTGTGCCCATAAATCGGGAACACGGGCTTCAATGTTGCTGGGGCCATCAAGCGGACCCGCTAGAGTAATCGACGTAATTCGATCACTCACCTTGTCACCAGGTACCGACGCTAAAGCATTCAGCAAAAGACTTCCAGTCGATGGGTTATATTCGAGGATGTCAATGGCAGGAAGCTTCTGTGCAACTAATGCAAGATAGCCAGCTAACTTGTCGCTCAGGCTCAGGCTCGTGCCCTGCAATGCCCGCTCGAGCTGTTCAGGGCCAGCGAGTTCGATATCTGGTACCAGCTGTGGCGTAACGGGTACGTGGTTCATTGATTGCACATCTGAAGCAGAGTTACCAGAAGATGCCCCGCGCAGGGGAACAGTCTGGCATCCCCGGAGAGCGACCAAGGGCGTGTTGTTGTCTTCGCCAAATGCAATAACATCACTCATCATGTTGACTGCCCCGTGGTTCTTGGATGAGGTAAACCCAAGGCACATCCGACCGCGGGATTGGCTTATATCTGCCGATACATACAAAGATGCGGTAGAAATAGGGACTCTCGCCTTGAGTTCGGCACCATCACTCGTGCTGGAGATCAATAGATGAACGAACACGTCGAGTACGGCAGGATGAATCAAATGCGCAGGCTCCCATGCTTTGGGATACCATTTTCTGGTGTCCAGAACCTCCATAGAAAAGTGAGATCTTCCATTGAGAAGATTCAACGATTTGACACCGCGGAAGGAAGGTCCAAGACTAAACCCGGAGTCCTCCAACTTGGAATAGAAGGCCGCGGGATCCAGGTTCGGCAGGTCAGCTTGGACAGTTTGATCATAAGTTGTCTTGAGTTGAGCGTTGGCTGCAGCCTCCTCGTTGAGGAATGCAGAGTTGGCATCTTGTTTGTAGGAAGTCGAAATGAGACCAGTGCAGTTGGTCGTCCAAGACCCTCTCTCCTTACGGCTTGAGACAACGAATTCTGTCCAGTTCGATGTTGTCGAGTTCGATCCTGAGCGCAATAGTAGAAGCTGGAGGCGTGTTTCGACCGTCTCCTCAAGGGGAACAACCAACGCACTTCGAACATTGACGTCGCGGATGTTATAGCCTGAGACATCTGTGCGAGTCTCGACCTGGCGCGTTGCCTCAATCGCCATGACAATAATGCCGGCCATAGGATAAATGATGGTGCCTTGGAACTGATGATGCTCAATCCATGGCTGCTCTGCAACACGCAGATAGTTGCGCCAAGCCGGCTCCGATTCCGTTGACCGTTCATCTCTTGTACCAAGCAGGTCGAGTCGAGGATGGGTTCTTTGCTTGTATGCAGTCAATGCAGCCGACTCGTGCCAGTGACTGACGGAGGTGTTCCACGCGTATGGCGGAATATCTACCAGGGTAGACAAGCCAGGCTCATCGACTTTGGCATAGCAATTGACCATCGGAACATCGCAAGAATGACCAAGAGCAACAAGTTCCCCGACAACGTCCAAGGTTGTTTGAATGGCGTCCTGCTTTCTCTTGATCGCTGATAGATATCGTGGCGGAGTCCCTTTTGCGCTCAGGTTGTCCAAGATCTGCTTCAGTGGTCCCTGGAGTGCAGCATGTGGCCCAATCTCGACCATGACGTCGGCGCTACCTTTCTTGCCAGAGCTCTTTCGCTTCCCTAGAGCGCCCGAGTTTGCCGCTGCACTGACAGCACCAGAGAAATTCACAGGGCTGACCAAGTTGGCGACCCAATATGAAGGCCCGAGATCAGCGTTATCAATGATCCTGGACGTGACTGATGAGAACATGCGAACCCCGGATGAATCGGGTGTGGGTTCCCAAGCGCCGGTCATAGCGGCTAGATATTCCCCGGCAATGAACTCCATGTGGTGAGAGTGGTACGCCGTCGACACACGAAGCTTTCTCACGAAGATACCATCGGCATCCAAAGTTTTGACCACTTCATCGATGCCTGCCACATCGCCTGAAAGGGTGACGCTGGAAGGACTGTTGATGCAAGCAACCACAACTTTACCAGCGCTCACCCGACGGAGATAGTCATCTGCGGCTCCGACACCCAACCCGACAGCGGCCATCGAGCCTTCTTTCGTAATCGTGCTCGTGAGGAGGCCTCTGAAGTATGAAATTCTCATCGCAGCTTCTTTTCCAAACGCGCCCTTCACATAGGCTGCGGCAATCTCTCCGCTCGAGTGTCCAATTGCTGTCTGGGGGCGAATATTCCAACTTTCTAGAAGGTCAACAATCGCAAGCTGAAGAGCGGTGCACGCCGGTTGGCTGATAGAGGGAATATCGATCTTCGACTCCTCAGCACTGCGTCCGAGCTCTTCCACGAGATCCCAAGTGCATCCGAATGATTTGAGATATCCACTTGACGCGGCAAGGGAGCTTTGAAACACGGGATAATTCTGAAGAGATCTACCCATGGCAAACCACTGGGCCCCTTGACCCGTGAAAATGAAAGTCAGGGCTTGTTGTCTGGGGACTCGTGCCGCGCGGACAGGTGCGTCGTCCAGTGCTTGTTCGAGCTCCTTGATTGTTGATGCCGTGGCAAATGACTTCCAAGGGAGGTTTGACCTTTTCTCGGATAGGGTGTACGCGAGACGATGGAGGAATTGATCTTCTGTCTCTTCTTTGGTATTGACCTCGCTGAGGTAGGTCTGCAGGCTTTGGCTGAGTCGCAGGATCCCAGACTCCTCGTGAGATGATAGAAGGAATAGCTTTGGTGGTCCTCTCGTGCTGAGTTCACCTTCGGTTTGAGTCAGGCCATTGAGCTTTGGGCCATGAATCTTGGTGTTGTGATGCCCACGCAGATTGTGAGATTTGAGGAAGTGGTATGCATCGTCCAGGATGGCGTGAGCGTTGGCGCCGCCATATCCAAAGCTATTGATGCTAGCACGCCGGAGTCCTGTTGGCCATTCCATCGCTGTGGTTGGGATCTCAATCTTCCAGTCTTCGAGTCGGATCTTTGGGTTGACCTTTTCGAGTCCGTACGTGGGTGCAATCACCCCGCTCTCGAGGCTGTAGATGGTTTTCACAAGGCCGGCGATTCCACTTGCACCTTCCAAGTGTCCGATGTTACTCTTGACTGAGCCAACATACACTGGGAGCTCCCTGCTAGGACCAAATACGGAACCAATCACAGAACACTCGATAGGGTCTCCCACCTTTGTTCCAGTCCCATGCGCCTCGAAATAGTTGGTGTCGTCGAATTTCAACCCGGCCGAAGCATAAGTGGAACGTATCAGCTCTTCTTGTCGAGCGGCTGACGGCTGGGTGATACCGAGAGTCCGGCCGTCTTGATTGGTGCCTGTGCCTCTTATGACTGCTCGAATTGTATCTCCATCCTCGAGTGCCTTGTCCAGGCGTTTGAGCACAACGAACCCACCTCCTTCTGCCCGTGCATAACCATTTGCGGAAGAGTCAAAAGAGTGACATTGGTTATCAGGACTCAGGAATGACATCGAGGACATGAACACACCGAAGTTCGGCAGCAGTTGCAGTCCTAGACCACCAACCAAAGCCTATCCAATTTGTCAGTTCTGTCCTAGGAAGTATGGGGGAAGTCAGGCAACATACCGAATCACTTTCTCCATTGCGAATGCTCTGACTCGCAACATGGAGTGCTGTCAATGAAGATGAGCAAGCGGTGTCAATTGTGAGACTTGGTCCCTTTAGATTGAAGAACCACGAGATGCGGTTTGATAAAAGAGCTGGCCCTGTGCCCGTGGCTGTATATTTTGGTGCACAGTCCATATCAAATGCTTGCATATCCCAGTAATCATGCTGACATGCTCCCACATAACATGACATATGCTGTTCTGCGACCTGGTCGATTCTAAGTCCCGCTGGTATCGGTTAGTCTGCAAACCATAACTGAATGGATGATAGACATTATGCATACCGTTTTCGAGACCCTCATACGCAAGCTCTAGGAGGATACGCTGGACGGGATCCATGCCGCGTGCTTCCTCGGGTGTGATGGAGAAAAATCCGGCATCGAATCGATCGACATCTTGCTTCAGGAAATACCCTTTGTTCGTATTGAATGTCCCAGCTCGTCCACCATCTGGGTGATAGAAGCCGTCCACATTGAACCGGCTCTTTGGCACCTCTGCCAAAGCACTCTTTCCTTCTTTGAGTAAGTCCCACAGGTGTCGAGGTGTTGTTCCATCTCCAGGAAATCTTCCAGATACACCGATGACAGCGATAGCGGAGGAAATATCCTCGCCTTCGTATGTGGTTTCGTTGCACGGTATTTCGGTTGTCGTTGGTGGATTATCGTTTCTTGCATTCGATGTGCCGACATGGTTTCCATTGGTGTCAGTGGAGGAACCATTATGAGAACCGTTTGTTCCGCTCCTGATCGTCATGATGGCGATTCGTTTATCGATAGCTGTATTTTACAAAGCAACAGCTCGGTTGGGAATGCGACCGAGGGGAGATGACGGCCTTTTCTTGACCTTTGCTCAAAAGCTCTGGTTTTCCATATGAGAAGGCAAGGGATGATTTTGAATCGTTCTATCATCGCCGCACATGTAGCTATACCGGAGCTTTCGCGTGTGACAGTAGACATTTCCCAATCGAGCGGTTCGGAAGGTCCTCGGGCTAGAGCCGAAGCCGAAGTGTTGGCGCGGGTCCACGCAGCGCTAGGGCCCCGGCGATCTGTTCTGCGCCAAAAGCTTCCGTATAATCCTCCGATTTGGGACCTTGGGCTCCGGTTTGAATAATGCTCGTCGAAGCCTCCGATTGGGCCCATCGACGATATCTGGCTTGCGCATGTCGCGATCGGTGCCAACGGGTGATTTGCGGACTGTTTCACCTAGGCAACATCCAGTCATTCTATATAGTGTTCGTACCAGACAGGCCAGAAGAGGCGATAAACCATCCATCTTGCGAAGACCTGCCAATTTCTCGTTATTTCCATCGCCAATCGCTTTGACCACCAACTCCTTGGTTTCGATAATAGCCTCGTCGGGCGCAGAAGAATCCCAAACTCCACCGCATCAAGCCACTTGGGAATCCTAGGGAAGAATCAACCATGAATCAAACCCCAAGTTCTCTCCAAGAATACTTCGTCCATGTGCCTGATCATCCGAACGTCCTGGCCAAGCGGATCGCTCTTCTCAAGCCACACAACGTCGCTGCGGCGCCTCTAGTCAAAGCAGGTCGCGTCCCTTTCTTTGGGAGTACTCTCACTCATCACGGCGCTATCGACGAGGAGCCCAGTGAGAACGGAACAATCATGATTTTGAAGGCTGAAAGCGAGGAAGTCATTAGGGAAATTATCCGGGAGGACATCTTCACTGTGGAAGGCGTTTGGGACTTTGAGAAAGTAGTGATTCAACCCTTCAAGGGTAAATAGTCGGTTATGGAATTTCTGTCATTAGTCAAAGTCCAAAAAGACTCGAGAATATCTGCCAACAGCGTATTGTCACGATCTGGAGTTGATCCGGACGATGAGGGCGAAGTGAAAGGGGCCAAACCGTCTTCGGAGTTTCGGCGCCGATCAGGCCGACAGCCATTGCTCCTTGGCCCTCAGGACATATCTCCCTCTTAACTCATAATTATTATTTACTCTGCATCTACTTCATGATGTTGAGAGTACAGAAATCCTCTTCGGAAGGAAAGAACGACCCGCAATATAGATTAGGTGCCCGGTCTTGTCTCGCATGCCATCGGCGCAAGGTCCGATGTGACCGAGGAGTGCCTTGCACCAACTGTGCGAAGTGTGACTTTACCTGCGTCTATCCCACCAAGGATAAGGACAGAGATGAGCAGAGAAGTCCAACTTTACAACGTATCTCCGACCGTCTCGGACGATTGGAAACCCTTCTTTCACACCTTGTTGAACCCCGCGCATCTGTCTCCGCTGAACAACAAGTCCACGATGCGCCGATATTCACACAAAGTCAACGGGAAAGCAAGCCCTGGGAGCTTTTACTGAATGATGGCAACAATGTCCAGTATGTGAACAACTCAAACCTGAGGGATCTCCTCCAGAATGTGGGTCTGTCCTTCAAGCATCCCCGGACACCCTACTAAAGCAGGGACAGGATGAGCGTATAAAGTCCCAGCGCGCTTCCGGCTTAGAGTCAACGCCACAATTACAAAACTACACAAGCACACACACCTCCCCCTCCCAGCCAGGCCTTTTGTCAAATGCCGCCCCCAGCGTGCTGGAATTTTACCCGGACTCACATTTGGCACTTCAACTATGGGCATTGTATGTCAAGTCTGTTGATCCGGTGCTCAAAATTCTTCATATACCCACGACTCAGTCTGCCGTCATAGCGACAATACTTGACCCCAAGTCTGCGAGCGCCTCTATGGTTGCGTTGACATTTGCGATATATTTTGCTGCCATCACGACACTAGATCACTACGATGGGCCGATTGAGCTCCCCTTAGACAGACATGCCCTGTTAAAGAATTACAAGACCGCATTGGACCGCCTTCTGCTTGTGACAGAAGTGATGAATCGGCCCGAGATCCCAGTCTTACAAGCTCTCGCTATTTACACTGTACGTGATCCCAGGAACTCCACACACGAAACTCACTGACATCTCAAAGACATGTCTACGTGTCCACGAAACAGGTCGTGGTGCGTGGATCTTGAACGGTCTCGCAATCAGACTAGCGCAGTCCGTAGGTCTGCATCGCGACGGCGCATCTCTTCGGCTCAGCCCGTTTGACACGGAGATACGCCTTCGCCTATGGTGGCATCTATGCGTTCTTGACTCTCGCGCTCCTGAAGACCAAGGATTTGAGCTCACCATCGACGTGCTTAATCGAGGCCTCCGCCTTCCCCTAAACGTCGATGACAACCAATTATTTCCGAGTATGAAGCAGCTTCCGGTCGAATCAATCGGATGGACCGAAATGTCTTTCTTCCTTATCCAAACGGAATCATGTCGACTATTACATCCAGTCTTGGGAACCCGGGAACTGTCCCCATCGAATGCTTTGTCTGATCTCGCCACTAAAAGACAGATGATTCAGGAACATACTCAGTATGTATCATCGAAATATGGCGCCACCGCCAGAAGCACCGGGCATCTACCTTTTCTTGCATTGCAACATTTTACCACTGCCTGCAAGAAGATGGAGTTCATGCTCCGACTCCGGGAGGAGATCGACATGCAGGAAAAGGAGGATGCAGGTGATGAGATTGCAGAAGTCTCAAGGCCGTCGTTCAAACTTGCATGCGATGGTCTGGAAAGCAGTTCCATCCTTCTGACCGGGGAGATTTCCCTCGGTTTTAAGTGGTTGTTCACTACATACGTGCCGTGGTATGCTCTGGCTTATGTCCTGCGCTGCCTAAGCAACAGTCCCTGTGGACCAAATACGGACCGAGCCTGGGACTTGATTGACAAAGTATTTCCTCGCGAACTGAATCTGAACGAACTGTCCACACCCGAAGAAGACGGATATAGCAGTATCTGGAAATGCCTTGCGTTGCTTCGAAATCAAGCTCTATCGTCAAGGAACTCCCAGCTATCTGCGAATGATGCAAATGCACCCGTTGAGCGTGTTGATTCCCGGGACGACAGAACTGAGCAGGGTATCAACGAGAACGAGCCGCCGCCGGCTTATGCGTCAGCTTTTCCGGGCTATGGAATGATTTCCGAGCAGGAACTTATTCCGGATCCTAGCCAAAATATCTTTTCGTCCTTCGACTTCTCCATGTCTGGAGTACCGTACTTGCCGGAGTGGAATGCAGTCATACATGGATCCCTAATGGATGGAAATGCCGCGGACATGATTGAATAAACTTGTAGTCTTGCCAGTGTATCCAGGTATGTGTACTGCATCTGTTTCGCATTCAAGGGTGCTTGTGCAGATTGAGCAAGGATACCTTGGCAGGACTGCTACTAGGTATTGCTTTAGTTGTAGGAACCTTGAAATACGCTGGATCTACGCACAAAGTCTGACTTGTAGTGAAGTAGTGATGAGTGGATCGTGAAATCACTCACCATTATATATCAATTGTGTATCTTTGGTCCTCATAGAACAGATGTCAAAGCATCTCAGCTTAGTATTTTGATTCGCCAAATAAAACACCGAAAAATCAGAGCTCGAGACATGAACGGTAGACGTGATTTGGAAATGTCATGGAAACATCAAAGGTCGCATAATCGGAAAAAAACATAGACAGTGAAAAAGGGAATATACAAACGTTCAGGCATGAAATTTGCAGATCAATCATATAAACATTCCAGCCACTCCAACGAAGAGTCCGAGAGCCAGATCGTGCAAACTGGTCGAGCGAATCACAGCATGGTTCCCGGCTGCTTCAGAATCACCGGTCTGTGTCGCGACAGAGCCGCAGTAATTCAGGTTGATCCCATGGCAGGCATCGACACTCAAACTTGAGCAAATGGAAGTCGCCTGCGACGCAGCTGTCACCGCCTGAATGGTCTTGCCATCTCCCTCTCCGCCAATCGTCACGGCATACCGACCCATCAGAGCACCTGTGCACTGCGCATACTCCGACTGACATACAGAGTAGTATGACGAGCAAGTCTGGGGGTTGCTGAAGGCAGTCGGGACGTAGACGAATGGGTAGGCACCGTCGATTGTCGATTCGGTATTGGCGTCGGCGGTTGCGGTTGCGGTCGCGGCATTCGGGAACATGAAGTTGGTCGTTGAATCCGTAGTCTTGGTCCCCGTCAGACTTCCCGTGCAGCTTGCGCCGGTCGCGCAACAGGCAATATTGTCGGCTGCATCTCGCGAGCAGTTGGTGCCTTGTCTACAGCAGGCGTTGGCGTTGCCGAGCTCTGTACATGGGTTTGTGCCGCTGGGGCAGTTGTTGTCGGCTCGCTGCAGAATGCGGAGAACCTCGAAGGCTCGGCGGTTGACCGCTTCTTCGGCCGGGGAGAAGGGTGCTGTGATTGAGTGTGCGGAAGTGAGGAATGTGGCAGCGATCCAGATCCAGGAGGACCGCATGATGTTTCGGAGAGATGTGTGTGTTGTTCCCGAGGTCTCTATGTTCTCATCTCGGATGTCAACAAACTACTCAAAGAGGCAAGATTAGCTCGCGAGTGAAAAAAAGAGATTGAAGGTCAACGCACAGTGAAAGGTAAGAAAATAGGCAAAGGACCAATGTTCCAGAATCTCGAAAAAGAAGAAATGATGTAGGGTCCTCAGAGTCCCATATTAAATCCCCACTGCCACAGCAACCGCAGCCCAAAAGCCCACGGCCCAAGGACCCCGAGTATTTTTGGGTTCTGCACTACTGTGCCTACACTTCTCTACAGCTCATTTTTCTTCGCTACTAACCACAACTTTTTTTTCAATACTACAGCTTTTTACTTACCGTCGAGGCTTGACCTGGCCATCCATGAATGTCTGGAAAACTATGTCATTCTCTCTGACCGCGTTTCACAATCCTCCAGCCCCCCCAAATTGGTATTACCACTGCCACCGCCAAGTCCACAGTCCCAACTCCACCTGAAACTCGGAGGCTGGGCATCCACAGGCCGCCAACCGACTTGTTGCAGCGACAAGGTGGGGGTATATCGCCAACTTGCACTCCTAAATTGGGTGACCGAGGCACCCGACTGGCCCAAGCAGTTCGATGTGCTGCCCCAGAGCTAGGAACCTAAGGCACCACACCCAGCTGTGTAATGTGCCGGGGTGGTCCTAGTCTGGCCCGGAGAGGTGTCACGGACATGCGATGATGGCCAGTTCAGGCAGCAAATGAGAGATCCGGAGATACCGGGCATGAAGGCGAAAGCATGCGGTGCTGATGCTTGCACACCGACCTTCTCGAAGTTCTAATACCACACGGACTGATCATACGAAAGCCCGGCTGTAGCTAACATTTGAAGGACCTTGGTCAGCCCAATTCCCTGCCCGATATGCTCTTTCTGGGCTCTCTACGTTATTCACCGCTTCTGCTGCCAGTGCTTCCGGGCGCTAAGAGTCGGTCTGATTCAGGCTGAGAATCAAACCTTGCGCCATCATTCAGACCATGGTGACCCATTGTGCTTGCCTCATACCATCTGGTGTTGAGAGAGTTGGATATTTACAACCCACTATGTAGCCATTCTGCGTTACCTTATCTTTGTCTGTTTGAGACTCGAAGGAGATGTAGACGTTTCTCGATCAGATGCGTCATGGTCCCAGAGCTGGATTCTCTGGATGAATATATTTCCCGAGTCTCTAAGCGTTGGCCCAAGTGGAATTACATCGCCTCAGTTGATCGTAACAGGTTGAGGCAGACTAAACCCCTAACCCCTTCCAAGTTGTAGCACGGGGTACATAGGTATCTAGTACCGATATCGTATAACTATGAACCTTGGAATTGTCTATCCATATGGACATCTTGAATGAGAACCACTGCCAGTGGGAAGACCATCGTTGTACGGAGTAACTAGTAGAACCTTGGACACTGGTAGTTTCCTCTGAAGTTGAGCTTTTTGGTGAAGCCAGTGAAAACACTCGCCCAAACCACCCCATTTTATCACCCTCGAGGCTTCAAGCTTTTTTACATTAATCTTCAACATTGACAGTCATTCCAGTCTGTACTTCGCCTCGGGAGCGGGCGCGTCGATCATACCTGACTAAGATCGAGTCTTGGCGCCGAAATGGCTTCCAGTCGCGTCCCTCAGTCCGACCGCGCGGCCACAATGTACGGCGAACTCGGCAACAAGCTGGTAAGAGACCTATTTCCCACCTATTCGACATCCCAACTGATCCATCCAGGTCCAACACGCCAAGCGCACCCAATCGCTTGCTCACCTGCCGCCCTACCAAACCGAGATTGTGCGGGCCGTGACACGCGAAGTGCGCGATCTCGACCGCGATGTCACCCGTCTCTTAGAGCCTTTTGAAGGCGCCTTCAACCCATCTGCCGACCCGGCCATTGCCTGCGCCTTGTTGGTTGACCACCTGTGCATGCGCCGTAACAAGCGATGTCTGCTGGCCTACCACCGCGTGCGCACAGAGAAGCTCGAGGAACTCTGCTGGACCGGCGTGGATATCCTCGAGCAGCAGCAGCCTTCGGATGGGCAGCAGGCTGTAAATGGACCGGCTGGCCATAGCTCCTTGAGCCCCGAGGAAGAGGAATACTTCCGGCAATATGGGGATTTGTTGGCGGCTTACAAGGGACAGTGGACGGATGTGGATTTGACGGGGACGCTGGAGCCCCCCAAAGATCTGTTCATTGACGTGCGTGTCTTGAAGGATGCTGGTGAGATCCAGACCGAGTATGGGTGAGTTACTCCCTTTTGGCATCCTCTACTGGTGCCCTTACGACGTTATGAATGTCGACGATTAACATTTGTTCAGTGTCATCAACTTGACCAAAAACAGCCAGCTCTATGTCCGACAAGGTGATGTGGAACGACTGATTGCCCAGGGATTCCTGGAGCGATTGACCTGAACCTTCGGTTTGAGTCTAAGCAGTAAGAAGCGGCGTTGGCTACGGCTGAAGGAACTATGTACTTTGAGATACCCCCGTCGTTAGTGTTTCGACCTAACGGCTCAAATAATTTATTTTGATATTGACGCAAGTGTTGGATGCTTTATTGTGGGCTTTGTAGTTAAAAGAACAACGGACCTAGTCCGTCCAGAGACAGGCATGGGACTTTTGTAGCTCTCGAAGTGGGGTTGGTCGCACTAAGCATCGCGCCGATTGGCTCACAACGCCGTTATGCAGCAAGCATGCATGCTTGTGTGAGGTCCCAGTCCGACTACGGAGGCAGTAAGGAGTAGCTTGAAGACCAATGTTTGATGTGTCCAGTAGGGAGGGCCGTTCGACGGGCAGAAACGACGACAAGCATCAGATGGCGCACGGGCCAGGCCCTTTATCCATCAATCAGTCCGGATCGGGCTTAGTGCGGACAGGAGATAAGAGGCCGTTTAGTCAAACCGCCCATTATCCTGTTTTTTGTATTTTTTTATCTTTGCTAATTCGCATTGGTGATCCCTTCAGAGTGCGAAAGACAGGTGTCAATTGTATATATATCGGAATCATGCTCGCCTCGCTTGCGTCATCTGTCGGTTCCCGTTGAAGTTCGGTTGGACAACTCTTGCGTGACCATGGGGGTGTTGCAACCTCGTGGACGTCGCGACTCTCGCGCATCAGCTCTGTCGCGCAATTTGCTCTTCGATCGCGACACTCAAACTTCTGCCTCAGAGTCGGCTGTGGAACATGCACACCTGGGTACATCTCCCAGTCCAATGGGAGTCGCATCAAGCTACAACGGTTCAACAATACGCACTCCGAACCGGTCCTTCTACCACCGGTCATTGAATACGAACAATATGGGTGGGTCACGACATTTCCCCGCTTCCGCGCGATTTTTACTGACCATTGGACCTGCTGCAGATCCGGCACATTATGCTTCAGACGGTCTCCGGGACCAGACGGCCGAACTGGCGACATACGGTCTGTCGCTAACCAAAAAGTCCCATCTGCGAGATGGCCCCGGCCTACCGCCCAGTCTGGATATATTCCACGGCAGCCAATCCACGGCCCACTCGCACGATGAGCCCAGAAGTTCTGGGGCTGCCGGGGAAGCTCTGCTGGAGCCGCGACATGCATCTCTGGATCCTGCATCAGCCTCATCAGCATTGACAGAAATGATCCGCCGCCCTTCGGAAGTTGCAGTGGAGGACGAGCTCACACAGCCAGGCGCTGGTGAAATCACCCAGTTTCCACCCCCACCGACGGTCCAAGAAGAAACCGAGCCGGACACCGAGCACACGTCGCTACTGTCCAAGTCACGATCGAAATCTACACAGAATTATGGATCGTCGGATGTGGAGAACCAGAGGGTGCCGATCATACGAGCTCCAACCGCCCTCGATCAAGGGCTATCGTCTCTGGCTCAGTGCTCTCGGACGTTGACCAACCCTAAATCCTGGAACGGCCGCGCCATATGGGAACAGGCTGTCGCTTATCCAGCGAGTCTAGTACCCGCGGTCCTGCTCGGACTGCTTCTCAATATCCTCGATGCCCTATCTTACGGAATGATCCTGTTTCCCCTGGGTGAACCCTTGTTCGCACATCTCGGCACCGATGGCATCTCGATGTTCTATGTCAGCACAATCATATCTCAGGTCGTCTTCTCAAGCGGAGGCTCAATCTTCAAGGGAGGAATCGGTAGTGAGATGATTGAGGTAGTACCCTTCTTCCACCAGATGGCCTTCACCATCATGAACTCCATTGGCAAGGATAATCCCAAGTCAGTGATCGCAACGACCATTCTCGCATTTTCCGTCAGCTCCATCCTCACCGGTTTGGTGTTCTTCCTCATGGGTGTCTGTGGGCTAGGCTCACTCATTGGCTTCTTCCCCCGCCACATTCTCATCGGATGTATTGGTGGTGTTGGTTACTTCCTGCTCCAAACCGGTGTCGAGGTCTCTGCCCGCTTACCAGGGTCCTTGGAGTACAACCTTCCTACGCTTGAGAAGCTATTCCAAGTTGACACTCTCCCACTTTGGATTGTACCCTTGGCTCTTGCTATCGGTCTTTTGGTATTGAAGCACTTCGTACGATCCAACTTCTTGGTCGGCGGCTATTTTATTGCTGTTGCTGCTGTCTTTTACATCACCATCTTGAGCGCCCGAATCTCCATGGACACTTTGCACCACACTGGGTGGGTCTTTGACGCCCCAGCTTCTAATAACCCGTGGTATCATTTCTACACGCTCTACGGTATGTCATCAACTAGCATTGTGTGACAATTCACTCACATCTTCCAGATCTTTCAGAGGTCAATTGGACTGCATTTAGCGAGACCATTCCGGCGATGTTTGCACTAACCTTCTTTGGCGTGCTACACGTACCAATCAACGTTCCAGCTCTCGGCATATCAACTGGCGAGGACAATCTGAACGTTGACAGGGAGCTTGTGGCTCATGGTGTCACCAATGCCCTTTCGGGCTGCGTAGGAAGTATCCAGGTAAGTCGCAACCATCGCCTGGGTGGGGGCCTTCGATCTGACATGTCTAGAATTACCTCGTCTACACAAATAGTTTGCTGTTCATTGCTAGCGGTGGATCTTCTCGCTTGGCTGGACTCATGTTGGCCGCAGCCACAGCGGGGATCATGGTCATCGGTCCAGTCATCATCGGCTATATCCCCGTCATGGTCGTGGGTGCCTTAATCTTCCTACTCGGAATCGAGCTGTTGCAAGAAGCCTTGATCGACACGTGGGGAAAGCTAACCCGCCTCGAATATCTGACTGTTGTCATCATTGTCGTGACAATGGGTGCCTTGGACTTCGTCGTTGGAATCTTCGTTGGAATCATCCTGGCTTGTGTGAACTTCGTAGTTCAGACATCCCAGAAGTCTGCCATTCGCGCAACATACTCGGGTGAGATTGCTGGCTCCACAGTCCGGCGTCCCCCAATCCAGCAGCAATTTCTCCGCGAAGCCGGGCAACAGACCCTCATGATCAAGCTGGGTGGCTACCTATTCTTCGGTACCATCGTCAACGTGGAAAATACCATGCGTGGCCTGATCGAGGATGACGCCTTCGACCGGCGGCCCATTCGGTTCCTCATTCTCGACTTTTCTCGCGTCTACGGTATCGACTTCTCCGCTGCCGAAGCTTTCACGCGCATCAACCGTGTCCTTCGCAAGCGCAACGTGCAGACTGCCATTTCCGGCCTCAAGGTCGAAGGCGACGTAGGCAAGTCGCTACAAAATGTAGGGCTTTTCGAAACCGAATCTGGTGTCCCTATCTTCGAAGACCTCAATTCGGCCCTCGAGTTCTGCGAAAATGACTACCTCAAAGTGTTCTACAACCGCCAGGAAGCCCTCACTACCCCAACCGAGCCAGCTGCCAGCGACAGCGACGGCGAGCTACACCTCCCGGTCCCGGTCCCCTCACAACCCACCGTCCTCCCCGACAACATTGTCAGCTCCCCTCGTCGCCAATACCTCCAACGCGTAGCAACATCCACAATCCAAGCTCACGAAACCAGCATGATGATCTCCCCCGCGTGGTCCGCCATGCGTCAACCCCTCCCTCTCCTCCTTCAAACCTTCCAAGGCCTCTCCTCCCAGAATGAAGATTTCTGGTTCCCCGCCTGCGCATACTTCTCTCGGGAATCCTACCCTGCCAATACAGTCCTGTACCACGAAGGCGACGCCCCGCGCGCCTTCTACCTCCTCGAATCAGGCATGCTGCGCGCAGGCTACGATTTACCACAGGGCCAATACTTTGAGCTGATTGTCGCCGGTCGACCCTGTGGCGAGCTACCCTTCTTCAGCGATACACGCCGCACCGCCACCGTCAAGGCTGAGCGTGATTCAGTGGCCTGGTGTTTGACTGGTGAGCAGTGGAAGATTTTGCAGGAGAAAGAACCGCGAATTGCTCGGGAGCTGCTTACTGTTAGTTTGAAGTTGACTACTGAGCGCATGGATAGTATCACGTCGCATGTATTGACTATGGCGGCGTGATTCTGGTTTTCCTCTTTTCCCTTTGGATATCTTAATCTGCATTTAGCTTTGGGCGGGTTTCTTTCGTTTCTGTTCATATTCCCCGGCTTGCTGGTACTTGGCTCCTCCGCATATAGTGGTACAAACACGCATGCCCTCTTTACAGCCTTGGAAAGTAAACCATATATCAGTAAACCAACATGACATCCCACAAAGCCCAGAGCCCAGCCCATTAATGGGTTGGGTTTTGGGCCGGACCTCGGGCCCATTAATGGGCTCTGGGCTCAGGGGCAAAGCCTACTGCGGTTTTATGGGGGCCCATTGGGCCCCAAACATTACAAACATCCATGGATGCCAAGAATTAGTACTTTCACAAATAATGCAGATCTTGGCAGTATCCTCTGGTACCTAGTAGTCGATTGTCCAGTGTAAGATTGCAACCTTGGAAGGTAGAACAATCGTACATAAAACCTATTAATCAGCAGGATTATGCATGCCAAGACCATGTTTGTGGGCTTTTCTGGGCTTTTCTGGGGGCCCATTGGGGGCCCATTACTGGGCTCTGGGCTAGGTTGGGCCTTGAGCCTAGGGCCCAGAGCCCAGATAGGGTTGGGCTGTGGGCCGGGACCTCGGGCCCAATCCGGCCCATTGCGGAAGTCTAGCTGTGAGGTTCCTCATATCAACCTTGGAATACCTACCTACCTAGGTAGGTAGGTACGTATGCGGGAACGAAATGTAACTCGCATTCCAGGTTGCTTGCCACCTGGCAGTGCCCATGTAAGAATATTCGCTACCTAGTAGCCCCCACTTCTCGTGTAAGTATACCTGCTTGCCACTGCCCATCTAAGAATATACTAGGTACACGGACTCGGGAGTCGAGCCTCCAGATAATGATACTACAAATTCAAAAACCCTCATCACTTCAAAGGGCCTCAACGTCGTCCGGCGATACGTTCATGTCATGCCCGTCGCGCGCCCAGAAGGGCCCTCCGTCTCCTCGACCTTCCTTGGCCATTCTCGACATTTCGGACTCGCTCGTCTAGAGAGGAAATTGTTGGCTGGGATCTCTTTTCCCCGAAGAATGACCAGATCTGAACCAACGCCCAGATCGCCTGTGGGACAGCGAGCCCCAGCGCAACAATTGCGCAAATCTCCGCGATGGTCGGAGGTGGAGCAGGGGGAGCAGAGAGAGCAAGGGGATCTTGAAGAAACCCCTATCAGTCTCTACCACTATACCCAAGGTCCCCTGGAGATATACATACCGCGCTTGAAAGAGAAGCACTGATACCCAGTGCTCGTACACAAGGTGTCATTTTGACGTACGACGATTTCTATCAAACGAAGAGCGAAGAACCCAATTTCGAAGTTCGAGTACCCAGATACCGACTTGACTTGTTCTGGCAACGCTGCCCAGGTGTTCCTGCGTTGGTGTCACAACGCAGTGCCGTACGCGAATACCGAGTATTGGATGAATTGGATTCGTTTGAAGGTGTCAAGCCAGAAGATGTTCTGTGTGTGTGTATCCAACACTAGATCTTGAGTCGATGATTGTCGGGAAGCACCGAGATTGATGATTCTGATGCCAGAAGGTTCTCTGAATGGTATGTGCCAGGTGTTCCAGTCACCTTGTAACGAATGACTCCTCCATACTCTGTGTTTTTGAGATAGAAAAGGTTGCGGTGGATTAGCTCGTTGAGTGAAAGAGGTCCTGTCACTTCAAATGGAGAAAGGTCAACCGTGGGATAGGGAGCAGTTGGTATGAATGAAGGTGCGCGGTAAAAGAATCCAGTCAGCTCGAAGATTTTCAGACCAATCGTATCGAGGAAGCAATTTGCAATGGTTGCACGCGAATATCGAGGGAGGTCGCGTTTTAGCCGTGACACCCACGAGAATTCACCTGCAGTAGTGAGAAACGGCTGCAAATTTATAAATCGAGCACACAAGGCGTAGAGTTGACGGATGTAAGCCGAGGGAGAATGGCAACCGATGGATGGAAGAAATTCCAATATTGATAGATTCAATATCAAGATCGGATCAACAACTGACTGCTTGGTGTAGGTGCTCACCTCTTATTACTTGAAATAAACTTGGAAAGAGAGGTGAAGATGGTAACGTTGAAGTGAAATCAATTCTGTTCTTTTTCGGTTGTTATGGCGTTTTGACGGCAGGGGCGGCCTCGGGACCTATGCATGAAGGTGCTAACCAGGATTTTGAACGCTTCTCTCTGATTAACAATCTCCTGCTGCCCAGTCACCAAGAAATATTGATCAATTAAATGTGAAAGGCCCAAAGGGCATGCGCTATGGGGTTAATAGACGCAGAAACAAGCGGCATTGAGACCGACTCAAGAGGCACAGGCTTTGAAGCTGTCCACTAAGGGACCTGGCCACGCAGAAACCCGAACAAGTGCCTACGTGATAAGGGCAAATTTCTCACGTTTCTTTCGCGGCTGCAGATGTCTGTTATGAATTGACATATCCGCGAAATGTCAGACTTCCAACACGACATTTCGAGGGAGATGCCAATCACTGCATCTAGTGTGGCTCAGAGGGTGTTCAGACTGTGTTCCTACAGTCACAGGAATCAGGCAATTACAATCCCAAGCAGCCGTGAGATCCGGGAATTCCAAGCCGAAACTAACCTTGTTCACAAAGAATATCTCCCGTTGGCTGAAACAAGACTGAAAAAGTGTTGTGCGGTGCCACCGCTTTGAGCCTACGGGCAGGGCGTACACAGCTTCCTCTCTCCACGCATGTCTTACATCCTAGTCACGTCGTGATATATCTCAATTCAATTCAAGATAATTGTTGCTTGTTGCAGTGTTGCCGCGGATAAAATTGTATCTTTCTTTTTCTCCATTTCCCTTTCTCTTCAACTACAACAAGCATGCTCGACAGACGATTAGCCTGGATCAGTACCGTTATGCCTTGATAAATTCAAGCAGATCCTTGTTGACGTCATCCACATTGATGTTATGAATGGCGTGGGATCCTCCTTTATAAATCTTCAGCTTGCCTTGGGGCAAAAGCTTTGCCGACTTGAGCCCAGCCGCCTGGATCGGAACGACCTGATCATCATCACCGTGGAGAACCAGGACGGGAATATTGATTTTCTTCAAATCCTCTGTGAAATCCGTCTCCGAGAAGTCTTTGATTGAGTCATAAGCCGATTTGAAACTGGTATTCATTCCCTGCTGCCACCAGCTCCGGATCTGACCCTCGCTCTTCTGCGCACCAGGTCGGTTAAACCCAAAGAATGGCCCACTGGGTACATCCAAGAAGAACTGGGCACGATCTTTGTGCATGGCCTGACGGAACGAGTCGAAGACGGATTTGTCCAGCCCCTCGGCGTTCAGGTCGGTCTTCAGCATGAGGGGTGGTACCGCGCCGACTAGGACTGCTTTTTTGAATCGCTTCGTGCTGTGTTTGCCGAGATAACGGGTGACCTCCCCTCCTCCATGTGAATGCCCGACCATCACTGCATTCTTGACCCCTAGATGCTCAAACAGCTCTTCAAGGTCATCGACGAAGGTCTCCATGTTGTTCCCATCCCAGGTCTGGGTTGATCGTCCGTGGCCGCGTCGATCATGAGCGATCACGCGGAAGCCATGGTCGGCCAGGAACATCATTTGGTTTTCCCAATTGTCACTGCTCAGTGGCCACCCGTGGGAGAAAGTGACGATTGCGCCGTTCGGATTACCCCAATCCTTGTAGAAGAGTTCGGCACCATCGCGTAGTTTGAGGTGAGGCATTATTGATCTGACTCGATTGAGTGGGATTGATTCAGAATTTCACGCGATATAAGGAGGGAATTCCCAGGGAGCCCTGGAGAATATGTTGGTTTTAAGAGATCGCATTCGTGCACGTCAGTATGATGTCCATGCAAGATCTGGGATGATTTAGTGGCCGAGTGGATGAATTGCCCCGAGCCAATTAGGTGCTTCGGCTAAAATAGACTGCGCATCTAGCCGCCTAGACCCCGGAGCCGTGGGGCATCACAGCCGAGCGGCTCGTGGTGATCCCCCGCTCTAAGGGTTCTCGCCAATCCACATCGCAATAACTACCAGTACTCCTCATAATCATAGTCAAGAACTTATCCAGGGCTACATAGACTACCACCAGCCGATCACCAGCCGCCGAGAAGCATATACCATCACAGATCGTGAAAAATGAGGGGTTGTGCGGCAAATGCCGCGCCAAGAACATGTTGCGGTGACGCCTAAGGCACTCAATGCTCATGTACGACCAATAAAACCCACCTGGATGGAGACAGCCCTGTTTCCATCTCGTCTCTCAATCAACTCACTCACCAGAGTTGGAAGCTACCAAGCTTTCACCCCCCACCGTTAAAGCCCACGTTAACGTCATGGAGACCAACGTGCTTCTGAATCTCGTCCACGTGGCACAGGACCAGGTTTGGGTTGACAAAGTGAATGAAACCCACATGACAAGCCGTCTTTGCCCATGGGTCTCGACTTTCCATCCAGATAAACTGCCCTGTGTACTTGAAGGTGCCTTTCACAATGGGGCATTTAATGCCGGCGTGAAGATGGTCTTCACCGACAATTCGGCCTGGATGGTGCGTTTCCCTCGTTTTGGGATGGTCTGTGAAGACTACACAGACGAAAAGGTTGCCATGGAGGTGTCGGCCCTGAATATCATCCATGATACGACTACCATTCCCGTTCCAAAAGTTCGGGCTTGGGGATATGCTAGTAGCAACAGCCTTGGTCTTGGTCCTTTTATCATGATGGACTTTATCGACGGTGTTGGCCTCAGTAGCCTTCTCCAAGACCCGAAAGCCGAGAAATCCAGCAGAGTCGTGAGAGAAGATATCAGCGATAGTGATATCGAGATTATCTACAGACAGTTAGCGAATTTCCTGCTTCAACTTTTCAAATTGGATTTCGACCAGATCGGTAGCCTGCCATCGCCAAACACTGAATGCCCACGCCCTACACCACCGCGGCCGTTAACATTCAAGGCAGAGACTATCCTACACGACGGAGGGGTCGATACCTTCGGTAGGGCTTGACATCCTCTTCTTCCCTGATTCTCTCTATCAATCTCCGAATTTTCCAACGTTGTATAGTGCTCTGATACAGTAAATAGGCGACCGAACCGAAGGGTTTGCTACAACAACCGAATATTTTCAATATGTCATTGGACAAGATTGGAAGCAGCTCGCGCATCAACCAAACTCGACTGTTGGGTTTAACCATGCTCAAACCCAATTCGTTGCGTTCAAAGTCCTAGAAAGCTTGATACCTGAATTTATCAACGAAAAATACGACCGCGGCAAGTTCAAGCTAATATGCGACGACCTCGGCTTGGCAAATTTGATCGTTCGTGGTGCGGAAGATCTCACTGTGGTTGGATTGGTGGATCTTGAGTGGTCATATATTGGACCTGCTCAACTGTTTGGCTCGGCGCCGTGGTGGCTTCTCCAAGACAGGCCCAGAAACAGCGAGTGGGACTGTGACGACACAGAGTTACCTCGGATCGGATCTCGTTATTGAAAATACTTGGAAATTTATATCCGTGTCTTGGAGGAGGAGGAGTCGAAGATGCAAGGGTGCGAAGACAGAGAGCTCTCTAAACTCGTCAAGTGGTCACAAGCCTCCGGAGCTATGTGGCTGCACATGCTTCTCTCGACTGGCCTCAACGACACGAACAACTTTCCTTTTACACAGCTACGTGCACATATAGGGGCTACTGAGTGGGCAAGACGTGAGATGAAATTCGAGAACCCAAAAGAGCTTGAGGATTTCGCGACGCGGAAGGTAAGAGAGATGAAGATTTACGCAGAAGCTTTGGAGGAGATGGAAAAGACGAAGAGCGCCAGTGCAAGTTTTGCGGAGCAGTCCGGTTCTAATTGTGTTCCTTGAATCTGGCTTATCATCGGGCCTTCAGCCGCGGGACAATAGGGTCCATCAAGCTGTTCGTCGGAATTCATCTCAAATGCGATCGCAACTTCACCACGTTGCTTCACCCCAGCGCGATAAACGGGGGGATTTGTTGACTTGTGGAAGTTTTCGTCCCTAATTGCCCCTTGGTAGACGGTTTGCCGTCCCCATGACCGCGCAACCATCTTCCTACAAGCTCCCAGTAGCAGCCCACACTGCCTTCCCGAATCTCCTTCAAGGTACCTCTTCAGAGCTGACGGACCTTTGGCTCGGGCCACGACTTGCTTCGACTTGCGGGGGATCTGTAGAATTACTCAGTGATTTGTTAGAGGCCACGGACTTAGAGCATACCATAGATCCATAGATGTTGAAACCGACTTATCTCGACTGGACAGCAGTTCAGGTTGTAAATACCTGGTCAAGTGGCCATGTTTCCGTAGAGAGTGCGCTCTCTCTTTCTCTTTACTTCCCCATTCTTCGTCTCTCTCACTCGGTAGAGAATCAAACTTCTCTTCGGGTAGAAGTTCCCTTCTGTATCGTCATCGTATGTGCGCGGTGTTGTTCTTGTTTTGTGCTTTAGCTTTCAGCTAGGCGCTTCATGATCTTCCATTTTTACTCCCATAACTTTTAGCTCAGTATCAACCTTCGAAAGCCGCTATCCTGCCCAGGTGGAAGATAACGATTTTAGCGGAGCAGGTTGATGATGCAACAGAGAGGGTGGGCCGTGTCACCTGTAACACAATGTTTTGTTAGCGCTGACTATATATTCAGGTACTCCCTCGGTATAAACTTGGAAGGGTAGAGAGAAGCATCCTGGGCTCAACATACCAGCATGTCTTCCTCGCGCCCACTCCCAGGTCATGGCGGCTTGGGGGTCGAACGCCGCGGCCATCTCATAGAGACTATCATACGATATCAGCATTATTCAGAAAAGGCTCTCATCTTGAATTTCGTAGTTTACTTACGGAATGGTCTCCTCTGCCTCCGCCCTCTCTCTCTTCTTCTCCCTTTCAATCTTCTTCAACTTTCTTCTTACAAAGAAAAAGCCAAGGGCCAGGGCCAGGAAAACACCAGCCGCAATTCCAATTCCGACATACCCACCGGGGGAGATGGGCTTGGCCGGGGCCGCCATGGTCGTGGTATCGTTATTCACGCCGGTTATACCTAGTATTGGTGACGTGAGGAATAATGGTAGTTGTGCCAGAGGCACGGAGGGCAAAGTCTTCAGCTGCAGCAGACATTTTTTGAGAGTTGAAGAAAAGAATCTGTCTAAATTTGAGGAGATCCAATATGGTGTCGGGCTCGCTAAACTAAGCGGAGGCAGGAGCCCTGGAGCTGGGTCTCGCCTTCCAAGGGTTCTTTATGAGAAGCCACATAAAAGATATCTACAATGGCTGGCATCTGTTACTTACCTAGGTATGGTACCTAGGGGGCTTGATAGGCCCCGAGCTCTATATACTACCTAGGTAGGTAGTTCAGCCCGATCGGACAAGGTTTCTCGCCTTGGGCTCAGCGGGGCCTATGTTAAGAGATAGCGACATTGTGATCAACATTTATCTTGCCCACAAACATAGTAATTGAGTACGAGAACAAAAACCATGTCGATGTAGCTCAGTCCTCCATTCTATACTTCCCATCCAGGTTTCTGTATTAAACAGAGCGATGGTACAGGGAATCACATTTCAGATTTCTTTGCATGACATATCCGACAGCCCCTTCTTCATCAAGCTTCGATCCATCACCATCGCGAATGAACTCATGATATTGCTGTTCGATATCCGAGGTCCAGGGACTTATTCCCTCGTGCTTTCTGAATCCTGCTGCAAAAGGTCGTGATCCGGAGGTCCGTCATGGTTGGCCAGGTGAGTTTCAATATCGGTATCTTGCGAAACGGTGCGTTTGGAACCATCTGAGTCGTGTATCATGATCAATTCGTGAATTCTATAGTCTGGCAATAACCTTTCGCGTGTTGCAAGTTAGTGGAGTTGTCAACGAAAGCAGAGTAGCGGAGCATGATTCCGAGGTTTCCATTGGCCCAAAATCCTCCATGGACCATGGCTTTGGTATCCACATTAGTCGGCGGAGGATCGGCAAGTTGATTCTGAACTGAAAGGGTCGACTCTTTTCAAAGAATCTTTCCAACAATTTCGCTGTTCTCTCCGCCGGACCAAATTTTCTCAGAACTGTTTCATTATCTCCAACAATGGTTAAATTATCTGACGATCGTCCTCCGCAATACGAACCACACCATCAAAGCCATGATAATATACTTATCACGGTCATCCAAAATGAAAGACGTGGCCGGAAATGGGCACGAAAATGGGACGATTTCGATCCAAAAGCCCAAAACTTCTTTGATACCGTTCCTCTAGGCGACTCGAGATGCCCACCATCTGTGGAGTCTTTCCTTCACGGGGCCCGGCTACTTGATGAAATGGCAGACTTATTCAGAGAGGCTGCAAATATACAAGAGGAAAGAAACTCACATGGCCAAGACGAGCTTTATGATACCGTGAAGAAGCTTTCGGATACCGAACTTGATCGCGTCTTTGCTTCTTCAAACCTGGGCACAGGATCGTATAGGAAACCTGAGCTGATTTGGAACCACAAAAGCGATATAGATGGCCGTGAGAAATTCAAATTCAAATCATCGAGGGCCCGGAGGTTTCTCCACACTGTGCAGGGGGTATGGGTTCATCTGACGGGCCCGCCAGTCTGAGACTCTTTGGATCGACATCCTGTCGCGATTCGCTTCCAATTTTTTTGCTTCTCTCCCCATCTAGGAGAGTCCTGACGAGGCATTATCCATGGATAAAGAGATAAAAATGAGATATTGGTGTTTGCTTCCGAGGTTCTGCTGATATGTGTGTATCGTTCTTCAGACCAATACAAAACCTCTACATTTTAGCATGATCTTACCGTATCCTGCAACAGGGAGAAAAGGATTTAATGACGTTCATTGCCCTGGAGACATTGCTTGTGGTATAATCGATCGGAATTGAAGTCAACTAGTTGCAACCTTGCCCAGATGGAAATGTGAGCAAATCACATGGAGTCGCGATCCCGAGAGAATTCGACCCTAGCATCCTCGGGTGGCCCATGGTCTATCATGATCGGCTCTTTCTTTCCTGACGGGCTCGTCGCGGTTGACCACCACTGCCCCAGCAGCCATTCTACCTGTTCCTTCCTCAACGATGTTTAGCTTATTTGACCCTCTTTGTAGTCACGTAGAATCCAGTTTTCCCTTCATCTCACCTCTCCGAGGTTCTAGAAGAGTCTCGGAGAGAAGCAAAACTGGTGAAACCTCTTCTTGTCCTTGACTTGAAACACATTCCCCTGTCCCGTTTTTCCTTTTCCGAAACTGCCACCATGGGCTGGTCAATATTCCAATACTACGCAACAATTATCGGCAGTTAAACTGCCTTGATCACAGGCTGGCGAGCTGGCCGCACTTTCGAGCGGTGGTCTAGGGGGAATCGAGTACGACAACTTCTACCAGAGGTCGCCCTAGTCCACCTACCGAAATACCTAGGCCACCTGCCTCGACGCCCCAGCGGTGCAGATCAGCAGCACCCCCACGTGGCAAAGATAATGGAGTGGTGGGACAGGGCTCTCGAGGCGAAACGGAATAGCGTCCAGCCACCACCTCTGCCGCAGTTCGCCGAAATCATGTTGAGGTGGATGATCGTCATAACCACAAGTGTGTATGGGTCAATCTTCCATTCAAAGTCTTCTGCTTGTTTGTAGCATTCACTGACCCTGTCGATCTAGGATCTTGTCGAGTCGAAATCAACACGCTGAATTGACATGAGAGTTTGCCCAGGGAGACTGATCTCCTGGCAAGCTTCCGAGGATTCGATATGAATGTTTGAGAGCATCAAGCTAGCTGTCAGAAAGGGTTTTCACAACCTGATGGAGCAGCTACTGGTTGGACCGGGAAAGAGAGCAAGCAGAGAGTTGATTTTAGCAAGAAAGAAGCAACTGAGGAACGAAGAGAGAGCATGAGAAGAGAGCTATCCTCTTTTGAGGTGGCACATGACCATCATCCATCTCAACAGATCGGACTCCGGAATGGCGACCCGTACCCTTCTCTGCCGCCTCTGCCGCAGCTAGACGAAATTGTGATCGAGATCCCAAATGCCAGCTTATCGGTTCAAGGGAATCAAGGTGCTGTTGGGGGCAAGCATTCGACTTGAGAAACTGAACGAGAAGGGGAGGGGGGGGGGGGGGGGGGGAAGAGCTGGGGTTTGACTGCTGGTAGCCGTCGGCGGCTGGATTCTGTGTCTTGCTGTGAGTGTATGTTAAAGAGTCCTGGATACACACTTCTTCAAGCAGCAAGGAAAATAAAACACTGCCTCAGAAGGTTACAGATATTCATTTTGCTTGCTGCATGCCCAGGTCGGAATCTGTAAGTTTTTAAAGGTAGGCCAGACTCGTAGTGTTGGGGCCTTTTTCCTCTAACAAACACCTGCATCAGATCTCTCCCTTGGCGTTTTAGTGGCCGTCGGGTTGGTGTGATGCAGCGTGCATGGAAATCGGTCAGCCTTGGAAGGCTTCGCGCAATAGATGCTGACCAGCGCCTAACCACAATAGGGCGCCTGGGCAAAGAAAGGTCAAGCGCCCTGAGAGTGGAATTGAGAAGATGAAAGCGAGCAGCAAGCTCAACTACTAACGGTGATTTAGTAGTTGGGTGGGTGACCACCAGCGAATTTGCTGGATTTTTTTCTTTTTTCTTTTTTTGTCGCTTTTTGTTGCTTTTCTTTTTGCTCCGTGTTGATTGATATGTAAACATAATCGATATTTTTGGTAGCAAGGGATTGAAGGTAATGTTATTTCGGAAACCGACTCATTGCTGATCGGAGCCCTAGACTTGTGCTGTAACAACAACAAGAGAGAGATATTTCTACTCGAACATGAGCGGTTTTTTCCCTGGGCATAGTCCCTTGCGTCACGAATAGACCAGTTGACGGCGTCTCACCGTATTCCCTATGCAATTCTTCTTGCAAGCCGCCCTGCGTAAATTATTTCACTTGGTTTACGGATTAATCCGCAAATATTCAGCTTCGTACGATCATAGACGGAAAATATTTAATCTCTGTGTGACCACCATGTCAGAACATAGCAGTTCATGTCAAGAAAACGAGCGTACCCGCCTTATCCCCGAACACATCAACAGAACCACATCATGGAGTGGCGATGAAGAAGACTCATTCTCCCGGGAGTTGATTTTCAAAGAGTTCTGGGTCTTGCTCAGAGACTCTACCCCGGTGATTCTAGCCTACACTTTACAAAACAGCCTCCAGACCGTGTCCGTGCTCATCATCGGTCGCTCATCGCCCGAGAACCTTGCAGCAAGTGCATTTTCGCAAATGTTCGCAATGGTCACGGCTTGGATGATTGCATTAGGAGGCACAACGGCCATCGATACTCTTGCATCGTCGTCATTCACTGGCAGCTCCAACAAGCATGATCTGGGAATTTTACTCCAGAGGGGATTCCTCGTTCTGGGTCTCTTTTATATACCTATCGCTGCCTTGTGGGCTTTTTCGGAGCCTCTTTTCTTGTTGCTCGGACAAGACCCGCAACTTTCGTGCGACAGCGCCAGGTTCTTGACGTGTTTGATTCCGGGAGGATTGGGATACATTTACTTTGAAGTGATGAAGAAATATCTCCAAGCTCAAGGTATGGGTTTGTTTTATTTGTGAGAATCGAAATACTGAACGAACGTTAGGCGTAATGCGAGCGGGAACATACGTTCTGTTGATAACGTCCCCTCTCAATGCCGGACTTACCCATTTGTTTTGCTACACGATCGAGATCGGGCTGCTTGGCGCGCCTATTGCAACAGGGATCTGCTACTGGCTGTCATTTGCCCTGCTAGTTGTCTATGCACGAGTCATTCAGGGCTCGGAATGCTGGGGTGGATGGTCTCGCGTGGCCTTGAGTGATCTTCGCACTTTCACCCGGCTCTCATTAATGGGAATAGTCCATGTTGGCACAGAGTGGTGGGCTTTTGAAATCGTCGCTTTAGCGGCCGGCCGTCTTGGGCCTGTCTCGCTCGCAGCCCAAAGTGTCATTATGACAGCCGACCAGGTTCTCAACACCATTCCATTTGGAATTGGGGTTGCAACATCCGCTCGTATTGGCAATCTTCTAGGAGAAAGAGACGTCAAGGGGGCTGCACGCGCCGCACATACGTCTGCTTTGTTGAGTATCATCCTCGGTGGTGTTGTTCTGGTGGTCCTCATTGGCACGCGAGACCATTTTGCGAAAATATTTAACAATGACCCGAATGTTATCAAATTAACAGCTGATGTATTACCATATGTGGCAGCTTTTCAGATCGCCGATGGGCTCAATGGAAGTTGTGGAGGTAGTCTGCGAGGAATGGGACGACAGCATGTTGGCGCGATGGTGAATTTGGTGAGTTATTATTGCGGTGCGCTGCCTTTGGGAATTTGGCTTGCGTTTCGAGGTTGGGGATTGGAGGGTCTTTGGGCTGGGCAGTGTATTGCGTTGTATATTGTCGGCGTCTTCGAGTGGATTGTTGTTGCGCGCAGTCGTTGGGATATTGAAGTCAGGAAGGCTTTCCAGCGCATGGAAGGAGAATAAGAGAAACAAAGTCCGTGGAATCAAGGTAACGGGAAATCTCAATTTCCGGCGAAAATTGAAGAAAACACAAATCCGAATACTCTACATGGCCACATCCGCATTTCGCCCCCGCATTCAAGTGCTATATCAACTCCCCTGCAAATCTTCTCTTGGCAATGAGTCCATCGATAAGAAATGAGTATCTCCATGCAACACAAACCAATCACTCTTTAGCGCGGGTCAGCCCCCCACCTCCTTATCAACTGTACTCGGACTTTACGCCGAGCTGCCCATTATGCCCGGAATTATAGAGCCATCACTCTGTTTGCAGTGTCAACCACCCTTCCAAAATGAAGAATCACGCTTGCCAATATCCAGGCTGCACCAAAAGCTTCACGCGAGCTGAGCATTTACGTCGCCACGCGCTCAATCACGAGCAGCCTCGTAATGGCTATACATGTGAGCGCTGCTCCGTCCACTTCCAACGCGCAGATCTACTAGGTACGGGAGCGGATATGCAGTCTCAAAGTATCACAATTATATCAATGCTGACCTTTCCGACAGCGCGCCATATGGAAAGACACACAAAACGTGATCTCGAAGCTGGGGGGCCGGGCCAGGGGACGTTGAAAACACGCAAGCGGATGAGGAGGGCGGAAGATGGCTCAATCATAGTTCGGCCATCTCAGAGGCAGCTCAGAAAGCCGGTTACCCTGGCTGAGCGATCTCCCGTCTCTGTGGATCCCTCAAACCAAGACCCCGGGGAGGAATACTTCCAAGATGATGCCCCGTTATCGCCACCAGGCTCAGGAACAGACCCGACATCGATGTCAATTGATGAAACGGATTCCTTTTTGGCGCCGTTGATGCCAACGGGTCTTTTTGAACCATATGTCGACCCGATTCCGGGTCAGTTTGATGCGGCGGATGGATCCTACAACGTCGAATTGGATGGGATTGGGGATTATTTTGGAATGGATACTGGTATGCTCTTTGAATAATGAATGAGGTCCGTCGCACTAAAGTTTTCTCAGCGACCGATTTCAATCTTCCATTCGCCGCAACTTGCAATTACAACTGGCTCTTCGATGTCTCCTCGCTCGACGATGCGTTCAATCACTTCGATATGCCGGTCGCATTCAGTGCAGCCCCCGTGCCAGAACCAGCCCATCCCGATCCTGTCGAGGCTTTCGAAAAGTATGACGGACCGTCCGCTCTACTAATGGCCTCCGTTATGGATAAGAGCGAGGCGGTTGGGGAAATGACAACTCCCGCGCTGCCGAATCTGCCGGACTTGGACTGGATGTCCGGGTCTACCATGCTAGAAAGTGAGACCCCGAGCAGATTACCGATCATTTCCGAGAATGCGCGGCAGCGTATATTACATCTGGTATCACAAGCACATCCAACGAGTATAGACGGGCACCCGACAGCCCCCCAATCGCCTCTGTTGACACTTCGGGCACTGCAAGACTATAGCGATCTGTTTTTCAACCGCTTCAACACGCAATATCCTCTTATTCATCAGCATACGTTCGATGCGAATGCGGCGGCACCCGTGTTTCTGGCTTCCATTCTCTTCATGGGGGCCACATATAGCACCCGTGAAGCACACCAATTGGCCGTGGAAGTGCATGATGTTCTGCGTGGTCAATTACTCTGCCACCCCGACTTCTCTCCGCAAGCTGACCTATGGGTTCTGCAAACTATGTTGCTCATAGACTGCTTTGGGAAGATGCGAGCCGGACCAAAACAGAGAGAGCGTGCTCAGTTATTCCACTGTGTCTTGATCAAGATGATCCGACGCAGTAACTGTTGCAACATTCGAGACTTTTCTGGATTCGGTGAGGCTGATGACCTGGACCCTATTTGGAGACGCGCTATGGACGAGGAGCAGCGGAAGCGAGTTGCCATGCACTGTTTCATGTGGGACACCCAACACGCAGTTTTATTCTCGCAGTCGCTTTGTATGTCGGCCTTTGAGATCAGATCTTCCTTGCCTTGTGGCCCGGCAGCCTGGGAGGCATCTTCCGCTCAAGAATGGGCGCACCATGCGTCTCGGGAAGAGAACAAGCAGTTCCTAGCAGTTCTCAAGGGATATATCAATCCAGCTGCCGTCGCGAGACCGCGAGAAATGAATGCGCTCGCCCGTATTGTTGTGCTGCATGGCTTGATGTCTGTCTCGGCAGATTTGAAGCGTCGAGACCAGACAACTCTACGGTCGGAAACACCGGAGCAAGTCGGGGTATGGACACCACGCATGGGCCGTTCTTATGATTTGTGGAAGGTGGATTTCGATGCAGATTGTTTGGCGATGAAGATCGCCCGAACTGCCGGTGCGCGACAATTGACCGGGCTCAAGATCTCCGGACATGCGCTATACCATGCTGCTTATATTGCTTTGAATGTCGAAGTCCTAGATCTGCAGATCGTTGCAGGTGCTTCACAAATTCTGGGTCGTGTAGTCACCGAAGCTGATCATGCACGCTCCATGCGCAATATTACCAGATGGCTGCAGGAAGAGATTGGGTCGTTCTGCATAACGGCCCGACAGGCTTCGTCTTTACTTCAGAGTGCAGTCTTGGGTCTCCATGACTGGGACCAGGCCGATTCTTTCCATTTCCCATGGTGTTTGTACTTGTGTACTCTGGTGTCTTGGGTTTTCCATCGGGGACTCGATGTCTCTCCAGAGAGCCAAAGACTCAAGACTGATCTCCCCTCACTCATTGTGACAGTGGTGAATTGTTCGAATGTCGATGGTTTGGCAGAGATATCCGGGAGATATTGTCCACGCCCTCTGGTAGCAGCTATGGCACAGCAATTGGCGACTGTAAGATGGGCAGTTGTCCATGATGCGATGAAGGTTCTGGTAGGATTGTCTTGATAGTCTGAAGTTTTTAAGAACAATGTATGTAGTTTGATTGATATGACACCCCAATTCCAATGTTTGACACCAACTTCTATATATTCAAGGTTTTAATTCTTGTAGAATGGATAATCGGTGTATCCCTTCTCGGCGGGATCGGCGCCATAGAATGTGGTGCGGTCATACGGAGTCAAGGGCAAGCCTTCTTTCAAGCGGCGTGGCAAATCCGGGTTGGAGATAAAGTAGCGACCGAAAACAATAGCATCGGCGCCGTCGGTTGCCAGTTTACCACCCGCGTTATCGGGGTTGAAGTTTCCAGCCGCAAGGAACGAGATGCCTCCCTTCTTCAAGGTGGGGCGGAACATATCCAGGGATGGTTTTTCGGAGGCAAGCGAATCAATCTTCGCATCTTCCTCCAAAACTTCATCGAAGCGAGGCTCGATCATGTGCACATAGGAGGGCCGAGACTCTGCAGGAAGTCCAGCGATCAACGAACACAGCTTCTGCCAGTTGACGCTGGGGTTGGAGTCGCGCGTATCCTGGAAATAGTTGTAGGGAGAAAGTCGAATTCCCACCCTATCGGCACCAATGGCAGCAGTGACTGCTTGAATGACCTCCAGGACGATTCGGGATCTCTTCTCGATTGTGCCGCCATATTCATCCGTGCGAGTGTTGACATTGTCGTGGAGGAACTGATCGAGCAAATATCCGTTGGCACCTGATCCATTAGTTGTCTGCAATATTTTGGGAGAGTGTGATCCTACCGTGAATCTCGACTCCATCAAACCCGGCTTCACGAGCCCGCTGTGCGGCGCTGGCATATTCTTGCACTGTGTCCTTGATCTCCTCCGCAGTCATAGCTCTGGGTGGAGATGATGCGTACTCCGTGCCATTGAATGCGTTGCCACTGATCGGGATATCACTCGCACCTAGAACTTGCCTTCCCTCAAGGAAATCCGAGAGAGTGGCTCGGCCAACATGCCACAATTGACAGTAGATGTATCCTCCCTTGGCATGCACACCGTCTGTCACCTTTTTCCAACCTGCAATCTGGGATTCGGTGAAAATGCCTGCGGCTCCTGGGTATCCAGCAGCCTGTAGAGGTCAGTTTGACGGATTTCTTGGGTGGATTATGGATGTACTGACATATCTGCTGATTGGAGTGGCTTCTGTCAATAGGAATCCTCCTTCTGAGGCTCTTTGGGAATAATATTCAACATTGAGGTCGTTCGGAACGTAGACGCCCTCTGACTCTTTGGTTGCTCTCAGTCGTGTGCATGGCGCCAAAACGACACGATGCTTGAGGGAAAGACTTCCCAAGCGAGTGGGTTCGAACAAAGCATCGGTTACTGCGATTGAGCCCATCGTGGAAATGTTTTAAGGTTTGAAGGTTGTTGTTTAGTTGAGGTAGAATGACTTCCTTTCAGGTATATATAGCATGTGATTTGGAGAACTGTCCATGTAGGGTGCAACCATGGATATTCCATGCTGGGGATAAGTGGGATCTACAGTGGGATGGTCGAGCAGTGGGATAAACACAACCTTGAACCCTGCAACTATCGGACCTCGGGAGCACTTCCAAGTTGGGCATCGACGCCCCCACTCTTAACGCCCCCAACCTTCACAGGTTGCCTTGCAAGAAGAGTTCGCATTTTCAACCTTGTAACTGATACTTGGATAGACTTGGTTTTGCTTCTTCATTTTTTTGCTCCTTTCTAGTTCGTGCTCAAAATATAGAATTCCAAACTTACTCGCGGCAACAAAAATAAGAGCACACGGTCATGAGATGTACATCCTGCCGGGGATGCTAAGGCTCCAGGCTAGTTTGCGATACTATTGCTGCAGCCCTGCCCAGCCCCCAGGTGAATGTTGAGAGCAACTTTGGAATGCAAAAGCATTGTTTGGTAGATAAAATTTGTTCTGAAAAAAGTCTGAGACCAAAAATGTAGCATTTATAAGCTTGGAACAATTTCCATTTATTTCTATAAGCTGTTAAGGACCTCCCCAGGTCGGGGACCCTCATCTCACCAATTTAGACCATGAATGAAAAATATTTATCTAACAAGCCCCCCATGACTTCCACTTTCGATGCATTCAAAGTGTGAATCATTCCAATGTAGCCATCTGGTCTGACGACAGTGATCCCGATGTCACCTTCCTTCATATCACCAAACCACCTTTCGGTACAACTCTGAGCTTGTATGTTGTCAAGGTACAAAGTCCAACGACTCTTCTGAAGAATCTCTGGAAGCTCTAGGATTTCGAACTCAGATTGAGCAGACTTTGTCACCATTGAAAGAGTGAAAGCATTAGAAACGGCAGTGTAGCGTTGATGCTGTTGGAAGTCATCTGAAGGACCATGGCTGCGAGAATGCTTCTCAAATGATCGATCCGCTTGAGTAGTGAACCTTTGGAGCGAGTTTTCAAGCTCCTCGCATAAGGCTCCCAAGTCACCAAGGGATTTTCGAAGTGTTGGGACAAATATATAAATCTTGAACTGCCCCAACAGTGGAATATCCAATTGAATGTCCACTGGATTGGCATCAATATACCGAGTCACCTGAGCTGGAAGCTGCAACATTCCAGCTTGAAGGGGAGATGTGGTCGGTGACACATGCGTGAGCATCCCAGGGGTATACTCAGCCCCGACACCCGCAATAAATCTGATATTGTCATCGAAGTTCTTAGCGAGCGCGGTTTCGCCTTCCGAAAAGGCTTTGCAGTGCTCAACATCGAAGTTGATTAAATCGTGTGCGATCTTCTGTCTCTCCTCCTCATATGTATTCAGCAAGGATGGCTTGGCCAGTCCTCTAGCAACTAGATTGAGCTTCCACGCTAGGTTGAAGCTATCGTGCATACTCGTGTTGGCACCTTGGGCAGCGAGAGCCGAGTGGCAATGTCCCGCCTGGAGCAAGGTTAGTCTCGTGATATATGTCAAGTTGATCAATATAAGTCCGTACATCACCTGCGATGAAAATCTTTGCGCTTGGGTCCATGAACCGCTTTGCTACCCGCTGGCCGACAACGTATGTGCCGAACCATTCCACCGATTTCCACTCGAGTTTGAAAGGGTCCATTGCCTCTCTTGCCCGCTGTGTCACATATTCAGGGGTGGCTTTAGCCTTGTCGACGCGCTCTCCTCCGGTAGAGCTCAACTCAACATACAGCCGGGTCATGCCTCTCTCCCGCGGAATCAATAAAATCGATCCAGCAGAGTGAGACCGAAGAGCCACTTTACTCCATAAGTCGGGGAAGTCCGTGTCGATCACTCCTGTGATGGGATTAGGGATAAATCGCTCAGAGATTTTGGGAATGCATACCATCCATCACCCCCCAGGCTGCATTGGTGATCTCACCCTCCAGATCGGCATCGGGGATAAACGACCTGACCTTCGATCTCGCACCATCACATCCCACAAGGTAATCCGCTTTGGTGGTGCGAGATGTGTTTGCTGAAGTATCTTCATACTGGATTTCTAGCCGATTTGTCCCATCCAAGAGTGAGCATGAAGTGAAGCGAGCGTTGCGAGTCACGAACACGCCCCTTGACTCCATGTCATCGATCATGACCTCTTCAACCATTCCCTGATGAGCCAATAAAATATAAGGATCCGACGCTCCAACAAGATGATCGGGGTAATGCGTTTTGCGTCCGGTGCGGTGCATAGGCTGGTCGGCTGTTGATTCCTGGAAACCCATTAGCGGAGACAACTTTGATGATGGAGTTGAAGTACCCAAAAGGAGATATCGAAGACCTTAGCGCCATTCTTCAAAAGCGGGTCTGCGAGGCGAAGTTGCTTGAAAGTCTCGATAGTCTTTGGCTGCATACCATCTGCCTTTCCTGTGGACGTTTTGTCGGGGCGATCATCGAGAATTACGACAGAAACTCCAAAGCGCGTCAGGTTGTTTCTTGAAGTTTGTCAGTTACTCGTTTGAGCTCAGAGAAATATAAAATTGACGTACGCAAGCATCAAACCAGACGGTCCAGCGCCCACTACAACCACGGTGGTTGAGGCACCAGCGCGTTCGGTTCCATACTCCTCGCTATCTGCAATTGGTGACATTTTGATTGACAATTGTATTTACCATGGCTATTCTTGTCTTCTTCTAGTATTTATTGAAAAATGTCACTCCGCATACGATGAGGGGAAAACCCCCACTCTTCTCTATCACCACCGTGTCACCCCACCGTCCACCACGATGTCTGAGCCTGTCATGTACGAGCTCGCGTCGCTTGCAAGGAATACACAGGCCCCCATTATATCCTCGGGATCTGCGATGCGGCCGTTCATGGCTTCGGTCTTCCAGCCTTCCAAGAGGTGAGGGAACTGACGGGCTGTTAGCCGGAGTTACGACGATGGCGCATGAACTCACAGATGCGGTCATTTCAGTCTTCACGAAGCCCGGTGATATAGTGTTGACCCTAATATTCTGCTGCATTGTTAGCGAGGTTTACCGAGTTTGTCCATGTCGACTTTACATATTCGGCCAACTCTTTGGCGATCGCTGGACACATCGCCCTGACCGCGCCTTTTGTCCCACAGTATGCCGAACACAACTGACTGCGCACAGCGATATGACTTGCCATACTTGCGACGAGAATGATACTTCCATGAGTTGTCTTGTTCGCAATCATCTGCTTGGCTGCAAGCTGTGCGGTGAAGTAAAGACCCATCACATTGATGGACAGCAAATCTTGATGATCCTTGTATGTGAATTCGAGGAATGGGAGATGGCGATTGATTCCAGCACAAGGGACACATATATCGAGTGCATTGTCAAAGTCTTGTTGGAACTTTGTGAAGCCCCCTTCAAGCGACTCTTGGGAAGAAATGTCGACCCTAACGAAGTTAGTGACATATTGCTAAACTGTGCCTAGGTAGATCTTCTTACTCGTAGAATGCCGTTCGAACGCCGCAATCTTTCTCAATGGCATAAAATGCGTCATCTGGCGACACAACATCGAAAACTGCTACATTTGCACCGGCTTCGGCGAGTCCCCTGGCAAATGCCAACCCACAGCCCCGAGCGCCGCCCGTAACAAGTGCCGTTCGCCCACGAAGCGAAAACTTCGCTGGTTAGCTGTTGCAATCGTGAGCTTTGGGACTCCATACCTTTGACATGATTGATTGTATTTGTACTCTATCTTCTGTCGCACGCTTCAATGTCTTCGATGTGTCAACCTTTTAAAATATCGGACATCGGGGGTTTACAGCTAAGCTAACCCCCATTTTTGGGAGCTATCAGCACCCGTAAAGCTCGAGGCAAAGACCATCGAGATTATGGGGGGATTTCAATCATAAGTAAGCTGTGTTCACAACATTGGAAGATTTCATGACACAAACACCAGTCTGGTTACACATCCATGACCATGGCCCCTCCCATCCACATCAAGCAGCAGGAAGTCCGCACCGAATCATGCCAACTCAACATTGTCATTGTTGGTGCAGGGCTCGCGGGCCTCGGTACAGCCATTAGTTGCGCACTTGCCGGCCATCGGGTCCACGTACTCGAAGCTGCCCAGGAGATCAAGGAGGTTGGCGCCGGTATCCAAGTCTTGCCGAACAGCTCGCGCGTACTCCAGCATTGGGGTCTGGAAGAATCGTTGACACCTCACATGACGATTCCCCGAGTTTGCAATTTTGTTGGATGGAAAGGGAACCCGATCTCATCGCTGGACTTTCATGAGTCTGAAAAAGGGTACCCGGGAACATGGTATCGCGACTTCCATCGCGCCGATCTGCAACAATGTCTCGTTCGGCGAGCTGTCGAGCTAGGCGTCGAGCTTAGTTGCAATTCTCGCGTTGTGGATGTCTCTGTTGCCGAGGACGGTACTACAGCGACCGCAACAGTGTCAGATGGTCGACAATGGACAGGGGATCTGGTCGTTGGTGCAGATGGAGTATTTGGAAAGCTGACAGAAGGTTTACTCGGTCGAGTTGACCCACCGGTGAAAACGGGCGATCTTGCCTATCGGGTTATGCTGTCAACCGAGGAGATGAGAAAAGACCCTGATCTGGCAGAGTTTGTGACTGATCCACAAGTCAACTACTGGCTTGGTCCAGATGCCCATGCTGGTATGTCCATTCTTTTACGCCTTTGGATCAAGCTAAAAATTTGATTACTTAGTAAACTACGTCCTTCGCAACGGAGAGCTTTTCAACATGGTGCTGCTCGTTCCTGACGACATTCCAGAGGATTCTTTGGCATCGACCGTTGAGGGGAATGTTGAAGAGATGTGTGCACTGTTCAAAGATTGGGATCCACGGTGAGTCCTTTGCCCATATGCTCCGCTTGAATGCCTAAGCTAACACAGCTCAATCTTCCAGTATCCCCAAACTCCTTAGGCTGTGTCAGTCTGTACAAAAATGGCGTCTATGCATACGCTTCGGAAACTTCGACTGGACTCATCCATCCGGGGCTTTTGTTATGCTTGGAGATGCGGTCCATGCAACTTTGCCATATCTAGCGTCTGGGTAAAAGCCCCCAAAATTGATACTCTGATATCGCCTCTATTCCTCCTGTGCCATGCTGACGACTCCAGTGCCGGAATGTCCTTTGAAGATGGAGCTGTCCTAGGAGAATGTCTATCACGACTCCCGAATCACCCCAGAGTGTCCAAGACCTCGATTGACTTCTTGAATGCCAAGCAGCACGCCCTTTCGGTATTCCAGCAATGTCGCAAGCAACGAACGAAAATGATCGTTGAGCGGGGAAATGTCCAACAGTATCTCTATCATCTCCACGATGGCCCCGAGCAGCAAGAACGAGATCGCAAGATGCAAATGGATCCAACGCCAGAAGGAGAAGCATTGGCCTGGCGGGACCCTGGCCTGGCACCTAAACTGTTGGGGTACGACCACATTGCCGACGTAAGTGTTTTACTGGATTTTTCTATTGCCTTAGCTCACCATCATAGGTTGATCAATGTTGGAGTAAATCGATGGGAAGCAGTGGAGCTGAAGCCAGATTGTAGTCTCATTATTACCCCTGCTTATCTGACACCCCCATTTTTGGCCTCTGCAGGGTTGACCAGGTACAGGGCCAACCTGGGCAGGTTGGGGTACCCTCCACTTAGCTGCATATAGAAATCACTACACTGAGTACTCCGCTAGCTATAGCTCCAATTTACCTTATCTGTTCCAAGGTTGACGTATGCAACCCCCGCATCCTCCGAAGTGGGATTTCTACTATATTGATCTAGTATATATTTCCCACATTACGCCTGACTTCGGCCTACCTATCTATTGAACTTGGAATCATCAAATTGAGTCTGCATGATGTGGCAATTCTTTCGTTCGGCCAGCAAACCAAAGGCGGACCCTCCACGCGCTCTACCAGCATCATGGTATCGATCTGAGGCAATGTACCAGCTGGAAAGACGGGCAATCTTTTCAAAACGCTGGTTGCTTCTCACTCACTCAATTCGCTTCGCGCAGGCAGGTGACTATCTTGAATTTACCGTGGCAAACTTCTCCTTCTTCCTCATTCAAGACCGAGACGGGAACATAAATGGCTTTCACAATATTTGCCGCCATCGCGCATTCCCCGTCATCCGTGCTCGCTCCGGTACAGCACCTATCATATCCTGCAAATACCACGGGTGGTCCTATGGGCTGAAGGGGAATCTGTCAAAAGCACCTCGGTTCGAGACTGTGCCAGATTTCGACAAGAGCAAACAATCTCTCCTCCCAGTCCATGTTCACATTGACAAGGCCGGTTTCGTTTGGGTTAACCTCCAAGCTGGAGAGACCGATGTGAAATGGGAGGACGAGTATGACAATGTGGATGAACAACCACGAATGCAAGACTTCGACTTCGCGGGCGAGTTCAAGTTTGACCATTATTGGGAAATGGAACTTGATGCCAACTGGAAGGGGGTGATAGAGAACTACAATGAGTGCTATCACTGCGCGACCTCCCATCCACTCATCAACGGAGTTTCAGATCTGCCGAGATACCGCGTCGAGCCCAAAGCACAATACATGGAGCACCATATCTTCAACAAAGAGGCAGCTGACAGCCAGTTCCGCCGTGCTATTACTTACTTCTACCCCACGACCTCAGTCACGGTAACGTGAGTGCTCCTGCCCTGATGACATGAATGTATGGGAGCTAATCCAATCAGTGATAAATTCTTCTATATCCAGCGGATGATACCTGTATCTGCCACTTCGAGCAAGATTGAAAACGAAGTCTACCGTCACCGAGATGCCACCGATGAGGAGTTTGAAAATATCAACGCCTTCTATAGGCAAGTGTTGGACGAGGACAAGGAGCTCTGCGTGGGAACTCAAGAAAATCTCAGTGCAGGGGTGTTTACCAATGGCGAACTGCACCCTACCAAGGAGAAGGTACGCACCCGCAGATGCCATAAGGTTGCATATATTAACAGGCTGCCAGGGACCCATACATTTCCAGAAGAACGTGAGACAGATGGTCATGGAACACCGGCAACGGGAAGAGAAGCAAGCCGGAGTGGAGATCTGGCCGGCAACACCGAAAGTTGATGCTTCAGCCAGTCTGGAGGAAGAGGAGAGCTTTTGTTCGAAGCTAGATGCAGCTAATTGTATGTCGAAGCCGGAGTTAGCTTGGTAATTGATTGCTTGACCAGTTGACCCTCAAACATGAAAGTCAGGGTTTCATTCAACCCGTGTACTTTGAAGGTCACAGCCAAAATACGACATCCTGATATCTGGTGAGCGCTGAATCTGGTGATAAGCCCCTCGGAGTAGGTTTTTATAATTTGGCAATTCCCAAGGGTTGAATGTCTCAGATGTCGTGAGGCAAAGAGTCGAGAAGAGAGATGCCAAGACACGCTATCCCCGATGTGGACTGTGGGGAGTTTGCACTTTCCGAATGCTTCGCTCGTTGGCCACTGGGGGCATTTCGTGTGGCATTTCGTCTACTCTGACTCACCTGGCCTGATCTCGATATATTAATACATAAATTCTACCAAAACTTGTTGTTTGTTCAAATACCACTTTTTTCATCGAGGAAGGACGTCACATGACCAATGGCTCCTCAAATCTCACCGTACGGCCGATGGGAGAGCCCATTGAGCGCACAGCAACTGTCAACAAGCAGTATCTCGCTTCATGAAGTAGTCGTTGATGTCAGTCATCAGTCCCCGGCACTAGACTATCCGAGCCAACCAGTATACTGACTCATGCGCAGGAACGGAATGGTGCCATTTATGCGATAGAATGCCGACCTGCCGAGGATGGCCGCTTTACTATCGTGCAGCATCTCAATGGACAGAGCCGGGATTTCCTCCCCAAGAACCTCAGTGCACACGCAACGGTGCAAGAGCTTGGTGGCGGTACAACGGCCATCAGGCCTGATGGGAAAATCATTTTCGCAGAAGACAAGACAGGTGGTGTTTACCTCCTTGACCCGGAAAATTCCAACGCAACCTGCGTTCAGCCCGGCGTTGAAGGGATTCGATACGGTGATTTTTGTATCCACCCAACAGCAAATGACTTGGTGATTGCAATCAAGGAAGATCACCGAGATGCCACCCCGGAGACGCAGGCGACTCACGTGCACAACACCTTGGTGGTGATTGACATTGAGTCTGGGAAGGAGATAACAGTCGCGAGTGGAGATGACTTCTTCTCGCATCCCAAATTCGATGCCTCGGGTAAATATGTCTCCTGGATCCAATGGTCTCACCCTGATATGCCGTGGACTGGCACTGTCCTCTACTTCGCGAAGTGGGATGGCAGTGCTTTGACCAATGTTACTCGGATAGCAGGCGAAGCCCAGAAGGAGAGTATTGCTCAGCCCAAATGGGGCTTTGATGGAATGCTCTACTTCACCAGTGACCGCACCGGATACTGGCAACTATACTCATTTAATGTCCATGACCGCTCTGTGCGGTCTTTCTCATTCCCCGGCTTGGAAAAGTCAGATTTCGCTATCGCTGAATGGAAACTTGGAAGGTATGACTAGTTCCTTGCTCCACGCCCAGGTATTTCATCATGAAACTGACCCTTCTGAAGCTCAACATACGTACCGCTTGACGAGAAGACTATTGTTGCGGCGGTCATCACAAACGCAACTAGCAAAATCGTGATTATTGATACCTCCGACTCATCGGTGCGAGATCTCGAACTTCCCTACGTTGATTTTGCCCAGGCCGCCAGCGGATTATATCGCGTTTCGTCCAGCAGTTTCGCAGCTGTCAGTGCTACAAGGACTTCGCCGCAAGAGCTTGGATTGGTCTCAGTCACCCCCCAAGGAGTAGAGAGGACAGTGCTTGCATCCACTGCGTCTTTCGTTTTACCCGCAGACTACGTTTCGACCGCGACACATCTGACCGCTCCGCAAAAGTACGGTCCTCTCTGGGATGGCAACGTTCACATGTTCTATTTCCCTCCTTGCAACCCTGGATTCGAGCCTGAAAAGGATACACTCCCTCCTCTCCTAGTCCACGTCCACGGAGGACCCAATGGAACTGTCACTCCGGCACTGAATCTCGAAATCCAATATTACACGACGCGAGGCTTTGCTGTCTGTGCAGTGAACTACACTGGGTCAACCGGCTTCGGAAGAGAATATCGAGAGCGGCTTTCGGGATATTGGGGTATCGTCGATACCGCGGACGCCGTCAGTGCAGTGGACTCTCTTGTGGAAAAGGGTCTCGTCGACAAAGCCCGCGTCGGAATATACGGCGGAAGCGCTGGCGGTTATCTCACTCTCCAAGCCCTGCACATGTATCCGGATGTCTGGGCTGCCGGCGTCAGCTCCTACGGCATCAGCGATGTGAGAGCCTTGCAGGCCGACTCATATAAATTTGAGAGTCAGGATGTGGACCGCCTTCTGTTAAGTCGAACGGCCACAGAGCACCGGGAGAGCGAACTTACGGAGCGAAGCCCTCGCAATCATGCTCAGAAGATGAAAGCGCCTCTGCTCCTGCTGCAGGGGACTATTGATATGGTGGTGCCTGTAGCGCAGGCGAGGATGATGGCTGAAGCCATGCAGTCTGAAGGACGGATTGCTGAGGTTGTGGAGTTTGAGGGCGAGGGCCACGGATGGATTGGCAAAAAGGCTGTGTATGAAGCCCTTCAGCGGAAGGGCGATTGGTGGGTACGGTATTTGACCTAGTGGATTGGCGTTAATCCGGTTAAATTCAAACCTCCAATGAATGAATGATTCAAATTCCATTTCCACCTTTACTTTCGAAGGTTCCAAGTTGATGGCGGGAGCTTAAGTCTTAGAGGATTGAACAAAGTAAATTGATACATGTATTAGAACAGAACGGAACAGCACGGCGTTATATCATGACATCTCGATATATCCAAATCAGCTCTCCCTCAGTTGTTCAAGCCCAAAGGGTTGTCTCCGGTCTGCTTCTGTCCTCCGATGCTTGAAAATCCGCTCTGAACACCCTGTCCAGCATTTTTCGCTGTGTTTCCTACGCCCTCTGTAGCGCCAGAGACCGTCTGTCCAAGCCCAGATGTTGCGTTGCCAACAGTTGATCCGAGTCCACCCACAGTGCTGCCAAGTGTGTTCGTAACGCCTCCGACGGTCTTTCCGACTGTGTCACCTAGGCCACCGAGAAGACCGGCTATTCGCTGTTAGTTCAGTGGGCTGATTGGGGTGCGATGGACTTACGATTTTGATCGTTGGACATTTTGTGAATGTAGATTTGTTGTTGGGAGTGGTGATTGAGATAGATGTGATAGCTTTCAGGCTTTGAGATTCAAGACTTGATGTGTTGATATTCTACAATCCAGATCTGTAGGACTACCTTGCCCTTTTAATATGAACGCCACGCCCGCAAAACCGGTTACAGAAAATGATATAATGGGTGCGACGTGAGAAAGCCACAAACCTGTCAAATCGAAGCACGCGCATCAGGTTCGAATCTGGGCGAATAGGCTGGACAGGCCTCTATTGACAGCCACTTTGATCGGCGCTTAAATGTGGGAGGCATCGATCTGACGTATGGCTGTGACCCATGTTTTTACTCCTGGGGTCTCTTATGGCTAGTTGATTGGATCAAATATTCCGAGTGCACTGCATTCCTGGCTTGATATGGTGTTCTAGAAAGTGTCTTATATTAAGTTGTGGCGAACGGACGAGTATGAGTGGCCAGGCTTTGTTGATTCGATCGTGGAGTTGGGGGTATGATGTCATTGTATGCTTCGATATTAAATGCTGAGACGAGATGATCTCATCTGAGGCAGAGACACTATGACTAGGTTTGCGGTTTGCAAATTCATTTTGCTTCGAGTTCGCAGATGTTCAAGTCACAGACTCGCCTTGCCTCTCGATTCAAACGGCATCAGGAGCGCGAGGAGCCCAGCCGCGACGAAGAGTGCGCCGCTCACGTAGACAGGGGCGGCCGTATTGAGATCGGCGAACATGGCTATAATAGGCGCCATAATGCCAAAGACTCGATTGGCAGAAGCAGTCAAGGCGTTGCCGGTGCCGCGATCTTTAGTAAGGAAGATCTCGGGCGTGTATGCGTACAACACGGCATACATGAGACTGCTCATGAAATTGAAGGCACAGTTCCATCCTAGAAGCCCGTTGGAGGTTGTCGCTGTTGTTGATGCAAGGAGGAAGGCACCTGTCAAGATTGTGGAGAGGGAAAGAGCTCCTTTCCGACCGAAACGCGGAAGTTCAACCAGCACGCCACCGAGGAGGCAGCCGGGGATCCCCATCACGGCGATGACCAGCGAGTTTCTATACGTGATGTATGTAGACCCGTCGCCGAACTCTGCGCCTCGAGACTGCTGGATGAACGGAAGAAACGCATTATAGAGAGGGAATCCTAGACCTAGGAAAGCCCAGATGAGTATGATCAAAGTAGTTGCCCATGCTCGCTTGGGAGTGTCAAACAGGGCACGGATGTGGTCAAATTTAACCTTTTCAAGGCGTTGGCGAACGATATTGGAAGTGTTCAAACGATGAGCTGGGCCCTGGTCTAATTCATCCAGGTCCTCAAGCGTCAAGTCAGTGGCTTTTCCGTTCCTGCGCGCGATCTCATGCACGACCTCCACAGCCTCTTGGTTCCGCCCTTTCCCCATCAAATACTTGGGGGATTCATATATGCTGAAAAACAAGAATCGACTCAAGAACATGATCATGGCAAGTCCCCCCATGGCAATCATGAAGTATCGCCATCCCATATTTTTGCTTTTCGTACATCCATCAGCAGAGTCACACGTTCGGTATCCAAGTAACGGCCACCCGATCAAGTTTGTCAGGACTTGGGCGAGAGCCCAGTCGATTGATAGGATGGTCAACAGATATTGATGCGACCCAGGAAGAAATTCCAAGAAGATTGCTGAATCAACGGGGAGATTTCCACCCACGCCGACAGACCACAGCGCAGCGAACGTGCAGATAGCACCAAAATTGGGTGATCCCGCCGCAACCAACCCGAAGACTGCCGTTATAGCAATGGTCAGATTAAATGCCCATCGCCGACCGAAGATGTCGCACCCAAATCCCCAGAACACCGCACCAATCAACAGACCAATGTTTTGCGCCAGCGTCAACACTGGGGCTTTCGAGGGATTGAACTCAGCAGAGATAGCTGGTAATATCAAAGATGTCACAATAGGCCAGAGGTTGTCACTCGCCCACCCAAACCCGATCACAACAAAAAGCTGCCACTGATACCGACCCATGCCGATGTCCTGGAGAGCGCGGTTGAGCACCTCGGCTTTCGCCTTGTAGTTATCTCCATCGCGTGCGGACGCTAACACACTTGACTCCGATGACTCGGTGGCAGGATCGGGCGATTTGGATGCCATCTCGTAGGTGTTGTGGGAGGTATGCGGAGGGAGAGTTTCATATCCCTGGCTTCGGGCTGCAATTCCGCGCAAGCTGGGAAACTGCATATCGATGAACTATCCATGGGCAAAGGTCACAGCATCGAATCAGATCTCATACGGCAGGTCCAGTGCAACTCTATCGACTGTCGGTAGGTGGGTTGCCTTACTTGTCTCGTGTTCGATTGGCTCCTTCAATGGCGTGATCGCCCGGTCGTGTTGTGTCAGCCGCGATTCCAATGTTGTGCAGGCATTTACTCCATTGAGAGAGTGCCAAGGCAAGCCAAGGATCGTGGTCTTTTCGAAAGGCGAACTGGCACCTGGAATAACCAGTTGCCCAGGTGAGCTGTTCGGATGATTCGCCTGTTGCTCAACAGTTCTGATGGTCTGGATCTCAAGGGGTCGGTCGGTTCCTCGACTGTACTCGCAGCGTGGTTAAATTTTGAGCTAAAGATACTCCGTCAATCAAACCAGAATTGTGTAGAGCTGCAAAACATAGTCGCTCCAGGTGTTCGGAGGGAAGCGTTGTTGTCAAGGGGTGATGGGTCACCCCGGATTCTGACGTCATACCCTTGGATGGAGCCCGGGGCACTGTACCTGCGGAGCTGAACGCTCAACAGATTCAGCCCTGACGGACAGGCTAGACAGCCTTAGAACCTTGAAAGGGTTAAAATGAGCGACAAAATAAAACCAATGACCTTGCTGTCCTGTGATCACTTGACCCTCCTCAGCCCCCGTGGTCTACAAGTTGCAACACAGCTTCATGGCAGCCAGAGACTTAGAATGTATTGATTTGGATGAATTACTTCCCGTTGCAAGGGATCTATGTTCGACATCCGAGTCACTACTCCATACATTTGTCAATGTCAGACTAAACTCAAGATTGCGTCGCTCCAAGGGCAATATATAGAAGCCCGGTTCGAGGCCGAGAGCTAATCCACCACTAGTGAACACGAGACTTAGGAAGAAGTCGCCTGAGCACCAGCAAGCGCGGAGACAGGGGTCGCGCCGGGGTAGAACGAGGTCGGGATCGTGGGAATGGGGATCTCAGAGGCGGTACCGAATGCAGTGGCCAAATCAGAGGCCATGCTGGCAGCAGAGTATCCAGAAGGCGCGGACTTGATGGTCTGCGTGGTGGTGTACGCACTGTAGTCGTCACCGTCCTTCAGGCACGCGCCGGAGCCGTAGGCGTTCTCGCAGGTGTAATCCTGGGTATCGCCCTTTTCGGTCCACATGGCGAAGTCCTCAATGACCATCTCCTTGCAGGGAGCACCGGACGCACATTTGACCTTGATCGGGCCGCGCTGGGCACCGTACTGCTCGGTACCCTTCCAGTTCCTGGCAGTGACGTTGGTGAGCTGGACGCCGTCGCCGGAGACTGTCTTCATGCTGCTCCAAGCACCGTCGATATCGAGAGAGTAGGCATTGCCGTGGCCTGAGGGAATTAGTTTGGATTTTACTTGAATTTCTGACGGGGGTGGCGTGTACCAATGAAGTTCTCAAGAAGGACGTTCTCGACGTTACCGCTGCCTCCGTTGCTCTTGATCATGTACATCTGGTTGGAGTTCCAGGTATAGACGTTGCGGTAAGTGATGTCGCTGATATCGACATCGGTGCTGAGGGAGCCCATGGCACAGCCGCCACTCCAGTTGCAGTAGATGTTCTCGACGAGAATGTTCTTGGAGGGGCTCTGCGAATGAATTTGTTAGTCATGACTGGGATCTTCAAGCCTGGAAAATCCATACCTTGACCGTAACGCACTCGTCTTTGTTGGTTACCTCGACCTATAAGGAGTTAGTAAGGATCCTTATTTCCAGACATAAAAACTGACATCGTGGACCCAGATATTGGTAGACCACACATCAATACCATCCAAACCACCCTTGTCACCACCACGGATAGCAAGGTTGTAAACCTCTCCATTCTCGCAAGTGTCCATGGAGAAGTGGAACATAGGGGCATCGACAAGCGCAAGGTCGTGGACCGAGAAGTCAGTCACATCATACAGTCGGAGAATGCGCGCCCCACTGCTCGATCCTTCCTTGTGGTACTTGTACCCGTATCCTTGCACCGCACCCTTGGAGGTAGAGCTGAACAACTCGAAGTCCTTGGTGTGCTCGATCATGAGCATGTTTCCATCCTCATCGCCAGTGCGGTAGAGAATACCGTCCAGCTGAATAGCGCAGCTGCTTCCACCGGACAGTTTCAGCCACGACGCAAAGGCATAGTCTCCCGAAGGAATATATACAACACCGCCGTCCTTACACTCCTCCCAGGCGGAGGAGATGGCCGAGCTAATATCAGTCGACTTGTCGGCCTTGGCGCCGTAGTCCAAGACGTTGCAAATCTTGTTGTTGGACTTGCTAGCGGCAGAGGTTGTTGGGCCCACAGACCCGCTGAGGTAGGCATTCGCGAGCAATGGCGCCAGGCCGATTGCGAGCGCGGAAGATGAACGCATGATGAAAGGACTGAATTATACAAAGAGAAAGAAAAAAAGAACGAAAAGAATGAAACAGCAGACAAGACTGCAGAAAGCAGATGGCAGATGAGATTAGATATAATTGCGAACCCCTGACAGCAGCCCTAAGCTACTAGTATATCTCAAACAACTTTTATACTAGACGAGCTGTTTGTCCGAAACGATACGCTTGGCGGGTGATCCTCGGCCACTACCTGTTGCCCATGGCTGATGAACTACCCCACAAGGCGATTCCGATATTGTCTTTGCTTTTAGCGCAGCAATATAAGGATCCCTTATACGAGTGAGGCGGATAAACGCAAATTCGAAAAGCGAGGCGGTTTGGGGTTGAAAGGGGCAGAGCGTAATTAAACGCGGCCGATAGCGGACATTCTCAAACGTGGACGCCCTCGGGAGCCCTAGCATACACACTTGATGTTTCAGCACCTCGCTAGTCTTCATTCGCATGGAGTCACCCCTGATCATTGCATATGCTGCCGCAATCGTCTATCCTTTGTTTCCCATGCCATGCTCGACAACTATTCGCTAGTGGCTGGGTCGAAGACGTCCCAAACCTGGGGTCAGGGCTTAGTGCTCCAAACGGAGGCTGTGTCTATAAAGCTTGGTGGTTAAAGTTTGCTAGCGGGCCGGGTAGGAGCAGGGTTGAGTATGTACTGGCATAGTACTAGTTTCCTGTTCTCTTTAAAGATGGATGATATTGCGTGTCTTGTCAGCTGGCGGTGCGTTGATATTGTCTTCATTAAGACGGAACTTCGATCGACATGCGAGTAGCCTTTCCAGTAAAGCACTCCTGCCGTCCAATAGCCGATCACTCGTCGGCAAATCCAGGTGCCATATCCGATATCTGCTCATACATCTACTATTAGATGGACACCGTATCTCGACAACAGTTCCATATACGAGACCTCAAATCAAAGATTCAATGTCTGAATTGTCCCATCTAAGAGCGAAAGCAAGATCTAGAGAGCTACCAGATCCAACTAGTAAGATCTAGTCCATCAGGAAGTAATCCTGTTGTGAAAGATTTCACCGACATCGTGGCGGCCAGCTATATATCTTGCTTCCAAGCCAATTCAATTCCAATGATACCGTATAAGCACCTTAGATCATGAGACGCTCGACCTGGTTCTTGATGGCCTGGATCTGGGCGGAGAGATCACTGGCGTCGTTGGTGGTGATGGAGACAGCGATGACGGGGCGGGAAACACCGGTGGCACGGCCGAGAGCCATCTTGCTGGGGACGTAAACGTAGGGAACCTGGTTTCGGAATTAGTCTTGGGATCGGTCGATGTGCGATGGAGAGGTTGAAACTCACGTTCTTGTCCTCAGCGAGGAGGGGCAGGTGGAGGACGATAGCCACTGCGTTCAAATTAGAAAATGTCTGTGAGCGATCATAGCTCAGTCAGTAACTTACGAGGAGCGGTATCAGCGGCCACTGCGATAGGTTAGAATCATGGGGTAAATTATCTTGGGGTAGATGCTAGCTTACTGATGACGATCTCGGAGGTACCACGGTTCAGAGACTTGGTGCACTCGTTGGCGCCCTTCTTGATCTGCTTGTAGTGGGAGCTCTGCTGGACAAGGTCGAGGAGGGACTGGGTAAGAGTCTCATCGGCGATGGGGAACGCCGCGGAAGTGTCTTCGGCCATTGCTGCGGTTGAAATTCGACTGGGGGGTTTCAAATAGAAAGAAATTCAAACACCAAATCTTTGAAAGAAATGGCTCACTCGAGGATCACGGCCGTGTAAAATGGACGGAAAAATGTAGGAAGAAAACGTTGATGAAGATCAAACTGGAGAGTCTGGCCGCGAAGCCAGAGATTTATTATCTCACCGCCTGTGCAACTGCCGGAAAAGAATTCTGCGTGCGGGCAGCTCACACCGCCTTTTGGTGATTGGCCCGAAGGTCGAGCGGATCATCGATTTTCTGCTCGGCGCCACATTCCTAAGGCCAAACGTGTTTCGTGGCAAAGTTTACACCTTACGGAGAGGAGATTTGATTGTGCTCAAGTTGAAAATGTCTTTCGCTAAAAATGCTTGAGGCTTGAAGCCTTTATCTATACAGATTCATAAAACCATATGCACCGCAGCGCCAATTTCGCAGAAAAATGCAACAAATTTAGTCAGTGCCGTTGACCGTGGCACTGGCAAGTCGGGAGCGTGCGCGCAGCGCAGGACCGAACTTGTAGAGGACGAATGGAATGAAAGTCAAAGCTGTCGCAACCAGAGCCAGCAGCAGACCGGCATACTGACTACCCAGGTTGTGGAAGAACTGGGATGCGAAGAGAGGTGACACGGCACCAAGGGTGTTACGCATGAAACCCTGGCCGGCAATGGCGGAGGAAGAGTGTTCACCGTAACAGTCGGAGGTATAACTGTAGCAGGACTCGAAAATGAAGAAGATACCAATGGTAATCAGGGCGAGACCAATGACGGGTCCGATCCAGTGCAGACCCTTGTACTGGGTGAAGCTGTAAATGAACAGACCAACGGGCAGCCAGACGGCACCGAAGAGAGCACCGTACAGACGAGCCTCAGGAGAGACCTCCGCATTGGGGTCCTGGGTGAGGGACTTGTACTTGCGGATTTGCAGGAAGTTCAGACCGAAACCGATGGTGGTACCGAGACAGAGGGAGATGTAGGGAAGTCCGGAGACACCCTCGTTCCAGCCGCGCTTCTCCTGGAAGGTGATGGGAATCACAGACAAGAAAAGGAAGGCGAGGAACCAGGCGAAGGAAATCCACAGACCAAAGGCAAAGACGACGGGCTCGGTGAAAAGCATCTTGACGGCCTTGACGGAGGAGTTGTGAAGCATGTGCTTGATGCCGGGAGCTTCGATGTCGTTCAGGGTAACGAAACGGTCATCACCGGTGGCCTGGCGGATCTTCTTGGCACGCTTGGAGAGGCAAACGCTGCCACGGGTCTCGGGAAGGAAGATGACAATGGCAATACCCAGGGGAATGTTGGCAAGACCCTGGATACCCTCGAGCCAGCGCCAACCGAGAGCCTGGTCAATGAAACCGGCGTAGATGGGAGCACCAACTGTACCGAGAATGGCAATGAAGGAGAAGCAAGCCATGGGGATGGCACGGTGCTCGGGAGTGTACATATCACCGAAGGTACCACCGACGAGAATGGTACCGACACAACCGAACAAACCGAGTAGAGAACGGCAGACGAGGATGGTAGCAATGTTCTTACCAAGGGCAAGACCGATGAACATCAGGCAGAAGCAGACGTAGGCACCGACATAGATGACACGGCGACCAGCCAATTCACAGAATGGAGCGAGGAAGAGAGGGGCCAAAGCACAGGTGAAGTTGAAGCAGAACAGACCAAGCTGACCGATGATAGTGGTGGTGTGAAGCTCCTTAACCATCTTGCCGATTCCAGAACTGTAGGCGGTTGTGGCCAGACCAATGAACAAGGTCATCAAGCAAAGCAAAGTAGCAATGAACGCCTTTCGGCCTCCACTCCAGTTGAATGGGTTTTCCTTATCACCAGCGACGAAGTCGAGAACAATATATTGCCGGCCATCGTGTTCTTTGGGCTTTGTGGCGGTGAGAGGCAGATCGATGTCGACTTCTTGTAGTAGATTGCTGTCGTACTCTTGGGATTGTTCATCTGAAAGTTCATCCCGGAACTTTCCTCCGACGATGAGCCCCTTCTTGGCGGGTTGTTGGTAGGTGGGAACGCTGTCATCTGAAGGGACGTTTTCATTATGAGAAGCCGAGACCGGCTGAGGGTTCTTGGTGGTCTTCATGGTGTATATAGGGTGCCCAGATGAAGAATGGAAGAATGAAATGAAATCGGACCCTGAGACCGAGGGAAGCCAGTCCCATATATAAGTTTTTTACCCTTTTACGCCCGAGCCGACACGCCGTACGTCATGCTCCGGACTCCAGAATTCGATGAGAACCGGGGCTGCGGGATTATACGGAGAGTGGAGTAGCGCATTTCAAGGCACCTCCTTCGAGAACAGTGCCAGAGAAACGATCGTTCGATCAATCAGGAAGTTGGAGAACCGAAAAAAAAGGTGGGGACGGAGAACCAGACATTGTCTCGTGCCTGAACGCAATTTTCACGCCTTCCTATCGGAGCAGCATATCCGCTCTTGTTTGTTGTTCGCTATTCTCCCGTTCTGTTATCCCCCATCTTCGACTCCGTACTCCAGATTCGTGATATGGGGGATCGTTGGGCCATCCCCTGCCGTCTTCACGCAGAGTGCAATGTGGATCCAGGTATTCTCAACGAATTGTCTGTACAAGTAGGAACGCCACGGAATCAACTGATTCATGCTTCGGGGGAGGTCCGTGGAAGGGAAAAAAATCTATATCCCCGACGATGGACCGAAGATCCTCCCGAGCCGATCGCATATGATTGGCTACTCGGCCCACCAGCGGAGTCGGCATGCCGCTCTTCAGTCGGCCCTCGGTCATCACTAACAGCACCGCCAAGCTGGACACCAAGGAAGCATTGTTGAGGGACAGCCTTTTTGGAGCCGTGCAACTGATATGGGCAGACTTCCTTTGCAGTAAAATCATTTCGATTGTAACATTATCGATTCCTACGAGTTCTTCATGCACAGCACAAAAATAAACTTTTCTCGGATGCCCACCGAAGAGGTTTCCCCTGTGAAGTTCCCGGTGAGTCCGACCAAGGCCAAATGCCCCGAGAATCACCCCGAAGTTGATCCCGATCTCATGATTCGTCGGCAGATCCTCGGTGATCCACATTAACTACGAACGATTACCTCCAATTATATCTGATATCCCACTGTGAGATTGTTAGGAGCTTCTCCTTTCGGCCTTCTAACGGCATATCCCATTCCCCCTGGACTGGGGTCCCCGTTTTGAGCAATCGTTTCCACCGGGGACGATCCTCCATTGTGAGATGCCGAAACAGCTGGGCATGGGGCATGGGGGTGAAAGGACAATCACTGACGAATGAAGAACACGCAGACCATGCACCCCATTTTCATTGGTCTCGTGAGCCTCTCCGGCGGCCCAGTCAATTGTCGGGGTTCGCTCTGTTTTGGATTAATATCGACGTGTCTGGCCCCGGGCTAGCTTGAGGTTCTCGTATGCAGTCGACCCCAACAACATGCCCCCGGCTTTTTCCGCCTCTGCATGGTCACACGGTCAAACCGGCTGTTCATTTTCCCCATACTACTAGTACATGGAGTGCATTCTGGGGGGCTTATGCCCTTGAGGCATTTAATGAACATGCAATCGTCACATTATGCACGCAGTCCCGGTGCCAGCGAAGCTGTTTTTGCCACTTGATATCAAACATGTTTACTCTTACGGTATAGATCTGACGTTTGGGAAATGTGGGTAGACACAATGGCATCCCACGTTTTAAATGCCGCAATGACCTGCCAAAACCACATAGACAAATCTCTAACTTCGGTTCCGTCTCGTAACTTTCTCAACCAGTTCCACATTGATGGGCGTGGGCACTCCAAGCTCTCTTCCCCTCTTGACCCAATAGCCGTTGATGAATTCGATCTCGGTTTCGCGACCTGCCCGCAAGTCCCACACCATGGAACACGTTGTGTGGAATGTCTTTTCGATAATCGCGTTTACCGTCGTCTCTAGTCTGTCGACGGCAAATCGCTCTCTCAAATTCTCCACATGGCGTAACTCTGGCAGCGCATAAACCACGGTTGAGATTTCTTTCAGGATGACGCGCCGCATGTCAGGTAGAGTAAACAAGAAGCCATTTTCTGCATCATTGAGTGCGCAAAGAGGATTGCAGAAGGCATTAACGGCTAGCTTTTCGAGCTGGATCTGGAACACATCGGTGTAGTTGTAGGCGGTGGCATTGAGGCGCGGAGACAAGGGAAGAGCGCCGAGTAAATAGTTATGCTCTAGAGTTTCTTGGCTGCCATCTAACTTTGGCACCAACCCAAGCGAAGTCGCTGCGAAGCCGGTGTGTATGATGTCGAAAGATTTGCGGAGAGTGACTCCGTGAGAGATGACACCGACGATATATTTTGGGCGCTCGGTGGGATCAGGGAAAAGCTGGGCGTTAACCCCGTCGATCATCCCGCACCCGTTTTGCAAGAAGAGAATAGTCGATTCTGGGGTCAATCGGTGTCGTAACCTTTCAAGTGCGGAGGCTGTCTGGGTGGCTTTCACGGCTACTATGAGGTTTTCGATGATGCTGGTTTCTGGTGAACTAGCATCCGCCGACGCTGCACCTGCGTACCAATTCCCATCCCGAAACACCTCCAGATCATGGCCCTGGTGGTCTATCTTCTGCCCTTCTCTCGTCTCAAGTGAGACTTGGTTTCCATTGTCGCGGTATGCGTCGAGGAGGGATGGTCGGTGGCAGAGCAAGGTCACAGCCGGAGGATGAGGAATTTCGGAGAGCGAGTGTGCAGCAAACGTGCCAATACTGCCGAGACCCAGGACATGGACTCGGGGTCTTGGGGAGCTTCTGGCATCGTTTGTTAGGCGGCGTACAGAGCCTTGCATATTGCAGCGTAGCAACGCGGCTCGACTGCGAGTAGTGAGTGAAACGTGCATTTCATCAATGTCACCCACGGACAAGCGCACCCTGGTATATTCTTGCAAACAGGGTTGAAAGCATTATCGGCGGCGACTCTCAAAGTCCAGCGCAGGCTTCTGCCACAGCAGCTCATTTCACACCCTACGCCCTACGCCCTACGCCCTATAACCAGACCCACCTTTGACCACATGTTCAACTCGGAAAGTCGCCTAAAGACTTCAAGTTTTCGAGACCAGAACAACACCAGCAGGCTTCCATGCCAGCTTGACATACATAAATCGATTCAACAATCATGCTACCTAGGTAGTGTAGTGGGGAGACAACACCAGTATATAGCCTGAGGCATCAGCCGGGGACTCTCCAGGGCCGGGTCGTAGGGTATTCTAGGTCTCGGATCTATGTACGGTCTGACGCAAGGAAGCAATATGTACAACCGCAGACACTGATTTAAGGATCAGCCTCTGATTCCTATTATGGCGGTGTACATAGGCCATACCTAGGTAGGCATCATCCACCGTTGCCCACGGGGTCATGCTCATCCCATCCCGAGGTCGTCCTGTAAGCATTGTGCGACCGCCATCGCGCCCTTCAATGTTCCTATTTCACTAGGTACTGAGAGTACCCATTGTAAGGGGACTGCGCAATGTGATAGACCCCGGGGCCAGTGAACCTTGGGATAGGGGCAGATCCCGGACCCACACTGCGCCCCAGGTTAACCTTATTTGCCACGCAAATTTCATTTCCGAAGAACCTGCTGGAATGAGATCATCGCGGTGATCCATGGTTTCAGCCTTGGTAAAAAATCTCAAATCTGTTCGGGGCGATCTTCTGCATCGGGTTGGCAATGCAGTTCCCGGAACGCCGAGAGCCATTGCCCATTATCCGCGACAGTTTGGTTCCAGTTGTCCTCACAGTTGTACAGTAATCTTCTCGCCACTTGCTGGAACATTTCATCCGTGGGGACTATCCCCTGTTTCATCTGGTCTTGTGCATAATGACTTAGATGTTTTGTCAAAATTTCCGCAAACGAGCTGACCTCGGACTGGGAGGTGAAGTTCTCCGGCAGAGGTTGGAGGGACTGGGTCTCTGATGGTTCATGTCGCATGCCCGCGTTTGAGGAAATTTGGAAAAAGTGATCACGGGTGTTTGAGTCGGTCGCGGAAAAGGGAACCATGCTCTTCGATTCACTTCCGATCAGATATGGCGGTAGTGCGTGTGTTACCTGTGCATCGATATGTGGTGGGAAATCATGCTCGCCATGCCAGTCGCGCATCGTTGATCCTTGTTTGTAATGGGCCGCAATGTGATCGGTTCTTTCGTCCCAGCTGTCCATCGTTTGATCGCAAATTCCACAGCGAGATTGAAAGGCTGGCGTTTCAAGTTTCCAGTCATCAATCAGGGGCATAACCTGCAGTTCGTGCACCAGTCGCAGATGTTGAACAAGATGATCTTTTCGACGGAACACTCGGGGCTCCGTAGAATCACCATGGCAGCTTCTGTGGTTGTGCGTTTCAAGATGATCCGCATCAGGCTCCAGTGCATGACAGTACGCACAGTGTGGTCGCCTGGTGGTCATGGAGAAGACGGCTCCTCCAAAAGGTGCACATATCCACGCCTCCAGATTCAAATGCAAAGACTTTTCGTGTCGTGTCCAATCATACTTGCTTTTGAAGCGATCGCAGCAAAATGTACAGCAGAAGATACGACGATCTTCTTTTCCATCCTTGTTTTGTCGAGGTTTTGCAACTCTTCCCCGAGATCTCCGGGAGCGCAATGTCGAAGAATTCCTAGATGATCCCGAGCCAGACATCTCCGATTGTACGGAGTTTTGAGAAGATCTACTGGCACCGCTCTCACCACTTGTAGACGAGGCAGGATTTCGGTACCTTCGAAATGCCTCACTAGGGTGCCTGGAAGATTCACTGCCGTCCACGCCAGGTACATTATAGTCCGTAGTTCCCTGGCCTTCACTTGACCTGACAGCATCCATAATAGCCGAAATAGACGCCGGCTCATCTTCCGGCGGAGAGTCTTGCCATCGCCGCATTGGATCAGGGATATCGTGGGCTCTTGGTCTTGGCGAAATCAGAACTGGCGGTGTCAACTGTCCCAATCGCCTCGTCGAGTAGCGACTGCGCTGTCTGGGTAAACCTTGGGGGCGGCTTCTGACATCCATTCGTGACCTAGAGTGCGAGACATTACCTCCAGGGTTGGATGGCTCTGATTTGCTCGCGGTTGATAATTTTGCCTGGTTGTCGATGAAGTCGCCCAAGGGCCAAAAGCCACCAGAGTCGAGTGGACTGTAAAAGACCCCAAGCTGTGGAGCAAATACTGGTCCTTCTCCTGCGGTAACGGATTGCGGCTCTCCGTATGACTCAGTGTTGGATGGGAATGAATATGCATCTTTGGCCAATGTACCCTGCTCGGGGGTAAAAAGCACGTCCGAATTGTTTCCGGATGCGTTCAAAGGATCTGTCTGAAATCCGGAAGAGGAATTCTCAAGCCATTTCCACTCAGCATCCATATTGACTAGTTTTTTCATTAGTCCAATGCGATACATGGAGGAAGGCGATACCCACACTCTGCCCCCTCAGCGCCGGACTCGAGGGGGCTGTTTGGTGGCTTAAAACCCATTTCGTCCATTCTTGAGCTTCGCTCAGGTCTAGTCGAGTCTGTCTTACTCGATATGATGTGCGGGGGTGGCTCGAAGAACACATGAAAGACATCATGCACCCAGGAAGGCGAGATGCGGCCTTCGCGCAGATTACGTAATGTATGTTTGAGCCCGGACCCGCCCCGGGGGCCCCAGGCGGGGCACCAGTAGACCCGACCTGGGGCCGGTACATCCATGTGAGAATTGCAACTAACTACTCGTTCCCTGTGTATCGGCATGTGAAGTATCATTAATTCCCTCTTCTTTCCAGGAGTTCTTGATTCGAGAAGAATCAGTTCTGGTATGCCATTGAATGACCATTTAGGTATCTTCCTCTGCCTGCTGGTTTTGTATCAAAGACACTGTTCCGAGCCTCGCTGGCTCTAACCGTGCATTGAGTTGGAAATATAGTCATGGGTATGTATATAGTCATGGGTATGTCATGTATTCCCGAGTCTTTTCGTATGATCATTTTTCCGACTTCTACGTACTAGGTACCTAGGTACCTAGTAAGTATCACACTTCTTTTGTGAAACCCTTCTCTTCAAAGTCCCTTAAGTTCAACTTTGGAATCCTGGGGTATGCGGGGGAGGACTCGGTCTTCTAGAATACATGACATCATTCTGTACCTAGGAGAGTGGCAAAGAGAAGCAAGTGCCCAGTGGCGAATTCATATAATTAGGTTCAACAAAGGTAATATTGATTCCAGCCCTGGAGAGTTTCATACTAGGTAGAGGTGTACGAAGTACCTAGGTAATGATAAGCTGTGCCTAAGCATGACTCTGGATGCATGCCCAGGTGGAATATAACTAGTATGAAAGGTTTAAGCCCTTCAGCTCCACTGCTCCACTTCATCACCGTTGACACTATCATCATACCGGTATCGGCGGCGGTAACATCTGCCTCTGTTGTTCTCCGAGCTTCGTTGCGTGCTCGCCAACCTCTTTGCAACCTCGTTTGCTTCGAAGAGGCTGACCAGTCGTCTCTTTCCCGGATTCTGCGCGGCGCTTTCCCGACAAACTCGCAGCATGGTTTGAACTTCCGTGGGAGCCTTTCTGTCCCTATAGTCCTCTGTAAAGTATCGAGGACTACGGTCCAGAATATCTGTGGTGCTCGGCGGGTTATAAGCCTTGGGAATTCCGGATGTCGTGTCATTGACCCAGGCAGCCACGGCCATTTCAAGCGGAGTAGTTCCGGTGGAGTTCTCGCGATACAGAAGATCGGGGCGACGACCAAGCAGGATCGTAAGAATCTTGGAGTAGTTGTTCTTGACAGCGCAATGCGCTGGAGTGTTTCCTGCGCCGTCGAAGATCTCCAGATGCTTTTGGTTGGTTGAAGCTGCCAGGTTCAAAATCGCGTTGGTAATGACAGCCGCAATTTCATCCTTGGACATTGGCTTTTCTCCCGGACCATTTGGCATACCATGTGAAGGCAATTGATCGAGCCAGCGAAGCCAGTGTGTGAAGGGCGTTCTTGCATCCTCTCCGGCGCGCTGGGATAGCATTGTAGGTATCAATGAAGCATCCAAAAGGCCGACAAGCTCGTTGAACACTTCGGGCCTGGCGCAGACGCCGCGATTACGGGTGGAGATGGCCATGTGGAGGAGGTTGTTTGCTTCACTGTCCCGCGTTGCTTGGTTGGCGCCGGCTGCAATCAATATGCGAGCAAAGCTGATGTGGCGAAGGGAAAATGCCAGTGCGAGAGGAGTCTTTCCACTTTCAGACTGGACCTCAAGGCACTCAGGATGATGATCAACGAGATATTGAACAAGGCGTTCTGATTCGTCGCATGGGCTAGACATGATAGCGCAATGAAGAACGAGGTTGTCTGTTCAGTTGTTAGTGAATTCTATCAGAGTTTGGAATGGTTCCACGGCTTACTTCTTGTTTGCAGCCAGTTCAGAACAGAGCCCTCGAGGCCAAGCTTGGACTGAGAAATCCTTTTGATCTCTTCTCTCTCCGGGTGAGAGTTCACATATTCAAGATAGTATCGACCAGGAGCTGTTCCCAGGAAGAACTCAGTGCTGGCAAGATTTCCCCGGAAAGCAGAGATCAAAAGAGGAGTGGAAGAGCCGGAAGGCTTGAAAGTTTCGCTTTGACCAGCATTCGCCCAGTCGGAACGTTTGGCGCCACGGATAGAAAGGCCTTGGTAGTACCGAGGCTCCTTGGGAGCTTCAACCCCACAGTCTGCGCTCAATTGGGCTAGTGGAAGACCAACTCCACTGCATTGAATGAGCTTCACGATGAACTCGGTGCGTCCGAGCGAGATAGCCAGCTTGAGGTCGTCATCACTCTGCCAGTACGTGTTTTGAGATGGATCCTCGCTTTCAAGCTCTTTTCCGGTTTCCAGGAGCCAGTTCATCAAAGCTAAGTCGTTGGTATATATCGCGTATCTAACCAGGGAGTTGATAGCGATCGAGCCTCGTCCTTCATCAGAATGCGATTCCCTGGGCCTCTTCGACTTGTACTCTTCCAAGAATGGGGAAGCATCGATGCCACATTTCAGTGCTTTGAGGGGCGTTACTTCACTCTCGACTTGAGTTGTGACTTCACCCACGTCCTCGTGGGTAAAGGTATCTTCAACTGTGTCACCGACGATGTTCAGATTGTCGCCGTCATCGTCAGACTCGTCAGTGCCGAGCTCGAATCGAGTTTGGACTTTTGACTCCTTTGGCTTGTATTGCTGGCCGATGATCTGCAAAATTGATTTGGCAAGATCAAGATGGCCACGCAGGATGGAGATCGAAAGGCACGAGAGGGAGAGATTACCGGTCACAGCCAGCTCAAGGGGTGCTTGATCCGCGGCAGGTCCCCACATGTTGAGTGTCAACTCTTTGATCGTTTCAAGGTCACCAATCCAAGCCGCTTCGAATCTGCAAGCCCGAGATTAGTACTTAATGGTCAGGAGAGGTTTGGTATCTTACAGTCTGATGTATCCACTGCGACGAACTTCATTGAGACCTGGTTCGCTGAAGTGGTATTTGACTTGGAAAGTCTTTTGCACAACCTTCGGATACTTGACATCAGGTCGAGTGTTGTTCTCCTTGTGTGGCTCATTTGGATGGAGCTCACGCCATGTCTTCGCGTCTTTTGCCAAGAGTTTCTTTTCCAAAGATTGGTAGTCACGCATCAGATTGGCAATAGCTTTCCTTTTGGAGTCGCTCCCTCGGGGTGTAGACCAATCGTTTTTCTGCTTGTTCATGATTGCCTCGGCGTCGCTGCTTTCCTTTCGGGCGTCTTTCAAAAGTTTCGTTGCAACAAGCCTTTGGAAACTGTCTGCGGGGAGATGAGCAAGGTAGTAGTCATCATCCTCAAATATCTCAGGCACTTTCTGGCCATAGGCACGAGAAGGGTGCCAGGTCTTTTCGGGTGCGTCCAAATATTCCTGAAGTGCCGACACCTTAGTTCGAGTAGCATCGAGGACAGTTGTTCCATCATGGTTCCAGCGAGACTTAGTCTCAGAATTTGGGTCAACACCCCGATTGAGTAGCTCGATAGCGACTGATGGAAGCTCGTTTGAAACAGCGAGAAGGATTGGGTGCTGGAAACTTTCGCCGAGGCGTTCTTCGAGATTGCTATACCATATATCTTTTGGGAAGGTCTTTTTGACGGCTTTGAGCAGCTCACTGAGCTCAATAGAAGGCTTTGCGCCCGCTTCGAGCAGCTTGAACGCCATTTCAGGCATCTTGTTCTCCAGTGCCTTCAACAACACGGTAGTGTATTGAGGGGAATAAGATGACCCAGAAATGGCCAAATGGTTGATTGCTCGTTTCACAGCTGGCATATCGTGGTCGAAGCATAGATCAAGCATTTCTTCCCTCCTGCATTGGACACTGTAGAACACGGGGGTTTTTTGGTTCAAATCAGCCTGTGCTGGCGATGCGCCAAGCTCTAAAAGAGCACGGAACATCTCAGTCCTCTTTCTCGGAGTAAGAGCAAACGCCAGCACCAAGTTGAGAATTGCGGCCTGGGGCTTTCTGTTGTAGTCATTCAGAATCTTAACAGGCATGAGCACGTCAGCTCCGAAGGAAGAGACAAGCTCTCTGACAACATCGGTATGACCATTCAGCATGGCCAGGTGCAATGGTGAAGCGCGACTGTCCCATGCAACCACATTGACGTCATAAACATCAGGCTCAAGATCATTCTCTTCGATTGTGTCGTAGGTGACGAGAGGATCCTCTTGTTCAACCTTGACATAAGATGCGGATGTATGGGACACATCTCCATCATGATCGCTTGCGTCGTCCATCGGATGGTCTGCTGGAGATTCAACTGTGACCATTTCTTTGTCCGCTGTGGCTTCCTTCAGCTGTTCTTGCTTCTTGAACTCTTCTTCTTCGTTCTGATTGCTCTTGATGAGCAGGATTCGGACAATCTCAACATTCCCACGGGAGGCAGCAATATGAAGTGCTGTTTTGCCATCGGCCATGCGAGGAATCATCCGAGCGCCGCGGTCGACCAAAGTTTGAACGATCTCGGGGGTCGAGGACATGCAAGCTAGCTGCAACGGAGTGCGTCCGGTGTAGTCACGACGATCTGGGTTAGATTCTTCTTCGTCAAGACACGCTTGCACGGCCTTCAGGTCATCTGCGACGATGGCTTGACAAAGTCGCTCGGTGTGGCCAACATAAGCCATTTCTAGAACAGGAGGTCAGCGGGTGCCCTATTGTGAGTGGAGTAAGTCAAGCCGTACCGGTCCAGTCGGTTTCAGTGATTGGGTTGAAGCTTCCAATTTCCTGGCGACCAGGATCATCCTTAATGAATGAGATGTCACCAGAAACATAAATTTTGCTCTCCTCATCGGCAGTCTTCTTCTCTTCCTCGGTGACAGGCTGGGGGCAAAAGCCACAGCAATCATGAATGACATGCTCGGCTTCACCAAAGAATGCGGGGTGTCGATGAAGATACACCTCGCGGTCCTTGGGTTGGTTCCATTGGGCGTTGAGAAGCAGATCTTTGGTATACAACAATTTCTCGATCTTCTTGGCATTGAAGTTCCTGCCATAGGGGATTGTCTAATGCGTTGTCAGCAAATGGAAGATAAGGATCTCGTGAGGAGCCAGTGGTGCGTACGAAGGTGTTGTAGTCAGAAACTTGATCTTGTTCCTGCCATTCTGGAACCTCATCCTCCCAATCGTCTTTGATGTTTCCACGTAGCTCCCTTCCTTGTCTTCTTCGCATATAATCACTGAGAGCAGGGCGACCGCGCTCTTCTCGGCGTTTTCTAAGATATAAATCTCTGTCATCGGACTTCGGGAGTTTCTCAAGAACAAGCAGTCGTGCAAGACCGACGGTTCGATTGAATGTTCGTTCGAAGATAGTCTGGATACATTAGCCCAGATGGAATGACAGGGACATGAGGCGATTTCTTACCGGGTCAATTCTGGATCGATCCAGACCAGGCCAGAAGACTTCAAAACCGCGATGAGAATATTTAGACAGCCGGTTTTCGTAAGACGGTGAGCGGCGCGTCAAGTCAATGTGATTGATTTGTGTCATATACGCAGCGATTGCGCGGGGTGAAGCATAGACTTGACGGCCGTCAAATGCAGCGCAGGACACATCCACATCGAAACCGGTAAGAATTTCAGACACGGAGCGGTAGATTCGAAGCACAATCTGGACGTGACGGTTGGGGTACTGCGAGGCAATTGTGATAGTATTTCTTGTGCGAACTGTGGTGGTCTCGTAGAGAATCGTGTTCTTGATACTGTCTTCGATGTGCTTGATTTTCTCAATGGCCTCTTCCTCGTTGAGGCCATACAAGAAAAGGTCAATGTCAGAAGCAGGGGCAAATATCTCGTGGTAGTATTTGCGTAAGCCACGCTTCGAATGACGATACTGTTCTGGAACTGGTAGCAAAGAAGTCACCACAGCACTGCCGGCGGCCACCACATTCGACCAGTCAATCTCACTGAGACAACCTTCTGTGAACAGAGCGAAGTTGTTTCGGAACTCTTTCAAGGTCGGGACAATGGCAGGCGATCCATTGGGCTTGCGATCTTTTTCGCTCAATGGGAGAAGATATCTCTCTTTCTGCTCTAGCGTTTCAGCTTCCAGGTCACGAGCCCGAATGCGAAGGTCGTTGCAGCCATTTTCATCGTAAATCGGGGTCACGTTGACAAGGTTCTCCTGAACTGTGGAGCTTGATGGCTCCTGGGCAAACTTCTTGCGCATCACTGCATCGAACTCGATGTAGGGTCTGACGAGGTCGACCATGGGGGTATTGGGCTGAGCGCGAACATAGCTGAAGAAAGCATTGTGGCTCACGGGGATCGCTGGGAGTGGAGACATTGTAACGAATTGAGAGAATTGTATGAAATGATTCCAATTTGAGCGATAACTAACAACAAGCTCTGTGTTTAAGTAGTTCTCGATTCGAAGCTTCCCTTCACCCTGATCGGGCTTAGTGTTTGGGGGGCCAGGCATCCTTAGGCAGAAGGACCCATTCGCAACATTCACAGCCAATGAGACGGAGGGTGGGATGCACGCCAAGCATCACAACAGGCATCAAACGATCTTCCCCACATTTGCTAGGCTCCTCATCTCCATTGGGGGCGATGGGCCCCAACTGCCTAATTTTTGGGCCTCGGATAAAGTATAGGATCATTCATGCATCCACCCTGATGGAAAAACTAGGTGAAACGAAGCGCCCTTCCCCCGTTGCTTACAGCCCTTCCAGTCATAAGTGGCTCAGCGTGCATATGATAAATCCATCGTCGAAGGATGAAGTCTGAAGTGGCCGGGAACAATCTGCGGTTCCTGCTGGTTGGACTATCACTGCCAGAGTGCCCTATGTAAGAATGCCCAAAGTGTTGTACAGATCAGGAGTTGAGGATTGGATGATTGTCGTGAACGTGGAGTTTTATTTCTGAAACCCTATTGGGTGACCACTCTTTTTGCTATGCAGTCAAAAGTCATGTACTAGAGTTTGCAGCGCGGCCGTCCTCGGGAAGAAGAGAGCGATATGATTTATCCACGGGAATAGGCGACGCCTTCGGTGGCGGGAGAATCGGTGAACCAGCTAACTTTATCACCAGCGGCCTGGTTGACCAAGGCTGAAGGCAGACCACGACCATCCTCGGAGTCGAAAATATCACGCATAATTTCCTTCTTGCCTCCACCTGTCGCAACGAACGCAATCTGGGCAGCGGCGGCAACAACCGGGAGTGTGAGGGTGATGCGCTTAGGTGGGGGCTTGGGCGAGTCCGAGATGGCAGCGACCCAAGCGGTCTTTTCGTTAAGAAGGCCGTGACCGGGGAACAGGCTACAGGTGTGACCATCGGGTCCGCAGCCCAGCAGGATGAGGTCGAAGGCAGGAAGCGTGTCACTGCCTTCGCCGGTGAATGTGCGCTTCAAGTCCGCTTGGTACAAGTCGGCTAGTTGTTTGGGGTCATCGTCCTGGTTAGCGTGCTTTTCGGCGATGGGGTGGACGGATGGAGTTCCAAGCTCCGTGGGGATCTTGTTGAGGAACTCTTCCTTCAGCAGGTAGTAGTTGCTGTCGGCGTGGTCGAGAGGAACCGCACGCTCATCAGCGAAGAAAATATCCCACTTTCCGAATTGCGAAGCGGGTGAGTCGCCCAGGAGCGCTTCGGCTAGTATGACGGGCAAGGAGCCACCAGAGACAGCCAGGCGGAAGGTATCATGGCGGGCTAGAGCGGCGGTCTCGGCTTTAAGGATGTACTGGCGTAGGTTTTCAGCCAGTTCCGCCTTGCCGGGGAACGTGTAAAGATGAGGTTGTGTGTTCGACATGGTGTGTATGTTTGATGACCAACGGGCTGGAGATGAGGACGAATCTTCGTTCTTGTACTCGGATTGGCGGTGCAAGATCTCTCGGGTGCGATTGATGCCCCTCCACCACAGATAGCATAGCGCAGTTGAACCCCACTATAAGCGAGCAGCCCGCCGACGGGCATTTGGAATGCACTTGTTCCGGTCAGTCATTTGGTCGGGGTCCAACTCATCGACAGTGACCTGTCTCACTCATTCATGAAGCCATTCTCTATTGCGCTGTTAGTTTCTCATCCGCGGTCAACGCGTGCAGTGTCATGACCAGCGCGCGCTCGGAGGAGTGTAGGCCGAAGTTGTTGCCGCGGCAACAACTTGGGACCTGACGCAATATCATGTGACTCCATTCCAGCCACGTGGACCGGGTCAACGTGGGCTGAGAACAACGTTGGATGTCAGACTAGGGGCCATATGTACTATGACACATACGTGGACTGTGCCCGGCTTTCCAGTCAATTTCCTCATCAGAGCGATATATCAATTGGTGTCATGAGGAACCAAACAGACCACACCCAGTAGCTGGGTCAACACGATATGCCCATACTGCAGAATCACAAGCTTTGTCCTTCGTAACCCGCTAAGAATTGTCCCATCATGAATACATTTACATGTACTATACAGCGTGAAGCAAGAGTCTTCCATCGGGAATCAATAAATCTGTGCTTTTCCTCAGGTCAACTAGTAAAATCGAAGATTGCTTACGTGGGCACCCCCGCCTGGCACACCCGTTGAGGGGCTGGCGGGGCTGGGCCAAATGAACCCAACGTGAAACGAGACATTTTCTCTCCGCAACTTTGCATCTTAATCAATCTGAATCCATCATGGCTGATCAACCCGCCCACACCCTGGACCACATCTTCCAGAACAACAAAAAATGGGTCGAGACCAAGAGCAAGGCTGACCCCGCCTTTTTCAATAACCTTGCTGCGGGGCAGAAGCCCAACTACCTGTGAGAATGACTGAATCCCATTGAGATCCCCCAGATTGCGCTAACTAGAATCAGATACATTGGCTGTAGCGACAGCCGTGTCCCAGCCAATGAGATCATGGGCCTGGAGGCAGGCGAGGTCTTTGTCCACCGCAACATTGCCAACCTGGTCCCCAATGTCGATCTCAACGTCATGTCTGTCATCAACTATGCCGTGCGCCACCTCCGAGTCAAGCACATCATTGTTTGCGGCCACTACAACTGCGGCGGTGTCCAGGCAGCGCTCACCTCTGCTGACTTGGGACTGCTGAACCCATGGCTCCGCAACATCCGCGACGTCTACCGCTTGCACGAGAAGGAACTCGACGCAATTCCCGATGAGCACCAGCGCTACAACCGATTGATTGAGCTCAATGTAGTGGAGTCCTGTAGGAACATTATCAAGACCGCTGCTGTCCAGCAAAGCTACGACCGGGATGAGTTCCCCGTTGTCCATGGATTGGTCTTCGATCTGCGTGACGGTCTGCTCAGGAACCTCGAGATCGACTTCGAGGCCATGCTCCAGGACGTGAAGAAGATTTACTGCTTGTCGCCGGGTCCCAAGAAGGATTAAATGTTGGGGCCATAGTTGTCAGGGGCTTCCTCATGCCACCATAAAGTACATTGAATAGATGAGTGATGTGTTGAGAGAAGAAACCCACCCAGATTGTAAATGTATGCCACTCACCAAGGGCACAGTAAACGAGGATATGTAGAGATCGTGTCGTACCTATTCCAACAATCGATGCGAAGTGTTGCTCTCTGGGTCGTACACCACCCCGTGTATGCGCAGACTGCCTAGAGCTATAGCATCGGATACCTCGGGAAAGGCACGCAATGAGCGCAATTGGTCGAGGACATTGAACTTCACAAAAGAGCCATCTTGTTCGGAAAGAGGAAGCTGGCTGAGATCCTTCTCATGATTCGAATGGAGCGAGTCAAGCTTCCTGCATGATGATCAACCAGTGAGCCAAATATCAGCTGCGAAGGCAAATTACCTCGACCATGGGCCTTGTAACCCGTCTCGAGAACTTGATCGCACAATGCGACAGCCATAATGGCCACAAACAACGATGTCTTTGACCTAAATCATGTCAGTCCCAGCTCCATCCGCGTGCGGAACGCCATATCAAGTGCAGAATTACTCGTAGGTCGACGACAGCGTGTTTGATCATAGTTTCACAAGATAGATCGCCTTCAATTATCATATTACCCAGATTTCTGAGCTCTAATGACTGGTCATTTTGGTTCTGATGAGCCGCAGACTCTCGGGGACTGCTATCAGAACATCCTATCCATAAGACTCTCGGCTGCAACATCTGAGAGAGAAAAGTATTTTGCAGGTTCATTGAATCAGGTATTGAATCTCTGGGTATGTGGGTGATAGAACCACCACGTGGGGATGCAGTGCAGTTATGAAACCCTTTGGACAGAGACCGTGTCTTGGCGATAGCCGAGGTGCCACAGCCTGTGGTGACGCTCTGCCGGTAAAACATAGGGAATATTTTGGAACGATATCTTTTTCTGGGTTCATCCCGTTCTTTTATAAGGTCCAAGCCGAGTTTGGCCCCTCGCCGACGGCATGAAGAACGGAATCTCCACCAATGATGCAGTCCTTGGGAGTATTAGCGCAGCTGATCAACAAGCAATCAGCCTCGGAGTTACTGAAACCGTTTTGTTCGGCCCCTTTAGTTCGGATGAGGTCAACCCGAACCCTTCGCTGGCCCCGAGGAATTGCCGCTTCGGCCGAAAGATTCCCCATACTTCTCAGTGCACAGACCAGGGGATGTTGTAGACATCGAAAGGACAGTTACTCGCGTCGATATTGCAAGGGTTTTTCGACAATAGATTCAGTGGACAGACTCTTTTTGGAATAATGAGCACTGAGAGTCATGAGTAGAGCAAACAATAACCAGAGTGAATGGTAGGTTAGAAAGCCGGCATGCCCCCACAATCACATCAACTACAACTGACCCGGGACTTCTGGAATAATGACACGTGATGGATGAAATGAGAAAGATAAATTGTTACCTGAGAGGTCTTGTGTCTCAGGGGCATTCTTGCTCAAAAACATTTCACGGTTGTTACAAGGCCTCAACTCCCGCCTATATATCGAGATCATCAACTATATCTACATCATACAAGGTACGAAACATTCAAGAACAGACTCTCATACCCAGGTATTCAAGCTCCCGAGGTCTCGGAATGTGTCGCGTTTCATCGAATTCCTCACTAATTACAACAAGGCACCCTCGCATCACTATCAACATCTCCATCAAGGCACAACATGATCATCACCCGCGGGTTCTCCCTCACGAACTTCGTGATTGCTAGCTCTGCGTTTTGCTTCCAAGTCTGTGTTCTCTATCCTTGGCACCACAGACTTGATGAGGAGTTTCAACAGCTCAAGGCCGAACATCTCCGACTGCTGAAGGAAGGCGAAGATAATAGATTGAAGGAACTAAGGAGCATCCGCGAAAGTCTCGAGTTGCGGAACGCCAAGACCATATAAATGACTGCATAATGCATCTACATCGCAGGAGGGGCTTCGTTCTTTGATTAAAGGTTGCACTTGTGTTTTTCGGGCTCAAGGAGCTCGACTGCTCCGCGTTTCTACGTGATTGGATGGCCTTAAGATGTCCAACGGGTAGCCTTTCGCGATGAATGAGAGTCACTGATCATCAAGGCCACCGGTAAATAACCAAGGGATTTCATCGAACACCCGACTATATCAACACCCCTGGTCAGCTTCGACACCATCCCGAGCCCTCCAGGGCGTGAATATCCCTTGGCCAATCCCCATTGCACTCAAACTTTGTTCCAAGTTTGGACTCGCTCAATACATACAACGAGGAAGTGAAGACCTCGGGATACATGAATGGAATACCTAGGTAGACGGTGTTCTGTGATTTGGACTCTACATGAAGTTACTCGGCATTTATGCCATCAACGCCCAGGTGTACACTAGCGAAGAAAGAAGAGCCATCATTTAAATCATAAAATTTTCCTTGTTCAATAAATTTTAGATACATAATATGAGACACGTGGAGTAAACGTAGCTCGTTGAATCTATAATCTTCACGTCGTGATACAGCCTGAAAGAAATCGTGGAAATATTTGCATCCTCCAAACAAAGTCCTCAGGTCAAAGTGGCCAACCCTGAGCTATCAACGTTCCCATAGATCCACTGACTGAAGTTGCTGGGAGCTGCTTGGTTACACGGGATGCCAGAGCCATTCTGGCCCAGGATGTTGGTGCACTGGAAAATCTGGTGCTGTACATCCGTGCCATAGTATGGCAGGTGGCGTGTGGTATTCACACTAGTGATGTTGACACGATCAAACGTGATGTTAGGGCAAGGGCGCTCATCCGAACAGTAGATAGAGGAGGCGACGTTGAAGCGCGAGGTGCCGCGGATATTCTCCCATTTGACATCTTCGATTTGCAGTGTCGATGTGTTGCACCCCTTGTCGGAGTTGGCAGAGTAGACACATTGGGACATTTGAATGGGCAATCCCACATTCTCCATTTCGAAGTTCCGGAATGTGATGTTTTTCACAAGACCGGTTCCACCACCACCCCAGTCACCATTGCTGGGAGTATAGATGCGTGTGCCTTGCCAGGTTTTGATATAGGCTCCATCCATGGCGTTCTTGATCTTGACATTTTCGAATGTCGTGTTCATGTTGTAGTCGGGGGTCTCTGGGTATTGACCGATAGATCCAATCGTGATACCTGTGCCGCCTTCGCAGTAGATGTTCTTGGCGTAGAGGTTCGTTGTGTTTCCCTTCGCGGCGATGCAGTCATCGCCGGTGATGATGGTTGCATTCTCAATGTACAGGTTATCGCTCTGCCAGGAATCGTAGCCATCGCAGTTCATGGTACCCCACTTGCTATCGCTCGTGGCATTCACAAACAAGTTGGTGAACGAGACGTTCTGGCTAGCCCACACAAACGTAGCCCAGAATTGAGGTTGAATGACACTCAAACCATCAACGTGGAGGTTGGTTGAGTTGTAGAATGTCATACTCATTGGTCGACCGGGCTGGTTCGACTCATTTCGGTTGGCGTTGTACCAAGCTTGGCCCTGGCCATTGTAGAAGCCGCCCTGGCCGTAGAAGTTCACATTTGTGCCACCAAAAAGCCACGCTGTAACCTGGTCTTGCAAAACAACGCTGATTGCATGAGTTCTCCAGTACGGAATGTTGGTGGATAGGCGAAGTTCACCGCGCAGATAAACATCACAATTAAGTAGATTGGTCGTGTTCAGAACGGTGTTGACATGGAAAACGTTATCAGTGAACACGACAGTACCATTCGTGCCACAGGTGTCAAAGGCTTCTTGGATGGAGGGCGAATCATCAACTTCTTGTCCGTGGTGAGTGAGGGATTCTGGGTACAAAGTGCATGTTGTGCCGTGGTTGACTACCCAGCCCTTCACTAATGTGACGAAGAGTGCAAAATTCCACAGATTCATGATGTTGATCTGTCCACTCAGGGTCGAAAAAGTGCAAGACCTGGAAAGACCAAAGATTCCCTACGGCAGATGCAGCAGCCTATATACCTCAATGGGTCAGGTAAAATCCAATGACCCCCACTCGGGAAAATAGGAAAGTGACATCATCTCTTCTTCTGGGGTTAAAAGAATAGCCTCAACAGCTTCTTAATCTGGTCATGTATTTCGTACTCGTAGACAGAAGCGAAGCGGCTATTGAACTCATTGAACTCGTATGCCGAAGCGTGGGGTGATTGGGTCGGAACCCCTCCGGTAATGAAATCTTAGTCAAGCCTCTGCCGTCAAAAGGCTTAGTTTTGGATGATCGTTGGCTGCCGTTACCAGATGGGGTATTCGGGATGGTGATCCCTACTAGTGTCTCTCGACAATGTGGTATTCCTTGAAGAATGTCGGATATTACCGCGTGCCCTTACTGCGACCGCTAAAGTTCGAGCAATGATAATGAGCTTCGGCAAATGGATCTCCCTCAAAAGGTAAAAGATGAGCGAGCTTTCCCCATGTCGGCAGAAGCCCGAATCGATCGGCAACATTGAACTCGGCAATTTCTATTTAGCCGCTCACGATTTCTCCCGGCCCCGGGGGTTTCGGCATCAGCCATGCGGGGTCAAACCCGGAGACGCTGGGGTTTATCTTGTTCGAGGAATGGTCATTGAAAGGCCCAGGGAACAAGAGCGTTATGAGTGAATTAAAGAGCACCGTCGATGATCGGACGTATTGAGCTCTCGGTTCGCAATGCATGCATTCTGACAACGTACCGTCTCCAAGGCCTGGGAATAGGACTGATTCCAATGTTCGGGAATTAAGCGTGACTGAGTGCATTTTATGAGCTGGCCCGCTGCTTGCTTCACGAGATTTCGCTCCTGGGCAGTATCTCCAAATCGACGACTCACGCAACAGTTAGGAACTGTCTTAGTGAGCCATCCTTGGAAGAACAATCTTGGCACTTGAGTAAAACAATCATCAACGAGCGATCCAACGGGCGCCTTCGACCGCCGAAAGATTGATCATGTGGGAACTGAGAATCGATCAAGGTGCTACCCATATGGCGGTGTATCGAGCTGACTCGGACTTGGGATATCTCATCCTCACAGTCACCCATTAGCTACACCGAGTATTCTAAGGCTCCACTAACCTCACAGTTCCACCGGTATGAGCTATTTGCGATGTCAGATTAGATCCATGAATTATAGGCGACATGTCGAGATCCAACGTCCACGGCTAACTTGGGTGGTTCCAAGGTTCCAGGACTCCAAAGCTAGCTTGGTCACTGTTTTCATTGCCTCGATTGAATGGCGGCTCTCGAAATTTGGCTGTTCGACCCCTGGGGAGTTGCAGGGCTGCCTTCTCCACCCTTCTATTGGCTCGGTTGGGGTCTTCCGAGCTATCGCGCTGCGAACTAATGGATGTATCACACACAAGTGAGTGCACTGAGCGAGTCTAACGGTCGGTCGTGACCATGACCTGTCATTCAATGCACGATGTCTGAAGGTAGAAAACCAATGGCGAAGTGATTTCTTACTCCTTTTCAACAAAGTCAAGGCAATATGAGTATAATCAGAGAACTATCGTTAGAGTAGCGGATCTGATTCTCTCTCAATAACCAATAGGTTGAGACAAGGAAAGACCTAATTAATACAATGGGAGTGAGGCTCTCATGAGCGAATAGCCATTTTTGGAGTCGGCGCGGCCCGTGGAATCGCACCAATCATCGTAGAGAACCACATCAGCCGATGTCGGACCCACTTATGGCAAATCGACAAGTCTTGGCCTTGGCCTTTTGACCTTTGCTCTTTAGTTTCTTCCCCTTTCACCAATCGTCTCAGTATGGATCATCTTAAGCAAACGTTTGCTCAGTGCAAGAAGGAAGGTCGCCCGGCACTCGTCACCTATGTGACGGCCGGCTTTCCCAGCGTGGAAGAGACTCGGGACATCTTGCTGGGCATGCAAGCTGGAGGTGCCGGTGAGTCACTGCTCAAGGGAGATGCCGATATTTTACACATTCAACTAATATTGGGATAGATATCATTGAGCTCGGTCTACCTTTCACTGACCCTATTGCTGATGGGCCAACCATTCAAAAATCCAATTTGAAGGCGCTGGAAAATGGTGTCACCATCTCGTCGATGTTGGAGATGGTCCGTGATGCCCGCCAGCATGGACTCAAGACGCCTGTGCTTTTCATGGGCTATTACAACCCAATCTTGCGCTACGGAGAAGCCAAGCTTCTGGCGGATTGCAAAAAGGTCGGTGTAAATGGCTTCATCCTGGTCGATCTGCCGATCAAAGAGGCAATTCGATTCCGCGAAGGCTGCACAAAGACAGGGTATGTTAAATGGATCAACGCAAGTGATAATGTCGAGAATGTCTTTCTAACAATCATAGCCTCTCATACATTCCATTGATTGCACCATCTACCACCGAGGATCGCATGAAGACCCTTTGCCAAATGGCTGATTCCTTCATCTACCTGGTGTCCCGCATGGGCGTAACTGGCGCCACTGGAACTCTGGACTCCGAACTTCCCGCACTTATCCAGCGCGTGAAAGATCTTTCAGGGAATGTGCCTGTGGCCGTTGGCTTCGGTATTAGCACACGCCCTCATTTCCTCAGTGTGACCTCAATTGCGGATGGCGCTGTGATCGGTAGTCAGGTCATCAATGTCCTCAACGATGCACCAGCTGGACAGGCCGCGAAGGCTATCGAGGATTACTGCTCGGAGATTACTGGAAGAAAGGTCACCCGTGATACCTCAGCCCCCTCAGCTTCCCCAGTGGCGGAGGCCACCGAGTCTGACTCAATTGCCGAAGAATACACATCTGATCTGAAGGATGGTCTGGGCCGATTCGGTGTTTTCGGTGGTCAATACGCCCCGGAAGCCTTGATCACCTGTCTGGATGAGTTGAATGTCGCCTTTGAAAATGCCATCAACGACCCAACGTACTGGGCCGAACTCCAATCGTACTATCCTTACATGGGTCGCCCATCTAGCCTACACCTCGCTCAACGTCTCACCGAGCACGCAGGTGGCGCGAATATCTGGTTGAAGCGCGAAGATTTGAACCACACTGGTTCTCACAAAATTAACAACGCTCTCGGTCAGATTCTTATCGCACGTCGCCTCGGTAAGACTGAGATTATCGCCGAAACAGGCGCAGGTCAGCACGGTGTCGCTACTGCTACAGCGTGTGCCAAATTCGGTATGAAGTGTGTCATCTACATGGGTGCAGAGGATGTCCGTCGCCAGGCTTTGAACGTATTCCGTATTCGTCTCCTCGGTGCTACCGTCATCCCTGTGGAATCGGGCTCACGTACCCTTCGGGACGCTGTCAATGAGGCATTCCGCGCTTGGATTACTCGCCTGGATACTACACACTACATTATTGGCTCAGCCATCGGGCCTCACCCCTTCCCAACAATGGTTCGTACCTTGCAGAGCGTCATCGGAGAAGAAACCAAGAGCCAACTTCGTGAATTGGGTAAGAGCCCCGACGCTGTGGTTGCTTGTGTTGGCGGTGGCTCTAACGCCACTGGAATGTTCTATCCCTTCTCCAATGATCCCTCCGTCCAACTTGTTGGTGTCGAAGCCAGTGGAGACGGTTTAGACACCGAGCGACACTCAGCCACGTTGACTGGTGGCTCTGTGGGAGTTCTTCACGGTGTTCGCACCTACGTTCTCCAGAACGAACACGGTCAAATCTCCAACACCCATTCTGTTTCTGCCGGTCTTGACTATCCTGGCGTTGGTCCAGAGCTCGCAAGCTGGAAGCAGAGTGGTCGAGCCACATTCATCAGTGCCACCGATACCCAAGCCTTCGAAGGTTTCCGACTTCTCAGCCAGTGTGAGGGCATCATCCCAGCATTGGAGACCTCTCACGCGGTGTGGGGTGCCATCGAGACCGCCAAGAAATTGGGTCCTAACAAGGACATCGTGATCTGCCTGAGTGGACGCGGAGATAAGGACGTGCAGACTGTCGCGGACGAGCTGCCCAACATCGGCCCCCAAATCGGATGGGACCTACGTTTTTAAGATAATCGTCTCGACCCAAAAGTTAGAAGCAAAGATAGATTTGTCATTTGCTAGGAATTGTTTCAAGTTATGGAAGCTTTGATTTCGGGACGCGAATGATTCACGATCAGTTGCAAGTGTTTCATTCGGGGTAGTTTCACACTTGCAAACTACAATAAGCAGCTAGGATTTTCAATATTCACTCCAGTTGTCCAAAATATTTCTTGCGTAAGGGATCCAGCCCTTTCATAGCTTTTCGTAGCCAGATATCACGTTGCCTGGATGATCCTGGACTTTGTCCTTAAAAACTTCTACGTCAACTTCATATAGTACCCCCAACAGATCGGCCGTCCTCGGGGCTATCAGAGTAGATGGTTTCGCCCTTAGAACCACTCGCTCAGGGTTGTATACGACAAACGCATTCACGTCAGACCTCGCCTGTTAGGCATCATTGGACAGCTGAAAGGTGCTATTGACCGGCGGGCCGGTGGTACTACTTTGGCTCCCATGCTGCACCTGTACAATGCATTGCCAGGTGGAACAGAACTACTGATGTCCCGAGGTCGGTCACATAGCTGAGATACTAGCTAGGTAGTTGAAATAAAGGACATCTTATTCATCAAAGTGCATATGTCTAGCTTCATCATGGGGGTTTGTACAGATATTCGGGGTATGCTACATAGTCATCATCAAGGTTGAAAGGGAAACAGAGACCTCGGGAGAGGCCAGACGTCTATAGACGTCTATCAAGTCGAATGGGCAATCGATCATTAAGAGAATCAGTCCCTGGCTTGGATGATACAAGATTCCTTGGCATGCCAGATACGTCGACGGCGCACGACATCCACACCAAAGGTATCTTTGATGCCACCGTCATCATGCATATCCGCAGTATCGGCAGATTGAGGATCACTATCGGGGAGAGATGGCCGCAGAAGTCGAGCCTCCTCAACGCTAGCACCAAGTTCATATTCTCCTCGACAAAGCACAGTCAGGCCGATGGAAGACTTCGCAGATTCGCCACTCGGCAGAATAGGGAGGGCTTGCTGCAACATGCCGGTCCAAACGAGACGGCGAGTAAGATCGAGTGCGACATTGTTGGGCTGGTGGCGAAGGCTAGGTTGGAGACGGACGAGGGGATGAATTGGACGGGAGGAACGATTATGAACGGTGACGTTTAATGTGAGCAGGTCATCCGTCTTGACGTTGAAGCGAGAGCGGCCGGTTTCTTCGACGGCATCAGAATCATCGGGTGAGGATGGCGAGGTTAGAGAGAATGTCATTTCAATGTCTTCGAGTCGCATCGCTTCGACCATGCGGTTGTTGAGTCTTATATTTCGTAGGTCAATAGATCCTTCACGGCCTGTAGCCGGTTCTTTCCATCCTCCAAGAACTCTCTTGAGCAGCTCTTCGCGGAACCAGAAAGCCTCACGGGAAGCCGCTTCAGCTTCGAATGATAGTTTGTTGGCACTGACGACGAATTGTCTCCGGGTGCCGGTGTTCACCACCGGGATAGAAGCATGAGGGTTGTCAAGGTAAACTCGGGGCAGAACCAGGACGAGACGAGAGGTTTGACCGGGCTGAAGTTCTCCACCGACAGAATATTGGCCACGCGTGTCAAGTTTGTTTGCAACATCTGTCGAAGAAGACTCTACTGACTGCTCGCTAACGCGCAGCCATACAGAGACCGGGTTTGGCCAGGCGTTGCGCAAATCAACTAGAACGACACAGTGATCGGACCCATAGGGCCCGTTGCCAAGTCGACTGAGGATCTGGGAGAAAGGATCGTTGTCTTCGGTAGAGAGCAACGCATCGGACTCAATTGCCGAGTCGACTGGCGACTCGATATTGTTTTTCCAAGCAAAGTCGCCACTGAAGGGTAGTATGTCACAGCGGGCAACCTCGACGCTTGCGTTGACCGTGACCGTTAATGGGACAAACAACTGGCGAGTGTAAAACACATCAGGTAATTCACCTGGGGCTGCATTCAGACGGGAGTAGTCAATCTGCACTGTGGTTTCTTGCAAACCTGGCTTTCCAAGAACATCAATGGTGAAACTGGCTTTCTCGCCTGCTGCGATCGAGCAATCGTTGGAATCATTCCCCTCGCGACGCCATCGCAAAGCTGGATTTGTCGCCAGCTTCAATTCGAGCTCATAAGTCTCGACGGGCAATAAATCCTTGTTGGCGAGAGCCGACTGCAGTTGCTTTGTTGTTGAATCTTGGAAAGAGAACAAGACGAAGTCCACAGGGCACGTAGAGGCGTTGTGTAGTGTGATTGTGAACGTCTTGACCTCACCTTCGAGAACCATCATTGCCGATTGTGATAGAGACATCGACTCAATCACGAGTGATGGCTGCTTGGCAATTACTTTGACTTCACAAGAGGTGGCCTCGGGTCCTTTCTTGACGTCCACCTTGCCATCTTTCGAGGTTGTTGAGCTCCAAGAGATCGGGCGCGCCGTCAGAGGCTGTTTGGCACCCAGTCCTGTTCGTTTGAATTTGACCTCGGGCTCGGGCTTCCAAAATTTCTTGAAGATGGGGAATCTTCGCGTCCGACAGTAGCGGACTTTGACAATACAACCCGTGATGTCAAGGCTGCCTTCTCCTTTAGCAACGCCAATCACAATAACATCCTGCACTGAAAGAGGAGGAAGAAGAATATTCTCTGCGACGGCATCAAGTGGCACACCAGTACTTTCCAAGCGCAGATGTTCGATCTCAACCTCGAATTCGTAGGGGTTCTGTAGAGTGACCCGGTAAGATGCAGGTTCATCGGCCACTGTGATTATTTCCAATGCCTTGCTGTCGGCTTTCGCGAAGGGATTGTACAAGAACGGGTCTTTTTTCTTGGTCTGAGAAGTTGTGGTGGCTGTGTTCAATTCCGTCCTGGACCGCCGCATGGGTCTCTTGGGGTCTGGGAGCGCTAAAGACTGAACATCACGCACCAGGAAGTCATCCCAGTATTCAGCGGCCATTTCCGAGGCCCCCAATCGGGACCCAGCACCTACAGTTCGCTTGATGTTGTTCAAAAGGCGAACTTGTTCGTCTTGTGGGAGGTATGGTGGGTTCCGGTATCCTTCACCTAGCATGATATCTCCCCGAATAGTCTGCAAGAGCTCAACAGTAAAGCGGAGAACACCATTGAAATCAGGGAGCGCTTCGCAGCAGTTTATGCAGGCTTTCAGGACATCAATTTTCAGGTTCAAGTCTCCATAACGATCCAAAACCACATGCCTGAACGCTCTTTCAGCGATGCTAGCCACAGAGTCATACTCATTGTCTCCCTGGGATCCACTGGCTGCCGATGATTTGCTGTTTCTCTTCTCCCACTCAGAGAAAGACGAAGGCTGGACACCATATATTTCTCCAATATTCGCAAGGAGGAATCGCACACTGCTCTCCATATTTCCAGAGCCCGCATCCAGGGCATTGACGTCAAATGCAGTATCGCTGAGAGATGCCAAGCCAGCAGCCGGATGTATGCCGACCTCTGCGGCGCCAATCTTGCGCGCCTGTACCAGACTTGGTACCATCACGGAAAGGAGTTCGCGTAGAATGAATGCCTTCTTCCTGGGCAAGTCAAGGGTGTTTAAAACAGATACTACGCCAACAATAATTGGCACGGCATCGGTGGCAGGCAGATCGGCGCCCGGTGCCAGCGGCAGAGCCCGGTACAAAAAGTTGGCAATTTCAGACTTTCGAAGTAACACGGTGCCGCGAGGGAGTTCTGGCTGAAGCAAGGGAACCAAAGTTTCGTTCATCACAATGTGTTTCAGAGCATTGTCATCTAAAGCCCCGTCACGCACGCGAGCGGAAACCATCAGTCTTGCCAATCGAATAACTGTTTCCGAGAAGACCAATTGAGGAAGTGGCTCGTCCGTAATGTTGGCGGCGCGGTTATAGAGATTCAAAATGTTGTTTGAGAGGTCCGGCAAGAGGTTGGCCAGATTGTGCAAAGAGACGACTCGGTTTCCAGTGCTGCTAGGAGTCACTGAGTCTCTTGATGGTTTGGAGGACTTCTCAGCAACGGGATATAGAGCTGATGGAATCTAATGGATAGTCTGTCAGTAGCGATTTCAACGCTGTCGTGCATCTTTCACGTACCTGGAAGTCCATTCCCGCCCAACCGAACATAATTAGACACAAAAGGATCGTCTCAAGGGCTTTGGCGTGCCAAATGTAATCACTGCCCGCTCGGGCATTGTTAACCGCCTCAGTTAGTTCTTTCAGGGCATCTGGCCACCTTCCTGCCTGCAGGAACAGTGTGCCAATGACTACTCCAGCACGGCCTCTGATTCTGTTCTTGGTCCTATCAGTAGCACTCATATTGCTGACAGACATTCGGTCACGACTATGCTCTTTCGCGGACGCTATTGACGGGGTTCTGCTGCCGGAGTTTGTGCGACTGGACAGATGAATGGATCGAGTAATCTCGTCAAATGTCGTGGGAGTCTCATGATCGCTCGGGGCTGGAGAACTTCCGTTGGAGCTCAGCGGTGTGTCTTGGCCACCACTCGGGCTCGAGGGTAGCTGGGCGGGAAGAGTCATCCGATTTAGCAACCGGTCGACCGGCCGCGGTCTTAGCTCCGGGTTTCGGTGTGGACCCCAGGAGAAAGCCTTCGGTGACTCGATTGACGGGATGGCTTGAATCGTCTTTGCAAATTCGTCCAGTTCAGCGAGCAAGACCGCGGTCACATCGCAAAGAACTGTCTTCATCGTTGTGGCTTTGGATGCTTGGGGTGGAGGCACCCAAAGAACATTTTCCGGGCCATTGACGACTTTGTCCAGGCCCTCATGGTCGAACACCAATAGTTGATTCACTAATGCCCGGGGATTCCGCTCCTTCACCCCGCCCAATTCTTCTAGCAATTGATCGAGACCCTCGGGAGTCGGATGCTTTTGTTTTCCGTCAGTGCTTTGTGGCAGCTCTTTGCCATCAGCTATCGCAATAACCACCAGCGGCTCTCTGTATATCTCGAAGGGGAACAATTCGAGGTGCGAGGTTGGAGGGACCGAAAAGGCAAGATCGTATAGAATCAATCCAGTGGGAAATGCTAGTGGCGAGAACATGTCTGGAAATGACTAGATCAGCACTTGTCGCATTCAATCCCTGATCATCGGGGGTATCGCGTACTTCTGTTTGGCCTCGCATCGGGGCTGATATCCCCTAGCCGAACTACGTTCTCGGCCTGTAGTCGTGCAGCGAAGCTGAGGAATCGTGAGCGCTTGATCTTGCCAATAGGAAGAAGAAGCGCCCTGAGGCGCACAGGCGCAATCGGGGACAAAGGGTCGACACCCATCTCTGATCGAACTGTTTACTCGACGATTGGCGATATTAGACCCGCATGCACACAGCTGGCAAGCTCCCAAACTTCATGAGTTGCGGTGATGGAGCAAAACACCAGCCGATATTTCCAAGCAAGGAGTTCCGGTATTGACCCCGCTCAGGCGAAATAAAAAAAACAACCAGCGATCTTCCAGATCTGCTTGTGCACTCCTGAGTCGAGAGCTCCGAACAACAACCCAATGCCGTGATAAACCTTGCTTATCTAATTATTGCGCAGTTGGTGAACACGGACTCCCGCAAGATACGCTGGGTACTTGGGGTGCCACGTTGTTTATGTTGGAGACCGGGTACCAGTACCTGGTCCGGGCAGGGCGGGGAGTAACGGCAGTTCATCCTCTGATAAGGATAAGCCACCGCAACCTCCGCGGTCTGCGAATACTTGGCCTTCTTCATCTTTCCTCCTCGTCTTTCTTTTTTCCTCTGTTTATCCTAGTCTTGACTTATTTTATCATCTGCTCAGCGTTCTTCGATACCTGTGAATACTGCTCGCTCCAATATCTGAACATTGCACCCAAGCTATCAATCTTACGGCCGCCTGGAGCCCTCGTGTTGTTGGACCGCCACTTTTATCCCAAGAAATGACATAGAAAAACGCGCCAGCCTTCGCGTCGTCCTCTCAAATTTTTCAACTACCCGCATACCACCTGAAATGTCTGTGAAAGTGGACTACAACGCTTTGAAGGCCCGGACCATGGGGTCTGGAGCCGACGAGGAAGCCGTGACAGTAGACACCAGAGGGCTTATCTCCAAAGTCCTTGCTCGCTATTCAGGGAAATGGTAAGTCTGCTGCACAGAGCCCAAGCACGCAGACGCTAAGATATATCTTACCAACAGGACAGTCCTACGAGAAATGATTCAAAATGCCGCCGATGCATCTGCAACGAAAGTCACGATCAAGTTTGAAACCATTCCATCCACCACAGTACCTTCACCTACAACGAATGACCTCACTGCACACCTTAAGCACACCATCACCAACCATACCCTACGACGTCTCCTCGTCTCAAACAATGGGTCCCCATTCAGCGAGAAAGACTGGGCAAGACTCAAGCGAATTGCAGACGGAAATCCGGACGAGACGAAGATCGGTGCATTCGGAGTTGGCTTTTACAGTGTGTTCGATGATTGCGAGGAGCCTTTTGTATCCTCGGGAAACCAAGCTATGGCATTTTATTGGAAAGGCAATGCACTGTTCACCCGCCGATTAGAGCTCGGTGAAGCTGCAAGCCCAGACACAACCTTCGTTTTGGACTATCGCAATGACACTTCGCCCGTTCCCTCGTTACTGCAACTTTGTCAGTTCTTATCCAGCAGTTTAACATTTGTCTCTTTGCAAGAGATAGAACTATGGCTAGACGATTGGACACTCCTCCGTCTCTCGAAGAAAACGGCTCCTAGTGTTGATGTCTCGATACCACGAGATATCGATACCCGGACAGCGGAGGGTCTTATGAAAATTGTGAATGTCACTCGTGAGATTGCTCAAGTTGACGCGTCCTGGATGAAAATTGTCGAATGGAATCCCAACGCAAGCATATTCCGCATGGACAACATTCGCGATACAACGAGCTCATTGCGGAGCTTCTTCTCCAAGTTCACACAAAGCGCACCAGAGAAGCAACATGTCAAAAAGCCTGAACTTGAAAGTGCAGATGACTCCGGTAGCATGAGTAATATGCTCTCGGCATCGGTATTTTTGCACATTAACACGGCTTCTCTGCAACCTTCCATCGGTAGAGACTTGGCAAAAGAGTTGGAACGGGCAACGCGGAAGCCACCGCCGAAGAAAGCCACCATTGCGATCCTGACGCCCTCCTATGATGCCAGCATGGCGACTGAAGCGTCTGCGTCACAGTCCGAGGTTCTCTCTTCCATTCTACCCACCAAATCCGGACGAGTCTTCATTGGGTTCCCGACAGCTCAAACGACTGGCTTAAACGCTCATGTGTCAGCTCCATCTGTCATTCCTACCGTCGAGCGTGAGAGTATCGATCTCAACACTCGGTACATCAGCAAATGGAACCTCGAAATGCTACGTGCTGTAGGAATAGTCTGTCGAATTGCCTGGTCGGCAGAGATGGCTACGATCAAATCGAAATTGGCTATGAAGATTGGCCCATCCCGGACTAAGGTCCGCAAGGATGACATTGTAGATGTTCTACCCGAGGCCATTCACACGGCGAACCAGTTCGTGTTTCGTGAATCCACCCCATCGTCGGTCTTGGGCCAGACAATTGAGGATGCTTTCTGGATGTGTAACAGAAATGCCTCTATTGAGATCCTGTCTACATGCGGTGTTATTCCGAGTCATCAGACTCGCATTGCACCTAAGGATTTGAGCTTCATGGATTCGATTCCAGCTTTGCCCGACGATTTCGTCAATGGTGCCAAAGAGTTTGTCAGGAGACTTACGGATTTTGGTCTGGTAACAGACATAACCGTTTCAGACATCAAACGCGAATTGGAATCCAATACTCTGCGGTCAAATCAAGTCGTTGAGTTTATCTCCTGGCTTGGCCGTAAATCTGTCCTTGGTCAACTAGATCAGCTCTCAGTTCAAAGCCTACTGCGTGTGGCAGTGGCCAACGACGAGGACTCATCGGGAGCACCTACCCGCTTGATCATCTTTGCAGATATTACTGGGTTCTTGAATCCCCAACGCATTCCAGCAGACCTCCCCATACCTCCATCCGTTCTACCATTCCGCTTCACGAAATCCTTGGGTAAGCAGGAGCTAGAGGCTTTGGGTTGGGTTGAACTACAGGTGGTTCCTTGGCTACGCTGGATCGTCTCCAATTCTGGCAATCGCAGTATCTTCCCGATTGATCAGGACATCACCAAGACGCCGGCTTTCTCAGGCCAGGTTCTTCCTGTCCTTTCAAAGCAATGGGATGCTCTCAGTGCAGCATCTAAGCAGAGCATTGTAACGGTACTTCAACCTCAGACGGTGATCCCCACACGTCTTGGAATGAAACAGCCTGGAGAGACATATTTTGCCTCAGTGCGTCTTTTTGATGACCTCCCTGTCATTCATGGCCTTAATGGCGTGAAGGAGAAAATTCTGACGTCGCTTGGTGTTCGTAAAACCGTCGAGCTTGGTGTCATCTTTGATCGCCTTATCAATACCCCGGCTCTGGAAGATACCAAAGGCGGACTTGCACTGAGAAAGTGGAACCATGTTGACCTTATTCGGTATCTTACCTCTGTGCGTGAGGACATCCCAGCAAATGATATCCAGAGGCTGAAGAGCACGAGCATCTGCACTGCCGAGAGCGGAAGCATCTCTAATGGTACACGGTACAAGATCTCTGAGCTGTATGAGCCAAAAGACGTTTTGCGGTCTCTAGGCCTCCCAATCATCGAATGGCCAGGCATTTACAACAGCAGTAGCAATGAGGGCAAGTTCCTCACAATGATGGGGCTGAAGAGTCACCCACCGCCCGCGGAACTTATTCGACTCATGGCCGCGGGAAGCACGGAAAAGGACAGCCGGGCGACCAAAGCACTATCCTACTTCATCGCAGAACATCATACGAATGGGTACGCTGCATTTGATATCAGCTCGGTGGCAGTTCCATTTCTACCTCTCGAAGGCTCCGATAGCCTGAATGTCCCTAAAAAGTGTTTCACTGATGAAGGCGCCACTCTGTTTGGTTTCAAACTTCTCCGAAAGAATCTGCATCCTCATGCCTCAAAGTTGGGGGTGAAAGCCCATCCTCCCATGGCAGATTGCCTTCATGTTCTCGCGCAGAAACCTCCCACCAACAACTCAGATGCCCGAACCTTGTTCAAGTATCTAGCAGGCAGAGTCTCGGAATTAAGTCGACAAGACATTGATCGAACAGGAATGACTCCGATCATACCGGTCACTATTCGTGACTATTCCGAGAAGGGTGCTAAAGTACGGCTCGTGGCACCTACATCGTGTTATCTTGGCGACGGAGATGATTACAAAGACATCTTCGACTTCGTCAATTTTGGTCAAGAGGCTAACCTTTTCCTCATGGCTGTTGGTTCCAAGCGGGAGCCTACTAAGGTGGAGATCGCACGGATATTGGTTAAGGAACCAGCCCGCATCAACGCTGCTTTCCAAAGCTCTGAGAAATACCTCATGCTTCTCAGAACACTTGCAGAGAACATTTCCACATTGAAACGAGATAGGGACCTTTTCCTCGAGATGAAGAAGGCAAGGTTCCTTCTCGCTAGCCGAGATCTTCCCCCAAGTGCTACCCATCACACCCAAAACGAAAAGGCGTCTGCTCATGATCCCAATGAGGAAGATGATGACGGAATGGACATCAGACAATGGGAACTGGCATCTGCCAAAGAGATTGTCGTTGTTGACGATTTCCAAAGTTTCAACTTGTTCAAACAGCATATCTTTGCTGCGCCCCAGGAAGAAGCTTTGGAAAACTTCTATATTGCTCTGGGTGCCAATCCACTGAGTGGCCTTGTCGAAGAGCAAATGCGGGTCGGCCATCCGACGCCTGATCAAGCATCTTCACACCAACTGCATAAGCTGATCCTGGAACGCACGCGACTCTTCTTTCACGACCAGCCTTCGGACTCTATTCTGCATGACACGCGTTGGCTAGAAAAGTCTTTCCACGTCAAGACCGTGACTGCCATCACATTGACAAGATCTCTCAGGGGACTGCGAGTGTCGCACACGCAGAAGCGAAATGCGATTGTTGATCGCTTCCCCGCTGGATGGACCATGTGCATTCGCCCTGGTCAATTTGACCTGTATGAAATCAGTCAGTCGTTGGCGCATTTGATCTTGAAACGACCAAAGCTTCATTCGACCCTGACACTCGAGATGCTGTTGAAGACTGATCTCTTGGAACTACGCACTCGTGGGTATAATGTCCAGCGTATCCTGAAACAGAAAGCCCAAGAAGCCCGCGTTGCAGAAGATAAGCGCCAGAAGCAAGTCGAGGAGGAGAGACGCCTTCTACAGGAAAGAGAAGCCGCCTGGGCAGCAATTCAATCTCAGCGTGCCGAGGAAGAGAGAACGGAGTCACGGAATCAGGCTTCGACTTCAGCTCCGACTGAACAGAACTCCATGCCCGGCGTGTTCCCTGAGTCGCCTAACAGCAAGACCGTGTCTGCAGAACCATCAGCGCCGCCAGCAGAGCCTATTCCAGAGCGTCCTAGCAGAGGCCTGTTTGCCAACCTCTCTAAGAGGTTTGGCTTGGACAAGAGCGCTGGCTCTGAGGGGCAGTCTCAATCCCCCGTTCCTGAAACATCCACACCACCGCCTCCACCCTACTCTCCCGATGATCCTCAAAACCCAGGCCAAGGCCAATCCAAGCGCCCAGAACAAACTGTATCCTCCAACTCACCACATCGCTTGAACTCTGAGCTCCTGTCCGCTGTCCAGGCATGCCGACCCCACGGCTCCTCTGATGTCTACAGCCGCCCGGAAACCAATCAAATCCAAGAAAGCAAGTCCTACTGCGATGAGCGCCCCAGCCATGACCTCGAGTTCGTTGCCACTTTGCCAAAGAGTGGCATGAATGTGCTCTTTACCAAAACGGTTCCCGATCGGTCTACCTTCCTTGCCACCAATCGCGCAGGCTTCAATCTCTTCGCATCTATCCTGCTTGATTGCGGTTCCATCTTCTCAATGCGGGCCGATAGTCTGAGTATCTTCTACGACCCGGGCGGCAAGACCATTGCATTCAACCGTGCGGGCAGTGTCTTCTGCAACTACTTCTACTTCCAAACGCTGCAGGAGAAGGCGCTCTTGGAAAAGTCTACGGATGCTACAGACGCCATTGTCTATTGGTGGGTGATTTTGTGTCATGAGCTGGCGCACAACTTGGTTGGGGACCACAGTTCGGCACACAGCTATTACACCGAGGGTTTCGTTGCACAGTATTTCCCTAAGGTTGCTGTTAAGATTGCTTCCTTGCAAACGCCTGCAAACGCGCAGTCTTTGATCTAGGTGTTATGTCGGATACCCACTTTAGGCGACTTTCAATTCATGTACTATTTTCAATGTGACATAAGCTAGATCAGACTCCAGGGCTCCAGGGCTCGGCCATGAGAATCATACCAATTGGTCGAAAATCTCCGCGTAGAAGGCGAGTGTAAATCACACGGGTTTACCCGAGTCCCCTTACTCCAAGGCCTGACTGTTCGGGTCCGACATCCTCATGAGGAAGCTGTCTCCCTGATGTTTCCATCAGTATTTTCCACATCACACACGGGAGCTCTCTCGACTCTTAAGTATATGAATGTCGATATCAAAGTCGGACTGTTGCCACCGGTGGGGAGCCGTTCCGTCGGTACCCGCTTTTGGCCTTTTCAGCAACCTTAATTTTTTCGGACTTTTGCCTCTTGTTGATCTGTCAACGGCCTCACTCTTTGCACTGCATCTGTAAATACTGCAATTTGTCTTCTCTGGGCTCTCTCTTTATCTCTCCGGGTCCCCTCTGTATGAACTTCGCCGGGGCCAAGCAGCCCACCTATCACCATGGCACCAATGCTGGGCGACTGGGATCCCCCTGCTAACACAACATGCAAATCCGACGCATGTTCTGCTCAAAAAAGCATCCTCTATATCGATGCCTATGACTCTTTCTCTTACAATGTGGTGGCCATGTTGGAGGAGACGCTGGGCGTCAAAGTCACAGTGATTACCATTGACTCAAAATGGCCTGACTCCAACATGACCGACTTCCTCCAACACTTCGAAGCCATAGTCCTAGGCCCAGGACCAGGAGACCCTAATGTTGCCAGTGATGTTGGCATCATGAGAGACATCTGGGACCTGCAGGACTCGGATCTGGTTCCTGTTTTTGGAATTTGCCTGGGTTTCCAAAGCCTCTGTCTCCGTAACGGGGTCCCCATCGAACGGTTGCCGTATCCGATTCATGGCCAAATTCATAAAATATCCACTACTTCGAAGGATATCTTCAAACAAATACCGGAGATTGAGGTCACTCTTTACCACTCACTTTATGCCAATTCCTCCTCGGCAGAAGCGCCTGATCTGGAATATCTGGCTTGGTTATCGCTCAAAGATTTCCCCGAAAAGCAGATACCCATGGGAGCGCGTCATCTCAGGAAGCCATTCTGGGGCGTTCAATTTCATCCAGAGTCTTGCAAGTCGGAAATCGTGGCTTGCAAAAGTTTACTTCGAAATTGGTGGAAGATGGCACTGGCGTTCAACAAGACTGTTGGACGAGGGGGGTATTGCTCTCTTCCTGAAGCAGTCATCAGTCCCAATACTATACTCAGCCCCTTCCCAGATGCCGCATATGAAATGCTCAAACTCAGCAAGGCAACGTCGAAGGTCTCGAATTCCCGTTCTCTCAGACGGTCTGGCTTGACAGCCGAGACAGTCAGCGAGCTGTTCAACAAACCAGGCTCGCCAACAGTTCTCTTCCAATCAAATGGGGAATACAGCATTGTCTCAATACCCAGTACCGACTCCTGGCGATTGGAATATTATGTTGAGACACATGAATTGCGACTCATTCAGCTTTATGGCGACTGCAAAGTCACAGAAAGCCGTATCTCCGTGGTCCAACTGTGGGACGCTTTGCGCTACTTGATGGAAATGAAAAAGGTCGATTCGGGCTCTACGCAAGTGCCATTTTGGGGTGGCTTTTTGGGTTACTTCTCTTACGAGCTCGGTCTCACGTGTCTTCCTCATCCAGGAACGGCACAGGCACATGAGCCACCTCACCCTCACAGTAACGACAAATCTTCTGAGCCCTTAGAGAACCCGCCTGATGTCAGTCTGCTATGGTGTGAGAGAAGCATTGTTCTCGACAACAAGACCGGCAATATTGTGGTCCAATCCACTCGCCATGATGACCATGCACCTCTAGGTTGGCTTGATGAGACAAGACAGTTGCTTGAAGAGTGCTTGATACCTGGCAATGACACTGGCTCTGATGAAACTCTGGATTCAATACTCCAACAAAGCAGAATCCAGCTTCCTGAAGAACGAAAATACAAACAGCAAATCGAGCAATGCAAAGCGGAATTGGAAGCCGGCGAGTCCTACGAGCTATGTCTGACATCCGAAACATCCATCACTCTACCAGTCCCAGAAGAAGAGACAACGCGAGTCGCCTTCCCTTGGAGACTCTACAAACGCCTAAAAACCTACAACCCAGCTGCATTCAGTGCATTCGCCGATCTAGGCGATACTAAAATAGCCAGCAGCAGTCCAGAATGTTTCCTCAACTGGGATCGCCAGTCAACCCTGGAAATGAAGCCCATGAAAGGCACAGTTCGCAAGTCTCCGGGGATGACCATGGAGAAAGCATGCGAGATCCTCAGCTCGACCAAGGAGATGGCAGAAAACCTCATGATCGCCGATCTAATTCGACACGACTTATATGGTATCTGCGGATCGGGGGGCGTGCACGTCGAAAAGCTCCTCGAGGTTGCAGACTATGGCCGCGTTTTTTCCATGATCACCCACATCAAGGGCACGATCCGTCCCAATCATCCTGGCTTTGCGGTGCGACACATGCCGCAGCTGAATACGCCTAACATGGCTGTTCATGGGCTGACGACTCTTCAGAGATGTCTCCCTCCAGGCTCCATGACCGGTGCGCCCAAGGAGCGATCTTGTATGCACCTTCGTACAATCGAGAATCGCAAGCGGGCAATTTACTCCGGGGTGATGGGATTCTTGGACCTTGGTGGGGGTGGAAGCTTCTCTGTTTTGATCCGTTCGGCTTTCACTTCCACCGCTGGATCAGATTACACTGATAGAAAGATTCAGACCTGGCGGATTGGTGCTGGTGGAGCTATCACCACGCTCAGCACGGCGGAGGGGGAATGGGATGAGATGTTGACCAAGCTTCGTGTTGTTTGCAACATTTTCACACCTCTTGATCAGAGCAACAAACAGGCTGTTCCGTCCTGAGACTTGACCTTGGGGATGACTTCGGGCAAAAAGAAGAGGTTACTACCTAGGTATGAGCCTGGAGGGCTTCGCTTTCGTGAGTTGCCCTTGTACATATTATGATCCACGCTTTTCCTTGCTTTCAACATTTGGATTCATGTGTGGAATATAAATTTGGTTCAACACTCAGCGCTGGCGTTCGGCATTGCATGTTGCTTTTTTACATTCTGTTCCATAAAACATATTCAGTCATTCAATGTCGATACATATTCATTCGTCGCCACAAAGGCTGTCTGGTTATACTATCGTCAAAAGACAGGTATTATTTTGTCTAGGCTATATAAAGAATAAGCTTGTAATCAAGGACTCTCGAGATCCATATCGGATCAGCACCTGGTAGACAACAGCTCCAATTTCAACTTTGTATTGCCCAGAGGCATAACAGGGACAAATCTATCCCCAGACTCACTTCACGGGAGCTTCAGTGCAAACAAACCAAACAATATATATCTCCGCTTCAGCTTCCGCGCAGCTTCAATCTTGAACTCTTCGTACTTTGAGTTTGTCACGACTTTGAAGAGACTCGAGATCGCTCGGTCTCTCATCCAGACGCGACAAATGGCGGGCCAAGATGCCTCAATGGAGGAGATCCTCTGGCGGTCTCCCCCGCACGTCCAGATGATGGGGGGTTTCCTCCACTCGAACAACAGTGAGTGACACCACTCAGTGCATATATGGAGGCTTATCTCACGATCAATCAGTTCTTTTCTACTTCGCCGAGTCTCCTTTCTTTGACCCGACCTCCAACAATGCCTCGCTCGCCATCCAAGCCAACTACAACGATGCATTCCGCCATTTCGTTGAGACGCGCGAAGCCTTCGAGGCCCGACTGAAGACGATGCAAGGTCTCGAGTTTATCGTCTCGTATGATCCGCTCCAAGCAACTGCTCAAACAAATGGTCAATTCACCCAAGAGCCGTCCAACGTCTGGGTGATCCGAAAACAAAACCGGCGCAAGCGATCTGGAATGGATGACGAGGTAGTCGTGATATCCACCTACTTTATCGTCGGCGACTGCATCTACATGGCCCCCTCAGTCGCCAGCGTGATCGGCAATCGAATTGTAAGTTTCTCTCGCCCACTCTCATACCAATCTAACCACCCCCAGCTCTCCGCCGTGACGTCTTTGTCGCAACTCATGAAAACCGCTTCCACCCTTCCAACATTTACATCATCCTACGGACACACCTACATGCCGCCCGGCGCACGCAAAGAGAAAGAATCCCAATCTCAATCCCAGCAGAGCAAAGAAGCCACGCCAGTACCGGAAGGACTACCGGACTCGCAATCAAAGGGCCTCAATGGAACCGAATCCGGTGCATTGAGCTTCCAAGATACACGTACACTAGCTGAGTCATTCAACCTGCTCACGCGATACGGTGACGAGTTTATGGACGAGAGTCCGCTTGCCGGCGAACCGGGCTCGTTCATTCTCTCGAGGAATGGCGAGGCTGCCAGTAAAACGACAGCAAAACCTCCCGCGCCTGCGCCTGCTGCTGCGGGTGGTACGCCCTTACCGGTCCGTGCTTCAACGCCGCAGGTTCGGGTTGAGACGCCCGGAAAGTCGGAAAAAAGCCCGCCACCCAGTGGGAGTGGTGATAAGGGAAAGAAGAAAAAGCGTGTCGTTAGTTGAGCTGCTCTATACCCTTTCTACAATATTGGCGTTTGGTTGGATCTGGATATCTAATGCATTTACGGGGCCATGGCTTGAATTTGAAGACATTTGAGACTACCTGAGCAGTACGTTTTCACCCAAAACACATTTCAGTCAAAGCCTAGAACCTTGGATATTGGCAGCTGCCTCCGTATCCTTCATGCTGGGTCATGCAATGCAGATAAGGAGTATTCAAACGCTCATAACCTGCCCAAAAAGAATTGATTCATACGTTGTGATCTGTTTCAAGTCAGTGGGAGACTGCCAAGCTATCTCATTGGAATGAAAAAAGATAAAATACTACACGAATCTTGGAACAACATCTCGGTACATTGAGCAATGAGAGCACTCGACAAATCCACGCTTTCTTCCAATAAGCCAGAGACATCATATTGACGAACAGAGCTGAGACTAAAGATCATTCACGCCGTGGTTGAAGACACCACTTGAATCGAACTCCGGGTGTGGGGACTTCACTGCTTCGAATGTGTCCTCCACGATAAAGTTGTTACCAGGGGAGTCTGGCAGGGGTCTGATGTAGACAAAGGCATGTCGAATGCCATAGCACTTGTGGCAAATGCGGAAGTCATCACGCTGGTTACATTTGTATGCCTTCCCACGAATTCCCTGAAGAAAATGTTAGTGACTGCGATGGAATCTGAATAGGGAGACTTGGAGGCTCAGTGACTTACGGATAAGCAGATAGCACAATGGCCGACTTCCTTGTTATAAGTCATAATTGGCTGTTTCCAACGTGGTCTGACAGTTTCACCGGGAGATACAAGCTCAATCTCACGTCGGATGAGGTCGAGCATCTGAGGCTCAACATTGTAAAGGTTTGCTATGTGCCAGGGTGTGGTAACAGCCGCTTGGCTCTCTGACCCGGTGGGGAATCGAATGGCAATGTCAGCTCCATGTTTGAGCAGTAATTTCATTGTTTCCAGGTATCCCTCGGTGTTCGCATTGGGGGTTTTCGAGCCACGGATAGCCCAGCAGATGGGAGTCCATCCATCGAGATCTGGCTGATTGACATGCTTGCGTCTCTCGTTGGGGGAGTCAATCTTATTCAAGATCGTGCTCACGGCTCTCGCGTTGCCAAACTGTGCTGCAAAATGCAATGGAGACCGTTGAGTCGAATCGAGGGCCAGCATGGTAGCTGATGCTCGGTCCAGGATCTCTCCAAGAGTGTCGGAGAAAGTATTACCAGCAGCAAAATGAACAGGAAGACGCTCAACAGAGTCACCGAAGAAGGGATCAGCACCGTTTTCCAGAAGAAATTTGACTGAGCTTGCGTCGAGGTTGAGAGCAGCCGCAGAAAGCATGTTCGGTAGCCGGCCTTCATACCCAGTATTCAGATCAACTCCATGGTCAATGAGAGCTTGTATGGCTAGGTGGTTCTTTCCAGAGAATCGTCCAAATACGGGGCTCTCACAGCAAACGGTGATTGTTGCATTGGTTTTTCCTGGAATATCGGCATCTGGGTTTGCTCCAGCCGTGAGTAGCTTGGTGATCATGTTTGCATTAAGAGATTCACACGCCTCATTCAAAGCAATGTCCTTTTTCTCTTGAGATAGCAATGCAGTACCCTCATCGACAGGTGGTTCTGTGGTTCCGGCCTCGGTGCCCTGGTATCTCTCTGCTTGGGCTGTTCTGACCGTGCGCTTATTCTCAGAGAGCTTGACTTCTTGCGAGGAATGATAACCCAGATTAAGTGAGCTTTCATCAAGAGCCAGACCGAGGGGAGCAATCTCATGCACAGCCTTTGCTCCCAACTTGAAAGAAGTCGGGAGTCTCATGAGAACTGGCTGGGAAAGACTTGGCGTGAGAAGGATGGCAATGTGAACTCCGCTTGGGCTGTTTGGAGCTTGTATGCCATCAAAAGAAGATGCACCGACCACGTGGGCATCGACAGTGATATGCAAAGAAGTATCACGCTGAAGAATGGCTCCTCGAGCGACCAGTAAATGAACCAGCTCTGTGTTTCTTTCAACGACGGCTGTATCCAGCAGGGTGAGACTCTTCCCATTTTGCAGCTCGATGTCAGCACCAGCATCAAGCAATATCTCAACTAGCTTGATGTTATGGGCAGCCAATTCGAGAACAGTCTTCCCGGCCTTGTCGAGAATGTTCAAAAGCGGACCACGTCCCAAAAGAACACGCACCATAGATACATTATTGCTGGAGACGGCGTAAGACAAGGCGCTGTGTCCCGCGTTGTCGGTTGCGTCTATGTCGGCATCGTGATCGAGCAGCCATGCCACCAGGTTTAGGTCGTTGGCTTCAACGGCAGAGGTCAATGCAGTCTTCCCACCGTTACTGGCTACGCTTTTGATCTCGACCGAGGCCTTGATTTTTGCGAGGATTGAGAGCACTTCGATCTTTTGCTGGCTTGTGATGTCAGACTTGGAGATCTCCAGTGCCAACAAGGCACCGAGTGACTCTGCATATTTGGATTGAGTCTGGTCGGAGTCAAAGAGGAAAGTTCTAGGAATCCCACTAGAAAAAGCTGTATTTGGAGTCATATCCTCGGTAATGGCGATGGGCTTTGGTGCCGAAACTCCTTCAAGACAAGACATCAAGGAATCCATGGTGTTCATGTTGGATATGGTGAAAATACGAAGAGGCTTGGATATGATTGATATAAGGCTGTCGAAATACCCATTCTGCTTCCATGCTGTACGGCCTAGCTTTGATTCTCTCCATGGTCTAACATTTGATTACACCAAAATAGCAACGTTGGAAACAAAGGAAGCTGGCATTAGACTTCGACTATATCGGGCTTTGTCAGGCACAACGGGCAAAAGACACACTATATTAGACAGCCTACATAGTAGGAGTCACGAGCGGACCTTTGTATTGGAACTTCACTAGGTATAAGAGTTGTAAGTGCTGATACGGGAAAGATGTCTCAATTGTCGAGGACATCAACTCCTCGTACTATTGAGCCAAAACATTGAGTTTCAGTCCCTAGGCGAGGAATTCACAACAAAGAATACTCGTGCAAGCCTTCCAACTCATGGTCCACGGATCAAATCGTGTGTGAAAGAACCTCAAACAGAATCTGGGCCCTCATTGGACGCTGTTAGATCACTAAGGAGCGTGAGTGAAAATTCAAGGGCACTTCCCAGGTTTTCTTTCACAGTGGATACTCCACTCATAATCATCTGAAGAATATCTGCGCGATTGGAGAATCAAGCCCATTTCCATGAAGTGAATATTTGGATGTGAGCCAGTAAGTTGTCCACGGGTGCATACTTAGGGGCCGAGTGACGTTGATGCTCCGCTATCTGGCTTATCGGCAGGGCCAACTGAGTCACTCCCCAATTTCCCAGGTTGTTGCCTCTTCGCCTCTTAAACATCTACATTTTAACTGTACAAATTTTGATTCAGCTATTTTAAGATGTCAGACTCTGAGAAGCCAGCCGTTGTCTGTGTATTGTGAGTTCCCAGCATCTCCAACATCGTCTACTACCCCTCAGCACCCCTCCACGAACACAACTAACGGGATTCCAGCTGTGGCTCTGTCTCAGGAAACAGCCCGGTGCACATGGAAGCTGCACGAAGCCTTGCCGAGGAGTTTCACAAGAACAATGTCCAGCTAGTCTACGGCGGCGGCACAACAGGACTGATGGGCGAAGTCGCTCGGGTCCTAGTCTCCCTCTCAGGTCCAAAGGCTGTCCACGGCATCATTCCACGCGCACTCGTCAAAGTCGCCACGGTCAGCGGGATGCGCGAGCACCAGGGAACTTCCGACTCGAAGGCCGCCGGTAAGGCCGCCGAGCGGGTTGTTGACGCGGTCGAGGCAGAGGGCATTCCCGAGTCCGAGTACGGAGTCACAACCATCGTCCCTGATATGCATACTCGGAAACGTCTGATGGCCACCAAGGTGCTTGAGGGTGGCCCTGGATCTGGCTTTGTTTCCCTGGCGGGAGGCTTCGGTACGATCGAGGAGGTCATGGAGATGACGACCTGGAACCAACTCGGCATTCACAAGGTCGGGGTTGTGTTGCTCAATATCAACGGATACTGGGATGGTCTTCTCGCCTGGGTTCGCAATGCCGTTAAGGAGGGGTACATCAGTGCCGAGAATGGAGAGATTCTGGCAGAGGCTAAGGAAGTTAGCGAGGTTTGGCCCAAGCTGTTGGCCTATCGGGCCAGCAATGGACGTATGCAGCTGGATTGGGGCCAGGAATAAAGCAGCTCCGATGGAGTTCGCGCAGCATGTGCAAAGGCGTTTGTCTCTGCTTTTAGCACCATATGCATCAACATACAATAGAGTACTTCTTAGAAGGGTTATGAATTGACGAACTGAATCGAGAAAGCACACACAAAGTATCAATATTTCATGTCTATGCGAATCATTAAGCCAAATTGGACGATTATGAATCAACCTCCATTGACTCGCCCTCTGCACCAGCAGACTCACGTTGCTCCAAAACTTCGAGCAACGCAGCCGTCTCCTGGCCTTCGTAGAGCTTGAAGCTCTCCTTCTTTCCATTAGTCACACCAACAACACCAACCGAAGTATTGTCGATCGTAAGCTCCTTATCCTGAGACAGAGTCTCCTTCAACGCACTCAATCCATGCTGGATCAGCTCATCCCGACTGCAATCCTCGAACTTGTCGAGGTTCCGCTCCAGATACGTACGCGCCATCTGCGAGCGAGCGCCAATAGCGCAGGCAACCATCTCGTGCGTCAATCCGGAAGGCTGGAACTCAAACAGGTGAGGACCGGCCTCGTCGACACCCGCCACCAACAGGCCGACACCGTATGGTCGCTTTCCGTAGTGTTGAGTGTTGGTTTGCGCGCGATCACCGATCTGTGCGACGATTCTGTCAAGGGGAATCGGGCGGCCGTAAGTCATCTTGGAGCCGAGGGATTGCTGCTTCATGAAGTTTGAAAGGACGCGGGCGTCTGAGGCGAGACCGGCGATGGCAATCGCCATGTGCGAGTCGATCTCGATGATCTTCTTCTGGTAAGAGGAGAGCTCTTCGGCGTTGCGCTGGTGGGGGATTAGTCTGAAGCTCTGCCTTGGGTTCTGGGCTGCGAACCTTGAGTCCAACGAGCACGGCATGTGTCTTATTCACCAATCCCACCACGACGGATCCTTGCTTCACTGCTTCCTGTGCATATTCAACCTGGAATATCCGACCTTGTGGGGAGCTGTTATCGGGATATTAGCATCTGATGGATCCGGGGGACGTCGAGCTGATCTTACAAGGTGACGGCGTCGTTGTCGTAATTGTTTCTGAACATCGTGGAGACGGTTGAATCGGAAGTATGGACAGATTATATGGGTTCCTGTTGATAATGGAATATCACAACACAACACAAGAACCAGAGGGATAATCGATGGGGGAATGGGGGAGCTGGACCAGGCAGTAAAGTGACGCGGTGTGAAGCATTGAGCTGTTGTGGCCTGAGGCCACAATATCCAGTGACCTTCCAGGCGCCAACGTCACTTGGGTAATCTAGCTTCATTCCGGTATACCCTCTTTCTCTGGTTTCCTGCTCTCGGTCAATGGGGCTGATACCTCCGATTTACTCCTGATACTGTCTCTGGTCTCATCCGGCATCTCCCCTGTCTCTAGTCTCATCGGCATTCAGCGTCTCCGCAATCATGGCTGCTGGGCTCAAGACCATCATCGCGCTCTCCTTCGTATGTCGCATGATGTTTGAATGTCGTATCACCTGCTAATATCTTGATAGGTTCTTGCCATTGGCTTCCTCCTCGTTATCCTCTCCTCCGCGTTATGGCATAAGTACTGGCCTCTGCTGGTGGTCGCCATCTATGTGATTGCGCCCCTCCCCAACTGGATCTGCCAGCGATGCGCAAACCCAGACGATTTCATGGACAGCTCCAGTAATTCTGCAATGGATTTCGGTCGGTTCATGACTGGCTTTTTGGTCCTGACTGGTATCGGTACGTCTGATTCCGCAAGAGCCCCTCTTGCAGGATGCAACCCCTCGATCGGTCACACCTCATAGCCTGAGAAGGTCCCTCGAGGCCTTCATCTCTAGCTTGGGCTCTGCGCCATGTGCGCAACCGATGAGTGTCGAATAAACCCGTGCTGACTGTTACACAGCACTTCCTATTGTCCTTGCTCACAGCGGTGCCATCGAGCTTCCCGCCATGATTATGTCAATCTTTGGAGGTCTTCTGATTTACGGCACTATCATTAGCTTCTCAATGTTCTTCCAGGAGCAGGAGGAATTCTGATCACCTGGAGATGCGGGGTCACCGTGATCTATATGGGTGCCCATTATGACTCGCAGGACCAAGTCTTCTCATGATATCTGTTTTTTGGCTTCACAATTTGTTCGGTTTCAGCATCTGCGCGACAGGATTTGTACGAGTGATTTGGTGCCGGGTGTTATTCGGTCCCAAGGATGCGAACACTTGGCTACGCTCTCGGTGTACTATAGCACAATCGATATAGAAACTTCTAACAATTCGTGGTCTGGTAGAAATACTGGAACGTAAACATCCTTGCTTTGTTTCTTTCAGTGCTCCTCTACGTTCGTCGTTCCAAACCGTCAATTGATCCATGTGGCACGTGACCGCGCGCGAATAGGGCGCGTCGGTAGAGATTCGGAGATAACAGCAGTTGGTCTGAGCACAACAACAGCTGGATGCAACACAGCCAACATGTTGAAATACTAAGGATCCTCTTTGTGGTGTAGGATACAAAATGAACGTCTGGTCAGGCTCCATTCCACTCAACTCGGAGTCCAAGTTGGAAGGTATCTACTAAACGCCCGCGCGCCATCTGGATGTTCCACGCTGACCACTCGATAGGAATCCGACTTGTCGACCAAAACTCATATTGGCAGTCTGAGCTGACCAAAGAGTCGGATCTCTACCTCCGCAGCTTTGTCAATCCGGCCCTTATCCCATTACATGCACGCTCTGGTCCCAATCTCGAGCTACACACATCACATGCAGAAACGTCACAATGGCTGCAAAGCAAGCTAGCCGGCACTATATGGCTGGGAGAAGAAGAGCAAGACTCGCAGCAATCAATACAATGCCCGGTTGGTCTGCTTCTGGGCATCGATAACTCCAAAAGCAGCGCAGCAACAAACGTCTTGGTCTATGGAGTGCTCTCACACGCATCATATACTCGCCCACCAACACCACCTCATTCTTCACCATTCGACATCCAACCTCAACCCACGCCACGGCCTCAATATGATCTCCGTATCTATGCGGTGCCCCTCTCAGCCACGCGCCTCACACAGGCTCAATCCCACCCATCTCCACCACCAGACGGAGACAACTCGGTACGCTGTGCAGAGTTCCTGCCAGACACAAACTCGCCCAGTCCCAAGCGCAAACGAGTCGCAACACTTTTTGAAGTAGCAGCGCAGCATCACCGCCGCGTTCGCCAGCGGGGCGGCGAAGCAGTCTCTCAGTTAATGGCGCCTTCACGGCCAACTTCTTCACACCAACAATCGCTCCGCGTCAAGCGGGAACCAGATGATGATCTCCCCTCTCTCTCGTCCCTGGACCGCTTTTCCTCTCGTCGCTCTCGCTCTGTGTCTCTCAGTGCGAATATGCACAAACCTGGAAGTGTTCGCAGCCGCGCCACGCCAGCAAATGTTGATCCTCAAAAGCGAGCACCAACGCCGAATCCGTTCCTCGAACGCCGCACGCAATCTTATGCGCAGGCTCCGTCTGGACTTTCCACTGAGAAACCTGACTCTATGCCCGGTTCGCCAAATAAAGATCCTGAGGTCGTGATCGCCGAAAACAAGAACTTGATAACCCGCACTATATTAACGTGCATGCGATTGTATGGGTTCCATCGTGCCAACATGCGCACCACCTCCGGTAGCAAGGGTGCCGAGCCCGGTGATGGATCTGGTGCTACGCCTACCCCTGACCTTCGTGCTGAAACGCCTGCTCCGGTGACGGATGATGATGAATTTAAGAATACGTATCACGCTACGTACAAAGCTGCGTCCTTTGCGCTGCGGAAATACTTGAAGGTGCCCGGGGCTCCTGTGGTACTTGAGAAAGAGAAGGCTATGACTTGTATTGATGATTTGCTGAAGATATTCTGTGAGGATCATTGAAGAGGGACGTTTAATGACTTATGACTGCATTTGTTGGGCGTTAGGGTTGATTTGAGCGTGCTATGTCTGGCTTGATCCCAGTCTATCTAGGTGATTTATACCTTACTGTTTTTACATTTGAATGTCCTGTGCCAAAATTTCATTCTTTTTGCTTCCTGTACGAGGATAAGAGGGTACGAAAATTTGCACTTGATTCATGATTTATATCGGACCCTGGCGCTAAGGCCGGGGAATGCGAGTGCATGCGGTTCAGCTCACGCAAAATGACAGCAAAAAAATCGAGTAGAATACATCGAAATGAGCAGCAAATAGCTCGCATCAGAGTGCAAGGTTGTAGGTGTAATCATCCTCGATGTTCTGAGAGACCCAAAGAACAATAGAGCTAAGAGCGAATTAGTCAAGACCCAGCAACACCTAACGAGAAACAACATACCTGAGCATAACCAAGCCATTCGCCACAACATTCGCGATTCCAAAGTAAAGTGTCGTAATTGGGTAGTCCTTGATCAGGTACTTGAGAACCATGACAGTCTGCAGGCGATCAGCAATCCATCCCCATAGTCTGTTAATCCAATACATACCACACTTCCAGCCAAGCCACCAGCCAGCAACGCAAACCCTAAGAACAGCACGAAGCGCGCCTTCCACGCGACTCCGCTCCCGCTGTAACTAAAGCTATCCGCCTGCAACCGCGACTTTTCAATCGAGTTGATAACCAGCATTCCGAGTGCGCTGCAGATACCGGGGATCCAGTCGACGAATTTGATGTGTACATCGGAGCCATTGCGCGGGCTGCGTGAGAAGGATGCCACGTCGATCAGGAAGAAGAATCCAGCTGCGAACTATGCGGAGGTTAGCTTGGTCTAGGTGCAAGTGGAGTGGGTGCATTGGGGCTTACCAAGGCGCCGGCGACGTAGACGCCGCCATTTCGGACGGCGGAGTTATTCAGCCATTCTGGCTTGGAGAAACGGAAGAGGCGGTTGTTGGAGACGTCCATTGTGTTGTTGTGGGGATGATTGAGGTGATGCTGGGCTGGGACAGATGACGATGTTGCGGGGAAATGTTGTTCCGAGCTATGTTGTAGGCCTAAAAGCACCGGCTTTCGCAGCTGCATAAATCTGCCATGATGATTTACTTCTATCTCTAGATTGCTTGTGGTTTATGGCTGTTTACCTTCAAGGTTGTATCAATGTTGGAAGACCAGTCTATTCCATCTGGGTCGTAACCAAAGTACAATCTTAGAATGTTGACCATATCGATATATATCTTGTCGCTCGGATCCCGAGGTCACAACCTCCAACCTGGAGGCTTGAAATCTCACTGTGGACCTGCCAGTGGGCATTTGCCTATCTTGGAACCGACCCTATGTACCTAGTACCTTTGTATTTCCCGCCCGATTTCTTTGTTGTTCAGCTTTCGCAACTTTCCGGATCGATTTCTGCTGGATCAAGCCATGAGATCAATGTACTTCTCAAGGCCGGCCCCGGGGGTTACCTACAAGATTAGAACCTTGGAACATTGGAATCATTGGTGGCCAGAGTCGAAGTTTCACTACGAACAAACATCATTTGATAAAATCTCATAATCATAATTGCAATTCTCATGATACATGTCAGGACAATCGTCCAAGGGTATACTCCGTACAAGCCAATTAGCTCCATGTCAAATATGTATTCGACGCGACCCAGGGCAGCCGAATAACCAGCAGAACCATTTCGGGTGTCTGCTTAATGATTGACATTGCGATGATCCAAAGTCATAGCCTAACTTTGTCACCACCGCTAGGCAGTCATCGCGGTGTCCGTCGCTCGAGTGGTCCCCGAAAGCCAAGGGCAGCTTTTTTTGAGGCAGTCACCATGCCTCTGTATGGTATCTTTTAACTTTCATTTCGCATCAATTCATTCATGCCGATGCCTCGATGGGGGTAGCGCGCAGCTTGTCCATGATCACATCGACAGCGTCCATGTCACCTGCATCGGTCTCGGTGGGGTAACCTTCGGGCAGGCTCTTGTTCAGCTCATTCATGGCGGGCTGGTAGTTGCGGACGGCGGAGGAGAGAGCATAGATGGCCTTCTTGCGGGTAGCCTGGTTGGCGTCTGTTGTGGCGAGAGTGACGAGGTCGGGGATGGTGTTGAGGAGGACGAGCTGATTGATGTTAGTACTGACGTCTTATTTCGAAGAAGCATAGAGACATACCTTATCCTGCGCCTTAGGGTTGTTTTGAACGGCGGTTCCGATAGACCACGCTGCGTAACGTCGAATCTCGGTCTCGTCGTGCTTGAGCAATTGGACGAGTGGGGTCCAGAGACCCAGAGGCTCCAGATTGTTGGCATTATCAATTCCCTCAATCAATTGCTCGAAGTTGTCGAATGCGATCAACTTGTTCTCCAAATCGGTCTCAGAGTCATGGACGACTTCCATAGCAGCCCGCATCAAGTCGGCATCGGAGGGCCCGCCGAAGAGTCGGCTCAGCATCTCTGGGGTCATGGTCTTGGCGGCTTCGGTGGCATTAGGGGCACTGCCCTCGCCCTCAGCGCCGACAGAGGCTTGCGAGTTGGTGACACTCCATTTGAGGAGCTTGTTCATTTCGGGATCCATGGTGGGCTGGCGGGGTAGTTGGTGATGGCGATGTTGCGAATTGGGATATGGGCCGATGCAGGACAGTACAAGGTTCGACGGAGGTATGCGATTGTAGAACACCAGCGATCAGATCTTAATATTGTATTGTTTAAGAACAGTTGCCTTTGCGATGACTCCAGTATGAAAAAATAGGAAACCCGGTGCTGAGTCAGCATGCTCTGGGCGATTCGTGCGGCAGCCAGCGGGTTCCGTCAGGTGACCATCTCACCGTCTACCAAATGGCGGTAACCAGCTGGACTTGGCCCATGACATTGGCCGATCGTGTCTGACAGTTGGTTTCTGGCCTTGATTACGGAGTACACTGTGGCTCCATTTGGACCGGATCAGCCATCCTTCTCCTTAGGGAGTACTAAGGATACTAAGGAGTACTAGTACCGCATTTATAGAGGATTGCGCAGCACAGCCCACCCGAAGTCTGGTTCTCTGGATCCTATACTTAGAAGCGCGCCACATGCGACATTCTTCCGGAGGCAAGGGGAGGAAATCTAGCAGCCTGGGTTGGTTACAATTGTACAATTGTATGCCCCCATGTGTATATCATTGTATCATTGTAAGCCGTTGACCAGTGCCCACATACTCAGAGAACCACTAGAGTGCCACTCCCTAAACAGGGTACGTGTTCCCCGTATCCAGAAGGGTCTGGAGGCTCTCAACGCCCGGAACATGGCCACGCAATTCACCTTTAGGTAGACAGAATTCCCCCCAAAGTCGGGGCAAATTAAATGGGAAATATTTCTGCCTTATCGAGCCAGGTTCTGAAGTCTATATAAACCTCTTCTTGGGGGGAAAAAAGGAACAAAAAAGGGTAGATCGGAGGGGAAAAAGGAGAGCCTCAGGCAGCGCACAATCCCAGCCATCACAAACCCCTCTCCACTTCTCTCACTCTCTTCCTTCTTCCCTTCCCCTAATCCCAACTATACTCTCCATTCCATCTTTCTTTTCTTTTTCTTCAGGTTCATAATCTAATCCGTCACAATGGAAGGTAAGTGTTGTGCTCGATGAGGTCCCTTGGCTGTGGCCACATCAGCTTATAGGAGCTCCCCCTAAAGCCAGCTTGACGGAATTGCGAATGCTGACCCGGATCTCTTACAGAGGAAGTTGCTGCTCTCGTCATTGACAATGGGTATGTGAGAGGCTTCTCTCCCGGAGCTTCTGCTGGGTGTATGGGTGTGGGCGTCAATCTGTCCTCGGTCGCGGTCGTTGCCACTTCCCCCCTAATCGGCCACGACGGCAGTTGGATTCCGCCCCAACGGGCTCCCGCCAGCCCCCACGACGCCCAGGCAGCGCTCCAAATACCCTGAGGAACATGATACTGATGAATTGCGATATAGTTCGGGTATGTGTAAGGCCGGTTTCGCCGGTGACGACGCACCTCGAGCTGTCTTCCGTAAGTCAACCCCCACAAATTGAGGTTCCCCCCTCGCAAAGCCCATCCCGCCAATCCTTGCATTGGGAATTTCCCCCTCCTTTGCTTGAATGGCAATCGCCAGAAGTCTTGAAATGGAAATACTGACTATTTGAATTAGCCTCCATTGTCGGTCGTCCCCGTCACCATGGGTAAATAATCCCCCCTTCTTTTCTGGTCGTGGGTGGGGCAAATCCACCGCGTCTAGCTAATATGTATCCAAAAAACAACCACTAACTTGAGCGCAGTATCATGATTGGTATGGGTCAGAAGGACTCCTACGTTGGTGATGAGGCACAGTCCAAGCGTGGTATCCTCACACTCCGTTACCCCATCGAGCACGGTGTTGTCACCAACTGGGACGACATGGAGAAGATCTGGCACCACACCTTCTACAACGAGCTCCGTGTTGCCCCCGAAGAGCACCCCATCCTCTTGACCGAAGCTCCTATCAACCCCAAGTCCAACCGTGAGAAGATGACCCAGATCGTGTTCGAGACTTTCAACGCCCCCGCCTTCTACGTCTCCATCCAGGCCGTTCTGTCCCTGTACGCCTCCGGTCGTACCACCGGTATCGTCCTCGACTCCGGTGACGGTGTCACTCACGTTGTCCCCATCTACGAGGGTTTCTCTCTTCCCCACGCTATCTCGCGTGTCGACATGGCTGGCCGTGATTTGACCGATTACCTGATGAAGATTCTGGCTGAGCGTGGTTACACTTTCTCCACCACTGCCGAGCGTGAAATTGTCCGTGATATCAAGGAGAAGCTTTGCTACGTCGCCCTCGACTTCGAGCAGGAGATCCAGACCGCTTCCCAGAGCTCTTCCCTCGAGAAGTCCTACGAGCTTCCCGATGGACAGGTTATCACTATCGGTAACGAGCGCTTCCGCGCCCCCGAGGCTCTGTTCCAGCCGAACGTTCTCGGCCTTGAGTCTGGCGGTATCCACGTCACCACCTTCAACTCCATCATGAAGTGTGATGTCGATGTCCGTAAGGATCTCTACGGCAACATTGTCATGGTAAGATTCCCAGATTGACACCATTTTCCCGTACCACGCTAACACGACATCCCTCGCTCAGTCTGGTGGTACCACCATGTACCCCGGTATCTCCGACCGTATGCAGAAGGAGATCACTGCCCTCGCTCCCTCTTCCATGAAGGTCAAGATCATCGCTCCCCCCGAGCGCAAGTACTCCGTCTGGATCGGTGGTTCCATTCTCGCCTCTCTGTCCACCTTCCAGCAGATGTGGATCTCCAAGCAGGAGTACGACGAGTCCGGTCCCTCCATCGTTCACCGCAAGTGCTTCTAAGCGCTTTAAGAAGCGCCTTATTCGTCTACGCTCGTACTTTCCTGGTGTATCAAAAAACAGGATGGTGGCACTGGATTGCAAGCGTTGTTGGACTCGCATTATCAAGCGGATAGCCTGAAAATGGAACCTTTTAGTGGAATAGAGTCGGTCTTTTTTTTCTTGTTGTTATCTCTACGATCGAAATCCCTATCCATCTGCTTTTTCCTCGCCACCTTTCTCAAATGCTGTCCTGACTTGATGTTGCCTCGCGCAATGGGCTTGTAGCCGAGGCTGTACATGGAGTTGGGCTTTGTGTTTCCCGGTTTGTTGTTGTATTCTCCAGATTGCAGGTCTGTAGTCTCTTAAACTTGACTTTCACATTCAATTGTCTCTCGTATTTACTTGGATTCGATGCACATACCAATAACCGATCTTGATACAACCTTGCATGGCTTTGTAGCCTGACGCCTTTTTGAATAAACTAACGTATACTTCAGAATATTAGACCAGATTCACCGACATCAGCGGATAGACATTGGAATGTCACGGAATACGTTGAGATATCATAGCAAGATACGCTTTGGTGTATATGAACCAAAGTACTAACAGCTGAAGCCAGAGACAAGGTTGAGCGGTGATGTCTTTCCCAACCAACAACCAACATGGGATTTCTCTCGAAACTGAACCAGCTATTTTCCACCCTCCAAGCCCTCAAAGCTGAAATCACCGAATCTAAATCCTTATTTGACGATCTCAAATCTCGAGTTTCCACCCCCAGTCTCCCAGTATCAAACCCCACCCTCTCATCCTGGCAAGATGACCCATTGCAAATTCCAATGCAGCCCCTCCCTACCACAGCCGAGATAATAATCATCGGATCAGGGATCTCAGGAGCAAGCATCGCCTACACACTCCTCAAGAAATGCCCATCATCAAAGATCGTCATGCTCGAAGCGCGCGAGATTTGCAGTGGCGCCACAGGCCGCAACGGAGGTCATATCAAATGCTCCGCGTATATGGAATATTCCACGCTGAAAGCTAGATTCGGAAATAGTGCCAAGCAACTCCTACGGTATCAGAAACGACATATGCCACTCTTACTGGGACTGATAGAAGAATTGAAAATCGAGGCAGAAGCGAGGGAGGTGGAAACTGTTGATGTCTTCACCGATGAAAAGGCATGGGGGGAGGCGAAGCAAATGGTAAAGGAATTCAAGACAGATTTGCCAGAAGAGGCAGAAGATATCATTGTCTATGATGGCGTGGACGGATGTCAGGTATGAGAATCCCTGTTCGGGCAACAGTCGATTCACGGAGGATTAACGATGTGCAGGAATACCATGTCAATCCAGCACATTGCTGCGGAATCATCACCTACAAAGCCGCGGCTCTATCACCCCACAAGTTCATTATATCACTGTACGCAATGTTGCTCCAAAATCCCAACTTCACGATATCACCTGGCACTGCGGTGACAGAGATTACGTCCGCGGATAAGTATACGGTCTTTACGGGCAGAGGAAAAATATGTGCTTCGAGTATCGTGCATGCTACGGATGGGTTCGCAGCAACACTCATCCCAGGGTTGGAGGGTAAGATCTTTCCTGTGCGTGGACATGTGACAACGCAATCTGGATGTGGATTTGATGCCTCGAGATCGTGGTGTATTCATCACAAGCGTGGATTCGACTACATCAGCCAGAGGCCTGGGGGCGAATTGGTGGTGGGTGGAGGCATGATACAATCACCCGGATGGGGAGTTGATGAGTTTGGGATCTGGAGAGATGATGGTATTTGCTATTCAATCCGAGCGTATCTAGGAGGTCTTGTGGAGACGGTTTTCGAGACGCAGACGAAGACGGAACGGGCGTGGAGTGGGTGTATGGGATTCACGCCTGATTTGTTACCTTTCGTTGGGAGGTTGGAGTCGAGTATGACAGGCAGAAGGAGTGATGGAGAGTGGATTTCTGCAGGGTTTCAAGGGGAGGGCATGGTTCTTGCGTGGCTGTCTGGGGTGGCAGTTGGTTTGATGATTGCTGGAGACCAAGAGTATCAGGACGAGGCAGGGATTCCTGGTGGAAGAGTTCAGGACTGGTTGCCCAGGGAATTAATATGCTCGAAGGAACGGGTTGATCGCTTGAGTGTCTCTGATCTAGCTGCCCTTTTGTGATCTTGAGTATGCCTGCGGGTATAGAAGCTCAATAAGTGTATCATTTCAAAGGTCATTGGTAAAATCAACAAGTCATTTCGGAAGGTCGAAATCCTTGGGTTTGCAGCCCTAAGGGCAAAAAACAGATATGCAGGGAATACGAGGAACATGGAAGAAAAAGTAACAAGAATCTATAAGACGGCCCATATAAATCATTTTTTCCATCCATATATAAAGCATCAATCATCGCCATCAAGATCAAATTTTAACATCAACATCGTAGAATTAGGCCCAAGACTCAAGTCCAGACAGAACGCAGCCCTCTTCACTAGCATCGCGAACACGCAGTTCACCAACCCGGTGAACGGTCTCACCAGCAGCCTCAAAGGTCTGACGGACAGCAGCCTCAGAAGCAGGGTCAACGGCAATGATCATGCCGACACCGCAGTTGAAGGCACGGGCCATCTCAGCGGAGGAGACGTTACCGGCACGCTGCAGCCAAGAGAACACGGAAGGCTGGGGCCAAGTGCTGACGTCCACCTGGGCAGTCAAGGTTGAGGGAAGCATGCGGGGAATGTTCTCAACGAGACCACCGCCGGTGATGTGAGCGAGACCCTTGATGGCAGTTCCGTGAGCGTCCAGGGCGCTGAGGATAGACTTGACATAGATGCGGGTCGGGGTGAGGAGGGCACGACCAACGGAGACACCGTCTTCGAGACCGGGCATGGAGAAGGGAGCGGGGTCAGAGAAGCTCAGGCCGGCGCGCTCAACGATCTTGCGGACGAGGGAGTAGCCGTTGGAGTGAGGACCGGAGGAACCAAGGGCAAGGAGGACATCACCAGCGCGCATGTTGTCGGTGTGGGGGAGGATGGCACGGGCGTGTTCGCCTGTGGTGTTGATGGCACCAACAGCGGCACCAACGGCATCGTAGGAGTCGTCGATGAAGAGACCGGGCATTTCAGCGGTTTCTCCGCCAATCAGGGCGCAACCGGCTTGGACACAGCCCTCGGCGACACCGGTGACGAAAGCCGCGGCGGTGGCAACATCGAGATGACCGCAAGAGTAGCAGTCAAGGAAGAAGAGAGGCTCAGCGCCTTGAACGACAAGGTCGTTGACGTTCATGGCAACGAGATCGATACCCACGGTGTCGTGAATTCCGACGGAGTGAGCGATCTTGAGCTTGGTGCCAACTCCGTCAATGGCGCCGATGAGAGTGGGCGAGTGAGGGTGGTAGGTTGAGTTGGCAGCAGCGAGAGAGAAGAGACCACCGAATCCACCGATGACGGCGTCGGTGCCGGGACGCTTGGTGCGACCAACGGAGCTCTTGATCTTGTTGACGAGCTCGTTGCCAGCATCGATGGATACACCGGCCTGGGCGTAGGTGAGCGAGGTGTCGGCAGTCTGACGGAACGCGCGGTGCGCGATATCCTTGCGGTAGAACATGTCTTCGAAGCTAATGGTCTTGATACCCTCGTAGCTCTTGGCGACAGCCTCTTCGAGACTCGAGGCGGTGGCAGTGGATGCGATCACACGGCCTCCGGCAGTCTGCAACTCGTTGCCGGAAAGGGTAGTACCGGCGTGGAAGATGAAAGTTCCAGCAGGCTCGGGGGCCAGAGTGATAGCCTTGCCCTTGGCGTAGGCGTTGGGGTAACCGCCAGCAACAGCAATCACGGTGGTGGAGAATTTGGGCTCGATCGTGAGCGAGACGCCGTCGAGCCAGTGATCGGCACAGGCAACCATGATCTGTGCAAGATCGGTGTCCTTGCTGAGCAGAGGCAGCAGAGTCTGGGTCTCAGGATCTCCACCGCGGACGTTGTATTCGAGGACCTTGGGTCCGTTCTTGGTCATCATAAGACCGGTGAAGAGGATACCAACGAAGGGGAAACCGTCCTTGCGCATTCCGTCAACAGAAGGCTGAATGATGGTGCGGTCAATCTCCTCCACGACTTCCTTCGGCGCAATGCGCGTAGGCGCATAGCAACCCATGCCACCAGTGTTAGGGCCCTGATCACCATCGAAGATGCGCTTGTGATCCTGCGCCGGGGGCAGCGAGCGGATGGTGTAGCCATCACTGAAGGTGAGAATACTCAGCTCATCGCCCTCCAAGCACTCCTCGATGACGACTTCATTGCCAGCCTTGCCGAACTGGTGGTCTACCATCATTTCCTTCAAGGCTTGGTGGGCCTCTTCCTTTGTAGTGGGCATAATCACACCCTTGCCACCAGCAAGACCGTCGGCCTTGATAACCACATTGTGCGACACAGAATCGAGGTAGCGGCGAGCAGCCTCGTAGTCAGAGAAGTTTCCAAACTCGGCGGTGGGGATCTGGTGGCGCTGCATGAAGTCCTTGGAGAAAGTCTTGGAGCCCTCCATGCGGGCAGCGGCCTTGGAAGGACCGAAAACACGAATGCCAACTGTTCAACGAGGGATTGTTAGCTTAATTTGAACCAATTTGTTCGAAGAAGGAAAAAAAAAAGTGTTGCTTGACTCACCGGCCTTGAAGTAGCCCTCAATGCCATCAACGAGAGGGGCCTCTGGTCCAGGAACAACGAGGTTCACCTGGTTCTGCTGTGCGAATGCAACAAGGCCAGGGTAGTCGTCACCCTTGACATTGGCATTGGTGATCTTCTTGTTGGTACCCAGACCAGTACCGCCGTTTCCGGGGGCGACATAGACGATGTCGACGAGGGGAGACTCGCTCAGCTTCCAGGCGAAGGCATGCTCACGGCCGCCATTGCCGACGATGAGAATGCGCAATTGTTCGGAGGCCATGTTTAGGGCAGTCGAGTAACTGTAGTGGTGTTAGTGTGGGAACCTCCGCGGGGTATGCCCCTCCAAAGAAAAATGAGTCAAGACCAATACAAAGATTGCACAGTACATGACCATGGATCATGTGTCTGGAGCACACCGAATAGAATCAATCTCACCTCGACAGCTCAAGGACTGCAGTGTATGTGTGAGGGTCGGAAGTTCTCGAAAAGTTGAAGTCTAAACTTTTTTCCCCGGCTGCGGTGTTTCTCCGTCCCCACGATTTCTGCGACTTCGGCAGGACTAGTATAGGATAATGTGTCCACGGATATACTCATTGGTTTATGTGATCCATTGCTGGGCAATTGAATCCCTTCATCTCTATACGTAATTGTAGATGGCTATCTGTCTGCCAGCATCTATATGCTGAAATCGCGCTAAACATCGACTTGATACTTGCACAATCGCCCAGGTCGAGTTTTCCGATATCGATTGTCCCATTTCCCCCTATCCCGAGCAGTCTCTTCTTGATATCCTTAGACAGCCCATATTACCTGTGAGTCCAATCTCACCTGGGCAAAAGCAACCCATGCTTTCGCCGACACCTCAGGCAGGTAGATAACCAGGCGGTGACTCGAATCTTTCGGCAGAAAAAAAAACGGAGTGTTTGGTCCCTGGCTTTACTATTATACACGTCTGTCATTGCCGGGCGCTGCACAGTCTTGTTGTGGGATGTTTCGGGCGAATTTGCGGTCTATTCTAGGCCCTTTACGCCGGAATGGTCCTACCTATTTGCCAGGTGGTACGGCCAGTTTGCGCCAGTTCCACCTCACATCTGCACTTGGGTCGATTGATATTGCCCCCGACACTGAGCTCGTTGATGCTTCAACACAACTCCAGAGCATACCACCAACGGTTTGGAACCCGTGCTAAACAATTGCGAACTACCAACTAACTATGTACAAACAGCCGCAGAAAGCATTGCCGGACACCACGTTGAACGAGAATCCGAACGGCGACCATTTGCATCGCCTCGAGCACTCCAAAGATATGAGTCTTGCTCTTCGCAATTGGAAGCGGACGCGGAGAAATATGGAGTTACACTTGAATGACCTCTCTCGCGCGAAGAAGGAATGGAAATCGAACCCAGAAGACCGAACCAAAGCGGCGCAGTATCTGAAAGCTTGTACCGATCGTTATATGATGCAGATAAAGCGACTCAAACACCACGCCAGGTGCGCCGAAATAGCACGGGAGTTTTTTGACGCGCTCGACCAAAGTCTTCGATCAAACGATCAAAAATCGTGGTCCAAGGTCAAGGATTATGCCACGCGGTTGGAGCTAGATGTTCAGCAGGCAAAGAAAAACACTACCTTATTCCGCACAGAGATGGACATAATGAAGGCAAAAGTTCAAGCCACACAACCAATTGAAGACACTAGGGAAGAACAGACTCAAGAGCGAACTCTTGCCCCCCAACCGGAAGGTAGCTCTACAACGAGTGCAAAGAACGAACCGAAGGAGTCTGCAGAGAACTCCCCGGATTTCGACCCAAATATTGCGGCACAGATTTTGGAAAACAGCTCCACGAATACCGCCAAACGCCGAGCCAAAAAGCGTCGAGATCGTTCTTTGGGCTCTAAAGAAGATACCGTGGCACCAAAATTGGAGAGCAGCTCTACAGAGAGTGCAAAGAGCGAGCCGAAGGGGCCTGTAGAGGCCTCCCCGGATTCCGACCAAAGTGTCGCGGTACACGTCTTGGGAAGCGCCTCCACAGAGCCCGCCAATCGGCGAGCCAAAGAGCCCAGTGACCGTGCTTTGGACTCCCAACAAGATGCTGTGGTAGCGGAATCGGAGAGTAGCTCTACAGAGAGCGCAGAAGCCAAAGCCAATGAGCCTATCAAGCTAACATTGGACCCTTCCCAAAATATCGTAGAACAAATCTTGAAAAACTGTTCTCAAAACTCCCCTCAGCCGCCGCAGGCTGGACCAGGGTCTGTCCCAGAAGATGCGGGGCGAGAATCATTGAAACATGTTGCAAAATTTGTGGAGGCCAAGCATGAGGGAACACTTTCTCTTCCCGAGTCAAAGTTGGTTGGTGAGTGTTCACTGCACACTATGACTGGGGTTTTGGCTGACATTCGATTCCAGCGCTGGACGCTCCTCTTCCCCCTGTGCCGGGTGTCTCTTTTGGACTCGATCGAGTTCTCTTCAAGTTAGTAGAGATCACCGGCTCCTTTTGACCTGAGACGCTAACATAATCTAGCCCCGGTGTCTACCACCTACGTGACCCTCGTTCTCGCGTATACAACTTTGACCCCTATCTTGGCGAGATCATGCCCGTCTCGGAATTTGATTATACTACCCTGAAGCCATATATCACCTCTTCCAAGGATGTCCTAGCACTCCAGATGGCTGAGAAGCACAAGAAGAAGTACTACGGCTCCTCTTCAAGCATGACGTCGGTTCTCGCTCACTTCCATTATCTTCTATCGAGCTGGAGGCCGATCAACGTCCGCCAGATTTCCATGGGTTTCCCAGATGAAATGCGCGCATTCACTAGAATCCTTCGAGCACCGACTGCTATGTTCCTCCGCTACAAGGAGAAAGAGGACTCTTACGCCATCGACGCCGACAAAGAATATGACAGTGCCAATATTCTTACCAACCTGGGCAAATCCATGGAAAAGCTACTCACTCTCCCAAAGGAAGACTTTGAGCGCTATCGCCGTTCCAATCCCAACAAAATTACCCCCGAAGAGGAGAGTGCTGTGCCTGAATCATATCATTATACCGCCGCTGGTAAATTCATGATGCGGTCACAGCTAGATGCCTATGACCCCAGACTACCAGGAACTGGCATGTATGATTTGAAGACGCGCGCTGTAACCTCAATTCGCATGGATGTCACCAATCACGAGAACGGTGTTGGGTACGAGATCAGGAATCTTTACGGCAACTTCGAATCCTACGAACGCGAATACTTCGATATGATGCGCGCCGCTTTCCTCAAGTATTCTCTGCAAGTGCGCATCGGTCGCATGGACGGCATCTTCGTTGCCTATCATAATATTGCGCGAATCTTCGGCTTCCAGTATATCAGTTTGCCAGAGATGGATCTGAGTCTGCACGGCCAGACTGACACCACCCTCGGTGACAGAGAGTTCGAGTTCAGCCTAGGATTGTGGGAGGAGATAATGGACAGAGCCACCGCCAAATTCCCCAAACAGTCCCTGCGCTTCCATTTCGAGACCCGTCAGGGCTCGCGGCCCTTCATGTACATTTTTGCCGAACCCGTCACAGACAAACAGATCCATGACATCCAAACCAGGAACCAGGCTCAAATTGATGCGTTCAATGAGCGTCTCTTCAACCCCGACCAGTCTCGCTCTCAAGTCATGGATCTTGGCGCTGCACCACCTGCTGAAGATACCCCTGATGTCGAGGAAGCCTCCGCTGCTGGGGATGACAAGCCCAATGACCCCCTTATGGCCATGACTCTTCTCATCCAGAACAGGGTGAATGACCAAGTTGTGCCCTGTCCAGAGAATATCACACGGTTTGACAAGTGGGAAGTGTCCTACGAACTCAATGAGCTGGCCGAGGACCAGGGCAGAACCCTTCTCCATTTGTTGAAGAAACGCCGCCGAGATACCTGGAACAGGGTTGAAGAGGCTGAGGGGGATTCCAGCCCGGACAGGAGCGCTTTCCTTCGCATGTTGCAGAAGTACGTTCGGAAGGGTCGGTCGTTCCGTGAACGGGAGGAATTGAAGGATTCGAGGGAGGGCATTGTCTGGTATGAAGATTCCAAGAAGTCTGCTTAGACCGGTGGACATGGACAATTGGGCATTGTAAAGTAATAGACTCTTGCCTCTTGCATCACCTTTGTATATTAGTCACTCTCTTTCATGGCGTTGTTTTCATTTCGCGACAAAGATTCCTAGATATTGTCTGTATAAATTGATCGTTCGGGTGTTTTACTTTCCGGTGCTGCGAACTGATCCAAGTACATCCATGGATGCTTCCAAGTTGATACGCCCGTCATCATTTCCCTTACACTGGGGTGATAACATCGCATTGATCCAAAGATGCCTGTGGCATCTCTGCAGGGCTTTAGATTTGCTATTTGCTATTTGCATAGCTCATCTGCTATCTTTCTTCTTCTACTTATTCTTCTTCTTCTACTTCTCTCCCTTTACCTTGACTCAGTTCCAAGACAATTTTCTGAAAATTATCGCCTACCGCTAGCAATCAGTACTAGGAGTCTGCCTCGTGACTCCAATAAGCTCTATCGGTAAGAGGGAATCAGCCCTAATGCACACCAATCAACTAGGAGTCCTGAACAAAACACAGTTTTCCGCTGTCAAGACCCCTGCTAGGATACTCAGATCGAGAGGGCGTCTCTCTTCTCGCCTCTTGATCGGGCTGCCAGCTTGCAACTTGCCCCTACTTACCTCGTTGCATACTCTGCATTTGACATCCCTTGTATTCAAGAATGGACGAAATTACTGCAACAGAGTTTGCCAATTCGTGAGTTGTTTGTGAGTAATACAATCTAGAGCTGACTTCTTATAGCATTGTATGCGGGCCCAGCGTAACAATTCGAATCAGCAATGGCAACCAGGAATACAAAGTCCCACGAAAGCTCCTTTGTAAAAACTCGCCTTACTTCTCGGCCATGTTTCAAGGTAGCTTTTGTGAAAGTAAGGACCAGACGGCCACTTTAGAGGCTGTGGATGGGGTTATCTCCGAGCAGAGCTTCGAGGGGCTCTTGCAGTGGCTTTTCCTCGGACGGGTCACATTTGGTCATACTGACCCCGGCCAGTTGATCACAGCCTTCATAGAGCTGGCGAGGCTTGCAGATATGTGCGGCATCATTGAGCCACGGGATTATTTGGCCCGAAGTGTCAAAGAAGTCATCGCAATGAACGACGAGGGTACGACGTTTTCATTGACAAGAGACATCACTTCTGAGCACATAAGCTCTGCTGGTGAATTACCTGAGGGGTATCCTCTATTTCGTGTCCTTTGTATGGCCTCTGTGAGAGAGGTTCTTGCGGCACAGACTTGCAAACTTGCTAACGAGTCTTCGTTATGCCTCGGTTATGCGGCGGGTGTTCTTGAGGAGGTCATGATAACCCTGAAAACTTTGAGGGTATCCTCACGGACACAAGCCTTGAAACCTGGGACCAAAGGCCATGTTAAAACGAGTTTAAGCTGCTATGTTGACGATCCAATCAATCTTGAAAAACCTCTCATTATGCCGGGGAAATCCTTGAAAAGTCGCAACGTTGAAGACATCGACTGATATGAGAGCGATGGTACATCTGATTTCACACCATCGGAAGCTTTAATAGTGACCTAATATCCCTTAATTAGCTGCAACTTTTCGGGAAATATTCATTATTGAAATTGCTGTTACGATCAGGGCCAGCTGTCAGTTCATCAACAATGTTCAGACTACCTGTACTAGTTATGCCAAATGGCTACGAAGTTACCAAAGCATTGAGTCAAGAATGATTTCAGAAATATCCGGTAACCCTACCAAACCAAGCATTGACAACACCACATCAAGCCAGATATATGCACATAGGGACAGGGATAGAGGGAGTAATTAGCAAATAGAATAAACCACCCCAAGAAAAAGTCAAAGAAATAAAAAATGCTGTTTAACACAAAAGCAAATGATTCGAAACGCCACAGAATGACCACAAAGTAAGAACGCCAGGGTATCAGGACCAAGGATTTGTTAGAAGGGCGCAAAAAGTAAGATTAACAAGAAGAATGAAGGTGTCGTATATAAGCCTGGAGTCTGTACAGTGTGTGTGTTTTTACTGCAACTCGCCCAGGTCGATTTTGGGAGGGGCCCAGTCGAGCTTTGGGGGTGGTTCATTTGCATAGACGGTTGTAGGGCGGGGCTCGCGAATCTCTCTTGACTCCCGGGAATCTCGTGATTCACGAGAATCCTTGCGGGCCTCTGCGCGGCGACGTTCGCGGAGAGCACTGCCGCTAAGGAAGCCGCGTAGGGTTGATGAGGCGGTGCCATAGGCGCTACGACCGCTGCCGGTTCCTGTTGAAACGGTACTGGTGGATGAGCGCGCGCTGCGGACACTGCTGGCTTTCCGGGCGGATCCCGGGACTGCTGGGATTGCTGGGACTGGGGGAACTGGGAGGGCGAGGCGGGAGCTTTGAGTGGAGGCGGTGCTGTATTCGGACGAATGGGAATGGGATGCCCGAGCGGTGTGGGGGCGGGGTTTGGATAGATGGCGTTTGGAGACTGAGATGTTGGTTGGAGAAACGGAGCGGGTGTCAATTGGTTCGGGGATGAGGATGGAGGTTGGTTCTGCTGGGGCTTTTATTTCGTCGGTTGAGACTGCAACGTCGAACTTGAGGTTGTCCAGCATTGTACCCAAGCTTGCTGCTGTGGCAGGGCGCCCGTCACTTGAAGAGTCGATGCCATCGTCTTCAATGCCGTGGGCGATGTTGGAGTTGCGTTGTAGGTATCGACGGAGCCGGGATACTTCCAGGTCCCATCTACTGTTCAAAGAATCCAGGACAAGTTCGACATTGTGGTTGGCAAATGGAGAAGTTTCCAACGAAGAAGAGACAGCAGGCGGTGCCTTCTGCAGCCGATGACCCGACTGCCCTTGGCCAACACTCATCGCTGCATAAAGAGAGCGGCGAATCGAGTTTGCGGTGGAAGTTTGACTGCTGCTGGTTTCCCAGCGAACGTTGTCGACCTCTCTCCGTACCTTCTCAAGAGATTGGAGTCGATCCCGGTCCATGCAGGAGAGGGTAAGAAGTGAGCGATTGCATTGCAATCCGTTGACAAGCACGGTGAAAGATTGGAGATTGATGTCGTTGTTCTCACAATGCACTTCGCGAAGCGAGTCATTCTCCTCCAAGACGGAGGCCAGGGTATTCGCACCTTGCAAACCCAGCTTTTGGTGCTCAATCTTCAAGACCTTGAGCGAGCTATTCTTCTTCAAGCCAGTGAGGGCAAGGTTGAGACCAATACCAAAACGTGCAACATCCAGATGGGCATTGTCTCCACTGATGTCCAGAGCCTCCAGTGTCTCATTATCCTCAAGCATAAGCTGTAATGATCGACAGGTCTCTGGGCTCGCATCGTAAGGAAGAGAAGCTTTTGAGATATCGAGGAACTTGAGAGTGGAATTCTTTCGAAGCGAATCCACCAGCTGACGGAAATGATCCTCTTTCTTGAAATCGATCATGCGCATGGACAGATGCGAGGGAGTTTGGTTCTTTGCGATGGCATTGAAAACATGGGAGCATCCATCGTCGAGGCGGTTCTCATTGACATGCAAATGCAGACTCCGCACTTCTCCAGGCATAGCTGACATTGAGTGCATGAACATCGCGACATCTTCACCTGTCAGACCACACTGATCCAGCCGAATCGTGTGCAGGTTCTGAGAGCGATCGCTGGCTAGATATGTTGCGATGGCGTCTACGGTCTCGCGATTGATAATCGTCCGACTGAGGGCTAGCTCTTCGAGTCGCCAGTTGAAAAGCATTTCTGCCGTAATCAATGGGTCAGTGCCAGATGTTCGCGAGATCCGAGACAGATTGATTTTCCGAATTTGTCCAAAGTACCCGATGTATTGCTGAATGACATCGGGGTTGAGTCGACCCTGCACACCTGATATGTTGATTGCCTCGAGGGTTGATTCCTGCGCAACGATAGTTGATAAAATGAGATCCAAATCATGCACAGACAATCCGCAATCTCCCACTTCCAGAGCTCGCAGATGGCTTCGTCTTTGCGATGCCGCATCAACAAGGTAGTCCAGGTCTGATTCGCCGAGCTTGATACCGTTCAGGACAACCCAGTCCACGCTTGTTAACTCCCGGCGACACACGGGGAAGATAGCCTCCGGGATTCCACAGCCAGGGTCTCGAGTGCCTTTTTCCAGAGTCGGTGTCGGGACTCTCGTGAGACTGTGAGAGAAGTCCATTCGGCGCAGCCATTTGCTCTTGAGTGCCAGTGCGCGCACTTCTTGTGAAAGAACGGTCAGATTGTGTTGACCAGGAATATGAACGGAGTTTCCGCTTCTGTCAAGGTGGACGTCCGCATCGACACCATGAGAATCGCGCAACCCTTGCAATGCATCGAGATTGACACCCCGGAACGAAACTGATCGGAAAAACTCGTTGTAGCGTAATGTACGCATCACCGCAATGAGCTCTAAAGCGGTGTACCGCGAGGACTTTGAGGAAGCGGGCTTGAGCAGACGGAAGCATGGCGCATCCTCACAGTCCAAGTCAATGGTGTATCGAATGTTTGAAGTGTCGATGTCGTAGCTGGCTGAGTATGCTACCAATGTGCGGTCAAGGCATCCGTAATCTTCATCCAAGGGAACCGGTGGAAAGTTGTTCTCGTTCTGCAATTCCTTCGGCACGACAAATTCGTATGGTTGTCTCGTCCACAGGGGACGCAGGTACTCTGTATGCTGGCGAATCCAGCAGGCGACTTCGACAGAGTGGACCGAGGCCAGGAAAACATTATACGACTTCTTAAGAGGAACGCGGAAAGTCAGATGCAGGCTGTCATCGCCATATTCCATAGAGAGACCCGTCAAATTCATCAGACCGAACGAAGTGGCAGACTCCCAGTCGGACAGGGATACGACGGAAGATCTATTGGCGTTCTTCTGCATGGGCAGCACATGAAGCTTGTGGGACCCAATGGCAAGGTAGCAGCCCGTTGGCGATAACTTGGTGAGATCCTCAGAGGAAGAACGGTTGATTGACTTGCTGGATGCGATTTGAATGACCCTGAACATACGGAATGCCTCCGGGTCGTAGTCTCGTTCATGCTCTAGCATTCGAGTGACATACTCGACGGATCCCCGGCTGAAGGGCATGGGGCAGTTCGTTCGAGCAAGCTGGGCAGCTTGACGAATGCCTACCATCCAAAGGTTCAAATCCTGTAGATCGGATGTCTGCATCTGCACCAATGTAGCTTTGTGGGTGCGCTCATCCAGATACGCTACCTCGACCGATGGCGACAAACGAGCGTCCTCCAACATGTACACCGCAATAATGCTGTTCAATGGGATTCCGGCGGTTGGATCTCCGGAGGCCAGTTGTGTCATATCCTGCATTGAGCTGATGGAAGCCACTGATTGGCGGTGGGAAGCCGGAGGTCGAGTGTAGGACGCAGGGATCGAGGGGAAGACATCTGCAGCTTTGCTCTGGTTCTTGAAACGAATGATGTGCGTATCGGTCAGGACCAGATATTGACTCTTCTTCCTCCACATGCCTCCCGTGGTCTGCACCTCACCGTGGTGCAGCATTGTTGATGACCAAATCCCATTTCGGGGAGCAGACATGGGTGCATCGTCCATTGAGACAACAGGGGCGCTGAGAGGGTCGTCGTCTTCCCACGAATGGAGGGACTTTAAAGAGCCGAAGACGGAGTTTCGTTTTTTCTGGAAAGACTTCCTCCGCGGGCGAAGGGGCTGGATCGGTGAGGGTGCATGCACTGCTGCAGACCAAGCAGCGGTGTCGGAATCTGCAGTCCCGGGGCGAGGGTTGGACCCATCGAAGTCTGTGGTGTGCGAGCGGCTGAAGAAGCCTGAATTTCGGCGGACTTTCTTGTCTCTCGTCAAAGTATCGTCCGAGGGTGTTCGATCATGAAGCGGAGGGCGGGCGGGGGGATCCGACGCGAGGGATGAGCTGAACATTCCCAGACTCTTCCTTCGCTCTCTTTTGCCGATGATTTCAGCCATCTCGGGCGGGGATTCTCGTCGTTTGGGGTGGAAATGAGGGGATTGAGCGCTAATCTCATTGACGACCTCAGCGTCCTGGGTCAATTAGCAACCAAAGTCATGATCCCGTGCGCAGCCAGCAACTCAGTGGAGAAAGAGAGACAGAGGGAAGATGAGGGGAAGGTTGCACATACGACCGTCACGGCGCCATGAGCAGGCAATTGCCACACAGGAGACACCAAAGCGGACTATATCCTCTATCGCGAGTTTCACCGGAGACACAAATGTCCCCACGACCTGTCAACGAGGATAGCCCCTGTGAAAGGAGAGCAAATGGGATATAATATCCGGCTCGCTTCCGAATGCAGAACACCGAGCACGACGAGACCAGCGATGTTGGAAGGTGAGAAGTTAAAAGCTGACGGATGCAGTAATCCCCCAACACAACACTCGTGAGGGCGTTTCAAGTTTCACCTCTTGAATCCCTAATTTCTATGGCTTAATTTTGCGTCGAGGAACTATCAGACACGCTCACTTTCTTTGGATTGAACTGCCCGGTAATTTAAAAACGATCATCTCAACCCCACAGACATTCGCGACATATCCAACCGCATTCGATCTCTTAGCCACGTAAGAGGCGTTCTCCACCGCTGTGTGCAGCTAGGCCTGATAGTGCAGGTAGTGCAGCTCCCTACAGGGATTATTGCTGTAGGTCAAACAAGCTTGGGACTACTCCTGTTTGGTCAGCATGGATGTCGCCAAGGATTATGTTGGTTCTTTGTAGAGTATAAGCATGCCGGCTCTTGGATTTATCTTCAATACGACACATCCCTTGATCTACACTTTACACTGCTCCATAGATCGGCAGTCCTGATCATTGACGTCTCGGGCCTATGCGAACGGGGATCCCAATAGATCGACATGGCAATCAGGGGAACTATATCCCCAGTCTGTCGTCATCGAGCTCATGGGGAATCTCGCGGATAATGGAGATCCATTCCCCGCGAAACTAGTGGCTGGGAAATGTGAATGCGTCACGGAGATGAGGGATCTGAGAGAGCAGCGCAGGGAGTTCGGCATGACGTCTCGCGAATTCTCATCGGCGGTTACCTTGCTCCCTCTCCGCTTGAAGTCGTTCCGCCCGCTTGAGGTTCCGCATCAGATCAATGTATTCTGTCACTCGCTTCTCCTGCCATATGCATCCGCCTAGCGTCATCGCCCAAACCTGGAGGAAGACCTTGAATTGAGGGGTGAGACCACGGTAGATTTTCGAGCCCGGGGAGATCCAGCGGGAGAACCCTTCCATGGGACGGTGGAAGAGTCGAGAGCGGAGATAGTCGCGGGAGAAGATAGAGGGGCGCGGACGCGGTTGGGCTGCGGGATGTGCGGGTGGGCTAGGTGCGGAGAAGACGAACGGATGGGGGAGGGCAAGGATCATGTGTGCGATGATAGAGACGGAACCGAACTGATGCGCTGTTCAATGGCAATTCTTAAGACAAGACTTGGGTATCATCACTTACGCGAAATACGCCGGTCATGAACCCTTCGGCGGCTACCCAGGGAATCTCTTCTGGAGGTTCATTTTCACCTCTTCGGGTGGTTGGTGATGACATGGTATCAATGGCGTAATGTGCAGAGTGCTAGAGAACAGGATTGACAAGCAGAAATGAAGTTGACGCGATTGGATTGTATGGTCCTTATCGAAGCCGAGCTTCCGAGATGAGACCACGGACTATACGGAGTACGGCGGGAGCGTATTCGAGGGCTTTTTCAGTTCTCAAAGAATGTCAGCTTAGAAATGAAGTTAGATAGCCATGGCTAGAGTCTGGGCCAGCCAGGGTCTTCGAGATACACAGAATGCAGTCCAGTCGAGCCTCCGTGAAGCTTAAGCGGAGCAACGTTTCTCCGTCCGGACGACTCAGATAAAAAAGAAATGCGATTACCGATATCGCAGTGCCTCGGACTCATACTGAACCTCAACGTCGTCAATTGCAAATTGCAATCCCCAACCATGCCTCTCGCCGCCCGTACCGCGAGCCTCTCGCGCGCCACAAACGAGACCAAGATCCAGATCTCTCTTTCCCTTGACGGCGGCGTCCTCCCGCCCTTCGAACCCTCAACCCACTTCCCCGCCCCCTCAGACCCCCAAGAGGCCGAAGCTGCCAAAAAGGGCATCGTCCCTATCAAAGAAGCCAAACATGCCACCCAATTCACCCCGACCCAGCAAATCACCATTAGCACCGGCATCGGCTTCCTCGACCACATGTTGCACGCGCTCGCCAAGCACGGTGGTATGAGTCTGGCAGTGCGCGCCAAGGGTGATCTATACAGTACGTGCCATATCAAACCTCCCAATCAATATGTGGAGTAATCTAACGTACGCAGTCGATGATCACCACACCACGGAAGACACATTCCTCGCGCTCGGCGAAGCATTCACTCAAGCGCTCGGTGCGCGCCAATCGCTTGAGCGATTCGGTCGCGGCGACGCCCCCCTCGACGAGGCACTCTCATGGGCCGTCATCGATCTCTCAAGTCGCCCGTGGGCAGTCATTGATCTTGGCTTCAAGCGCGAGAAGATCGGCGATCTGAGCACTGAGATGATCACACACGGACTGCAGAGCTTTGCACAGGCCGCTGGCGTGACCCTGCACGTCGGTTGCACCTACGGCGACAACGACCACCACCGCGCTGAGAGCGCGTTTAAGGCCCTCGCTGTCGCTATCCGCAATGCCTGCAAGCGTCGCGTTGCCGGCGACGTTGGTGCCGGCGATGTTGTCAGCACCAAGGGCGTGTTGTAATGAGTGATATGAGAACGAAAACAAAATTCATGCATAGAGAGCGTTGGTCTCTGGTTTATTCCACATTGCACCGAAGGCCTGCTTCAATTCTAGATAGGCTTACATGTCCTGCTCCCTCCAAACGCATAGCTCAGACTCCAAGTGCCTTGACAGCTCTCTCCCAATATGCCTTGCGGTCGTCGTCGACCGATGTGCCCACACAGTCGGAGATGTATTTCTGCCACCCGGACTCTGAGCCGTCTGCCAGCGCGGAGCGCACCTCTTTCGAGCACTGCGTAGTAAGGAACCAAGCACCGGATCCGAAGTCCGTGGCTCCATCATTTCTCAATAGATCAAGCAGATCCGCAGGGTCTGAGACACTGGCCGCCTTGTCTTTCAGGGCCGGGATCGACGCCGCGTATTTCTTATTGAAATCAGGAGATTGCATGTTGCGCGCTGGGAGAGTCAGCTCTTGTACATTTCAAGGTTTCACTCTCAGGGGGAATTTGCTTACTTCCTTGTCCGGCCACACCGGGGAAATGGTTCTTGTTATACTTGAAGTCGCCACTCTCGAATGCCATGAGGCTGAGAATGGCCGCTTGTTCGGCTTTCGATGTCACTTTGTACGTGTCGAAGGATTGAGATGTGAATTTTGCGGCTTGCTTGGCGGTTGCGCATTCACCTTTGGCCGGGGCGTCATCGCAAGATGAGGACTTGGGAGCAATAGCGGTGACTTGGGACTCTGTGAGGGTGTCGGGGGTGACGATGGGGGAGGCGGCCGTGAGGGCCAAGAAGAGAGTGAAAGAGAGGAGCTGCATATTGATCTCAGGTACTCCGTACGGAATGTCAAGGACGGTGTGGAAATAGTGATTTTCTGTACAGAGCTTAGGGCTCGAAGGTGTAGGAAATTGTAATTCGTAAATATCCAGATTTGACGCTGTCTTTATAGATCCCCCACATGTTTAACGGGGGCCAGCTGAAACAAGGGCTTGCATTTCACAATGCCGCTGGGATAAAGGGACAAAAATAGTTCATCAGGATTTTCCTAGGTAGGAATGTGCAATGACCCCTCTGCAGTTTCAACTCATATAACATCTTTACCTATCATTAAGAGGCGTTCCCAGGTGGGTCTAAGATTGAAACGTGTCATTGCACTTGGTAGCTGTACTCCGTATGGAGTTTGAATTTAACACAGGGGCAGGCTTAACTACCATTTCCCCAGAGGGTCAACTGCCCAGGTGGAGCCGCCGCTTTAGGCGCTTGCGGGGGGCCTCGCACAGTACTAGTGGCTTTGGGCCCCGCCTGGGCACCTGGGCACCGCCGCACCGGGGTATGTTTAATAATGTGTTTTTAAGCCAGCCCTGCCACCTGGGCAGTGCTGCCGGCCCTTAGGAAGTGTGATAAAGATGAACATTATAAATGAGCCAGACTCGAAGTGAAGACTCGAAGACAAAGAAATGGCCTCCGACATTATATTATGAATTATGGAATAAGTTGCGATGTGAATGTTCGGGGCGTTTGGCATCATACGCCCCTAGACCTCAACCCTCAAAACACCCAATTCATAGCGAGCTCGACAGACAGTGAGTACTCAGGGGCGTGCTCAGTTCTATTTGTGGGCCAAAAGCGGCACCGGTTGAGCACCAACATGGGAAGGGAGCTCAGCCTCGGCCTAACATTGGTGTGTATGTGCATATGATATAGACCAACTATATGCGGATAATGCTTGGATGGTACTCCGTATATGAGATGGATCTGAAAGACCATCGAACGACTGGTTGTTGGAATATGGTTCTTTCAATATGAAACGAACTATTGAAGGACTGAGTAATAAGATACAACCAGTCAAAAAGCTTGGCTTGAAGGGTCCGCTCACTTTGCTACCTACCTACGGAGTAGGTAATAGCGATTCAAGGCACAGGGCTGTCATTGGAGGAGTTAGGGTTTCACCTTTGAAACGCGCCCGGGCGTCGGGACGTGTCAGACTGCACCCAGTGGATAACCCCAGGTCCCCAGCATCACTGCGGAGTACCCTGTATACCGTCTTCCGTCCCTCCGATTTGCACCAGCCCAGACGCCCGGCGCAAGATATGCGTGGCTCTTTTGAGCGTGAAGATTGCCCACAATAAGTTCACGGCTACTGTGGAATATAATTTTTCAAAGACAAATATCTCGTCTGTGATGGCTATACAGCTTTGAAATTTCTACAGATCCATGCGTGCTCCCCGTTTAGACTCGAGAAAGCACGAGGATTCGAATACAATTCATTTCTCTGACGCTTCTAGTATCCTGGAAGTCATGATAATTCCCAGGCAACATTCAAGCTAAAAGATAATACCGAATCGACCTGTTGTCTTTCCATCCTCCCTTAGGTCTATAATCTTACGGATATCTTCGATGTCGCTGAAAGTGGTCATGTGCGCCTTGATGCCATGCTTATGGCTGAATGGGCTGGGCTCGCTCAATTACTGCGCGGTACCTAGGTACGATAGCAAAGCAGATTGTATCTGTTGGATGATAGATCAAGAAGTCGTAGGCAGCGGTAGTATGTATCTATGAGCTTACCTGTAATTCCAGCGCAAGACAACGGAGCCGCTGTAGCAACGTTCACCCCGGCTGGTAGAACCATGGAGTTCTTGTATTCCGACAATGAGTACTCCGCAAAGTGACCATGTATTCGACTGGGTCGCCAATCTTAAAGCCTTTCACGTTTCTTCCCATGGCAAAGACTGTGCTAGTGCTCTTTTTCTTGGTTTAGGATGCTCTTGAAAGACGGAAGGTAGAATAGACCTTGGAACAAGTTCAGTAAGATCTGCCAAAGGGACAGGCGATGAAATATTTCAATATGGGCAGTCAGGCACACTGGGGCCAGGATGTCTGAAATGGTACGCTTGGTGTGGTGCTTGATGTGCACATGATGCATTTTGTCTTCTGCCATTGTTAGTCTAGAGTATGAGCTAATCGAGATGTTGGACCTCGGGAGGTACTTGTTTCTCCATGAGCACCTAGGTAAAGCGCAGCAAGAATCGCCGCCGTCAGATGGTGGCCTCTCAGATAGACGTTTTTCTCTCTTTTGCCTTCAAATGTCTTGGAAACCGAAAGAGACTGGGCGAGGAAGCACCGACATTCCAGCCCTCGGATCTACTTCCCCAACTCGTTGGGGCTCAGCGCAATGCAGATCACGCCTCATCACGTTTCGCTGCAAGGCAGAAGTTCGCGAGTGCTCAGCCATCGCCTTGTGCATACAGTATGCATGATGGCCCCCATCTTCGTATTTTTCTTGCACTGCCTGCGCTAACTTTGGAGTTTTTCGTTTTAGTCAATTTCCCAGCTCAGTCGGCGCTTGAATCGAAATGATGGACAGGTAAACTCATCAAATTTTGCATTCTTAACCAGCTTTTTCGCCCTCGGCTGTATTTTGTGTTAATTTACCTCTTTCAGTCACCGGCTTGCCTTTGCGGACTCGCCCTTTGGGGAGCTTATATCGATCGGGTTGAGGTTTGCAACGTTCTAGTTGGCACAACGATGCGGTCATTCTCTAGCAACTGCACCCTACCACCAGATGCCCTCCCACCACCAGGTGGAAGTACGTTCGTTTCGTCTCCTCCAGTCCGGGGTACACTGGATATAGCTTGGAGCTGTGTCAGTGTCCTTGTACTGTGTACTTGGTCTGTTCTTCATCTGAACGTGCCAGTCCAATCGGAATGCAAAACCACCTGACACAAAGTCAACCGTTTCATTTCTCGAACGTGGGAAAGACTGAGATGGATGTTTATCAATCTGCTCGCACCCGAAGGGACTTTGGCTAGAGCATGGGCTGGTTATCGAGCCGTTGGATGTCAATGGTACATTCCATAGGGCTGCAGAAATCGACGGTGTTCCTTGGGAAAAGTGCCACAGTCACTGCGAGCCTGGGTGACTTTGTCATTAGCTTTGATGATACGTCGCAGGAATGTGCTTGCTTTCCAAGGTGATCTCTGGGTTGTTGACGCCAATCAGTTGCTTTATGCTCGGGATATGGGAATCATCGAGAAACTCCCATCCTTGTCCCCGGAAAATATTCAAGACAGGGGTAAACAAGATATCCTCGCGAAATGCATAGCCCTAAGTCAAATAGTCTGGTTCCTCATTCAAACCATCACGCGGCTCAGCCAGGGACTCACAACTAGCCCGCTGGAGATCATGACACTTGCGTTTGCTGTTTCCACAGGCTTCACCTACATACTTCTGCTCGATAAACCTAAAGATGTTGGGAGATCGGTCGTCATACCGACAGCTCGCTATGCCTCTCCTCAAGAAATAGCCCATTCGGCAGTCGCAGGCCCCGTGGGTCTTCGTCAATTCGAGTTCGGCATCTCGATTCCGAACGACGCCGTGCATGCAACAGGCGGCGAACAAGTTGGAGGAAAGGATAAGCATTTTTTACTTGGAGCTTCATTCAGCGTGTAATTCTCGGCGCAATCCACTGTTTGGGTTGGAATTCCAAATATTCCACAGATGGTGAGCACTTGCTCTGGCAAGTTAGCTCAATCATCACAGCAACTGCTATCCCACTCCTGGGAGCCTTGACCTATCTTTTTGAACCTGTCCGGGAGACGGTCGAGAGGCACCATCTCGCTATGCCTGCTTCCCACTTCTTGCGGATGTTATTGTGGATGTGCTTCCATTTACTTGAGATTGGCACGCTCGCGGTTTTTTCTATTTTGCTTTCCGCTTTTTTTCTGGCAAGGTATTTCGTTCCTACGAAGTATTTTACGAACTCGGCTACTTACCCGCAGATACATTCAAAACAACCTGGGCTAATAGCATTCCCCATATTGGATGAGGGTTCGTGGGTCTGATGACTACCGGGGTACCTAGGTAGATTCAATTCATGGATGGTATTCAATACATCCTGTCTTCTTGACATTGAATTCCTATGTTCCCCTGACAGAAAGTGCAGAGCTACGTATCTACTTTACGCACCTAGTGGAGTGGGGGAACTGTGCAATGTGATAGATCAACAAGCCTTCGAGCACTCCCCGAGGGCCCACAGCTTAGGGAGTCAACTGGTCCGTCTATGGATGATTCAGCACTATGGTATATATGGCATACCTACCTAGTGAAATAGGAAGACCGTGATGGTGGTCTGATGAAGTAGACAGGACGATGGGAGGACCATGACCTAGGGCTAGCCAGGGCTAGGGAGATGAGACCATCGGGGTGGTGAAAGAAACTGAAGTGTGTCTCTGAACTGTTAAAACTGCGCGGGATCTTGATGATAAACACAACGAATGTATGCCCACTCATGATTCATTTAGTAAAATACCGTCCAACAGGGGCTCCCTCGAGCAACCAAGCCCTACAAAACGGTCAACAATAGATACGGGTCTCGAGGAGAGTATGCTGCACGTCAAGCTGGGGAGTATTACTCGTTGAGTACGACAGCCCGGGAGGAGCTCACGCCAAAGTATGAGTCTGGACACCAGGTTCAATCCCAGGAATGCCTCCCCATTCACGACCGAGAGAAGTAGCAAATTCAAGCGTGAGGATCTGAAACAAAAAGGGTTACAAATAACTAACTATGTAGGGAGTTCAAGCGACACATCCAAAAGTGTATGTATTGTTCCAAGACGTTGATTATTTCATGATTCTCCACTGGAGATAGTGCCGGAGTTCAAGTCCAGCCCCAAGAAGCGAAATTTCTAACAAAGTTTACAAAATCATAGACAAAAAAAGGAACAAGGGAAAAGGCAAGGGACAACTCGACAGCAAAAGAAAAAAAAAACCCATTGCTCCAGGCGACTGAATCCGGGATCCCGCCGGATTGCGCCGCCATGCATATGCGCTCAACAGAAAGAAAGGGATCAAGTTGTACAAATGCAGATGTGCAACTCAGTCATCACGACGACCGAGTTCGTACGAGGTCTCTGTGACCCCGCCTTGTTCTTCGTCTTCTTTGAAGCTCACGCGACGTAAGATAGTGGGGACGGTGAGACGAGACCGTCGCGTAGGCGAGGTTAGTCGCGGGCTACTTGAGGAAACCTTGGTGTAGCGGTAGCGGTACTTGGCCCCGAGAAGCATGATTCGACCGTAGCTCCACCAGAGGCAGAAACCAACGACTCCGGCAATGCAGAAGCCGCAAACTGTAAGGAAGAGCCAGTGTTGACCCATCTGCGAGATATTAGCGTGACTTCGAAAATCTTTTGGTGTAGGTGACTGCTTACCCAGAAAATCAAATGCGCGTCCTTGCCGTGCCAGCTGTTGCCGCGGTGGTGGGTGAAGAAGCTCCACGAGAACCGGTTGTACTCATCTTGCATGAGGATGCGGACGCGCCCGGCCTCGCTTGGCTTGTCGCGCATGTACTCCTTCCAGATGACGGAAAGGAACAGCGGGCCCGTCGAGTACATGACTGTGATGTACGGGAGGAGCCAGTGGCGGTCGTATTGTTGTAGCAATTCGATCACGCGCAGGAAGAACGGGTGCTGGGGCACGGAGCCCATGGCGTCGTTTGAGATACCCGTGGGTGCGGTGCGTCGTACCCACGCGGGGTAGGCGAGGAGAGGATCCAAGCGGCGATTGCAGCCCTGTTCAACGTTTAGATGGTGGTCGGGTGTGCGCGAACCGGGATACTCACGTCATCAAGATCAATGTAGGTACCACCGTAGTGGGCAAGCACGAAGTACCGAATGGAGTCGGCGCGCTGGATGGGATAGTTGTATCCATCGAAGGTGTCCAGGAACCATGGGTACTCGGCGGCAATGAACTCGCGCGATTTTTCGTTGGTCCAGAGCTGGAAATTCCGTTAGCAGGCTGCAAGGGTGGGTTGCAGGCGTGCGCTTACAATATATTCATAGTCGGGGTGCAGGTCGATACAGCTCTGTTGCGCCTCGACCCAGACTTCGGGGATCGTTTCATTCTTGTAGGTTTGGTGAATGATCTTGGGGATTATTTGCGGGCGTTGTTCAATCAGGCTGGAGTTCGGGGAGGGGAGCTCGGCGCGGTGGATGGCGTCCGCGGCGGCATCTTCGACTAATAGGGATAGGAGGGTCGAAACACTGCGCACGAGTAGAGAGAGGATAAGGAGATTGACGAGCAGAAAGATGAGAAGACCGCGACGCATGGTGAATGGCAAGTCGACACGCGACACAATTGTACCCTATACCACCAACGAAGTTCGACTTAGACGCTCGGAAGAAGATGCAGCATAGAAGAGAAGAAAATGACACTGGATAATCCCAAACAGACGGGAAAGGGGGGGAAGAAGAGACTAGTTGAAAAGCATAAGGAGTGACGAAGTGGGGAGACTAAATCTAAAGTAGAAAGGAGAGTTGTTGGCAATGAGGCAAAAAAAAAGAGAGTGACATGGGGCAGGGGAAAGTGAAGGGGACAAAGGTTCAACGAATAACTTACGAGGCTGAGCAAGTGGCTGAGGCCGCTGGCTGGGCCCGGTGATTGGCTGTGTCCGGTGGGGGCCAATAAGGGGAATTTTCTTTTCTTTTTTGATATTCGCTCTCCAAGGTGATGTACTGTACTATGTAGTACTACCAGTTGTGTTATGTTTGACTCTCCAGTACTATGTAAATGGCATGGTCTCATATCTCCTACCTATGTAGGTATTCTACTGTATGGTATACTGCTCTGCAGGAACCCAGGACATTTAGGTTTGGCGCAAGGACTCGTCATCGTACGGTAAAAAACCCAGCGTGGGGAAAAATCCCCACGCCAACGACCAAACCATGGTATTAATCTAGTCCTATTCAGGCATGTAAGTAGGCTGGTTCTGAAACCGAGGCTATTTCGGGACCGTTTATCTTAGGTTCACTAGGCTGCTACTTTACTATACAGTTTGTATAGTTTGTATACTAGTAGTTTGCTATAGCTATTGCTGGGTATTCCCGTTGACTTGGGAGTACTCGATTGAGTACTTCTGATCTAATCCATTGGCCACATTGGAATTGCCTCTTGGCATGGCGACTCCAAGAGATATCCAAGGTAGAAGAATTCGGAGAGGAATTGGCACCGATTCACTAAGGGCAAAACGTTGGGCGCACGGGGCAACTGGGCGTATTCGTATTCAAATTTCAACAGTTCCCCACTGTCTCGTTACGGGCTCTCTGCTCCATGCTCATGCTGTACTTCCGCGGACCTGTCGATGAGACTTCAAACGCATGTTTCGCCTTATGGCAGTACGAGTACGAGTAGTTCCCATGTTCACTCGAGGTCCACGATTACCATGGAAACGTCGCACCCTCGACCCATAGCTGCTGGTACGTTGGGAACCGCCTCCACAATCGTCGTCAGACCCTAGCCACCTGCAAAACTCGGCTCCGTCATCGGTTTGGTATTCTGATGCCTGTGTGGCTCAACGTCAATTCCACGTTCTCCAGATGGGCTAGATATCGATCAGCAAAATGACGTGGGTGGTATATCATTCGACTTCTATAGTAGATTGTACTTTATACTAGTACTATGTAGCACTGACATGGTACTTGCTCCGTGCAAGCGCCCTAAACACCTGTTGGGTGTGATATACGCCGTACTAGCATCTGAAATTCGCTCAGATTCAACCTCTACCCCAGTTCAAGGCCCGCTGATCCACTTAGCGCTGAAGCGCCAAGAATAGAAACGTGTCTTCTGCCTCGGATTTGGGGCTCGGCGTGAAAGTGGCGGGTGCGAGCCCAGAGAACTGCACGTCTGAGAGGACGTCGCAAAAAACATGCCAGATCTGGAGGGTCCAAGCCTGGTGTAATGAGGTTGCAGATCCCCTGCCGTGCGCTCACCGGCCGGAGCTCTGATCGGCCGCCTTTAGCCCGAGAATGACGATTACTTGCACTAATTGCTCGTTTCTCACTCGTGTCTTTTTCTGTTCTTTATTTTAAATGATTTCTTTGTTGTCCTTATCTTACGTGCTAATCACTTCGTCCGTACTCGTACAAATACCCAAGCTAGTGTTTCGGTCCCGAGGTGTCGATTGTACTAAGTAGTAGTACACACCGGATGTGAGATTGCGGCTTATGAGATCTGTCAACCCACTGTCTTTGGCGGGTCGTATTTGATGCCCTATGTAGTTATCCGGGAGACGATCATATCTTCATCCCGAAACTGGAGCCGTGCAGGAGGATCAGGGCGCATGGTATAGCCGTTTACAGATCGCTGCTTAAATGCACGGGGCGTCAGCATTCCTGGTCTGACGTCGTTGCCAATATGGAATATTTCAATAAAGTGTTCTCATTTGGTCATGCAATATTTGAAGGCTGTGCGACATAGAAAACCAGGAGCCTGCTGATCGACTTGCGGGCTGCGAATGCGATGCAGCCCTGGTGCCCCGAGATGCGGCTGTGACCTGGAAATAGTGACGGCAGTGCATGCAGTCATACGCCGTACATTAGTGTACTTTACTTTCAACGTGAACTGGATTGTGTCGGGTATCTTTAGCTAATCCAATGAAAATAAACTGATGCACGCTCTCGAAATCATAAAACAGGAGGGGGAAAAAAAAAGAAAAGGAAACAACAGCGCCCTTGCTTCGATTGGAGATATCCATTGAGATAATTCCAAGGGGCATGTTTCAGATGCAGAAATCCCTGGCAATCTCTCTCAACGCCATTTCCCCCATGTATAATGCATGGTGTTTGAAAGTGGAATTTGCCCAACGATGTTGGGGACCTCTGGCGTGGAATGGGTGAGAAAAGTGCTCCAGAGATACATGCCTAGGCCAACGTCAAACATTCGATCCTCACCGGCCAGTCTCAGCTCATCCAGCCATGTGGTAACATCTATGGCACTAGAGCCTGGATATGGATGTCTGCTCGGCTAGCTAGCAGCCCGGGCCCTACCGAACTTCGGGCGCCGCAGCGGCCGCAAATTCGCGATTTACAGTTGCACCTGTCGCACGCTCGTCTGGCCTAGGTCCAGATTCGAACAACCGACGCCACCAGCCAGGAGGATCAAGTGGGCGGTGACCGTCATGCAGGGGCGGGTAAACATCATTGAAGAAGTACCAGATATGACCGACGACGACACCGAGAATCTCGTCCTTGGGCACAATCTGATGCACCACCACACTGAACGCCATCAGCACCCAGGGCAGGTATGGGGCCGTGAAGACCAGCAACCCCAGGAAACTGAGGCGGGTGTCAGGGTTGCGTCGCGCCCAGATGTACACGAGACTGGAAGATAGCGCACTGCCCAGGAATGGTATGGACAGGAATGGCGAGATAATCAGTAGGGAAGAAGTGGCATAGAAAATGAGCCATGCGAAGTGTGCGGGCGAACGGCCGGACGATTCTTCGAGGAGTCGGGAGTATCGCTGGAGGAAGAAGACGTGGAATAAGAGGTCGAGGTTGAGAGGGCCGAAATACAGGAAGGTTGTCAGGAGGCGCCAGTATTGCGATTTTACGTAGACGGAGCGGAAGCTGTAGAAGAGTTGGAATGGCGTCACAATATGACATTGGACCAGCACCGAGGTCGCTACCGTTGCGACTGTCCACCACCGGGTGACCGGGGGCATCTCATAGAACCATTGCTCGAGTGGGAATTGACCTTGCCCATTGTTCTCCCAGATGGCGGCCATGATGATCGGGAGCGAATGAGCTAGGAGAGTGGGCTGATCAGCAATGAAGCCTTGAGGGGCCCTGGAGTATACCACGTATGCGATAAGGACTATCGTCACGTGCACAGACGCGCGCAACGCGTGTCGGGAGGCTGGGACGCTAACACGAATTAGTTCATATTAACTCCAGCCTCCCTTTTTCGCGACTGCGATTGTGATTTTCAATCCCATCACTCTGCAGATTGGACGATTTTACAACATCCGCAAGGGACATCACATCTAAACCCCGTTGCTAGGGCAGGTCTTTCGGTTGTTTTTCTTCTCTCTACACCCCACTACAATGCCACCCAAGATGGCAAAGGCAAACAAAACCGCAACAGATGGCGCAGAAAAGACCAAAGGTCGCAAGAAATCCGCGGACAACGGCGATGGCTCTCCCGGCGCAGTCCGAAAATCCAAGGCCGGGAAAAAACTCGCAAAAGCCTCGGATGTCCAACGTGAGTCGTCCACGGTCCTCGACGCAAGCTTCTCGAGCTAACGAATTCAGCGGGCGATCCAACCCCCACCGGCCGCCGTCACCGCTACAAGCCCGGTACCGTGGCACTCCGAGAGATCCGCAAATACCAACGCTCTTACGACCTCCTCATAGCCAAGTTGCCATTTGCGCGACTAGTGCGAGAAGTGGCTCTTGATCTCCTACCTGCCGACGTGGGCGCTGAGCTACGTTGGCAGTCACACGCGATTCTGGCTTTGCAGGAAGCCGCCGAGGCCTTCTTGGTTCATTTGTTCGAGGATACGAATCTATGTGCCATTCACGCTAAGCGCGTTACGATTATGCAAAAGGACATCCAGCTCGCGCGGAGAATTCGTGGAGTCTGGGCTGGTCTCGGTTGATCACTCTGCTCTTGATATTAATGGGAATGTCCAAGGACAATACGGCGCACGACGGGTACGGAGTTGACGGTGATTTTTCCTGTGGGTTTTGCGCTCTTTTTTCCCCTGGCCTTGCTCAGGTGGACTCGGTTTATACCATGGTGTTTGTACATTACGCATGGATGTTGGGTGTTTCTGTCCTTGACTGTTCTCAATGTTTCTGTATAATTGGAACGATTCTTGATATGTGGCTCCTGGTGATATTTTTATGCTGATTTCATCAAATTCACGGTTCAATGGTAACATGAGTCCATGAACCGCCGTTGAGCTGAAGACATTATCACACATTCCACACATTCCTTAATTCGCCTTGCTTGATCATAAATGTAACATTAAACGCCTCCGGGTAGCTTTCGTGGTATCATAAACAAAGTCGCACACTAACTTGACGGGGAACAAGACACACGGGGAAAGATAAACAGATCAAGCAAATCGTCTGAGACCAGGCGGAAGACCTGTGACCAGACGTTGACCTTCCTCGCGAACGCTCTGGGCTTCTTCGCCTTTGCCCTGTCGCTCCAGAGTTTCGGCTAGCATGTCATCAGTAACACTTGCCCAAAGACGATCATTGGCACGCTTGGCCATGGCCCTGCCCGCACGCGCACTTTTCTCAGCCTGCTCGCCAACCACGCCGCGGAAATATTTCCAGCTCATAAACGTGAGTGTCATGCAGGTGATCTGACTATTGCTAATGGCAGTGGCAGACTGTAGGGCTTGCTGCAGAAATTGCTTGGTTTGAATGGTCGACTCGGAGTGCACAGTGGCGCAGACCAGAAAGTAGGCAGCCTGTATATACTTGTTTGGGGTGCCTTGGCAGAAGGGCTCAATGGTGGCGATGATGGAGCCCAAGAGATGGTGCGACGGGTGGTTTGGATCGCGAAGGATGAGGACTGTGTTCAGCGCAGCAAGAATGCGCGTGTCTCGACACGGGTCATTACGAGATGCTCTGCTGGTTGCGGGATCGAGGGATAGAAGTGGTGATTGGAAGATGCTCAGCGCGATGGTCAGGTCGCCCGTGGCCTGAGCAATGGCGCCAGCGGCATATTCAATCAGACACTCGATGGTGTAGGGAAGGGTGGATCCAAGCTCCTGGAACACTTGTTTCAGGTCATTGAGGGTCTGTTTCGCGAGATCCCAATCAGTCCGAGAGCATGCCAGAAATACTCGTTGGAGTAGCAAGTTGCAGTAAAGGGACTGTCGCCATTGAACTCTGCGATTAGCCGTAGCCATTGATTCGGAAATTGCCTGGGGCGCCTTGAAGCTGCTCTGGACCATCTTGATTCCTTCCTCGAGGTACTTTTCCGCTTTTCGGCCATCATATGAGTTCTTGGCGCTGAGCGTCATGGAGCTCAGAAAATAGCAAAGGGTATAGAGGTCATGTTGAGGAAGCCAGCTGAAACTGAGAAGCAAGGTTCCGTTCTGCACCTGCAAGATGTCACCTGTGTCAATTGACGATGGCCCAGCAGACTTCCCATTAAGCGGAACGGCAAAGGACCCATCCGGCCGCCAGTTGCTATCGCTGAGAGTTTCGTCCATCAAGGCCTGCATAACCTTCAACTTTTGTCCAGATTGATTGACATCATACTCCAACACGCTGCAACAGATATCCACCATCTGGATCATGGTGGTAACTTGGGGTATATGGCGAAGCTCATCGTTGAGCTGATGGCTTCGTGCAGCAGCGACCGCACGCTGCGCCTGCTCAATGGAATCGGAGCTGGTTCCTTGCTGCAAGTGCGCTAACGATTCAATGACAGCTGCCATTGCCGACACAGCTTTATCACCGTTGCGGCTGGCCATGGCCGTGATTTTGTGCAGATGATGTAAGGCTTGAACGGAGTCCTGGTGTGATGGACACGAGAGTGACAACGTGACTCGGAGGAAACGGAAAGCATATTCCCATGCGGCATGACGGTATCTACACTGATCAGCATCTCATATTCCCAAACAGCGAAGGGCACATACGCTTCCACGTCTTGGATCATGCCATCGACGGCCTTCAGGGAAGCCTTAGAATTCGTTTTGTGCAGCATTCTCGCCAGGAGGTGCTGCATGCTATACTTGAGGTCAAGCATGCGGTTCTATGAAGGTCAGTGGTGAAGTTCATGTGGTATCAGTTTGTTGCACTAACCCGTTCACAAAGATCAATCTGCTCTAGTTAGCCGATAACTCGGACGACGCAGGGGGATCTGGAAATACTCACACCTTTACTCAGCGCCGTTTCCGCCTCAATGTCATTATCCGTCTCCTCGAACAGTGTACGTGCATAACGAAGTCGGACCAGGGCTTCTTTTCGGGGCTGCAATCGCCAATTCTGTGACGCTCAAAGTCAATATGTGCTCAGAGACTACAAATCATCGTCAAGCTAACCTTCAGGACAGCTTCTAGGCACCCAAGCCCAGTAGCAACTAGTTTATAATATTCATCGACATCTGAATCCCCGCTAGCCATTGATGTCGGTGTTCCACGGGCGTGGGCAGCATTGAGGTATTCGTCGGCCAATGACAATAACAGAACCTGGTAATCGACTGGGGGCTTCGAAGGTTTGGCAGCCACAGATTTCCCAACCTTTTCAGCAGATTGATGACTGTTCCTCTTATCGGCATGAGATGATTTCGGTTGCTGATTCGCGGGCTGTGTCTGCATCTTCATACTCGCTTTGATGTCCGGTGAAGGGGCCGGGATCCTCACCTGTGGCACAGCTTGTCGGGGTGAGGGAGTTGGGATCATTACTTGCGGCACAGCATGTGTCATAGGCGAAGGAGCAGACGGAAGCCGTTTTGGCGTTGCGACTGAAGGTGTCTGAACTTGCTGGACTTGTTGAGGCTGCACTTTGGGTGATATTTGCGACAGTTTTGCTTCCTTTTTTATGACCGGCTTAGCCTTTGGTTTAGCCTTTGGCTTTAAGTTCGATTGGGTTTGGGGATGTGGTGTTGGCATAGAAGGCTGTGCTTGGATTTGAGCGGTTTGGGCGTTGGGCTTGGGACTGATAGAGGGCAGGACAACTTGGACAGCTGGCGATTGCGAGGGTAGCGGCAAATTTGGTTGTATATGAGAAGGACTCGCAGGCGGGGGCATTTGTGGTTCGCCATATTGAGGAGAAATTTGCGTATATCGGGATCGTGGTGCCGCAGGTAGCGGCTGTTGTACAAACAATTGAGACGGATTGATGAACTGATGCTGAGGTTCCTCCTGTTTCACTTGAGGCTGCGGTATAGAGGGAGGCACAGGGGCCCGTGGTTGGGGAGGTGTCTGCGCCTGGGGAAGGATTCGTGGTCCGGACTGCGGCCGTGGTTGGATAGTTTGCTGTGGTAGTTGAGGCGGCTGCTGTGGGGGTGTTTGCGGAGGATGGGACTGTTGCGGCTGCGCTTGAGGCGGATGTGCATATGTGGACGGATATTGAGGATATGGCATCATGGCCGAGGAATACATGTTCGGCTTGCCATATCCATCGTATGGAGATGGCGGAGGACCGGCATTATTGTACAGTATCTGCGGGGGGATTTGTCCGTGTTGGTACTGTGGCGGCGGTATATAATGCGGGTACTGACCAGCTCCAGGTGGTGGGAAGCTCATCGCCCCGAGATACAGACACAAGTCCTACAACTTGAGTCTCAGGATCAACGCGTGGTGGTTATAGGACCTTCGCGCTTTCGGTCCGGATAAACCACCGGGCGGTCAGCTGATAAGGATGCGATATCCATTTCTTTGTGCATCGACCATTGGGGATGAAGATGCGGCTTCATGAACTCCAGGGCTACATGTAAGGTACGTGGTACAAGTACTGGTAGTGATTTCTAGGTATATTCTTAAATCACACGCTAGGATTTCCCGTGGTTTGGAAATACTCAGATGTGAGTAAATTTATGTTGGCAAGAATTCCGAGGCCTCAATAAGCGTTCCCAGGATAAGCACTCGAAACAATATAGAACTAGTGTTCACTTCTCATATAATTGACAATATTGTATCCTCATACCTACATACCTAGTAGGTAATACACAAGGGTTGAAACCTGAGTGTCAAGGCAAAAGAGTATCTCCAGGATTCCAAGGAATGTGCAAATATCATAAATACAGGTATCAAACCTGCTGTACTCCGTAGCTCGCTAAAAGATCGGATCACTGTACGCTGACAAAAGTCAGAAAGAGCAAAGAACAGAACGCAAAAAGCGACGTCAGATCTTAAACTCTTGCAGAAGCATCTAAGTCTTCTCTTGTCGCTGTCATAACTCGTTAAATCATGTCGATAGACGTATAAAGCTGACTGATGGGTTGATTACCTATTCCAGGATCGAGTATCTCCTGTTCTATGCTGGGCGCGAAAGACAGCGCCGGATGTGCCCGCACCGTCCATGGACAGAGCTCATTGCAGTTGTCGACGCCGATAGATGGTTCAGCGGGGTGAATCCTCTGCGCTGCCCAAGTCTGATCGGGCACCGAGCTTGTGCCTCCGAGAGATCGTTGCGTCGAGAATGAATATGTTGCTTTGCCGGATTTTTCGGAATGGAAGGGCGCTTTTCGAGGGCATTTGAGCGATGTGTCACATGCACTGCAGACGGAGATCCGTTGACAGGATGAGCAGAACGTATCAAAGAGTCGACAGATGGTGGTTTGGTGAACACTTGAAACCCATAGGTCGACCGAGCGATGAGCACAGCCAAATCGTGGCGTCATAAATTCTTCCTTGCCAACCTGACCGTTCTCGGTGGTGAGCTGGTATTCAGTACGAATCACCAGCTGGTCGTCTTGATCAAGTTCCGGGAACAAAGATGTTTTCAACTCGGTAGGGCCATACTGTTCGGTACATGTGTGCCAGCAATAGCGATCGTCGACTGCTCTTCCGAATTCCAACTTCAAGGCCTGTAAGGTGACCTTCCTTATTCTCATGTGATCGGCGAGGTCAAGCTTGTCGCGGAAGGTTAATTTCTTGCATGGGCACAAGTCGACAATCCCGGCCAGATCTCCAACGTTGCATGTTCGGTTCTCTGGCTTCCGCCGCAACTCTCTTGCTGAGAAGGCCTCGCGAGGATGGAGCTTGAGGCACTTGGAGCATAGTTTCATTCGACTGTTTTCCAATAGGTTGAGGAATGACCATCGGGGAGTCACAAAGTTATGCCCGTTGCGATAGTGGTGGAAGAGTGGCGCAAAATCTCGACCGAAGCGGAGGGACTTGGAGAACAAGATTTCACCGGATATCGCGAACATGCGCTTGTTGGTTAGAGCGAGCGCAGCCTCCGGGAGTACTGTCAGATGGGAGACGATCTCCAACAATAGCTCAGTGGGCAGCTCCATCAGGTAGCAACGGCTAGGGCCTTGCTCCTTCTCTTGCTTTGGTGACCAGGGTATCGATTTCATCATGACTTTAACCTTCTCGGTGGCACGATGTAGACGACCAGGCATGTCGGGAGGAAACTGTATGGAGGTCATGGGGAAAGACGACTGTCTTGGATTGGAGAAATGGTTTCAAACAACAAGGCCTCATGAGTAAATGGATCGGAGCAAATGGACGTTATCATTAATTTTCATATTGCAGAGTGCAACCTCACCGCATGACAAGCCGCATCACCTTCCAAAGAGTAAAGAGGATCTGTTGACCCTGAAGTAGTGGGCTGGAAGATACAGTAGCACGCAAGCGGACCATGGGACTGGGTCACAAAAGACGGACATCTATGTTATCAGCATTACATGTCAGTATATAAGAGGTACTGATCATCGGTACTTCAGTCCGTTCTTTGTTGAATGTTCCCTGTGCAGAACACCGGATCTTTCTCTCTTTTTCCCCCTTCATTTGCCTGTTTCAATACTGAGGCCGACTTGTCTATTGTCGCAAACATAGGGGACTCATCCCTGGCTCCATGTCGGGAGTGAATCTAGGGCTTTCCGCATGCGGAACCCAAAGTTGCCGCATTAAGCATCATATCGTCATGACTCGATTTCGGGCGGAATGTCCAAGTCCTGCCCACCGCAGAAGATAAGCAACCATCTGGCATGGTGATGGGCTCAGACCCAAAATACGCCATGACAGTGTCAACTGACTTGCAGCGAAAGCGCATCTGACAGCACTGGGGGGATGTTGCGCCTCGTGGTCACATGCTTTGACATGTGACCCTCTTTAACACGTGATGCTGCATAAGATCACGTGCTATACACCCTTTCCTTGGTTGTGCTATCTTTATGCCTGATTAGACACCTATACATGTATAATCACCCCAATTAGGCAGTGCCGAGGTTCATCTTATCGAAGTGGGAACCTTGGCTCTATTTTTGCTTTTTGCTTTTAAGGCGTTTCTCGAGTTGTTTTACTTGGGCAAAGGGCCTCTTGATCATCGATTATCTCTTTCGATTCGTATACTGGGTCGTGTGTGTCTCCGTCTTGAGCCAGTGCTCACTGATACTTTGTGCCCTAAATGCTCGACCTCACCGCAACACTCAATTCAATCCCCCTATCGGTCCTCTTATCTGGTCTGATCGCCATGGGCGTCCTGTCCTGGCTTCGCCCGAAGGGTCGGATAGCATTCCATCATGCCAAAGACAATAACTTGATGTTGACCAAGGTCTCGGGCAAAGAACAGAGCTTCGTGGATGTCTGTCGGTCTGCCACACCAGAAACATGTGAATTAAACCCATTCCTGTACAATGGCCACCTACAGACGGCCTACACCACTCTCAAACACGACAATGTTCCTGTTTACTACAAGCGTCGCATGTTCGAGTCCCAGAACCCTGGGTTTGCGGGCCATTATGCTATGGACTTTGTGGTCCCGCCGTACGACATGCCTCAAGACCCGGAATTGACTGACCAGGCGAGAACGCATACCCAGGATTCTGGTATGCCGCCTCGCACATCCTTCTTCTCTGGAGAGGAGTTTACTGCTCTTCCTTCCGACGATACCAAACCCATGCTGGTAGTCCTACACGGGCTTAGTGGCGGTTCCCACGAGGTGTACCTGCGACATGTGCTGGCCCCATTGGTGGCTGATGGTACTTGGGAAGCATGTGTGGTCAACTCCAGAGGCTGCTCGCATACTAAAATCAGTACTGGAGTTCTATACAACGCTCGGGCTACCTGGGATGTTCGTCAGGCTGTGAAATGGGTTCGACAAACATTCCCCAATCGCCCTCTGTTTGGTCTTGGGTTCTCGTTGGGTGCGAACATTCTCACTAATGTAAGCACCTCTCAACGTCTCTTATTTGGTGGTCTTGCTAACAAAATGGGAAGTATTTGGGAGAGGAGGGTGATGCATGTCTGCTGAACGCTGCTGTGGTTTGCGCTAGTCCATGGGATTTGACAGTCAGCAATGTGAAATTGCAAAATACCTGGATCGGAAAAAATGTCTACAGCAAAGCCATGGGCACCAGCATGAAGAAGCTCTTTGAACAGTGAGTGAATTTCCTCAAGTCAGTCCGTTTCAACTAACCCTTCCAAAGGCACGTGGACATGGTTTCCAAAAACCCCCGAATCGACGTAGATGCCATTCGGGGCATTACTTATCTTCATGAATTTGACCGGTAAGCTGAGTTGTGCATTTTCGCAGAGGTAGTCGTCTAACATCTAATAGTGCTTTGCAATGCCCAACTTGGGGTTATCCAACCGAAGGAGCTTACTACCGCGATGCTGCTTCTGTTGACTCTATGCTTGCTATCAGAATTCCATTTTTTGCCATTCAAGCGGAAGATGATCCCGTAAGTCCCGTCCCATTGCCGTATGGGAACGCCGCTAACTTCTTCAGATCGCCTGCAAAGAGGCTCTCCCCTATCATGAAATGGCACAAACACCATATGGAGTAATGTTGACTACTTCGTGGGGTGGCCACCTGGGTTGGTTCGAACTCGGAGGATCCAGGTGGTTTGTCAAGCCGGTATGTCCTGAATCGATCGACCAAGAAGGAAACAAGCAAATACTAATCCCTTGTAGGTGATAAACTACTTGAACAAGATGGCCAAGGAAATTGACACTACTGTTCCCGGTGTTGTCGAAAATCCCGAAAGACTCCCTGGAAACATCGCCCACCACGACGATCCCAACAAAGACCCCGATCTCGCACCGAAGCCTCAATTCCACCCTATGCAGCGCAAACTTGCACTGCCATTGGGAATCTAGGTGCTCTACTCCCGAGGTCTCTTGCCTTGCATTAACCGTTCTCGTTCAGCGGCATGTCATTTTCTGAGTGAAAGATGGCGTTTGGTATAATGATGTTTCGGTTTCGATAGAGATAGATAAACCGGTAGAACGCCGAACCCCAATATCTAAGTACATTGACGGAGTATATAGACAACAATCAAACTTTTGTTCAAGCAAATGCAACAGTCTTCTTCGTCTTAGGCTTGAAGACCTTATCCTTAATCGTAGCCTCGGGCTTATCACCAGCCTTGCCCTTCTTCTTTGCACGGAGAGAATCTTTGACGTTCTCGAGCTTGTTCTTCCTCTCCTTCATGCGGGCCTCGGCCTCGGCCTTCTTCGCTTCGCGGATCTCTTCTAATTGTCGGGCCTTCATCATCTTCGACTCAATCTGGCCTTCCTTCTCGGCGTTGACCATTGCGAGGATCGTCATCATACCCTCCTATATCCATGTGGTCAGTATGAGAAACAATTGATTCTTAATGGACGTGGAATGAAGTACCTGATCATCAACGAAAGTCTTGCCCTTCTTCTTGCCCTTGGGCTTGACCACGCCAACCGGTGTGATTTGGTTCAGCTCAGGCAAGTCCAATTCCTTCTCGGTGTACACTCTCTTCTTCTTTTTCTTCAGGTTTTCTTGGGCAGTCCGGGGCTTGGACTTCTGTTCCTTAGGTGGAGGACGCTTGGGACCATCTTTTTTGCTGGACTTGCTGACGCGCGAAGCGGATGAAGATGAAGGCTTAGCGCCCTTTGCGCCTCCAACGGAGGGACCCTTGGAAGAGCCTTTGGTCGGTGCCATTTCGTGAGGTTCGAGTGGTAGTTTTCAGAGGCGGCGTCGGTGGGGGAAAATATCTGCAGGTGGCGATAGTCAGGTAGGATATAACACCGACTCGATTGTAGATCAATGATTCCTTTGACAGAACCAGAGATATAAAAAAAAGAGACTTGGGAAAAAAAGAAACAAGAGTAAAGCGTCGCGCAAGTCTGATCCTCAAAGTCGCAAAAGAATTTTTTTGAAAAGGCAGGCGGTGAAACCGGCCCATTCCACCAACCTCAGATCGAAACCTCCACCTTTGTAGCTCAAGTTCCAACGCTCAATTCCCTTTCCTGCACCCAGTGATTGAATTGCACTGGATTGAGTGGGCTCTCAACTCTCTTTCAAAATGACTATCAACCCCACCTACCTCGCCCAGCGCACGCGCTCCTGTGAGTTTGGTCACCCGACACATTCCGCCGGGCAGTCAATGGCCTACAAGCATACATCATACCAGCAGAGTAGCTGACAATCCCTTTCACTCTAGCCGTCAACTGGGGCGATGCCAAATACCGCGTCTTGAAGTCCTACCGTGAATGGCTCCGCGCAGTCAGTCTACCCGAGAACCAGCCAATCCCAGTCCCTTGATTTGCGATATCCTCAGTCGCGATGCCAGAAGAAGCCAGTCAAGCCATTGGCCCGGCTTTCGACTCTCATTCACTCATTTCAACATCAAAGGACCTATGCTGACCTTATATCCACACAGTCCCCGGAGATCCAGACTATGTACTCCCTTGGCATGCCCGTGTCCGCTATCCGCACAAAGATCCGCCAGGAATTCGAGAAGCACCGCTACGTCGCCCAGATCAAGACCGTCGATGTTCTTTTGTACAAGAGCCACGCCGAGTTCCAGGTTAGTGCAGCCCCGTGCTGATATCAAGACTGGTGTCAAAGAGAGACAATAATAGGCCGACTGCATCTCCGTCTGGCCTTGAGACCCAGTCGCTTGATCTAGACCAGGGCTGACATTGCTTTAGGAAACCCTCAACTACTGGAAGCAGCTTTCCCACGTTATGAAGTACTTCCGCCCAGAAGAAGACCCCGGTGCGCGCCTACCCCGCAATTTCGTCTCGGGTTTCCTCGAGGGTCGCAATTAAACTCATTTGCTATTCATTTCATTTTCCTATCTCGTTCCTGGTCGCGGTGTAGCAGTTGGACTGCGCCATCGATAGACATGTGTATATATTGTCTGAATACGTCACCCATCCTCTTAACCACGTGTCCCAAGTATAAGTGTGCAGTTACTGCCTGGGGTCCCAGAGGCCTCGAACAAGTAAGACCTATTTTTGCCCTTGGAGAAGTACACTGAGCACCTTCCGAGGTCAATCCCCGGCAGACCTGTTCCCCGCGTGAACATCATTACTTGAAACGTACTCGAAACTTCTTATGCGGATTGCCAATAATTCCAAAGCAGATAGAAGCACCTGGGCATAAAGTTCTATATTCCATTTGGCTCGTGTCTGTGACTGCCACACTTAGCATCATGGATCTCAAGGTGATGCCCAAGCGTCACAGCTTTTGCTGTGGCTCACGCTGGCCATCCTTGATCCATCTGTACTCCTCTCCCATGTACTTATGCGCACGCAAGTCTCCAGAGCGAGCATGTCCTTCGAAATTTTCGGCACGAGCAGCTCTTCCACACAGCTGCCCAAGCTGGCCACTTGCTTCTCCCGCAGTGACTTCTTGGTAGGTAACAGTACGGAGGAATTTGCCTACCCACAGCCCACCCGTATACCGAGCAGCTTTACGAGTGGGCAAGACATGGTTGGTTCCAATAACCTTGTTATCTGAATTAGTCTCGAAGTTTTAAACCACTCCGTGGGAAAACTTACCTTGTCGCCGTACGAAACACAGGTCTTCTCCCCAAGGAACAAGGCACCGTAGTGTTGCATTTTCTCGAGAGCTTCCCGAGGCCTCCTTGTTAGGATTTGAACATGCTCATATGCATATTCGTCGGCAAGCTGGTAGGCTTTGTCAAGATCCTCCACGACTGCGACTTCGCCAAAGTTCTTCCAAGATCCGCCTGCAATGTTTGCAGTCTGCAGATTTGGCAACAGCTGGTCAATATACTGCATGGTTCGAACAGCCACGGTCTCTGAAGTTGTGATCAAGACAGCTGGAGAGTCGATACCATGTTCCGCCTGCGATAGAAGGTCTGTTGCGATGGTGAAAGGATCAGCCGCATCGTCTGCAACTATCAGAACTTCAGTCGGGCCGGCAAACAGGTCTATGCCAATCTCGCCAAAAAGTTGACGCTTCGCCTCAGCCACAAAGGCATTACCGGGGCCGGCAATGAAGTCTACCTTCGGGATAGTTTCAGTGCCGACGGCCATGGCTGCTATCGCTTGGACACCTCCAAGAAGATAGATTTGGTCGGCCCCGGCATAATGCATTGCTGCAATTGTGGCATATGGGATCTTTCCTGCGATAGGAGGAGTGCAGCCAATGACATTTTTGACCCCCGCGACCTTGGCGGTCAAAATCGTCATATGAGCAGACGCAAGCAAAGGGTACTTTCCACCAGGGATATATCTTCAAAACTCCATCCATTAGCAACTGGCTGTCCAGGACTCGATGATTCACCGGGTCTGGGAGAAGACTCACGCGCCAACGGACGAGATTGGGATATTCTTTTGTCCCAGATGAACGCCAGGTGACATCTCGATCTCAAAGTCATTGAGAGATCGGAGCTGCGCAGAGGCAAAATTGCGTACATTTTCCTGAACTTGATGAATGTCTTTCTTGGTCTGGTCGGATACTTTGGTCAGGATTTCGTCGATTTGCTGTTTGGATAGGAGGAATGACGCCGGTGACCATTTGTCAAACTGTTCGGAGTACTTCCGTACAGCCTGGTCACCTTTTGCCCGAATATCCGCAATGACACCACTGACAATAGTGGGAACCTGAGAATGCTTTTGCTCAGTTAACTGAGCTTGAGTTTGCTTGAGGTAGCGCGTCATTGTGTGATTTGATGAATATGGGAATATACCGTTGAGTCAAAGCATCCAACAGAAGACCTCCGGACCCTTAAATATCCCGAATTATCTACCATTATCTCATAGCCAGCAGCCGAGGAAATGCTAGTGCGGATTCCCCTCACCATCGACAAGCATCGAGGCCGTATAGTTCGCGACAGATGGGTCTGGCGGCTGTGCTAACCGGAAGTGGTTTAGTGTGGACTCACTGCTTCGGCGTTCTGACCGACCCTCGCCTCCACATATGTGGTCAGCCGAGCCGTACACCTGGGAGTCTATCAACTGGGAGTGCTGGTAGTCGGATCTCCATGCTTGACATTAGCAACAAGCCGGCCACGGCCAATACCCGACAGTCTCCTGGGGAAAGACTTCGGCTTAGCTATGACGTCGGCCCAGTGGACAACTCCTTCGAGTCGCGCAAGAACAGGCTGCTTGACTTGCAGGAGCCGCAAAAAGAAATGTGACGAGAGAAAACCGGTGTGCACTGCCTGTGACTCAAAATCTTTGAGATGTGAGTGGCAACAACACATTAAATGGAAACCGCCTTTGGTGCCTTTGGTCCACCCTCCCGTATTCAATTCATATTTCGACACATCTTCTTCAGGGACCTCAAAACCCCATTTCCAAAAGCAAGATGGTCGAATTTTCCATATACATGACCTTCTTAGGTCTTCTCCGGACTATCAGGTCTTCCAATCCACATCCAACATGCCTTACTGTCACCCAAGTCCCTCCTGTCCACCCCCAAGAATGGTTCAACCATCGTTGTTACCTCAGATGAAGAATGGAGATTCAAATCTTCTAAACCATTACCTTCAGCGAACAGCATCCTGTATGGACAACGGTGCAACTACTTCAAATCCATTCTTGGTACAACTCGTACCCATCGCCATGTCCAGCGAATTCATCATGCAGCTTATTCTAGCTCAAAGTTGTGCCCACCGGGCCATCAAGCAGTCGGAAATTATTGGCACAGATGTAGCCGTGCAATACAACAAAGCTGTGTGTGCCTTGCGTCTGGCCGTCAACAAATTTGTTACTCAAACGGGACATGTAGATCCCTTGATCTTGACGGTTGGCATTTTAGTGATGTGTTTCACTGAGGTATCCCTCCTTGTCAAAAGCAATCAGTGGATGGCCATGGCTAACATTACTAGACTACTCGAGGCGACACAACTGGGGTCATATTCAATCATATCACAGCAGCGAACGCTCTTCTGCCCAATGCTCTATTTGCAATGGTCCCGCCGTTACCAGAAGATCTACGAAAGTTTCTAGTTGGATACTATATCTACACCGCATGCTGCAGCATGATATCAATCGATGCACGTGGCAGTCAGGAAATTACATTGGACACCCAATTAGTTCAAATGGCAGAATCTATGGCCCGCTGTGGATATGTTGGCAGCGTCTGTGGATGCTGGCTTGATCTGCTATTAATGATCCCGGTTGTTTTTGGTATAGGCAGGTCTCGGATTCAGCAACACACGACGGTGACATTTGACCAGACTGAGTTGCCATTGATTGAGCATCAAATCGTTCATTGGAAGCCGAATCCAGCCGCTGCTCTTGATGTGGCACTCGCAGGCTATGTTTTTCAACAAGCCATGCTTGTATATTTATATACTGCTGTCGAGGAGTTCCCTGCAGGACCCAATGGTCTTTATCGTGAGAACATTGATCTTGCAGTCGGGAGAGCCATCCAATGTCTCGGTCAGATTGATCCTGCCTCACCAGTCAATACTAGTCTATGCTGGCCCATTGCAGTAGTAGGGTCTTGCGCTTTTGATCCAGGGGATCAGCACACTCTTCGCGTGAAGCTGGACAATATGGCTCAAACCATTGGGATTGGAAATATGATCAAGACCCGTGAATTGTTGCAGTATGTGTGGTCACGAAGACCGACGGGGCCACTGGGGCTCTCTGAGGCAATGGGTGACTCGGGGATATTTATATCTTTCGCCTGACCTCACCATCGTGCCCAGGTAGTGCCTTCCAAGGTTGACAGGTTGAAGCCATGAAGACTCGAGGCCTTGAATAGCGCTAGCTCTCAACATGGAGGATGTGCGCCCTTGAAGCTTTAGAGTGCAACCTGGATATTCCAAGTTGCACAATCCAACCAGACTGCCAACTGACGATTCCATCAAAACCTTGGAAGTGCTAACATCACCTGGGCAATCATATCCATGGATGCAATTTCAAGGTTACGGTCAGCCTACCTAGGTAACAGGCTACCCGAAACGAAATGCCTGCAGCCGGAATCCTTAGGCTCATCTGCCGAGCGAATCGGCGAGCCCCGTTAGGAACGGTGCCTCGTCAGCCGGTCATCTGCGGATTTCAAAGTCAAAGAGATCTGACCCAAACTGAAGTCCTTTGTCAAATTGAACCTCTAGCATGCAAAAGGTGTCGAGAATGCATTCCCGACCCAGGCAGTTGAACCACCGGAAACCACAGTGATGGAGACAACATTCCATATGACGAAAAGTATATAACATAGAAGCAAACTCATGCGTACTTTTCCCTCTACCCAAACGCCAAAACAGCAATGCAAAACTTAAACTTCCATGCGGTTCCCACTCTCCTCATTGAACTGATCACGGGCGGAGGTGAACTTCTCTGTTACCACATCACACAGATCCATCAAGTCGTTGAAACCCTTCTCCAGAGCCTCCAGAGCAGTAGTCGAGTCTGCACCATTCATAATTAGTGATCTGGCAACTTCCGAGTCCAAGTCTCAGAGGCACAAACATACCAGTAGTCTGGATGCGGACGTGCATCTTCGCATCTGAGGGGTGGGGGATGGTGTAGCCGCAGAACTCAACGGCGGGGCTAAGAAACCGTTAGGACGTTGCGTTTTCGGAGCAGCGGCAGAGGTGCCTGTTCCAAGGGCGGTGGTACTGACTTTTTCATAATAGCGTATCGCAGGGCATTGCCCATGGTGTGGCCTTCGCCTTCGAATTGGAATGAAGCGGCAGTATCGGTGGCACCGGGGAGCTGCACATGTGTCAATGAGTGACTAGTGAATGCGGTTATGGGTGACATACGACAACGATCTGGCGTTCCTCAAGGATGGGGTCGTTCGAAACGACTTCCTGCTCAGGCTGCTCGGCATCAACCATGGACTGGTCGGGGTCTTGGGAGTGAACGGATTCAGGCATTGTGGCTTCGGGGATGTATATGAGGGGGTTATTCAGGTCGCGACGATATGCGTGGAGGGTGAATGGGAGGTCTCAGGTCCTGGCTTGCTCAGGTCAATGTCGTTTGCGCAATCTTGATCTCCAACTGAAGATATCGCGCAGAAAAAAAGGTGGGTTATCGATAGGTGACCTTCACCGCCTGCCTTTTACATCTATGTGTTTCCAATGGGATTTCCTCATGCATGTCCCATGTTCTTCTGACACTACATGCTGAATTTGTCTATTCCATAACTCAGATTGTCCTCAGACGGTGTCTACAGAGGGTGCAAGGTTGAGCGAGCCTCAACTCACCAGGATAAATAGCACACTGCCAAATTCCAACGGCATTCCGGACTTCACTCACGGTACTAGCCTTGAAAGGCACTGATCATGAGGTGATCGCCCTAGAGGCTTTTTCGGAGAAAACAGAGTATGTGTGCGGGTATTATGCCCCTCTACCCGAAATCAATGAGCCTCAATTTATCATGCAGCGCACACACAGTATAGTACTCGTACGTATTCCCCCAGACTATACGGAGTCGAGTATAGCGTTATCGTGCGTGGGAATCGCCTTTTGCCATGCTCTAGCGGCTGGGCAATATCCCAACCCGTCTTAGCCCACTGACCATCCTAAACAGTACAATGCACTAGTGAAGCATTGCATAGATCTAAATTGACCTTTGAGGCGAATGTCTAAAGTGACCAGCACGCACCCCTGGCCCGTGCCTCTCTCGAACGCCTTCAGGGCTACTGAGACACGCGAAACACGACCAATAGATCGGCGGCTTTCATTGCCGATAGGGGATTCCCAATAGTGTCGGTAGCGTGTTCCGGGAGAGACTCTCGAACATGGGCAGGTTGGGTCATGTTTCAGCGCGTTGGGCGTCTGGGGCAGATCCCATAGGACGCCACGAGCCCTAGCTTCCCCTGATATAAGCGCCCTGTTTGACGTATAACGCTATGTGACTGGTGATGGGATTTGTGATTCGAAGATTAGTGAGCGATTGAAATTAAACCAGATGGGGCCAGTGTCAGTGCGGAGCTGTATATTGGAAGCAATAGTGCCTGTGAAGAACCCGGGGATTTATGTGTGCGAGCCCAATGCAATCTCTACTGTCTATTAGTGTAGAGAGAAATCAAATGTGACAGTCGCAAAGCAGAAAAAAGAAAACACAACCCCAAACACTGAGTGTCTCGCACCAAAAAAGCGAGAAACGCATCGTGTCTCAGCCGGGTCCACTGAGGATCCTGAGTATCTGGTACTTCCGAGTGGAGGTCACTTGTGCTGCCCTCCCCTCATTGTGTTCCTGCGCTGCTTCGTACCCAATACCTCGCTGGACCGTTCGGTTTCTGCTTTGTTTCCCCTGGTCGTTTCTCGTTTTCCCTTCGCATCGTCTCTTGTGTGTTCAGGGCCCAGAACCCCCCCTCTTCGGATTGAGTCCATTTCTCTCGCTTGTAACTCTGGACTCTCTTTGTTCTCGGGTACTCATACTCTCCGATTGACGTGAGGGCGAGGGAAGTGCTCACATACTTCACATCATGTCTACCGCAGTAGCATCCGCCCCCTTGACTTCACCACACCCGACCCGCAACCCCAGCCCACGCAACCTCCCAGCGCTGGCTCCCCCTTCAAATTCCTCCCCGTCCCGGATGTCGACCAGTTCCAGGGATGGCGCAAAGGGGTCTCCGGCCGATAAACGAGGCCCCGGGTCTCCGTAAGTTGAGAGGGATCCGCCGGAAATTCGAGAACTGACAGGAATTCTAGTCAAGGGAGTGGCCCGCAGATCACCGTCAAAAAAGAACCCGGGTCATCACCGCGGATGCAGAGTCGGCCGCGACCTCGCAAATTAGACCTCTCGACCAGTCTCCCCTCCAGCAGCCTCTCAGTGCGCCCGCCGGGAGGGCCGATGACGGCCTCACTCCAGGACGTGGGTCTCGCTTGTCTGTCGCCGGGCTTCCAAACCCACGATCCGATCATGCGCGAGCAGCTGCAGCGGAGTCTCTCGGTCCGAGACCAGCAGCGCTCGATCATCGAGCAGCGCATGCAGAAATCCGCTAAAGATAGCGGTCCCGATGGCGTCCCGCCTTCCGAATCGATGGGCATGCCCAAGACCGCGAAACGCAGACCCCCAGGCCTGTCTATCGTGCCTCCATCCGCGTCCCAGTTCGCCAACGAGCGAGTCATCCAATCGGCTCCGCTCAATCAGACCTTTACTGGCCGGTATCAGCCACAGCCATTGACCCGCCATGTTGTCAATCAGAGCCCGACCCTGGGCGCAACCTCTCACATGCACCAGCTGCCAGCTGCTCAGACCACCAACCGTCTCCCACCACTATCCGACGTCTTCGGCTCCGATGCCATGAACCGCGACCGCGAGCCCGCCCGGGCCAACATCCACCTCGCCTCCAGCAACTCCTCCCAGTCCAACAACCTGGCCCCCATGCCCTCCCCGGGTCTCCCAGCCTCTCAAACCCCCGGTCGCCCACGCGAGTATCGCTCCGCCGAGGAGGCCGTGCAGGAAATGTCCGGCGGACGAGAGGACCTGCTTCCCCGAATTGTCCACTACGGAGGACACCAGCCTCCCACCCCACCATCCCCCCAAATCGTCCATGCAGGCCCCAAGACCGCCCCGCTCGCTCCGGAGCCTCGAGCGCCCGGTCCGCCGCCTGCGTCATTTGGCATGTTCGCCCCGTCCGACACCACCGCCCGCCGCCGCCCGAGAAGCGAGTACGAGCAGGACAACGGGACTCCTCCTCTTGGCCATGGCCCCGATTCCCAGCACCGCGCCAACCCGGCGACACACTCTGGCCCGTATGCCACCTTCTCCGGGCCCTTTGGCGCAGGGCGCGACTCTCCCGAGACGCAGCGCAGAAAGAAGGATGAGTTCCTTGGTCTCTGCGCTCGTGCTTGGGATCTATTCCATTCGTGATATATAATCTTCGCTCTTCGCTCTTGGCAGAGATCCTCCGTTTGGTTTCGAGCAATGATGGAATTTGCTCGAATCGACGGAGGTCTGCCGGGCTCTCTATATCTACTTCTTTTCCTGGGAGTTGCTTTGTTATGCACATCCCAAGTCCCTTTGGCAAGACCAAACCATGGGCAAACTGCATGTCTTTCGACTTGATCCTGGACGATCGAGTCAACATATCGTGTGATCTACGACAGATTCAGGGCCGACCCTGTAAAATCTTCTTGTTTCTTAGGCGTTGGGAGGTTTCCGTGTTTTGCAATATACCTTTTGATGATGTTTTGGGAGATAAAGCATTTCTGGCAATGAGTTCTATCTGATGTATCGGTTTCTTTGTGACGATATGCGGTATTCTCTTCGGTAATCCTAATAACTTTTATCTTCTTGATGCTATTGAAGACATATTTACTCCAACCTCCTCCTCTTCCCCCCATTAGGCATACCATCATCCTGAGCTCCTCTCCTCTCCCAAGGCATCTCCTTCTTCTCCTTGGAAGCCACCTTCTTCCTCCGACGCTCAAGCGCCTTGCTACGCTCCCTCGAGCCCATCTCCCCGTACTTCTTCTCAAGAACCTGCTTCTTCAGATCAGACTTCTTCAAGTAGTACGGCGTAGCCTTCTTCCCCTCCTTGATAAGCTGCTTCTCGCGACTCTTATGCTCCGCCCGAACCTCCTCCTCGCGCTTCTTATTCGCCGCAGACCGCAACTTATCCTGCGCGGTGCGAATCTGGGCCTTCAGCTTCTCCTTCATCTCGTAATTCTTTGTCTTGCCAAGCTGCGCCTTCAGCTCCGCAAGCTCTGACGCCCGGTACTCGTCCAGGAAAGCGTAGGCCTTTCCGCCATGCGCATGCTTCCCTACACCGCTGTGTCCCATAACCGCTGCGTCGAAGCGCGGGTCCCGGGCTTTAGGAGCATTCGGTAATTCGACAGCTGTTCGACGCCGTGTCACGGCGCGCTTGCTTGACATTTCCATAGGTGCGTGTTTTGAGGTGCGAGCTTTTTGATCTTTGACTTTTGAAGCGGCGAGCTCTTTGGCTTCGCGCGCTTCACGGAGCTTGGCGCGGATCTCGTCGACCGTTGATGTAGATGTGGTGGGTTCGCTTGATTCGCTGTGTTTTGATTTACGCTTCTTGTCACTCATGGAGGATTGCGCCTTGGCGAGTGCTCCAAAGGAGATTTCTGCGAGTGAGGATTTGAAGTCGTCGTTTTCGGGCTCGGAGGGCGCCCTGGACTCTGCATCTGAGTCTGAGTCGTCTTCTTCTTCATCTGAGTTCATTTCCTCTGGCTAGTTGGCTCCTGTTAGTTGAGTATTCATTGTATTGTAGACTTTGATCGTACCTCTGATTCAACAGAGCCGTTGGATTCGGCTTCGGAGCCAGCTTCGGAGATCTCGTCGCCGGAGGCTGATGCGTCTGATACATCATCATCATCCTCTGGCCGAGCACGCACTCGGCGATTGAGCTTGTCTGATAGAGCCATTTTGCCGTGGTCTGTGTATGCGCAGTCCCCGCGGAGGAAATGAAAAGAAAAATATTGCCGTCGGAGGCGGTCAGGGCGATAAGAAGATTGGATCGCAATCGGCGGTCCCGCGAGAGTCAACTGGAATTGCTGGAAGATGGTTTGCTTGCATTTCTAGATGTCTCTTGGCCTTTTACAAGCTGGACATCCTCGTCGTTGTTCAAAATATCCCCCAACCTTCTTTCTTTCTCTCGGCACGGCCAATCGAGTAGGTCTCTCTCTACCCTGTCGCGATTTGGTCGATTTCTGACATTGCGAAAAAGGCTCCGAGATCAAACTTCTTTTCCCTGGGTGACCCAAGCCCTTTTGATTCCTCTTCCGGTCCCTCAAATACTTCCAAGCTGCCTCGCGTACGGAAAAACCCCGAGCGCGCGCCTCGCGCTGCTCATTCTGGCCAAACACCGGATGCCCAGTACCCAGGCTCGCCTTATCATGCTGTGAACATGGAAACGCCAAGGCAAAACAAGTGGGGTGGACGGTCATCGCCGTACCACCCTGAGTCCTATAGTGTGCCTCATGTGCATCAGACGGTGGAATACGACCCAGTAACAGGCGGCCCCCGCCAATCTTACACAACTGCCATGAATGTCTTTGGGAGCCCAACGCAACCGATTCCTTCGATAGAAGGGCAGTACAGTGCTTTCAGTGGTTTCCAGAACCAAGTGGCGGGTGCAAGTTTCTTTCAAATGCCACAGACACAGACTCAATCCTGGATGAGCCCATCTTGGAGGCAGGGACCTAATAGCGGCCAGTCTCCCTCGTTCCCCTACTCACCATTCAACCTCTCATCGCTGCCCCAGCAAGGCGCGCGGGCGATGAGTACATCCGCCATCCAGGGCAATCCATCTGTGCCACATACCAAAGATCTCCCGCAAAGAGCACGTTCCAAGACACCACAGGTCAAAGTGCCTGCCGCAACATTACAATATCTGAACCAAGCGTCATTAAAACCGGAAGAATTACCTTCAAAACGACCGCTGCTGATCATCCTAGATCTCAACGGCACTTTGATCTTCCGCAAACTGCGCAGGTTCCCACCCAAGTTCTCCCGGCGTACAGGCTTGGATCACTTCCTTGCAGCTTTGATCAAGAACTACAAGGTCATGATCTGGTCGAGTTCCCAGCCGCCAACCGTCCATGCAGTCTGCGAGCAGATCTTCCCTGGTACGATGCACGATGCTCTCGTTGCTCTCTGGGGACGCGATAAATTCGGTCTCTCAGACCGCCAGTATAACAACAAGATTCAAGTCTACAAGGAGCTCCACAAACCATGGGCCGATCCTGTCGTTCAAGCCGCATTCCCCGGGAACGAGCATTTAGGTGGCCCCTCCGCGACATCATCAGACGGGCCAGCAGGCACGGCATCCAGGCGCACTCTGCGGAGTAGGCAAGAGCAAGCGAGTAAACTCCCCGCGGGTCAACGCTGGGATCAAACAAATACCATCTTGATCGACGATAGTAAGCTCAAAGCCCTGAGTGAACCCTTCAATATTCTCGAAATTCCAGAATTCAACGACAACCCCGACGTCGACGAGTCAAAATTGTTCGCCAAGGTCCTGCACTGCCTCGATATCTGCTCTCGCCATGACGACGTAAGCAAAGTCATTCATACTTGGAACGAGAGTGCCCAAAAAAGCGGCTGCAGCATCCTCGATTTAAACCTCGGATTCGATGATACTGCAGTTGACACTGAGGACGGTGGAATTAATCTCTTCCCCGAGCAACTGAGCCAGGTTGGCAAACTCATCACAACCAACATTCCAACAACTCAACCGGGCAATGGCAAGAAAGCCAAGAAAGCCAAGAGCAATCCTCCACCAGCCCAAACGGAGGAAGAGAAAGCCGCCAAACAAGCTGCCAAGAAAGGACGCAAGAAGGCCAAAAAGGCCGCCGCCCAGGCCGAAAAAGCTGCTGCTGCTGCCCTAAAGGCCGCCAAGGCAGAAAGCAAAGCCCAGGCTGAAAACAATCCTGCTCTGACGGAATTGGGGATCCAAATTGATGACAATCCTGCTCTCACGAAGCTAGGAGTCCTGGTCGATGACACTGCTTTCGAATCATATGACGGGGAAAATGACCCAGCATGGAGCCCAGACGAAGACGGGCCCCAGCCCCAGTCCCAGCCGCAACCTCAAACCCAACCCCAATCCCAATCGCGAAAGCGCCCTAGTCGCGCACAGAGACTTGCCAAAAAGCAGAAAAACATGGCTGGCAAAGTGGAAGAGGCGGAAGACGTGGCAGAGCCGGCGCAGGAACAACCACCCAGATCTCGGTATAACCTGCGGCCTAGCAGGGTCACTTTTGAGAATGATGCTATGGTTGGGGGGTCCGAAGCTGAGCATCAGAGTCAGAGTCAGAGTCAGAGTCAGAGTCAGAGTCAGGACCAGGACCAAGAACCGGAATATGAACCTCCTTTGGACATTGAGCCGGTGGTTGTTGACAAGGTGAGGAGGTCTCCGTCGCCTGTGTCGGTTGCGTCTGATAATTATTTGCTGGATCGGCTGGAGGAAGGGCTTGGATTCAGGAAGTAGGTGAGGTGAAAGGTGGCTGCCAGGTGCTATTCGTTTTGTTTATGGATATCCCATTGTATAGATTACAATTTATTTTTCTTGGATCTCTTGGATCTATTCATGGTACGGAAGAGTTTGGGGCAATATGCTACTAAGTACATACGAGTGATGAAAGAAGTAATCTCGTAGAAACCAGGTCGCAGCCTTCGAAGACATCATCTAATTCTCCAGGGCTATGAATCTAAAGTTTCTGCGAACTTTCAAGATTCAAGGTTCCAATGTTAGAAGCTCCGAGGTCTCTTTAGGGCTCCAAGGGGTTTCCCGCCTCGACGGTATATATTGTGTCCATGGGTCACCAAATACTAGCAACACCTAGTCACTTTTGAAGAAACACGTTGAAGGTCCAAATAGTAAGCCCTGGAGATTGTTCTCATGTCGAGATACCCCGGACACAACCTTGGAATCTTGAATATTAATGGTACTATATATGTAGGTGAGTACTGATGAACTTCGAGTGATGGGATCTACAAGCCGTGGGCTTCATTTGTGTACAGCTGGCCTCAGCACTTGAGACCAAACCCACTAGAGGAGTCTCTGCGAATGCCCAGGCGTGCTCGACGAAAAGGCCCAGACATCCATATGAGCATGTACCAAACCCCGAAAAGAACCTTGTAACGGACATCTACCACCCAACCGGGGTGTTGAAGCTACGAGGAGATCAAGAGAAAATCACTGAAATCAGACATGGTCTATTCTTTCATTGCTAGACTAAACTAGCAGCGACCTGGCCGGCTGGGATTGTCGTAGTAGCAATTCCCAGACCAGCTCGGTCGTTCATCATTCCACGTTGCAACTAATTCGTAACCGTGATTCAACATCAACACGTAAGACCAAGAGGTCAAAGATATTTGGATAATCCCAAAGAAATTTCAGGCGGGAAAAGAAGAGAATTGACGTAAGGCGTGGGTCTTCAAGCAGACGTCATTCGGGGTATTTGAGGATGAAATTTTAGAAGGAGAGAGAGGCGCACACGCTTATTTGAAGACGTGGCCGTCGGTCCACTCCTGGACCTTGTCACCGGTGGTGACGGGGACATCCTGGCACCACATGTCCTCGACGAGCTTGCGGTCAGCCTCGTTGGAGGGGTCGAGCTTGACGAACTCGTATCCCTCCCAGTCGGGGCCGACTTGGAAGGCGGGCTCCCACTCCTGGCCGCGGACCATGAAGGCACCGTAGACGACACAGTCGTAGTTGTTACCGTAGACGGACTGGGCACCGAAGAGGTACTTGCGGGAAGCCTCAAGACGGGCCTGGAAGCCACCGATCAGGTTGTTGGCCATGAAGGTGAGCTTGAGCTCGTTGTTGTACTTGTAGTTGACCTTCCAGAGAGAGTACTCATCGGCCTTGAAGTTCTGCCAGAACCAGGGCATGGCGACAGTGCGGGGCTCCTCGTTAGAGAAGTAACGCTTCCAGTCATCGAGGATGAGAGTGGGCTTGCCGAGAGCCTCAAGGGGGTGCTTGGGCTTGGGGGCCTCAGCGGGGGGAGCAGCGGGGGCGGCAGCGGCAGCGGCAGCGGCCTTGGGCTTCTCCTCCTTCTTAGGGGCGACGTACTTGATCACCTCCTCGGCGAACTTGGGGTTGGGGAAGACAGCCTTGAAAGCCTCCTGGTTGACCAGGGTGGTGTACCAACGGGTGGTAGCGGGGTTCTCCTGGCGCCAGGTCTTGTCAAGGACAGTGGCGAAGGCGCGGGTGAGGAGAGCGGCAGAGAAGATATCAGCCAGGGTGATACGCTCACCAACAAGGTAGGTGTTGGCGGTGAGGTGGGCCTCAAGAGGAGCGACGGCCTTCACGGCAGCCTTGGCAGCCTCGTCGACGGTCTTCTTGTTGTAGCCATCGAGACCGAGGAGGGGACGGTACCAGGCACCGAACTTGGGGAGGACCTCGGTGTTGGTGAAAGACAACCAGCGGAGGATGGAAGCGTAGTCCTGCTTGGTCTTGCCGAGGAGAGTGGTCTTCTCGTTCTGGGAGGTGACTAAGAACAGGACATGTAAGTCAAGTTGCTTTAAACTTTGGAAGTGCCAATGAAGCAATGAGAGGTGCCAATGGCACAATCTGTTGTTCCAAGGAAACAAAAAAAGGGGCTTGGGCCCAAATTTCCCCCCAAGTGGGGTAGCCAAAATTTTTTCAGAAGGTTATGTCTCAACAGTTATAGTTCTGCCAGGGATAACTAGTAATTTTTATGGTATCTCATCATAAAAATTGAGGCTTGAAAATTGGACCCAAGATGGGAGAGGGGAATCAAGGGGTGTTCACGTACTGTAGACGGCAATGGCGATGGCCTCGGAGAGGTTGAAGCCGTTGGCACCCTCGAAGGCAGGAACCTTGCCAGCGGGGTTGATCTTCAGGTACTCAGCGGTGGCAGCGGCAGAGTTAGGCACGGTGTTAACAAGCTCAAGCTCGAGGTCGTTGTGCTTAGCAGCGACCAAGATGGCAAGAGTGCGACCGTTTTCCTGTCCAATGTCAGAAATATATCAAGGACAGTGAGAGCAATGCACATACAGGCTGACCGTAGAGCTTTCCGAACGCCATTTTGAATGTGATGTGGGATGAAGAGAAAAAAGGAAGAAAGAAAAAGGGTGAGGGGCATTTAACATGAAAATTGTGCTAGGCCCCGTCCGGATGAACTAATATTGCGGCGGTCACATGATCCGAAAAACAGAACCTCCCGTGGAGTCTATCAAGGCCTCCGTGAGAGAGCTCAATCCACATAATCATCAATCATGGCGTGGCACAAACCCAATGGCCTCACCCAGGCCATGCAATCCCTCCGGCTAACTTCCGCAATCTCAAATTCCTCAATCAATGCCTCCCGACCAACCTTCAACGCCCTCCGCACACGCACCTACGCAACTGAGACCGAAGCAGTCTCCATCCCCGCAGTCGCAGCCCCCGAAATCGACTTCGTTTCCTTCTCACAAAAGCCCGCCCGGATCATCCCCGCATCCAGAGCCTATTTCTCCGGCAGCCCGCGATTCATTGATGCCCTGCTGGAGCTCGAAGCCCTGCAAGCCAGACATGCCGGCCTTCCGACTGTCGCGCCTGCCGAGGCACCGCGCATGGCCTGGTTCAAACTTCCCCAATTCCGTGACTTTGTTGGAGAACCGGTCCCCAACAAGAAATACAAGTCCCTGGTCAAGATCCTGCAACAGTTGAACCGTATTCAGCCCGAGTTCCTCCCTGCCGACGTGCGCGACACTTTAAACAAGTTTTTGCGTCCCGGTAACCCATACTCCAAAGAAATTGTCCCTCGCACTGTGGATGAGTCTGGACTTGCGCGCGGCAAGGCTAAGAGAAAGGAATCACACGCTGTCGTGCAGCTTGTTGAAGGCGAGGGTGAAGTGCTGGTCAACGGAAAGAATATCGTGAATGTCTTCAGTCGTCTCCATGATCGTGAGAGCGCCCTATGGGCTCTACAAGCCACACAACGCTTGGATAAGTATAATGTCTGGATTAAAGTAAAGGGAGGCGGTGTTACCGGCCAGGCCGAGGCCATCACATTGGCTGTTGGTCGTGCTTTGCTGATGCATGAGCCCGGCTTGAAGCCTGTTCTCAGGAAAGGTAAGCTCTTCAATTTCCATGGCACCCTCGTGGTCATTCATTTGATATGTGTTCTAACTTTCATCCCTTCGCAGCTGGTGTCATCACAGTCGATCCCCGTCGTGTCGAGAGAAAGAAGCCCGGTCACGTCAAGGCTCGCAAGATGCCCACCTGGGTCAAGCGTTAAGGCAGAACGAGCTCCAAGTGTTCTCTGTCTTTTTTTGTTCCAACACTGTATTATTTCACCAGCCATGGTACCCCGGGTTCCTGTTTTATATCCTGTACTCTCGATGCATATGAAGCTATCAATTTCAAGATTTTGTCAACCTCATATCAATTTTCACTCTCAAAAAGCTGATTCTCGATCATGGCAAGGTGAATAACGGTACAATTCCCAGGCTGCCCAGGTGCCTACCTAAACATAGCCAGCTATATGTGGGAATACCCATGGATCAGATTGAGCTCCTTTCGAGGAAGCCGATGGGCTTTTCGCAGCACATACGTTGGTTCTGACTTGCAGCATGTGCTGTTTTTGTGAGACTATATCAAGTCAAAGCCCTGGCAGCTTAAGAGGATCTTTGGCCAGGCTAAAACATACCCTCATGCCCGAATTTGCCCTTCAAAACATCCATGGATGCATCTGAACTCTGCAAGTATCGGGGCTCGTTGCAAGAAGCAAGTATTCATCCTCGGCAGGCCCCCAAGGTTACACCTTCAGGCGATGGATCGAAGGAAATTCACATTTGATCCAGTGCTTCGAACTTAAGAACTCGGAAGGGTCTCGGGAATCCCGATATTATTCCAGTAGTCCTGCAATCGCCTCGGTATATCCTCAACACCAATCCAGATACTTCCAACCTTCGAAGCAGGAACAGTCATTAATCACGAGGTCAAGCATCTGAAACCTCGCCTTGACGTCACAAAGGAGTTCCCTGTGCCATGAATATTCCAAGGTTCCAGTGTTACCGAGACTACCTAGTACTAGGTAGGTAAATTTAACCTTGAAGGACCGAAATATATCTTCGACTCATCAACATCCATCCATGGATTCCGTGATAACCATGAGCGCACAAGTACCTAGGTAATAGGGCTCCAAGGTTCAAGGTTGCAATGTATGCGTTGATCATAAAGCAAATATTTCAAGTTGAAACCCAGAGAGTAGTGTGGGTGATCCAGCTGCCTATGCAAATCCCAATACCGAAAGCAGACCTCCAGAGGTCGTCTATCAACCCAAACCAATACCCGTGGACCTAAGTAGGCCCCCCGAGGTCTGATCACAAAGATACAAATGAAACCAACCCTATGCCCGAATTTCAAGAAATGCAAATCATTTCCTCCGTTTTGGTGCTCCTTGCGCCAAACGCCTTCCATTTTGTTGCTGCTTTCCCATGCACAGCCTTAGCTCCATAAACGACACGTGAGAAATGACAAGGTTGAAATAAAAAAGGAACAGAAGTCAAAGTCTTTGACAATAAAGACGAAAGGAAAAAAGAGAACCCGAGAGATTCAGTGACATTCTAGGAATCAAATGAGATTCCTAGTTATATACAGTTCATGGGTTCGTCAGAGGGAATTGTCCGAACAACTGGAATGGCAGAAAATAAGCAAAGACGACAAAGTGATAATCTCGCAATTGAGCCCATCCTATTCGTCCCAGGAGATGACCAGGCAGGTTGGTAGATTTGGGGCTTGGGGCCAAGAAGGCCCCGAAAGCCCTAAGACCAACGAACAATTGCCTTGTGTACGGCGTACGCAACAAAGTGACTCAGCAATTATCACGTCGATCTTCCTGATCACACGGTATGCATGGAGATAAGATTGCTCGAGAGAGGTGATAGGTTACCTCTGGCGAGGTCAAATCTGACATTGGTCGTTTGGCGCAACGCTAGTAAGCAATAGTCTCTCCGTGGCTGGTGATATGTACTCCGCAATGTGATCGGCACAGCTGAATCCAGACCTTTGGGTATTTGGATTTCACGATTGTTTGCTTTTGTTTTGTTTTGTTTTGTTTTGTTTTGTTTTGTTTTTCTTTCTCCACTCCCTCCAACCTGGTTCACGGTCGAGGTACCGCTGCTCTGGGCTCGGGAATGGTTGGGATATGGTGGAGCTCGGGACTACCTTCCATCAGGTCGAGGCATTGACTCAAGACTGGACAGCATTAGCAAGAATTGGTCTTAATCAGTACCGGTAATTCACCTACCGGAGAGAATCTCTTCCTCCCATATACCCATTTGGTAATCCACCAAGCCGTGTTGTTCCAATTGATCACATAGTTGTATCAAATCGGTCCCCATTGACTCCATACGATCACGTCGAATTAGACTGACCTGGGTCAATTGATGGCCGGAGCTTATCATGTCTTGAATCAAGTCCTTTTGCTTTTGACAGACAGCTAGCCAGCAAAGGTTAAAGTTGCTCCAAAGTTCCAGACGGTCTGGATAATGGATGCTATCGTCATGGAGGAGGCCTATATATGTAGCAGGTTAGCATGCAACTGTATGACTTCGACGACATGGTGTCATGTCATGACTGTATGACGCATGCCTGCAGACTCAGAGACGACATGAGGGGCCAAAGTAGACTTGAAAAAAAGAGGGACCAGCCGGGAGTGTGACTTTTGTGCTACTACCGCGACTCAGGGTAGACTGTGCCCGACCTGACTCTCTGTATTCTTTTTTGAAAAATCCAAAAAGTAAAAAAAATGAAAAAATGAAAAAAATGAAAAAATTCAAATCTTTTGAAAAGCCTGGAGACCCCGAAGGATGCAAGACCAGAAATGAGGGGGAAACGAGGGGGAAAGGTGCACAGCGAGGGTCAAAAAGAAACAAGGAGATAGCATCAGCTCACCTAGATCTCGTGCATTCGTCACGAGCCACTCGGAAATCTGGGTCAAAGTTGCGCCAGCCTCTGCCAATCGTCCAGCTCGGGTCTGATCAAAGGTTTGGCGGAGGAGTTGTTGATATTGACCGATAGCCTCCTCAAGACTCGAGGGATCCGACTGCTGAGGCTCAGGTTGATCCAATCGGTTCATGGACCCTGGGCCAATGGTGGTATAATCTGGGATATTGGAGGGAAAGGCCTGAGTGGTATTGGGGCGCACCATGGGATTGGGCTGATTATAAGGGAAAGGCGTATTTAGGAAAGGCGAGAGCCCTGCGACGCCAGACTCTGCAGAGTCCTCAGCAAAACACTGTGGAACGAATTGGTTTGCCAGGGCATCAATAGCCGCAGCCCGAGTCTGGTATTGTGGAACAACCTCGAAAGGCCCTGGCGTTGGACCCTGCTGACCGAACCCATACAGCATGGAATCATAGTAGGCCTCTGGTCCCCGTCGTCGTTGCAGAGCCGAGATCTGGCGTCCTCGAACATAGTCCTGGGGGTAGCTTTGAATGTCGCTGGACTGCAGGGAACCGCCGTGAAAGGAGCCTGTGTATCCGTAGTCGTAGGACATTGGGGCTTGATCCGGGGGTTGCGACATCCCCGTTGGGTTTCCACGTGGCTGTATGGCCGGGTCAGAATCGGTCGCACGACCAGGTGCTCGCCGAGGAGCATTTCTAGATCGAGACATCGAGCCCTCATGCTTGCGTTGATCGCCATCCATCAGATTGTCCCAGCGTATATCTAGCTCGGCCCAATGCTTGGGAGAAAGCGGAGGACTTGCGTAGGATGCCAGCTTGAAGGGTGAGGGAGATCCCAGGGGATATCTTGTCACAGATGTAGATCTTGGAAGCCCTTTGGAGGGGCTGGAGGACGCCGGTTGGAGAGGTGATCCTTGCGGTTCAAGTAGACATTCGGATCTTGTCCTCTGACGCAGCCACGCAGACCCTTAAGTAACCAAAGGTAATAATAGCACAATTATTGAAAATCGAAACCCGAATGAAATAAAAGACCCAAAAACCCCAGATAGGCTCCGATGTTAAGATAGGATTAGGCACGAACCCAGGGAATTCCGGTAGATCCAAGATAATAATAATAAAAAAAGGGTCGAAAAATTCCCAAAGGATTGACGTGAAAAAAAAAGATGACACTCGAGCTGAAGATGAGAAAAGGCGTAGACCGATCCAGTATAGTGTAGCCCTACCTGACGATGAATAAGAATATCGCCTTGGAAGAGTACGAAGCAAAGGTAAGAAGGGGTCACCAAGGGAGGGAACTAGGGCTTTTCGCGCGAGTATTAAGTATTATAAGTATTGCAGGTACGTAGACTATACAGTCGGGTATGGGAAATAGAATAATCAGAACAGAATAATCAGCAATCGCAATTTGACGGCGGCTTTAGGGCTTTGTCGATCTGAACAGGATCTACACCTAAACTCCATTCGGTGCAATCGGGAACCCGGCGCTGTGGTTCGTAGCCTAATCTAACACAGATCTAACACTTGCCTAAGCTCTCTGTAAATTCACGGCGCCGGGGATTCTCATGATCAGGTGGTATTACTTTCCTTTCTTTTTTGGTGTGTAACGCTCTCCATGCTGCCTGGGGCTGATAAATTCAACATGAGACAACTCCCTTGCGTAGAGAGTCAAAAAAGCAAAAGGGCAGACTTTCGCTCCAAAAAGGGGGACTTCATGTTTACATTCCGGGGAGATTAGCCGGGCAGCTGCTGGAACCTCACGGTGAGGCTGCCGCAAATAATATCACGGAGCACGGAGTAAGGCGTAAAGTGGAAAATCGAAGTCATCTGATAGATTCCATTGAAACCGCTAGCGAGAAAATCAATTCAAATCCTTTTTGTTTGCCCGATTGGATCTGCACAGGACGGCGACCTACATACGTCAGGTTCCTTTTCCTCGGGTTTTTGATTGCTCAGGTCTCAAAAAAGCAAACCCCACAAACTATACACAATCATCCATTGTATTACTCTTACACTGTCGAATTGTTCCCTGACCTGTCGATTCCACCTGGATCCGACACTCTGGTTGGGATGGGGAGAATCCACCACGCTAGTCACTAGAGCCCTGCGGATGCGACGTCGATGATCCGGCGGCTAGTTTGGGTGATGCTGATAGTCTAGAAGCACCGGGAAATGATGTGCCTACACATTAACCTTACCGAGTTGGCAGCTGTACTTCCGAGGTGATGTATCAGATTGGGCATGGGCCACTCAGAAGTCTCCGATGCACCCGAATCGTGATAGGGTGCAATTTCCTGCGAATGTACCTGTAAGATATAAATTATAAAATACTCGAGATCACGCCACTGGGGCAGATGATATAAATCGAAATCGACACCAGAGAACAGGGAAAAGAGAAAAGAGGCAAGCGAAGGAATCGATCAATGTGGGCAGCCCGACACGTTGGATAGACCAGCCGGTGGTACAAAACACGAGGCGAGAATATGGAATGGACAAATGAGAAAACTGCACAGCCATCGTCAAGTCGAGGTATTCCATAAGGTTGCTGTATTGTAGGTTCTTGTTTCAGATACAGATATATCTTCAAACATGTCACGCCCAAACATCCACCCGGGCACACTGGGGCCAAAAAAAATTAACACCCGACCAAAGAACCCGTTCATTAGGCACAAATCTCCCTGAAACACCTCGACTACAACGCTACTTAGGTACCATGCCAGTGTAAAGCGGAACCTTGGAAGTAACATGACACCTCCCTCGACGCTTCCCATACTCCGTGCCCTCCCTTGAAAAACTTGGAAGAATGAAACTAGATAAAAACAAAAAACAAAAACGAAAGGAAAAAAAAAATTGAAAAAATAGATAAACAGAATGACAGGAAAAATGGGACCCTCGAAACAGTCCCTCACCTTGTACGACTTCTAGCTCGGACTGCAGACCCAGCGAATCCAGTGCCTCGGAATTCCGAAATTGTCGTCTCACCACGCTCATCCAGTCCGATTCCCCAGTCGGAAGCACGGACGGCACCGAGACGGGGATGGCCTTTCGAATGGGAAATGCGTGGAAACCCTCCCTCTCCGCTTGGTGAGGTGATCTCGTGGAAATGCACCGCCCGTCAATACAGACTACAGCCACCCCCGCCAGCTCATCCCAGGTCCATGGATCAACGTGTACCGGGGTCTGCGTCACCCGCAAGACATGTAAGCACCAACAGGTACCGAGGTATACGCACCCAGGCATCGGGAGAGGTGCGCGGAACAGCAAACGCCAAAAGGACACTGCATGAACGGGGACATGACAGGGATTGGTATTGTGGCTGCGTCTGGACCCGAATTGTTGGGAGTCATCCGGTCCACGAGGGCAGACCACCAGAAAAAAAAAAAAAACCTCGAGGAACTGGTGTTTGCCGAGGTATGTTCGCGGGCAGGGTTGGTCCGGATGAGAACGGGGTTCGTTGCCTGAGCGGCTGAAACGTCGAGTCTTGCTTTGGTTCGTTGCTTGGACATTGTAGACCGCTGGTAGACGGGACAATCAAAGTCAGGACCGGGGGTGTGGTAGAGGGAAGTTGCAAGGCGTGCAGTTAGCAGAGGGGCGATACTTTACGATATACTTCCGTCGTTGCGTATACTTTCTGGGGTAGCATTGCCATCTGGCTTGGACCATCCGCATTCTGAAGTTGGGGACATCGCCGAGTAGCTGAAAGTAAGAGCTCAAAGCAAGATTGCATGAGATTTCAATTCCCATACATAGGCCGAGGAAATAAGCTACACAAAGACGTCGCTGATCATTGAATCATCTCATGTCAAGACCATGAGGTAAAAAGGAAAGTCAAAACATCGGAAGCCCCGAGTATGTTACCCTGCCGGGGTGAGGCCAATCATATTTGGTCTGCATATCGTCAGCACAAAGGATCCATATCTATGAACGGATGGAGGGGATGACTTACTCAGCGTCATACTGAGGCTCACGTCGGTATTTTCGACCATGTCCTTGAACTCCTCAAAGCTGATCTTTCCATCCTGATCCTTATCCGCCTCCATGATCGTCTTATCGACGATCTGCTGCAACTGCACATCCTTGAGGTTGTTGCCAACCATCATCTTCAGCACAATGAACAGCTCACCGTTGGAGATATAGCCGTCGCGATCAATGTCGTAGACCTTGAATGCGAATCGCAATTTCTCGTCCTTGTTTCCCTTGGAGCTGAATGCTGACAGTCCGGTCACGAATTCTTGGAAATCGACATCGCCACCACCATCCTCGTCAAAGATCGCAATCATCCTATACCAAGAGTCAGAGAAGGTCCGATAGTTTCTCGCGCCATGAGAAGAAGATAGAATATGTGGAGATTGATGTAGATCGGGGGCATCGACAGAGTGACGGACCTTGTGGCGAGCGGGTTGGACGACACCTGCGGGAGGGAAAGGAACTCGTCGCGGTCGATAGTGCCGGAGGCATCCTGCAAACCATCAATATCCTGCTGAAGTCATGGTATCAGACAGCGCAATTTCCGACCTTATCTAGCTTCATAAAGCGCTTGCGCAAACGGTCCACTTCATCTCTGTTGACTAGAGCCGCCGGGTCAGCTTTGATCACCATCGCCTTGTACCGGATGCGACCGCAGCAAACATACAGTTGGACGTAGATACAATGTTGTCGAAGAGCTGGGTGGTGCCGACGGAGCCACGGCGCCTGCGCGCATCGTGAATAGCCGCGGCGTTGGGTTCGTTGGACTGGTCCATGATGTGAGGTGGATTCTGGGGGGTTGAGCGCGAGACGGGGGAATATACGTGGTGGCGGAGGGATGCGGAAACCGGGAGGAAACTCTAACGGGGAAGCAAGAGAGCGGCAGGCAAGAAAAGCAGATCGGTGACAAGTGACAGTAGAGTTCCAATGTTATGGCCGGGGGAATCTGATATCGCCCAGCCCCGCACTAACCGCATCCGGACAGGCAAGCGAGCCCCTGAGGCCGTGCGTTCGGCCAAAACAGGCCACTGCCGGCTGACATTACAACGTCAACCCAACCGCGAGCCGTGAATCACCCCGACTTCAGTCGTCAATAACCCCCCCGCTTTCATCGAATTTCATCTCAAAAATACGACTACGCGAAAGCGCATGAGCAGACCTTTCCACTGACCTACTTTTTACCCCGTCTCCGCCCATGGTCGTTGCTCTATTGCGCGTTCCGACACCATGACTCGGTACGGGGGCCTGGGTAGGACGCGCCCGAAAAAGCTCACCTCCAAGGCGTCCATCCCCGTCGTCCGAGAACATGAGATAGACCCATTAGACGACGAAATCCAGAGCTCTCTACAGCAGATTGAGACCGGCGTGGAAAAGGCCGAGGAATCGGTGAGTCCATCTACGCACTAATTTTAGCACATCCCTATCCCATCACGTGACACTATCTCCGAGATGACACGAGATTTTCACCCGCCAATATAGATCGGCCGCGCTGACCCCAGCCCGCATTTAGGAAATCCATCTGCAAAGAGCCATTAATGCCACTGCCCAGGGCAAAGTAAACGAGGCCATTCCCACCCCCGAGACAATTCTCAGTAATCTCCAATATGATGAGCTCTATCCTCCCATCTTCTCGCAGCCCGCGACATACATTCGCTTCTCGTCGACCGTCGAGGACTGCTGCGGATGTCCGTACAACATGACGGAGGAGGACGATGTCTTCCTGAAGATCCTCAACCAAAAGCGCGACCCCAATGTCGACCCCTGCACCGAGGATATCTTTGAAGAGGTCATGAACTTCTTCGAGGAGACGGCGCAGTTAAAGCAGCCGTATGCCTCGGTGGATAACCCGCCTGTGCTGTCATACGCGGAAATGGAGGACACAATGGATGCCACTTTAGAAGATCAAATGAAGCCGTGGGCTAAGCAAATTTATGAGCACTGGAAGTCGTGCCGGAGCAGTGTTCAGAACAACTCTCTGGTATCGCAGCTCAAGGTATGTTGCCAGATATGCCATCGGTTATGTGTCACGGCTGACATAGCTCCCAGTTTGAAACCGGCCAAGACACCGACGACAGTGATCCATTTGTCTGTTTCCGTAGACGCGAGGTTCGCCAGATCCGCAAGACCCGTGGTAGAGATGCACAAAGTGCAGAGAAGCTCCGACGCCTTCGCAAAGAGCTGGAAGATGCTCGCGAACTCGTTGCTTTGGTGCGCCAGCGCGAAGTCGCCCGCAGGGAGATGCTCGCTATGGAGCGCCAAATCTTCAAGCAGCGTGCTGAGGTGAAGGAGATGAAGCGCAAGCTTAACATCAAGGATGACGATGAAGATCTCATCAACCAAAAGGTAAAAACACCTGCGATGGTTCGCAAAGAGCATACGCTGACCCTCATGCAGCCGAAGAAGAGAGTTATCGACATGCCTCCTCAACGCCCGAATGGCCCTCAATTGCGCATGCCCCTCAAGGCCGGTGCTGGTGCAGACGATTTGCAGACGTTGGAGGAGGTTCAAGCCGAGAAGGAGAACGATATTCTCCGCGATATCAAGCAGAACATCAACAAGCACATCAAGTGGAACGAAGGATACGTCGATCATACGCGCGCACCTTTGTCTCCTTCACCGGAGCGGACATTCGATGTAGCCGCTTTCCGACCAGCGTTCACCGCACAGTTGCCCACTCCTCCATCATCGGACGCGTCCGGTGAGATGGAAAACTCATTGAGCCTCGCCACCCCGCTCTTCTCCCGGGAAAAGCTCATCTCCCTAGAAGAACACGACGAAGCACACCGTATGCCCTCATTCCGCAGACGTGTCGGTCGTGGTGGCCGGTTGATGATCGATCGTCGAAACATGGGACCTCGTAAAGTCGAAATGGACCCCATTAAGGCGGATAGATTCAAGTTCGATCAAGAGGATTCCGATGAGGAGCCTGATTATGATACTGATGCGTACAGCATTCAGATCATGCAGCACCGGGCAATCACCATGGCCAAGGCGCGCGAACAGGCGGCTGTGGCTGCCCAGGCTCATGCGCAGGCGCAGGCTCAGGCAGTCCACCAAGCACAGGCTCGACGACTGCAAGAAAACCAAGGCCAAGCGGGATCCAATCCTGGCAATGGTGTCCCGGCGTCCGATTCCTGAACGACTCTCTCCTTTTTCTCTTTCACAGCATTTGGCGGGCGTTTTCATCGTGGCTTTGCTTTCCGCAACCTTTCGTCGTTGTGTTTCCTTCAACCTCCCCTTGTAGTTTTATTCCTCCCTGTTTTCATGATTTCCGCGGGCGGCGAAGGGTTGCTGGGTTTCATGCCCGATCTCTGTTCTTTTTTTCTCTCTCGACCTCGCCCACCTCCCTCACACCTGTTCGACATTTCGTTTCGACGCGGTTGCCAGCGACATGCTGAGCGCTGCATTTGTTAGTGTACATAGTATCTTTTTCTCCCGAGTCTCGGTGGTGTTGGCTGGTGTCGGGCAGCCTTTGTATGATGGATAACCGAAGTTATGATGCAAGCGACGAATGGGAGGGCAAAGGAAAAGGCTCAAAAACATTCAGAAAATCTAACACAATTTAATAATTCGCAGAAAAAAGCACTTTTTGTTCTTCGGTAGAAGGGGTCGATAGGGACGATGGCTTGGAACCAAAAAACTCAAACTCGTTGAGTCTTGGACTGTCGCGACTCACCGTCATCGCCAGCAGAGCGCTTTAGTGAACCAGTCGCGGCGGGCTCCAACATGCCCAGGATAGTCTGGAGGACCTGTTTTTCGCCAATGCGAACCTGGAGGGCCATTCTCGCACGTCGAGACGACACATCCAATGGATCCAATGCGGGCAGCGAACCGGCGAGCTGAATATCTTGTGATAGGGAGGTGGCATATTTAGCTTCTTGCGTTTGCAAGGCCTTGATCAAAATGGCAGCCTGGTTGGCCTCAAGAGTTGCCTTGGGTGCCTTGTTCTTGGACTGGCGCTGCTTGAAATCTTCTTCAGAAAGAGCAAGTGTACTGAGCAGAACAACTAGCTCAGCTGGCAAAATATCTTGCAGGGTGGTGTCGGCCTCAACAGGCCTGGGAATCACATAGCCATCATCAAGGATATCGAGCTCTGCAAGGAATTCGAGACGGGGCTGAGATTCGACATCGCTGTTAGAAAGACCAGCAGCTTGGCAAATACTCTCCAAAGATAGCTCGACTACATCGTAGACGGCGTAGTTGTCGGTCACGTAGCCGTATCGACGGAGAAGGTCTGCGCGCGGGATTTCACCGTAATCATTGAAAATCTCCTCGCCTTGCTGAATGGGCTTGATAGCCTTCATGACAAGGGCGCCTTCTTCTTGATAAAGACGGGCCTGCAGTAGTAAGTCAGCAGTGAAGTGAACACGAACGAAAGATAGAACAAACGTTGTTTCGGTCCGCATCAGCATTAAGGAGGTCAGCGAGAGGAACCATGCCTTTGGGCAACTGCTCATCTTCATCATCGGTCATATAGCTTTCATCGTTCGCCTCTGCCTCATCATCATCGTCCTCAGACTTTTCGATGTCAAAGGCATAGGCCATGATGAGGGACCCCATGATGTGAGCCAACTCGATCAGAGCGGCGGCACCAGCGTCGCCATCAAAAGACCCCAGAGCGGACGGTGGTGGGAAGAGAGCCGAGTTCGCTCTCACGATGGGAGCGATCATTTCCATGATAGACTCTTCCGCACCCTCTCGGCCGATTTTCTCAACAATAGTGCTTGCCTGCAGCTCCTGCAGTTCGGCAGATGACCAAAACATCAGACTATCGAATCGAGAAGGCAAGACCTTGAAGTAGGGAGCCCACCGGGACTTTTCGCCCTGGAGGTATTCGTACAACATGACCAGCATTAGAGACAGCCATGGACCGAGTTGCTCTAGATCTTGCCCAAGCAAGTTCTTCAACTCGGAATTTTGGACGGCGAGGACCATAGCACGGGGGATCGAGAATAGTTCTTCACCTTCGGGGATGTTGTCCTGTGCCACTGAGGTTCGCAGAATATGTTAGAACTCGGCGAATACTTTTGTGAGACCTCATTTTTTGGACCTCGGGGGGCCGACACTTTTGTGCTTGAGAGGATCTTTGAGCACTTACCGACGCCTCGTCCGGCTCCGCTTGCCCGTAGGTCTGCCAGTCTCAATTTATGATTGAGCTGCACTCCCGGGCTGGCTTGGAGCCATGATATGAAGTTGTCAGACTGTGTTTGGAAGCCCTCGGCATCGGGGAAGTGGGTAGCTGAGGACATTGTTGGAAAGGACCCTGGGGGAGATAGAGGATCGTGGATTTGGTCTATAAGAGAATCATGAAGATGCAATGAGAGGGTATATGGGAAGAAGAAAGTATGACAAATGGGTGAAGAAGCAAGAGGGGGAGAACAGCGTCGACACAAACTAAAGGTCGGGTTTAGTTCGGCCGTCCGTCCACGGGTGCCGCTTAATTCCCGATAACGATAACGAAATATCACTCGGACTTCGAATGCCCTCTTTTTTTTCTATACTCCCATATAACATTTAATAGCCCAAATCTGCCCATCATGATCGCAATTGGCATGGAAGGCTCTGCCAACAAACTGGGCATCGGTATCATGCTGCATCCCAAAGATGGCAGCCCTCCACAGGTCCTCGCCAATATCCGACACACCTATGTCTCCCCACCAGGCGAGGGTTTCCTGCCCAAGGATACTGCGCGCCACCACAGATCCTGGGTGGTGAAGCTGGTCAAGCAGGCACTCAAAGAAGCCCGAGTTTCTGTTGACGATGTAGACTGCATCTGCTTCACTAAGGGACCCGGCATGGGTGCCCCACTACAAAGCGTTGTGGTCGCCGCGCGAATGCTGAGCTTGCTCTGGGGCAAGGAGCTAGTTGGAGTTAACCACTGCGTCGGACGTGAGTACTCAATAGTCTGGCATGATCTAGAGAGACCCGAGCATACCGCTAACATCGCACTCTGTTAGACATCGAGATGGGCCGTCTCATTACCGGCGCAACCAACCCAGTCGTTCTTTACGTGTCCGGCGGTAACACACAAGTCATTGCTTACAGCTCACAAAGATATCGCATCTTTGGCGAAACCCTCGATATGGCAGTGGGTAACTGTCTGGATCGATTTGCGCGTACTCTGCATATCTCCAACGACCCGGCACCAGGATATAACATTGAACAACTAGCCAAGCAGGGAAAGCAGCTAGTTGATCTGCCATATGTTGTGAAAGGCATGGACTGCTCATTTTCAGGCATCCTTGCTGCCATTGATGGCCTCGCGAAGGAGTGGGGTCTGGGCGGAGAAGAGAAGGCGAAGGAGGACGAGGAAAAGTCCAGCCAAATTGCTGCTGCAAGCGAGTCATTGGAGGACAAGCCCACTCGCGCCGATTTGTGTTTCTCTTTGCAGGAAACCGTCTTCTCGATGCTTGTTGAGATCACTGAGCGCGCAATGGCGCACGTTGGCTCCAAGCAGGTTCTTATTGTCGGAGGCGTTGGCTCTAACGAGCGACTGCAAGAGATGATGGGAATTATGGCAAGGGATCGCGGTGGTAGTGTTTATGCGACGGATGAGCGATTCTGCATCGATAACGGTATTATGATTGCGCAAGCTGGTATGCTGGCTTATGGAACCGGGTTCCGAACTCCTCTCAGCGAGAGTACCTGCACTCAACGTTTCCGCACGGATGAAGTGTTTGTTAAATGGCGAGATTGATATCAGGATTAAGATATCTAAAAAAAAAAATATATCATGTGTTATGAATTAAGAGCGTCATATCTATCCATGGATGGATTCGTCCGTTTGAAGATTTGAGCAAGATCGTGAAGATACTAGGTATCGTCTTGGAGTTCCACAAAACCTAGAATCCAAGGCTCGAAGGCAACAGGCAGTTGACTCGGCTTTGGCTCGGTCCACGGGTGTTGCGCAGGTGATAATATCTACCTAGGTACCTAGTAGGTATATGCCCAGGTGTCATTTAAGCCCGAAGCAGATGGTTGTACAGAGAAATCGAATCTTCAAAGGAGCAGGAATGATGTAAAAAATAAAATCTTGAAATTCACTCCGAAGACGTAAAAACATGTATGATCAACAAAGCACCATGAGACTGGGACCTTGGAAGCCTTGCCTGCTCCAAGGCTGTAGTTCAGTTGAGAAGCCGTTATTCCGTCCCGGCGTCTCATCTTGAATTGGCTACATAGTCCAGAAAAAGTGTATACCCAGGGGAACAATAAGACCTTGGAACTCTTGCACAAGCCATGAGCCTATGCAGGCGTGCACACATGTATCTTATGCGCCACTGGGCATTTCATTAAGATGAATCTGTTCCGCTCAACATCCAGAAAGAAGCACCAGAGGTAATCATCCAAAAAAGGATGATCTGCTCCACTTGGCGTCTCTTGGACCATGACAATGCTGCGCCGATCAATCGATAGATGATATAGCTAGAGAGGAATAATGGCGGAGTTTCGGTGTTGGCGACAATATCCGGACAGTATCAGGCCGATCAGAGGTCACAAGGTCGATACAAGCCTTCTCATGTGTCCAGGTGATGATAGAAAATTGTCGATATATCTTTCCAGCTCTGCACTTTGAATGGCTCACATGTCACGATAATATTTGGCAAAAGTGTATGCATGTAATTATAAACCAGCTATTTGCCTGGACTTCATTCACCTGTGATATCCCCAGTTGGTTTGTACAGGATTGTCGTAACATACTGACGGAGTGGGTTAGACAGTATTCGAGTTCTTGTAGAGATATGACTTACCTTTCTCTTGTATCTCGTTGTCACACTCGTTGCCAGAACACCATTCTTAATGCTACTGGTCGCAAGGTGGTTGAGGACGGTATGGTTAGGATAGTTTAGCACACTGCTATCATCCTTCATGGGTGTTGTGCCATTGAGAATGGACTTGCCCAAGAAGAGAGGTAGGCTCGGTGGTGTGGCAGTGTCTCCAATAACATTAGCAGCCTGGACATAGGCAGGGCTGTCCTCTTCCTTGTCCAGATCAGCAAGAAATTGAGGAATTGCACCGCCAAAATCACCAGGCGGAACTTCTTCCTCGGCTTCTTCCTTCTCCGGAGGGTGGTCCTCTGGGTCACCGGACTGGTCTTGCTTAGACGAATCCGGCACTGTCTGCTGAGGGTGAGCTCCCGGTTGAACGGCCGAGTGAGGATCATGGGTATCGTCTGCACCAATCTCGATGTAATTTACGAGATGATTGGTGAAATCGACAGCTGTGGGAAGGTTATCTGCGGCACGCATTTCTCCATCAACGATAAATTTCAAATGATGCGTGCCAGGCCGAAGGTTCAAAGTAGTTGACATAACAGACGGGTTATTTTCGCTATTATAGTGTCAGTCGGATTTCCGGACGCCAAAGATGATATCGCGCAAACCTTTTATGTAAACGGAATTTCTTCTCCCAGTTGACGAAAGTTCCAGTGACGTAGACCTTCTGAGCAGGCGTGGTCCATTCAATGACCACAGGCACCGCCTTGCCTGCTCCACTCACGGTATAAGGCTGAAGCTCATCAAGCAATTCTTCTTCGTCAATACTCGTGTGGCCTAGAGCGGCAGTGTTCTGATCGATCTGCTGATCCAAGACCTGGTCGGCAGGGAGCGACTGGATAAGCGAGTCCTCGAAACCGGCGAGTGGCGACCCAGGCGTAGTGTTAGCATCACCAATGGGCAATGGCAGCCTTGGTGGTCGTTGTAAGTGGGCAGATGCGCTGTAGTACGAGTTCAGCGGCGGGGCAGATGGCGCCACAGGATCACGCCCTGGGGCATGGCGCGAGATAGGGACTTGAACAGGGTTGGAGTGGTCGCGGGTTGGAATGTCCTTGCTCTGAGACGGCTCATCTTTCCGTGCATCATGGCCAACGGGCTTTTCTATGTTCCTGGGTGATGACTCGGGCACGTTTCGCGACTGGAGGCGTTCTTGGACGGATCCTTGGTATGCTGCCGAGTGGCCGGCGGCAGTCTCCTTCGTAGCGGAAGGGTCGGCGGCGGTCGCCTTGGAATTGGAGATCGCATTGAGAGAGGACCGGCGAGCAACCTTTTTGTCATTGGATGAGTTGGGAGAAGCGCGGGCTGGCGGCGCGTCACCGACCGGCCCTTTAGAAGGGTTGTTACCCATCGAAGGCAGGCAAATGTGGGGATTGGGAGGAGATCAGGGGTGTGAGGCTAAAGCAAGCTTGAACTAAGCCACGGTAGCGAAATGCACCAGCAAAGCTTCAGTGACGTAGAGTTGAAATGGCGGGGAGAGTCAATATAGGTAGCTATACGTTTCCTCTGCCAGGTGGGGCTTTTCTGTCTTGGCCGCCACTTCTTGGGGGTCGGAGTCTCCGTAGATTTCAGTCCGGGCAGCATAGTCACGTGTAAGAATAGCTCAACTTCGTCTTGGCGTTCATAAACAGCTCAGTCATCAATGCTCTGCAAATGGGCAGTGGGCACCTCCAGGTGGGCATGCAGAACCTTGAAATACATGATGGTACCCTGTGATTCACAAGTGAATACCATGAGGCTTCTTTCCAGATGTATAATTAGAGGGAAATGTAGATCCACGACTGAACCATCGTTTTTCATGCTTATAGCTCAGCCAGTTACAATACAAACACATACATGTTAACCTTGGAAACCATACCTACAGTAGGTAATGAGTGTCTCTTATATGAAATTCAAAATTGAGAAGAAAAGTTTGACATTTAACCTTTATCCAAACAATCATGATTGAGCGGAAATGGTGATGTTGAGCTAAAATTCCAAGCTTGAGATGTTAATTGTCTTGCACTTGATTACCCGTGTTTTTAATGTAGCTGAAGGACATGTATGCCATGGTACTTGATGGCAGTCACCCCCAAGGGTCAAATTAGGGCTAGGATATGAGGGCTGCAGTACCTACAAGAGGGTGGTGGCTGCACCAACAATTCATGAGAGACGCGCTCTTCCGGAGGTTCTCCCTGGCACCTGGCAGTATCTCAATATCGATAGACTCAAAGGCCCTGACCTTTGTGGTTAAGGACTCATGTTATCTCACTGAGTTACTCGTGGATGTAGCCACTTCCAAGGTTGGAGTCCATTCCGGAAATCCAGATATCGTCCCCGGATGCACGTAGCGGCCAATAGTTAATCCGTCCGACTATACTTCCAGTGACCTGACCGTTTGTCCTTTCTTGCCATACATCTCATCCTCTTTCTGGTCTAGCGATACAGGCGTGGGAACTATGGCCGATGAATCACCTCAAGTACGGTCAACGGGCAGTCCCACCCGGCGTCAAGCTCTGAATGTCCGTTCCGTTCCAACCTCCAACTTACTCCTGACACTTGAGCGTACGGTGTCAACTGACTTATGTTAGGCCTGTGACGCTTGTCGAAAGAGGAAAACGAAATGTGACGAGAGAAAACCAGCGTGTGGCCGTTGTCATCGGCTAGACATTGGTTGTAGTTACGTTGATACCGTCGCAGCAAAGTACATGGATCTTTATTGCCGCACTGAGAACCATAGCTGACGAGAATAAGGAAGGGACTCTCGGTGACAGAGCTTACAGAAACACTGAAACGCATGGATGAAAAGTTGGATGCATTGAGCTCAATCGCTCGACATGGTAGCAACAATACGAATCAGACCTTCCTCCGCGCCGAGGAGATGTCGTCAAGCCCAAGCACCCATTATCCTACTGCCTTCTATGCCACTGAAGTAGGGAATTCCTACCCCACGGCAGTCCAATTCCTGGACACAGGGCGGGTATTGGAGGAGCTTTCTCTATCCCAGCGTCATTTAACGGCCCCCCAGCATCTCCTGTCCTGGCCTTGCTGTTCATTGCAGCTAAGCGAAACAGATCTACAGTACCCAATAAGTCTGGAAATCAAACGGCCCCGAAATCTCTCAAATACAGCATCTATCTTTGATTCTCGGTCACCGTTGACTGGAGACACTTGGCCATCCCAGTTGTCCTTATCCCAAGTGAGCCTATTGACGCAATCGTATTTTGAGTATTTCCACCCATCGTGCCTGGTTCTGGATAAAACTAGGTTTTATTCTCACGTTCTCCCTCAAGCCATGCAAACGGACTTTGCGAAGAATTACAACACATGTATCGTACTGCTAGTCTGCGCTCTTGGCTCCATTGCAGCATATTATGCTGGACACAAAGAGCTTCTATCAGGTCCTGAGGATGACCTTGGCATCGAGTTCTTTCTTCTGGCGAGAAACATGTTCAGTGAGTTGGAGACTGTAGATTGGGACAGTGTGCAGTGCCTGCTTCTCATGGGGTAATAATCTCTGCCCTATATCCCCTGTGTTTCTTGCACTGGCTAACGTGATATGGACTCAGAATGTTCTTCTCCGCCAAACTGAGGGTGTATGACGCATGGCACGTAAATCACCGAGCCTGTTGTACCATACTCATACTAGTACCTCTGTGAGAAACACCGATCGAAAGATGGGAAGGTCCCCGTGGCTGACTGGAAATAGCCAAAGAGTATTGGAACCTCAAGAGTGTCAATTATTTTGGATTGCTTACTTGCAGGAAAGGTATTTCGACAAATGATCATCAGTTTGATCAAAATCCGCTAACAACATGAACAGTCAAATACTTGCAGAATTTGATCTTCCAGCCAGTGGAATGGGGAAGCTCGCGAGCAGCATACCGTTGCCTTTGGTTTCTGGAATCGGGCCCGAACCATATCACGCACAGTATCAATTGTTCTTCTTGGCATTGATCTCAATGAGAAAGCTCTTGAACCGTGTCATATTTCATCTATACAGCAGAGGTGAGCAGCACCCACAAATTCATTTCACGTGGGCTCTAATCAGGTTCATAGATCACACCGACGAAGGAGAGCATGAGCCATCTGCAACAGTTAGGCCCACTGAAGCGTTAGCGCCATCTCAATCGCTTATCCAAGAGTTGGAACGTCAATTAGAAGAGTGGCGAAGCTGTCTACCCCAGGGGTTAGACTTTCCATGTTACTATAACATACAAGAACCGCCAATCCCGACTCTATACAATACTCGTACTACCGATGAAAGGTTGCGAGGCCAGTTGATGGCTCGATATTATTCTGCAAAATCGATCCTCCATCGACCATTTATCTACATGGCCCTACACAGCGACCCTGACACCCTCAGTGAGATAGCAAAGACGGGAGCACGGACTGCGGTAGGTTGTGCCTTCATGTCTGTCATCCACAGTGGAATCTTGAACGAGCCATTGCCATTATTACTTCACCCGATAAACTCGTGCAGAAGGTTCGTCTTGATCATCAAGCCCATTCAAGAAAAATATCAAAATTGACTGACATACACAGCTTGTTCACGGCGGAGATTCAAATCACATTTCTACTCCAGAATGACGCATTCCACTATGCGATTCCCAGCCACTGGAGGTTGGTCCAGGAGGCAAGAAACAGTATCACTACTCTGGGAGCACAGATGTCTCCTACGGTTGCGCGAGATGGAGAGATCATACAGGTGCTTAGCCAAGAGATTTAAGATCAAAAAAAATCATTCATAAAAAAACTATATAACTTTCCATCCTTGATTTCCGCCTCAGCTTACGATTTGCTATGAATCTGTAGCTCCGCCACTGATTGAAGTGCCTAATTAACCCACTGATACTCGGTACCGGTCTGGAATGTCGCTACAATTCCAGCATCTCTGGAATGTTTTGCGGCAGTCACCAGGAATTCAGAATTTCCCTCCATAACCCATTTGCCCAGAATGTCATCCCAGTAGGATACACTGACCTTGTCAAGAACTGTACAAGCTGTAACGGTCTCTCCAGGAAGAACGGTGACCTTGTCCCAGCCCTTCAACTCTCTAGGAGGTCTCCCTAACCTAGGGTTGATATGGCTGACATAAAACTGAACAGTTTCCCTTCCTTCTCGCGAACCTGTGTTGGTCACATCCACTTGGACCTCAATCTTTCCATCGCCGAGGAGTAGATCAGGAGTAATACGGAGATTGTGGTACTCGAATGTAGTGTACGAGATACCAAAGCCGAAGGGGAAGAGTGGCTCCAGCTTGCGGTGATCAAAGTATCGATACCCAGCGTAAATACCCTCTCCATAATGAACAACATCGTTCTCTCCGGGATAATTGTCGAAAGAAGGCGAGTCTTCGATACGTTGAGGGAACGTGATTGGTAATTTGCCGCTTGGATTGACAGCACCCAAGATCACATCCGCAAGAGAATTTCCCTGTTCCTGTCCTTGGTACCATGCCTGAATAACCACAGGAACATTCTCTAACCAGGGCATAGTGATAGGACTGCCTGTTTGGTTGACAACAATTGTTTTAGGATTCGCTTTGGAGACGGCAGAGATAAACTCATTTGATCGCCCGGGCAAGTCCATTGACACCATGTCGCTTGTTTCAGTCTCCCAGTCTTGATCTTTTCCGACCACCACAACTGCATAGTCACTTTTTCTGGCTATTTCGACAGCCTCTTGGAAGAATGCGTCAAGATCACCGGGGTTCTCAAGGAAGCCAATCCGCCCACCGTCTTGAACCTCCTCGCGCTCAAGCTCCGCAGACATGTAGTTCATCTCGTACGGCTTGGGCTCTCGACTAATTGACTCGAGCAAGAGATTGTATTCTTGGCCTGCATTCATGTGAATTTGGACTCGCTCTTCGGGTGACCCATAGCTCATGAAGAGAGCCGATTTCGGGGACGACCAGTGTCGCTCAATCTGGATAAGGAGCTTTCCATCTAAGAAAAGCTTTCCGGGACCACAGGAAGATAGTGAGATCTCATGCATTCCAGTGGTTTTTGGTGTGATTGTAGTTCTACCCCTGTAGGAGTATCTCTCACCAGTGGTCAACTCCGGTGGAAGCCCGTCGTAGCAAACCAAGTTTGAGCTTGGGCGGTCCTCGACCATGAATGGGCTGCCTTCATGCGTCATGTTTCTCCAGAGAGATAATGAGACTCCACTCTTGCCCGTGTCTGGGTTCTTCATCACAGCTGGATCGATGAGAGGGAGGTAACGATGCGTCAAAATGCCAGCATGCGTTTGAACCTCTGCCGTAGGGAACTTCGATTGTACTTCCGACTTCAGAGACACGTATGGAGTTGTTCGATAATGAGGCGCGAGGTTGGAACTTCCACCACCTGTGGCAATAGAGCGTGCGGCATTGGGCCCTAGAACAGCTATTGTCTTCCCACTCAAGTCTTCGAGAGGTAGTGTATTCCCCGAGTTCTTCAGCAAAACAATGCCTGCAAACATATTGTTAGCTATGATTGAACTCATGCACGCATATCAGAGAACCAACCTTCCCCAGCCGCCCGCCGAAGGATCTTCCGATGCCCAGGAAGATCATCAGCCTTCTCACTCCCTTCTTCCCAATCGGGATTCCCACTTTTCCCAGTCTTGTGAAGCAGCTCTAACACGCGTAAAGCTGATGCATCGATGTATGTCAGGTCCACGAGACCTTGTTGATGGGCATTGATCAGGTGCTTGCCTCTTCTTCTGATCGGGCCCGGCATCTCGAGATCCAAGCTATTTCCCGTCAGTGAGGCCTTTGGGATCGACATGCGAAGAGAACTCACCCTGCTTTCAGAGAGGGAACCACACTGTTTGTTCCAAACCAATCGCTCATTGCAAGGCCATCCCACTTCCACTCATCACGCAGAACACTCTGCAAGAGGAACTCGTGTGCCGAACAAAATATCCCATTCACCTTGTTATAAGCCGTCATCAGGGTCCATGGGTTGCTGTCTCGGATAGCGATCTGGAAAGGCTGGAGGGCGATTTCGCGAAGGGCACGGTCTGGGATCTTTTCGTCGATAAAGAAACGGCGTGTCTCTTGATCATTGGCTACAAAATGCTTGATGCAGGCGCCAATGCCGGCTTCCTGGATGGAGTTGATGAACTCGGCAGCAAGTTTGCCAGTCAAGAAGGGGTCTTCGCTGTAGGCTTCAAAATTGCGACCGCCAAGGGGGGTTCGGGGGATGCAGACTGGTATTTGTTAGGTGACAGTCTGCCTTAGAGAGACACGAGCTGACCTGTAGGTCCCAAAAGGACATCGACCTCCTTGCTCTTCGCCTCTGCAATTAGGACTTGACAGACATCTCTAATGACAGTCTTGTCCCAAGCTGCCGCTAGAGAGACACTGTATGAGATCAATTGCGTGTTCAGTTGGAATTTGCGACGAGAATGATGGTCACTTACCCTGTTGGCAAAGACGCAGCACTCACCCCATCGGTAAAAATGCCGCCACGAACGCCCACCGGGCCATCCGAAGTCTTGATTCTCGAGACACCTAGGCGAGGAATAGGATTTGTTCTCCAGAGATCTTGTCCACATAGCAGGAGGACCTTCTCCTCCAACGTCATCTGCGACAACTTGTCCTGAGCCCATGATTGGGCTCGATTATGTCCATTGACCGTCATGATGAGAATGAGAAGTAAAACAGATGAGCTCACAAAGGGAAATATGGACTACTATTTAATAATTTGACCTGGGCAACTGACTTGCATCGGCGCGGGGAGAGACGGACTCGATGCCGCAGTGGGTTGGGGCCGTTGGGAGTTGGACATCTTCTCCCCACCTTGGCGATGGCTATCACTTGGGCATTTCTCTTGTCAATTATGAATTTAGGTACAACTTGCATTCTTTGTGACATGCAAAGATGGGCGACTTGACATCGGACAAGGCATCGGCTCTTCCAAACGAAGGCGGATGTGTCTCTGTCGCTCTGAGCCCTGAGTTCCTGGATCCCAGAATCTCACTTTCCGAAGCCCTTCGTCCTCATCAACTTGAGCTGCTCTCGTTTGGGGACTTTTCGATCTGCTCAAAATTCCAATCGCCTTTCACCTGGTCTCAGAGTCGCAAAGTCCTAGTCCTGTCCGCACCGTTCATGGCCTCAACACTCGCAGCATACTCCGCAGGGGCGTATGCACTGGCCTCAAGCTCGTTGTTACAGCAATTCTCCATAACAGACACGCAAGTCAATGCCGGAATCACTATATTCGTTGCCGGCTTTGGCTTCACACCCATGATTCTGGCACCCGTCTCCGAAACCCACGGGCGCTACTGGGTCTATGTCGGCTCCGGACTGGTCTTTCTCCTCGGTACACTGGGCTGTGCTCTTTCCAAGAGTTATGTTGCTATGATGGTCTCGAGGTTTCTGACGGGCTGCGGTGCGGCTGTCTTTGCGACTCTTACCGGAGGCGTCGTCAGCGACTTGTATCGAAAGGAGGATCGCAACATACCCATGGCTATGTACACACTTTCTATCATGATTGGCACCGGCCTGGGGCCCTTGATCAGTGGGACCGTGGTGGACCGTTTCGGGTGGAGATGGATCTTTTTCATCCAACTCATCGCTATAGGAGTCACCACGGCGAGCCTACTTTTATGCTTCGCCGAAACTTCATCAACATGTCTATTGGGGAGAAAGTGTCATGCTTTGAATAAGATGCAGCTTCAGACTACCTCCGGGGTTACACTCAATTTCTTTCCAAAGGCAAGAAACAGTTCCTCGCTCGACATCAGCATCCTATGGCGCTCTTTCGCCTTCCCTCTCAAACTTCTTATCACCGAACCTGTTGTGTTTTTGTTTTCAGCTTGGGTCTCTTTCGCATGGGCGATCTTATACATGCAGTTCAGCAGCATTGGAATCGTCTTCAAGAGCGTTTACGATTTTGATAACGCTCAAGTTGGCGCGGTTTACACAGCTGTCATCGTAGGTTCGTCGTTGAGTTTCCTCATGGCAGCCTCCGAGGGTGCGATCATTCGACGATTGACGCCACGCTACTCTACTCAAAGTACACCCGAGCAGCGCCTGCTCTCTCCTTGCATACAATCTGTTCTGCTGCCAATTGGATTGTTTTGGTTCATGCTTAGCGCAAAGCCCGAGGCTCACTGGATATCGCCCGCTCTGGCGATTGGATCATGCACGATGGGGATCTTTAGTATCTATCTCGCTGTCTTCAACTACCTAGCTGACACTTATCAACGGTTTGCGTCCTCTGCGCTCGCTGCTCAGAGTATGTGTCGCAACTTGTTGGCTGGGATATTCCCTCTGGTCACTCGACGGATGCTCACCTCCCTGACATTGGCGGGAACAGGAGGCTTGTTGGGTGGATTGGGATTGATGCTGACCGCAATTCCCTGGGTGCTGTATTTCAGTGGACATAGGATTCGAGCTCGCAGTCTTTTTGCGAAGAACATGCTATGACCTCGACAAGATTCCCTACCGTCTTTGGGCTCAACGTCTCAGTTTTCCCACCTGGGCATTGATGCCTGCCCGCTGATGTACTCAATATATATGTCCCGAGGACTACGGCAAAAGAAAACTAGAAAAAAAAAAAAAAAAAGAGAGAGAGAGAAGATAAGAGATGGAAATCAGAAATCACATCTATGGATAGTATCATCCCGTACCTAGTAATAGTTTTTTATTCGTACCTAGGTAATTTCTAAGGGTGTAGGTACGTACCTGAGTCTTAGAAGTCGCCAGTCTACCTATTGGCTCCTGCGGAGTCTTTCCCGGGTGGAGTGGCCTCTCGAGCTGGATGTGCTTCCCTCTTGTCAATCCACCTGGTCGTCAGAGGAATATGGCCATTGGCCACCATGAAAAAGTTCCCTTTTCACTCCCTCAGCATTCTGTTAAGCCCTGCCGTTGGCCTTGAGTCAATGATCGGCTAACATTACCCTTCGTTGGGGCTGTGACATAAATGCACAGCCAAGACTTCTCGAGCGGAGCAGGTCCGTCTCTCCGCGCCCCCCGGAAACCTTTGGGACCGCACGCCACTTGAGAGAACCTGGAGCCCTCTGGTAGATTTGCGGGGTCTGGGGGGATTCAAAGGGATCCTTTCGACTCGCAATTCCAATTGGACCGTTTATCCGAAGTTCGTTCACAGGACTATGACGGTTGTATGATATCTAATTTCCTGGGAGTCTGGGGAATCCTTCGCCAATGTCTATAAAATTCTCAGATACCCCGGTTGCTTGGTGATTGTGACTCAAAATCAACCTTCATACCACGCAGAGCTTTTTGCTACGACTTGGGTGCTTTGTTTTTCCACAATGAGCACGAAAGTCCCCATCTGCCGACCACCTCACAGTGTGGCGGAGGTCCTGGCTTTGGAAAAGGCCTCTTCTCGTTTTTCTTTGACTCCCTCACTTCTTCATCTATATGCCATTCTCGTCCCAGCTTGCCTCGTTGTATGTGCCACCAACGGCTACGACGGCAGCGTGCTTTCCGGTCTCCAAGGAGTTGAATCTTGGAGAAATCAATTCGGTTCGCCGGCGGGTGCGTTGTTGGGTATTACCAGCGCGTCTTATCCCCTTGGTGCTATATTTTCCACTCCATTCTCCGCTTGGATATCGGATTCGTTCGGACGTCGTTGGTCGATCATAATTGGAAGCTCTGTCATGATCATTGGTGTCATCATGCAATGCGTGAGCACTAGCATAGGCCTATTCATCGGAGGTCGGGTCATTGTTGGATTTGGGATCACGTTTGCCCTCGCTGCAGCACCAGTTCTGATTTCTGAGCTCGCACATCCACGACACAGAGTCTTCTTTGGCTCTTTATACAACACCAGCTTTTACCTGGGTGCATTGTTGGCCGGTTGGGTTTCGTTTGGAAGCTATCAAATCACCAGCCCATGGGCATGGCGCCTTCCAACCATCCTTCAGGCAGGACCGGCATGTTTTCAGATCATTTTTGTTTGGTTTCTGGACGAGTCCCCACGGTGGCTGGCATTCAAAGATAGAGGTGATGAGGCATACAAAGTTCTAGTCAAAAATCACGGAAATGGCGACTGGAATAGTCCTCTTGCCCAAGCTGAGTTTTGGGAAATGAACGAGACTCTCAAAGCCGAGCGTGGCATACGCAGCCAAGGCCTCAAGCTCTTCATCGCGACACCCTCAAACCGCAAGCGCCTTGCCATTTTGGTCTCGCTTGCAATTTTTGGTCAATGGAGCGGGAACGGTCTCGTGTCTTATTACCTGACAAAAATTCTCCAAAGCATTGGCATCTCTTCTCAACACGATCAGACAATGCTTAATGGAACAATCAGTACTGTTAATTACGCCACCTCTCTCTTTGCCGCTGTGCTGGCCACAAAGATTGGTCGCCGGCCAATGTTCATTGGTGGCGGCATTGCAATGTTCATAAGTTTCTCGGCTCTGACTGCAAGCCTTGCCGTCTACGAGGAGACTGGGTCAAAGGCTGCTAGCAAATCAGCTCTTGGGTTTATTTTCATCTACTACACCTGCTTCAATGTCTGCCTCAACCCTCTTTTGTTCCTCTACCCTACTGAAATCTTACCTTTCCGACTACGCGCGATGGGTCTCAGTATTTTGGTCTTTGTCACCAAGGCAGCCTCCTTTTTTAACCAGTTCATCAACCCAATCGGTATGGACTCTCTTGGGTGGAAGTACTACCTGGTCTATGTGGCATGGCTGGTGGTTGAGATCACTATTTTCTGGTTTTTATACCCTGAAACGCAGGGCTATACACTGGAGAGAATCCAGGAGGCATTTGGGGAGGATATCAAGTTGGATGGACCGGAGGAAAAGGGAGGCATCGAAGTTAGTGAAGTGACGCATCCTGAAAAATCACTTGAGGATGCCACCTTTGAATCGACAAAGGGCACTCGGGGCACGAGCGTTGATTAGTTCCGTTAAAGAGTACTGGTTTAGTTTGAAGTTTGACGTAGAAGCAGTGTATCGATTATAAAATGCTAAATCTTATGAGCTCCAGCTCGCTATCAGACTGCATAAACCTCCTTAGACTTACACTTGGTTTTCCTTTGTTAAGTGTAGTAGACTGTAGAAGAGGTGCCCATTCAGGGCTGCAGCACTGGTGACGCCAGGTGGCCCAATGAGGAAATAGGGCTTAGGGCTTCCAAAAGATGACCGCGACGCGCTGGGGTATCAAAACAGGGGGGTTGATGCCAGACGAGACAACCACAGCTGGCAATATTCACAATGAATTGGCTGTCGGTGATTACGACTCCCTTTTCATTCACCTTAGGGTTGATGGCATCCCTGCTGTCTTATTTGGTGTCGCCTCTCCTTTTCATTGCGTCCCCAGTGATCTACCTCGGACAAATTGTCTTATACATGACTTTGCTTCCGCTGCGCATCTTGATCAAATTAGAGGTATGCCACCAATAAAACATCAGCGGCATTTCTCTTATCCCGATCGGCGTATGATGATGCGTCCATCATGAACTAACCTCCGATAGGCCTTCATCTGTTTCTTGACTGGAGCTGTGTTGATCGGAGCCACCGTAGGCATGATCCTGCATTTCACCGGGAGTACAATCACGCAGGCTCTACAAATCGGGGAAATACCCGAGACGCAGCGACGTCGCGTGAAACGAGAGTCTATAGACTCAACTCCAGAAGACCCACCTTTCGACTACCTGCAAACAAAAACTGAAGACACCAGCTACCTTCCGTACTCGACAATTCTAGAAGAGGAGGAAAGTAGCCGTGACTCGGATTAATCTTGAAATGTTGTCGAAATCCCTTGTTGAATGCGTCTCCAATCACAGCTGAGGTGTCTGGCAAATTAACATATCTTGTCACAATTTTCGTATGATATCCGATAGGGACCGGGCGATCCCCTTAGGAATTAGAAGCGAGCTGTCCAATCTGCTTTCATCACCGTCAGATGATATGTTCCAAGCGTGGACTCTACAGGGTTCTGAAAAAGATGTTCGCCTTAATCCATGACCCGGATTTCGAAATTGCCTAATTGGGCCAAATTTGCGATCCAACCAATCACCATCGACCCAGCCTACTTGAGCATTGTATAAAACTTCGAAATCCACCTCTTTTCTCCCGGATATTTTATCTCCATCTCTACGTTTCTCAATCTCATATTTCTCGAACTTGACTTCCAAGATGGTCCGAATCAGCGCCTTCGCCGTCGAACAAGTGAGTCGAATACACGGCACGACATGCAACGATCCAGCCAAGACTAACGTATCAAGTGGATGGACGCCTACGAAACAAGCGCAAAGCACAATCTGGCTGAGACCTGCAGTGCCTCTATCTCCCTCAATGACCTTCTTGCCCTGGCTCCGAAGGATGACCTTGTCGACTACTCGCAAAAGCAGGTCTATGGCGCGATCAGAGGCACAGAGGCGCTGAGGACTAACATTGCAAACTTGTATTCCCCAGCCGGATCCTCCCTCAGCAAAATATCTGCAGAGGGCGTGCTTGTCACTAATGGTGCTATTCAGGCGAATTTCCTGTCTCTTTATACCAATGTTGGGCCCGATGATCATGTCATATGTCAATACCCAACGTATCAACAACTATACTCCGTACCAGAATCTTTTGGTGCGGAAGTGAGTCTCTGGAAATCGGATGAGGAGAAAGGGTGGGGGATGGATTTGGAGCAGTTGAGGGCTTTGGTGAAGCCAAACACGAAAATGATCATCTTGAAGTATGTGAGATGTTTCTGGATTCATCATATTTTTATTGAACGAAGATCTGACTTTGATACAGCAATCCCCAAAATCCTACTGGAGCGGTTCTTCAACGCGAAGAGCTGCAGGCGATTGTTGAAATTGCACGAGAGCACGGAATCATGATCCATTCTGATGAGGTTTACCGACCTCTCTTCCATTCACTCGACCGAGAAGAGGATATTCCACCATCTATCCTTGAGTTTGGATATGATAAAGTCATTGCGACTGGCTCGATGTCCAAGGCCTTCAGCTTGGCTGGAATCCGGCTTGGGTGGATTGCCTCCCCGAATTCAAAGATAATCGAAGCGTGCGCCTCCGCTCGAGACTACACTCTGATCTCGGTTGGCCAGATCGACGATAGCGTAGCCACACACGCACTCTCTCAGCCCTGTGTGGATAATTTGCTGCAGCGCAATCTCCAGCTGGCGAGACAAAATCTCGCTGCCCTTGATGCTTTCATCAATGAATATAGCTGGGCTGTGAAATGGACGAGGCCAAAGGCGGGAACCACTGCATTCCTCAAGTTTGTCAACAAAGACGGAAGAGCGATTGATGATGTCGAATTCTGCAAGGTGCTTCAGGAGAAGACTGGGGCCATGCTGGTTCCCGGAAGCAAATGTTTCGGCGGAGATGTTGACTTCCGTGGATATGTAAGGATGGGTTATGTACCCGAGAACCAAGTGATGGTCGATGGTCTGAAGGCTCTGAGGCACTTCATGGCGGATGAGTACGAGAAGTTGCCTCCGGCTAACTGAGGGCGTCCCTAGAATAGAACCAATTCCATACCAAGATTCGCAAAGTAACCATCCCAAGGCATTGGCGTATTTGCATCCCAGAATTTGTTCAATAGCTGTCGGGCCCTTGCGAAGTTGCCAAGGCCGTGGGTTTGCATATCGCACATTCGGTTGTGGATGAACTCACGCTCCGCAATGTCATCGGTCTCAGAGCCGGCACTGAAAATTGGCCACAGAATCAAGATGTTGGCAAACGAGAAAGGCGCAATATTCCGAACGGCTTTTATGATATTTGAGAGATCCGTCTTCACAATTGCATCGCATTTAGGGATCAATTGGACGCGTCTGTGAAGATGCAACAGAGCAGAATGAACAAAGGCTAAATGAGTGCTTTGCAACTCAGGGTGATGTAGATCCTCGGGCATACTGCAATCGATTAGAGAAAGGATCTCGAGCTCGAGCACACGCGATTCGGCGATCATTGTACTGGATATCTCGGGTGGGTTTTGATGTTGATGCTGCACCAATTGAGACAATCGCGCAAGCAGCGGGGCCAGTTTAAGGGAGTATCCACAAATGTCATCAATACTATCCCCATCCAATTGAGTAAAGGTTCTGTCCAGCAACCCATTTTCAGAGCTCAGGACTCCACTCTCACTCAATCCGGACAGTCCAGCAATCACGTCCATAGTCGTAAACCACTTCACCAGACATTGGACATAAGGGTCATCAATACGAAGTTGACCCCGGCTGTCCAAGAATGCAGCAAACAGACGCATCACCCCGCCGAGATGGGTTCTCCAGGTCTGCATGTTCCCGTTGCAAACATCATTGGTGCATAAAGCCATTGCAGTAGTGACCGTCTCGGCGGTCAATGCCGCATTCCGATCGCTGAGCGCAGAGCGCAGGCTGGATATGGAGAGGTTGGTAAATTTCAAGCAGGCCAATTTAGAATCGGCCCCGCCATCTTTGATGAGACGACTGTGATGGCTGCAAGCCGACGCCAAGATAGCATAGAGAAGATGGGGTGTCTCCAAGGCACCTGTAATCAACCTCTGCAAAAATAATGGGGAAGCCGTGGGAAAAAGACGAGGGGCAGTTTCAATACTGAAAACATGCATGAAAAATTGGGATTCCTTCGATGACAGGAATGGTGACAAACACAGAGCAGGTTGGCTTTGAAGGTTATCCAAGCTCTGGTGGAGCTCCAGAGGTACAGGGGAAAGTCTCGTTACTGCTATCTGCAGCGGGGTGGTCGGGTTTTGAGTGACCATATTAATGTCATACTTGCACAGCCTGGGGAAACGAATGCAGCGTGTGCACACAGGCTTTTGCAAATCACACTAAACAACATTAGTGGTGTTTCTTGGTGGCCGGGGTGGCGCCCAGCGGATGATCCTTACCTTGACCTTTTTCCTCCGACACTCTGAACAGCCATCGCGTCTTCTCTGGACAGGTCCATTTTTGCTGCGCTGACTCGGCATAGCCAATTGAACTTGATACAGAAGTCATTGGGAAGTGAGGGGAGATGGTCCGAGAAAGAGAGAACGGAGGTCCCACATTGGTTCTGACTTGGGCTAAGTATCCGATCCAGCCAATCACATTTCAGGTTCTATACAGACAGCCCCAGAATTATATCTTCGGTTTCTCAGTGAGCTACGCAGAGCACTTCAACCTACCTTGAAATCCAAGGAATGATCCACACAATCACAAACCGATTTCCTTTTACTTTTCCTCGACAGTCGCAACAGTCACAGGACCACAAGTGCCCTGGTGCGAAACAAACCCATCTTCAACACCCTCCGCCCAGGGTTCCTGGGGCCCAATCTGAAGTTGTGCTTCAATCAAATATCAGCAAGGGCAATTTTGATTTCATTGACCGCAAGGAAACGCCTCGGTCAAGCTTGAACGCCAGATCCAAACCCGAAGTGATCTGCTGAGGGTGCGCCTATGTAGCTGGGCACTTGTCTCATGGCCAGGAGCCTCACACAATCGCTGAAATCAAGATGATTTCCTTGTCCACTATTCTTTTCTCTCCTTTCGTTGATTAGAGGGGCATATTTTCTTTGGCATTGACATCTACCCTCTTTCTCCTGCTATATCCCTGCATCGTCAAAATCAAACGCCGCAGAATTCACGGCACGCGGGCGAGTCCAACCTCATAGCATCACTTCCTACCCTTTATCTGGGGCTGGATTTGTCTCCAATATATATACTGTAGGGCCACTGTGGAATGGGGTCCTTGTTCGTCTTTCGGGCCCACTTCAGCGTGAGTACCCACTGCGTTTGGTACATCTTAGATCTCCGAGGGCGGACAGATTGAAAGCGGTATGGGTCGAGTATTGCGATGTCTCGCCAGCTGTCGGAGCCGAATTTGCCCATCGGTTACAGCCCTGACCTGAGTACAAGCATTACAAGCATCAGGAGCCGCCGAAGCGGCCAAAGAAGAGCAAGGAGAAGGAAGATCTCGCCGCCCACATGATCACCGTTCCGGTCAGCGAACGTTCGGACCCCATGGTTGCCCATTGTCAGACGGCTGATAATGCTCACCACGATGATACGATCATGTCCCTACACCCGAAAGCAAATGCGCTGTTCTACACTCCCGCGGCAGTGGCGGTCTCGTACGCGGACAATTAGCCCCAAGTGGCGGCCCTTGACAGGGTATTGTTTGAACCGACTTTACCTGCTCCGCCTCTGTTTGAACGTCTCATCTATTTGCTTGGATTCGTGGTCGCCTTTTGTTTCTAACCGATGGTGACTCGTCCTCGAATTTGATCCCGGCCTACGTGGCAGACCGATTGAAAGTCCAAACCGTCCCGATCGTTAGTGGGGAAATCGGGGTTGAGGACCGCAGCAACAGTTCTATTGATCGTCTCGTCTTGTCTGAACTGCAGTCTTCTTCAATACTGTCTTACCGACTGGGGAGGAACAGGTTCCATTCACAACGACTGGTCGTCTCTCCCAACCCCCCGGAACTACACCTTCACTCTATCTTTACTTCTTTCTCTCTTGCTTCCTCTTTTGTGACTTATCTATTCCACTTTCACCAATACAATCAATTGGCGTGGTATGCCCGGAGGCCCATATATCCCCTCTTCGAATACCGGATTTGCTCGCTGAGCTCTACAAGTTTGAGCCTAACGAAGACAGAAACTCTTCACAAGTCACGCTCGAACGTTTAATGCGAGCCATGGGAATGGTACGACCTACTACCTCGAGTGGTAGGCACTCTTCTGAGATGACACTAGAATCCCAATCCACGAGATCGAGGTTGAAACCCCTAATCGCTAAGCGAAGAGAGATGTTCTAGATCTGGAGATGTCCGTGCGCCGAGGTTCCGTTTTTATGCCGAGATATGCAGGAAATTATGCAAGGGGCGGGATTGAATCCTGGGCATTTTACTACACCATACGGAGAAGCATATTCAAGAAGAGCTCGCTCTTCGTTTTATTTCTCGTGTCGAGTTCTCCCTTGGGCTCATTTCAAAAGATTTCTGTAGTCAAAAATGATGTACTCTATAGAGGCATGCCGCATAAATCTGGAGCTATGAATAGTTGCCGACAGAGTGGGGTGGAAAACAATTTGCGGTGCCGGTACCCGACTGGCGTAGATATAGAGCAGCAGTAGCACTTTGCAAGATTCAAATTTATCAAAAAAAGATTAAACATGGATCTAGAGAAACAGACCGAGCCGACGGTCGAGACCAAAGATCCCAACCTGGTTGACTTCGACGGTCCCGATGACACGGAAAACCCATTCAACTGGCCCACCTGGAAAAAGGACCGTCAGCTGGTTCTGATGGCCTTTAATACCTTCATAACGTGAGTCTACAATGTTTTAACTGGATCCCCAAGTCACCACTGACCAGTGTTAGTCCATTGGCATCCTCAATGTTCACCCCGGGAATCAGTGATGTGATGAAGGAATTCAATGTCACCAGTAGCATGCTGGGGTCATTCGTCGTCTCCGTCTACATTCTGGGGTATTGCTTCGGGCCTTTCTTAATCGCACCTCTGTCAGAGATATATGGCCGTGTCGCGTTGTACCACAGCTGCAACCTACTCTTCCTCATCTTCACCATCGCCTGCGCTGTCGCCCAGAGCATGCCGCAACTAATCGTCTTCCGCTTGCTGGCAGGCATGGCGGGGGTGTGTCCCTTAACCATTGGCTCTGGGACTGTCGCTGACATGGTCCCCAAAGAGAAGCGTGCGGGTATCATGGCCATCTGGGCTATGGGGCCCATTCTCGGCCCGGTCGTTGGCCCCGTCGCGGGTGGCTTTTTGGCCGAAGCGGAGGGATGGCGATGGGTCTTCTGGGTAATTGCCATTACAGTAAGCTTCTCCACCCGGTCTTTGAGAACGAGAAAAGCTCACAGTACAGACCGGAGTGATGATGATCCTCACGATCATTTGGTACCGGGAATCATACGGACCTGTGGTACTCGAGCGTAAAGCAGCTCGTCTTCGCAAAGAAACTGGCAACCCCGACCTTCGATCAATCCACTACACAGGTAACCTCAACTTGCAGCTCTTCCTGTCGGCGCTGGCACGCCCACTGAAGCTGCTATTCTGCTCCCCAATCGTCTTCCTCATGGCCCTCTTTGCCGCCACGACATACGGGTATCTCTACCTGATGTTCACGACCATCACCTCGATCTTCGAAAGCAAGTACGGCTTCTCGCCTGGTGTGGCAGGCCTTGCCTACCTCGGCTTCGGAATCGGTAGTATGCTTGGACTGGTCACTACCGGAATCGCCGCCAACAAAATCGCCGCAAACCACGTGAAACGAGGCTGTTTCCGACCCGAATCGCGTCTGCTGCCCATGATGATCGGCTGCTGGTTCATGCCCGTTGGCTTGTTCTGGTATGGCTGGTCTGCCCAAGCGGGTGTGCACTGGATTGTGCCCATCTTGGGAACCGGTGTTTTTGCCGTTGGCCTGATGACCGTCTTCATGTCTGCCAGCACTTACCTGGTTGATTCGTATCTGCGCTATGCGGCGTCAGTTACCGCGGCGAATACCGCGTTGCGGTCGTTGATCGGGGCTTTGTTGCCACTGGCGGGGCCGTCGATGTATGAAGCTCTCGGGTTGGGATGGGGCAATTCCTTGTTGGCGTTTATTGCGCTAGTCATGTGCTCGGTGCCATTCCTCTTTTGGAAGTATGGGGCCATGATTCGCACACACCCACGATTCCAGGTCAAGTTGTGAACTTGGGAGGGATAAAAGTTTTGGTTTGCATTGCATTTGCATTTGATTCATGGCGCTTCGAATATATATCCATCTAGACGATAAATTAATGAACGAACGATATCACCTCGCATATTCAGTTGACGCCTCGGGTTCCAACGGCTACCCTGGTCCTAAATCAAAACCAGCAAAATAAGAAGACTAACCTTGGGAGTGGGCTGATGGGTGATGCTATGTTCAAAGGTCATCACAATCACAGCAGACGAGAGGAAAGCGGCGAACCTTGGAAGGTCGGAGACATCCTGCAAACCATCACCTAGAAGCTGAATACCAGCCCTGGAGCAGTGACCTCGGGAGGTGATACTAGGTATATAATCAAAACTCCAAAGGAGACGAAGTGAAGATAATGTGAGCCAAACCTTGGAAGCAACCCTGGAGATGCCACTGGGATATTGTCCCAACATTCTATTTGCTGCACCCCTCATTTGCCAACGGATTCTCCATTCGTTTTCATCTGCGATTTTGGACTCGACAAGAACGATCGTTACTCGACTTTTAATTTTGCGAGAAACACTCACCACAAGCTCTCGGTTCCTCCGCATTGAAGAAGGTAATACCTGACCATGATTAGGATAATCTGACAAGGCGTGAGCATCCAGATCATGCCAGATTCAGCCCTGTTTCCGCATAAATTGAATGGTTGGGTGTCAATGCATCGTCAAAAGCACCTATTTGCTAGCCAAGAAGTATTTCCCCATCTTGGCTTGCCATGGGGACCAACTGGTCGATTTGGCGATGCAACGGGCTTCGCGTGAAACAAAAGTATCTGGTTGCCTGATGCTCTTCCTTTGCTCAAATAGCCATCTTCTTCCCCCCGGTTTCTCGGTCTCCATCAAACCGGCCTAGTTTGAAGCCCGCCACGATGTCTCCAAAGACAACGTATGCCATCCTGAACCGGCAACGCTCCTTGCGCTAACTGGAAGATAGGTCTATATTTGCCAAGCGCCCGATCAAGGTGGTCGTGGGCAGCGATGAGCGCGTGTACTATGTTCACCATGGGGCGCTTGAAGCTCACCCCACATTCGAAGCCCAGCTGAGATCGGCAACGGATGACTATATGTATCACATCAATTGGAGCGCCTATGATGAGCAGACCGTGGAATGTGCCCTGAGCTTCCTATATACCGGTGGTTATCAAGCCCCAGATGCAACGCCCGAGGTGGTTGAGGTGGTAGAAGATCCCGATGCGGAAGCGGGGGAAGAGGCCCCAGCGGGGGATGAGGAAGTTGTCGAGGAAGCCGAAGAGGACGCGGAAGAAGGCATGTATAACCTTGCGTAGACCCCGTCGGAGAATCAGTTGGAAAAAAGACTAACAGAAAATGTTCCGCAGTCCCTACCGCGCCCGGCTCCGAGACATCGGATAGCCCAGCTTCTGCGACCTTCTCAGAAAGCGACCTGAACGAACGCCCCTTAACTCCCTTAGGACTGTGTTGCGGTGTCAGTCTCCCAGAGTACGCCGCCGCGAAGACTCCCGAGACCGAGAAGGAAGAGGAAGAGCCAACGCCAGAGCCGAAGGAAAGTTCCGCTAGCGAAATATACATCCACACCAAAGTGTATTGGTTCGCACACCAGCTTGAGTTCGCAAACTTGAAGCAGTACTCCCTGAACCAACTCGCGAAGGTGCTGGTTGATCTCGAGCAAACCGAGAAGGATCTCTTCCCATACCTGGCTGATGGGATCCGACTGATCTATTCCACCACCGAAGCCACCGACGATGCGAGGTACCTGCTGTCTCAATTTGTGGCGTTCAAATATGCGACCCTCGTTGGCGAGGACTTCGACAAGCTCACCTCTGAGGGAGGTGAGTTTATGGTGGATGTGTCACATAAGCTTGCTCGGAAGCTCATCTCGCTATCCCATATATTTCAAGAGAAGTTTGAAGAGCTCGAGAGAAGGAATGAGGAGCTGGAGACGGAGAGTGCTGAAAAAGACAAACAGCTGGAGACCTTGAAAGAGGAGGTGAAGCAATTCGAGACCCGGGAAAAGACTGACCCTGCACAGAAGTACCCGGCGTACACGTATCAGATTTGACCGTCCATGACGAGGCAACGCACTTCAGAGGGCTATCATTTCCCACTCGCATCCATTGACCGAGTCGATGGCTTTTAAGGCTGTTTTGATTTTTCCAATGTAAATATGTTTTGAAAGCCATGTGGATTATAAACTTCCAAAGTTTCTTGCTTCCAAGGAGTGTATATTCGAAGGTTGGGATAAAGTAAATGATACGGTATCGGAGTGATGAAAGTTGCATATATAAATCGCTAAGCGGCAAAAATGCAGAGAGTGTTGCCCCAGATGGAGCAAATTGTATCAGACTTGAAATGCTCAGCTAACAACAAGATATTACTCGACAATCACCTGGGAAATATACAATGCAGAGCAAGCCAATGAGGTCGGGTTGCCGCGGACCTTGAACTTGAATGGAGTACGTCATGATTAAGACCGGGTTGTCTGTATTTCGCATCCCCAAGTTGTTTTTGTTTTTCATCATCACTCATCATGGCAGGCAAAGATCACGAATTTCAGCGACATGAATCAGCAACACTGCAGCGTCGGCTGTCACTGCAGTTCAAACGGAGAGAATGGCTGGCACCGCCATCTGAAGTACGCGACGCTCCACGATCACGAGCCTGACTGACAGGACTTAGAACGTCTACGCCGGAATCTCCGCCTACTTCTCCAACCATCACATCTCCCTCATTTCCATCTCCATTCGGGACAGTACATACCTGCTCGACTTCATTGAGAAATCCTTTGACCAAGAGGAACGGCTGTCCGTCGAAGAAGCGACCGATTTTGTCATTACGCAACTCGACCATTATGGAGAGAAACATTTAGAGAAGATCATTGGGGCAGCAATGCCTAATCACGTTGCCGACTTTTGCCCCAGATTATGCTCCCGTTTGTGGGGCGAGCTGGACATCATTCCACTAGTGTTACCCGATTCCACCTTGGTGGATAAGTACACCACACGCGCATCGAAATCACCGGCATGGGATTCCAAGACAATAGACGAACAGGCTGAAGCCATGTCGCGTAAATGTGTTCGGTGAGTTGAAATTCGGCAAGATGTAGACTCGAAATGCTCAACTGCGCAGGTTATTTGGGCCTGAAAACGTCCCTTTGCTGCAAGTCGGCTTCATGGGCCTCGTGGAGGTGGACACAGACTTTCACGTGCGACTGGCCAGACTCGAGGATTTCCAAAAGACCGTGTCTCCAGAAACCTGGGCAGCCGTACAACATTATGTCTCGGATCTGAGGAAGCGGAAGATCCGTATTGCATTTTTCAGCGCAACACCCCAAGGAGGCGGTGTTGCTCTGATGCGGCATGCTCTGATGCGTCTTTCGCATGTATTGGATACAGATGTCAGATGGTGAGTACATACTGGGATAGAGTGATAGAAATACTTATTTGAGAAAGGTACGTACCGAAACCTCGGCCAGGCGTCTTTCAGGTTACGAAGAAGAACCACAACATCCTGCAAGGTGTTGCGGGGCCAGATGAACGCTTCAGCTCGGACGATCAATCATTCTTGACCGAATGGATCGCAGAGAATGCACGACGTTACTGGTCTTGTCCCGGGGGCCCTCTATGCCCACCATCGAACGGGGGCGCAGATGTGATCATCGTCGATGACCCCCAAATGCCAGGACTGATACCCATCGCCAAGAAAGAAGCTCCAAGCCGACCAGTCATCTTTCGGTCTCACATTCAGATACGGAGTGATCTAGTCAATACACCAGGCACTCCGCAGGCAGAGGTATGGGAGTATCTGTGGAACCAAATCAAACTTGTGGACTGCTTCATCAGCCATCCAGTCAAGGCATTCGTCCCCCAAGATGTGCCGACGGATATTTTGGGCTATATGCCGGCCACGACCGATTGGTAATTGATCCAAAAATCCTTGGAAGTGCATGATATCTCTAATATCATCTAGGCTAGATGGATTGAACAAGAATATGCGAGACTGGGATGTCGCACATTACGGTCGCCTTTTCAACGCAGCATGTAGAAATTCGGACATGCCGGTTGTTCACCAGCCGGATGGTAAGCCTCCATACCGACCTGAATGAGAGCCGTCGCAATTAACACCTGGTTTGCAGATCGGTATATCGCGCAGATTGCACGGTTCGACCCAGCCAAAGGGATCTTTGATGTCCTGGAATCGTACGATAAATTCTATACTCGACTCGCTCAACACCGGCCAGATCTCAAACCGCCAAAGCTCCTAATCTGCGGACATGGCTCTGTCGATGACCCTGATGGAACCGTGATCCACGATCAAGTAATAGATCACATCGAGCATAAGATGGCATCTATTCGCGATTCCATTTGCGTGATGAGGTTGAAGCCCCCTGATCAGATCTTAAACGCAATCCTTTCAAAAGCCACAGTTGTACTGCAGCTTTCGGCCCGGGAAGGATTCGAGGTCAAAGTTTCCGAGGCAATCCACAAGGGCAAGCCCGTTATCGCTACCCGGGCAGGTGGAATTCCACTTCAAGTCGAAGATGGGAAGAATGGCTTCCTTGTCGATGTGGGAGATACAGATGCAGTTGCGGAGCATTTGTATGATCTATGGGTGGACGACGCACTCTATAAGCGGATGGCAGAGTATGCAATCAGCCATGTACGTGATGAGGTCAGTACAGTGGGCAATGCTCTTTCTTGGTTTTACTTGTGCTCGAAGCTCTCTCAGGGTGAGAAGCTGCGGCCACAAGGACGGTGGATCAATGATTTGGCGTTTGAGAGTAGCGGTGTCAGTCCGGAAAATCTGCCTCGCCTCAAGCGCGCAGTGGAGGTTGCCAATATGGGATGATTGGGTACTGGCGTTTTACGCGGAAACTATGAGCGGAAGAGACTATCATTCACGGGGCTTTTGTGCGTTCAGTTTAGCTCTGTTCTGTTATTAAATCTATTAATTGATCCAACTATCGTGCTGGGATTTCAAGACAAGCAGCGATATTTCGGTGGTATCAAAGATCACCAGGGCACTATCTGCTCTGGCTTCTCGGTTTCAAAATCATCAACCCAAGCAGCTGCCAGGTGGGCATGCTGCAGCTCTCAATCGAGCTAAATTAGTTGGGTGATAAGGCCAGCAGGCTGCGTCAAAGATTGTCCACGGGACTCACGAGCTTCAGACGTAAGGAAAGCGTTTGAATTAGAGTATTCAGTGCTGCCCAGATAGACTACAGGGCTCAGGGCTCTCGAATAAAAGGTAAAAACCTTGGAACCTTTCAAGGTTGGAACAGGTCAGCTCCATGCCGTGCTCAGATGGGCAGTGGGCGATAATGCTTCCATGTTCATAACAAGAAGATCACACAAGGTAACCCACTTCCGATACATGTGGGTGTTGGAAGTTGTCTGTTTCATTTGGAATGAGTCTTCTTGAACAACCTTGAAGGTGGAGCCCTGGGGGTGCTTTGATCGCTGTAGTGTCCATGTCAAGGCTTAAATGATCTTTGCGTCAGCAAATACACTTGAATTCTGCACTCCAAGCCCAAGATCGTGATCGGCTTTGTGCCGTTGCTGTACGAATACCTCGACGTTGTATCTTGAGGTCTCAACCTTGAAAGCAAAGTCTTGATCGATGTTGGTAGGTCCTGAGGTCTTCTCTTGTCGTACAAATCGGAATGCTTGGATATGAATGGACTAATAGGTTTTCCGGCTACCGCGCATAAGCTCAAGGGCGATTGCTGTCTCTTTTCAATAGCGTTTTCTATAGCGACTTCGATCGAGCGTTATTGGTGGGCATATTGACGTGATGATATCCTGGTTTTAGGAATCTTGAACGTTGTATGTACATCAACGCCGGACCCTCTTCGACCTCTGCTGTATTCGTCGAATTTGAAGCAAGTCGGTGTTCGGGGTCGATGGGATAGCAAAACCTTTCCGGTATAGGATGTGTGGCCGAGCTATGTTGGACCATCGACCTCGACCCTTGGAAGAAAAGTGAATGCCAGGAAGAATTGGAAAGGACTGAGAAATTGGACGATGGAAAAATGCATATGAAGCTCTCACTGACCACCCAGTCATATATAGCACGAAAAGCCACCCACAACAGGTCCCAATTCCGAAGGAACCAAATAGAACAGACATGACATCGCATAGAACGTGAAAACCGCCCGAACCGACCTTGTGCAAGTAAAAGAAACCGTTGGACACCCGTAGGCATTGCAAAATATAGAAAGAGACTCGGAATGATCCGGCAAAAAGAGAAGAATGAAGAAATAGAATAGTAATTGAAAATAACCGGTTTTGGGTTGTCGAGCATCACATCGTAAGAATAAAAGAACGCCACCAACCTCGGAATATCAGAGTGCCGACCGAGAGAATGGGAATATCCCAGGAACGCAAATGGGTAACAAACACGAAAAGACAATAGCCGCCCCGTAATAGCAAAAGCAGAACCATTCCGTATCCACATAACCAGCCAAGAAACGGTACAGTCAAAAATAAATAATAAAGAATAGTCCTCCCATGAAGTAAAACAAGAAAAAAAAGTCGAAGGTGCAAAGCGTCTATCTCCACAGGGAATAGGGTAAAGCAAAAGACTCCCAAAGAAACAAAGGTATCATCAGATTTGCGGCTGCGCCATCTGTGGCTGAGTCGCGGCAGTAGTCGTCCACGTCGACATGGGTTGGGTGCCCGCGTACGGCGCGGGCACGTAGTATTGCGAGCGATCCGGCGCGTAGTACGGGTGGATGGGGTTGGACTCCCGGCGGGGCATGCTCGGGTCGAGCGGCATGTTGCGCTCGAGGGGATGCTGGGTCTCCAATTGACCGGGAATGCTGAAGCTGCCACGGGAGTAGTTGCCCGGTGTTGAAGGATCCATGGGGGAAGTAGCGTCCGTGGCCTGGCTGCGGGAGGAGATGGAGGAATTGCGGTAGGCGGAGGGACTGTGGTCAGAGCTTGAGCGGTTGCGATCACTCAGGGAGCTCGGTAGCCCCGTGTTCATGCCTGGGATCGAGGAGGACATGCTGTGTGCGCTCATCGAGTCCATGCTACCGCCATAGGGCCCCGCTCGGAAAGCGTGGTAATCCTCCTGCTTGGGTGGAATGCTGTGGTAATCCTCTTTATGTGGGATGGCGGTCGCGGGCGAGGGTAAATATGGGTTTTGGGCTGGCTGACCAGCCATCGGGGCGCCCATCGAGTAGCCCGATATGGGACCGGGTTGGGTGGCGTGGGTGGCGGCGTAAGGACTGGGATGCATGTAGAAATCACTTGCGGGATTCTGCATGGGATAGCTCGGAGGAGCCATCATCTGCGGGCGATATCCATAAAGAGCGGCGTGGGAGGGCTCTTGGTTTTCGACGGCGTTGGTGGCTTCGAGCTCATCGATGGGAGACCGGAAGCTTTGCTTTTGAGTAAGTTCGGTTCGAGGGCGGATGTAGCGTAGGTTCTCCACCACAGACGGCGGGCTGAGCACTCCGCGGATTACGTCGTCCACACTATAGTATGAGACCAGATGATGAGTGATACCCATGACCGTGACACTCATCGTCTTCTTGACGAGACCAGAATCCTTGAACCCGTACGAATCCACCAGTGACCCTACCAAGGCACGCTCGAGCTCGGACTGGGGACGGTCCGGGAACGCTTGACTGGGAGAGGTGGGTGAGTAGCTTTGGCTGTCGTGTCGCGCATAGGGCTCCCCGGGCCGGCCGGTGGGCATGGGCCGTCGAGTGGCCTTCTTCATGGCGCGCTTCTTCTCGCCCGGGGGGAATGGCTTATCCAGCTCGCGGTAGACGAGGAAGTTGCCAAGGATGCGACTCGGACTCCAGGTAACGCCATCGGTCCACCGCTTGATGCCGGAGGAGTTCTCCTCATAGATAAAGACGCTTCCACTGCGGACGAGATGACTGCGTTCCCGGTCGTGGGGACGGCGTGGAACGTGATGTAGCACGCCGGTCAGACATGCTTCAAAGAGCAGGAGAGCATCTTGAGTGGTTGCGACGTAGCCGGTGAAAGTGGGCTCCAGCACGGCGGTCCCGTTCACCATGATTGTAGAGAATGTGAAAAGAGATGGAACCCCGGGGGTGGAAAAAGAGATATACCCCCCAAAAGGAAAACAGAATTAAGCTAAAGACGATCGACCAGGGTATGGAGAAGAGGAGGTTTTGAGTTGGGACCCCTCAGTTGGAGAATTCCAAGGATCGACTGGGAAGAAGCACGGGCCCTAAGTCAGCGAGTCAACAGGTTGCACCGATTCGATCGAAGGGGATCTGCTAATGGCCGTTCCACGGTTTGAGTTGCGGCAATTCCCAAGCTTTGGGGGCTCCACTGCTCCACCGTATGGTATTGGATACGTACAAGAGAGAGAGGAGTATAGGAGATAGGATGGATAGGATGGGATGAGAAAGATGACCAGGCCCAGAGGTATGGTATGGTCACCGGGAGTCTAATGCCTTTAATGTTCACTTTAAGAATCCATACTCGGAGGGTTCACTGCGGGGAGTACTTGGGTACTTGAACGACCATAGAACCGCTGCTGGAGCCTGGAGTATCATCGACATTAGATATGACATGCGATATTAGGTGCTTTTTTTTTTCTTCCTCTCCCTTTTTCTTTTTCGATTTTCCATTTCATTTTCGATGTCATTTTTATTTCATTTGATTTTTCGGATTTCCTTCTTTCAGTGATTATTCGACTTAATTGCCATTAGCTGCATTGGGTCTAGCTCGGGTCGAACCAGAAAAATAAATGGACATCAAAAATCCCATTGGGAAAAAAGGAAACGGAAAATCGAAAATCGAAAATCGAAATCAGAAAAAGAGAAAAAAGAAAAAAAGAAAAAAAGGAGCCGCGGCGGAATTCGGGGGAGCGGAGAAATACGGAGCTTTCAAACCCTCCGCGAAAAGCAGGTACCGTTTCAAGCGTTCTTCGATCTCTGCAATCCAATCTAAATATACCTAAACAGACTAACTATAGGTAAACCATGAGCTAAAAGTTACCAGTGTATACGTACGGGGGAAAAAGATTAAAGTCCATTTGAGATGGAAACATCATCGAAACCCCGTGCCATGGATGATCCCGGTGGATCCGTAAATGGGATCGGAGGGTCTCTGACTCCGTGACATCTACCACCAGACTTCGACTTGTAGCGACAGACGACCAAATACTCCATGTAGCCCCGAGTACCTCCTGACACCTGGCTACCGGAGAATATACCAAAGTCTACTCAAGGATCTCAACCCTTCTGGCCCAGGCACCTGCCACTTTCGTAACCGAGTATTACGTATTATATAATACGGCAGATCCTCCAGGACAGCTCTGACGCCTGGGCCCGGCCTCTGAGCTCTTGGATTGGCTGCTATACAGGGCACCGACGCTAACCCCACTTGCCCGCCCATGGATGTCCACGTACGGACAATACGGACCAAGACTCGTATGGGATGTCTGCACTGCCGTGCTCAACAGGCATTGCCAATTGATAGTCATGAGACATCGTCATCCCCCCTTGGCTCCAGGGCTCATTCTCTTGAGATCTTGGTCTCTCCCAATTCCATGACACTGATGGTCCTGGTAGTCATCGGGAACATGCTCTGATCTTTCCTAGCGGGGAATGGACAGTGCGCAATACCGAACTATTGAAAATTTGCCTCCACCTTCAACTCCAGATGGGTCATGATCATCCAACGGCAGTTGGGTATTCGATCCTCTCTGGGCCAGTCAGACGCGGGTCAAATCGTCCATTAGTATCCTATAATTTCATCTTATTCTCCGGGGGCCGGTGATTTCTGTAGCTGATTTATGGGTCTGGTGGATATTGGCAAAGGCCCACGAGTCGGAGGACTGAGCGCAGCAGATCTCCGTAGCTCCAGATACAGCAGGACGCACACTCAGTGTGCCTGAGACGGAGAGAACACAACCCCATTCTACAATTTCCAATCAGCGCCAGCGGATGTAAAGAACCGGTCGGGGAACATCCACGCGTCTCAGATTAAGAAAAGTCAGTAAGGTTAGGCTTGCGTGAAGAGAGAGTTTCCGGTACCTTCTCCTGACATTCTTTCTTTCGATTATTCCCAGGTGGTGTTTTTGGATGAAAAATACAAAATTAATGTTTGGGCGCAATTCTACAGATTGTCTCCGATCATGTACCAGTAGTCACCAGTGAGAGTTCCGGAACTGCTGTCGAAACCTAGAGGGGAAGAGGGTCCCGTTCCTCTCATCTCAGCAAGTGCGTGATTGCTTGGAATTGGACGAGCTAGACATAACCATGGGTCCAGGTTTGGATGGGCTTAGATGAGCGAGAACTTTCACGGGAGATCCTCAGCAGATCCAGGCCACACTGCCACGGTCTCAGCCTGACCTTCAATCCCCATTGACATGTGGCCTGGTATGCACCCCGGTCGAGCTAGGGGCCCAGGATTCGGGATCGGCGGTTTTGTAGTTTGAGATAAAGGAAAATGAAATAATATGAAGACATTCTAGAATTTCTTTTGCTTTTTTGCCGCGCTATTTGTTGGTGTCTTTTAACTCCCGTGGTTTGACTGGCCACATAGCCGAAACTATCAAGACATACGGAGTCAAGTGGGAGAGTTGTTTGATAATGGGGTGTAGCTCAATGGTCGGAGGACCGTCCTCCGTTGAAGATGCGATTAGGCAGGTCCCAGAAAGCCGGTTAACCAGGAGACGATCGTAGTTGGCGCACGCTTGTTAAAACTCAATTGACGCGAATGACAGAAGACTATGTAGACGTTCGAAATGACTTCACGTTCAGGATCCACGGATACGCACAGCCAAACGAGATATGTGATGTCTCATATTCCACTGTGTAATCACCGATCCCCGAGAGAGGGTGAAAAATTACGGAGAGCGCAGTACATGGCCTTCTGCTCGTACAAGTAATCTACAGTACTATTATCATATTACTGTACACACCAAGGCACACCGGATCCAGAACGAGACCCAAAATATAGTACCATTCACCAATCAACCACAGATTGAAGGGTGTAGATCGGGAGTCCAGACCCAATCTGAGATCATAGACGTTCTGCACAGCCCATCACAAGCCAAGGATCCTCTAAGCGCGCCTCGAGCGGGGGGTACACGACTGGGCTCCGCCCGGTAACGGGACGGTGGACAGAAGGCGGTAGCCCACTACACACGGCCTGTACCCTCACGGTATCGCAACCACGAGTATGAAGCGTACGTAGTCCAAAGCCCAAAGCCCACTCGTAACTGCTGCAGCTCTCGGTAGCCAACATTTGGTTAGCCCCAGTGCCGATGCAGGCCAAGGGGAGCTAATATCGCATTTTACCCCACAACTTCTTCAGCAAATCACCGAGCCCATTCCCTCCGAACGAGGGTGTTCCGGAGCTGTTCAGGTTGCTTGTGGCTTGGCCATGGGCACGGTTGTCCTATCAGCACCCCGCGGCGATCAAACCGCTATTTCCCTCTCCTCACGCTATTCGTGCCTTGAGATGATCACCTTGGCCTTTTGTACGATTCCTCGTCGATCTCGACTATTCGCTCCCACTAGGAACCCACATCCACGGGCGGTACACCCGTACCAGACACTCGGGCCAGGTATCCGTGCGACAGATGCGTGAGACAGGGGGGATATTCATCATTCTCAGTACGAGGGTCTCGTAGCCACGACGTGGTCAAGGCTGGTCACAGTTTGATGTTTCGATAGTGGGATTAGCATTTGTACGGATTGGGACACATGAAGAAAACATAATAAGCTCCTGTCAAGTTAAGTTTTCTTTGACATCAGAAGTGCAGAAGTACAGGATGTTTTACAAGCAAACACTAATACATACAAATAGATGAAACCCGGTCAAGACCCAATGAGGAGGGTCAACGGTGTATAGTAGTGTCCAATGCCAAATTACCAAGTCCAAATAATAAGAATCAGGAACCAGGGAACCTCGCCCGGTTCGGGGTTAGACTCGGGCCCGATACGAAGATCGCCTCCAGGGAGCACAGAACGGTAATAGGCAAATGCACACGTCTGGAAGGGGCAAGGTGGCTTGGGTTATTTAAAAAGCCGCTAATTTAACTAGTCCCGGTGGCGCCCACGCTATCCCTATCCTCGTTCGAAACTAAGAAATCCCGCAACTCTCTCAAGGGTCTGATGAACTAAGGGATGATCATCATAAGGGGCGTATGTGAAGATCCGGTTTGAACCACCGACTTTGTCTCGGGACTTGGGAGGTCGGAGGTTCGGAGAATCTCGCAAGGTTCAAGACATGCGGTTCGTGGTGAGGATGGCAGGTTTGGCACATTTGGCACATATGGGCGAGGCGTTTAACAGTTGGATTCCTCGGCCGTATCATACAATAAACGGAGCACTGGAGTGCTGTTGAGATGAGATATGCGGTTCCCACGGAATACGAGCCCAGAGTGCCTCGTACATCACTCCGTAATCCCTGGGGTTAGGACCATTACCATCCTGTGCAAGTGCCACAAGTCCCTGCATACTGACCAGGCTCGCACAATGCTCATGAAGAGCAATGTACTACCTCCCTAATCCGTCTACAACCCCGAAGACTGTTTTTTGGACCTGGCGAACCTGCATGCTCGTGAGGCCTTGAATTCCAAGCCCCTGATTTTGCTCATTGGTCATTGGCCCCTGGCCTGGGTTATCATGTCAGAGCCCCAGCCGCGTACACTTGCACATCCCATCTGATTAGTCCGGTACTTGGACTGTCTCAGAACTACATTCTACCGTTCGGCGAACTATGTAGTTTGCAGCAAATGGATTCAACGGCGTTGGTGCTCCGTACATATTCAATTGCCACACTGTGGCCATAGAGTGGAGATATCGCAGTGTATCCGTCAGCCTCAGGATCGGAGTGAGATCATGATCAAAGCGATCGTCTAATTCTTCCATTCTCGGTGCTAGCGGGTGCGCTTTGTTCGATCGCGCTTGTCTGTGCATATTGAACAATGGCCTTGACTGCCGGGCCAACCGTGTGGTGGCAAATGAGAAGAGACAGGGCGCGTTCGGGTCATTTGCGTATGGTTCGCGGCGCTAAACATGGCATTTTGTTGGATTCAATATTGATGGACTGTCAACTTCCGGCCCCAGTATCAAGCCCTCGTATATTCCCTTGTCAAACCACCCGATCTGGAACGACAGACTGTGAAATCTAATTTCCTGTAATAGTTACTGTTGGCATGTAACACAAGGACAAACGGACCCTTCACGCCCATGTGGTCAGAAGGCCTCACTCCTGACAGGGATCAGCGAGCCACCGCAGGCGAGTGGTCCCAACGTTTTGGTCGGCTCGTGTATGTGGCTGTGTGACTGCCCTTTTTTGGGAAGCAATAGATCCTGCATTGCTGATACCACCGTACGGAGTACGAAATATGGACCAGTATGTCTATGCAGTGGGGAGTGCGATTGTATCGGCATGCTACTATACTGTAGTCCAAAGCTACAGCAAAACCAGCACAATCCCCGGGATAGTCCTCTGTATACCCGATTACTAGTAGTACTACTGCTGTGTACTTCGTACACAACATGACGATCATCTGTCATTGTTCTCTTTTGATGGGTCGACTCAAAAACAGGGATGGCGAGATCAATGCACGATGTACGGGGATGGAGCACATCGGCACATTAGTCCCGGCAGCCCATGAGACATGGCAACCACGGACTTGCGACTCAGAACCGCCTTCTTTATGGAGTACTCCGTAGTGTTGAGTACTGATACCTAATGCATGCAAGTGGAATTTCAATCGCCCAATATAGTCAAAAGAACTGTGCATACTAGGTAGCTAAGGAACTAGTCAATATTGATGACGCTCGGCATAACTCCATAATCACTTCTATTGGCTTGAATATACTACTGTACATCAAGCTTGCATTGGACATCGCATTTTCTCCTCGGCCTTTGGCTAGAGCAAACAAAGCAGATCTTTGCGGTCAACTACCGAGATTCGTCCTTGGGGCGATCCACGGATGTCAAGTGCATTCTTCACCATGCAGGCTGAAGATCTTGACATCTGCAAACCTAGTATATCAAGATGTTTGTACTGACGCATGGCGATCAGACGACTTTCCTTAAGCCCCCTCTGCTTGAATTTGCATCGCATGTTATCCGTGGTCTTACATTTCTGGGTATCTGGGTCGTCCGTGTCCTCTTGACGCATGCACCAAGTATACCAACTAGCAAATCTCGGCGGTCTGCCACTAGTACGCCCCAGAGACGGGGTACTATGTGCATGCATCTCCTTGATCTACAAGCGCGCTAGGAAGCAAGGACCTCACCCTTACGCAGGCGCCTAATCGGGGCCTGAACGAGATATGTAGAACCCCCTCAGTACGTGCCAGCTGGGAGATGATGTACAGCGCTTACACGGTGCATGCGACACATCCAACGATCTGCCATTACCCGTTTAGCCAGCCCCTTGGCTCTGAAACAGATGTGATCTGGAATACATCACATACCCCACCAGAAACCAATCGCATTGCACACCACGCGACTGGCCAACGTTCTGGTAGAAGAAAAAAAGTGAGATCAGATCCCTATCAACGGCTTATGCACGCCACGCTGAAGTTATTGTGGTTGACGGGCTCATGGCATGTATGTGGCCTGATTCGGTAGGTCCCTTCGATTCCAGATCAATCACTCAAGATCGCATATCACCAGATCCTAGTGGGAGGTTTGTGCACTGGATCTCACCACCGACTGGATCGATCTTTAGGCCGGCATGGACTTATGTACAGTACTTATTCACAGCAAACACATTGCCATTCCGCCAATGAGATAGGAAAAGGACGCTTTCGATGACGGGATACATGTAGCCGATCTCCTTATCCCTACATGCGTTCATCTCAATCTGGTCATTGGTCGCTGTTCCAAGAGCTCAGATATCCCTGTCTTGACGAGAGATCGGCAACCCCCTTGCGTGCCTCCCAGATTGGCGGTATACAATCGGGCTTGGGGCTTGGGGCTCCGGCATACGTGGCTAGATGATCTTTGCTTTTTCTTCTCGCGTGTCTGGCTCTGGGGAAAGCGAGATTACGTTCGTCGGCTTAGTCGTCCTAAGCGATTTGACGAATCATTCAAGGGGTTTCTGTTTCAGCAAGGATGACCTCGGGATTCAATCCATGGATGCGTGGAAAATACCATTCTGTGTTGCGTCGAAGCAGAGTCGAATCTCCAATATTCCATTGCAACCTTGGAACCTTGAACCTCCCGATTATGTAGTAGGATGTGACATACGTATCATGCATCCCAGAGCGTGCTACAGGCCCAGGTGCTTATATTGAGTAGTATACATGCGTATATTGAATATTATACAGTAAATGAAGCCGGCGCCGAATTTCCCGCTATGCCAATATATTACAGAAAAGTCGCATTAATCACGCGGTGTGCTTCATGGTGATGAGCGGAGCACTTCGGCGACCGAGCCCTCGCTGGGGATCTCCTTCGAGGGTCCTGGGTTCTTTCGAACATGCATCAACAATCGCAAGGCGCCCACTGGAGTCACGCCTTCGATACGTTTGGCCATGCCGACACTGACTGGCCGCACACGCTCTAGAGCTTGTCTTTCTTCGGTGCTGATACCAGTAACCTTGCTGTAGTCCAGACTCGCAGGCAAGAGCAAGTCCTCGTTCTGCTTGAATCGCTGTGCCGTCTTCTCCTGACGCTTCAGGTATGGTGCGTAGCGACCCTCAATGGCTACACGAGTGCGGATATCAGGTGCAAATGAGTTGGCCGTAAACGTCGTACCAGACTTAGTCGCGATATTAGGGATGACAGTATCAATGTCAACGCCATCCAGGCACAGGATGTCCAGCGCTGAGCGGACAGAGGCGTCGGGACGCAGCTTGAAGCCTTTACGGGACCAGATCGTTGAAGATAGTTTGGTGTCTCCTAGAAGACCCTGAAGTTCCTTGATCTGAGTCTCGGTGTCAGAGAATGCGCGCCAGCGTTTGTCTGAGACGACACCGGCGTCACGAGCCATGCGTGTCAAACGAAGGTCGGCATTGTCCGAACGTGTTGAGATGCGGTACTCGCTTCGAGTTGTAAACATGCGGTAAGGCTCTGAAACACCCTTGGTGATGAGGTCGTCGATCATGATTCCAATGAAACCGTCGGAACGGTCGAGGGTGAGCGGCGCTTTGTTCTGCGACTCGAGTCCGGCGTTCATGCCAGCGATGACACCCTGTCCTGCTGCTTCTTCATATCCTGTTGTTCCATTGATTTGGCCGGCGAGATAGAGTCCGTTGATCAATTTCGTTTCGAGGGTGGGTCGAAGGTTGCGAGGGTCGATGTAGTCATATTCCACGCCGTAGCCTGGTTGTAACATAGTCACATTCTCGAGACCCCGAATCACACGTAGCATGGCGTATTGTGCGTCTGCGGGAACAGTCATGGAGATACCGTTAGGGTAGATGACATCGTTTGGCGCAAAGCCTTCTGGCTCAAGCCAGATTTGATGCTGGGTCTTGTCCTTGAATCGGATGATCTTGGATTCCAAAGATGGACAATATCGTGGTCCGCGGATGGTTTCCCTGATATGAATGGACTTGTCCAGATTGGCGCGGATAATGTCGTGGGCAGCTTCATTGGTGTGGGTCATCCAGCAGGTGAGTTGGCCTTCATCGCCAACTGCAACGGTTTCATTGAGGTAAGAGAATGGATTGGGCGGTGAATCACCCTTCTGCACTTCCAGCGCTGAAAAATCGATCGTCTTCTTATCCAGTCGAGGTGGCGTACCGGTCTTCAAACGTCCAAGCTGGAAGCCGGCTTCGCGAAGAGACTTGCTCAGGCCATACGTGGGTGCCTCGCCCATGCGGCCTGAGGGGAAGACATCCATTCCAATATGAATTTCACCACCCAAGAAGGTTCCAGTCGTGATGACCACACGGCCTGTAGGAATGACCTCTCCAGACTCCAGCCGCACGCCAACAATCTTGCCCTGAGCACCAGGTGTGCTCTCAATTCCTTCAGTGGAAAGAACGATGTCTGCCACTTTTCCTTCCACGATGCTGAGATTTTCGGTGCTGTTCAATTCCTCGGACATATACCGCTTGTAAAGATCGCGGTCGATCTGCGCACGCGGTCCCCAAACTGCTGGGCCGTGAGACCGGTTTAACATCTTAAACATGACACCGGCTTTATCGATAATGCGACCAGCCACACCGTCCATCGCATCCACCTCGCGAATCATTGTGCCTTTTCCAATACCACCAAAGCTGGGGTTGCATGAGCAGACACCAATGTTTTCTCGCGATGGCGTTACCAAAGCGGTGCGCGCTCCAGACCGAGCGGCGGCGGCGCATGCCTCAGATCCAGCATGACCGCCTCCAATAACAACGACATCGTAAGGTCTGTAGGTCTGTGGATTAGTCTAGGCCTGTAAACGATTAGGGGAAAACATACCGCGTGTTGTCAGCCACAGACGCAAAGCCACGGGTGCGGCCCGTAAAATGGCATAGCGACCGACTCTGACGCACGAGAGCCGACGACCGTGCTCGAAATGCCATGGCCGATTGCATTGCAAATGTTCAAGCAAGTCAGGCACAAACACGCGGATATCGGATATCGAATCTATCGGGGAAAATCTTCAGTCACATGACTTAGATCCGTTAACCCCGAGGGCGGTGGATCTAGTGTGACATAATCTTGCGCCATTCCGAAGTCGGCCAATCGCGGGGCTGCTTATGCTCAGCGAGCAGCTCGACCTGCTTTTTTTTTGATAATCCCTCAAGTCTACAATCAATTCTTGTTAACTGACCATCACTACAATCACAATGAAGGCCTATTGGTATGACAACGCTCCGGTATGTATGCGCCAACTGGCAAGCTTCTGCATACTAAGTTTCACAACCTCATCCCACCTTGACTTGCGAAGAAAGTACGCTGACCCCACTTTCGTCATAGGGTGACCAGCGCGAGCCCCATGACTCTGGCCGCGCCGTATCAGAGGATAAGCTTGCCTCGCTAGGCGTGACCTATGTTCACTGCCCAACAATTGAGTCCGTTGATACCATCGCGGCAGACCGCGGATACCGGAATCGCGACCAAGTGTGTGTCTCGCCGGCCACTATGGGAGATATCTACGAGGAGAAGGTCAAGTCTTTCTTCACAGAGCACCTGCACGAGGACGAGGAGATTCGGTACATTCTCGATGGCGAGGGGTACTTTGATGTCCGGGGACAGGACGACGAGTGGATTCGTATCTCTCTCGTCAAGGAAGATATGATCATCCTGCCCGCTGGAATTTACCATCGGTTCACCACAAACGAGCAGAACGTAAGTCTTTTTTTCTTATAATTCAAACTTCCAGATTGACCAGTCGTGCTAACTTATTCTCTTACAGTACGTCAAGGCCATGCGTCTGTTCCAGGATGAGCCCAAGTGGACACCATTGAACCGCGGTGCGGATGTTGACATTAACCCCCACCGAAAGACTTATCTTGATACCGTTGCTCGGCCTTCTGCGGCTGTTTGAGATGGTTTCGAGTTTGAGATGCATTACGATTGGACTATTTGCACACATTACCACTGATAAATATTGAAATTTTTTGTATCTTGTTGTCACTTTCGTTGCACGGCATATTTACATATACAACTTCGGAAAGAAGACATCTATGTCTTTTCCAAGTAGGGAATCAAGCGGTATCTGGAATGCCAGGCGTGCCGACGGGTGTTCCAGCGGGCATAGCGCCAGGCATTTCAAATCGATCGCTTGTAGCACCGGCACTATCCTGTCTGGTCATGCTTGAGCTCCGCAAGCCACCCATATCGACATTAAAGCTACTCGTGCGGGACCCAGCTCCAAGCCCTAATCGGGGATCCAGCCCGCCACGGAACCGCAGCCCCTCTGACTCTCGGTCATGACCATGACCATGATCATCGAAACGGGGCGGTCCTGATGCTTCAGTGGAGCCCGCGCTTCGCGGCGGGGCCGTGGACCCAGCATCTGAATCCTCGCCGGTCCGCACGCCGGTCCGGCCCATGCGCGGCCACAGGTCGGGAAGCCCAACAACCTGTACTCGAGGCTCGACGACACGCTCCTCGAACCAGGCGTGCACTCGTGCTTCGACTAGCTGGGCAATTTTCGGTACATCCTGCAGTCGGCTACGGGAACCGATGAGCGAGCGTACCGAGAGATCAAGTCGGTAGTCAGGAAGGAAAGAGAATGCGACATTGCTCTTGGGACTGCTCTTGGGTGGGAGTTGGTCTTGGGATGAGTGACGCCCAGGGCCATTTGGTCCCGTTTGTTCATTGTGGACAGGCTCTGGCGATGACCCAGCGGGTGTTGGCATGGGCTCTGGGGGCTCTGTGGATGCTGGGATCAGGGATATGCACAGGGTTCCGGAAAATCTAACAACAGAGACCGATAGCGCGACTGGTAAGATGGCAGAACGTGGTTTGGGATAATTCAGTACCATAGATGTCTCGACAGCAATGGAGAGGTTGTCATCGCTGACGTCGACATCCAGCAACGCCTGCAATCGTCCTCCGTCCGACATAGGGTCATCAACAGCGATGATACGACAATTGCTGAAAATTGGGAACTCCTCCCCGAGCGAGATGTCGGTGACATTGATTTTGTCAATGAATGAGGGCTTTTTCTCTGGGTTATTCATGGCCGCTGTCAGAGAGCTGAGGATTGAGGAGGTCGGGGAGTCTTTCAGGGAATATGCCGTTTGTCTATATTGAGCAATAGTTTGTGCAATAAGCACATTGAACCAATCCAAGGACTCGGGTTGGTGAGAAGAGTGGTGCATGCGCTGTCTCCCATGTTTACTGGTGGGGTTGGTAGGAATGGCGCTGTAATATGTCTTGCGCAGAATCGAGCGGGTATTTGTGGAGCTGGCAGGGACAGGACGGAGAACATTGGATGTTGAGGGCTTTTCTCGTAATGACTTTTGGCCGTCTTGAGGTGGATTGTAAACGGAGCTGTAGCGGCGGTGGGTTGTGCGATTGGACATGCCTCGGGACGGAGGTGGTGGTGCTTCACCGAAGATGAAGAACTTGATGAAGGCTCCAATTAGAAGAACCACCGAGAGTTGACCGAGGAGAAACCCCTGAGTAAATGACAGGCTGTGAGGATGTTAGCGGTGCCATATTGATAGCTTCTTGGGGAGAGGGCGCACGAGGACTGAGGCGCAAGAGGCGCTGGCTCATCTATTATTGAGTTAGAACATCCTTTCGCTAGCAGTTTATGGCCTCACTTACGATGTTGAAGCGCCATCTTGCGGGGCTGTTGACTATCCTTCTTCACAATGCCATCCCCAGACGGAGAGGAAGTTCCAACCTTCGGATCTGTCTTGGCAGAACTGCTTATCGCTGATCTGCCGTCATGGACCGCCTACTTTCAGGAGTTCGGATTCGGACTAGCGGGCAGCGATCTTGAATAATAGTTCGTGAGACATAGCTCTCTCCTCTGCCACGACGAGACGCAGTCTACTGCGTAAACACAGGGGATTCTGGGAGCACCAGGTCCTTGAGTTGTACTGCCTAGATGTGTATCTGTGGAAGCCTGAGGTCTGCAGTAGCTTGGTACTAGAGAGCCTGGGGGGTCATCCAAGTCAACAAGGGAAATTCCTTGAAATGAGGGAATATCGGTCTTCTGTTGGTTCAGAATGGCCTTGACAATCAGCTTAGGGCCGGAGAGGGAAGCTAAGACTGCTCTTGGTTAGCTTACTAGTGGCCTAAGCGGCAAGCTGGAGCCCCCGCCTGGAGCCCTGGAGCCCTATCGCAATTGATAGTTGAAAGACTCCGAATAAACCTTCAAAGGCATCTGGTGGGTGTTAAAATGCGTACTTCGTATCAAAGTCAGTACCTAGGTAGTATGTCCAACCCCAGGTGCTAGTCCAACGCTCAAACTAGCTGAAAACCAAGTGTACTGTTTTAAGACCTCAAATAGCACCGAGACAGTCTTCCTCAATTTGAACAGTAATCTGACATCTATCCATTAACGGCATATTTGTTTTTGGGAACCTGTCAAAGTCAGGTTCCGCCTCGCAGTAGGATTTTGTTACATCCCATACAAACAAAGCAAACAAAGCTTGGTATAGTTCTCCACCCCAAGGACACGCAGCATCGCCACTCTGTTGACTCAAGACGCTGGAGCCTGATCTGAGACTTCGAATTCTTTCGCATCCACTCTCTGACTTCACTTTAGCAACACTTTCAGAGCTCTCTTCAAACTTACACATCCAGAGCTATCAGCTCGAAACACAATGCGGCTCCTACTACTAGCACTCGCATGCCTCGTCGCGCCATTAGTATACGCAACGCCAGGGAAGGATGCTATCCGCCTCTCAAATGTCCAGTCTCTTACACTACATGCGCACCGATTGACTAGCGCGCGTCGCGTCTCCCCAATCCCGCAACTCAGCTGTGTCGGCCCCTCCCAGAAAGTATGCAAGCTCTACCAACCGGAAGTCATGCGCTGCACAAACCAAGGCCACGACTATGATGTTGAAGACGTCCAGTGGACATGCACCGCAGATCTGCCCCCAGAGTTCAAACTGGGTTCCACGGATGTCATATGTGAGGGATATCGGAATGCAGACGACAGATGGGTTCTGAAGGGCAGCTGCGGGGTTGAGTATCGTATGTTTCTCACTGAACTGGGCGAGAGAAGGTTTGGCAACGGCCATGGAGACGAGCTCAACTGGGAACAGATGAGCGGATCCAAAAAGATATTGACCGCGCTCGGAAACCTGTTTGTAATTGGATTCCTGATTGCGGTATTTGTGCTGCTATGTTTGCCTTTTATCGCTCTTCTGGCAGAGTGCTTTGGTCTCCGGAGGAATCGCAGAGCACCTGGTGCTGGACGAGGGTGGGGAGGAGGTGGAGGCGGCGGCGGCGGTGGTGACGGTGGACCATGGCCCTACAGCAGCACCTATGATTCATACAAATACGCGGAGCGTCAGCGAGGTTGGAGGCCGGGATTCTGGTCTGGGGCCGCAGGTGGTGCAGCAGCTGGCTATGGCTTGGGTCGGTCCAGCAACAGGGACAGACGCACCACATCGAGCAGATCTGATAGCTTTGACTCGGGCGAAGGAAGCTCGCGTACACCGCAATTTTCGTCTACGACTTCCAGTACCGGATTCGGGTCGACAAGACGCAGGTGATACCATCAAGTGTAATCTGGTCACCATTGAGACTGGATTGAATCTCGAAGCCTGTACATTTGAAAGTTCTTGTCAGAACATAGCTAATAGTTAACTCCCCGAACGAGGACGAAGTGAAACTCCTGGCTGACCCTTGTGTATACCCATTTCCGGTGAACGCCAAAACAAAATCGCCTTGTACATGACCCATTACTTCATTAATTGTGCATTGAAATTTGTATCAAGCAGTGGGGAAGTCATCAATTGATCCCAGAACCTCCTCTGTACCACCACCGTTATCTTTCACTTGCTTCTTGCGTGTCTTCTTCGCAGTTCCTTTGTCGTTCTTTTCATCCTTTGGCTCAGTAGGGTTGCGCAAAAGTTCTTGCTGCAGCTCCTGCTCCTTGGCGTGCTGGTCCTCGATACGCTTTTTCTCCTCGTCGAGTTCTTGCTGTACGGCCTTGGGATCATCGTAAACAGTATTTGTCATCTCCGAGTATGCGGCGATGGTGATGGTCTCGCGTGGGCCGAGCAGTGTATCCTTGATGCGCTGAGGGTCGCGGCGCTCTTCATTGTTGAATTTCAATTTGATCTGTCGGCGAGACCTGCCAGGGAACATCTTGCTGATGACCATAAAGTCGGTGCCGAACATGCGTAAACCGCGATAGAAAAGATCTGTCATGGTCTCATCCCATGTTTCAGTCTTAGAGCGCTTGCCATAGGTAGCTTGGTTGATTTTGCGGGTAAACGAGCTTTCTTCCACGTCTTCCAGTTCACCGGCTTCGCGTGCAGCATCTGCGTGGCGATCAACTTGCAGAGAAGTGTTGTCCAGCACAATCTCACCGTTGACCACACGCATCTTTGGGCCAGATTGGGGTTTCCAATTGACCGGCTGCTCCTCCTTTTCTGGCTCTGGTTCCTTCACCGGGGTCCCGCCACCTTGCTTCTTCCGTTCCTCTTCTTCCTGGTCCATCTTACGCAACTCAACTTCGCGCTTTGACTTCTTTCCGGTCCGAAGATCCTTGCAAAGCTCAGACATCTTCATGACATTTGGCAAAATCTCCACGCCCTCGGCATCCTCGGGAGTTGGCTCACGCTTCTTGCGATTCCGCTTGGGTCTCTCATTGCCTTCGGGGTCGGATGCCTCAGTCTTGGAGTACTTTCGCTTCTTCGGCTTCGTGGCAGGGTCGGGGGTTGTGAGATTGGATCCACTGGCATTTTGATTTGGATCTTCGATAGTGGGGACAACCGACTGGGAGCCACGACGACTAGCTGCAGTGGAAGATGATGCCGATGTAGATTTCCTGCGGCTTGGTTTCGCGGTGGGCGTCGGCACCGCTTTCTTGGTGCGCTTAGCTGGCGGCGCCTCAACACGGGTATCCTTCGGGGTGTCCTTCGGGGTGGGTGGGTGTTGCTGAGTCGCGCTTGATTCAACTAGATCCCCCGCAGCACGTGCAGCTTCAGCTCGAGCATAATCCAGTAGAGCTTGTTCTGGTCCTTGGCCTTCAGCGGTTTGGGATTCACTGTTGAGTTTGGCGGTGGGTGGTGTCTGTTGAGTACTGGGAGGAGTGGGAGGAGCGCTTGTTGTAGGTTCAGGTTGAGGTACAGCCTCTGCTTTACGCTTTTGTGAAACAGGGACGGAGTCCGGCTTTGGGATCGCATTCGGCTTTGGGATTGAAGTCGGTTTGGAGATAGGCGTGCGCGGAGTTAGGGTCGGTCTGGATATCGCTGTGGGCTTTGGTGTTTCATTTGTCTGGGACGACGTGGTAGGAGTAGAAAATGCGGCTTGGGTGGTGGTGGTGGTGGGAGGAATGGGGGTTGAACCCGCCCCCGCTGCAGATGGTGCAGGTGAAGCAGCTACCGCGGGCTTTTCAGCCTCTGCAGTCACTTGAGGCGCTAGACTGGGCGAATCATTTTTGGCACTACTCTCAGATGTAGGTTTAGTCTGGGAGGTTTCGGCCGGCGATTGCTGAGCTGCGCTGGGTCGTCTCGCGGGCGCAGCGGGCGGGCGACGGGCTGGTGCCTTGGGGGCAAACTTCTTGCCCGTTTTATCTAAAAGCACAAAGTCAGAGTAGTCCGATGAGCTTCGAGATCAGGAGACTCACTGATCGCACTAGAAAACGACTTCATGGCTTCCCATTTCCGATGGTGGAGATGAGGTTCGAAGATCGCAAAAAGTTCCTGGGGAAGGTGAAAGTCCGTCACGTGAGGGGCGCTAAGAAACGCTAAACCTCGTTGAAAATCCTCCTGTCTTCATCTTCTCGATCTCTGCCATCCCACCCCTTCTCCCGTCCGTTGACCTAATTTCTCACTCACTTGAACTCTTTTTGATTTCTTTTGTTGGCACAATTCTATTCTACCGGACTTTCCCTCGACATTGGGCCCAGTCGCGATATCTGCGTCTGGCTGACTGACGGACGGTCCGGTGGTGATAGCATCCCATGCCAGTCTAGCCACTCATGCCGGCCGTCGAAACCCCCGTTACGTCTTCAGAAATTGGTCTCGCCAAGATGGAAGACCGCAAGAGGCCCGCCGCGGACAACAATGAGTCGGCCCCGCCGTCCAAGAAACAGGCCACCACGGCTAACGGTGGTGCAAAGCCTCACCCGGATGCTGACATGCCATGGAAAGACGATTTGGAAGTGAGTCTGAGTCCCGATATTGGTCCGCGATCTGTGTATTACATTCCTGGACACGCCACGCTCATATGCTGATCGGGATCGTTTTCTATAGCGGTTTCAAAAAGAAGCGATACTGCGTCAAATGGCAGAATATAGACGGGAGCGAAATACTCTGGAAGCGCAGCTCAAGAAGATGTCTCAAGCTGCCACGTTCCATAATGACCACCTCCGCGTAATCGATGCGTGGTTTAAACAGGTGAGTTTCGTATCGCCTCGAATCTCATCCATTAATCCGGTGAATGATTGACGCGAATGACTAACCTACCACCAGTTAATCGACGAAATTAAATTACTTCTTGGATCATCCCAACCTGAGGATCAAGGTCAGTCCCGACTTCGGACCCCTCTTCAAGCGCCATGCTCAAATGCTGATAATGTTAGCAGAAAGCTCGTTCAAAAGCTCACTGCAGTTTGAGGACGCGGAAGAGTTCCAATCTCATCTGACAGCCCGATCGGAGGATATTCGCGCAATAATTTCCCAGGTCCAGGCCAATGCCAGCGATGCGCCCACTGAGCTTTCAGAGGTACAGAGCCGCCTCGCCAAGAAGCTATCGGAAGAGAAGGTCACCATCGCCAAACTCGAAAAGGCCCTCGCCGAGAAGCAGCAGGTGGAGGATTGTCTGGAAGCCGCTGCCTCCAGGTACATGAGGGCTGAACAGAAGTTGGACCGTGCCAAGAGCGTTACCGTTGCGAAGTTAGAGAAACAACAACTCATGGGAAGTCAGCAATCTGGGGAGTCGACGCAATCGAAACAAGAGGAGGCATCCCCAGCCAACGGTGCCACCCCCGTATCGGACCGTAACCCCGAATTGGAGGAGGCTCACGCCAAGCTTAAAGCGACTTCAGATAAGCAAAGGGAGCAACTGGAAAAGCTGGAGGCCGAGAATGCTAGGCTGCTTAGCCAAATCACCGAAAGCAAAGTCAAGGTATCGTCCGCCCCATTATTTCACCATTGTTCTGCGGCTCACCTCGGTGTTCCAGTCTTCGAAATTCACAGATGACGACTACGCACATACGGATCTGTTCAAACACCTCCGATCACAACACGACGATGTAGTTAAGCGCATCAACCACCTCGAAGCGACAAATGTCCAACTTCGCGAAGAAGCAGAGAAATACCGATCAGAACGAACTGCGTACAAAATGCAGCTTGAAAATGAAACTTCAAGTACAATCGCGGAAAAAGAGGCACAACTAATGAGGGCTGAAACCGATCTTGCCAGGATACGCAATGCTCGTGATGAACTACTGGCTGATCAGCAAATGAGAAAGGCAGCCCAGGATCAAGAGAAAACCTCGGGTCTGAAGTTACAAGAATTAGCTGATGCCCGCGAGGCGCGAATCACGGCTCTGGAGTCGGAAAGTCAGCGTTTACGACTTCAGATCGAGGGGTCGAAATCAGACGAAAACATTAACGACATGCCGCTCGAGGAGCTTCGCGCAAAGTACACCAGTTTGGACCGCCAATACTCTATGCTCAACACCGAATTGACATCCATGCAATCGGCATACAAGAAGTTTGCCACACTTGCATCTCAAAAGGTCACCGACTTCGGGGCGATGGAGGAGAAGGTTGCACGATTAACGGCGGAGAAGTCTAAAGCAGATCAGAAATTCTTCGCTGCAATGAAGAGTAAAGAAGCGCGGGACGTGGAGGTCCGCACTTTAAGGATGCAAAGCTCGAAGACGTCTGATATTGTGTCTCAATTGAAGGAATCCGAGGCAAGCACTCGCTCGCTTGTTACCAACATGGACAAGCAGGCCAGTGAGACCAAGGAGGCCTTAAACGCAGCCATGGCGAAGCAACGTGCCATTCAACAGCAGTTGACTGAGACTACCATCCTCACTGAAGGGTTGAAGAATCAGGTAGCAGAACTCAAGGCACTTTCTGTGTCCAAAGACTCCACCCTGGGAGCCACAAATTCTTCGTTGCGTCAAGCAGAGACAGAAGTCGCTGCTCTCAAGCAATCTCTTTCTGATACCAAGAAAAGCTTGGAGAACTGGAAGAGCAAGAGTCTTGGCAACTCGTCCGCTGAGTATGAAGGATTACGGGTAAGTCACATTGTGCTTCAATGAGAGAAGGAAATGCTAACCGCACTAGTCACTGGCATTGTGCACAGTATGCCGATCCAATTTCAAGAACACGGCGATCAAAACATGCGGTCATGTCTTCTGCAAAGATTGTGTCGAGGAACGGCTCACCTCTCGATCCCGCAAGTGCCCTAACTGCGGCAAATCCTTCGGCAGCAACGATCACATGCATGTCACCTTGTGATCGCCCCGTGGACTCTGTATTATATCTTTCTTTCGACGCAATCCTCTTTACGGTTATGTTATTTTAGTCTCACATTCGGACAGGTTCATGGTTCGGTGTTGCGTGGTTCAGGTCGGTCAGGGCCGGCGTTTGACGAGTTTATGTACGGTGCGCCCTTCGAGGCTTCTTATTATTTTCCCATTCCCTTTTCGAAAGATATGACCAGCCTGCCCAGGTGGTCTTGTCCTTGCGCTGATCGCCCGGCGACTATCTAGATTACTGTAGGAATATTTCTTGTACGGCGACAAAAGCAACGAATGCAATGCGGAACATTTTCCATGAAACCAGCTCATTATCATAACTTCTCATTTATATTTATTATTTATATGGTTATATGGATCTTCATGAGTTGAAAATCCGACTATACAACAGCTCGTGCCGCCCGATCCACAGATCCAGAGCCGGCACCACCTGTCCCGCCTGCTCGACAGGCGTGTTCCATTCCCTCCCAATCCGCTTCATGATTGTGTCCTGCAAGCTCTGGCTCGCAAGCACATTCTGCGCCTGATATGGGCCCATAACACTCGCTCGCACCGCCGCACTCAACACCGCCTTGGCATGGTTGACCACGAACACGTACGCCGTCTGCTGCAGATCCAATCCCATGGCGCGGCAAACCGTGCCCCAAAGCGGGGCGAAGTGGCCCTTGGGGCCGAGCTCATCATCGTCCATGCAGGATTTCAATGCATCAGATAATTCGTCAATGGCGGCGACCGCGGACTCGGTGGAGCCCTCGCCTGCGAAGGAGCTGCGGAATGCGCGTTCCCAGACGCCAATGAGTGCGCGGCCCTGTGCGATACTGGCTCGCTGGGCGACGATGCAAGGTGTTGAGGCGTCGAGGTCATTATCAAGTGTTTCTAGTGTTTCGGGTTCCCGGTACCCTGCGAGTACGTATGGGAGGGATGTGCTTGCGAGAGAGGCGATGGAGAGTTTGAGGAAGCGGTGGAAGGTTGAAGAGGGAGATGTGCGGGATGGCTTGTTGTGTGCGAGGTATGATTCAAGTCCACTGGAGTATGCGAAGGATCCAAGTGGGAGGGCGGAGTCGGAGAGGAGGAGTAGAGCGTGTAATGATGAACGAGTTGAGTCGAGTTGCTTCTTATTCTTCTTATTATATGTTTCTGGGGAAGGTTAGCGGGGTATTCCTGGGGTCAGGAGAGGTCCGGGGTATTCATCTCACCTTTAATTGACCAGCTATTGGGGTAGGATGATGGTGGGCTGGGGCATTCGGAGGCTGCTAGTTGGGCGCGTGCCTCTTCCAGGCGCGATTCGAGTTGGGAGACCTCGGCCTCCAGGTCTTGACTGAGGAACATTGTGGGAGTGATGTGTAGATAGTAGGGTATCGAAGAAATAGAGATCTAAGAGATCGAATGACAGACTATATAAAAGGCGGCCCCAAGCTGCACAAGTGCCGATTTCCCGGCAGAAAACAGTGGGGCGGCAGCCGCCGCACAACCCGAGCGCACCCTATCTGCTTTTGACTGTTCCACATTATTAACAGAGGTTATTAACACCCTTGACTCATATCTTTTCTCCTTTCTGCCCCGTTCTGCCCTATTTTCCCCGACCTCCTTCGTCATGCTCTAAGCGATCATGTCAGGCAGGCGTTTACTTGACGCCTTACAGTTTCTGAATGTCTCTAAGACAGTCGCCGCAAGGCATTTAGCCATTCGGCAACAACAATTGGATGTCTACACGCGCACCTCGTCCCTGACTAAGGGCATCAAGGCCCAAACGGAAGGGTTGATCCTGACCGCTCAAGCCGCCGCCGCCCTCGCCCGCCGATTCGACGACTCGCCTTCGCCGAGCCCGGCAGACTCGCCCCCGGCCGCCGATAAGGCGACTGCAACCTCGCCACCCCCCGATCAGGCTCGCAAACTGCAACGTCAGGCCGAATCTCAAATTCCTGCGGATGTCGCCCAGTATACCGGCAAGGAGAATTCCGATGCATTGAATGTGAGCCAACAACAGGATGTCTTTTACGAGCCATCCACTCAATCAGGGCCGGATCTGTCGAGCTTGCCTAGAGTCAAGCTCCCCAAGGTCGCAGGCGATGCTCAAACTGGTAATGATGGATTGAATGCGGATGTCTTCACCTCGCCGGTACCGGATAAGCCGGCGCCAGAGGAAGAGATGTCCGAGGAGATGATCCAGGGTCTCTTCCACAGCCCGAGAGTATCGCGCATGATCTCTGGAAAGCCACCGCCCAAGAGAGATTGGAAGCTGGCACCGAAGCCCGAGCAATCGGGTGTCGATGTCGCCAAGCCCATCTCGCCGACGCCTGTAAAATCTGAGACTGAGCAAATGGAAGAGCTCGCAGCCAGCGTCGCGGAAGATGTAGTGCCGAGCACGGATAGCGTCGACGTCAAGCCCAAACCTTACCAGATGCTGGAGTCACGCGTCCCGTCTTCCCGGCTCGGCAGACTCTGGCAATACAGTGGTTTGGCGACCTCTATGGCATTTGGGGCCGTCGGCGAAGGTCTACGTCGCGCCACTGGCAGTCAGGATAGCGGCTCGCTCATGTTTAGTGCCGGTAACATGGAACGCATGGTCGCCAAGCTATCCAAGATGCGTGGCGCGGCCCTGAAGCTAGGTCAGATGCTCAGTATTCAAGACTCCAACATGCTCCCCGAGCCCATTCAGCAAGTCTTGCAACGTGTTCAAGATCGCGCAGACTACATGCCCGCCTGGCAGCGCGACCAAGTCCTAGTGGAAAATCTTGGACCAAACTGGCGTGACCTCTACACATCCTTCAACGAGATCCCCATGGCGGCTGCCTCAATCGGCCAGGTCCACTCCGCCGTCCTGAAGAGCACCGGCAAGCCCGTCGCCGTGAAGATTCAGTACCCCGGTGTAGCAGACTCCATCGATAGCGATCTCAACAACCTCTCCGTCCTCCTCACTGCTTCTCGCCTCCTTCCCAAGGGTCTTTTCCTCGATAAGACCATCGCTAATGCCCGCACTGAGCTCGGCTGGGAATGCGACTACATCCGCGAGGCAGAAGGCGCCAATTATTTCCGAAGTCTCCTCGCTGACGACCCGGTCTTCGTTGTGCCCGAAATTATGGCCCACGCTTCCGGCAAGCAAGTCCTTACCATGGAGATGCTGGATGGCATAACAGTCACCCGCATCGCAGACTTCACCCAAGCCCAGCGCGACTGGATCGGCACCCACATCATGCGCCTGTGTCTTCGTGAAATCACCGAATTCCACTACATGCAAACAGACCCCAACTGGACCAACTTCCTCTACAATGCCGAGACTCACAAACTCGAGCTTCTGGACTTCGGCGCTTCCCGCGCCTACCCGGAGGAATTCATCACCACATACGTGCGCACCCTCATCGCAGCCACCCAAAACAACCGTCAGAAATGCCACGATCTCTCTATCGAATTGGGCTACCTCACCGGTATGGAGAGCCAGGCGATGTCTGATGCGCACGTTTCATCCGTCACCACCCTCGCGGAACCATTCATGCTCTCGTCGCCTGATCTGTATGATTTCAGCAATCAGACCATCACCGACCGTGTGCGTGAGCTGATCCCGGTGATGATTCGGGAGCGGCTGGCCCCACCGCCTGAGGAGACTTACAGTCTCCACCGCAAGCTGAGTGGTGCATTCTTGCTGTGCGCCAGACTCGGCAGTCGGGTCCCTTGCAAGCAATTGTTCATCGACGCCATTGACGCGGCGGAGAAGAGGGGCCTGAAACTGTAAATATCTGTATAATAACCCCGAACACTGTATAACACAAAACATGACTCTCTCCAACTCTGCCCAACTTAAACCCGTGCCTTGTTAAAATCGCAGCATCGAGTCGAACCCGATTCCGTGTGGAACACAATTTCATATGTATATCCAGTAAATTAAAATTAGCCAAAGGTCCAAACCCGTCCATGAAAATCCTGCCCGCATCAGCAACATCGCCCGAGATTTGTACATACAGTAAACGTCAAGATCGGCATTTTCAACAAATAAGCCTTCACGGGCCGGCTCCCACTTGTACTAGGGTGTACTTTGGGATAACGTGTCCACTCTAAGCCGTTCCCAGCAACCAGGACCGAAACGACTCCAGGGGATCATCTTATCTGATCCGTCTGCACTCCACAGCCCATTTCCTGATTCGTGGAAGAATGTGGCCTAACGCTAACTTGGGTGATGACCCCACATCTATACAGGACCCTGAGACACGCCAAGGCCTGTCCTTTTGAATGATATTAGGATGTGACGTGGGAACGGAAACACAAGCCGAGAGATGGAATGCTTGCACGTATCCTCCTGCACGAAGAGGGTGGCTATAAATATGCTGGAAACATCGGCTGGGACCATACAAGACTTCAATTCCAGTTTCAGAGCTCCAGCTATTCACCATGCGTCTCTCCACTGCCATCATCTGCGCCTTCTTGGCCCCGGCCCTGGCTATGCCAACCCAAGACTCTGCCGTCTCCGTTGCACACGATGTAAATTTCCCAGGATTTGCAGCATTTTGAACTTGATACTGACCTGGATAGGAAATCGCCAAACGCGATGTCATTTTCGCCAAGCGCTGCTGCATCCTCTGTGATAACGGTAACCGCTGTGGAGCCCGTGCCAACGATACGCGTGAGGTTTTCCACACTGAGGAGGAGGCCCTGACTGCGCCGGAGGGCTCTGAGGTTGCTAAGCGTGACATCTTTGCGAAACGTTGCTGCATTCTCTGTGATAACCCAAATGCCAGATGCGGCTCGGCTGATAAGCGCGAGGTTGTTGATACCCTTGAGCAGGCTGCTGGGTTTTGAATGAAGGCTTTGCGCTGTAAATTATGATGTGTTACTGAATATATATGCTATCGATTCTCGAAATGTGGACGACGGATTAAAGAGAAAAGCAAGTGTGTCCTCCCAACCTTGGAAGTAGTGGTAGAGTACCTAGTGAGTTGAAGCAATTTATTTCATCAGGCATACCGAAATAATTTGAAAGATGGCATATCCATGGATATTTCATAGAATTTGGTTTCATTCCAGTTCGTTTAAGACCTGCACACATCAGTCCAGGCGCATCCAAATCAAGCACCAAAGATAGCCCCCCAGTATTTCCGGACACCATCACAGATCCCTTCAGATCCAGCCCAGCTCTCAAACTTATGCTCCAACTCACAGGCCGTCCAAAGAATCTCGCGCCAAAACACCTTCTCCACGTCCTTCTTTTTATTGAAGCCAGCCACCACATCTTCCGGAATCGTCCAAGCCCTAGTATATTCCCCTTCATCCGTGAATGCAGGATTGACCTCATGTTTTTCGAAGATAGTAGCCGGGTTAAACTTAGGAAAGTTGGCATGTATGAAGAACACATCTGGAGCAGACGCCTCATCGCCCTTCACTCGCCACACGCCGTGGTTCGTCAACGCAAAGTCCTGCATCGGGTTGAACTGCGCCATTGCTGATCCCGCGAGTCCACCCTTTGTTCCGTGGCCGAGCGCACAGATCGACTCGCTGACCTGGTAGAACGGTTCGCGGACTGCCATTGCAGCTGCCAGGAAGGTTTCCTTGTCGCCTTCTCCCGCCGCACCCTGAGATAGAAGTGGGTAGTAGTGAGTCGGGCCATGAAAGTTATAGTAAGTACAGAGCAGGAGGGTGCGGAGGTGTGATTTCTTCGATATCAGGACAACGCCGGACTCCGTGGACTGGCGGAGATTCATGGGCGGAGCTTTGTAGCCGGCAATTAGATAGAAGAGGGGGGAGACGGAAGATGCCCAGAAATCGGGCCATGTGAGGAGGCCTTTTGAGGTGAAGGGGTTATTGTTGAAGAGGAGGTCAGGTTTCTCGAGAGGGAAGGCGTCGGCGTCTAGAAAGAGGATCTCTTCGAAAGAGGAGAAGAGCATGGCGAAAGGCTTGAATTGATACTTCTCGATCTTGGTCGGCGAAGCTTCTAGGATTTGCGAAAGGATAACACAGCGTGCATTCAGCGATGGCAGGACCTTGTCGCATATGTAGGGTTCGTATTCCGCTTCGCTGGCTAGGAATACTTCCATTGGAAGCGTTGAGCCTGTTTGGCGGAGCATGCGGAGTGATATTACTAGCACGGGAAGGTAAGGTCCACCTGCTGTTGAGACGATCCCTTTTGTCTTGGGCTTATAAGGTGGCTTCGGTGGGTTAGTGATGGCGGCTAGAAATCCGGTATGCGCCAGCTTCATCTTGATGAGGTCTGCCTGTGGCATATCCAGAATATCAGGGCGTGGTGGCGCACTGTGGGCGTTGAAGCCCTGCGTTGGCGCTTTTGCATCTTCGACGATGGGTGATGTGCCTGGCTTGTATTCCTCCAGTAGAGCGTGGAACTCTCGCCAGAAGTTGTGCGAGGTTGGGTGCAGCGGTCTAGATGCCAGGTACGACCGGGATATTGTCCATATCAAGAGTGTCAACGCGACGGCAGCGATCAGCGTTCGCACGCGGACGCAATGATGGATCATGATCTATGTGATCGACAGTCAGGTACGAGGATACTGCATGTCAAAGGTGGCAGAAGTGAAACCGTGGAAGCCCCAAATGATGCGGTGACTCTCCCTTGCGGACCGGAGTTGACATTTGCTCTATACCCCGACTTCCACTACATACAAACTACTGTACTCGCTTCGTCGCCAAAATCCACTGGAATGCAACATCCCTCGCAACCCCACCATCCTCCTCGGTGTCAACCACGATCTCATCAACATCTACCTCAAACCCAATTTCTATCAACAGACGTTTAGTCTCACTTCTCCCCCACCCACTCCAATGCATCTTCCCCTTCGTCCCACCCAACCAAGATTCACTCGAAGCACTCTCAAATCCAGTTTCGGGGAAATTGGCCAGCAGTCTCCCACCGGGCTTCAACCACTCGAAAATCCGACACAAAATAATGGTCTGCTCATCGCGCGGCAAATGAAAGATGGAATACATCGCCAATACAGCATCAAACTGCTGACCGAATTCCAACCCCATCATATCCCCTTGCAACAGGTCCACGGAGGATGGTAGTCGTTCTCGCGCCAGTGCGATCTGCGACTCGGATATATCATTCGCGGTAACATGATAGCCGCGTGATGCAAGGAGCTGGGTACATGGGACGCCGGCACCGCAGCCTAACTCGAGGATGCTTTTGCTGCTCGGCTCGAGGGACTGGAGCATATTCCCGAGGTATGCGAGACGGGTCGCATGGGATGGCTGCGTCCAGTCGAGGTAGGTGTGGGCGATATCATCGTATGCCTTTTTGATGTCGGCTTTGACTTGGGTGCTGCTTGGTTCAGACATTTTGGATGGCGTACAGGGGATGCACCTTGCAAGGGTGTTGCGCTGCTTCTATAGTTCACTCATGTGCACCGGCTTACAGTGAGTCATTTCAGTCGTAACGGGATCCTAAAGGAGTTTAGCTTGAGGGGAGCTGACTAGAATCCGGGGAAGGCAAAAGACGGGGTAGATGATGGTATGATTCTACACTACCCTTGATGCATCTTGATTTGGTTCAAGGTCTTTTACATCAATATCCTCTTCAGTAAATAGTATACTGTGCCATGCGGTCCAGTGCCGCTCTTTTCCCTCGGCTAATGTAGCAATTCCATAACGTTGTTGATATATATCCGGGGGTATCAAAAGCAAACGCCCCAAAATAAGCAAGAAGAAACAGACGAGTCTCAAAGAGAATCACAAGCCAAACAAACAGAAAAGCAACCTGGTAGTACTAGACCCCAAACTATCACGCCGAATCCCTCAACACCGACAAAAACCCACTGCTTACCCCTCACTCAAAGCCGACAACAACGAGCCAGAAAGTGGCGAATTGGCCATGCTCATGATACTCCTACGCGCGCGAGCATAGTCAAAACGACCTGGGTGGCGAGATTCACCTTCTCCATCCGATGTGACCGGTTCCCTCAGCGAGCCTCCAGCACGTTGCAATCTGGCAAGCCGCCGTTCATCCTCATCTGCCTCCTGTTCTCGAATCTCTTCCAAAGTGACACCCCGCGGACGATCGCTCGCTTCACCCATGATGTCAGGGCTCTGTCCTTGGTCGCGGGGAAATTCGCGAGCCTGAGAGCGACGTAGACCAGGCCCGCGGGTTTGGACTGGGCTCTTCGCCCGGGCGAGGTGGGAGAATTGTGAGGCGGTAGCGCTGTCGATGTGGAGGTGGAGGTTGAGTGTCATTGAGTTGTCGTGTTCCATGTTTGGAATGTTTATCCCGGGCGGTTGAGGCTGGGGGTGAGGCTGAGGTTGGGGCTGGTATTGGGGTTGGCCATCGCCCTGGTCTGGGTCATGAGTTCTCCACAAGTTTTTGAGGGTTGTCTGGAGTAGATTGTTTTGGAGATTGATGCCATTATTGGTCAGAGCCATGTTCTGACTTTGGAGCTGCTGCTGGTATGGGTTTAGTGAGCCGTACTGGCCTGGGTATGGAGCTGGGAAACGATTATCAGGCAGTGGGGGCTCAGGCGGGATTTGCATCTGGAAGGTCAACAGATCAGTTCGGGCTCACTCTTGATAGATTGCTACCTGGGGTACAGTTTTCACATACCTGGCGACTGAATTTCCTTCCCGGCATGGCGATATACTCGTCGAACATGCTTGCGAGTTCTGCAAAATTGTACCCACGTGGCCCAGAGGGCTCAAATCGCTGTCCAATTTCTTGACGGAAATCAATACTCCGACGCGGCAAAGGTTGGAATCCGGGCAATTTCAACATCGCAGATGGGAATTTGCCCATTTTCGCAGCGATGACCGGGTCAATATCCATAGATAGAGTGACCCTGCTGTCGGCAGCAGGCTTGTGGATCAGCATGACAAAGGTAAACTCGCGAGGGAGACCGGATCGCTGGAGATCATTTTCCTCCAGCGACCAGACAATCTCACCAGTTTCTATATCGAAGCTGGGGCCTCGATCGCTCTTCAATGTCCGAGCGGAGCCTTGTATACGCATCATCTCATAGCGCCGGTATCGACTGTTGATACTGCCCGATGGAATGACGCTAGCACTCACGGGCATTTCTGAGACCCCAAGAGATCCGGCCAGACTGAAAGTCCACTCCATAGTCTCGGGGGAAACAGTTCCGTATATTAGATGAGGTGCGTGCATAAGAAACCGAGGGTTTCCAGGCGGATGTCCGTAGGGGTGGTGGTGAGAATTGGAGTGTTCGCGAGTTCCACGGACTGAGACCCGGATCTTGGCAGACTTGAAGCGATGTGAGAGTGTATTTGGAGAATGGAAGGTAAACGCAATAGCCAGGAAATCCACATGGGCAGAATCTTGATCGGAGACTGCCGGGTTGGAGTAGTAGCCGTGCTGCAGACGCTCGACATGCGCTGTGACATAGGCATCTCCGGGAAGCTGGCGCTCGTAGATACAAGCGCGGTTGAGTAGTAGACGTGGATTGTTCATATTCGGATCTGGTGGTGGTTGCTCTTTAGCTGGTGGTACACCTGTGACGGGGGTCAGTGAGCGTTCGTTCGAGGAACGCTCGTTCTGGAATTTCGATGCCATCTTGTCCTGGCAGCCGCAGTGCGACGAGACCGCTGATTTGTGAAAATTGCTTGTCAATGCTCTCCATCGGGCACTTTTCAGACGCGGCCGTCTTTTGAATCTGGCGCCGGGCCGCAAGGCATATATTCATTCTATATAAGATTTGAGCTGACCATTCGAGTCACTAGTCGTGGCCTTCATCGTCGCAAGCGATGATGTCTCCTATCACCTGGAGCTCCAGTGTGTCAGTTTTATGAGTCAGGTGTGTCAAGACGGATCAGGTGAGCAAATCCATGGATACAGATCGTGACGCGGCACTAGGCAGTGGTTGCTTGAGAATGATAGTGTCATTTTAGAGGATCTGCGGCTGGAAACAAGCAAATGTGTCTTATTTTGGTATTTAGGGGTAATGTGGTAAAACGATGGGTAGGAGAGTGATGAGGCGAAGTGCCCAGGTGGCAGGCGATATAGATCGCGGATAAACTGTTTATCCGTGCCAGGACTTGATCGCCGAGGTCTGGCAGCTGCTCAGTTCGTCTAACCTCGAGGATCTAGAGCTCTCTCTCTGGGTTTGGATTTCTCGGATTACCGCAATCATCTCGCTCCTTTGATCTCCCTCCTGACTGTGTGTGTGTATCCCCTCTCCCTAGAACCTCCCGAGTTCCGACATGATCGGCTAACCACCCCAGATTCCCCGTGTACTATAGCATTCCACTTGCATTGGCTGCGCTATCTGTTTGATTGACTTGATTTATTTTGCTGGCTTCTTTTGATTATTTACATCGGGTCTCCGCTGCACGCCTGCCTTCATTCGACCCTCAGCGACTGGGCTCAAGCATCACACATCAAAACACAACGTGTATGCATCACTGATCTCTTGAGACTTGAAGTGTTAGTCTTTCAGACTGATTTCTTTGAATTACACGAGCACTCGCGATTATAGTTTCTGTAATTGTGTCACCATGATTGGTTCGTGCACCCAGCTGTCCCTTCGGGCATGTCGGCAGGGATCCCAGGCAATGTTGAAGAATACACGTTTGCCCATCCAGCCCAAGGTTCTCACAAGTGAGGTCCTCCAGCGGGGTGGTGCTCGCTGTGTTACATTCTCATCTCAGCTGAAGCTTAGCCAAACATCAGGGTAGGACCCCTTTCACTCCCCATCTTTCATCACATGGCAACTAAACACCATTTAGACTGAAGCGAAATGAGTTGCAGACCGCCTTGATTCCCCCATCATTTTTCACCCAGCGAAGATGGACCAGCTCAAACTCGCCAGGCAACAAACCTCAGGAACAGTATGTTGCAACTACTGCGCGTCGCCGGATCAGACTCAACTAACCGAACCAGACCCGAGGAACCTAAGAAGAAGCCTATTCTGTCGCGTATTCCTCTGCCAACATCCCATGAGAACATCTACACAGTTCCCAACATTCTCACCTTCTCTAGACTTGTGGCTGCCCCGGCCGTGGGGTATCTTCTGGTTAATAACTATCACACAGCCGCGCTATCTCTGTTCGCCTATGCCGGAATTACCGATCTGGTCGATGGATGGATCGCCCGTCGATGGAACCTGCAGACAGTTGTCGGAACGATCATTGATCCCATGGCTGACAAGCTGCTCATGACGATTGGTGTTGCATGCCTCGCCGTCAACGGTTCTCTCCCTGTCTGGTTAGCTGTGATCATTCTCGGCCGGGATGTCGGTCTTGCCATGTCGGCCATCTATTACCGCTGGATCTCCCTGCCCGAGCCGAAGACCATGGCCCGGTACTGGGATTTCTCGCTTCCCTCCGCGGAAGTCAAGCCCACCGAGATTTCCAAGATCAATACGGCTCTGCAGCTAGTGTTGGTCGGCAGTGCGATCGCGCTGCCTGTGGTACCTGAGGCGTTTGTGAGTGCTTGGCATCTGAGCGAAGCCATGACTGGATTCCAGTAAGTTCTTCTCTCTCTTTTTTTTTGCCCTTTTTGGTCCCTACGTTCCGTTTGAATCCCCATTTTTCCGACGTGGAGCTGTTCTCGATTGCTTGTACATGTTTTCACATGGGAGGCATGTTCTCAATGCCCCTAGTCGGGGCATTGAGAGGATGTTTCTAGCACATACGACCACAGGGTGTGGAAAACAGGGCTTCCCGTCCGCTCAGCCGTACTTAAGCCACACGCCGGTGAGTTAGTAGTTGGGTGGGTGACCACCAGCGAATCCTCACTGTTGTATGTTTTTGTTTTTCGGTTATTTTTTTTTTTTTTTTTGAGTTCTCATTTCTTTGATCTGTCCCATTTTTCTGTCCCATTTTTGGTACATTCGCCAGTGCTATCATATCACTAACCAACCTAGATATCTTGTCGCCGGCACCACTCTCTGGTCGGGATTGAGCTATGTTTTCTCCAACAATGCGGTCAAGATTCTCTCGAAAGAAGAGATCCAGAAGCGCATTGCTCAAGCAGCGGCCAAGCGGAAATAGTGAAGGTTACTTCCGAACCCTATTTCCGTCCTCTTTTAATGTATAGCATTCAAAAGTACTATAGTAATCCCACTTGGCATTTGTAAGCCTATGAATGATTTTTTTCGCAATCGCCCCACCCCTGATAGTCAACCTTCTTGGAGGGATGGTGCATGTGAAATCAGCAAGCCTGTCTAATGGGCGCCTGAAGTATGCAGCATGTACTCCGTAGCACGAGTCAGGCGGTAAGTCAAGTCGATAACGTCATGGCAAACACTTAAACATCACGAACACTGGGGAACTTTCAAGAGACGTCAATCCAAGCTTCCGGGTCCATTAGTTCACTTAGTTCGGCATTAGTTAATGGGGTTCGAAGAACCGATCTCGAACCGATCGGATATTTGGGAGGGGTACATATGAGAATCCAGATGCGAGTCGGATCGTTTCACACCCCGAGTGGAGCGGTCAGAGAAAAAGTCGCCGGGCCACTGAATCATGTAGTTTGAAAGGTTCGCAATAGGACTGCACATGTGCATAAACATGCTTATAAACCACGTTAAGCGACGTCTGGAGCCCTGGAGACCTCCCGAATCACAGATCGACGGAATACAAATGCCGTGCCAAGGCATAAGCACAACATAAGATAAGATAGGAATGGATATTCCGCCCTCTGTTAGGCGCCAATAATGAGTCTTCGTTTGCACATTCTGGAGAATGGCCAATGGCTGACGCTGACTGCTTAAGGCCGGCCCTAAGACTAAGTCCGGCGATTGAAAATTCTTTGAGTGGACTTGAATCACCCTGACTCATGTTCTCCACTATAGCTCTCTCTGCGGGTGTCCTTACCCTTTACGGTGCCCGTGATTCGTTCTCGGTCGTCGAGGACCCAGATGGGTGCCCATTTCGCGTTTTGGCAGTCTGACAAATGCGTCGGATTTAAGCCGTATATATAAAAAAGGGTTTCCATGCTCTGCCTGGTTTGGTAGGCATTTTGGCTTCTTTTCCCTTCCCTTCTTTTCTTCCATTTCATTGATTCTCATTATATCTCGCTGTACATACCTAGTCAGCTGTTAATACACCTGATATTCCCTATTGAGCAAGAGTAGAGCCTGTGCCCGGCGAACCCGCCATGGAGGGCCACTCTGAACAGTCCCACTCGACGCAGTCGCATACTGCCTCGCACTCCCAGACCTATACCTCCGAGACTATGCAACAATCCTCGAATGATCAGGAATTCGAATCCACCAATGATGTGAACGGGGCGGATTTGAAACCCACTTCAACATCGAGCTCCTCCCTGAGTGACTCCGTCAAAAGCCACGATGGTCGCTGGGGAGAAGCCGAGATCGGCAAGCCGGTCTCCCGCAGCGGCGCCCGTGAGGATATCCAAGATATGCGCCGCGAACTGACCCGCCTGAGTCTGCACCGCACTCGCTCGACCACCAAAACCACCAAGAGCGGCCGGCGCAAGTCCCGCGCGGATGTGGAGAAAGCGGAGGAAGAATCCGAACCCGAAGACAGTGACTTCGATCTCGGCGAGTTCCTCGTCGGCGGCCATTTGGAACGCCGCACCACTTCTGGCGAGCCCGCCAAGAAAGTTGGCGTTGTCTTCAAGAACCTCACGGTGCAGGGTATTGAGACAGGTGCCTCATTCGTGCGCACGCTTCCCCATGCTGTCGTCGGCACTTTTGGTCCTGATCTGTACAATCTCATCTGCCGTTTCGCGCCCCAGCTGCGCTTGGGCAAGAAGCCCCCAGTCCGCGACCTGATTCATGACTTCAACGGTACCGTTCGCGAAGGCGAAATGATGCTTGTTCTAGGTCGTCCCGGTGCCGGATGCACTACCTTCCTCAAGGCAATCTCTAATGACCGCGGCGCGTTCGCCGGCGTCTCCGGTGAAGTGAGCTACGGTGGTCTCTCGGCTGAGGACCAGAACAAGCACTTCCGTGGAGAAGTCAACTACAACCCGGAGGATGACCAGCACTTCCCCACCCTGACAGTTTGGCAGACCTTGAAGTTCTCCCTCATCAACAAGACCCGCAAGCACGATCGCGAGAGCATTCCCGTGATCATCGACGCCCTTCTGAAAATGTTCGGCATCAGCCACACGAAGAACACCTTCGTGGGTAACGAGTATGTTCGCGGTGTCTCCGGTGGTGAGCGGAAGCGTGTGAGTATTGCTGAAACCCTGGCTACTAAGTCCTCCGTTGTCTGCTGGGATAATTCCACCCGTGGTCTGGACGCCAGCACTGCTCTCGACTATGCCAAGTCTCTGCGCATCATGACGGATGTCAGCAAGCGCACCACCTTTGTCACTCTCTACCAAGCTGGAGAGAGTATCTACGAGCTCATGGATAAGGTCATGGTCATTGACGAGGGTCGCATGCTTTACCAAGGTCCCGCCAACAAGGCCCGTCAATACTTCATCGATCTGGGCTTCTACTGCCCACCCCAATCCACCACTGCCGACTTCCTCACTTCGCTCTGCGATCCCAACGCCCGTGAATTCCAGCCCGGTCGCGAAGCCTCCACCCCTAAGACCGCCCAGGCCCTTGAACAGGTCTTCCGCGAAAGCCAGGCCCACAAGGATATCAGGAGTGACGTCTGCAGTTACGAAAAGCGTCTTCAGGACACAGAGCAGGAGGATACTCGCCGCTTCGAAACGACCGTTGCACAGTCCAAGTCCAAGACTGTTTCGAAGAAATCGCCTTACACTGTCTCTCTCGTTCGCCAGGTCATGGCTTGTGTGCAGCGTGAATTTTGGCTTCTTTGGGGTGACAAGACCTCTCTCTACACCAAGTATTTCATCATTATCTCCAACGCTCTGATTGTCTCTTCTCTGTTCTACGGCGAATCCATGGATACCAGCGGTGCATTCTCGCGCGGTGGTGCTCTTTTCTTCGCTATTCTCTTCCTGGGCTGGCTTCAATTGACGGAGCTGATGCCCGCAGTCTCTGGTCGTGGAATCGTTGCCCGTCACAAGGATTACGCATTCTACCGACCCTCCGCCGTCTCAATTGCTCGTGTGGTTGTGGACTTCCCTGCAATTTTCTGCATGGTCGTCCCCTTCTCGGTCATCGTGTATTTCATGACTGGACTTGATGTGTCGGCTTCAAAGTTCTTCATCTTCTTCCTGTTCGTGTACACCAACACGATGTGTATTACTGCATTGTATCGAATGTTCGCTGCGCTATCGCCAAGCATCGATGACGCTGTTCGATTCAGTGGTATTGCCCTCAATTTGCTCATCATCTACGTCGGTTATGTGATTCCCAAGCAGAGTCTGATCGAGGACTCAATCTGGTTCGGCTGGCTGTTCTACATCAATCCCATTTCGTACAGTTATGAGTCCGTCTTGACAAACGAATTCTCGGATCGATCCATGGAATGTGCGCCTTCTCAGCTTATTCCTCAGGGCCCCGGTGCCGACCCCAAGTACCAGGGATGCGCATTGGCTGGAGCTTCTTTGGGTTCTAACTCCGTCCCTGGCGCGCAGTACTTGGAGACCAACTTCCAATTCACGCGCAGCCACCTCTGGCGCAACTTCGGTGTTCTCATTGCTTGGACCGTTCTCTATATTCTGGTGACTGTTATTGCCTCTGAGGTTCTTTCTTTCGCTGGTGGCGGCGGTGGTGCTCTGGTCTTCAAGAAGTCCAAGCGCGCTAAGCAGGTCGCTACTCAGGCCAACGGCTCCGACGAGGAGAAGGTTGCCAGCACCGATGATAACGCTGCGGTAGCTCGCGGCCAGGGTACTTCCTCTGCTGATGATGCGACTTTCAACCGTCTGTCTTCCAGTGAACGCTGCTTTACCTGGGAGAATGTTGAATACACTGTGCCGTATGGTAACGGAACCCGGAAGCTTCTCAACGGTGTCAACGGCTACGCTAAGCCCGGTGTCATGATTGCTCTGATGGGTGCCTCTGGTGCCGGAAAGACCACCCTGCTTAACACCCTGGCGCAGCGCCAGAAGATGGGTGTGGTGACTGGTGACATGCTTGTCGATGGCCACAAGTTGGGTACTGATTTCCAACGTGGAACTGGTTTCTGTGAACAGATGGATCTCCATGACAACACGGCGACTATCCGTGAAGCTTTCGAGTTCTCTGCAATTCTCCGTCAGCCTCGTGATGTTCCTCACCAAGAAAAGGTCGATTACGTGGACCGAATCATCAACCTGCTCGAGCTGGAGGAAATCCAAGATGCTATCATTGGTTCTCTCAACGTCGAGCAGAAGAAGCGTGTGACTATTGGTGTCGAACTCGCCGCTAAGCCAAGTCTTCTCCTCTTCCTTGACGAGCCCACCTCTGGTCTTGATTCACAAGCCGCTTTCTCCATCGTTCGTTTCCTCAAGAAGCTCTCTCAAGCCGGTCAGGCCATCGTCTGCACCATTCACCAGCCTTCCTCAATGCTTATCCAGCAATTCGACATGATCCTTGCTCTCAACCCGGGTGGAAACACCTTCTACTTTGGCCCTGTCGGCAAGGACGGATCATCCGTCATCAAATACTTCGGTGACCGCGGCTTCCACTGTCCTCCCTCCAAGAACGTTGCCGAATTCATCCTTGAAACCGCCGCCAAAGGAACCCAGCGGAACGGAAAACAAGTCGATTGGAACGAAGAATGGCGCAATTCAGAGCAGAACCGCGAGATGCTCTCTGAGATTGAACGAATCCGAACAGAGCGCTCCAAGGTCCCGGTCGAAGACTCCGGCTCTTCTCACTACGAATTTGCCGCGCCGACAACCACCCAGACCTTGCAGCTCACCAAGCGACTGTTCAAGAACTACTGGCGTGACCCCTCCTACTACTACGGTAAACTCTTCGTCAGCGTCATTATCGGAATCTTCAACGGCTTCACTTTCTACATGCTGCCGAACACAGTGGCCTCGATGCAGAACCGCATGTTCTCTGTCTTCCTCATTATCCTTATTCCCCCTATCGTTCTGAACTCCATCGTTCCCAAGTTCTACATCAATCGCGCTCTCTGGGAAGCTAGAGAGTACCCATCCCGTATCTACGGCTGGGTCGCCTTCTGCACAGCCAACGTGGTCTGCGAAATCCCCGCTGCCATCATCACTGGTCTCATCTACTGGCTCCTCTGGTACTACCCCGTCGGATTCCCGACCGACAGCTCAACGGCCGGATACGTGTTCTTGATGAGCATGCTATTCTTCCTGTTCCAGGCATCCTGGGGCCAGTGGATTTGCGCCTTCGCGCCCTCTTTCACTGTCATCTCCAACGTCCTGCCTTTCTTCTTCGTCATGGTCAATCTGTTCAACGGTATCGTTCGTCCTTACGCCGATTACCCCGTCTTCTGGAAGTACTGGATGTACTATGTCAACCCCACGACCTGGTGGATGCGCGGTGTTCTCTCTGCGGTTTTGCCCGATGTTCAGATCGAATGTGCCAGCCAAGAAGCCACACACTTCGACCCCCCACCTGGTCAAACTTGCGCGCAGTATGCCGGGGAATTCGTTTCTTCAATTGCCAAGGTTGGTAAATTGATTGACCCGGATGCTACCAGCGATTGCCAGTACTGCCCATACACGACCGGAGCAGACTACATGACCAACTTGAACGTTCATGATGGTGATAAGTGGCGCTCCTTTGGAATCTTCCTGGCCTTTGTCATCATCAACTGGGCTTTGGTCTACTTCTTCATTTACACTGTGCGTGTTCGTGGTTGGAGCTTTGGTATTGGAACCCTGTTTGGTGCGGCTGGTCTTATGGTCGATCGCATCAAGGGACTGTTCAAGCGTGAACAGTAGCAAAAGTTGGTTGTTCTACCATTTTCTCTCTTTTTTTTTTTTTTTTTTTTTTTTGAATTCCTGTGATGTCAATTGCATTTACATGGAGCGTGTGAATTAGATTGGATCGAAAAGCTACATGATCTCGGTATATTATTTATGGCGATTGCAAATATAATCAGCCCCAAGCCCGGGGTTCTGCCACTTTTACATGCTTCCCTCGCATCTTCTTGAGCTCGTATTAGATAGTATACTATACCTGGTAGGTATCTGACATGGTAAAACCGGATATACTTGACGTCATAGGCAATGCATGATATCACTGCACACATCTGCGTATAAACACCCATCGTAGCCCCGGTCTGCCAAACAAAAGATCAAACCATGTCTCGAATTTTCATTACAGGCTCCAGCGATGGAATTGGCCTCTCGGCCGCAAAACTTCTCTCCGAACAAGGCCACACAGTAGTCTTACACGCGCGTAACTCAGACCGCGCAGCAACAACGCAACAAGCCGTTCCAAACGCCAAAGTCCTCATTGCCGACCTCCGCTCTATAAAGGAGACCAAAGCCCTCGGCCAGGAAGCCAACACACACGGCCCATATGATGCTATCATCCACAACGCAGGCATAGGCTTCGGTGCGACATCCTCACGCGAGATCACAGATGATGGCATCTCTGCTGTGTTTGCGGTCAACACACTCGCACCATATATCTTGACTTGTTTGATGGATCGGCCAAAACGACTCCTGTACATGAGCTCGGATAGCCATTACGGGGGTGACAACTCGTTGCGGAATGTGAAGACTTCGCATTCGTATGGTGATAGCAAGTTGCATGATATGATGCTTGCGAATGCTTTCGCGAGACGTTGGGGGGATACTCAAGTTGTTAGTATGCATCCTGGTTGGGTGAGGACGAAGATGGGGGGTAGTATGGCGCCTGGCGGTATTGGGAAGCCGACGAAGGCATTGGCGGAGTGGGCGATTGGGGTCGGCGAGTTGGCGAAGTTGAGGACTGGGTGTTTCTTCTCGCCTGGGGGCGAGGAGAGACCTGATAAAGCTGCTGGGGATGTGGGGAAGCAGGAGGAGCTGTTGGAGATCTGCCAGGAGGTTTCTGGGGTCCAGGTTCCTGCTTAGATTGTTCTTGTTTGGAGAATTATTGGACACTAGTGTTGATATTGCATCGTTCGCTGATGCATTAACGAGTCTCTACGTTAATACAAGGGATTTTGTCAATACACGATTCTCCACGAATTCTCTTGCCTCCATTTCGTCCTGTTTCAGTCATCGTGCTTTCCGAAGTGCTCTTTTCTTAACTGCTTTCCGCTTGATACAGACCGAAACGTATCTCTGATCTCACTTGAATCCCACAGTCACTCATGATCGCGTGGGTAGTTTGTGTACTCATTCCCCGAGGACCATGCCGATTGAAAATGCCAAAAACCTGTCCCATGTTCATGCTAACCCAAATGATTCAACACAACGCCAAACCCCGAGAGAACGATCAAATGCCCCAAAAGAAAGGCTTGCGTGCTTCACTCAAAGGGGCGGCAGGCACTCGCATCGGAACCGGGACAATGTCCTGGAAGCGTGCAGTTAGAAGAGGCACAGACTCGCCCTCGGGCCTTTGCTGGTGTGGTTTTTTCTCAGTCAGAATGGGGACAATCACCCCGCATTCCCAGTTGCGGCAATTCATTTTCGGTTGCTTGGTAGCGGTGTCCTTGACTAGACGGCCCCTGGTTTCATTTTAGCATGTATCGCATGGGATGGTTGTCGATTGTATACATACCATGCACTCTCCGATAGATTGGCACTGCCGACATACGCCCAAGCCAGGCACTCTGATTTATCATCCATGCTGATCGGGTTGGCGGGTTGAACAAAAGCAAGCTGTGGGAAGCACTAGCTTAGCAAAAGCTCACGGGTCAGTCCGTGTGGTTACTCACCTTGTTGTGCATTAAGATGCCACGCTCACTCTGGCAATCATGCAGTAAATTTTGAGGGAACGTAGGGCTGGACCACCACTTTGGTTGGAAGCAGATGGTTCCTGCTGTGCGGTTAGGGTGCTCGTGTGCCTCCCGCACGGTTTCGTCGGACGGATAGTAGACGCGCATTCTGGCTAAAGCCTCGGAGTTTAGCAGTTCTATTAAGCGCTTCCGTTCTGGGTCTTTCTTGGACCCAGCACGGAGATCGTAGTCCATAGTGCCGTCATCTCCTGATGGATTTTCTTAGATGACAGTCATTTTGGTGAAGGGATGGTACTTTACCTTTACAGGCCAGATACATAGCCCGCATGAATTGTGCATTGAGGCTGCCCACTGAGGAGGTCTGGTCATCGTTAGTGTGAGCACAAAGAATATGCGAGAGATACTTACTACGTAGTCGACGTTAATCTTCATCTCAGTAGCAAGACCGAGTCTCTTTAGAGCGCGGCCCATGCCACTGCATCCAGTGCGTCGCCAGCTTTCCCCTGTACTGGAGCCACCACTATTTATGTGAGCACTCGGAATTTTTGTAGGAATGGAGGTGCATACATTGAGTGTACAAACGCATACCGTTTGGTCTCCGTGAAGTCAAAGCCTTCAAGCCTTTCAATGATCTTCGAGTTTAGAGTGCAGGCCTCCAGGAAGTATACCAGCTCCTCGTAGAACTGAGTATTGTGGGTCTGGTCCTTATTGCCAGTCTCGCTCGGTGTAAGATCAATCTTCGGAAGGTCGATGAGGAAGACAGTCTGTGACGTTAGAAGTCTTCAGTTGCTGCAGGGCAAATGACATACATTTTCCATGAGACCGTTTTCACCCCAGTCGGTTGAAGTAGGATTTGCAGTTGGAATCGCGATACGAAGATAATCGGGATGGAAGAGCAACATCAATTTGGAGTGCATGCAGAAAGTCTGGGTTTCCATCGGCGGGAAGCACAGGCGAAGATTGGGAATCCCAGCGATATCACGTTCATATTCATCTTTCTTCCAAGCGCATTTTCGTCAGTAAGATTACGACATAGAGAACGTCTGATACATACCGTCTCTTGGTCTTTGGCTTGCATCATCAAGATGAAGCGAGTAGAATCGGTATTGATCTTTCTAAAGAACCATTCCATTTCCCACATAAATCCACTGAAGACGGCCAGCTGCAAGTCATCTCGCTGGATAACTTCCTCAATGGTGACTTCGGTTCCTACGCGAGGAAACCCTGCAATGTGTGTCTTCTTGATAGCTCCGAGGGGCCACTGTGCAAGAGGGCGCGAGGTAGGCCAGATCTTGACATCTGTGGCATTTGAATCATATCGGCGACATATATCAGAAGCAAGTCGCCCAGAGTATGGCTTCTCGCTGGGGGTTTCCCTCGCAGTTGTTGCGGCCTTTGATTTCTCAACTTGTGAAGCTTGGTTGCCCGTTGAGCTAGGCTGTGTAGAATTTGGGGTGATTTTGAGTGATTCTAGATCAACGGCTTTATGAATAGCTGTGCGGTTGTGAAGGGTCGGCGATGTGGATTCAACCTTGCGCTTTGGTTGGGTTGTCGTGTCAGGACTGTCTTCAGCCTTCCTTTTGAGCTGTCCTGATGAGCAAGAGCCACTTGGCTGAGCTTTTCGATTGGCGAGACGCGCTAGACGCTCCTCCTCCATCTTCTTGCGATCCAACCCTGGAATTCCGATACCAACGGAGGGTGCCGTGGGAAACGACGCTGGTTCTTGGGTGTTGCTGACCTGGGAGACTGTTTTGCTACCCTCGGAGATTGGTGAAGTGGGATTTGACCCCACTGAAAGCGCAAGAGCACGCTTCAACTCTGCCTCGTCACATCCAGCCTTGTCAGCACCCGCAAGGTCGGGGGATGAGCTCACAACAGATCTCGACTTGGGAAACACCTCCTGGATATCCGAGTCGGAATCATATGTCAGATCGACCACTGTGTCTGGTGGTGCTGGAGCTGTGGATGAACCCATATCGGCTTCTCGGCGTGATGCTTCTATCGCTGCAAGGAAGTCCGGATCCTCCATGTCATCCATGTCCGCGATGATTAAGGGAGACCCTCACAGCCGAAGGGGAAAAGAATGCTGACTAGGCAAATCTGTCAATTTTGACTTTACAGGTCACGAAACGGAACTGAAGGTGACAAAGTAAAGATGATGGAAGAAGTTGGAGAAGTATGGAGCTCGAAAGTGTTCTCCGGCTGAAGCAGGCGCGTAAGCATGTGACCACCTAGGCTCATATCAGAGCTTTCAGAAACATTCTGTTACACACATCACGGTGCACAAGCAAACATTAACCTATCGCATCCTTGTTTCCTCTGTTGTGGACATGGCATCCATTCAATGTTGAACCCCTAGGTGTTTGTCAACACGTGCACGTGACCGGCCATCGCGCAATATAAAGCGATGAGTCTATGGAATGGAGCTACTTCGTTGAGAAGAGTGGACTACTTCATCTTGATTAAATCAAGTGTGCTCGGCTTGATTGATTTCATGTGTTTGGCATAAAGGTTGTCAGAGATACATGGCCTTTCCAAGGACCTATGTTAACCTTGGAAGTTCCAAGGTTGCTACACAACAATCAATGGTGTTGGAAGGGAAACAATGATCCATGGATATCAGCAGATGAATTTTTCCTGTTTCCTCCTCGGGTTCAAATGTTTTGATAAGCACCTTGAGGTGTCCTGGATGGAAACAAAGACATCAAACTTGGAAGCACTCCAAGGTTATCACTTTGGAAGATTTCCGGAAGGTCTGAGAGCAGGATAAGTGGCACATCGTACAAAAGTATTCGGATACTTCTGAGCGGTGTTGGGCTGCCAATATCAAATACGACGACTGCCAGGTGTGATCCCATCAATGAACTCACGGAGAACCTTGGAATCATCTCCCGGGGACGGTACTACTTGAACTCCCCATGAAGCCTCTTGATATTTTGGGTTGGTGTAGAGAATACCCCTGCGATATATTTGATCCATGGATGTCACCAAGAGCTCATTAAAAGACAATGATACCATGAGTCCAGCGGACTCAGACAAACACGATCAAAAGTACCTAGGTAGCGATACATCCATCTCAAATCCACCCATCTGATGGTTCATTGAATTTCGAACTGCGAAGGAAGGGCACCGATGCAATACAAGTGCCAAGTGCCATCTTCAAGTGGGCCATTAGACACAACACCCGTGACCAGATGAATAACCATCCATAAACATGGGTTCGTACTCTGAGAACGGAAAGGTGCGACTTGCGTACATAGGTGACCATGTCAATCTTCCATCAGCCTGCCTTGGCTTAAGGCTCAGATGAAATAACCTCGGACCCCAAGAGGTCTTACCATTAAGCAGAGCCCACAAGTGAGATTATGCTCTTCTTGTCACTATCAATTGTAGGGCGAGAGGACCACCAAATAGCCTTAGAAGCCATGGGTGGGTTCATCTGTCTTGGATTCGTTGGCTGAAAATTGTACCTTTGCATGAAAGCAAAGAGCCTTCAGGATCTGTAATATATGTTGAGTCCTTTCCAAGAGGAGGGTTGGAAAAGCGGATAGTGAGGCGGGGGCTGTCCTCTCTTCGCATTGCTGACATGTTGATCACTGGGTTTTCTGTCTTATAAACATTGCAAGACGAGATCAATGATAGCAAAAAATGCATCTCGATCAGGAGTCTCTTTTCCGAGACCCAGTCCGACAACAAGGAGTCTATTCTCATTGGGTGTTTTCGTTGCAATAGCGGTGGCAATCTGACGGGCAAGAAGCTGGCCGGTTGTATCCTGGCCGGGAGAATAGCCACCAAGAATCGTGGTAGTAGTCAAGTTTTGCAGAGGCAAGAGACTATCATCGCCTTCAGAAAAAGTATGCATGCCCTCGGTGCCAGGATTTAGGTTCTCCATTGGTACGTGCAACTACACATCGTCAACAGCATTCTATGGGAGCGATTAGATGAGACAAACCCAATGTGACACCCGGCCGGCTTGCGAGATTGTGACCATGACCTTATCACTGAAGCTCATGGTCGTCACATCAGTTTGGGTGCCATTCACTAGCCCCGCAACCTGCCTGGTTGCCGCAGGAAACGGTAATTGGAGGGAGTCTTGCAGACTTGCGATATCAAATGGGGCAGCCATGATCGAAAAGATTGGTTTTCCAAATATAAAAAGATGGCCTATAGAAAATAGAGCGGCAAAATGCGGCAACGAGGGCACGTCAATCAGAGCGGTACAGTATCAACGGTCCTCTTGTCTCCTGTGTTTGTATCAGAGGCGGTCAACATGCTTCCCCACAATTTCACAGGCAGTACCAGACCGCCTTGATTTTTTTCCATCAACGAGAGCGATTGTGTCGCAGAGCTGGGTTTACTTGCCATTATTTTTCTCGGTCGCAGTGGTTGTGGTAATTCACTATGCCGCCTAAATTCACACCGCGTCTGCGAAAGCAAAGGCACCGGCAAAACCCGGCCGGAGAGTCTGCCGATACCAATGCTGCTCAACTTGAGCCCGTTTCCAAGGACGAGAAGGAAGCGCGCCGACAGAAATTGCAATCTGAGGTTCAGGGGCAGCACACTCATATCTCCTCAAAGAAGCAGAAGCGCTTGGACAAGTACATTGTACGTGGAGTGACACTTTGAATCCAGACAGCTCTAACATCGCCCCAGGAAAACAAACTCAAGAAGGAAGAGAACATCGAATTGCTGAAGAAGCTCGCGAAATCATCCGTCGACACCTCAGGCCTACAGAGCTCCAGAGACCTTTTCAAGCGCAAGAGACAGGACGACGATGTGCCTGTGGCAACCGATGCTGTGCCGAGCCGCAATACTGCCGCAGAGCTCTCTGGAGACGACAGCGACGAATCCGATGTTCACCTGAAGGTGTCCGATCCTAGAACCGATCCCGTGGTGGAGAAACAAAAACAGGCGGATATAGCTACTGGAAGTGGTTTGAAACGTCCACTTGAAGTGGGGGCCGATGGATTCCCAGTGATAAAGAAGAGAAAGCGCGCACCGAAGAAGAAGGCTGCACCAGCACCGGTCAAGGCGGAGGTCGCTTGGGAGGGCTTTGACTCGGGCGATGAAGAAGAGGGCGAAGATGACGAGGATGAGGAAGATGAGGAGGATTCCGAATCTGGAAGTGAAATAGAGGATGGCTTTGAAGACGATGAATCTGAGGGCACCTCCTCGGAAGGCTCTGACGATGACCAGGATGAAGAGTCAGACGATGAAGAGATGGAAGATGCTCCTGTTCTCAAGACTCGCCAGTCTGCTTTCAAGACTTGGGCAGTGCAGCAAATCAACGAAGCTTCAGGTTTCAAGCCCACCACAGGTGCTGTCACTCAAGAAGAGCAAAAGTTTGATCCCTCCAAACTCCCTGCTCGTCACAATACTACCGAGGAGGAACCCCTGCCTCGAGAACTCCAAGTGACTAAGGGCGATCCCAACCGGAAAGCGTTCAGTGTTGCTGTCAATCGCTCCGAGGAGATCCAAGCTGCCCGTATCGGCCTTCCTGTTGTGGGCGAAGAGCAGAAGATTATGGAAGCAATTTACAACAACTCTGTGGTTGTCATCTGGGGTGCCACCGGTTCCGGGAAAACCACACAGCTTCCCCAGTTCCTCTTCGAATCTGGCTTTGGCTCTCCAGGAAGCCCGAATCCAGGCCTCATCGGTGTCACTCAACCTCGTCGAGTTGCAGCCGTGAGTATGGCAAATCGTGTCTCCCAGGAATTGGGCGAACATGCCGAAAAGGTTTCATATCAGATTCGTTTTGAGTCTACGGCATCGAAGAAGACTGCCATCAAGTTCATGACCGATGGTATTCTCCTGCGTGAGATTGCGGATGACTTTGCCCTCCGCAAATACTCCATCATCCTCATTGACGAAGCTCACGAGCGTAGCGTCAACACTGATATCTTGATCGGAATGGTCAGTCGTATCGTGGGTCTTCGCAAGTCTCTTAGTGAAGAAGATCCATCCATCAAGCCCTTGAAGGTTGTCATTATGTCGGCTACTCTGCGCATTTCCGACTTCACCGAGAACCCCAGTCTATTCCGCAGCGGCCCACCTCCTTTGGTTCAAGCGGAGGGTCGTCAATATCCTGTCTCGATTCATTTCTCCCGCCGCACACAGCGTGACTATGTTGAGGATGCGTTCCGCAAGGTCTCCCGTGGACATCGCAAACTCCCTCCTGGTGGCATGCTTGTATTCCTCACTGGTCAGAACGAGATTCGGCAGCTTTCCAAGCGTCTGAAGGGAGCATTCAAGCCTACTCAACGCGAGGATACCACACAGGCCAAGGTCCAGCTTTCTGCAAATGAAGCGCCGCTGGAGGCAGAGGACTTGGAGCTAGGTGGCACAGAAATGGACAACGCGGGCGAGGATGACTATGACAGTGATTTGGAGATCACCGGGTTGGATGATGCAGAGGAAGATGAAGACTTTGACCTGGGTGAAGAAGCTATGGACTCTTCAACCCGTGTTCATGTTCTGCCTCTCTACTCCCAACTCCCAACGAAAGAACAGATGAAGGTCTTTGAGGCTCCCCCGGAGAACTCCCGTCTGATCATTCTCGCAACAAACGTTGCTGAAACGTCTCTCACAATCCCCGGGATCAAGTATGTATTCGACTGCGGACGATCCAAGGAGAAACAGTTCGATCTCTACACTGGTGTCCAAAGCTTCCAGATTGGCTGGATCAGCAAAGCAAGCGCCAACCAACGCGCTGGTCGTGCCGGTCGAACAGGGCCCGGTCACTGCTACCGAATGTACTCTTCTGCTGTGTACGAAGCAGACTTCGCCGAATACACTGATCCAGAGATCTTGCGCACGCCAATTGAGGGCGTTGTGCTCCAAATGAAGAGCATGGGTCTGCATAACGTCATCAACTTCCCATTCCCAACCCCTCCGAGCCGTCAAGGCCTCGCAAAGGCAGAGAAGCTGCTCAAGAACCTCGGTGCTCTATCTGCCGACGGTCAAGTCACGCAAATCGGTCGTCGTCTCTCAACATATCCCCTTTCTCCCCGATTCAGCAAAATGCTTCACATCGGTCACCAGCACGGTTGCATGCCGTACGTGATCGCACTCGTCGCCGCGCTAGCAGTTGGCGACCTCTTCGTCCCGCAAAACCAACTGGATCAACCCAAGATTCAGAACAAAAAGAACGACTCGGATAGTGACAGCGACAGCGACACAGAGCGCAAGGTCTACACAAACGCCGATCGAATCGAAGATACTGAGCGCGAACAAAAATCAAAAGCCCAAGCCCGTGCCCACCGCCTGTTCTCCAAACACGACGACACCTCCGACGCCCTCAAATCCCTCTCCGCAATCTGCGCGTACGGTTACGCCTCTGACGGCGACGCCTTCGCCGACCAAATGTTCCTCCGCGGCAAGGCCTTCAAAGAAGCAACCCAGCTCCGCCGCCAATTGACCGACATCGTCCGCTCCAACAACCCAGGCTTGGTCCCAGCCTACACCCCCCGTCTCCCAGAACCCTCAACCAAGCAAATCAAAGCCCTCAAACAGATCGTCACGGCAGGCTTCATCGACCAAGTCGCTATCCGCGCAGACCTGGCTCCCGTCCCGCCTGAGATTCCTCGCGCTCCTCGTCGCGCCATCGACGTCCCATACCTCACTCTATTCCGATCACGGGATGGAAAGGGAACGGATCTCGTCGAGCGTGCTGTCTACGTCCACCCTTCTTCGCTGCTCGCGAAGTTGACCCCCAAGGAAATGCCACAGTACATCACTTACTCGCATTTGCAGCAGTCTGCTGCGTTGGTGGGCGATCAAATCCCGAAGATTCGCATGTTCCCGCTTGTCGTGCCTAGTGGGCTGCAGCTTTCTGCTATTGCGCATGAAACACCTCTCATCGAGTATGGTAAGCCTATTGGAAAGGCTGATCCCATTGACGGTGTGCCCCCGCGGAGATCTTGCTGGGTCATTCCCTCGCTGGTTGGTGATGCTGGTAACTCCGGGTGGCCAATGCCTGCTAAGAAGGTTGTACAAAAGAAGGACCCCAAAGAGGGTTGGGTCATTGAGAAGTTCGTGTCGTGATGTACAGATATAGGGTCGAAGTCATGATATCCAATTGTTTAGAAGAAGAAAATTCAATCCCTTTTGCAAAGAACGCCAAACACACCATGGACATGACCATAGAAGGGAAAAAAGAAGCTGCTTAATCCCTGCGTCCCCGATCCCTCGAGCCGGAAATCTCTCCAGTCTCCCTATCCTCTTTCAATCCAAATGCCCGACGCAACCTCTCCGTCTCCTCAATCTTTGCCTCCGCAAGCTCATGAACCTGATAAGACTTCAAATTCCTCCTATCAATCTTCTTATCGCCGCGCTCCAATTCCGAATCCAGCTCCGAAAGCAGCCTCTGCCTCAAAGCCTCGCACCGCTCATCAATCTCCTCATCGTCAAGAACCCGTTCTTGCTCAGTCTCACCCTCCTCTTTATTATCGTTGCTCTTGCTCTTGCTCTTGCTTTTCTGCTCATCTTCAATCCGCTCATTCTCCTCTTCCAATCGATCCCGCTCTTCCATGACTTTAACTTCGATTGCGCGCTTGCGGTCGTGTTCCAGAATTTGCTTGTCGGGCATGCGCTGCTTGAAGTGTCGGTCCATGGCTCCATTTGCGCCGGAGACGGGAGGATAGGGCGCGCCGTAGCCTGTGTTGCGGGGCTTCATGAAGGCGGAGTTCCGCTGCACGTAGCCTGAGGTTCCACTGCCGCGGGGGGTTGTGAGCCCAACGTTGGATGACATTTTGGCTTATTTTGACGAGTGGAAAGGTATTGCTGTAGGGCTTCCTTGAAGGTTCGGAATATCGTGTAGAGCTATTGTTTGATGGTTTTGCGCGCCCTGTGTGCTTCCGAGAGCTGGTAGAGTTGGAGGATAGAGGGATAGAGAGTCCAGGTTGCCAGGTGCAAATGTGAGTGGGTATGAAGCTGGCTTGGATAGAGCTGCTGGTGTTTGGTCTGAGAGATCAAAATGCGGCGTCTTATCAATGATCACGTGCTCTTATCACGTGGGACCCGAGAGGTGACGAGGGAAAGCACGGACGCTTTGTAGTGAGGTTGAAACAAGGTTCGGGACTTTGTTACAGCGTAATCAGTCTCGACAAAGGTGGCGGCCACAGCTCGGTAGTTGGGAGACTAGGGTGATGATGGATTGAGGTCACTAAATATAGCGTGGAAGAGATGAAGAAGTCTACAGTGTCGAGAAATGCAGGAGTATAAAGCAAGGTCAAGTCATAATGCATTGATAATACAGCCACGAGCAAGAAGTAAACGACGTGATATTAACACGGCGGACTATTAGGTCAAGGCTGGACCATAGACTAGTCGGAAGCCGAGCTAACGCAGAAGCAAGAATACCGTTGACAAACACCATAATGCGAAACCGTCAACATAATCGACTTTGAACAAAGAAATAGGCGTGTGCCACAGGATGCGTATTTTCGTGTTTTCTCCGTAGCAGAAACCGAACCTTGAACGCCTCAAATCACGTCATAAAAATGTGTCAAGAAACAAATAGGGAGAATAAGAGATAGACCGAGATGGTGGTAGATCGGGTTAAAAATGACAGGCCCTGCGCCGTGGGTGGGGGAATCACATGGCGTGTGTCACGTCGGATTCCCGTATGTATACGCCCGTATTAGATAGAAGACAAGAAGCTCGGTCACATTAGAAAGTTTATGGCGAGCGGGTGTAAAGTGTGCAACGAATTAGTGGGCACTAGTGACGTCGACCGGGACGCCGGTGCCCGTCTCAGGGCTGGAAACTGTGGTGACGGTGCTTTTAGCGAGGCCCTTGGGCTCGAGGGTGCTGTCGACTGCTTGATCGGTGGGAGGAGGAGTAGGCGGTGCGTTTCCGAAAGCCCGCGGCTGATCAGTAGGGATGGAGCGCTTGGAGGGCTGAGGGGAGGACTTGTGAGAGTGCGGAGGAGTGGTCGAGGTGGTGTTGGACAGACCAGTGACCGGGGCGTTGGGGTCGAAGATGAGCTTCTCGATGGCAACAATCTGCTTGCCATAGCTGAACTTCTTAAGCTGACTGAGGAGGGGCTTGATCTGATCAATCAGAGCCTCACGCTCAGCATCCTTCAGTTGACCGAGGACCTTCTGAATGACATAGTTGCCATACTGGTCCCGCATGAGCCCGAGCAGAGGGCTCTCACCACGGTCATTGGCTGAGGTGAGAGTTGAGATGATGTGAACGCGTTCATGCTCCGCACCAAACTCGATACTCTTCTCAACGACATTGCTAGCAAACTTGTGCTTGGAGTAGGGCAATAGCTGTCCCATGACGATGTCAATCATGCGAGTCCGGTCCGGCTCGTCGCCATTTTCAATGACGTGCTGAATCACATAGTTGCCAAACTGGTCTGGGATCAGGTTGGGGGTGCAAGCATGCAGCTCAGCCAGGATAGATTGACGGTCAACCTCCTCGCAGTGCTCAAGCATCCTTTGGATGACGCGGCAGCCGTACGGATGAGCTGCAAGTCGGTTGACTTGGCCGCGGAAGGCGTTGATGATGAACTGCACATACTGAGAAGGCACGCGTTCGATGGCTTTCTGGATGACGTGGTTTCCGTTCTGGTCACGAACACACTTGAGAACGTGATTCTCGAGTTCCTTGACCATGGCAGCTTGTTGGTCAGTGAGGATATGCTCGAGTGCCTTCTGGACTACTCGACAGCCATACATCTGCGTGGAAAGCGCGAGAACGTGTCCCCGCATTTGGTTGGCGAGGATCTTTTTCTGTGTTTGGTTTCCATGCTCGAACAACTTCTGAACCACGTAGTTGCCAAAGACGTCGGTCATGAGCTGGAGGCAGTTTGGCTGGATCTCGCGGAAGACCTGCTCTTTCTCGTCACTGTTGGCTGTCTCCAACTTTTGTTGGATAAAGCGGGAGCCATGTTGATCTCCGCTGAACTCTACCACATGGTTGTAGATGTCCTTGAGCTCGTACCGCTTGTTTCCCTTGCTGTTGGCGCGGAATTCCTCGAGAAGTGGGCTGCGAACAACTTGAGTAGTGTCGGGCTCACGCTGGGTGCGGGAAACAAGTGCAGCTGCGCCAAGGTTGCTGAGCTGAGCGACGGGGTAGAATCCCGAGAGTGCGTTGAGACGGGAGGCCTGGTAAGCCTGGTAATCGTAAGAAGGTGGGTATTGCATTCTCTGTGAATTCTGGGCGAGTTCCTGCTCCTGGAGGACACGGAGTCTGCGCTCGAATGCAGCCGCATGCGTGTCTCCAGCGGTTCTGTACTGGGCTCCTCCATCGACACCAGAGTAGATGGGGCTGTCGATGCGAGCGTAGTCGGAGGGAGATATCGAACCGGTGTTGCCAGCGCGGCGGGCTTGGTAAGCGAGTTGCAGGTCTTGTGCGGAGTCTGCGTTATAGCCGAGAGCCTGGTATGAGGCTTCGTCGGTCTGATACTTATTGCGGGGGAATGTGCCATCGAAGGAAGCGTGAGGAATGTAGGACGGACGTTGCCCTCCCTGTGTAATGAAGCCACCATCGTTCATCTGGAGCTTGTTGAAGCTGGCATTCAGGTCTATCGATCCATTGCCGTAGCGACCATCAGCGCTGTGGTTGTCGGAATAGAAAGAAGGGTGGGCTGAATGGGTCGGGCGCTGAGCTGCATAAGAGGCCGAGTTGTGAGAGGCGTGCGAGAGACCCGCGCGGCTCTGGGTAGGAGACATGGAATCGGGGATGCCAGACCCCAGCGATCCCATTCCCATGGCGGCCATGTCGTCCGTGCGAGCGCCATCGAGGGGGTTGGAGAAGGAAGGTTTGCCTGGGAAGTTGGCTCCGACCGGGCTACCACCGAGGCCGGAACTCATCTGTCGTCGACCTGAGAATCCACCGAACGTGATGCCATCGCCAGATGGGGAGACACCCTCCGACCCAGTCTGGAGGTAAGGGCGGTGACTGGCGGTGACGGTAGATGCGCCAATGCCACTGGTTCGCGGCAGGGCGAAGTAGGAGCTATCGCCGGTTTCGTTCATCGCTGGAGCGCTGCGATCATTGCCGCGACTCTGGATGGGGGATGTGGCCAGTCCCCTGTTTTGGTACGACTGGTTGGTGTTCACAGTGCCCCAGGGCAGATTGGCGCGACCTGACCAGCCATCCGATTCGGATGTGGAGAGCAAAGAGCCGGAGCCCGACTTCCCTTCGAATGCTGTCTCACTGATGTGTTGTTCTATCCGCCATTAGTACATCCCTGTGCGCATCTCGATGTGACCACTCACCATCTCCGAACCCACCGAGGTTGGAATCGCCCCAGATGTTGTTGTTCCAGCTCGACTTGCCAGCACCGAATCCCTTGCCAACGCCGTTGTTCTGCGACCCCCGCGGGCGATCATTCATTCCGGATGAACCCATGTTGGAGGTTCGGCTCTGTCGGGCCTGATGGAGGTTATTCATGACGTCCCGGCCCCATGCACGATCTTCACTCACGTTATGTACGCTGGATGCATTAGCGGCCATGGTAGAAGCCATTCCAGGGAATATCCGATCGGCGAAGTAATTCGATATGTACTCAAGCGGTGAAAGAGAGGGAGCAAGGGAGTGTGTTGTAAATCACAAGAGAGATGGAGAGGAAGAGAGAGCGGATGCTGTGTCGGCCAGTATTTGCAAGCGGGCACCAGGCACCAGAGACGGCGTACACGAAGGAATATAAGACTGCGATCGCAAAGACAGTGGTCAGCGGTGTTCCAATGGTCACTGGGCAATCCAGGATGGAGGAGCGCCTGTGAACCTGGGGGAGGACTCACCAAAGGAGGGGATAGAAGGGATCACAAGAAAGAGCGACTAGAAGAACTGTAGATTTCTTCTTGCGAGGCCCTGGACATGTACAGATTATACAGGAGCAAGAGGAAGGGAGACGAAAGGGAGGAACAGCTCGAGAAATGCTGAGAGGCAGGACGATCTCGCCTGACAGCGATAGAGAGATGCAAGGTGACAAAGAATAACGATTATTATCACCCTTCCGTTTGGCGGTGGGGCAGTCTCCGGAGGGTTCAGAATTGGGGCGTCGCGACGTTACTCTGCTCCGTGCATGCTCCAGGAATCTCCTTTGTGTCGATCGTCCTCATGTGCGTGGGAGAATGGGAAATCAGGGTCACCCTAGATTGATACGCAAGGGGTGGTGATCGAGGTGATTGGCGAATTTCGACTAAGAGAGGATAGTGGAATGCGCTCGCGCAAAACAGTTAGTGGGTCGAAGGGAATGTAGGCGAGAGACAAGGCATTTAATGTAGTCCAGCTGTCACACAGGCGCCAGCATGACAGCCCAAGGGTTTTTTTTGTGTGGGCGTAATGTGAAGGGGAGATCACAGAGCAATAGATTCCCGACGAGATCAGGGAGCACACGAAAAAAAGAGGGCTAAGAATTGCTAAGAAATGGCAAAACCAAGCATCAAGCAGCGCAGGAAGAAGAAGAGGGAAAAGGTGAGGAACGAAGCAATAGATAACGAAGAAAATGCGAATATTCTTTGGGCAGATCAGCCGCTGTATTGTTGTGTAATACGGTGACACTGTGAACAGGTCGATCCTGGCTTGGTCCAGGAGATACTTTCTGGACTGTGGTGGAGACATACAAAGTTCAGGTACTCCCTCAGCCATCAATGGGTCCTGGCGTGCGTATTACACCGTCACCGCGATCTAACTTCCGGCGCTTCTTTCTTAGCCTGGCCCCATTCTATTTTGGCCATCTACGACTAGTCAACTAGTACATCCTCTGCTCTGTTCTGTTTTTACAGGGCTGGATACAATTCTCTGTTTCTGTAACCTTGCAACCTTTGGAACTCTTTGCAGTAACTCCTCACACGAGCCCTGGAGGGCTGCTGAACCACTGGAACGCCCTGATGAAGGCGACACCTTGAAGTCACATCCCTCGGCCAAGAGTTCCTCTCCACTGGAGCAGTCCCTGAGAAGGCTTGACCGTGGGTGACTATTCCACTGTGCCTGAGTGAAGCTTTGCCGTGACATGAAGGTTTCCGATCGGGCCCACTAGGTTTTTAAGGTAAGGTACACTTTATATTGCTAGCGTGTTATACTCTTTCTCTTCGGCTTCGTCCGGAACCACCTTCAACTCCCGATCCTCTTCCGTGGGTTGTTTCCTGGATTCTTTGCTGTTTTGCTTTTTGTATTTTGCTTTTTCCCCGTTTCATGTCTACTCGGTACGGATACGGTGGCCTCTGTACTGGTGGATGCATACTACAAAATGTACGGAGTACATAGTAAACACATTGCTTCAAATAGCTCATGTAGATCAAGATATCACCAACAGCTGAAGCAATATTGCCGTCTCGAGGTAATGGTAAAATAAAGTCCTTGAAATCCTTAAAATCCTTAAAATCCACAGAATCCTGAAATCAAAACAGGTTTGGGAAGCTCATAGACTCGGCCAGCCCCTTGCTTCGGCCAATCGTCACACTGACCCTTCCAAAGCCTACACTCGAACACAGGGCCAAGGTCAAATTGCGAAGCGTCATCTGGCATGTCTCTGAAGCCATCTGCCGAACATTGAGGTAGTCGCCGTGTCATCGGTGGAATTGCGAAAAAGCCGAGACGGCGGTAATACGGACGGGGATTCACCGCTGCGAACATCCTTGCTCCGTCGCACAGAAGTGTCAGACCATCACTCGCAGAAATCTTCCCCGGATCTGAGAGCACTGCCTTGCGTCCGATTCCCGTCGTGGATCCGAGCGCGACTCTGGTTGGGGTGGTGATCGGCCTTTCTCCGGGTTTGTGACCTGTCGAATCCGATGTGTTGGCCGTTTCTTGACCGCATTGCTACTTGGCCGCTTCTGCAGGGATTTTTGGAACATGTCGGCCCCGAATTTTGATGGTGACGTGTTGGTTGGGTTGTTGATTGTGTCGGGGCCTTGGCGGGGTGTAGAATCGCCTTCGCGTATCAATTCTCCGTGACGGTGTCCTAGTACAGGGAGCCAGATTGGCTGTGTTTTGGCCCTTGGCCTATTGTCACTATAATGTCGGTCGCATCGAGGGGTTTTCATCCCGCATGACAACATTGCCTGTGATGACGATTTGAAGCCGCTGGGCATGGCTTTAGACTGTTGGCGCAGTAACACTTTAATGCATGGTCAATTCTGTCATATATTCATGCAGCCTGATGCAAGCCAACGAGTCCTTGCTATGTGCAGAGGCTCTAGACACCAGGTACCAAAGCTTCCTGAGTCGCGGGAGAATATATCTGTACTTCTGATTAGACTTCAATATATACCACGCTTAGCTGGACTATCTACTCGTAGGTATTGCTGACCAGGGTTATTTCAAGGTTTGACTGGGCTCTCTAGTACCCACTTCCAAGAGACCTAATTTGATGCAACAAACACACAGAATGCTCCGCACTAACCATCTAGCTTTGTCGGGCTGGCTTGTGGGACCGGGACCGCGTGCCCTTGTGCTGTGTGCTTCCGATGTGGCGGCGAAGCCCATGCGAGCAGGAGAAGTACATGCAGCTCGGACTTGACACATCATGTGGCAAACGCTGGATGTCCAGGTGTACTCCGTACCTACCATACAGTACCTAGGTACAAAAGAGCCAGCGGTTTCAGAAATGGACCTTGTACCTACTAGTACGCACCTGGGCATGCAACTACCTACCTAGGTACTTATGTAGTTATATATCACCGCTGGCCTAGGTCCACGGGTGCTTTCTTGTGCCTCCACCGGGCACTGGGCAGTCTGTCGCACACCATTTAACCCTGGAAGGCTCAGATATATCACTTGGATCTTCCTGAGACACTTGGAGAATACATATACAGCAACCTTGGAATATATCTGGGTAGTTTCGGTATATCTGTAAGCTTGCTAAAATACCTAGGTAGTTCTTTCCAAGGTTACAGACTGGGGCCTTGGGTGGGCCGAAAGACGCACTGATATATACTTCCAGGGTTCTTGCTCAGATGCTTTCGCTTGAGCAAGCCGCCTCCCAAGCGTGTGAAAATCTTCGTATCTTAGGACCTCGGATGTCTCGTGTACTACCTAGATCATAGCCTCAATTGCATATTCAAGTATGTCTACTACCTAGGTATTGGCCCCAAGGTTATACCTTCCAAGGTTCAAAGGTTTTAATGCATACCTTAGGTACATAGGAATAGACAATATCACCTGGCAGTAATTTGTTCCATCGAGATCGATCTGGAACCTACCCCAGAAGGATGAGGAAGCTCATGTTTCCTTGCCTCTCAAGGCTTTGTTGATGTTTCATCGACCAACATTGGTTGCTATTTACTTGATGTTTGGAGGCTCAATGCCATTCACGCGTCATAGGGTTGTTTACATGTGTCGCAGTGAGACGCACGAGATCTAATCTCCCTGGATGAGACATTCATTTCCTACTTGTCCCCGGAGTTGATTCCGAGAAGTGACAGCGAATCATCTCGCGTCATTTAGGGTTTCCTTGTCCTCATCACAATCTCACGCTCGTGCGACCCAGAGTGAGCGCTTCGTACTGAATACCACAGACTCCATATTTTCCTCTCAGGTGAGGGCTGCGATACTATGGAATAACTGTACTGTAGTATATGTCAGATCGATGGCTGCAACCTAACATCTGGAGTATGCCAACGTGCATTTTCAGGGGAACTTAACGGTGGGCATAACAAACGGGCATAGTTTGGTGGAGACGAACCGCAGTGGGCGCCAACGACTGGGGGCCAGAGGGTCGGCCAGGGACTGGCGGATGGTGATTGGTCGCAAGTTGCAGCCAAGAGGGGCAGCATCACCCAAGGAACGGGACTAGGCCGTGAAGAGCTTAGCTCTCCGCCAACAATAGAAAGCAGGCTGTTCTAGGCACCGCTGCTCACTTTCTCCTCTTCTCCTCCCTGTTTTCCCTTCATTCTTCACTCTCGCTCCATCTCCATTCTCTTCGCAGGTACCAGCTTCACTCTTTCAGCGGTACACCTTGCGGTCCATTCTTTCCTTTAACCTACAATCCGTCACCTTCGTTTGAAACCCCCTTTTCGGTCCCCTTGGGAGAGCCCCGAACATTCCGACGCGCTCTACTGTTTGTTTCCCCGGATCGACTTTGATACATTGGCATTCGAAATCGACGATCACATACATATCGGTTCCTGCCCATTACTCTCCTGGGTATCAACACCAACGACCCGACACACAACAAACGGAGATATCAAAAATTTCAACAACCCTCACCTTCCAATACAATGACGAACCAATTCTCCCGACTCGTCGCACGCGATGACAGCGACAGCGGACTTTCCAACACGATGCTCGACCTGATGATTGCTCTCCTTGTTCTGGTCCTCCTCGGCCTTGGCCTCGTCGGAGGACTCCTGATCCTTCGTCGCAAGAAGCGCAACAACCGCAATCAAAACCTGCTCCCGGTATACAATGGCGAATCTCCCGCCCACCGACGTCGCTTGACCATCTCTACGAATAAAACCGATTCTGTCATGGTCTATGACGAAAAGCGAAGCCTCATGGAGAACTCCGACAGCCCACCTCCAAGCCCTGTCCCCGAGATCCGAATCACTTTCCCCGAAGAAGAGGATGAAAGTGGCAAGCGCAAGTCCGGACGCATGGTCATCGTGAGAATCAGTGATGCCGGCAGCGTCGGCCTGGAGCCTTGCCAGGAAGAACTCCCCCCTTATCAATCAAACGACACCGGTCGTTTCCAGTCTCTGGATATTGAGCGCATGGGAGGCCTCAAGGAAAAGGGAGACACATACCGTTAAAGCATGAATGGGTATCCAACTGACCCATGAACGCACGGCGTCTTCCTCTTCAACACCTCAACCTTTCCACGACCTAAAACATTACGAGTACCCTGGCGAATATCTGTGATTCTACCTCTACATATCCATTTTCCCGATTGGCCTTCACGGCTTGCACATAGGCGGATGCTGGTTTCAATATTTCCCCGCGGGGCCCTACTGGAGTAACTCCAGGACACCCCGCAACGGAGGATTTTATCTGAAACTGGCTCGTTCATAGCGAGGGCCTGCCGATTTTTTTTCTCCCTTTTTCCTTCTACCCTGTGGCGTCCTTTTTTCCAAGCCTGGATCATGTCCCTATCAGTCCTGCCACGATCCTAGGGCTTGACAAACATGCGTCCTCCTACTGCTTAATTACCCTTCTACCCTCCACTTTACCGGGGCCCCTCTTTTATCTTTTCGTTTCTCGGGGCCCCTTGTCTCTTATTTCGATTCACATGTGCCCTTTTTCTACTGGTACCCGGCAGCTGGTTAATGTATGTACTTAGTCCTCCTATATGTCGCCATATTCAGGCAAATCCGCAATTCGATATTTTTTTCGTTGTGTGTAGTTATAGTGGATGTGGTCGTGTATCTGCTTTGGGCCAATCGGAAAGGCCCACTCAATCCCCAACCCGCTTGATCCGCGACAGCATATTTTTTTGTTTTTCACCAGCTCCTGATTGGACTTGCTCTTTGTATGATGTCCCTGCTGTAGCTTCAAGGTCCATAGGGAAGCCGCTCACAGCCGAGCAAGTAAAGGGGTTCGACCTCCGCATTCGCCGCGACCCCCTCCCGACCTTCACGGTATCCGAGCTCAATCGGTTCAATAAGCCCATTTGTGCTTGTTTCCGGCTTCCCTGTCCTACAGAATTACGGGCTCAAGCTCGCCGCTACCGTCACGGACCAAGTGGCACCCATTTGGTCTCCCCCTACCCGCGAGCGAGCTGGCGCGCCAGCTCCCCCCCGACTCGATTGCAACACTCGGCACACGAAAATGACAGCTACGCCCCAGAGTTCCGCGGGGGCTGTCCCAAAGCCCAATGCCTCTAAAGCCACCCCTCCGCAGCCCAAGCGGAACCAGAAGGGCGTGGCGGATCATAAAGCGATGGAGCTTGAAGACGAGTTTCGGACGAAACACCTAGGTGTGATGGGTGTTCTTGGTTGGATATTGTGAGCCGTTTCCGCGGGCCTGAAGAAGGCGACGAATAGATGTCCGTCATGAGTTCAAGGCTGACCAGATCAATCGCAGGCTTTTGCATATCGCAGGCATTTACCTGTTCACGAAAGGGTTCCTTCTCACGCGCATGGTCCTTGAGAACAAGTCTTCATGCGACGTGCTGCCCTTCGAAGATGCGACTTCCCAGACACCGGGAAATATTGAAAAAGGTTGCTGGCATGAGAAATCGTTTGATAAGGCTGTGGTAATCATCATTGATGCTCTTCGATACGATTTCACCGTTCCATTTGCCCCTTCTGAAACCGAGGAAACCCAATTCTTCCACAACAATATTCCCATTCTTCATGAGACCGCGATCAAACACCCCGCCAACGCTTTCCTCCTACCTTTCATCGCAGACCCTCCGACAACCACCCTGAACCGCCTGAAGGGCTTGACAACCGGAACTCTCCCCACCTTCCTCGAAGCAGGCTCGAACTTCGCCGGAACAGCCATCGATGAAGACAACCTGGTTGCGCAACTTCACAAGAGTGGAAAGAACCTCGTCCACTTGGGTGACGATACTTGGCAAGCGTTGTTCCCGGGATATTTTGACCCTAACCTGACACACGCCTATGATTCATTCAACGTCTGGGATTTGCATACCGTCGACAACGGCGTTACAGAGCATCTCTTCCCCCTCCTCCGCCCGGAGAATAGCTCCAAGTGGGACGTGATTTTTGGACACTACCTCGGTGTTGATCATGCAGGTCACAGATACGGGCCCAACCACGCCGCCATGGCCTCCAAACTCCAGGACATGGATCGTGTCATCCGGGAGGTGATTGCCGCCTTGGATGATGACACGCTTCTTGTTGTAATGGGCGATCATGGCATGGACACCAAGGGTGATCATGGCGGTGAATCCGCCGACGAAGTCGAGGCCGCTTTGTGGATGTATTCGAAGCGCGGAGTGTTCGGTCGAACGAGTAAAGATTCACTCCTTCCACCTCAACACGCCCGTGATCGATTCGTTCCACAGATTGACCTTGTTCCGACTTTGTCTTTGTTGCTTGGAATGCCCATTCCGTTCAACAACCTCGGCTCGCCCATTGAAGAGGCCTTTTCCGGCGCTAAGGGCGACAATTGGGCTAACCTGGCCACTGTGAATCGACTGGCTGCTGCTCAGGTAAAGAGGTATCAGCACCAGTACGCAGTCGCCAGGGGAGCTGGTGATGATGATGAGTCGATGTTGCTTTGGACTGCCGCCGAGGAAGAGTGGAAGTCTTCCTCAAAGGCATTCTCAAAGTCAAGTGCTGCGCGGGCAAGCAATGAACTCTACCGCAAGTACCAGCGCCATACACTGGATGTTTGTCGCGACCTGTGGGCTCGGTTTGATATCCCGAGCATGATCCAGGGTGTTGCGGTTCTTGTCGCTGGGATTACGTACTTGATCGTCTACGCTCGTGGCTTGAAGAACGACCGCACCCAACTTACGGCTAATTTGCTCCAGTCTGCTGGAGTGGGAGCCGGCATTGGTGGTGTCGCTGGATCGGTATTCGGCCTGACTGGCCTGACTGAAATGGGTGTTGTCGATGGTCTCGTTCTTTTGGCCGCAGCTGGAAGTATCATCGGTGCTTTGCCAGCCATTGTGACGAAGCCGGCTAGCCTGAGCCTGCCCCTTCCCAATGGCATGTGGGGCTGGCTTGCCTTCTTCTTTACCGTGTCCCAGTCTATTGGATTTGCTTCAAACTCATACACAATCTGGGAAGATGAGATTCTTCTGTTCTTCCTCACCACCTTCGGTGTGTGCGCGGGTATCTCATCCATGCGTCAGAAGCAGACCACAGACCGGGTCTTGGGTGTATATCATTCCGTCCTCTTCGTGATCCTAGGCCGCATTGCGTCTTTCTCTCGCCTTTGCCGCGAAGAGCAAATGCCCTTCTGCCGTTCTACCTACTATGCATCCTCGACCTCATCTACTTCCGCACCATGGCAACTCGCCATTCCTTTCCTGGTGACCGTATTCCTGCCTAGTGTCATTCGTTCCTTCTACACAGGCTCGAAATCATACGAAGGCGCTGCATCGCTGTGGATTGGCACGGCCTTCCGCTTCGGCCTCTTCGTCACCTCACTCTTTTGGATGCTTGAAGGCGCTGATGACGGTGACTGGCTTCCTATGAGCACGGATACCCTAAAGTCTCTGCGTGTCTTCCTTGCGCAACTTGTTCTCGCTCTAGCTCTCGCAGTAGGTACGGGTGCATACATCTACTCTAAGCCCTGCGTGAGTATCAGCGTAACCACACAAGCCCCTCCACCGGAAGATCCCAATGCTCCTCCAGCCCCCTTCATCGCAGGCCAACAACAAGGGCCTCGCAAGACAGTCACCATCTTGGGCTTCGGAAACGTCTACGGAACCCGTTTCTTCTTCCTGGTCATCAATCTTGCTCTTGCCATCATTCTCATGCAAAAGCCCATGGGTCAAGGTGCCATCGCCCTCCTCCTCTGGCAAATCCTCTCCCTTCTCGAAATCCTCGACACAAACAACCTAACGATGTCAAACTCCTCCATCGGCCCTGTAGTCCTCGGTCTCCTTGGCTCATTCTACTTCTTCAAAACAGGCCACCAAGCCACTCTCTCCAGCATCCAATGGGAAACAGCTTTCATCCCCCTGTCCACGATCAAATACCCCTGGTCCCCACTCCTGGTCATCCTCAACACCTTCGGTGCCCAGATCCTAACTGCCATCGCCGTCCCTCTAACCGTCCTTTGGAAACGGCCCCTCCAGACACACGATCGTGTGCCCGCCTCAAATCCAAACAAAAACCCCACTACACGCATTCTCTCCGATGTTGTCCAGGCCGCCAGTACGCATATCCTCTACCTGGCAACCATCAATCTTGCCACAACAATGTGGGCAGGCCACCTCCGCCGCCATCTGATGCTCTATCGAATCTTCAGTCCAAGATTCATGACGGGCGCGATCGTGCTGGCTGTTGTTGACGTCGTCTTGATGGTCGTTGCCATCGGTGGTGTACGATGGAGTACACTGAGCGTGGGCGAGGTCTTTGGTTGGTGATTTGGCGTGAATCTCGAAATTTCCCCGGAGACTTTTTCAACTCTCTTTCCTCGCATCACTTTGTATACATATTCTTTTATATTTGCATACCCTGCCGTTGCTTTTGCGTTTCAACATGTACATCTCTGTACGAACGTTCTCTCGCTCCGACTTTCCTTTCTATCTTGTTTTACTCTCGAGTTAGATTTTACACAATATAATCTCGACCACAGTCGATCAAATAGGTAATTCGATCTTTTTGGTGCAGGTAGGGACTCGATGAGATCTGAAGAGAACAGTTGCGCGGGCAGCCTACTCAACTCCGAGTTCAAACCCAATTTGTTTCATCAATGCTGTTATATTCACTGACATCAAGATCATGCGATGGTTCGGCAAACGACTATTTTTAGTCGGTGCGAGGAAATACATAATGGCATTCTCAACAAGGTAACTTGCAAGAAGATCAGAACTTGGAATTACTCCAGTATTATCGTCATAGCCACGGGTAAGGTGACAGCCGAAGCTTGGGGGGTTCTGTTATCATATGAGTTCCAAGATATTCCATGGACGACGTATATTTCGGTTGGAAGGTTTGATAGGACGTCGCTTATGGTAGAAGCCCGCTCACTATTTAAACTAAAAGCAGGATCCTAGTATAGACAGCCCGGACATAGAGGATAAACAGCCAAGAACGCGTGTCTAGCCTTGGAACAATGTGGGGATTACCATCGGTTTGCCCTGCTACTGATCGTCATTACTTGCACGTAGATCTCTTCGATCGTCCCCCAAGTCCACTTTTGAGGCCCCCGAAATATCCGGGCACCAAGACCGAGGGCGGTGGCCGGGTGGGCAGGTCTGGCAGTCGGTCAGGGGCCTTGGAAAGCATTGGAATTACTAACAGATATCCCAGGGTATAAATATGTTGGAAGTTACCCTCGAGTGATGTGGTATCAAGAAATCATCTTCCACCACTACAAACCACTACAATGCGTTTCACCATCCTCACTACCCTCGCCTTTGTCGGCTTCTCCATGGCTGCTACCGTATGAGTACCACGCATTCTTCGCAATTCTTGAGCTCACGTTGTCTATAGATCCAATCGGGTGGAACATGCAAGAAGGACGGAAGCATGGGAACTTGCGCCTCCAACCTGTGTGTGGTACGTCTCGCGTGCTTTCAAGGCCATTCGAAGATCCTGCTGACCGTTTACAATAGCAAGAGGCCAACGCGCCTAACGGAAAGTGCAAATAAGCATCCACTTAACACATTCACCCGGAAATCGAGCATCGAATATGGGATCAGCTGGAATCAGAACATAAGTGCAGGTTACTTCCGTTCATACTACACTTCAAATTTACAAGAATCAATATGTTTGCTTGATTGCCAATCGGAACCTTGGAATATCAGGAAGAGTGCCCTGGCAAGCCCAGTCGGTTCTTCTGACGTAGTCACTCCGACATGGAGTTGAAATTGAAAACGTTCATCGACAGTGGCTGTCTTCCAGCCCAGCCATCAAGGACAGCGGAAACCCCCATCGGACTGAGATAATCCGTGAAATCAACATCCAAAGCATCTTGGAATAAGTCAGGCTGAAACACTGGCTGACTGGAGCCATCTGCTAGTTGCAATGAGTCTTGCCGGGGATTGTAGATCCCAACGAATGGGTCCGTCATATGAGATAGCTCTTTGGCCAGTTTGGAAAATGTGCTGCATATCTTATAAAGACGTCTTGATGCGCGTGAGGCTTCTTGGACGCCTTTCAATGTATCGACTACATCTTCCAGCATTTGAATATCATCGGGGCTCTTCGATGACACTGCATGCAGGAACGTCACAATGAAAGGCGTGAAAGATGAAAACAAAAGAATACTGTGAAAGTCAATGGCCCCAATCCCAACAAATAATGAAGAGGGAATTTCATGAAAGAACGTACCAGTTGACATAGTCGCTGTCAGACAGAAGCTTTGCTTCTTGATACTGGGGGAAACACTGAAGGTGGGACTTCAAACTGAGGCGGGCTGCTCGGAAGCAGTCTGTGTTGATCTCTGACCCTGTCCCTGGCGGTGATGCAGCGCGGAAAATGGATGTTAGATTTGAATAATACATGATATCCCAATTTCCGCGGGTCAAATTGAAGACCTGCTGGTTATTGACACCTCTGCTGTCAATCTATAAACGGGGTTAGTTTGATTCGAATTGGAACGTGAATGATTATCAATTCAGATGCACTTGCACTTTCAAGATCTGCGCGCCACTGTTCCATAGAGACCACCAGTTTATTGATGGCATCGGCTCGGTCAAATGAACTCTTTGATGCTGCGCCCGCAGAGTAAAGGTCGCTGTATATTCTGCCCTGGATAATTGCCAGTTTGATCCCTAGAAGAAAAGATTCGTCCCAGGGCCGGAGTGAGGGATCAAGGGGAAGCGAAGGGTATCTTGTATCAATTTCACAATCTTGGATTTGTGATGCTTTCCCTAACAAGAGAGATGTGTTTTTGTCAAAGACATAAACTGTCCAGAATAATCGACGAATTTTCTCTGCTTTCCCTTCTGGAAAGTCCCTATAAGTCATGTTGCGATGATATCCAAGTGTTTGACAGTGTGTGGCGGCAGCTGAGATGAGACTCGAATATAGAAAGGGTTTGGCTTCTCCTTGGGCTTTGATGGCCTGCGTGGAACAAAAGACGTTAGTCGAAGCTTGTCATGATGATCTATAGATCTTGGTAACGTACCCCCATTGTCAACCCAAGTATGTTTTCAAATGAGGGCACAGACATGATTTCGTATGTCTCGAGTCCCATGATGAAATTCTTCTCGCATTGGGCTATTTGGGCCGGGAAGTCAAACTGCTGACAGAGTAGGTCTTTCATGGCCTCATACTCTTTGAGAAGGAAATAAAAGATTCCATGCATACTTGCAGCTTGACCAATGCAAATTGGCTTGATCGGGAAGTAAATGCTTCGGCAGAGATTCTCCACCAATTCCAGGTCAGTCACGGCATAAGAGGAGAGAAATATGGGGCGACGCGCTAGTTAAGTCAGTCAAAGGATCTCAAAATGCCATGGATATGAAAGGATATGGGCATTCGCACTCTTGAATCGTTGTAACATCCCGATTACTAACGTAGTGGGTAGTAACTTGATATTCGGCATCAAACGCGCCAGCGAAGAGTGAAAGGAGTAATCTTCCTTGGAAGTCACAGGCTGAATTAGGGTATTTAAATGGCTCAATGTGTCTTTGAGAGCTGGGTCGCTCCCAGATACCTCGTCGACGTGCATTTCAATAGCCTTGCTTGCCTGGACGGCGTGGGCGAGAAAAGTTGATTCACCCTCAAAGGGCCGACTGTCTTCGTTAGAAAGCGAAAGTTCATTCTCATTTGAAGACAGCTCGAGCCTTTCTTCTGTTCGATCAAGATCACCCGAGGGATGGGCAGCCGGAGTGGCGGCCTTGGACTCAAGATTGTGGAGACGTTGCTCAAGAGAGCTGATCTGCGCTTCACTGGGGGTATCGCAGTAGCATTAGCACATGACTAACAGGAAGAAAAATAGAACCAAAGAAAATGCAAGAGAAAATTACTCACAGATATCTAATTTTGCCTGCACCTGTACGGCTCTCGGGCCTGTCGTTGGCGTCAGGACTGACATTTTGACATGCAAGATCGGAAGCTCGGCAGTTAGAGCAGGGCACTGCCCGGTCACAGCGGATCTAAAGAACGTTTCAGCGTCTCATGCAGGCGAGCGGACGCAGATTGGACGTACCTTACGGATCTTGCATGCTTCGCACTACAGAAAGCGTCAGTGATTGAAAGATCGGGGCATCGGCAACATACCGCCCGGGGCAACGCGCCAAGCCGCTGTTGCCTTGATTTAATTGTTTCTCGGCTTCTCATTGCGAGGAATGGGTATCTAGAATACCCTTGCAGCCAATCTGATCAGAGTGGAAGTGACTAGAGAAGAGAAAGATGGGCTCGGCGCGACGGGTGACCGGGCCCGGGACTCCGGGCCCTGTCCGCTCACGTACTACTGGACCACCACCTGGGCAGGGCTATACTCTCGACTATGTTCAAATCATACATAATATGGGGACCATGCACAATGTTCAACCCTCACTACTCCATTACGAGCCAGATTCTAACTATAGTTTGAGGTACTTGAAAGGTACATGATAAGCAAGGGAGCAATGTCTCGTTCCAGCCTCTGTTGTAGCATAGACACGACCCGGCGAGGACCTCACTCATGCCTCACGAAGACGGTAGATGTAAGCACACCAAGGAAGCTGGAACCGATGAAGAGCTATATGTATCTAATGTTCTTGGATCCCGGTGGACTTCCCCAAAGTTGCACTGCATCATTCTTGCACCAACAACCTTGGAACGATACCTCAAGAGCGTGCACCGACCTTTGTTGGCATGTCGCCGATATTGACTATCAGATACGCGCAAATCGATGGGAACCTTGCAAGGCTCGTTGCAGATTCGCCATGGCGATCACTGCTTCATGGTTCCATACTTTGATGCCTAGTACTGCTCTACTGGTGCCTAAGCAGCCTTCCAAGGTTGGAAGCAATGACCATTGAAGAGTGGCGATATCGTGTTGACTGATGTTGCCTCTTACATGGTTGTTTTATGGCTCGAATAGCCCTGGAGGTAAACAATAATTCGTGAAAGCTTTCTAGCATAACAAAGGCTGATGCCATCCATGGATCTCAATGTATACACGTATATACCTAGGCGATGGTGTACTGGTAGTATCGCGAAGCAGATGACCCATCATGATGTTTCCCACGGCCTTGAGTTACTTGGAATTCAAATCCAAATTTTGGAACCAATTGTAGGAGTGGCTTAGTAGGCCTTCCCACCACTAGCCTCCTTCAAAACTGTTTTCCACTCTAGCTCGCTCGTTTCGTCTGCGTGAATTGACGCCTTGACGTCCAAAAATTTGCGAAGCTGCTCCTTGGTGCTGGCATATACCATACGCTCCTTGAGACCCGATTAGCAATTCTGGGAAACTCCAGGGATTGAAAGCTGAAAAGGTAGTATCAAAACGAATAGGACAACGTACTTTCACTGAAGTTTCTCCAGGTACCCAGGTTATGAAGACAATTTTAGTTCTGAAATAGTCAGTCACCCAGACAGAAGATCTAACATTGATCAAATAGCCTAACCTTTTGCCTTCAGACCCAAGATCATATTCCACATCGTAGACGGCGTAACGAGGCGCAGGCCTTCCTTTACTATCGACAGCAGAGACAAGCTTTTGACGAAAGACCTCGTAGTCTTGCTCGGCAGAGCACTCTTCAACAACAACATCATTGTAGTCCTCCGTGATTCTGTAGATGATGAATCTTGGCTTGTTGGAGTGCCTTTGGGACCGGAGCTGGCTAAAAGCAGTGATGCAGTCGTCCCCAATAGAGACTCTGTTCGAAGCTGCTCGTTAGCATCCATAATTTACTGGGTTACATTTTTCCTTCTTTAAAGGGAAATTGAACCTTGGAAGTCCAACGGTGTTTGGGGGTTTGATCTTACCCGGATGGAAGCTTTATATATTTCCGTTAGTTGAGCTTCGCAGGACGCATTTGGGAAGACCACGAACCGACATGTTTTCTCAAGATGTGAGAGAATGTGTATGTGAATATTTCTAAACAATAAAAAGAAAAGAACCAAATGAATTTAAACCTGAAAATAGGGTTAAACTGCTGCTTTTAAGGCAGTATAAAGGGAAGACGGGACCGCGTGTCCGAAGCCCACCTAGAGGGATTTTTAGGAGGCGATCATGTTCTGGTCCGGAATCAACAGGCAACAGCGAGATTCTTGACTCCAATGCCAATAGTCAAGTTAAAGGAGTGACTGCGGAGCCATTTGGTCGGAGACACGGGCTTACGGGCCCGCGGCCCCGAAGGGTCAATGGAGACAGCCCTGGAGTGAGTTCGTGAGTATAAGAGCAACACCCACACGACCAAGGATTTTTGCTTGTCCCAGGATTCAACGTGGGATATTGGCTGACAAAATGGCGAACTACACAAACAGTGAGCAGATGACACCGCTCGATCTGCTCATGCCCAAAGTCTACATCACTGCACTTTTGACCTTTCCCACCCATGAATCAACACCAATCGTCACCCAATCGCTCCGAAATGGCTTGAAAAAGCTTTCCCAGCAACTGCCATGGGTTTCTGGCAGGGTGTTCACGACCAAAAGCAGTGGAAATCGGCCTTCTCTCGAAATGTGCTGGAACGCAGACACCACACCCGAGTTGATCGATAGAGGCTGCATCGAACAATCCTACGCGGAGCTTGCTGCCTCAAAAATGCCACCTGAAGCCTTTCCACCAAAGATGCTACCAATTTCAGTGATGACCGAGCATAACCCGGCCGAGAAGGGGGCACCGGTTTTCGCTGCCAGCTTTTTCCGATTCGGAGACTCCAAAGGACTCGGACTATACATCTCAATGCATCACAACGTCGTTGATGCCACCGGATTCTCAAAAGTCGTGGAGCTATTTGCCCTGAATGTTGCAGCAGTTGAATCCCCATCACTGGGTATGTTGGATAGAGTCCACCGTCTTTCACATGCCCTGTCCTCCGATTTGGATACGGTATCCTCTAAATCGACCGAGACACTGTTTGAATCACACCCGGAGTACGCTCGCTCCCCTCCAGTATTCCCAAGTGAATTCCCATTGTGCACTTCCAAGCTGTTCCCCATTCCGGTCTCCCGAATCGATGCACTGAAACAACGTCTTACCGTGACCATGTCTACTCCCCCGACCACCAACACTATTCTCAGTGCCCTTACCTGGTCTGCCATCACCCGTGCTAGGATACAAAGAGACCAGGGCCTTACAAAAAAGTCTAGCCGACTGGCTATGGCAATCAATGGTCGCCGACGCATTGAGGAGTTCACGAACTCAGATGATCCCTACTTCGGCAATATGGTGGTCTACTCCATGGCAGTCTCTCAGGCTGATGCGTTGGGGTCCATGAATGATCAAGGGTCCATCGGAGCCCTTGCTAAGATATGCCAAGCTATTGCAGAGTCTCAATCAACGACGCGCATCAACTCGCGACATGTCGCCGAAGTCTACCATCTTGCAAACTCCGTGGATGACTACAAGTCAATCTTTGTTGGCTGGGATCTGTTTGGCTCAACCGATCTCACAATAACAAGCTGGGCAGACTTGGGCTTTTACGACATGAACTTTGGTTCGAAATTGGGAAAGCCAGAGTTCCTGAGAGTACCTTATATGGAGGCTGATGGCGTTGGACTGATTCTTCCGCGCAAACGGGAAGACAACGAGGTGATTGAGGTAATGGTAATGCTGCGCAGGGATGACATGGATGTGCTAGGAGAGTCGTGGGGTCTGTGAAAACCGTGCCTGCAGTGAACAGATTGAGGTTTTTCCAAGGGTATGCTTTAGCCAACCAAGAACCTTGAAGAGCTGGGCTAAGTGCCATCTACTTGTATATTTGATAGAAGTTGTGAGTCATTATGGCGATGAAAAGAGCCAATGTGCCCCCATTTGATTGGAATATCTATGAAGATCTGCTGGAAACATGTCAAATACATATAAACAAGTCAAAATAAGACCTCGGGAAGCAAGTGGTTTGCGATAACCATTTAATGTACCACTGAACCCAATCACCTGGGAACGGGACCGAGAGGTGAGAAACATGGCATAGGTAATAATCGGGAAGACTGCCGAGTGTATATCTTCCAGGGGTAGAGAATGAGAAATGATGGTTCCCATGCAATTTGAACGAATGATATCAACACAAGCACCCAACAGTTCAAATATTTCAAGCCTTGTAAGGTTGGAAGGTATACTGATCAATACATAGCCAAATTATCGTCTCACGAGATCACAGATTTGATTTCGAATAAATATACCCTAGTCCTAATCGCAACAGACGCTGGCAGGCGCAAATCAAACAAAACTTTTGGAGCGAAGAGGGGTATTCACAAATGCGACAATAGTCTTGCATCACGAAAAAAGCCACAATATGATGTACATGAAGTCGTTTCTGGGTGTCATAGGTCATTGAGGGAGGGTTCTGTCGTGGGTGATTTTGTTGGTCGGAGAAGGAGAGAATAGGGGTAAGTAAAAGACGGAGTGTGGAAAGTTTCGAGATGCGTGGGCGAAGAGAAAAGGGTAGTGAGAGGAGGTAGCCGAGGTTGCCCAGGTGCCATTATCAGCTTGGCTAAAGAGGTCAACGCGACCAGCGGGAGAAATCCAAATTTTGTAGGATGTTCGTGTCTGCAGCAGCGTTCCAGTCCGAAGCGAAGTCGGTTTGGATTGGAGTGCGCGACGGCAGCTCCTCCGAAAAGATGTTCGGCTTAGTGTTGCGCCGCTGGCCAGGGTAGGCCCCCTCGGCAGCCTCAAACGATTGGGCTTGTGCCGCGAGTGCTCGCTCACGAACCTTCTTGATTTCTCGTAGTCGAGTTCGCCAGGAGGATGTATGCTCGCCACCCTTGTTATCCCAGACCAGAGAGAAGACGGACGCATTCAACGCAAGGATCCGAACAAAGGCGGCCAGATTCTTGCCGGAAATGATCTTGGGTGTCGCGGCAGGTGATACGTCAGGGAAACCAGGCTTGCTGATAACTTGGACGCTGTAATACAGCTTCTTCGGATCAGTTTCGCCATCAGCATTCCCATTTGCGTCGTAAGCAATCCGCGATGATGGAGTGATGACGATGTTGATGGAGTTGAACTCGGACGGAATTGTGTCGAAATTGAAGGGGAGGTTCGAACGATTGAAGACGATGGTGACATGGTTATTGCCGATGTTTCGCTTTTTGTTGATACAGGCTGGGTCCCGATCAAGATCCGTAGGCATCATGGTTGCAACGTGGTACACAATTTCTGTGACACGATCGCGCCAGGCATAGGTGGTTTCTCCATCGGTGTCGGCATAAAGTCCCTGTGGGTTGAACTGAGGATTTCGGAGGGATACCTCGGTTCCTAACCCGACCAGCATGTGCTCATAATCGGCAGAACCACCAGTGTTGGCTAAGATGTCCGCCTCCTTGGTCTGGCCATTGCCGATAAACACGATGCCGATTCGGTGTCCATCAACAATGTCGGTCCGATCAAAGTTACCAATAGCACGACGCGTGATATCATCCTCCGGGACCGGAATAGGTTGCATGACTGTAGGACTGGGGAAGGCAGTAGCACTCAGTTGAAGCATGATATGACTAGGAAGGACGGCAGTTGGCATAGAGTCGGAGTGCAAGTGAGAGTCTGGAGTTGGTGGAACTTGATGCGGGAGGACTGGGGCTGTCCTTTGCTGATAGACAGAGTATGTGGTTCCAGATGCCTGGCGCTTTGTGATTTGAGACAACCCAGAGCACCCGGCACTTTCAACGGTGACAATACTCATGCCCACTACCCAAGATTTCTTGGACACGGGGCCATCATCATGCGAAGGAGGGAATTCACTAAACGGTACGGTCTCTCCGAGATCTGAGTATGCCACTCGCTGCATCAGATCAATGAAAACCTGACTTTGTTCCTCAACCACCTCCTTGCTATGCTCATCGCGGTATATCAACCTGCTTGTAATCCAGTTCACATGCTTGGGCCTATCCTGAAGTTTCAGAGACAAGAACCAGAAGATCATGACATGATGAGTGAGATTGGCGATGTACTTAGCCATGCCATCCTGAGAAGACTCCATAGCTTCAGCGGCATGTGCAGCGATTTCCTTTGAGCCAGCGCTGAGTCTGGATTGAGGAGACTGGACCGACTGGGCCGACTGAGACGCCCGTAAAGCCGACTCAGCGGCTCTGTAGCGTTGCTCTCTGGAGGTTTGCAAGAAGCGAATGCAGATGCCAAATACCGTTCGGATCTCTTCTTCGCGCAAATTGACGTACACATCAGGAAGTCGTGCGAGAAGAGCCAAGAATTCCAAAATGTGGACTGCAACATTTGACATCGTAATCACCTTTGACATTCTGTCAAGAATGCTTGTCAACGATTTGGTGACAGACATTGGAATTTCATGGCAGCAAATTGACAAGGCTTGAATACAGCCGCGAGAGGTACCTCCCCACGAGCCGATGATTCCTTGCATGAACGCTCTGACTAAATCGTCCTCTTCACTTTTGGCGAAGTGGTCGTGATAACTGACGAGCATGCAGAGCGCATCGAATATACAGGCAGCGACATCGCTCTTCTTGAGACCAGTGGTCTCAGGTGGTTCATGGAAAGTCCCGTTCTTAACCTGATCACACAAAATACTGCGAAGAAATGTGACTTGCGGGATCGCATCCTTGAAAAATTCCTTGTTACCAAGCTGAGGCCCAAGATGAGTCAGGACATAACTGTACACATCCCAATCAGGCTCTCGCTGGAGCAGGGTGATCACGAGCTCAAGCCACATCTTGACCCTCAGAAGTCCAATTTCCTTTGGCTCAAGGGGTGTCGATTCCGTCGATTCATCCTCATCGGTCACCTCCGAGGGATTTGATACCTCGGGCTGAGCGTGGGCAAATACCACAGGACTGGACTCTCCGGGGGGTTGCTCGGGAAGTACCTGAGGCAAAGCATGCGTCCACGCCGGGGCTGTGAGCTTGGACCCACGCGCAGAGACCGAGCCCCGCGGAGCCGTTTTTGAAGCAGCGCTGGGCGTGGCCTCTCTTGTTGGAAGCTTCGTGGTCGGCGAGACCGGGAGACTTTCGTTATGTGGTTGGTCACGGGATGGACTGTCGCTCGAGGTTTGTAATTTAGAGCCCCCGTCAAGGTTACGGCCCAGAACATTCATCAAGAAATCACTTTCTGATGTTGAGATGACAGTGACTGCTCCGGCCGAGTCACAGCGCAGGCGGAAAAGCAGCTTCAGTGCCGTGAGACGAGAGTCTGTTGGTCGGGTTGGAGATTGCGCAATCTCTAGTAGTACCTCGAATGCCATAATAGCCTTTGCCGAAAAAGAGCTCAAGGCACGCAGCATCATTTTTACAAGGCCCACAGAACAGACATTGGTCAAGCTAAGCTCCAGCACGCTTGTTGTTGATGTTCGACGCGAGGATGAATGACTAGAAGTGGCTTCCCGCGATTCGTCCTTGCTCAAATCCTTCTCCATTGGTGCTGCAATAGTGTTGACAAGCAATTGGAATGTTTCATCGTCGGCGTGCTGTGTCGCTGGCTCCGTCAACAATGAAACCAGCGATTCCAAGAAAAGGAGGTCATGCTCAGAAGAAAAATCCCTCAGCAAGAGACTCAGAATACCGTGGTCTTGAGAGAACATTAAAGCTTCATGGCCGGACAAGGCTTCCTTTAAAGTGTCCAAGGCTAATATGCGAATGTCTGAGCTCTGTTTTCGAGGTTGAACAAAACACTCGATCAACTCGTGACAATGCTGAACCCAGGTTGGGTTGTCAGAAGGGCAACAAAGCTTGTCCTTCCTTATGGAATTGATAATCAGCTCGGCTTGCGGAGGCTCGACGTGCTGATAGATTTTTAAAAAGAATCCGACTGTATGTTGCTTTTGCTCATTGGTGAGTTGCCCCCAGTGTGATTCAATGACGGTAGAGATGCGGATCAAATTCGCCAGAATGTAAGATTTGGTTTCGTCGTGGGCGCTTTTCAGTGGTGAGTTTGTAGAGGAAGTGGGAGAACCAGCAGAATCACTCCCGATTCTGCGAGAGCAGATCATGAGGAGGTCGGCAAATACCTTCCAATCGTGATTCAATGCTATGTGAACATAGTCTCCTTCAAGAATGTTCAAGCACAAATCCAAGATATCAGCATCTACTCGGCTGTCATCCTTCTGGGAAATTGCATGCAAAGATTCTATCAATTGGTCAAATGGAAGCTCAGGCATGCCATCTTGCCCATATGCACGAAGGAAATCCGAGAACACATAAAGTGTGCCTCGGAGAACATTGAGATTGCGGGTTTGCTCAGCGGAACAAGAATCTCTCAAAAACTCATGTAGAGTATTCACCATCTCTTCCTGTCGTCGCGATTTGGCTAAACTGCGGACTGCCCGGGAAGTGGGCCCAGAGAGAGACTTGACTGATGCGTGGATACTGCAGAGAACCTCCAAGAGAGTAGCAAAGCTTGCGTCAGGCACATCGGCGTACACAATCACAGCGTCAAAGACAGCCAGTGAATTTTTTATGTCAGCGGCGACGCTGGTCCTTCTGCACGTGGTGAATGTTTCCGCAAGAAGAAGTTCGATTTCCGATTGACTTGGTTGTTTTCGCTGCAATGTAATCAGGTCAACAGCAAACTGGAAGAGATCTCCAAGCATTTCTTCGTCATGGGTCATGCTGTGCTGTTTTGTAGGCTTGGATTTCTTGGATTTGGACCGTGTAGTTGCAATCATATCGTACAGTGGGAGAATCCAAGACGAAATGATATGCAAGATAGAAGAGCCCGTGAAATCCAATTTCCTACCATGATCGGACAAGGAAATGAGTGACTGGACACGCGAAGCGACTACCTCAGGTTCAACAGGCGAAGCGATTGATTCAAAAACCATGCGTCTCGCAGCCGGTGAGAGATCTTGGCGGGCTGCGATTGCCTCTAGTAATTTCGCTCCGCCTTTCTGCGCATCCAAGGAACCTTCATAATGCAGAAGATACTCAGCAGCTTCCCATAATACCACGGACTGCTCAGAGCTAAACCATTGAAGAGTCTTGGCAAGAAGTTCGGACTCTTCAATGGCTTGGGCCAGGTTCTGTCTTTGCGACAAGGCTTGCAGAGACGCATCGAAGTCCGGAGCACTGGGAATGTCCGAGGAACTCGACACCACGCTACCCCGATGCATTGAGTCTAGACCGTATATGAGCCTGTGGGTTGCGCGACAATCGGGATGAGACGGAGACTCGCTGCTGCTTTCTTGCAGAGAGACTGGGGAATGCGATTTGGGTCGACCGACACCTAAATTCTTGAAGACATCTGCGAAACTGGTTGACGAGGGCTTGTGTTGAGAGACGGGGACATCGTCGGAAGACATCCGCCCAGTATCAGAGCTCACGCGGTGTCCTAACTGTACCACCGCCAAGTTAGAACCGGTATTGCATCATCTGAGCGATATGGATGGGCGAATAACCATGTCGTTGATTTGTGAAGGGTGACATACCTGTTATGAATAGCCAGCTAAGTTGTTTGACCTCATGAGCAGCTTCAAGAATAACAAATGGAATATGTAGGGACCGAGGCGATATCTGGCGAGCTGCAATGTGGGTATTCTGGAGATCGATGTGGAAGCGCTGCACACCCGCGATCAGCAGGAGGGAATTGCGCCGGGCTTTGAAGGTCAGAATATGAATATCAATGGACCCAGTACCCCACCGGGTCGATGACACAAGCAAGTAATGTGATAGGGACTGAGGGGAAATCGGATGGGCAACCTCTGGGATTGCGCAGGTATTCGAGCCCAAGTCGCCTGATACATTGACCGCCCTTTAATGCCGGGCGGTCAGAGAGGTAGAAAACTGCATATATACAGGCCAAGGGGGAAAATGATGAATGTTATGACCTTCATAGTTCTTGCAAGCTATACTCTGTTTTGGAAATCATTCTGAATATAGACCTAGGCCATATCTACATGCATCTCTCACTCTCCATGAGTCTCAAGCTCTATGTCATCATCCAACGTTCTTTTCCGATCACATGATCTGTTTCATACCGCCCGGAGTGGCTGGCAAAAAAAGTCAACGAAAAAGTGGGCAAAAAAAAGCCCAAGTGGGGGGCGGTAGAGGCAACCGATGTGAAGCTTTCGAAAAAAACTGATTCCCTTCCTTTCTTCCCCCTTGGCTGAAGCCAGGACCGGCACCCTACATTTGATTCCCCTCATCTGATTCTATACAATTGCCGGTACTCTCTTTTATATTTCCAAATTCTACATTTTTCGTGTTCAATTTTTTCATCTTCACCATGAAGTACGTCGTGGTCTCTGGAGGTATTTATCCCACGACTGAACCGTCAATGAGCAAATAACTCACGATCCGTATAGGTGTGATCAGCGGCATCGGGAAGGGCGTAATTGGTACAGATCCTTGACTCAAATGCAATCTCCGTTCGATCTAACGCTTGACTTCAGCCTCAAGTACCGGTTTGCTGCTGAAGACTCAGGGTGCCCGAGTCACCTGCATCAAAATCGATCCCTACATGAACGTCGATGCGGGAACTATGGCCCCCACTGAGTAGGTGATCCTTTCATACTGATCGGTGGACTTTCGTTCTGATTTCTATTATTCAGGCACGGCGAGGTGTTCGTTTTGAACGATGGTGGTGAGGCAGATCTCGATCTTGGAAACTACGAGCGGTGAGTGCATTCTTTGTCTCGTCACACCATGACCAATGACTCATATATTGGCTCTTTAGTTACCTCGGCGTCACCCTTGGACGGGACAACAACATCACGACTGGAAAGGTCTACAAGCATGTGATCGAGAAGGAGCGTCGCGGCGACTACCTCGGACGCACAGTGCAGATTGTTCCTCACTTGACCGATGCAATCCAAGATTGGATCGAGCGTGTGGCCAGAACCCCCGCAGACGACACCAACGAAGAGCCCGATGTTTGTGTCATCGAGCTCGGTGGTACTCTCGGTGATATCGAGAGTGCTCCTTTCGTCGAGGCTCTTCGTCAGCTCCGCCGTCGTGCTGGCAAAGACAACTTCGTCCAGATTCACGTTTCCCTCGTCCCGGTCATTCATGATGAATTGAAGACCAAGCCTACACAGCAGGCTATTCGCGATGCTCGCTCAGCTGGCTTGAGCCCTGATCTTATTGCCTGCCGTTGCGAAAAGCCCCTCGACAAGGCTACCACTGACAAAATCGCCATGTTCTGCCAGGTTGAACCTGAGCAAGTTATTGGTGTGCATAATGTCAGCTCTACCTACCATGTTCCTCTTCTCCTCGAGAAGCAAGGGTTCCTGGGTGTTCTCGGTGATCTTCTTGCCATGAAAAAGCTCAATATCACCGAAGCCCAGTTGAACAAGGGTCAGACCACTTGGAAATCGTGGAAGACTCTTACCACTGCCCAGGAGCACACTTTTGAAACCGTCAACATCGCTCTTGTTGGAAAGTACATCAGCTTGCACGACTCTTACTTGTCCGTCATCAAGTCTTTGGAGCATGCATGCATGGCTTCCCGTCGCAAGCTCAACATCATCTGGGTGGATGCTTCTCATCTCGAGTCTGAGTGGGAGGAAACCAACTCTAAGGAGTACCACAAGGCCTGGTATGATGTCCACACTGCTCACGGAATCCTAGTTCCCGGAGGCTTCGGCACCCGTGGCACTGTGGGAATGATGCGGGCTGCGCACCACGCTCGCACCAAGAACAAGCCTTACCTTGGGATCTGCCTGGGTATGCAAATCGCTGTCATCGAGTACGCTCGCAACGTTCTCGGACTCGAGGGTGCCAACTCCATCGAGCTTGATGAGCGTACCAACCACCCCATTGTGGTCTACATGCCCGAGATTGACCGCGATAACCTCGGTGGTACCATGCGTCTGGGCTCCCGCCCAACTCTCTTCCAAGATCATTCCGAATGGTCTAAACTCCGCGCTCTCTACGGACTTGAGCGCACCTCCGTCGACGAGCGTCACCGTCACCGCTACGAGGTCAACCCCGAATACATTGAGAAACTGCAAGAGGCCGGTCTCCACTTCATTGGCAAGGATGACCAGGGTGAACGTATGGAGATTGTCGAACTGAAGGACCACCCGTGGTTCGTGGGTGTGCAATTCCACCCCGAGTACATCTCCCGTGTTCTTTCGCCTAGCAAGCCATTCCTCGGTTTCGTCTCCGCCGCGGCCGGTGTCTTCAACCAGGTCAAGGATCTTTCCCAGGCGAAGGAACAGGAATTGGCCAACGGCGTTCGCAACATTGTTGTCTAAGCATTGATGGAACACTAGTCGCAAGTTCCATAGGAGTTTGTATTATTTTACTTTACGAAAAGCACATGATTATAGAGGGTTACATAAAATTTAAGAATATTCATCACCTTTCAAAATCTACCTAGTCTCCATAGTTCTTCCGCACCACGCGAAAACTGCATAAGTTGCCTCAGGCACCAACGCAGAGAGGCTCAAGCATGTGACGTTCTAACCGGATTTGGACTAGAGGCGGTGGGCGGATTGCCCGTACAATTGTGAGGGCTCGCTTTATTTGTTTTGTTCGGAAGAGCTTTGGATATTTTTTTTATCTTTATCCCTCTCTGTGATTGTCAACTTCTTCTTTTGACATTCCCGATATTTAATCGCTATATCTCCCCACTCACTTTCATTCTCACATTTCTTTTCTTCCATTTCCCCTCACTTGTGTTGATACCCCACGTACAAAATGGCCGAGGGTCTTGGAGCTCTGTTGGAGGCAAGCTTGGACCCCAGACAGAACAAGGCGGGTGAGTAACTGGATCTAGAAGTGCAAGTGTGTGGGAAATAATACTAATGCCCTTTCCCCTCTGTAGCTGAGACAACCCTCCGCCAGGAAGAGAAAAAGCCTGGTTTCTCGCTACAGCTTCTTCACATTACCGCCTCGCAGGCTACACCCTACAACACACGTCTCGCAAGTGCACTTTGCTTTAAGAACTTCATCAAGCGCAACTGGACCGACGAAGATGGCACACATAAGCTGCAGAAGGATGAGGTCGAGACTCTCAAGCGCGAGTTGATCTCTCTGATGATTTCGGTTCCTCCGGGCATTCAAAGCCAGCTAGGCGAAGCCGTCAGTGTGATTGCGGACAGTGACTTCTGGGAGAACTGGGATACACTTGTGGATGTAAGTTGCAACCGAGCAGCGGACTGGTGGACTTTCACTGAATCATCTTTAGGACCTTGTGTCAAAGCTATCGCCAGCTAACCCCACCGTTAACATTGGAGTGTTGCAAGTTGCGCACTCTATCTTTAAGAGATGGAGGCCCTTGTTCCAGTCCGATGCGCTATACACTGAGATCAACCACGTTCTCGGCAAGTTCGGTACTCCGTTCCTCGCACTTTTCGAGGTAATTCCAACTCTCATACCCAGTCATCATCTGTAATTTATTTTCTAACAAACACTAGGCGCTGGATAACTATCTCGAGCAAAACAAGACCAACAAGGATAATCTCACGCAAGGGTTCAGCCAGCTTAACCTCATGGTCAAGTTGTTCTATGATCTCTCCTCCCACGATCTTCCTCCCATGTTTGAAGACAACATCTCTGGAATCGCCACAATTTTCCTCAAGTACCTCACTTACGACAACCCACTACTGCACACCGACGACGAAACTGAGGCTGGCCTGTTGGAATATGTCCGTGCTGGAATCTTCGAGGCATTGACGCTCTACGTGCAGAAGTACATGGATGTGTTCCAGCCGCACGTGGGACAGTTCATCGGAAGCTCTTGGAATTTCTTGTCCACAATTGGCCAAGAGACCAAATATGATATTCTGGTCAGTCGGGCTCTGCACTTCTTGACGTCTGTCGCAGGCATGCCAGAGCATGCTGCTTCTTTCCAGGCCGAGGAAACCCTTGGACAAATCGTCGAGAAGGTTATCTTGCCCAACGTTAGCCTTCGCGAGTCAGATGAGGAGCTGTTCGAGGATGAGCCAATCGAGTTTATTCGACGGGATTTGGAGGGCTCGGACAGTGAGACCAGACGACGAGCCGCCACTGATTTCCTGCGCAAGTTGGCCGAAAAATTCGAGGAGCCTGTTACCCGGGTTGTGCTCAAATACACCGAGCACTATCTGGCTGAGTACGGAAAGGATGCCTCCAACTGGAAGGCTAAGGATACAGCAACTTACTTGTACTCCGCGATCGCGGCCAAGGGTACCGCAACTGCCTCGCACGGTGTCACTGCCACCAACCAGCTCGTCAGCATTACCGATTACTTCCAACAGAATCTGGCCGCTGATTTGATCTCCGAGGACGGTGTCCACCCTATCCTGAAGGTTGATGCCATCAAGTACCTGTACACTTTCCGCAGCATCATCACAAAGGAGCAGTGGCAACAGGTTCTGCCCGTGCTGGTCAAGCACTTGGCGTCCTCCAACTTCGTTGTCTACACATATGCCGCAATTGCTCTGGAGCGCGTGCTCTACTTGACCGATGCTCAGGGACAGCCTGTGATCCCCCCCACTGAAATCACCCCTCTCGCCAAGGACCTTCTGGAACATATTTTCCAGCTGATCCAGGCCAATTCAGCCCCCGAGAAGGTGCAAGAGAACGAGTTCTTGATGCGCTGTGTTATGCGGGTTTTGGTTGTCATCAAGGAGGGCGTTGTTCCTTTCACGGATATCGTCCTTCAGCGCTTTATCAACATCACTAACATTATTAGCGCCAACCCCAGTAACCCACGCTTCTATTACTTCCACTTCGAGGCGATGGGTGCCTTCATCCGGTATGCGGTACCACCATACCCTCCTTCGGTCTGCAACAAGCTAACAGTAGATAGATTTGCTGCTCCCGCCAATCCCGACAAGCTTGAGCAGGCCCTGTACGCTCCCTTCGCTGGAATTCTTCAGAATGATGTTCAAGGTATGTTGGGCTGGTTCCCTGTCAGATTCTCGAAGAACCAAGCTAAGCCACGTCAGAATTCATGCCCTACGTTTTCCAACTCTTCGCCGCTCTCCTCGAAGCCAACCAGGCAGCAACTCTCCCGACTTACTACCAGGAGCTTATTGGCCCTGTTCTGATGCCTGTGATGTGGGACTCTAAGGGAAATACCCCTGCTCTGGTCCGCCTGCTTTCCTCCATCATTCCTCGTGGGTCGCAGTACATCATCGAACACAACCAAATCGAGCCTATCCTCGGTATCTTCCAAAAGCTCGTCTCAACCAAGACCAACGAGAGCTTTGCGTTTGATTTGCTAGAGACTTGTGTTGCCAGCTTCCCACCTACGGCCCTGGAGAACTACTTTGTCATGATCATGCAGATCATCCTGCAGCGTCTGCAGAACTCCAAGACAGAGAACTTGACTCTTCGTTTTGTCCGCTTCTTCCATTTCCTTTCGGCTCATGATGACAAGGGCTACAGTGCCGATTTCATCATTCAGGTCACCGACAAGGTGCAAGAAGGACTTTTCACTCCCATCTACCTGAACGTCATCCTCCCCGAGACACAGAAACTTGCTCGGCCTTTGGATCGCAAAACAGCTATTGTGTCCTTCACTAAGACCCTCGCCAACTCCGAGGCATTTGCCACTCGCTATGCCCAGAAGGGGTGGGGTTTCACCTGCACTGCTTTGCTGAAGCTCCTTGAGCTTCCTCCTTTGCCTGCTAGCCGCGACGACATTATTGCCGATGCCGACATTGAGGACATGTCCTTCGGTGTTGGTTTCACCCCCTTGAACACCATCCGTGCTGTCCAGAAGGACCCTTGGCCCGAGACCGGCGCTGACCTCAAAGCTTGGGTTGGCACTTATCTGAAGGAGTCTGACAAGAAGCAAAATGGCCGCGTGTCGCAATTTGCTTCCGATCGTCTGGACCAGGAATCCAAGGCAGTTTTGGGAAGCTACATTTCCTAAATTCAACATCACCCATTTCGCTGATAAAAGATCTCACAAAAGCAACAATTCACCCCCTCCCCTTGCCCTAGTTCCTCTGGGACCAGCATTCTCTTCCTCAAATTCCCCACATGTGCATGTCGCGATGACCTAAATCTATGAAATAAACGTTCTTCAAGTTTTCATGTTCATGTCCTAAAATGCAGTAAAGAACGCCTCCTAAAGTCTCCTATAATGACAAAACTCCATGCCAAATGAACATCACATATAACGATTGTTATACACCCTTTGGCTCTCCGGTCTTGGATGCAGCGTCCGACTTATCATCATCAACATCCCTGCCTTCGCCAACCTTCGCCTTGGCTTCCACTTCATCATCCCAAATAATCTCCACCTCGTCTTCCTCCTCCTCAACCTCTCTCCCTTTTGCTTCCAGCTCCCGATACTTTCTCTTTGTCTTCTTCATCTTACTAGCCTTCTTTTTCTTCGCCGCCTCAGCCTTGAGCGCCACGCGGCTCTTTTCTCCCTTTTCTAGAGCCTCTACTCGATCCGCCAACAGCGAGCGCGCAGTCTTCGCATTATGGGCCTGTGATCGTGTTGCTTGGCATTTTACCACAATCCCGGTGGGCTTGTGGATGATTTGGACGGCGGAGTTGGTTTTGTTCTGGTCATGTTAGTTCCGCATCCCACAGGGCTTAAATTGGGCTTTGGCATTCCATATGTTATACCTATGGCGGAGCAACATACAATCTTCTGTCCCCCGGGCCCGGTGCCTTTCAGGTAGGAGATGGAGACGTCGGCATCGTTGATCTTGATTCGTGGGGGCAGAGGCTTGGCGGCAACTATTGTAGTCTGGCTGAAGGAGCGAGCACAGGCTGGGAGGCTAGAGGCCACCCGCTGGAGGCGTGGCAACATTGCTGGCTGTAGTTTGCGGTGTTGCAGCTGTTTGACCGCGGAGGTCGATAAGATAAGTGGACTTTCTGGTTCCCGAGGTCTCGGGGCCGAGACCAAGAACTTTTCACTTCGCAGCCAAATGCTGGCAACGCATGATTTCACATTGTTTGACAAAAGGCTCAGTTCTCTGTACTCCGTAGTACACTCAGTCTATCATTTAGTGGAGGGCTAGGCAGAACATTGACCGTCATCCATGGAGTACTACTATTTCGTACTCAGGAACATAAACTCAACATGTCTCGTAGAGGTTTAGAAGAGAGTGTCGCAACCAGATAGGCCAGTATATTTGTGCTTTCTATTCTTCCAATGGTGAATCTTGAATCAATCCCATCTAGAAAAGAAAGATAGACTCCGTACAGGGTGCCGGGTACCTGACATTAGACCTAAATGTGGGGTGCTGAAATGTACTCAGTACAAGGACGGGAACCACGGAAAGGGGAAGGTGAGATTTGCTTTTCTTATCCGCTGTTCGATCTTCAATCTTCGTCGAATCCACCTACGCGCTCGTCTCTCTCGCCTCTCCTAAACTCCTAATTGCCTTTCAGGCCCGTCCGTCTGCCTCTCTCAAAACCCAAGTCCTTTTGATCCCAACACAATTGCCTTGCCAACGGTAGCCTGGAGACAACAAATCAATCACAACTCGCGATCCTCAACGTGCCCCGCAACAATGGATGTCATTATCTGGGCTATCTCTAGTGTGTTCCGCTGGATGCGCTTGAAGGTGTACCAGTACGAGGTGACCTTCGCTCTCTACATGCTTACTCCAATTGAGAAGTTCATTTTCAGTACGTTGCACCATTCTCGCCAATCCACGTCCAGTGTACTGACTTCAATTCTTCCCACAGACACATTCCTCATCACTCTCGTCACCATGATCGCGGCCGGAATCTATATCTACCTTCCCGATCACCTCCGTGCCATCTACGGCCGCCTCTACTACTACTGGGCTGGTGAGCGTCTTTTCAGCTCAGGACGTCTATCAATCAGCTCGGTCTTTGGGGAGAGTGCAACAGCCATTGGAGGAATGGTGTACGAGACTGCGAAGAACGCGGCTGCCACCACGACCCAGCGCATGGAGCGTATGGCTGAACTGTGATCAAAAGTTTGACTTGGGCATTGGTTGCATTCGCATGCTCCATTCTCCCAATGGCGAGAGAGCCCCTAATATCCCTCGAACTTTTGTTCCAGGAACCCTGCTCTCACCATTGTCAGCTGGCGCTTATAAGGAGTTTTATGTTCTGGACTTGGGTCCCTTTTGCATTGTCGCAGCGCGGCAGGTAGCATATTTAATAATTCTTGTCTTTTCTTTCTCCTCGGTTCGACACGACGGCCTACCCTGTGATTATGCCCCTTGGCCTTGTGGTACGATACCGACTTGTGTTACCTTATCATAGCAACGTGATCATGATTGAACTTGATATTTGCAGACTTTCCATTTGGTTAATATACAGTGTAAATGGTGGTTCAGATGAGAGAAATCCAGTCCCCAGAAACAGTAACGCCGTCGATGCCCAGAGTAGGGTGTTGTACAAACTCCTTGATTCACATGTGTAACTCCCGCGATGCCAATCTTGTCCTTCGACCGGCTCTGCATGAAGGCGCGAGACGGAGAGGGCAAGCACTTCAAGAGACCTTCTCCTCCCCAGCAACTTTGGTCATAGGCGGAAGCCACGCTGCCATGCCGCCAGTTTTCAGATGATTCATGCGGCCAGCTTTCAGACCTATCTCCGCCCCCGCCACTACTCGGACTTTGCTGCTTGCATCTGGGCTTGTGCTTCAGCCTGAGCCTCCGCGGCAGCCTGTGCAGCCTGCGCGGCCTGTCTCCGTTCCCGCTTGACAGAGTCTACCAAGCGCATACGCGCCAACTCTTGGTCAATCTCATCCTTGTCGAGTGGGATCTTGTGGGATTGTTCGGCGGTAGGCCAGAAGCCCTTCGTGGAGAAACGGTCATCGAGATTCGTGCCGAAGTAGTACATCCAACCAATGGGGAAAAGAACGTAGACGCCGAACTTGAGCAAATGTCAGCCGCACTGTTTTGAAGAGAGAGATTCGGATGTTCCTTTCACAATTCGACTACCTGCTACTCACCTTGAAGACTTCGAGGTTGGGTCCTGCTAATTTGCGGAGGATTTGCGACATGGTGTGGGTTTGCGACTGGGGGAATTTCGCTGTGATGAGTAAACCGGCTATGACAGGTAGAGGCAGGTTCAATTGAGCGACGCTGAAATATGCTAATCTCGGGATCTATCACTTGGATCACGAACGCAGAAGCCGATAAATTCCAGGTCTTCAATCACCGAGTGGTGCCACAGCCAGTCACGGACTTGATTATGTCGACCAAACAGGACAAACTTTATGCCTGAGGCCTTAACATTCTGGCCTGTAAATCAAGGCCACAACTGCAGACGACCTCGGGCGCGGCCTTGCGTCCTGCCTCGGCTCCCCGCATAACCCGCATATCAATGTGTTGGGTTTTCTTTTTATGATCCTGCATAAGCTTCGTTTTAAACCCACTTAATTCCCATGAGTTTCTTCGTCTCTCATTGATCTAAAATACCTCAGTCATGTCTAACGAACAACTCGTCACCGTCGCATATCAAGATCGCGTAGCGATCGTGACCCTCAATCGTCCTGACAAGCTAAATGCCCTCAACCAGGACCTATATTACCTCCTAGCGGAGCGCCTGCGCGAGATTGAACAGCGAAATGATATCTTCATCACCGTACTTACAGGGACAGGCCGCTTCTTCTCTGCGTAAGTCTTCACCAATACCTTGTTAACATTTCCAATCAATCTAACAACAACCAGCGGTGCCGATGTGACCAGCACCCGCCCAGGAGGCGGCGAACTCAGCTCCGGCGCCCGCCGCGAGCTCGTCAAGGGATTTGTCGCAAACAATGTGGACGTAACCCGCACCTTCTACAACCATTCCAAGATCCTAGTTGTTGCACTGAATGGTCCAGCCGTAGGACTCTCGGCAGCTCTGATTGCCCATGCGGACTTCATATACGCTGCCCCACACACATTCATCCTGACACCGTTCTCTTCACTCGGCCTTGTGGCCGAAGGTGGTGCGAGCCGCGCATTTGTCGAGCGTCTGGGTATCGCCAAGGCAAACGAGGCGCTGATCATGAGCAAGCGAATTACCTGCGAGGAACTTGTTGCCACTGGATTTGTCAACAAAGTCATTTCTGCGCCATCGGGCCAAAAGGAGGACTCGGATGGTTTCTTGAAGAAGGTTCTTGAGGAGGTCGATGATCGTCTGGGAACCCATCTGAACCAAACTAGTTTGCTGGGTATCAAGGAGCTTGTTCGTCGACCTGAAAGAGAACTTCTGGATCGCCAGAATGGACTTGAGGCTTTTGCTGGTCTTGAGCGCTTCATGGCGGGCTACCCACAGGAAGAGTTCCGGAAATTGGCGTCCGGTGAGAAGAAACACAAGCTTTAGGTTGAATAGATCATTGTACATAGTTTTCCGAACCAGTGGTCACAAAGTGGCTGATGGAATGTATCCTTTTTTCTTGCATATATACAAACATTCCGGATCTTGAACAGATAGTTCCAAGACTGTGCCGAGGTTCTCGAGGCCATTTCCAAGGATTCTTGTCCAAAACCTCTCCCCCAATCCTGGGATATTTCAAGCATTCATACCTAGGTATACCCGTGGACGATGTGCTCGGCGAGAGATAACTAAAGTTGATAATATCCATTGATCCAAAAACTTTGCGTGATTTGCTTTGCGTAAGCTATCCACGATGCAATTTCAAAAAACATAAATTGAAGCTCAAGCCAAACGCCAACAGCCAAACATGCTTTTATCTCATAAACTTCCAACCGAGACCTTATTCGGAGTCAGTGCTATCATCCTTATCCTCCTGTTCTTGCTTCTTCAAGATTTCGTGCCATTGACCCATGAATTCGCTCATGCCACCGGGCCCCTGGAGCGAAGCATCCACCAACTCCTTCGGCACCTTATGAGCCGAATACTGCGTGGAGCTGAATGCATATGCTTCCGGGTCGTCTTTCTTGATCAACCGGAATTCCGGAAGGAATGGAGCCTGGTCATCATCTCCCTCGGCACCGTCTTCCGCCTCGGACTCGGAAGAACTGGACGCACCGTCTTTGCCGTCGAGCTCTTCTGCTGTACCAGAAGTCATGATCTTTCCGTCATGTAAAGAGATTCTAACAAACTCCTCCGCTCCGTCATCTTCTTCCTGCACTCCAATCGGATCCTTCTTTTGCAAGATTTCCAACCAGCTGTAAAGTAGCGGATCTGTCCGCTGAGCCCAGGGGTTGACATCGACAAGCCAGACTCGCGTGTGCGGCTGGGGGATATAGACATCGAACACAAAATTCGATTCGGGGAAAGTGTCTTTGAGCTTGTCGTCGAAGAATGACTGGATGCGAGAACGGAGCATGTCACGCATGGGGAAGAGGAAGTCAAAGTGATTCTGATCGCGCTGGGTCATACACAGCAGAACGCGGTTCCTCACAAAGCAACGGAACTCGAGCGAGGGGTTGAAGTTCACATATTTGCGGAGAACGAGGGAGTACGGCACTTCCGGCAATGGTGAATCCACGGTGGATGAAGTGGAATCATCGGCATTGTCCGGAACACAGTCGTCGAAAGGGTGATCCAGATCATGGGTAATGAAGTCACTGCTCTTGAGGAGAAGGTATATGTCGTTGGGAGTCCGACATTGCAAGTCGTTCGTAGCATTCATAAAGGTTGCATCCTTCGGGGAACTCCAGTTCAATTTCGGGGTGACGATGCCTCCCAATTCAGCGATAGTGTCCTTGATCTTGGTATGAATCTCTTTCCACTCTGTAGATGGGTCATCCTCCTCTTCGTCTGAGTCGGAGAACTCGTCCAGGTGGGCGTCATCGGTTGGGGCGACGGCTTCCGGGGGAAGTACAATTCCATCGGCACGAAGGTACTCGACGAAGGGTGCGCTTAAAGGGATCACACGAGACTTGGGGGCAAGCGAACGATACCTGAAGCTTTAGTTAAAACATATTTTATTTTGAGTCATATATGGAAGCATACCTCCGATGCCAGTCATGGTAAGAGCAATGTAAGATGTGCGAGTAGGTGGTAGGTGGGAAAGGCAAACGATCGGGGAGTTCATAAGAGGACTCTGCCGGAGCAGCTGCAGACTCCATGAGCGGCATGATGAATATGTCGAAATGATCAAAATACCTTTGAACGGCGAATCGTTCCCCTCGGTGGGGACATTTTTTGCGCCGATAAGATAAGACGATGAGTAATGCATCCAGGCGCCAAGGCACCCAACCACAGGCCGCGTCGCATGGACTACTTGTTCTCTGTATCGCTTCAACGCTTTTGCATATCCCGCCAGCATGGCTCCCGAGGCACCTGATCCTCAGAGCTTAAAATCATGGCACGATGCATTTCAATATCCAATCCCCACGGTTCGCCGCGTGGAACAGGAGCTGCGTCGGGATATTTCCAGCAATAAGGAGAAGCTCCGAGCTGTCGTGGGGTATGGGATCAATTACCGTTGAAATTCAATCTGCAACCGCTGACAGGGACTTTGGATTGCTTTAGGACGCGATACCGTGACTTGGTCGGGACTGCTGAAACGATTGTGGCTATGAACCGGGACATCCAGGATGTGGAAACCGTTCTGGCAGACGTTGGACGTCGATGCAATCCCCGATTGGTGGAAAGGAAGCATATCCATAATCGTCAAATGAAGAGTGGTGATGCAGAAAAGGGTAAGATACTACCATAGCGATATTGCTGAGGGCTGGAGCTAACCAAGTGGCTAGACTCGGGAAAGCATGCATTCTGCGCCCAGCTCTCTCTGCTCCACCGCTGTACAACTACTATCAACCGACTCCTGCGACGGCGTGCATCCCTCCTTCTAATTGCAAAGATCCTGGTGGTCTCTCGGTTATTGCATAAGACATTATCCCAACATGACTCTCCTCCTCCGTTCCTGGATGACCTCCGAAACCAACTTGCGTCTCTGCGACGTACAGTTCTCAAACGAATCGACAAACGTCTCTCCTCCTCCGGCGCAGTAGAGGAGAGTGCGATCGAATCGCTTGCCGCGTATTGCCTTGCGACCAGCTCCTCGGCCGACGACACCATCCACCACTTCCACCAAGTGCGATTGGATGTCATCGTCAACCAGCTGGATTTGTCCTGTACGAACATTCCTAAAGCCCTCCAGCTGTTTGTCCGGTCTCTTCAAATATCCAAAGTGTTGCGATCCCGCCAGTTTGCCGATGTTCTCTCCAGGCTGAAGGCTCGACCCCTCCTCGAAGATCCTGAAATTCGAAGCCTTGAGGGGCTTGAAGTTGAAATTCTGAGCCGCTGGGTTGCCCCAGATGTCAAAAACTTTACTCCGTGGATCAAGCTCAGTGAGCTCAGCAGAACCGAAGGCGTGGATTCGATCAAACAATGGTCTCTCCAGGCCTTTGAAAAGCTCTCTGCGGGCTGCGAAAAGAGCCTGACCCAAGGTACCGACTTCTCGGAGCTCCTCTCTTTACGGACAGAAACCATAGAGGTTTGGCTTTCGTCGTGGGGCTCAACTATCATCCACGGCTCAGTGGATGTACTCGAGAAGCTTCGAACCATCTTCAATGGTCAACTGGCGAGAATCCTTCAGCTGCAAGCACAAGGTCTGTGCGAAGTTGGAGCCGAATCCTCAACCATCGTTTCCGACTGGGAGAAAACAGAGCACCATTCCGTCGGATCTTTATGGGATGTTGACCTCATCTCCGCGGAATACTCAAATGGTGCCCATGCTTTCAAGCAAACTGTGACTGACAGGCTACTTGGTCGTGATAGTGATGTTTCTGTCATCCTATCCAAGTATCAAGCATGGTTTGCTTCGATTCAGGAAGTAGATGAATCTATCGATTCTCTACGACGTATGCGGTGGACCGACGTCCTTGTCGGGGGTGAAGATGACGATGAAGAAATTGACGTCACCCCTCGATTGAACTCAGATGATCCTCAATGCCTCTCTGATGCCCTCCACTCCGCCGTCCGAAACTCTCTCAAAGACTTACAAACCTCTTTCGGCAGTGCATTCAAATCCTTCAACACTGTAAATAAGATTGAGAAGGCTACTTTCCTATTAAGGGTCATCCGACTTGTGCGACGGGATATTCCCGCGAAGTTTGTTCCTGAAGATCTGGTTCTCTCAAATGACATCGTTCCTGAACTGCAAGCACTGCTTGCAACAGAGGTTATTGCGAAGGCGGGATCCTTGAATATTATCCCAGCGCCAAAGAGCCACCCTAAGACTGGCAAAATCAAGACCGTCCCGGGACGGTCACTGTGGGAAGGTGACCCCGCCATTCCCGTCCAGCCTTCAACCTCCAGCTTCAAGTTTCTCCGTGGTCTCACCTCCACAATGGATACATGTGGGCCAGACCTCTGGGATCCATCTATGGTGCAAGCATTGAAACAAGCATTGAACAAACATCTTGCAGCTGCCATCACCTCTGCATTGGATGATCTCGATCGCAACGATGAGAAGGCAAACTCGGACGATGGCAAGCCCTCTGCCAATGGTGACGCATCGAAGAAGAGCAAGGCAGAGAAGCCACAGGCTGAGATCGACCCATCAGACCAAGTCGAGGGCGTGCGTGATTGGAAGATCCAAATTCTTTTTGATTCTCTGTATATGTCGGAGATGCTGGGTGAGCGAAATCAGCTGGCTGATGTCGTTGACCGAGCCGAGAAGAGTGCTGCTTCCAGTGCCGATATCACTACGCCTATAAGGAAGATTGCTGGCGAGTATTGGACAAGGACGGAGCTACTTTTTGGTCTTTTGGCTGATCAGTGAGCAGCCATTATGGCTGACATCTTCATGCATTACTTATTTTAACATTACTACGGCACATCCAGCCAGACATGATAATTGCATATTCAGATTTATCCATGTCTATTTTAGCTTATAGCCCTAGTAGGTCACTGTGTAGACATCCGCGGAGGACCTCGGGAGTGCCCAGGTGGTCAACGTTCCAAGGTTCCAGGCGCCGTCGGAGCTTATTTTATCCCCGTATCAGGTGACACTAACGCATCCCCGGGGCCATGGATGTTCATTCTGGGGGTTTGTCCATCTTTCTTCGATTCTACCTAGGTAGCTCAATTCCAAGGTTGGAGACTCCCTGGTCTGATCTGGGTGTACTCTGGATCCGAGGAAATGCCACCAGATCGGGGCCGAGCCTCCCGTGCGTGCACCTCTTGTCGCAAACAAAAGACAAGATGCTATGAGCCCGGAATCCCAGGACGAGCATGTCTCCGCTGTGATCGACTAAGACAAAGCTGTTCACTCATGCGTCTCGATGTTTCAGACGAAGAAACCATTGCCCCCGCACAATCGGGCACGGATGCACGGTACAGATTGGCAATTGCCTCGTATATGAACGCGCATTCTAACCTATTTCCATAGATTGGAACGCTTGGAAAAAAGCGTAGCTACTCTTCTCGATCGACTTGGGGAAGGGCCCAGGACTGCTCGAGAATCGAGTAGAGCTGACACTGAACAGTCGAGCCCAGCCTCGTATAAGGACACGGAAACCTCCGCTCCAATGATGGTCATCCGCGATCTGGCAACGGATAACGGCATTAAACCAGCATCCGATGCTCGATCGTTGCCGCTGGTTCTGGATAATCTTATTTCCCCGGAACTTGGTCTTGAGTTAATCACAATGTACGTTGTACGTTGCCTGTCTATGACATGAATCGTCATTTCTAACGAGTCCTTCAGTTTTCTGGAATATTACGGAAGATGGGTCCTTTTCGACCCGGAGTGCGAGCCCATTGAACTTCTCCGCCAAGTGAGGAAATCCACTCTGCTATTTTGTGCCTGCTGTCTGATCGCCGTGCGGCACACTTCCGAAGAACTGGCTGCGAGTCTCGCCCCCCAGCTGTGCGAGTATGCACGCTCCCTGGTATCGACCACGCTTCTGGTTGCCCCGCAGTCAATTGATTTCTTTCAAGCTACCTTGATATTATCAATGTGGTCCACGACCGTGGGACAGGTGCCCTTGAGCATTGATAGTTGGCTTTTGAGCGGGTTCGCATTGCAGCATGCACAGTCCAGTCCGCTGTTTACGACTGTTACGACGCAGTCAGCCCCTCCAAATCGAATCGACGTCGAAACTTTGGATCATTGTTACCTGTGGAACCATCTTTGTCTTGCGCATATGCATTACTGTGTTGGCACTAGTCGAAGATCCATGCTGCAGCCGTGGCAAATTGAAAGATGTCGTGCAATAGTTGCTTCGGACCACGCAATCAATTTTGAAGTGCGCATGGTCGCGGAGATTCATTTGTACTGGACTGTTTATGAACATCTAGTACATGAATCGGTTGATCTACTCAAATCAGTGGCTGCTTTGCAGAGTTGGCGGAGGAAATGGGAGTTTGTTCTAGGTATGACTTCGAGTTCAAAATTCTCATCCTCAGACGATTGCTTCGAAGTTTTGCCTTTGATGATCCTAATTCAAAACAGAGCAACCAAGATCGCAATTCCTCTCGATGGGGTTCCATTTCTCTCATCTTCTTCTTTACGAGCATTCTCTTAAACTGAAATCTGCTCGATCCCGCGAGTCCGTGGTCTCTGAAATGATCCGTCATTCAACCGCGATTGTGCATCTAGCCATGGAAACGGTTGATGAACGCACAAGACATCTTACCGATCACATCTATCATATGATCACGTTTGCCGCCATTGTCATCTGCCGCCTGCTGAACGGCTACCACGAGCAAGTAGCCTCGACTCACGATGTCGAGCAATTAGATTCCCTGATTAATGACCTCGTGCAATGGCTCTATTGTATTGGTCTGCCTTGTCATGCGGCACATACTCTTGGAAACATCATTGCCAAAGTACACCAAAAATTGCGACCTCGTGTGGAGGCGACGCCACCTGTTGTGCAAACCGATGAATCACTCGGTGAATTCAACAATTACTACTTCCCGGAATTCCTTGGTCTGGGGATGTCCGCTGATGGAAATTGGGATCTTCTCTCAAACATGGGGCTCTTTCCCCCAAGTCCCTCCATTCCTAGGCCTGATTGAAGTTCACTGGTTCTAGTAAACCTTCAGTGCATTTGCAACATGATTTCAACAATAGCCTATCTCCCTCCGATACGCTTTTCTGCCCATCGAAACAGGGGGAACGTGACCCCGGAAAAGGCAAATGTCAACTCATGGCCTATATTTGCGCCTTTCGTGCCAACCAAGGCGGCGATAGGCCCTGAATACCATGCGGTCTTCATGCCGAGAGCAGCGCCTAAAAAGCCGAATCCGAAGGCACCAATTGCCGCCCATCCAAATGGCAATTCAGTCATGCTGTTCCACGCATTAAGATCATATCCGCTCCATCCACGGCGGAAGATGAAATGTTCTTCCATCACGATTGTGATGTGGATCACGGTCCAGTACCCTATCACACTCAACAGTGTCTGCAATGCATCAGCGAAATATTTAGCCGCGCAGCAGCCAATAACTATGGCTGCAACAAATCCGAACGTCACCATAACCACTCGCGGGATGCGCATGGCCCATGGTCCCAAATTCTGCGCATGGAGCGCAAAGGAATAATTGTTAGGGATGTTGTTCTTTGACCAAGTTAGCTCGCGGTCCCTTAATCTTCTCGGTCCAGACTTACAGGGATTGAGCTCAATGCTGCTAGAACCATCAGGAATTTGCCAAACCCGCCGGCCGGCTCAAGTGCCATTTTAAGCAATCCACCAATCGAGGACTCCGTATACGCGTCTTTCCAAGCTGGATTCGTCACAGTTCCCGTATACAACGCCGCTCCAAGCGTCTGAACAAGAACAGTAGGAACAAAAATCCCTACATAAGTAGCACTAAAGATATGCCAACGCGGCGTCCCTTTAGGCATCCGCACGTTGTAATCAGCAGCACAGTTTACCCAAGAAACTGAGAACGAGAAAATCGACGCCATGTAGGTAAGCACGGCGGCAGCTTTATCGGGGCCCTTCAGACCAACATGATCTTTTCCAGTCAGCTGCGATGCGCCCGTTCCAGCGGCGACACACCAGACAACCAGAGGTGGGATCCAGATGAAGGTATCAAGCCTATGAATCCAGCTGATGCCCAACACGCAGATCACCCACACAGCCACGCATATCACGATTACACCTGCCCATACAGGGAATGTACCGTCTGAGAGCGCATGCAAAACTGCCGCGCCAGAGATGGAGTTGATGGCGTTCCAGCCTGTTGTGGCAATCATGGAAAATATCACTACAAGCATGTTACCCCAATAACCGAAGGAGTAGCGGCTGTTTCCGTGTCAGTGTGCTTGTACATATCTCGAAATTTGAAGGCAAATGGTATCACGCACGAAAATGTGGTCATGCGTAGTCCTGTAAGACCAAAGACCGCCGTCCAAGCTGGTAGTAGATCACTTGTAATATTGACGACTAGAATAATGATGAAACAATCCCAGAATGAGAGGCCGAGAGAGCCTCCTAGTGAGCCAATGTTGAGGGTGGCTACGGCCATGTTTGCGCTGAACCTAGCAATACAATCTCGTAAGCTATCACTGTCACTAAAAGAAAGATTGATGTCCTAGGTAGGAAGTGAAGATACTACCAGAAGGTCGCAGCGTTCCAGAACTTGGTTGTATTTTGCAGACTTTCTTCGTCAGTCACTCGCTCTATGCCACCTTCTTCAATGGACAGTCTGCCCAGCCATGGTCGGGTAGGTTTTGAAGATGTATTGTCTGACTCCGAGACGGTCTTTGGAACGCAAGTGGAACTGTTATAGTTCATGCTGATATGCAGGGCTCAGGGCTCAATGTGAAGGTTTCTCGATTCTCGGATTTCAGGGCTACAACCCGGACACACCATCCTTTCTTTATACTCAGCGATCTTCTATCATAAGCAATATTATATCTATCAGCAGCCCGTAGCAGACCGAAGCGAATATTTGCATATCTGGAGCTTATCGCACGCAATGTCAACGATCTCTGAGCTCATACTTATCACCCGCGGTATACCGCGGCATGCCGAACCGGGATGCCCTAAGAAACACAGGACAAACCCACTTCCCCAAATTCGTCAGAGTTATAACCCCCCATCCATGTTTGCAAAATCCTCTATCGACATCCCTCAAGTATCCTCGCTCTGTCTTCTTCGCAATGGACCAACACACATTCCGTCGTCGAGGGCTCGGCCTCCGCGGTGTTGACGACCGTGTCTCCCCAGGCTACGTGCTATATGCACCCTTGACTTCGAATACCGCCCATTTGATCTCAACAACAGGCATGGAAGTCCATCGCTGGACGTTACCCCATCGCGCAGGCCGCCACGCCCGCATTCTGCCAGACGGCAATCTGGCCTACAATGCCGCGCACCCTGAAGCACCTGCCCTATTTCCAATGTGGGCCAAGTACCGCGGCGGCATAATGATGCAAGTCAGTCCCGGGGGCGAGATTCTGCGCCAATACTCTGATCCTCTGGCGCACCATGACCAGAACCATCTTGATGATGGGACACTGCTATACACAACGCTGGAACCACTCAGTGCCGAAGAAGCAGCGACAGTGCAAGGCGGTATTGAAGGGAGTGAGGCGGATGATGTTATCTACGGCGACTGCATCAAGCTAGTTAACCCTTGGTCATCGAGCAATATCTCTTCGTCAGCTGATTTCGAAGTCGAGGGGAAGGGTGCTCAGCTGCTTTGGTCGTGGCGAGCAATCGATCACCTTGATCCGGCTGCTTTTGCTGCTCATCCTCATTACCCGCGCGAACATTGGCCGCTTATCAATAGTGTGTCTTTCGACTCTGACGGAAATATCATTGCCTCGTCGCGGAATGCGTCGAGTGTTTTTGTAATCAGTCGTGCGACGGGAGAAGTGCTGTGGCATCTTCCTGCGCCGACGGTTAGTCAACAGCACTGTGCACATCAGATCAATGAAAGTGGTGACATGCTTATCTTTGACAACGGGGTATTCCGTCCTGGTGTGTCTGTGCCATTTTCACGAGCAATCATTGTATCGAAAGAGAAAGTTGTCAAATGGGAGTACAAAGATCCATCAACTGGTGGGCTTGGATTCTTTACTCCATTCATGGGATCTGCGCAGAAATTGCACGGTGGGAATGTATTGCTCTGCGAGGCCGCCGATGGGAGGATCATTGAGGTCACGGAGGGAGGTGAGATTGTGTGGGAGTTTGTCGTTCCCCAGCTTGGAGACTATAAGGCTGTATTGGGAAGCAAAGAGTTGGAGGAGATGGAGAGGATCGGCTTTGATTACTCGAGTAACGCTATTTTCAGGGCTTACAAGTATACACCTGATGAGCTGCCTTGGTTGAAGGAGGGTTGGTTGTCTAATTGGTTGTGAGGTTCAGCCGAATGACTTGTTTTTATACTTCCAGTGTATTTGCACATTTATGTTCTATGGGTTTTGCTTATATGAGTTATGATACAATGAGAACAGGAGCTTTGGGTATATTGATACATGCGACCCAGAGAAATGAAAAGTGACAGCGAGTGAATATCCGGCAATGGGTGTAATAATGTTGCCGAGTGAGTAGATGTTTATGTGCAGATGAGATGATTCCGTTGTTAACCAAGAGATTCACCAAGGTGCGCTCCGCCACTGGGATCTATCGTTTGCAGACCACCGTCATGGACCACTTGGGTTTGGGTCGTGATTTCTTTGACGATCGGCTTTTCCTCTTCTTTAGCTTTCTTGGGTTCGGTGACCTTGCGTGTGGATGCATATTTGAGGAAAACAATGATCATAACTAACATGGTATTAGCAATCATGTACTTTGCAAAAAAAGCACAGGGGGTCGAGAGAGGACAAAGATAGGGGTCAAGTACTTACAAGCACAGATAGCAATCGTCATCGCGGCTCGTCTAGTCAGAATCCATCTCAGACTCTCAATTTCGCTCTTTCCGTCACTGTTCAGGGACACAGTGATCTTGTAGTTTAGTTCCTGAACCGAGGTATCGATGCTGCGCTGCTGCTCCCGGGTGACCATTTTGTGGTCGTTGAACATGCCCTTGATGTCATCTTTCACACCCGAGATCTCCTGGCCGACACGCTGCGAAATAATATCTGTTTCGTGTTGCAACTGAGTGCGCGAGGAGCGCTGCAGCTGGATTTCCGAATTCCGAGCTGTCTGAAGTGACGACTGCAGCTCTGAGCAAGCTGCTTTGAATAGATATTCTTCATTCTCAACGTCCGATTTTGATGTCAGACTTTCTTTGGCGAGATCGAGGTTATTTTGTAAGATAGCTCTTACGGCCTTCATGATCGTGATAGAGTGTTGGTTGCTGAAGCCCCCTTTCGTGAGGTCCTGGACCAGCGAGTATGTGTCAAAGTGGTGAACGTATGGTGCAGGCGACAGATGTGGACGGTCATCGGACGAAGATGATTCCCCGGACGGAGTGAGGTAAACGGACGGGGAGGGCATATGAAGCACATCATCAAATGGTGTTTGATTGCCGAATGACGTAGAATGTCCGGGCTTTTCATCGGCTGCGCCCTCGGAAGGAGTTGTCGAAGATGCCGAAGTCTCATGCTCGGGGCTATCTATATCCTTCTCGGACTCTTCAAGCGCCTCGCGGTCCGTCGGAGGGTCATCTTTTTGACTTTCCGATGACTCCTGGGCATCTAGATCGGACCTGGTAGAATCATGGTTCGTGGTTTCCGCAGCTCCTTCATCGGTATCCCGGAGTTGATCCGAATGCGACTCTTCCGGCGCATCATCCCCTTGCTTTGCGGCACTTGGCGCATCCTCCCCCGCTGGGTTTTCGTCAGGTACTTGTTCCGGAGTATGCTTGCTGTCCCGCGACGATGGGACACTCGGTTCGACTGCCGGGCCGTAACGCCTTTGGTAGGCTTCGCGATCCCGCCGCCGGCTTGTATGAAAGCGACGATTGGTCGAATTGGCATAGGTAAAGCGAAGCGAATGGTATGTTCTTGGTTCGCAGGCTCGTACTGCCCGCATCAGATTCGGATACAAGAACGGTAACCTGGGATTTGCCATGGCGTGAGGCTTGTAGGAGCACAATCCAGTTTCCCGTCGGCGAAATGAGTGACGATGATCCCCCACGGGAAATTAGTAAGCCGGGTTGCTCTCCTTGATGCCTGAGGCTGCTATCGACGTACTCCCATCTCTTCCAACCTTTCAATGCAGCCCAGGTGGTTTTCTTTTTTCTTTGTCAAGCTCATTGATCTAGAGGGCCTGAATCAGGTTGCCAGACACCATTCACATTACTGCTAAGAGCGAGATAATAGGATTCCTAAGAGAGACAGGTTATCTTGACGGTTTTCGTCCAAATATCAAGAAACGGGTGGAAAATACCCAGGATCAGGACTAGCTCTCCGTCTCCAGGGCTGGTCAGAACTTGGAAATACATAAAGAAACACGTGACTTTCGGGAAGTCCTGCACCAGGTGCACCAGGTGCCTGCATCGGGTGGTACATACAGAGAAAAATTGATTGCATTCATCTTTGGGTCATAGTCTATATCGTATATCTTAAACATATCAGAAATCCATGCGCAACGCGATACTCGGTGCGGCTTGAGGCGCATTGTCTGCTGCTTCGGTTTTGGCAGCAGCAGCCCCAACACCTGCGCTACGTAAAACCTCCTCCAAGAGCGACTTCTGCTCTGCGTTCATCGTAGCCACAAGAGATCGGAAAGTAAGCTGATCAGCTTTAGCAAGTTCGAGGAGATGGCCTGCAGACTCCTGGTGCACGGGCTGGCCTTCACGCTTGGCGCGGGCCAACAAAGCCGACATGACAAGGGAGATGGCGGTGGGAAGCTCGGAGGCCGAGAAAGTTCCGTTGGCGATGGTCGAAACGAGCGTGCGAGCAACCACTGTGCGAGAATTCTCCGGGTCGCTGGGGATATCGCCGTTGTCCAGAGGACAGCCAACCAAGAAAGCGATCAAGCGGGGGGTGAGATATCTGCTGATCACTTCGTCGGTGGGGTAACGGGGCCCTGGCTTGACGAGGATGGACCGGAGGCAGCTGGCTGCTACTGTGGCAAGACCAACGTCTTGAAGGCAGTCCAAGAGCTCATTCAAGACTCGAATGAGGATAGGGTCCTGAGGGGGGATGACATGCCCACCGGCGGTAAGAAGGAAGGTTATGGCGAGTAGCGTGTTCTTGGCGCAGGGAATGGAGATGTCCGACTCGCGTCGCTGGGCGATGGTGAGAATGGTAAGGAAACGCGTAAGACACCCACGCAGTTGGAATGATACGACGGCAAGGTCTTCGGAGGCTTCCGTTGTGTGTGTGATGACGTGGATGAACTGCCTGAAGATTGGCAGAGCCTGTGGAACGACTCCTGCTTGGCAAAGCCCCGTGGCAAGAATAGTTGTGAAGATGTGGAGAATACAAGCGTGGAGGTCATTGCGAATAATTGACGGGAACACGGATGCAACGTCGACCAAGGACCGAAGCGCCAATCGAATCAGTGTCAGGGACTCATCTGAGGTGATATTGAATCGTGCAAGAGGCGTCGACTCGCGGAGGTTGGGAAGCATTCCAGCAAGGACAAGAATGATGCTTCTTGTCAGCTCAAAGAGCTGCTCAATATCATCCGACAGGTGGTCACTGCGTTCCTGGTCGCCCTTTGCAGCTGGGTGATCCAATGACAGGTTCTGAGCAATCTCGACAATAACGGTCTGGATAGGGGTGGCCTCTGTCAAGACTAGTCGATCGAAGGTGTCCATGGTTTCGGTGAAGATTGCATCTTGGTAGATGGCGTTTCCAGAGATCACTGGCCTCAGTATTCTTTTCAAAGCCTGAAGAATTTCCAGCCGCTGAGAGGCCGAGGTTCCCTGGTCTACCAAAGATTCAAAAGCCAACCCAAAGAGCACGAAGAAAAATGCTACAGGCTCTTCACGGTAGTTTATGTCGTGACCCTTGCCTTCGGGCTCCTCGATTTTAGGGTTGTTCTTGGATTCTGCGCTCTCCTCTCCTTCCTCGCTGGTCTCGGGCAATTGCAATTTGCCATCCAGGGCATCGAAGACAAAGTCAATATCTTTCTCGACAAGGCCAGCGATTGCATCAACCAAGTAGAGCCATGTGTCTTGGTAGAACTGCATAACAATAAGCTTCGATCTATCGTATTATGATGTTGGATGTACTTACCTTGAGCAAAGTCTCACGGTTCAATGCAGCATAGACCTCATCCAAATCACCACTAGAGCTTACCCCCAAGCTACCAGAGATATCCGGCTCGAAGCGCAAGCGCGCATATTCTTGCAAGGAAGATAGCCATAACGGTGTGAGTCTCGCAATGTATGGTTGAACCACCTCGGTCAAATACTCATGGTCGATGCTGGCGATCTGGAGTCGAGCCCAAGCGGAGAATAACGCGAGTTTTACCATCACACGAGCGTTGGAGTTGAGACCTTTGAGGTCACCAATCTCAGTGGTCTCAGGGTTCTTGGCAAAGTTCTCCAGACCCAGTACCAGGAGCTTGAGAATACGACCCATGCGGTCGACATTGGTGACAATCCCTGTCGCAATGAAAGTAGCAGACACATTGATGGCCTCTGAAGCCAGCTCGGCAGAAGAGTCAGTCGCGAAAGCAGGTGTCAGTGCAGAACTGATCTGAGCCTGATATTGCTCGAGTAGTGAAGCTTCAGCGAAGTCAGGATCGGGTGTCTTGCCGAACATGGTGAGGACTTGGTCAATGATTTTCAGGCCCCAGACGCGCAGCTCGATCACATTGGCAGTGGATGCGGAGAAAGCCATTCTCACGATATCTCCTACATTCTTCTGAAGAGCCAGCTCTGCTGGGATAGCAGAGTCTGGCAGGATCGCTTCTTGCACAGTAGCGAGCAGTTCGGAGAGGCAGCTGATAGCGAAATGGCGAGTCTGCCACTTCAATAGCTCTTGGCCAGACATACTTTCATTCGCAATGTCACCTTGGCCCTCAGCGGCGCCCGCAGCCGCGAATCCAGCGACTTCGTCGTCAGGAATATCCGCTGCTGTAGCTTGAACCGCTGTGGTGGGTAGAGGCTCCACCTTGTTGCGGGTCTTGGTCATGATGTTTTGGCACCGCTGAATCCACACCTCAGTCTCTGTCAGCGCCGTCTGCTGCAGCCAATCCTGGATCATTGACTTGAGGGATAGATTGTCAGGCGCTTCATCGAACGCAAGCCATATGTCATCCTCCAATGTCTGACCTGCCGTTTGCATCACCGAAGGCGCATCGCGCTTCATAAGATTGTTGAGACCCCGAACGGCAACATCGCGCATTAGGAAATTATTCGCTCGAAGCTCCCTTTGTAGGCGTTTCACGTATCCCGAGTAGTCCACAAAGCTGGATGCATAAAGCGAGAAATGGTCCAGACACTTTGAACTTTCCGTCACCAATGCTGGGTTTTCCTCCAGCTGGAACTGCCGAAGCAGTGTCAGAACAAGATTTCGTGTCTTTGCGATGTCTTGCAAATCTGGACCCAAAACATTGATCAAGGAGTCCACGCATCGACTGATAACAACAGGTGTCAAGAATGACATCTCAATGTTAGACGTTGCCAATGCAGAGGCTTCCTCGTTGTGTGTATCAACGTTGTATAGTTGGGAAAGCATTCCCAACGACCCGGAGACAAACGGCGAGAATGTCAAGCCCGCAGAGTTGGCAACTCTCTCCAGACCCCCAAGAGCCCAAAAATGGACAACGGGATGAGGGTCATTGCATAGAGACATCAGCACGCCAACAATGGTTTTCAAATGCAAACCAGCAGCCATCCCACCAATTTGTGCATGGATACAACCCAAAGCAGCGGCACAGCCAGCTCTAGCATTGGGCTCTCTGTTCTCCACAATAGTATCCACCAGCCAGTTGACCTGTGTATTGGTGCATGTGTTTCCAGCGCTGTCACAAAGTCGCCCCAACCCTTCAACACCGATGGTGCGCACAATTGGGTCGGAGTCAACAATGAACTTCTGCAAGATTTCTTGTAGAATCTTGTCAGTAGATGAGTGTAGTTTGCCAGCAACAAAATTCGTCTCCTTGACGGCCACTTTGAGCGTGTGCAATAGCGCAACTGCGATGTTGACTACCAATGCTGCCTTTCTGCCAGGATTTCTTTGCAGAGTGGGCGAAGTCAGGAAAGTCGCAATTTGCTCGACACTGCTTTCCTGGATTTTGGGCGAATGGAGTGCCAAGGCCAGAGAAAACAACTCAATCGCCGAGTTGACAACTCCGGTGGTTGGGGGATCCACGGCGAGTCTATCGCCATCTCGTAAATTGTACAAAAGGAGCGCGTCATGTTCGCTGGCTTGGCAAATAGGGAAGTTCAACGCTTCATCGACTGCTTGATCCACAGAGTCAATCGCAGACCAAGCAGGCCCCTTGTCATCTTTCTGAGTACCAGACAAGGTAGCACGGATATACTCTCTCGAAAGCCCAGTGACCCCAAATCCATAGTTATCGCAAAGATCCCACAGGCCATCAAATTGCCCAGTAGAGCCAGATATCGAGCTTTCCAAGTGCTTGTACTGTGCGTCCGGGTCCGCAAACGATGAGATAGCCAAACCGAGAAGACTTGACTGGGAGATGATATCTCCGTGACTAAGCGGGTGGACTTGAACAAGCTTCGAGAAGCATTGCAAAACACGTCGACGCACCATAGTGGTGTAGTCTTGCAGCTGGAGGGAAGGATGGAGTCGTTGTGAAAGGTCTTCCATGGCCTTAGGCTTAGGTAAATCATCCAAGAATTCAACAGTATTTTGCAGCATGGCAGAAATTCTTTTTGCGCCATCTGAGGTTATCAGTTTGCCGTTGAATTCCATGAATACCAACAAAGAGCTGAGAGCGCACTCTCGAACATGAGTCAAAAAGCTGATCTCAAGTGGGCCTGGCTGAGCGGCATTGTTTTTTCCAAGATGTTTGGGGAGTGCATTTTTCCAGAGAAGCATCAATTGCGACAGATGAATCTTGACAAAGCTGGGCCCAAGGGGCATCAAGCCTCCAATCAAAATCCACGCCACTTGAATCTGTATACTGGCAACACGGAGCTCCGAAGTACTGCTGTTCTTCAGGAGGTCTGTTGCTTGTGTGAAAACACGAGCAAATACGTCGACTGCGCCGTACAAGGGCTGTAGGCGGGAGGTGCTCAGCATTGCCGATAGTCCGTTTGCATAGCCGACGCAGCGACGAGGTGACTGGCGTGGTGTTCCAAGTTGGCCAATTTCCCTATTTAGGCTGTTCATACAAATGGTAACACAAGATATCAGTTGGTGGGGAGAAGCTAGGACAAATGTCCTCAGGCAATGAGCGGCGTGCACTTGGACTGTGTAGCTTGGATGAGGAAGAACTTGAAGCAAAGCGTCCCTGCAGCTGTCGGCCAGGGCGCTGAAAGCAGAGCCAAGGGATGATATCAAAGATGCAAGAGCGCTGACCGCACTCGTCAACGAGTACTTGCTGGGCTCGCGGCGCTCTTGAATGACCTGAGGGTAGTCTTTGAGGATGTCATTGATCAACCACTTGGCGGCATTGAGTTGGCTGTTCTCACGTAGCAATTCTTGGCCAATGGTATCTTCAAGAATGCTTTTAACGAATTTCCTAGTCATGAGCAGACGGAACCGATTGTAAGTGATTGTTGGGTGATTGAGCAAGTCGACCAGCAGATTGGTCGCTATCTGTCCATAGCGCCCTTCAACAATCTTGTCGCCTAGATTTCGCAGTACATACTTGTAGCATATACAAAGTCCGGCTCGTGCGCGATTTGAGGTTGTGCTCTTGAGGTATTGGGTTGAGAGTTGCCGCAACAAATCTGGAAGAAGGAAATACAAGCGGGAGTCGGTCTTCTTGGGTGCGGATGACTCTGACATCTCCGCCTCTTCCTCGTCTGCAAGCCCTGCCCCGGGTTTCTTTGACATGCGCTTGGTCTTCTTAGACTTCGGCTTGGGGGCGGTAGTGATGTGCGCATCGCTGGCATGAAGTTTTACCAATGCTCGCCCGAGAACTGCAGCACCAGCATGTCGCACCGGCGCAGCGAGGCTGTCGATAACCTTCCACACCAATGTTTTGAGATGCTCGAAGTCATTGGTGTTATCGAAGAACGGGGTCGTAGCAATCAGCTGCTCCAGGCAGCGACAAGCATTGACCTGAACGAAAGTCGATTTGTCACTGGTAGCTGCGTTTCGGGCCTGCTTCCAAATGTCACGGGCTGTTGCCTCGTCAATAGGGACCCCAATCCCGACCACGATCTTGCGCAGGACTGCAAAGACAACACCGCGAAATCCTGTGTGATTGCTTACTGACTTCAGCAGCTTGAGTGTGGTTGAGGTTGCGATATTGGATTGCATGAACGCGCTCTCGCCAGCTGTCGCAAAGACCTCCCCTAGACAATGCGCCGCAGCGAACTTGATCTTTATTTCCGCTTCAGTCTTGCCGGCATTCAATATGGCAAGTAGGTCGGTGATCGTCTCGAAGAGGATCCCGCGATCTCCTTTGCTGAGTATTGCGCCAAAGCATCGCCCGAGGTTATTGCGGAGGACTCGAGTGATCGTTGGCGAGGGGAGGTTCAATATCTTGAACAATTCCTTTTTAAGTTCCTTCTGTTGCGATGACACCTGTGCCGATTCCAGTCCTGATATATATTGCACTAGGTCAGAAGTGAATGTGAGCATGTAGAGCTCCTGCTGCTCAGAGGGGAGCGCATGCAACTTGGAGATGTCCAGCTCGTGTACATTTTGCGGAGGCGGGGGTGTCGCTTCGGGAGACATTAGGCAGGTTCAGTGCAGACTTCCAAGTTGGCCCCATGAGAAGAGCGGGGGGAAGAAAAAGAAAGTAAGATGCGTGAGAACTGTATGGAGCACGTAGTAGCTTAACCCCCATTGCCTCCAGGGAGGCTTATCTGGTGGCCATATCGGCCCGCTATTTTTCCGCGGGGAAATGTACATCACCAAACTTCCAGGTCGCAACGCCATCATGGCTCTCAGACTCGACAGGCTGGTGCCTCGTCGCCGATGGAACTGCACTCTTCCTGTTCACCGAGCCTTCAGCTCTGCTGGGGTCAATTGTTCCGGACACAACAAATGGTCCACCATCAAGCACGACAAGGCCCGCAATGACAAGGCAAAGAGCAAAGAACGAGCAATGGTAGGCAAAGAGATTGCCAGTGCTACACAAAGTATGTACCTAGGTATTCCGATACAACTTAAAAATATCAGCCGTTAACGCTTCTTTAGTGTGGGGTGCCGATACAAAATACAATCCTCGTCTAGCCCTAGCATTATCGAACGCGAAGCGAGCCTCCATCCCCAAGGTCGTTATTGATGCCGCAATCGCACGAGGGCAGGGCCTGAGCGTCTCTGGTCAGGCACTGGAATCTCTGACGATTGAAGCTATGCTACCAGGCAATGTAGCTGCAGTGGTGGAGTGTCTAACGGATCAAAAGGGTCGCGTTTTACAAGACGTTCGCTATCTCATCAAGGACAATGGGGGCATTGTTACCCCAACCACATTCCTCTTTGAGCGGAAGGGTAGAGTGGTGTTGGAAAAACAGGAGGCTACGGATCCAGATGACTACCTCGATCAGGCGATTGAAGCCGGTGCTGCGGACATCAACACCGACGATAAAGGCCGCCTTGTGCTCTTGACTGATCCATCAGAGACAAAAACAGTGGGCGAGAAGTTTGCAAAGCTTTCAGGTCTTGTGATCGAGGAGTTGGAAATGATCTGGGATCCTAATACGGATTCTTTGGTTGATGTGCAAGATGAAGAACAGGCGAAAGCCCTTGAGGATCTTCTGAGTGCCCTGCGGGAAGAACCCAGTGTGCAAGACATTTACTTGAACTCAACTGAACAGTTCTAACACACCTGAGCAGCGTTCTGTATCATTTCGGAAACGCGCACGGCTATCTTCCAAGGTTGAAAGATCATTGTATCATATCACATGTGTATAGCGACAGATACCAAGCATTTAATGGAGTTGTGGTGAATTGAATTAAATAGTATGGATGGAGTGGTATCACTCTTTTCGAAGAGCCTTCATCGTGCTTCTCATCAAAACGCCTGTACCCCGGCATCCTATCCCATCTAACCAATCCAGCATGTGCACTCGGTATTCTTGCCATGTGGTCTTGGCCCCACCGTCCTTCTCGAGGGCAAGCAACACTTTCTGTGTGACCGGCTTCTTCAACCTTGGTCGATCGTCACCCACCTGCTGGTCTTTTTCAAGCTCGGCGAAACATGCGGCGGACAAATTGCAAAAGGCGGCATGGTGGCTTAAAGAGAAAACCGAGGCAAGACTGAAATGAGGGGCACTCTCGCGGTCGTAGTGCTTGGCCGCCTCTGACAAGTCTTTGATGTAGGCTGTCAGGGCTGCCACCGTCGACTCTGGAACAAGACATCCAAGCGCATTCGGGTCTTCTGTGTTGAGTGCGCGGTTTCTCCATAACACATTGCACATGTCCATGACATACCCGTTGAATCGGCCAACCAAATCTGTCCCGTAGGCTGGAGACTTTTGTGCTTGGAGTACTGGAGAATTCAGAGAGGCTTCGAATGCGGATTTATACACTGCCAAGATTGAATTGAGAGGTGAAATCACAGCGGTGCTTGGTGTGAATGCGAGGGTATAGACCGTTTGGGCGTTGGGTAGAGTAATTCTGAATCGCGCATCTTGGGGCGCATTAGAAAAGAGGTCTGAAAGGGTTCTGTAGAGATCAAGCACCGAAATTGAGCCTGATTTCGACAGTTGCTGGTCTTGCTCTGTGGGGAACTCGAGTATTGAAGACGCCAGGAGCTCAGCACGTAAAATCACCTGGCTCAAAGGGAGTGATTCCTCGGATGTGACGGGCTTTGAGCGAAGTTTGACGGCCCATTGATTGATCAGTCCCGAATAGAAACCCAGTAACGCAGTCCTAGAACTGAGACTCTCATCCAATACCATCGACTCTAATCGAGAGAACAACTCAATCTGTAGAGACTCAAGTGGTTCAATTGGGATGTATTGTAGAAGTCGAAAAACGTTCTCTCGGTTATCCTTGCCATTCCATACTTGAAGATATGACTTTAGGAACGAACGGATCGCATTTGGAAGATTCTAACTTACTCAGTATCTGTTCAGTCGAATTGTAGTCAGCGGTACTCACCTTGATGTATGAAACGTAGCCCACAACGTAATCCAGAAAAACTGCTAATGTCTCAGGTTCGTTATCTTCGTCCTCCCGTAGCATCTCCAGCTTTTCCTCCAGGAAACTCTTCAACCACTCATCCAAGCGATGATCCGCGAGCTCGGAGTGGACCAAGTGAAGATACTTCTGCGCCATTGCATCACCTAGTGTTGAGATAATCTGATTCGGTAACTCAATCTTGTCGAGTTTTTCAACTAGATGTCCGACATCACGAAGCTCTTCCAGCGAAGTATGCTTGTCTGAAACCCGGGAGGTCTGAAGAGGTGGAATGACCACTTCAATCCTAGTCCTTTTGGCCGCTCCTCGGTGAACAACTTGGAAGCTCGATGCCAAACTTGCTCTGTTTCGTTCTGTGCTTTGATCTTGTAGGAGCTTCGCGTGGCTTGACCATTCTGGGTCAGGGTGCTTGAAGAAGAGAGCATTCCTCCCTCTTCCAATATCCCCAAGAACAATTTCAGGGTAATAATTCTTGAAAAGTTTCAGTAACGTAATGAGTTCTTTTTCATCACCACCAGATATTTGAATCAGCTCCATCAACGCCTGAATTCGGAAGGGCTTGACATGCTTGCGCCTCGTGATGAGAGAAAGAAGATGGCACAATGGTTTGCGCAAGCTGATCATATCTAAGTGGTTGAAAAGCACCGCGTAAAGTTTGGCCAAGTGAGCCCTTTCTCTGAGCATTTCATGGGAAAGAATCAGCCAGCGCAGCAACAGAGCTTGCGTCGCAGGGGATGGCTTGTTCTTGCTAGGTCCAAGGCAGCACACCACTGAAGTGACATTCTTGGACGAAACTCGTTCCTGGGGGTACAGATTTTTGACTAGAGTTGTGACGGTCCCTTGGTCCAGACTGTTTTTCGTTGTCAGGATCTTCAGCAGGCGGGTAAGCACAGCCTGCGGAATGCCATTTTCATACGCGTCTGAGGCGATGGTTTTGGCCAAGAGGCTAGGATCTGTGTATCTCTGCTTTGGTGGGACAAACGCGACTATCCAGTATCAGATACTGCTCTGCCATGATGAGATTCAAACATACCGGCTTCCAAGTGCTCAACTGCTTCGGGCAGGGTATTCTTGGCCCCGCTTTCTATGATAGTGTCAACCCCAAGGATTAAGATCAATGGAGATTAGAAGATGAGCTTACCCGTGTTAGCGTCCATTGGAACAAAAACAAATTTTGAATCCTCGCGATTGATCCGTTTGGGGTGATGCTTGTTGGTTCACAGTCTCACGCGTATTTGCGTGCTTCCAAGTTTCACATGCGATATCGCGAGTACGTCAATAGATTCTCGAGGGATTTCATCGATTTTGACTGCAGAAAACAACGGAATTGATGTGAATGTAAGTATCAACGTTCCAGGACCGACAGTTGCATAGAAGAGCCAACGTGGGCGCGCGGAAACAACACTAAGCCAAATCGGGTAACTATCAACAAGTCGGCAGACTACACTGAGCGTTTGTCGTGATGCTTTAAGTGGATATTCTCCTGTTTAATTTACCTGGCAATCAAGGAAGCTGAATACTCTTATATTGTGTGATTTTCGATCAATCAAGATTATCTGCCGTAGTCGCACGGGTCTGAAAGCTTTATGCAATACTACCAAAGGATTGAAAAATCATTGCCAACAGATGGGGAAGTCAACACATCCATGGCCAAAGCCTACGTAATGTTTACTTCCTCTTGCGAGTATCAGACTTGGGAGTAGCCTTGGAAGATGACTTAGCGGTCACTTCCTCCTTCTTGTCCTCAACTGCAGGGGTAGGCTCCTCTTCCTCGTCGCTGTCACCTCCCTGTCCAAATTCGTTCACGCGCTTGTAATCAACCTTGTACTTCCAACCCTGGTAGAGCCAGACGAAGAAGATGACGTCGTCACGCAGAGTGGCTAGGCGGTGAAGCCAAGGCATCTTGACGGTGAAAGCAAAGAGATCGTCGATGAAGGTGTTGAGGAACTTGTAGGTCAAGGCCTTGCCGGGCATGTGGGCAACAGACTTCAATCGGTAGTTGATGTAGAGACTGGGCACCATCATGAGGAAACCGTAGGCGTAGACACTGCCCACGAGAGTCTCAATGATGTATGAGTACCACGACTTGTGGGTGTTGTAGACCAGGCTGTATGCGGCATATGCGAGCAGAAGCGGCACAGCCAAGATGTAAAGATAGCGGAAGGCAATCTCGTCGTATTCCTTAGTTTTTTCTTCGGTCTCGCTGAGCTTGTGCTTGTCCTCAAAGACAATCACATACGGTAGGAAGGAGAACAATGAGGTAGCTGGGGGCGGGCGCAGGCGAACGTCAACGGTCTTGGTGATCTTCCAGAACTCCAGCAGGATACCGAATCCTTGGCTGGCCAGAATCATCCAAGAAGTGTTCTCGCTGTTGTCCACAAGGTAGAGGAAAATTACAGCTTGCATAAAGACGTTTGCCAAAATGGTCCGGACGGACGTACCAACGACATCCTTCTTCTTGCGCCAGTGGGCCTGAGAACATATATGTTAGCAATTTCTGACACCGGAAATTTCGCTTAATACGTACAATATCGTTCTTGAAAGCCAGTGTCTCAAACAGCATATGCAAGATGGTAACAATACCAGTGGTTCCGAGGAGCCAGATGTTGGTATCCAGCAGAATCTCCTTGACCATTTCCCATTCGGTTCCATCGCCGCCGCCAGGAGCGGAGCCTCCATAGGCAGCTTGACGAGAGCTTTGCTTAGAGCCCTCATCAACGCTGCTGAGAATGCTAAACTTCCAGTTTGCCAGGTTGTTGATGGTGATGTGCATGGGCACAGTCTCGACGGTGGAATTAAGCTCGGTCATGTGGGTCTTCAATTGCCAGAAAGTGTTCACAAAAGCGATCGGGTAGTACCATCCGTGGTTTCCAGTGCCATCGCGAGCACCAGTGCGCTCTAGCTGGACATACTGGCGAACCGCAGGGTGCATCTGGCCCAACTTCGTGGTTCCGGAATCCGGAATCATGGACACGGTAAAGTTGGGGTGATAGTACGACATGGTAGACCATTCTGGGGTCTTATCTTCTTCTTCGTCGCGCTCATCTTCGGGGCCAGTAAGGAGGTTCTTCAACTTCTTGACCTTCTTCTTGGGAAGATACTGGTTCAAAGGGCGAAGGAAATGAACGGCGTCGGCGGTGTTGTAGTCCTTGGCAGAAGGATCGAGCTGGTATCCAGTGCGAGCCATAAAAAAGTGAGCCCAAAGGGTGCCATTCTGCTGAACTTGCTTCGGGACTCGAATGGTGGTGTCAATTTCACGGGTGTCGCTGTAGTTTCCAATCGTAAAGTTCTTCTCCTGAAGCACAAGAGCGCTGTCGGGGGAGGTGAATTTGGGAACAACGATCGAGGGGGTCACGTAGATGCTAAGATCAATAGCGCTGTCGGCGGGCCAGATTGGGGCGATGAGATCCGGGAGGGGACTCTGCTCGGTGTATTCGCTCGGATGAGGACGATCGGCAAATGCGGGAATTCCACCAGTGTTTTCGCTGGGAGAAGAGGGACTATTCTTGCTTCCCATGAACTGGTTGATACCGAATTGGACCAACAAAAAGATTCCGAGGCCCTGAAGGGCACCCTTGAATCCCGACTAAAGAGGAGGTCAGTATTAGCCTTATGCGTGGAACATCACCACTAGCATTAGTTTGACTCACGTTGGACTCCTCCTGTCTGCGTTGCCTCGATTCCGACATCTTGTGCGTGAATGAAAAGAAGAAGAGGCCACCCGACTGCAAAGACGCCTTAGCTCGTAATTGCAGATAGGGGCCTTGGCATTCTCCGCATCTATCCGCGGGGAGACCTTGAACCCCTCGACCTCCCTCACTCTTTGTCAATTGTGCACGCGATGTCGCGTTGGATTGAATTCCATGGACAACCAATCTAGTGATATTCGCGCGCAGTTTCCGTCGCACTATGAGCCCCGAGTATGGCTGATAACCGCGGGGGACTCGCCGATCGGTCTCTCAGTCGCGCGGCAGGTCCTCGCGCATGGAGACTTCGCATTTCTCGGACTGGCACACACGGCCTTGGAACGCGATGAGCGTCGTCGCGATGAATTCGATGCTTTCCTCGCCGAAGTTGCGCAACATCACGCTGATGGGTGGGCGCAGCGCATGAAGACGGTCCCGCTCGATATCCGGTACATCTCCATAGAATTGAACTTGCTGGAATATTCTCATATACTGACGGCTTCTTCGCTCGCAGGATGATGGGTGAATGCCAAGCGGTCGTGGCAGACGCAGTCGCAACATTTGGAAAGGTGGATATACTTCTTTGCTGTACAAGTCAAAGTACGCTCTAGCCGCTAGCGTTGCCCCAGAGCCTGCTGACCTCGTTTCAAGCCCTTATAGGCACAGTTGAAGAGCTTGCCGCATCAACGCAAACTCAGAACCTTGTGCGCGACCAATTTGAAGTCAACTATTTCGGTCCATTGAATATCATCAAGGCCGCGCTTCCGCACATGCGCCGGGAACGATCGGGCCATGTGATGATCATATCAGGAATCAGTACGAACCATTCCACATACATTACAGGCTTCATCTGACAATTTTCAGCGGCGCATATTGGCACGCCTGGGCTAGGAATGTATTGCGCAGCTGGCTGGGCCCTCGAAGGATTTTGCGATGTCAGTCATGAGAATATGGAAACTGAGTTAATCACAAGCTGACCACAAATATAGAGCTTGGCATATGAGATCGCTCCATTCAATATCAAACTCACAATATTTCAATGCAGCATCGAGATTGGCATTCTCGCAAATCTAGTCACCAGCGTCCCTCCAATCTTCCCCGCATACTCGCCCGCCAACAATCAAGCACCCCTCTTCCGTGGGATCCTCAACCATTTGGTTCCACAGCTCCCCGATGCTGTTGCGGCTTCGGGGAGCCCAGCTACACCCAGTCGAGCCCAAGATGAGAGCAGCCGAGTTAGCTCCATTGAGAATGGTCCATTCTCTGCGCCCGAGGTTGTTTCCATGCATCCGCCCTTGAGCTCTGCGCACCTTGAGGTGTTGGTTGAGGAAACAGTATATGCTATCACGTCAATTGGTGGGCATGAAAATCCTCCTTCTCGTCACATCGTCGGGCAAGAAGGCGTGGCTAGCGTTAAGGAAAAGCTCAAGACCGTGAGCGAGGAGCTTGAAGATTTTATTCAAGCTAGCTTTGCTGTTGATGTAGCAGCAGACTCGGATCCCATGCCTCCCATGTCTGAAATGCATGGAGGATTTTAGTGGAGCCATTTACTTAATTATCGATCCATCGGAAATTGAGGAGCATTTTACGATGGTTTTCCTATGCATATTTCTTCAAGAAACAATCGTAGGTATATTTCTGGGGTAGAAGTACCTAGTAGGCTTTCATCCCGAAGTCTGTTCCCAGCTTGGTTTGTGCATTTCGTTTCTTACCTAGCACATACATGTACCGAGGTAGTATCTATGGATATTTCCAACCTTGGAAGGTTCGGAAATATGCATCCACTATGTAAAGGTGAAAACATACATGGATCATTTCCGGTGTCTTGCAATTATTCACAGTCGTTTCGAATGCAACCTTCGAATTCACATATAGTCACGGGGGTCCAATGATCCAATCTTTGCACTCTTCGCGCTACCATCGAAGATAAACTCACTCATGAGCTTACCTGTGCCAGGAGCGTTTTGAATGCCCCAGCAGGTGTGTCCAGCTGCAAGGTAGAGTCCCTTGACCCCAGTCAAACCAACGAGTGGTCCACCACCAGAATCACAATTTGGGAGGTAACAGGCCTGGCGTGCACGGATCTCGCCATCACGCAGCTCATCAGAGATACTTCCGACCTGTTCAATGATCTCTTGGCAGCGCTCCTGGTCAACCTCAACATCCGCAGAAGTCTTTGGCAATGGCACTGTTCTGTCTCCGTCGCCGCATGCATAGACGGTTGCATCTGGACGGGCATAGATCTCTGGGGCAGCCACGGTGGGTCGAGATTTCTTCCCTGGATTAAAGTTCGCTGGGATTTCGATGTTGGTGAACAGACAATACGGGCTGACAGGTTGTTTGGGCTGAATGACCACACTATGGGCCCGCATAGCTGAGATCGGAACCTCTGGAAGAATCGTGTTTGTCCAAGGACCAGCAGCAACAAGTACGTCAGTAGCGGCTATTGTCTGAGGCTCCCCGGAGGTTTTGTCGGTGTATGTCACAGACTCAACGGAATCATTTGTGCGGGCGATGTCTGTGACCTGTCCAAGAAGGATGTTTGCCCCCTTCTCCTGGGCAAGCTTCGCGATCGATGTGGTGAACTGATACGGATGCACCTGTGCGGTTTCGCCTGGCCCACTCATGCTCTCATAGGCTCGCAGAAGCTCGGGCTCAATCCAGTCTAGGTCCTGTGGGGTCTTGGTAGATTTCAGCTTCGAAATAGCGGCTGCGCTACGCTTTTGAAGCGATTCCGAGCTTCCTCCCTCGGCTTTGTCTGCGCTTTTCTCGGTCAGGGCTCGGCCTCTCACGACTAACTGTCCGCAATTGACCTCTCGGTAACCCCATCGGTTCATTCCATCGTGCTCCTTGGCCAATTCTGCGTGGAGCTTGTAGCTGAGGCCGACAATGTTGCTCGGGTATGCCCATTGCGCGAGCATGCCACCCGCCTTGCCTGATGCCCCGCCCGCGATTTCAGAGGCCTCGATAAGCGTGATTTTGTGGCGGGTGGGATCATAGGATGGGTGTCTGGTGAGGTAATATGCAGAGCAGCATCCAATAATACCACCGCCTACGGGCATTTTGGTCAGCAATCTGCGATGTCAAGCGGGGGTCCGGATCGCAAATAGGTTGTCCTTACCAACAATTACAATCTCACGCCGATCTGCTGATGCCGACATGATTGATCTCAGTGTTGCCTTGGACACTAAAGAACGTAAAGGAGCCACTTTGTGGGAGTGTGGAAGATAGCAAGGTCTCGGCGGCAGTATGATTTATATGTACAGCAAGTGAGACCTACGTCACTGAAGCCAGGTGCCCACTCATATTTCGCATTGATAACCAAATCCACCAGAAATGTCCGGTTTTCTGCGGTTTCTACAAGATGGAGTAACAGAATTCATACCACTTTACAATATCTGATGTTCAAAGTGAGGTTTATGGTGTTTTTGTCGCAGCTTGTGCCACGATACAACATTAATTTGGAAGTTAAAACAAGACGACAATAACCATGCTCCGCAAATGCAACTATCAAAACCAGATGTAAAATGTTCAGGAGTTTTGAATACACGGAAAGGACGTGATCTTTCCAGGTCTGAGAGAGGAGAGCCATGAGATCATCGCGAGGGACTGAGAGGCCTGTTGAAACCACCCTGGCGGTTCATATACTGTCGGTACTCGATCTTCTTCTCCTTGCGCACACCGTAGATGTCATTCCCGGGGATTTTGGTGTTCTTAGTGGTTCGGAATCGGGTGAATCCCATCGCCTTGCGCATCTGTGCTTCTATGTCATCCTCGTCCGCATTCGAGTCGTAGTCCAGATCCATCTCATCTTCGTTGTTGTCTGTAGAGTAGGCACCATTGGCCTTCCGTCCTTCGTCCCGCGATCGAGGATCTCTGCGGTCACTCTTTGGACCCCGCGGAGGTGATCGATCGCGCGTACCGTTGCGGCCAGGGGATCTCGATCGCGAATGGTCGCGGAACTTGACGTTTCTCGGTGCCGGTGCTAAAAAAAGAAATTGTCAGCGATTCTCAATTTCCACACTCCAAGCTGAAGTTTTATTCACCTCGCCGTTCATGATTGCGATCCCGGCTGATGCTCCTCTTCCGATCCCTATCCCCGTCCCGTCGGTCGCGGCGATCTCGAGACCAGCTCCGTTCTCGCCTTCTGTCATTTCGTTCTCGTGAGCGTGAGCGATGGCGGGTATCACGTCGGTCGTCTCGAGGAGCGGGTGAACGCCTGCGGTCTCGGTCTGACTCTAAGTCTGAGGTCCGGGCACGGGTCTCGTTTGAATCCCACATGGCTGAGCTATCACCTCGTCGGACACGCTTCGGGAGCGGTTCCGCCATTGTAAAAGAACTGCGGTCTGATCTGGGCGTGGCCCCGTACAGCGTGGGGCGGTAGCTCTGAGGTCCGATGAAGGTGTCTCCCCTCAGGTAATGAAAGCTCTTGGCGGGTCGAGCAGGTCGGAAGGTGAGATAATCGTGTAATTGAAGGGAATCTGGTAAGGGGGTATCAACTTATCGCAATGGTGTGTTGGATCCGAATCTCTCGGGTCCAAAGAGAAGTTTATTTCGGGTGCGCGTTGAGACCAGTAGTGCAGTTTTGTCTGGGGCAAAACCGCCTGCCCAGGTGATCGGTTCCTGATGATCAGCAAAAGTCGATTATCAACTTTAAAAATTCAATTAACTCCCAAATTCAGCTGGATCATGACGGTAGGGCTTTCTGATTCTTCCCTTTCATCCACTTGGCCTTTTTTCCTCCCCCCAATCAGATGACATAGTAATGATAGTCTTTCAAGGTTCTACGAAATATATATATTTACGAATTTCCACAGCAAAATTCGAGGAATATACGCGTTAAGCCGAAATTGACAAAAGCGAGCCTACCACAACCTTGGAACATACCTAGGTACTTTGAAGGAGTTCACCGGGACCAAACACCGTTTATAGATACCGAGCTATCCATACCCAGTGGATACTACTAAAGGGTCCAACCCAGGAAGATCAAGCATGCCCCGGGGTACCTAGTATAAGGCCCAATTATAACCTTGGAAGGTTAGACTGCAGTTCCAAAGTTTGATGATGCCCAGGTGGTGTTTTATCTAATGAGCATCGATTGCTACTGCTGAAAGAACTGATGTTCATGGACGGGTATTTCATCATCTGGCCAATACTATATTGCTGGCAAACCCCGTGAAGATCTATGGTTTAATTGCGAGCTAGAATTACCCAGGTGCTTATGCATGAGAATCTTGGAACGTTTTCAACCTTGGAAGATTCAAGCCACCTGGCAGGACCTCGGGAGGAACCTTGGAAAGCCTCGAGACAGCATGCCTGGCTATCGATGCAACTTCATTTAGGATAGTAACCTTGGTATTTGCCAGCGTCGTAGCCTTTCAATACCTAGGCACTGCCAAGGTGACTCATAGATCATTTGCTCATCATCAAATGGACCGCTTCCAAGGTTGGAATCGAAGCGACCTCGGGAACCTTGGAATCAGCTAGATGCCCAGGTGGCTACTAAGGCCTCGCCCGGGATATTAGAAAAGCCCCTCATTATATGGAGGAACCAGTGCTTCAACTACCCCAAATCAAGCTGGTTTTTGGGCTTCAGCGATTCATACGGAAGGAATTGCCTGTGAAGGTGCAGATGCTCAAACTGCGGCGGGCCGACCCGTCGAGCCTCAACTCTAAATGCCACCGCGAAATTTTTGCAGCAACCCCACTTCGTGTGCGTCCGCCAATTTTGCCCCTCCCATGAGCTATTGGTCGATTATAGCGCAACAACCTAGGAACTATGGCCCCCGTCAACCTTTCGCATAGACGAACGCATAATTTGCTGTTGATCTCGAAGCTGTTGAGTCTGCGAGACACTGCATCGCCGCTCACACTTGTCTTGGACTCGCTGGAGCAACCGGCCACCCCACTTCTGAAAGAATACATAAGACGCGCAAAGGTGGGTGATTCTCTGCTGTCAATTGACTTCGCCAGAGCTCGGGATGCCTCAACGAGATTGAAAGCACACATGCTAACCTGTCCAATAGCTGTCCAAAGTCCACGTCACGCTCATTGCTTTTGAAACCTTGAAACAGCCAGAGGGAGTAGATGCCTTTGTAACAACTCGGCGGAAGAGCTCCGCAGAAATCGCAAAGGAAGTGAGCGCAGTCTATCAGGCTGTTGCATCCTCTAACCCTTCCCGCAGTAGGTCTTCCTAGGCCGTGCATCAACCCTCTCTTGCGGTCGGATACTTACTAGCTTCACAGGGCGTTTGATTCTCATTGATTCAATTAATCCTTTACTCCACTCTAGACGAGCGGATCCGGGTTTCCACTTGCCATCCTTCCTCGGCTCATTTCTTGCTCCGACATCGCCATCAGCAAAGGTTGACACGTCCCTCGTGGTGACGTACCACCAAGATGTTCCCGAGCCACCCCAGAAGAGCCCCTATGCATCATCACCTCTGTCACTGTTGACATATCTTGCAACGAGTATCATCACACTGCACTCTTTCTCGCACATTCTAGCGCAGAAAGCTGCTCGCGACCGCAGTCTGGCCCCTCCTGTGTTCGGACTCGAAGAAGAACAGGAAGGTGTTCTGCTTGGTCGACTGGACAAATTGACCGGCACTGGAGCAGCCGAGGGAATCGTTATTGAATTGGAACACAGGCGTAAGAGTGGTCGTGGTGTTTTGGAGTGGTACCTTCTCCCACCCGCCTCACGTTATTCGCCACAGCATCTCAAGGAAATCGTGACCCTACTGGATGATAGTATTCTCTACAATCCCCCCATGGAAAGAGACCCAGGGGCCGAAAACGAAGAGCCGACTTCGACGTTCGAGCTCGGTCTTACCGACAAGCAAAGGCGTGACAGAGAAGGGGTGGTTCTGCCGTACTTTGATGCCCAGAGTGGCAATGGCCCTGGCGAGGGTGGAAGGATTCTTTACGATATGGGCGAGGAAGATGATTTCGATGAAGAAGAGGATGAAATCTAGATCATACACAGCTACATGCATGATCCACCCAATCCTTTTCTTTCTTGATTCGGTAGATTGTATCCCGCAATCGCCGAGAGGTATTAACTATGCATACATTCATACAAGGGGGCCCATGGACATGGCCAAATCGCAAGGAATTAGAGGAATCGCCAGAAGAGGAATACGAAGATGATCAACCCGACGCCAGCAAAGGGCCCGTACTGCAAATGCGATTAGCTCTGCCATCGTTAGAAGCATTGGACATTGTTCTTACTTGTTTCAGCAACAGCTCCCAATTGATGCGTACTGCTGCCTTCCGGTACTTCTTGCTGTCTTCGCGGAGTCGTCCAGACAGCTCGCCCATGCGCTCCAAGCTATCACCACGATATAAGAGGTCCTCAATATTCTTGGTCATAACCTTTGTGACATCACGGAGCTCGTCGTTCAGCTTATCGAGGTTCTGCGAGGCACGACTGTCTTGGTACAATTTTTTGGTGCGCTGAATGAAAGTATCGAATTCCACAAAGGCGTATGGGCGGAGGGTGGGCGAAAGATATTGTGAAGGTTGGTAGGTAGTTGTGAATTCAGAGGACAGATCAGCAAGATAGGTAAAAGCGAGTTTGCGAGGATACGATTTGTCGGCAATGCACAAAAAGCAAATTTCGTCTTGAATCATGTAGCTATTTGAATGTTAGTGAATGTCTCTATTCACATTGACGCACCAGCTTACTGTAGATTGTATTGACCGGACTCGATGCTGGCCTGAGGGGCAGAGTTGCGATTCAATCGTCGAAAGATCATTTTGGCTTGTCCTTTGATTTCAGAAAGTTCTGATTCGGCCTGTTAGAGAAGTCAGCTTTGCGATCACCTTCACTTGTCTCTTCGTACCTGTTCGTCATCGACCGAGGCAGCGAGCATAAGGCCTATTTCGCATCCACGTCAGCGCCCAGCGCATACACTATCGTTCCGGGGTCTCCTACCATCGAGCCTGGCGATTTGTGTTGACCTGACCATCTTGACGATTCTTTGTGAAGCACAACGGTTTCAACGTTTGTTTTGGCCGGAGACTTGGCCAGAATGGCACCCAAGAAGGGAAAGGCGGTGGCACACGGCAATACGTCGCGGTGAGCGCCAGCTCCGCATTTACTTCAGCGAGCTTCTGATTAACCATGTCATAGTGCTGGTATCGCCCGTACTGCTAATGTAGGAAAGCAGACGGACTCGAACATGTCGGAACCTAACCCCGAAGCGAGCTCACGAGCAAAGACCCCCAGAAAGACCGGCAGCTCTGCGCGAGGAAAATGGAGCGAGGAGCGGCTACTCACGAGCGATAAGTCAGCCCTCATAGGTATGGACTTGGTGGTATGATGAAGATCCTATGCGGTCCAGGGGAATTAGAGCTAACGTTTTTACTCCAAACAGAAACTCCTGTCACACCCCCGAGCATGGAACTGCCTGGAGGAGTCCGAAAAGCGGGAGATCCTCGCTCTTCTACCCCCAGATGTTCACCCGGAAGCACAGATTCTGTCTAATGAGCCGGGTACAAATATACCCCCGATTCCTGATAGCTTTGTCCGTTACTCGAACAACTGGCGCGACGGTGTGCGACAGTTCCAGCTTGATCTCGAAAACGGACGGTATGATCCCAAATGGCTACGACAGGCACAAGAGGCCAGAGAGCGTCGTTCGGAGGGCGCTTTTGATAGCTTCAAAGAGCGCGAATACGAACTTTTCTGGGGGCAAAAGCAGAAAGTTCACTGTAAAGCACCTGCCGGCGAAAGCGCGCGGGTGAAACTGGGAACTCTAATCACGGAAGGCGTTGTCCAGTTGGGAGACGTCTGGAGATTCTACTTCGTTTTCGGCAGAGGATCAGGCAGAATTGTTATCGACAAAGAAGCAAGGGTATGTAATCTTGCGTTCATTTCATGTGGAAGTCTACCAGTCCACCACTTGCTGACAACTATAGATCGATGCAATTAATGGTGTCAAGCTGACATTTGCCATTCCACCGGGCGAGAGAGTGTTGCTTCGCTCTAAATTCCATGGAGACTCGAAAAAGAGCACACCGAAGAAAGAGGAAGACATCAAAGTGGGTGTTCAGACAGAGCCAGACGCAATCATTGTATCCGCAAACCATGCTCCGGCCTCGGTTGAGAACGCAGGATCAAACGAGACCATATTACCTTCTAATATTGAAGAGTCGCCAACCAGAAGCTCAACAGACCCCCACCCAGTGCCCACAGCCTCTCTCGACGAACAAGAGCCTGAGAATGCGCCCGACTTCAGCGTTGTCATAGTCAGCCCAGCAAAAGGACGGAACCCCAAGCGTACTATATCCCTTCCCGAAACCCAGTCCCCCATGAAGCGCAAAAGAGGACGGCCGCTTCAGAACATACATGATCCCGACAACGTACCTACGTCAGAGATAGAGAAGAACCTGGCAATTCCGAACGAAAACCAACCAGAATCAGTATCTGTGGTTACTCCGAGGCCTGTTCTGGCGGAGGAGATAGAGCACAATACCACAGTGGATGCTGTCTTTTTTCAGCCATACTGTGCAAGCCAAGATGATTCTTCGCCGCTGTCCTCTCCTCTTTCCACGCCGCCTGCATCTCAAGAAATTGAGTATGAATTTACCAATGCCCCTATCAACCATGCAACGGTGGATATGTCTTTAGACAACGATAAAACTTCAATCCCAGAGGCATCTGTCCAGGTGCCAACCAACAGTGATAATAACCTCATCATGTCAACAGACGAAGTCATCAAGTTTGAAAAATCCACAGCAATCGATCTCACGAATGCACCATTAAAGATTGAACAGGATGTGCCCATCACAGCTGCCGCTGCGGAGGGACAAATAAACGAGGCCCCAACTTCATCTCAACTTACCACAGACTTCGCAACGAATGAAGCGGACGAGGTGATTGTACCCGATGTTGCTACGCCACATTCTCTCATCAGGAAGATTTTGGAAATCGATGGCCGTAAGCCGAATGGGCGTACAGCGAATGCATGGAAGGAACTACGGTGTTACCGCAACAACCAGGACATGGGCAGTCTCTTTGATGTACGGGAGACTTGGTTCTTGCAGAATGAACATGATTGAACAACACGATTGGTTTACATCGTCAGCCCTGCAGGCCGGGGCTCAATTGTTCTCATGGTGGGAAGGCCAGTGAAACATGTACCTGATAGCTTGCCCGGTAATGTCTGTGGGCCACTGCTGTAGATACCCATTGATTTTCCAAATTTGACAATGTCCCTTGAACGAGCTACAGATACATAATCTACAATTGTTGAAAGGTCATGGTTGGCATACTTTAAAACGTACAGGGCTGGATCGACATGTCCAAATTTAGCAGCTGCGTAATAGGCGCTCGGACCACCCAAACGCGGAGAGGACAGACAAGCTCCGTTATATTCAGCAACTTCAAGTCAATTGAGCGACGCCAATCGCAAAATGCGTCTCAAACCCTCAATCCTCCTGACATCGCTACTTTCAGCGACAGGGGCTTTTGCCAGCGAAGATCCAAAGGATGTCTCCGTCTTGATCAGAGAGGCCGGACGCGCTAGCAATGATTCTCTGCTATGGGGTCCCTACAAGTCGAACCTTTACTTTGGCGTGCGCCCTCGTATCCCGAAAAGTCTTTCCGCAGGACTGATCTGGGGTAAAGTGGACAACTACGCCGGTGCCCAGCAAAGTAAGGTGCTACCTCCATTGTGTGAACCTCAAAGCTAAGATCCCCAAGACTTTAGACACACCTGCGAACAAAATGAAGGAATGGCTGGATATGGCTGGGACGAGTACGATATCAGAAAGGGTGGCAGGGAGACTATTCACGACGCCGAGAACAACTTGGACCTGACAATCGATTTCATCAAGGTCCCTGGTGGCCAGCATGGAGGTAGCTGGGGTTTCCGAGTCAAGGGTACACCCAGTGATGGAAATCCCCATCAGCCTACGTCGATGATTTTCTACTCCACTCTGGAAGGATTCGGGCAGCTGGGCGTTGAAACCGAGTCCTCTGAGAATGGCATTGAGGGCGACGTGAAGCTCGGGGGTTCCTCCATGGAACTTGGCGATTTCACCATTGAGGTCACCAATGGACCGAGCGATAATTCCCACCCTCGCTTTGAACACCAGAGCTCCAAAGATAAACCCTTGGAACGCAGCATTGTGAATAGTGTTGTCTTTCCAGAGGAGCAACTTTGGCAAGCAAAGGGGATTTTCTTCACTCAGATGAAGGCTTCGGTCGATGAGGCTTTGGAAGAGTATGGAAAGGAGAACATTCCGCCTCCTCCCCAACTTTTCACTGTCCCACACAAGCCTGGTCATGGCAATGCTCATTTTGTGCAGAAGGTCTTTTCCGGTGAATTCCAGTTTGATGTCTTGTTTTCTTCGGGTTCTGCACCCAAGCCGTTGACCTCAGACGTTCTTACCAAGGAGATCAAAGAAGCATCTGAATCTTTCTCTGAAACCTTCGATCAACTCCTGCCGCCCCAGGCACCTTTTGATGAACCGAAGTACTCCAAGTTCTCCAAGGCAATGCTTTCTAACCTCATCGGTGGAATTGGCTTCTTCCACGGTGATGACATCGTGGATCGCTCCGCCAATCCCGCCTACGAGGAGGAGAATGAAGGCTTTTGGGAGGAGACTGCCCAGGCCAGAGCTGCTGTTCAGCCCGTTCTCGAGGGCCCCAAGGATCTCTTTACCTGTGTGCCTTCCCGGCCCTTCTTCCCCCGGGGTTTCCTTTGGGATGAAGGCTTCCACTTGATGCCTGTCATCGAATACGACACCGACCTTGCGTAAGTTCAGCGTCACCCACCGTGGAATCAAAACTAACGAACCTGATCTTATAGACTTGAGATTATCAAGAGTTGGTTCCACTTGATGGATGAAGATGGATGGATTGCCCGTGAACAGATTCTGGGCCAAGAGGCACGGAGCAAGGTTCCTCCTGAGTTCACTATTCAATACCCTCATTATGCAAACCCACCCACCCTGTTCATGGCACTTGAGGCATTCATGGATAAGGTCAATGGCAACATCAACAAGAGCACAGAGTCCGAGAATTTGAGCAACCAAGATGCCACTGCAAGCTTGCGCTCTGCCACTGTCCGACACCCAGAACTCTCACAGGCATACCTCCGCTCCTTCTACCCACTTTTGAAGAAGCATTACAACTGGTACAGAACCACCCAACGTGGCGAAATCTCCTCGTATGACCGTGAAGCTTTCTCCACTAAGGAAGGTTACCGCTGGCGTGGGCGTTCCGTCCAGCATATCCTGACCTCAGGTATTGACGACTACCCCCGAGCCCAGCCACCGCACCCTGGTGAGCTGCACGTCGATCTCATCAGTTGGATGGGAATGATGACTCGCACTATGCGCCGTATTGCCCAGAATCTTGGTGAGGAGGATGATGTCGAGGAGTTCGCCTACTACGAGACCGCCATCACTCGCAACATTGACGATTTGCACTGGGACGAGAAGGAGCAAACCTTCTGTGATGCTACCATCGACGAGTATGAAGAGAGTGTCCATGTTTGCCACAAGGGCTACATTACCATCTTCCCCTTCCTGACTGGTATGCTGGGCCCTGACAGCCCGCGTCTTAAGGCTGTTCTGGACCTAATCGGTGACCCCGAGGAATTGTGGAGTGACTACGGTATCCGCAGTCTGAGTAAGAAGGATAAGTTCTACGATACCGATGAGAACTACTGGAGAAGCCCTGTCTGGATCAACATCAACTACTTGGTGTTGAAGAACCTATATGTAAGTGCTGATTGACTCGTGGAGCTCTCATTTCCCCTCTAACATTTCCCCGCAGGACACTGCGACTGCCTCTGGTCCTCACCAGGCCCAGGCGCGCGAGTTGTATAACACTCTGCGCAAGAACCTGGTTGAGAATGTCTTCCGCGAGTGGAAGAAGACTGGATTCGCCTGGGAGCAGTACAATCCCGATTCGGGTAGCGGCCAGCGCACTCAGCACTTCACCGGCTGGACCAGTATGGTTGTGAACATGATGTCCATGCCCCAGCTGGCCGCGCCGCAAAATGCCCATGATGAATTGTAGGCAATCCGGTTCTTTGAAAATAGACGATTTAGATAGATAGTCGCCATTGTGATAGCTGTATGCATTCAATTTATCATTACATCAACACCTCCAACGCCATGCTAAAAGCAAGTTGAATCCGTTAAAACTAATGCCGACGATCGCGATCATCGCGATCTCTCCTGCGTTCGGGGTGTCGCCTGCTGAGCGCAGGGGAGTAGCTGCGCTCAATGCGCCGACGTCTCTGATGCTCCTCGTCCTTGCGGCTCGGCCGACTACGAGAGCGCGAGTCCGAACGACGTCTGTGGTGGTCTCGACCGCGAGATCGGGAGCGGGATCTGGGGCGGTGCCGGCGTTCACGATCTTCATGGTGCCTGCGATGTTTGCGATCCTTGTCGCGACGATCATCAGTGCGGTAGTCGCGTCTGTGTTCCCGGCGGGGGCTTCGACTTCGGTGACGATGTCTGCGGCTCGAACGATCTTTTTCCTTTCCGGCATCGGGCATTTCTTCTTCCTTGGGTGCCTGGCTGATGCCGCCATCGCCGAGGGGAACCATATTGGCGTTTTCGGATGCTTTAGGTGGCACTGGAAGGCCTAGAGCGACGGCCATGGCTTCTTCTTCGGCCTCCTTGACGCGCTGTAGCTCTTCCCTCTCTTTGCGCAGCCTTTCTTCCTCATCAACATCCCCTTTGGCATACCACCCAAGATCTCGGTTCTGTTGCCATCTGCCGACCGGGGCCATCACAGAGTGACCAAGGTAGTTCTCCCTGTGGGCCGAGTCCTTGACGTCGGACCATTTGAACTCATTTCGGCCGCCGCTGAACGAAACAGGTTAGCCAAGCTCAAGCACGCACGGTTTGGATTGATAATTACCGGCTACCCTCTTTGCGTACACTCGAAACCAAGTCCATGCTGGAGATGTGAAGTGATAAAGTACCAAATGCGGAGTTTAGCCTATTTGCACGGCCGGGCGGTGAGCCGCCTCATTTCATCATATGTCGCGGTCCCCCCCACTGCTGGGTATAGCTCGACCATGTCTACTTTACAAAATTTCTACTGTCCTCTTTTCTTTCCTTTCACTTGCTCGCCAGAAATGACAGCTTCATCTCTTTCATTGAATGCTTCCCACATTGACCGTTCAGATCTCAGGAAGAGCTCTGTAATTCGTCACTCATAGTCGTTTGCCATGGCTACTCCCCTCACCGAGGAAGCTGGTCCTACAGACTATCCTGAGGATTACGGAAAAAGGCTGAAGAACTACCGACCGAAGATTCAGGCCCTCAATGTTGAGACAGAGCAGCAACGGGTACGTTTTCTTCCACCTCATGTGCTAGACTTCCACTAACTGTTACAAGTTTTCACGGTGAGTCATTGTGCGTATGCTGCACAGGACTGTTGATGCTGATTGCATGAAGGGATGACAACCATAAAAAGCCAGACATATCTACCTGGAGATCTAACTTGGTGGGTATCCCAGGCCAGAAAGCTCCCGGATTTATTGATACTAGTTGAAAATTGTGATCTTGAATCTGACTTTTCACGACTTACAGGCGGCACTCTCACAGCGCCGAAATCTGCTTTTCACAGCCCAGGGATACGACATTTATGTATGGATACCAAGGGGCTCCAACCAGCTGCTTGGCTCTCAGCCTGAGATGATAATTCGTCCGGTCATGAACAAACCCCACGCTTCTGGCTACATTGCCCCTGCAAGACCCCACACAATCAACCATATCATTGTGGATGACCTAGGAACGGACGAAGTCTTGTTACTTGCAACCGACTCCGGCAATGTCACCGGCTATCATGTGGAGGCTATCTACTCAGCAATAGGCCGATGTTTGAAACTCAATAACAAACAGCCGTTTGATGGTGTTGAGGTGAAGCCATTCTTTGTCGAGTATGTTGGAAAAAGTGCATGGGGCTTGGCAACTCATAAATTTGCTCGCCTGATCGCTGTGAGTGCAAACACTGGCTATATAACTGTGTTTGCGTTTGCCATGGTGGACGACGAATTGTTTGGCGATGGATCCTCCTCTGATACCTCCGAGATTTTTGGCATCGAGCAATCTAGTCAATTGGGGCAAACCTGGCTTGTGATTGAAGATGATGAAGAACTGGCCGAAGTGAAAAGGAAGATGCCCAATCATCGGACCCGCAACCTACGACTCCACTACGCGGGCCATTATGAGAATATCCCATGCGTGTCATTTGCCAACTTCGACCTGGATCCAAATGGTACGTGGATGATCAGCACCGACATTTTAAACAGAGTTTTAGTTTGGAGAGTTTGGGACGCAATGGGCCCCGTCAAAGAGTCCACTTATGGACATCCACGGAATAATCACCCAGAGAGAGGCTGGTTTGTCTTACCTATTGATCCACGCAGGGTTCAAAAACACCGTTTGAAGGTCGACGCGTGTGGATGTATACCAATGGACGACCCTTTCGAAAACCAGATAATTTTCGACACTTCTGATTCGATCCACAGTATCACTGAGTGGCCAACAAAGCATAGTCCATCATATCACCAACCTCTACCAACTCGCCATTATTTGCCTGATGATGTTTTCTCCCCTGATTGCATTACTAGACAACGCTCTGCAACGAGATTTCCCAGCCCTGGACCCGATTTATCACCTGTGGAACCACCTTTCGATGGATCCCATACCGAGGCCATTGATGATTTGGCACGAAATTCAGATACTGACCACGAGAGTGTCTGTGATGTCGATGCTGAAAACATAATGCCCGAAAATCCGCCGCTCCGAATGGAGAGCGGGATCGTGGATCTGGTCGAGGATGCAAATGAACACTTCGACCCCTTTAAAACTACCCCCAACACGATAAATGACTTTGAAACTCACTTGGAATTGCAGCAACGTTATCTATTGCATCGTAAGCAAGACACAAAACCACGTTCATAGTTTGCAGAGCTGACCCAAAGTTTAGCTCAAAATCCTCAGTTCTATCCGGTCATTCACTTCTCCGAACACGACATCAGTCTGGCCTCTTATCCGTGCGATGCCCGACTACAAATTCTCGCTCAGTCACCACTTACCAACACGGCTCCCCGAAACTTACGTATCCATCAGTCCTGCGATCGGATGAACATGATCAAGTACATCCCTGAGCTGGGACTCATCATTGCCGCCTCTCAGGAAGGCCGGGTCGCCATAATTTCGCTTACCTGGCAGGCTGAAATTGGCCATTCTTTCCGCATTGACTGGATCGTCCCATTCGACTCACAGGTCACGGATCCAGACTACCCAAAAGTACCTCTTATGGGAATGGCTGTAAGCCCGATGCCTGGATTCGAGCAGCCACCTGATATTCCGTGCATTCCTCGAGATGTCGATCCAAAAGAGTGGTTGAAATTTGATTACCGTCTGCTCAACCCCGAAAAAGATGCATCCTCTGATATTTCATCCGAGTCAGCCTCTCCCCATCGTTTCAACCCGAACACAGACAGCCCCAATAACGACGAATCTCTCGATACGTCAGGATCCAATTCCGATTCTCGACGTTTCAAATCGGACAGAGACAGCCCTGAGTCACCATCTGCTGGCCAGAATGACCAGGGATCTGCGATGAGCCCATCCTTACCCCCTTCCAATCCCGACAGCAATGGCTCAGAAGACGACGGTGATCCCTCCCTTCTTACAATCCCCGAGCTTCATTCCCGTGGTTCTGCTATCTACCGGCCTCGCGAGAATTGGCACGGCTGGCACCCGAGCCGGCATTACCGACTGCTGTTACTGTTCTGCAATCACACGGTCATGAGCTATGAGTTCTGGCACACCTGGATGAACTGATGTGATTCTGCTCGGCTTGCGAAATGTAATCTAGCACCCATATCAGTCAATAATGCTGCCTTTACCTGTTGGGACTGCGAAGAAGGACCATGTATGTGAATTGAGATAGTAATGAAACAATGTTCATGAAGTCCAGCAAACAGTACGAGTATAAAATTATCCTAGCTCTGGGATGATCAACTCATACCGCACGGTAGTCAGTAGGTAGTTATAGAGTATGGAGCGTTCAAACTTCAAACTTCAAACCCACCAGTCTGTGTCATTTCGGCTGCTGTGGCGGGTTTCTGGGCTTCTTGAATCCCGCGATGAATCAGCATTACATGCCATCGTCGCCTTATTCCGAGATGGGTCTAGTAGATGGCTTCGTTTGGTACGTGTTGGTGCATGTCCTCCCACCATCCATTCCGGCCCGATTTTCGTATTGAGGCTTAATCCATATCCATGGAATCCAAATTGTCCCCGGCCCCTAGTCGGTAGGCCGAACCAATCATGCTGCGCTTGTTCATTTCCTTTCGGCATGTGGGTCCTTCTGAAGAGCCCATCTAGGTATGGATCTTCCACAAGGCGTGCATCATCCACAGTGTACTGGCCCTGCGCAAGGCGTATTGTAGTACAAGAGTTTGATCAAGTGCATAGTACTAGTAGTTGATGGATGGACAACAATGCTGTTATCACTCATTCGGTTACTCTCATTGCGTGTCATCATGTAGAAGAAACGAGAATCTACTGGCAATAGCATGTAGAGGATTTAGGCTTTCGAATAGTGTCAATGGCTTGGCATCAGCCTGAGTACACTTCTCATCTGGATTCAGCTTTTATAGTCATGCGGCTCATTTCTTCATCATTCGGGGTGTTTCTCAGCCTCCCGGCTGTGCTTCCCGGTCCCAGAAGTAGGATCATTACGGGACTTCGTCGAGGAATATCGCTGTCTTCTTCTCACATGTACCAGAAGCGTATTAGTTGATGCATGAAGTATTTTGTCGGTGTTTTTGAGTCATTTCTTGAGTCAAGATAGTTAAGAAACGTACTTGGTGAAGTAGTACTGCGCCAGGAAAGCCTATTCCGGGTTCTGAACAGCACCCTTACTGCCTTGCGTTTCTCGGAAACTAGCCAACCATTCATGATTATCAGCCATCGTTTGGTTCCACTGGTCTTCCGAATCAAACAAAAGCCGTCTTGCCTCGAGTTGAAACATTTCATCGGTGGGGATGATGCCGCTGCCCATCATATGTCGTGCGTAATGGCTCAAATGACGCGTGAGGACTTCCGTATAAGAATCCAGTTGAGTATCCTGAGCAAGATGTAGCCCCGTTTCCGAAAATTCTGGAAGAGGTTGAGGCACACCTGCTTCATCCGCAAACGCAGCTCGGGACATCATCTGGGAGAGATGATCATTGACATCCCTGTTAGTGGCCGAAAAAGGAACGAAACTTCGTGACTCAAAGTCCAGCATATAGGGCGGGACACTGTGTGTGAGCTGTGCAGTGATGTCTGGAGGAAAGTCATGATCTCCTTTCCAGTTGGCCATGGTGGATCCCTTGCGAAAGTGAAATGTCAAATGATCGGCTCTCTCCTCCCAGCTGGACATTCGACCGTCACAGAATCCGCACCGAGAAGGAAGATCGGTCTTAAGTTGTTTCCAGTCATCGACTAATGGCATAGTCTCGAGATGATGGAAGAGTCGAAGATGTTGTAGGAGATGATCTTTTCTTCGGAAAGTACGCATTCGTTGTTGGCAGGGCCCGTGATTGTGTTGATCAAGGTGCTGTAGCGATGGATCAAGCTGATTGCAATAGGCACAATGAGCTCTACCGGTTGCTTCCATGACCACAGCCCCTCCAAATGGCGTGCAAACCCAGGTTTCTAAATTAAGGTGTAGAGCCTTTTCGTGGCGCATCCAGTCATATTTGCTCTTGAACTTATCACAGCAAAACGTACAGCAGAATATGCGAGGATTGTTAGCCGAGCTTCTTTTTGCTCTGTTTGCACCGGCTTGTTTCTTTGTTTTCTTTTGAACCCCCGAAGAAGTCTTATTGGCAGGCGCTTGGCTCCCGTTAGACAAAGCGGAAAGCCCTGATCTATTAGAGCGCTGAGAAGACATACTTGTAGCACTTTCTCCACTTGTTGTGGATGGTGCTCGGGATGCTGAGCGACGATGCACTCGGAATAAATGCTCTGCTCTTGAATTGGGTGTACCGGGGGTCTGAGATCTTCCGGGATAAGCGGAAGATTGTTCAAGTGCGTCTTTTATAGCGGATAGACTTGCAGCCTCGCCCTCAGGTGGCGATTCTTTCCAGCGCTCCAAGGGATCTGATGGAGCTGCAGATGGCGGAATGAAGGCGGCATTTAATCCATGATCGAACTGTTGGATCGTGTACCTGCTTCTTCGCCGAGGAAGCCCCTTGTGACCTTCTAGCTGATCTCCTGGTACATTGTGTCTTGATGTTGAGATCGAGTGCTTGTGCTCAAGATTTTCACATGGCGATGATGCAGTTGGCCCAGATGGGTGACCGAATGATGATTGATTAACTTGAACGGGTTCGCGTGTAGGGATCAAATTGAATGATTCATCCAGCCAAGCAAATTCATCATGCTCTTTGGGAACTGAGTCACCGAAGGCTGCCATAAGAGGATCTGAGCTCTTATCTGATGGCTTGCCATGCGTGTCGGTTTCAAGTGGAATATTTGCCGCATTGGAGTCAAGGTCTTTGGCGGAAACGAAGTCTGCACTATTTGCCCCCGGGGGTAGCGGATCTATTGGACCCGACCATGAATATGAGCATGCACCATTGGTGTCTTCAGAAAGGTCGAGCAACCAGTCAGCTTGAAGCTCGATGTCTTCTCTAAGGACTGATGTGCATGTCAGTGAAATCCCCCGCATTTCGAGTTGGCAGCATTCGTACATTCGAAGTCTTGAAACGGACCAGCCATCTTCACATCCAATTCCCTCACTTGCGGCGGAGATATATAAGCCAGATAGTTGGATATTTATGTATATTCAAACATATTGCAGGCAAGCTGGGGTGCAAGAAGCTAGTGGCAAAAGAAGAACGGATGAATCATGAGTCGTGTACCCCGGGACTCCAGGGCTCTGTACGCAGCAAATGTGGCAGAATAGGAGACCGCCTTATCATTCGCCAGAGACGAACTGTCAAGTCTTTTGATTCATCGATAGATGTTCTCCAAGGTTACTTTGCTGCTTTTCACAGAGTACATTATGTGATCATACATGGAATCAATTTTTTTCTTACTTTGTAAGTATCTAAAATTCCTTCTCAGGCACCACCCTTGCCCATTTATGCGCTACGCGTCCATACATCATATCACCCAGCCATCCCTTGATTCTTCCTGTAATCTCGGCCGGTGTTCCATCAGGGCCAGTCGGTATTTTGATATCGCTGCCCCGGTGGTGAATCAGGGAGATTGGGGTGATAAACCACTAAGAGTTGGTCAGTATCTGGCTTCACGAGAATTCGAGCGCGGGACCATAACTTACAGCTGTTCCTGCAGCGAATGACTCCAACAGTCGGCCCTCTGCAGCAGCCTCCTGAATTTCGTCAATTGTGAACTTGCGCTCGGTGACTTCAAATTCATCTCCCAGGCGATCCTTCACTAGCTCAAGGCAACTTCGGCGGGTGACTCCGTTCAGAATAAGCTGATCATCGAGAGGTGCTGTGATAAGCTCCTTCTTGCCGTCTTTGCGCTTCCAAATCACAAAGAAGTTGCTTCCACCTGCCTCAGTGCAGTCACCATTCGGGCCATATAGCCACAAGACCTGATGATAACCTAACCGAGAAGCTTCCTGGGAGACCTTCACCGAAGGTCCATAGTTCGCACCGACCTTGGCATAACCAAACCCGCCCACCCAGGAACGCACCATGTCATCCGGACTTGTCAATAGGCGTTTGCCACCAAGAGGCGTATCCACACGCGGCGTATAGCCAACAATGATGTACAGCAGGGCCTCTGTTGGCCTTGTCACGCCGAGCTGGGGATCTGTCCCAATCATTGTGGGGCGCACATATAGGAAATCCCCAGCGCGACTCTTCGGTAGCCACTTGGCCCCGTCTACCGCAAGCAACTCATAGATCAGCTTCTCCAGCTCGTCTGCGTCAAATCCGGGAAGGGAAATTCGCTCGGCGGACATCTGAAGGCGGCGCACGTTTTGGTCGGCTCGGAACATTCGGAGTTTACCATCATCGCCACGGTAGGCTTTGAGTCCCTCGAAACATTCGTATGCGTAGTGAAGGCAGGATGCGCTAGGAAGCAGGCTGAGAGGACCGTAGGGTTTTAGCTGCGGGGCAGACCAGCCAGTCTCGACATCCCAAGAGGCTACGATCATGTGATCCGTACAGAGTGTTTTGTGGTTTTTCGCAAGTGTTTCAGCATCGGGGACTGGTTGTGGGGTGGTGGTGTAGGCATATGTCAGTTTAGATGCGTCGAGCGACTGCGGAGAATTCATGTGGCAACCCATGTTGAGGGAAGAGGCAATGACGGTTGGAATTGATTGACTAGGCATGATCTCTATAAAATATTTATAGATATGAAGTATCCTTCAGATAGCTTTGAAAAAGTTCTGTTTCTGGCACGCCCTGTGGGGACGTTGAGATGGCACGCCCTGTAGAGTGGGTACGGGTGATGGGGCTGAGATGGCATTACGCCGGGCCCGGGCCCCGGGGGCGATACACATGGATTTGAGAATTGATCATAACCCACTTGATTCCTACTTCTACATGTTTGCTCCCTTTTCGCTATTTACGCCAGCCTGCTTCCATAGATTTTTTCTTCTCTCGTCAATAATTTATTCGCTATTTGTTAAATTGGACCTTTGATGCTCATCTCTCTTCCAAATTTGCTAAAAGCTAGCCATCCTCATAGTCTAGTTGGGAAATCCTACACTTTATGCTTACTTCCAGTGTTGCTTTGTATTCAATGATATTTACTCCTGAACTCCTCTTTAAAGTTAAGTCATTCTCATAACTAACCACAAGATTTCGATGTTGCGCCTAGTTATCAGATAGAACGTGGCTATCGGGTTTATTAGACACTGTCTCCTTTGCTGCTTCTTCCTTTGCTGCCGCCTCCACTAACTTCTGCCGAAGAAGAAGAGAGAAGGAAAGCACCCACATCTAATTGACAAAGTCCTGGTGCATTCCATAAGCCCCTAGGCCGGTAATTATGGCAGAGGCATGCGAAAGCAACAAATTACCTAGACATCCCTGTTGACTGAGAGTGCCATTGCCAATCGCGGTCTCCCTTTCATGTTCCTGCACCATGCGCTTATACTCCTCGAGCTTTGGCTTAGTTCGATTGATACGCGCAATTGCTAGGGGTTTTGTTGCCACATGGAATGGCGGTTCCACATCTAGTCCTGTCAAGATAGGAAACTGTGCCTGTACCTCAATGGGGGCCGCAATAACACTGTCAAAATCAATGACAGCTAGGATTTCGAAATTCTCATTGACAAGAAGGTTATGAGCTCCGAAGTCTGGATGTGCAATGCCGAACGGTCCTCGAACTGACTTCTCCTCGGTGTACATCGAAATGAGCCGTTCGAAGAGTACAGGGAGGGAAAATGAATAATTGTCCTGCACCTCTTCTGGGGCGTTTCGAACAGCATGCTCCAATTTCTGCTGGGCCAGATAGCGATAGTATTCAAGAGAAGACTCCCAAGGGCCTTGCCCGGATGAACAGTCGGGTCCGACATAAAAGTCCCCTGAATCTAGATCTTCATACAGTGGTCCTATTTTGTCAAATTGCAGTGATGCCATCTCGACCTGCAAAGCCGCCATTTGTCGTCGGAACTTTTGGTCTTGCTCGGTTGTCCCGAACTGACCCAAGGGAGCATCTACTTGATCTCGTAGTTCAGACGCGACTATACCAGGAATATACTCCATAATCATGTACGGTGCCCCCACATTGTCAGATTTGGGTTCGAAGTGATAGAGCTCTGGGACAGGGATGGAGCTTCGTGTTCTTCAAAATAGAAGTAAGCACAGTTTCTAAGGTTGACACTCAACCATCCTTCAGATGGGAACAAAATGTCAAGGATATTGAGTAAAAACGAGAAAAGAAGGGAAAACAGACCTGAAAAATTTCATACATGCCGCCTCCGAGGACAACGCCTTGCTCACGTCTTGGTGAAGATAATCCTCTTCTAGGTCTGGCATCCTTAGACGGACAACCCAATGCTTTCCATCTTCGAATACTACCTGCCGAACCATATTGAAATGACCAATCGAGAACTTCTCCGAAAGGTGGCATGGCATATCTCGATGGTTGGAACAGATTGTGGTCAGACGGTCCCATTTGATATCCTGCAGGAACTTATTCGCTCTTTGTGTGAATTCACTATCATCCTCGTACTCATCAGTGCCCACCCATGTGGCACTTCCAAGGTCGACTTGATTCGAGGAAGGAGACGCCATTTGAACAATGCTGCGGTAAGGTTCAAGCTTTTTGGCAAAAGTTAGACACCCGTGAGATGGACCAGGTCTAACTGTCAGGATATACCTAGTAAGAAGAGATGAAATATGGCAAGTTTTCTATTAGCAGAGCGAGGGAGCGGGGAGGGAGAGATGTATGACCGGGGTGGGGAAGACACTGCCTGTAGTACGAAGCAAACACCTCCAGGGCTATCCGACCCAAGAATAAGCAGAAAACGACCGCACAAGTGCCCAGGTGAACTAAAACAAGTTATGGCAGGGAGTACCATTGGTTGATAAATGCCTCACCTGTTTACATACAAGGGTGTAGTTTGTTATAGCGCCCAAGAGGGATGATTTGGGTCCAATTCTCAATGAGTCGGGCTATTCCAGGTCCCACGTTGGGTCTCTCATTATTTGCAACAGACTACTCCGTATTGTTGTTGTTTAATTATCATACCGAAGTTGCCGCCCTTAGGAGGCCAACCTGGGTGCTAACCGCTCCCCCGCCCCTCCCTGTACTAAACGCCCTCGGAGCCGGTTGCCCTGTACCGGCAGCTTCTAATATGTAAGATATGTCCTTAAGACATTGATCCTATTCACCCTTGGCATCAAATCTCATTGGCAAAGCTTCCGGGGGAAAGGAATTACGGTTTGATCGGCAGTTGTTCCAAGTACCAATTTCTCCATCATGGGATCCATGCCGACGGCCCTCGATATGTACATAGACCAAGCCATTCAGCGTCACAGCTTGAGAAAGAAATGGCCAGGTGGTCTTGGCGCTAGCGCCTTGTCGGTTTGAATAACATATTTCGTGCCCAGGTGTTGGCTGCCATAGCGGTATTTCAGTACGAACAGTATTGTTTCTTGAGAAAATGAGACCGTCCAAAAACGGATGGATTCCAAGTAAAGCGCTAATAAGAGATGAATGATAGCAGAAAAAGGAATGCGCATTGCTCTTTAGCGACCGGCGTCGAGAATACAAATTTTTACTCGCCATGATCCTGGTGTACAAGAATTGATATCCCTCCAGAGGTCGGCATGCTTGCCTCCGGATACTGTGAACATCTTCGATCACTGCCCAACTGTGTGGGTCCGGCGTGGTCAGCTTTGGCCGGGTCCACAAAATAAACTCAGCCAGGCGGCCCCTGGAGCGCTTCAGCCCGCGCCCATAACCCAACCCATTACTGCTCAGGTGGGCTGGGGCGGAAGTCTAGACAGCCCGAGTGTGCCGACTACAGTACAAAGTTGATAACTATCCTATCTTTGTCGATGGCAGGTAGCAGATTGGCAAGAATGAATATAAGGCTTCAGGACCGCTGGGTGGTCATCATCTGTCGGGAATCTCTTCGAAGTTGTCATGTCCCCGGGTATCGTTCCAACCTTGGAAGGTTGCCAGGTTCTTTCAACTTTCCGGCACATGCAAAAATCCCCGAACCCTCACAGAAACGCCGACTGATGCATTGAATTCTCTCAGAGCGCGCGAGAGTGGAGCGCCTATCGGTATCACGGCGAATGGCCGAAACTACCGGGGGCTGAGTTGAACGAGAAGACACGATGGGACCGAGGAATCCAAGGTTTGGGATGGAAATGAGCGGCCGGCCAAGGCTGAGCCAAAGAGCAGGGCAACAGAAATCATCGATCTCGCTGGCAGGAACCCACGAATAGATCAAACGATTTCTCATCACCCATTCTCCCGACCATTCCAAGATGGAGTACTCTCACTATTACAATTCAAGCCGCTTGACTACTGAGACAGAGACTGCTGCAGCAACTTGCATGCAGAATCTCTCCAAGTGGATGCCCGCCGTCAATGAAATTCGCACCTGGCCAGAGTACACTACACAACCCCTACGCACTCTCCCCAACCTCGCACATAAACTCGGAGTCCAAGAAATATTCGTCAAAGACGAGAGCAGACGCTTTGGAACGGAACTTGGCTCTTTCAAGGCTCTTGGTGCGCCCTACTCTGTCTACAAGATTTTAGCGGAGGAGGTGCACGCAAAGAAGGGTGTTTGGCCGACATCAGCCGAGCTCCGCACTGATAAATATCACGACATTACGCAGAATATCACTGTCTGCGTCGCAACAGACGGCAACCAAGGCCGTGGTCTAGCATACGGCGCCAAGATATTCGGATGTCGCTGTGTCGACTACATTCACAACCATGTCAGTGAAGGTCGTGCCAAGCGCATGATGGACTTGGGTGCGATTGTTATTCGCATTGACGGTGAATACGAAGCTTCGGTTGGCCGGGCAAAGGAAGATGCTCGCATGAACGGCTGGTACTTCGTCAGCAGCACTTCCTGGTCCGACTTTGATAATGACGTCCCCCAGCACGTCATGAACGCCTACATGGTCGTCCTCGAGGAGGCGGTCGCCTTGACCCCCCAACTTGATCACATCAGCCATGTCTTCGTCTGCGGTGGTGTCGGAAGTATCGCCGCTGCTATCTTCCAGGGCTTCTACACTCATCTCAGTCGGGACCAAACAACGCCTGCTCATATGCCACGCTTTATCCTTGTTGAACCTTCCGAAGCAGACTGTCTTTTGCAGAGCGCGAAGAGCGGTCAAATGCGTCAATCCAATGGTACGCTGCGTACATTGATGGCTGGTCTGGCTTGCCGTGCGCCTTCTCCAGCCGCATGGAAGATCCTCACTTGGTTAACCAGTGATTTTATTGCTGTTCCCGATTCAGTTACAGTGGATGGTATGAAAGCACTGGCAAATGGAAATGAGGGTGATATCCCTGTGGTTGTTGGAGAGTCGTCGGCTGCTAGCTTGGGAGTTATGCTGGGATCTGGTGCCGATCCAATCCTTCGCCATAAACTAGGATTGGATGAAAACAGCCAGGTCGTTATCTTTGGATTAGAAGGTGCAACCGATCCACAGATATACGAGTCTCTGGTAGGAAAATCACCTGCGGCTGTATTCGAGGCTCAAGATCGCTTCATCGCCCAGATTCCAGTGTGATCTGCCGCTTTTGAAGTGCGAAATAATAACCGAATAATGATTCTCGATGTTTCCTGGTTTGTAGATAAATGGCCTAACCTTGGAAGCTGATCTGTTACACCCAGGGCGTCAGTACTTCACCGGAAGGTTGTCTGTTCTACTACCTAGGTAGGTAGTGAATGTGTGCTTTACGTTGCCAAAATACTATGCATTGTTCGGTCTAGCCTTAGAATGTATCTATCCATGCAATTAAAGAACTAATCCACGGATATTTTGAGGGCAGTTGATAGAAACAAAAGTTTGCCATATTGGAAAGGCCGTATAGTCATTGAGCACGTTAAGTCATAAGGAGGCGAAAGCATCTATACTCTGCGGGTTCTAAAAGATTCAGAAATCTTCTAGCTCATCACTATCCCACTCGTCTTCGCGATCATCCGCTGCAAGCTGGACGAATCGCTCAAGACCCGGCCATCTGCCATGGCCCCAGTCTGCTCTCTCTTCATTTCCCGGACCGTCTGCGCGAACCTGTAGACGGCGCACTGGACGGCGAGGTTCCTGGCGCGCTTGATCAGGTGCGTCGTATGCTTGGCCTGCATCTCGACGTCGCACTTCATTCATGGCTCTAGCCTGAGCACGGCGCTCAGCTGCTGCTGCACGGGCCGCAGCATGGTCAGGACGACGAGCGTTGACAGGTGGTGGGATTGGAGCTGGGGGCGGAGGGAGATGGAGTATATCTTGATCATTGTCGAACTCGAAAGCGGGGTGCTCTTCATCATCGCCTGCAGGTATCATCACTGCAGGCGGTTCGTCGTCAAAATTGAGTAGTGCTTCTGGAATGCGGTGCAGGGCTTCGGCGCCGTCAGGATTGAGGCCGTCACCGCCCTCAAGGTCCCAAAGACGGTTGTAACATCGACCAGATGGATCGTTAAAGTGTTTATATGGATTGTCTGGCAAAAGCCAGGCAGAGCACAGGTAGCAAAAGTGAGTATCGCACTGGAAGCAACGCATGTGGTTACATCCCATTTGCTTTTGGCAAGGCACGTTGCAAGTCGGGCAGGGAGTGGTATAAAGCCGGAGGTACTCTTCGGTGGCTTTTTCTTCCTCTGTCGGCTCGCCTTGGCGACGGGGGTAGCAGCGGAGCAATTCGCCATGCCAGCCTTTCTTACAGACGGAACAAAAGGCGTAGTTGCAGTCCTCGCAAATTGCGACCCGTTCGGCCATTGGAGGTAGCTCGCCATCATCCTCTTCTGGGTTCGTGCCATCAGGAGGATCTTCCTCATCAGACAAATCGGGGTCGTCCACCATCAGGTCTTCTGGCTTGGGGTGCTTTTTGGATCGAGCGGCTCCCTGGCACCATTGTCGCGGGCAGTAAACAGTCGTCTTGTCGGCTTCAATTTTTTTCTTTCGCTTGAGGAATGCGTATCTTTGTACCACCTCGGGGGTTAGAGGAATTTGGAGCAGCTCACTTGGCCCCAGTGTGCGATCACGTTTCTTTCGGGGCAGGTTTTGTAGGTCGCCATGCACTTGAGCGTCTCGAGGTCTTTTATTGGATTCGCAATCTGGTGCCACGCATTTAACGCTGTCCACATCACCCTCGGCAATACAGGAATTGTAGAAATCCTGCAAACATTGGACACAGAATACGTGAGAGCAGCGAAGTAATCGATAGCAAACTGTGCCCTTTTTAGGCTCAAGACAAACCCCGCACTCAAAGGTTCCCTGTTCGAATTTCTCACGCTCTGCCTTGATGTTATAGTCCAACAAGGCAATCTTTAGGTCTCGCGAAAGGCAAACTTCACCCAGTGCGTTCTGGGTATGGAAAACGTTTTCGGCAAGCTGCTGGAGGTGATCGATGTATGTGAAGATAACCAGATCGTGATCACACTCTTCCCATAATCGGCGGCAGTCATCTAATAATAAACCCGTGGTAGAAGTTGGCAGCCACACAGGAGTGGAACTGAGATGAACAATCGGCGGTTTTTCGGAGGGGTAGCCCTCAGGTAATTCGATCTCAAGTTTCAACGGTGGCAAATGAGATAGTATATGAACATCCTTGGCAGGCTCATCCAATGGCCCCTTCGATTCATCTACTGACGTTGGCGGGGTGAGAGTAGGGGTCGGTGTAGGGTCGATAGGTGGTTGGAAATATACCGGGGTCGGTGACGATGGCGCCACTGGCAGCTCGAGGACGGCCCTGAACGGGTACTTGGGGTCGATTTGGGTTTCCGGGAAGATGGCAACAATAGAAGAGAGTTCAACCGAGCGGTCATCGTATTCAAGGTCCAGTTCATCCATGGCGGGTTGGGATCGGGGGTGTTGTGGAACAAATCGGAACAAGGCTCGCAGTAATTTCTCCGAAGGTGCAGGTGGGGTTTGCCAACGAACTTCGATACTGACGCTCTAAAAGACGAGAAGTCCGCCACAATCAGAGTGAGTAGTCGTTCATTGCCTTTCAGTGGGAGAATTTGAAAGCGTCTAGTGTTTATTCCAATCGGGAACTAGTGGTGTAAGTCGAGTCGGGCCGGCTCAAACACTTAGATGTGTAGATCACAAGTGATCAAGGTGTTTCCGGGCGAGGCCAATGTTCGGGGGAGAGCCGGGAAGGGTCTAAAAGGTGATGCAGTAGAGAGTCGGGGGTAAATAGAGAGAGCAAGTGCGTCATGGTTCGAGTATACTCCAAAAAGAACCCAACAGAGAGCAGATCGTGCAAAAAGTGGAAAGGGAAGTGGAAGAAATTGGGGTGAAATGTTGTGCCCGACTCCCCCGCCGGCTCTTATCTCTCTTATCATCTCGTGCCCAGCCCGGGTTGTCGTGTGCCCCGTGCTTGGAATCTTGGCTTTCCGACCCTGACACCCTGGAATCTCTTCTTCTGCATCTCCTAGCTCCGGAGCATTCTGCATCATGGGAGACACTCCACTGGCCTCGTTGTCTTTGACTCATGTCCATTACGTGAGTCATACAATTCCCGACTACTCATCGTAACCACTAACGTAAACAGAACCCCGATGACCAACTCTCCTTAGCTTCAGCTTGGTTGGCCCTGATTCCCCAGGCACTATGTGTCTCCTACGCAACCTTGATCTGGTCAACCAGAGAAGTTGAAGTTATCTTGATGTTTGGCGGGCAGATGGCCTGTGAGGGCCTGAACTTTGTCCTCAAACGGATCATCAAGGAAGAGCGACCGAAGGGTAGGTGTCACATCGGTCGGACCATTTTGAAGCCCAACTGACACGTGGAACAGAGATGTTTGGGAAAGGCTATGGGATGCCCTCCTCCCACGCCCAATTCATGACCTTCTTCTCCGTCTACCTCACCTTCTTCCTCCTTTTCCGTCACAGCAAAGCTTCCGCCAGCTCCTACCCCAACGCCGCCGTCCTCCTTCGATTCTTGGTTATGCTGGCTCTATGCCTGGGAGCTGCCGCTGTTGCCGCCAGCCGTATCTATCTCAACTACCACACCCCAAGACAGGTCCTTGCGGGCTGTGCCGCTGGATTCACGTGTGCCTGTGTTTGGTTCTTTATCACTAGCCTGCTCCGACGCACCGGGTGGATTGAATGGGGTCTTGAAATGACCATTTCCCGCCTGGTGAGAGTTCGTGACCTAGTGGTAAGTGAAGACCTGGCCGAGGCCGGCTGGCAACGTTGGGAGGCCCAGAGGCTGAAGCTTCGTGGCAGTAAGAAGGGAAAGAAGTCGGTGTAATCGCGATTCGCGATTCAATGTTCGCCATTTTTGCGTATACCTGAATAGATAGCGAAACAACTGTATATTTTAGTTCTTAGGTCAATTTGATTTGATATTTCGACACTTCTGTCGTATTCCATTGGTGTTTGGTGTACCTGTAGAAAGCACACGTGACTTCCGCCAACACCGCAATTCCAAACCCATCCCATCCCCCGCGACAATTGAGCTGGCAGGCTGTATTTTGATTTTCGATACGGTCAAGTAAACTTTGACTGCTCTATCATCACCTCTGCATTTGCTTTCTCACCTGATGTCTGGAGCATTGCGACCCTGGTGATCCACTTTTTGCCAGAATCCAGGAACACAATTCTAAGACTCCCAACATGGAGCTTCCGGTAGAGACATCCGGTTCCGCAATGGATGAGCAACACATAGTGAAGGCAGATGAAATCGACCAGACTGGGACGGACATCTCACCGGTCTCGGATGACCAGCTGATGGAAGAGGTCGCCGAGGGGCTTCGCCAGGAACAAGCCCAGACCGCGGCTGCCCCTGAGACCGCCGAAAAACCCATGAAGCGCCCAGAGCTGCGACGTGAGAGTTCTGCGCCTCCACCACCACTACAGCCGCCGCCTCCTGCGCCTGTGGAGAGTGACCGGCCTACGGATTCACTCAGCTTGGCTCAGCTGCGGAAGCTGGTGGGCGATCGGCCGAAGCTCGAGCAACCGGCATATGCTTTTGAATATGCCGATGCGCAACCATTTACTGAGGAGCTGGAAGAGTGGTTCCAGTACAACGACTTTGATCGCGTCATGCTAATGGGCACAAAATCCACCTTCAATCAACAATGGCTTGCTTTTTGCACTGAACGCCTACCAGGTACCCCAGAGGTGTCTTGGACTGATGCTTCGGAGGATGTGCGTCGCGAGTTTGTCTCGAAGCTACTCGCTGACCTGCACCTTACGACTCCTGCGGTGAGACTCGAGGCACTTGAAAGCATCTGTTACATTGTGACCGGTGTATGGGGTCTCACCGGAGGCCGGGTAGCAGCGAAATATCATGCGGACGGCGAGAAATCATCAGTTGAAACACCTCTCCTTCAATCAATGCAGATTGAGTATATCGAGAAGAGTATCTCACTTGTTCAAGAATGCTCAGGTCTTGCAACTCTGGTCGAGTACATGTGTCGTCTTTTCGATAAAACTCGCTCGGCGCTGGGAACCGAATCCAACGGCGCTGGATACGAAAAGCTCAGTCCCGGTGATATAGCTGCACCAGAAAGGGAAGCGAATCTGGTTCTAACCATTCTATATTTCGCCGTCGAAGTTGGTCGCAGACAAGAAGCGCAAAACGACCAGTGCACTCCGGTTCGCGATGCGTTAGCAGGTTCAAACCCAAGCCTACTGGTCGCCATCGTTGAGATCATCGCCCGGCTTCGATGGGACGAGTCAGCCAATATCCCACTCACCAGAATCTTACTCTTGCTCTGGAAATCTTTGCTCTTAATCTTTGGCGGGACTAACGACTTAAAACGCGCCAAGGAGGTCCTTGAGCCAGCTCTTTCTGCCGAAAATGATGAATCCAATCGCCGGACCCCATTCCTACACGCCTCACCCCTGGACTACCACCTCTTCCGCCAGGAAATTACTTCCAAATACCCGGCTTACAACCCCCCACCTCTAATCGTTCCTCTTGAGCTAGAGAACAACTCCATCCTTCCACCTCTTCCACACAATGCAATCAAAATGAACTCGTCCAGCGGCATATTCTGCGGCGCTGGCCCATCCGTTGCCGGAGGAAACGGCTCTATCCTCCAGCAAGCCGTGCACATCGCAACGCCTGCACCCTCACCTCCACCATCGCCCGTTGGCCCAGGAGGTAAGGTTGGAAAGAAACAAAATTATCAGACCAATCAAAATTTCCCCTTCATGTATCCGCCGTTGGATGACTCTAGTAATCGCATTGGCGGAAAAGGCACAACCGAACGCCAAGACGCATTGGTTGGCAAACGCTGGGAGGGTGGCGACGTACCAGCATCAATTGTTGAGGCTGGAAAGCTCTTCTCCACTCATGTCAAGATGACACGCGCTATGCGGCAGCTTTGGCAGGAGCGAGAACACTTTATGAGATACGACCGTGGATGGAATTCGGAGGAAGCAGCACATTTCCCCGATAACATGTCTGATGACCTTCCTGACGACTTCGAGCATTTGGACTTGTCTGGTGATGAGCAAAAGCCCGAGCCGAAACCGAAGCCTGTGGATAAAGAGACGGACGATCCTGACGTCCAACGCCGATTAGATGCAGTTGATTCCTTTTATGTTCGTGCACAGTGTCTTTCTACATCTTCGATCCGAGCTAACCTGCCTACAGACCCAAACTTTGTCCCATCTTCAATCCATAACAATTGTATTCTTGAAGATAATCTTGACGAATGTCAGCTCAGTGGTTAGTCAATCTGGAAGCCAGAATAGCCAGGCCACGAGGTGAGTTTTTCCATATCACACGATGTCGGCCTTTTTCGCTAATCTTGTATCAGTGATGGGATGAGCAATTCACATCATCTTCTCTCCGATGCATGTATCGACGAACTAGACAACATTCGCCTCAGAGAGATTACAGGGAAAGCGGTTTCTGGAACTCTGTTGCTCCTTCTCAAGTGGTTCAAGCGATCGCGTAAGTTCTTTCATTGCCGACAAAGAGCGTCCTACTAAAACCATAAAGATATTCTCAAATTCGAATACATGACACAGCTGCTACTTGATTCCAACTACCTTCCGTTGATTCTGAAGATGTTCGCACACCAGGATGTCGATCAGGCAGTGGCACAGAAAAATGATCGCGAAGATTTATCGTATGTTTATCATCCTTACCCGTCTACAGGGCTGTCATTAACAAACCAGGTTCTTCCACTTCTGCAACAGTAACACAGATCACCCTCTTGACACTGGTGACCACTCGGATGGCGATACAGAAAGCGAAGACGAAGCGATGCCACCGCCAATCTCTCGTCACCGACCCGACCCAACGGCAAATGGCAGCGCCCTAGGTCTTTCCGAAGAAGAACACCTAGCCGACATTATGCATGGCTCGGCACGCCCCGAAGTGGACGAATTGGGATATCCCACCGCACCACTTCCCAAAGAACCGATCAAAACATTCTCCTTCCGCAACTTTTTCTCTGCAATCAATTACCTCCATGTGATGCAAAAGATTACACGAGACAAAGCCCATCGCTGCTTGCTCCTGGTTCAATACAAATCGAGCAACATTCTTCGGAAGGGGCTTAAGATCCCAGATCCTCACCTTCGCTTTTACACGCTCAAGCTTTTCAAATCACAAGTCCCTTACTGCGGTCGGAAATGGCGACAGAGCAACATGCGCGTTATTACCGCCATCTATCTTTATTGTCGCCCGGAACTCCGTGATGATTGGCTCGCCGGCTCGGATGTCGATGCTGAGGTTGAGGAGGCTCTGCCACTTGAACAGGCTTTACGAGGCCTCACACACTGGTGGCATCTGAGGCAGTACAAGGATGTCATGGGTGGGAATGAGAAGGCTTCAATAATGGAAGAGGAGAGAGACTTCTTCGTCAGAGAACTTGAGTCCATGGGCTGGGGTGCTGATGAGTTCTTCGAGGAGCAGGAGCCGCAGATGGTGAACTCGGGCACAGAGTGGGAAGGAGTCCCATTGCCAATGGAGGGCTGGTCTTGATTTACAGTTATGAGAAATGAAATCATCTTGCAAACTTTTAGCTTTCAGCTTTGTCGACATGAACAGAGGTTTTGCCGCTTGGATCAACGTGAACTGTGGGATTCATTCTCCGCGTACAATCTCAATCCAACCGTTGGAATGTGGGACGCGAACATCCTCAACTGTCCCACATCCATAGTTCCGCCGCCCCGCCTCCCCACGCCCCACATCCTCCAAGGCCCTACTTTCGGGTTTATGTCCTCGACTAGATGTTATTTGAATACTCGATTTCGTGAGGAAGTAGGAAAATTACTGGAAATTGTCGAACTTCGATTGACTTTCAAATATTCCAAGATGACATTCTGGACACACTTCATTCGATTCATTGCTGTCGAAGATAGTCAGGTCCACCTGGGCCAACTGGTCGATACCAGCCGCGATGTCGGGCGCGACAGTGTTGAAGGAGTCGAAATAGCTGCAAATGTCATAGAAGGAACCATATTCGATGGACGGGTCACTGATGAGATCATGCATGTGAAGCAGGTAAGTATTTGTGCTAAAAGCACTGCTCTTAATCGCCCGCAATTCTCAGGCTGACACTATGTAATTTAGATACTCGCCCCGGTCACTCAGGATCAATGTACCTATATCCGATGCTTGGGTCTCAACTACATGGACCATGCCAAAGAGGCCAATTTGGAACTTCCGAAGGCACCCGTTCTATTCACCAAGCCTCGCACTGCCCTCGCTGGCCCGTACCCTGCAACGATCAACATCCCAAAATGTGCCCAAGATGACACGAGTGACTATGAGGCCGAGCTTTGTCTCGTGATTGGGAAGAGCGGTCGAGATATTCCTGAAGAACAAGCTTTGGAATATGTCTTAGGGTACACTGCCTCTAATGACGTTTCCGCACGGACAATGCAGATGCTCACTGGGCAATGGTCATTTTCCAAGGGGCTTGATGGGAGCTGTCCGATTGGTAAGATTACTCCTGCTTCCAAGGTTGTTTTGGCCTAGGGCTATCCTCTAACCTGTCGTCCATTTAGGACCCGTCCTCGTCGCCACGTCAGTCATTGAGGACCCGCAAACGCTCTCGATTCAGGCCATACACAACGGCGCCACTGTTCAAGACGGCCATACGAAAGACATGATCTTCAACATTCGGAAGCAGATATCCTATCTCTCCCAGGGAACGACTCTGGAAGCAGGGACCATCTTTCTCACTGGAACACCTGCTGGGATTGGGTATTTCCGTCAGCCCAGGGTGGTCCTCCGGGATGGTGATGAGATCTCAGTCAAAATTGATCAAATCGGAACCCTTGTCAATAAAGTCCGATACGAGTCTCGCTGATTCTGTGTCCGTAGACTGAGCCTGCTTCGGGGGATTAGACACCGTAAAGCATTGTTTGGTGAATTTACTTGATGTTGACCTCGGGATGGATCTTTGGAAAGTCAGCTTTATTCTTACATAGGGGTTATAGAATGAAAGGGATCTACTCTATACTCTGTCAAAGAATTGATTTATCACTCTAATATTTGTTTTCTTTGATTTTATTTAATATCTCTCTCCCTCTCTATCCTCTGTCTATCTCTTCCCTCTCTTTTCTTTTCTTTCTAACTTCCCTCTCCCTCTCCCTCCCTCTCCCCCCCCTCTTTTCTTTCCTCTCCCTCTCTCCCTCTCTCTTCCTCTCTCTCCCTCTCTCTCCCTCTCTCTCCCTCTCTCTCCCTCTCTCTCCCTCTCTCTCCCTCTCTCTCCCTCTCTCTCCCTCTCTCCCCTCTCTCTCCCTCTCTCTCCCTCTCTCTCCCTCTCTCTCCCTCTCTCTCCCTCTCTCTCCCTCTCTCTCCCTCTCTCTCCCTCTTTCTTCCTCTCTCTCCCTCTCTCTCCCTCTCTCTCCCTCTTTCTTCCTCTCTCTCCCTCTCTCTCTCTATCTTTTCTTTTCTCTCCCTCTCTTCTCTTTTTTTTCTTCTTTCTAACTCTCCCTCTCCTCCTCTCTCTCCTACTCTCTCTTCCTTCTCTCTCTCTCCCTCTCTCTCTCTATACTTATCTATCTCTATCTCCTATAATAAAGTTCTAACTATACAGCCATAGTCAGGGCTCTCTATTCAGATCGAAAGAAATAAACTCCTAAACTAGACCTCGCTTCTTTATTAGCTCTCTATTAGGTCTCTGACCTTCCTTACAGACTCCTATCCACCCTACTGATATTCTTACACTGGACACCCCCACTCAGTCAGATGGCCTCCTCAACATGGTATTTTCCTATTTAGTAACAATCGATAATATAGTATACGACATTCCTGTCGAGGATATTCTATGGGCCTAGTCCCCACTCTGGTGATACACTCTACGAGATCCCCAGTTACATACCTTTGCCACCGATCTTGCCATATTAGCTAATGCTTCCTAGGAAAGCAGTCTCGAGCTAGTAGCTATACGACGTATCTTGTGGACGGTTGATACTGTCCCCTTACCGAAAATGTAGGACTTGCATGATAGGTTCAACAATATGCAGCTGTGTGACTAGGACCTATTATGTGATGTACTCTATCACTATACTCTACTTTATGCTGACGCTCCCTGAACTACGTTCGCCTAAATCTTATATTATTATGCTTCGTGATAAGTATCTATTTACTTCCCCTGATTCCCAATTGGTTCCACGTCATGTTTTATGACGAATGCTTATTTACTATACCTGATTCTGAGGTCTAAATTGTTCGTTCCATTATTCACTTACTTATCTGACATTTCCTTGCTTTGCTGCGTTCGCTGCCGGGACGGCCGGCTTGTCTGGACTCTGGAGCCCCGGACCTGTTACGTGGGGAAGCTTCCCCCTTCCCCTTTTAGCTAGGAGCCTGTGGGCTCAGAATCAACAATCTTCTTCGCTCGCTTAGGTGCCCCTACGTAGCTGACACGTACGGCGCGCCACCTTACAAGTATTCAGTTATTTCTTCGTAGTTAGTTGATCACCCAGTGGAACTTAGAAGAAAATAGGCATTATCACTGGCCATCAAGTTTCCATGGTTTTCTCTGATATAAGAGCCCATTAACAACCTTGAAAGAGATCTTAATGAGACTCCATTCGCCTATTCAGCTATACTACAAAGAATAAACAGGGATGATGAGTTTTGATTTGACACGTACGAAAAATGGAGCAAAATCGAAAAGAATTACAAAGCTATCACTGCAAGAACCACGAGGGGACCTCGGGCCCCCAGACAGCCAAAGACTCATGGCCCGCTGGTCCATATCCAATAGGAGTCTGATCATTGACCAAATCCCCGTCTGCGTAATGCTCAATCATATTCCCTGTGGTATCCCACCAATAATCGAAAATCTGCGACCCAAGGATATGCCGGCCAACGCCCCAGACGGACTTGTAATCTTTCTTGGCTAGCCATTGATGACCGAGTTTCTGGGTATCGAAGTCGTGAACCTCAAAAGAGCAATGGTGCACGTGGCTGGTTGGGTTGGAGCTCATGAAAAAGGAATGGTGGTCAACATGGTCGCTTCCTCTGTCGATGTGAGCAAAAACGGCCACATTCTTTTTCTCTCCTTCGGCATCCACATATAGGAAGTCTGTTGGAACGATGTTGAAATTGGTCGTATAGAACTTGACGAGAGAATCGAATCCTGTTGTGCACAAGCCGTAATGACCGAGCTAGGGTGATGGTCAGTCTATGAAAGAATGAAAAATGGAATGTGATGATGTGAGCCACAAACCTTGTGCACTGCAGCGGGTCCCGGTTGAAACCTCTGGAATCGACGGACGCGGGGCTTCTCGGTCTCATAGTTGATTTCAAGAATCTCAGGGTAAGGCCCAGAAGCTGCTGGTGTTTGAGCGTAGATCAGGTTGACAGCAAACCCCTCGGGGTCCGTTAATGTCACCAAGTAGCCTCCACCTGGAGCATTCGACAGTTCCTCGATCTTTCCTGCGGTGGACAGTTGAGTCGCTCTTCACATGTGTCAGTAAGAGCTCCCTCTTCGTTTCATCAACAACTCACCTTTCGAGATCTTGATACGATTCAACCTCGAATGCGCCGCCAAGGAACTTCTTCGGTCCCTTCTTGGCATAGTACACATATTGGTCCACACCGTATCCTCGATACCAAACCTCATCATCGGTCTGCTTGGCTACAAACATCCCAAAGTCTATAGTCACGTCAACGAGATTTCCAATCCAAGGCGCGGCATCGATACATACCCTGAAGGAAAGTTGTGATCTCCTGCAAATCAGGATGTTGATATCGCATGTGTGCCAACTTGACCAAGCGGATTTGAGAACTTGGGTCAATTTCACACCTGTCACGCCATGCCCGAATAGTCTCAGATTCAGGTCCGATGGCGGTGACATCGGCCACAGAGGTACCATGAGTCGCCTGGGTTGCCTGATTAGGGTGTCATTTACCATTCGCGTGACAATTTCAACATTCTTACCATTTTCATAAAAGAAAGGTTGTCACTGAAGGCGTCAGGTCTGATTGTGAAGCTCGATTCCTGATGCTTATTAGAGGCGGGCTCCCTTAGTCCGATTAGGTCCCGCAGACCCCACCTGGGCGCGCTCCACACATGACTATGCGGGGTCTGGGGCTATCTGTGTTCGGATTTACACTGGAAATACGGATGTGTTCGTGAATGTGAGTTCTGCAAGGGATGAGAGGGATAGTCCCACTTGCGGGACCTACCAGCCACGTCGACTCAAGAATGGACGTTCATGACCCCGAAATGACACCCGCGATGCTACGAAATATCTCAAAGGGACTTGATCGCGGGTATGGTTGGAGCATCTCCCGATGAACAGACAATGGAGCCTGGAAAGTTTGAAGAAACGGATGTGGTTATCTGTGGCTGCGGCCCGACCGGGGCCATCCTAGCGGCATACTTGGGACGCTTGGGTATCCCACACATAGTGGTCGAGAAAGAACCCGAGATCACGACTGACCCCCGGGGTATTGCGTTGGATGAAGATGGTATCAGAATGCTTCAGGGAATCGGAATCTATGATGCCATCTATTCTGAGATTGGGACATGTGAGCGTATCACAGATGCTTCGCTGACCCTACTGAACATTCTACGTGGCAGGTATGCTTGACTCTAGGTTTATTGGAGGGACCGGTAAGAGACTTGACAAGAAGCCGTTTTTGGAAATGAATTATGGGACGGTAGGCTCAGCCTTCCCCTGAAGCCCAGCTAGGTTTCCATGTTGGAAAACGTGCTGACATGTAAAAGACTGAAGGTGGCACAGGGCACATTGGGTTCATCTGTCACAAGCAGCCAATTCTGGAGAAGCATTTGAGATCTGCTATGGCATCCTCGCAGAATTGCCAATTCAAACCGAACACGAGCATATGCGACATTCGGGAAGAAGGCAATCATGTTTACTGTCAGTATCGGGATGCATCGGGCGATCAGCATACTATACGATCACAATTTCTCATTGGTGCTGATGGGAAGACCGGGTTTACAAGAAAACACTACCTCGAGGGACTTGGTGTTCGAATGGAGCAAGCGCACGAGTCAGTCACAATACCCGACCACGCCTGTTTGAGACGCCTGACTTTACTGACCTTGTGAAAAGATCATTCTATGATGAGACATGGGTGGCATTGAACTGGGAAATCAGCTTACCAAACGAAACTACCCATCCTGATTTTCCGTTGTGGAAGTTGGGATATACCCCTGAAGAGGTATACGACGCCTTCTTCCCGCAGTGGTTCAGCTTCATCTGCAATCCGGATCGACCCGCAGTGTGTGGCCGGTTTGGACTTCCGTCAGATAGACTTTGGCGTTTTGAATTCGTGGTCCAGGCCGGGGAAGACGGAGAGATGATGTCTGAGCCCGAGAGTATACGCCGGGTGGTGTTTCCATATATCACTCATGAAGGCAGTAGATATGGGTGAGATGCGAATCCTCCAAGTGGATATAGTTGAGCTTGCTGACTATTTCAGACTACTCTCTGATGTGCAATTTCCAGAAGACTGCATCAACGTTCTTCGATCACGACCTTTCAGGTTTTCCGCCAGGAGCTGCAATAAATGGTCTCATGGCCGAGTAGCTCTCTGTGGCGACTCTGCACATGTCTTTCCCCCGTGTAGGTCATTTTCCAACTTCTGTCCACCATGACTACTTACACGGAGCATTAGTTGGTGGCCAAGGCATAGCTTCCGGTTTCCGCGACGCTGTATCCCTAGCATGGCGTCTTGCTTTCCTCTGCCGACAGCAACCTTCAACCACAAGCAATCACGATGAGGTCCTAGCTGGATGGTATATCGAGCGGAAACAACAACTTGAGAGTTCACTCGCCACAACGATTGAGAACGGCAATTTTGTGAACGAGCGCAACCCGGTGAAGATCTTCTTGCGGGACTGGTGTATTTACTTCATGCAGTTTATTCCAACTTGGAGACGCAATCTCCGCCTCGGTCGTCGAAAGGATGGATTGCCTCGATATGAGTACTCTCCCGGGTTACCATTTGAGCCTCATCATAGCGGAGGAATCTGTCTCCCACAGGTGTATTGCAAGAGTGCAAAAGATCCTGGTCAGATTTGCTTCTCGGACGATGTAATTTTCGGCCAACAGAAGAAGGGCCTATTTCAATTACTCGTTTATCTCCCTGATATGGGTGGGGTCCAGGAAGCGTGGGACTCTGTCTCGCAAGTAGGTACGATCTCCCAAGGGGAGATTCGTCCTGACGAGACGACCTTCATTGTCGAGCGAGTCGATGAAGTGGGGATCTCCAACAGCTGGATTGGCCCAGTTTACCATCTAGCGACAGGAGAGGAATTCGCCCAATCACCGCTGTGTCGAGGAAGACCGGTCCCGCGCAACTATGACTCTTTTGATCTGCGGCGCGCGTTGAGGAACACTCGATTTGCACTTCTTCGACCCGACAGATTTGTATACGGTGCTTGTGATAGCCCTCAAGACCTGGAACACATTGTTCGAGCCGCTGTGGGGTATCTCAATTCTAAGTCTACGCTCTAGGTACATCCATTTGAGGATCTCTTTAAGTTGGGGTTTTATCTAGGTAGATGTAACCCACCCGTGGACTCTTTCGAGGTAGATTGAAAGGTTCCATGCTGATCTAGGTACATATGGGTAGCATTCTTTGATCCCTATCTACCTTTCCAAGGTTGTAGTTAGTGAATCTATGGACTTCAACCTTACAAGTTGGAAGATTCGGCGGTTGCTTGACTTCAAGGTTCTAGTGTTTGGTTTACTAGGTACGTTTGCTTTACACCTGCGGCAACATATATTTCAGATCCCTGCCTCGGGATGGCACATTTACTCACCACGTCGGCACGACCGAAAGACATTAAACATTATCCTTTTGGCGAAATTTACCACCTAAAACAGCAATGATATTGAAGACAACGGCCCCAACCTCGGAATGTATGGTGGCTCTTCGGTGTATCTGGGCAGCATTGTGCACATGAAAGGTCCATGAGTGGGTCTTGGATGACGTAGAGGTGGAGACAACCAGAAGCCACAGCCAATCGGCTCACCGCATTAGTGGCACCGTTCCGATTCAGCCACTCACAGTGCACAATTGTGCAGACAGAAATTTTCAATTTCCAAAAAAAAGATAATCTTGAAGACCATGTTGGTATTTTAGGAAGAGCCGAACGCGGGGGTCGAACCCGCAGCCTTAAGATTAAGAGTCTTACGCTCTACCGATTGAGCTAGCCCGGCAAGAGGCTGTTGAAGCAAGCGGCAGAATAGTGCTACATAAAGGCAAGCAACCGAAACTGAATATGAATGTTCCCTCTCTAGGTGTAATGAGGCAACCCAGACCTTAAGATGCCGGCTCTCATAAGGTAAGTTGTCTGGGTCCATATCCCAGAAGCTTCTAATGTCAATAGTTCCCACCAGCCTCGTGGGATGCATCGACATGTCCTCTTGCGTGTGACCCTTGCAGAAATCAGTCTCCAAAAAATAGTTCAGACTCCGAGTCGGTATTATACAGAAAGCAAAACGCCGCGATGTAGAAGCAATGATAGGCGTCAAAATAACAGGCTGAAAATCGTGTCATGCCGCAAAAAACACGGCTGAGTCGAAGCAGAGGCCAATCTTGGTCGATTATGCCAGTCGAGCTCGAAAGAGGGCGAGCGGGGATACCCCGAAGCGCATTATTGTTTGAGTTGTTCGACAATATTATGAAGAGGTTCGATGTCACTGATTCGGAGACGATTCGATTCGATAGCTCGCTTGACTTGGCTGGCTTGAGAGACTCAAAGTGCTCGAATGAGTTCGGGCAGTGCTCGGAGATGCTATCTGAGGCTGGGTGTGATCACATCCGGCGTGTTGGAAGATCATGTTCTTGAGATCCCAGACCTCTTTCTGTAGGCTGTGGACCTGTGATAAAAGCATCTCTCTCTTTTCGGTTTCCTTGTGCAGCCTGGTATCGATCTCCTCTTGCTCTTTCTTCTTCTTCTGACGGTACTTATTTGCGGCGGTCCGATTCCGCTCGAGGTGTTGAGCCCGTTGCGGACTGGGTGATGTGCGTTCTCGTTTCTTTGATACGTGATTCATGATCGTGTGGTTCGTCATGTCGGGGCGTTGCGTAACTCCTCCCGCTTCAAAAATCAATCTAAGCGCAAAAGGGAATACTGCCTGGTTTTGTTTGGCCCTTGAACGATGTGCATCTTGATGATGACACAGAGATGACGCTCCAAGCATGTTTGATTGGCTTTGCCAATCACCTGGGCAAATTGATGATATGATTTCATCACGTGAGGCGAAAGTGAAGTTGGCAGTGACGTCAAAATCAGGGATACCACCGAAGTGTCAAGTTCCTGGATTTCCACCGTGCGAAAGATGAGGTTCCAGGCTTGCGGAAATGGTAAGAGCGATGATCTGCTTTGCCGTCATAGTGGATCGAAATACAGTGTCTCATTGGCTGGAGTCCCCGGACAAAACCTGGAATATGCGGGATAAAGTGGGGACATTCGATATCAAAGGCGCAGATTGTAGTGTAGCACAGTACAACCATAGATTCTCACATCCATCAGATCCGGATTCTAGAAAGATTGAATGGCTTGACTGTGATCAATTTGTTTGTTATGTCATGATGTCATGACTGGCAACTCTTGCTCTACATAAAGCATCTCCTCTGCTCATCTCTCTTCCTTCTTCATTCCATCCATCCACATCTTACTTCATCACTCACAACCAAACACAACTTTTCAACCATCACAATGGAGACCGTTAAGGTAAGTCAACCGGTGTACTCAGGCTTATGGACTGCTCCCTAACACATCTTTTGTATAGAACGCCGCCAACTACATCTCTGAGACCGTTCAGGGCACCGGTGCCGAAGCCTCTAAGGAGACCAACAAGAGCGTCGCCAAGGACAACGACGCAAGCCTCACCAGCCGCGCCACCGCTGCCAAGGATGCCGTTGTCGACAAGAAAGACGAGAAGTCCCACGATGCCAAGGCCGATGTCCACAAGGGTAAGTGATGGTTGCGCTTTGATGAAATACATGATGCTAATAAATGCACAGAGGCCGCTAAGAACTAAGCGCAAGCACACGAGCTCACACGTTCACCATGCAAACGATTTTATGCCATAATACCACTTGAGAGGCTGATAATGCAAATTACACTTTGAATATCACAAACTTTGTGCAAATCTTGGAAAACCTACTACGTAGTAGTACACTCGTAGTTCCTCATAGTCAAACACCGCTACCTACCTACCTAGGTAGTACCCATTGCCACATTATTTAGTGCTATGAAATACCCCTTGTTTAAGGTACCAACCTTGAAAAATCCAATCAATGGATGCATTCCAAGGCTTGTACCCACTAGGCAGAGAGCTTGAGCCTTCAATTCAAATAGATACTGGAATCACATGTAAATTTTCAATGCGCCATCTGTGCAAACCTACTGTTCGCACGGATCCAAGCACCCTTTTTGATAAACACGAAGGGGATGACAGCCATTCCTATGGAGAAAAACCCAAGCAATGAGCTTGCCCAGTTGATACCCAACGTGCCATACATGGAGTTCGTAGCCATGGGCAGAAACACAGCGAAGATAGATCGTGAAGTACTTGCAGCCGCTGCCGCCGAGGCAGAGAACTGCTTGTATGCGTCGGTGAGATAGTTGATGAGTGCAATGAAGATCAACAGATAGCCGAACCCGAAGAAGACCCCTGACATCATGGGCATAACGGGGTGAATAGAAAGCTTGGAAGACCACCCCAGCCAGAAGAGAGCGATCGGGATTGTCGGGGCTCCAATGCAGGCGAGAGGTAAACGGCGGTATTCCTCCGATTGGGCCCAGGCCAGGCCGGCTTTCAGAGATTTGCTGTGGCGCGAGCTATAGAGGAAGAAGACGAGGAATGCGAGGACGGAACCCGGTAGGACTGGAAATGTGTCAGATAATGGTCTGTTAGAAAGGAATGGTTGCTCACTTGGAAGGAATCCCAGTCCAGAGACACCGGCGGAAAGACCATATAAATCTGTAAATGTTAGTGACTTGGAGTGAGTGGCAGCAATCGCAAGACGTACTTTGGAAGACAATAGGGTAGGCCTGGAAATAAAGGTACAAGATCGCGTACACAAGCGCGAGGTACATCGAACAACAAAACACGATTGGCTCGTGGATGAACATCAGGAACGGGCGGCTGAGAACAACGCTCATCTGGGCGAAGAAAGAGCCCTTCGGAGGTTCACTCAAATCTTTTGGCTCTGTGTTTCCAAATTCGCCGGGCATACTTTGACTTGCAGCACGCAAAATTGGTACGTATGTCTCAGGCATCGTAATTAGGAGGGGAAAGCCAGGCGCAGCGATGAGGAGACCGGCCCAGAAGGACCATCTCCATGTTATCGTGGAAATGAAGCCGGAGATGATGGGACCGAGGAGAGGCGGGAATGTGGTTGCAAACATGAACCAAGACATCGCCAGTCCACGCTGGTGGGGATCCTCGAAGATGTCGGAGAAGAGACCACCCAAGACGGCATTTGGTGCTGAGCCTCCCAGCCCACAGAAGAACCGGAAGATAAGAAGAGCTGGAAAGTTCGGCGCCAGTGCACATGCCATAGTGAAGATGAGATATATCGAGTAGGTGATTGAAAGAACTGGCTTTCGCCCGAAATGCTCACTCAAAGGGCCAAAAAGGATGGGGCCTACATTTAGGTGAGCACTATCTTTGAGAAGTCATTGGATTATCATGCATACCTATAGCAAAGCCAGCCATGTACAGTGAGGTCGGAAGCACCATTTGAATGCTCTCGCCTGGAATGTTGAAATACTCAGAAATCTCATCGTGAGCGCCTGAAGCAATTGAAGACCCCAATGAGCTGTTAAAAACAAAATAGACACCGGCGACAACGACGTGCAGTTTGCGAGGCTAAGGTATCATATTAGAAACCGATCTCGATCTCGATATTAGTGTGAAACATTATCATACCAGCGAGAAATTGAACGGATGTAAGAATTCCCGTTTGGGATTAACCTCCCGAGCCTGACAGGACTCTTTTCTGTGTATTAAGTCGGCCGCCATCTTTTAAAACAGCAATCAACAACAGACATTCAAGGCCAGCTTGTGTCGTTTTAATAGAAAACAGAAATACTGCTGTGAAAATTTGAACCCTACGGTCGGCGTTTGACCCGACAATGGTGGGGACCGCATTATGGATCAAATTTTTGATGGAGCTTTCTATGGGGCATCATCAAGGCCGCCACTACTAGGACTAGTCGGACGGCACTTGAAAATCACTAAAATATTTGGCTGCTAGATGAGAAAGGGTCTAAGCTTGAAAAATGCCGAAGCCGAATGGCGCCATAGTAACCTTAAGATCGTGGAGGTTGGATCGGGAAGCCGATAATGGGGGATCGGAGAGAAGTCCGATCCCCGGCAGGTGGCCAACCGGGTCTTCCAAGGTCCATTTCATCCCGGGCTTTGATATACCCGACCAGGCATTTGGACCCACCTAGGCAGTCATACCAGTAGATCTAGTATAAATCCTCAATCAGTAACTTTTGAGGATGGTGAACATGATTTATTCTGAAATTAAGAAGTGATCCTGTGTACGCTAACTCTATCAAAGACCCACCGGGCACAGAATGACATTGCAGTGAGATTCTTATTCGGCTCAGAGGAAGTAAAAATGATAGGTGATACTTTTCACTATATTCAGTTGTGCCTTCACTAAGTCATAATGGCACCAAGAAGAGTGAAGTATCTATCTGTTTTCATTAAAGACAAACTTCGAGTTGATGGGGGAGGTGCGAAGGGGATGAACGGAGGAGAACGAATTCGAAGAAGTAAAAAGGTTGCAGGAGCAGCAGCTAGAAAAGGAACGAGAGTCTCAGCACACAAAGAGGTAAGCTCTCTACTGACTCCCTAGATATCTTCAGTATTCTTATTACCCTCCTTTCACTTTCTCTCCTTCCTATCTCTCTTCACTTTCTCTCCTTCCCATCTCTCTTACTTCTTCATAATCCACCACACTTGACTGGCAACTATGGGTAAGAGCTATTGATCGAGCTCCGTCAAAACTCCATTGATAACTGTGAATACTAACATTGGAAAGGGATCCCCTTTTTTAAAGAACCAACCGGGGATAGCTCGGAGAATGAGCAGAATATGAACAATGAGATTTCTACAGAAGGTATGATATCTCCGGGTGCTGATGAGAAGATTGATGCCAGGTCGATATTAACCAGCCTTCGCCCAACACAGAAACAAGTGACTGGTTTAGTCACACCGGCCAGAGGTGCATCATACCCGATGAAGCCTACGATCCTGATCCCAGGCCCATAGCTAACTGGAATCTGAAACCCAGCCACTACGAAGAGGAACCAGTGGACACTCTGGTCGAAAACACAATCGATGGCAACGGGGTGATTATCATCGAAGACCCCGAGGAGCCCTACTGGGTGTACCTGACGCCTTTTTCGACGGGGGACCCCACCGAATATCACGAGATGGGTTCTACTGGCCCTGAGGAAATGCCACCAGAAACTGATGATGGGGAGCATTCGGTCGATGCTGGTGGAGAAGAGACCAATGTTAACTGAATTCCGAGCGAGAATTGACGATGATCACGCAGCCCCAGGGTGATTTCTTTTGCCAAAGCAATATCTCAGGTCGATGGCGGATAAAGGGCAGGGGGGATAAACAGAGAATGATAAGTGAAAAAAACAAAACCAAAAAGCTGTAGCAATGGCCAAAGAATGATAGAGAATCCCAGCGTAAGAATTTCAGGTAATTACTTACTACTTACCTAACTTCAATGCTTTCTTCATCCTCCCCTGCTCTTTTTACCTCTCCCTTATCACCCAACACGCTTGGCTGCCATCTGATACCCAAAATCACTCCAGTTTGGATCACGAGAATCACCAGTGTATACTCAAGTCATATGTAAGAGCACTTGATAGAGCACTATCAAAAGTCCATCAATGACTGTGGATAACATAGGTGTCCCGATGTTCAAAGAACCCACTGGGGAAGGCGTGGTGAATGAGCGGAATGCGCCAAACGAGACCTCCACAGAGGAAGGTATGATATTCCCGGGTGGTCATGAGAAGCTCGGTGCCAGCTCGATATTAACCAGCTTTCGGTCGACACAGAAGGAATTGGCTGGCATAGTCACGAGAGCCAAAGGTATATGATACTCAGTGAACCCTATGATCATGATCCCAGGCTCGTTGCTAACAGGATATCCGACACCCAGTGAATTCTCTGGCATAATATCTTTCGATGACCAGAGCGGCAATACATCAAGCATCGTGACCAACTCGGACATGAATGAATCACCGGGATCTCCAGCCGAAAATATCACCGATTTCCAAGATAGTGTGATCCTGGAAGACCCAGAAGAGCCCTACTGGGTTTATCAGACCCCTTTGCTGGTTGGAGACTCGGCTTTAGATTCTGGGATTGGTTCCACCAACCTTTCAAGTCCACCAACACAGACTGATGTTATCTACACCAGCGAGGAGGACGGGCAAGAACCACTCAGCCCAATGGAAAACGGATTGATCAGCGAGACAGTTTGATAATCAGATAGCTCTACATCAATTCATTGAGCATTTTGCAATGGCGTGATTATTATCTAGGCTGTAGGACAGCAGAAATGACCGACAATGAGATATTTGATTTTTCATCCCATTGAGCCTCTTAGTGAGCTCTCGTGACAACAAGAGGTATATAGCGTGAGGCTACTTCTTTTTACTGACCGAATGTGAGTTGATGGCAGACAAAGCGTGGATGGAGAAGAAAAAAATTGAAAATAAAAAAGCACTTGTAGCAGCTAAAGAAGGAGAGAGTATCCTAGCGTCGAAATCTCAGGTAATTCCCTACTGCTTGCCTGTCTGTAATACTTTCTTCATCCTCATTTGACTTTCTTTTCTTTCCTCTCTTTGACTCTTCCATCACCCAACACACTTGGCTAACAGGTACAAATTATTGGCCTTCTGATAATCGCAATCACTACAGTATTAAATTGAAGAATCACCAGTGCTCACTTAAGCCATAGGTTAGACCTGCATTTGGTCGAGATCTATCAAGAGATCATTACTAACTGTGAATAACATCAATAGGCATCCCAATGTGCGACCCACAAGCCGGGGAAGGTTCGGGGATCAAACCAGACCTCCCCAGTGAGGCTCCTGCAGAAGGTACAATATCTCCGAGGACTATGAGAAGGTTGATGCCAGATAACACTTTCAACCATAGCCCCAGCCCCCCTGGGCCTATGCGTTCCGAGGTCATCAGTAATCTGTATCAACTTGACTTGAGCTCGAGCATTAAACAGGGCTCATCGGGTACCCCTTTCGATTCTAATAAGGTTTGCATGGCATAGAACCGACATAGAGGAGGCTCTGGAGTTCCGTACATGCGTGAATGAGGGAGTCTAGGGCCTCTAGGACGCTCAATTACTTCCACGAGTTGCGTCTCGGCGGCGGAAAATCACAGAGAACGAGAATATAGACGACGCAACGTTTCGAAAAAGAAAATAATTGATCATTATGCCAGAAGAAGCTTTCCCGCTTGGCGAAGCCTTTACGAGATGTTGCAACCTCCGTGATTGGACGATTGGACGCTAAGCCCTCAATGGCAAAAAGGCCAAGGATGGAGCTAGCTGATATTTCATTTTTGCCATGAGATTCTGCAGATCTGCTTTCTCCTCTGATAAGCGAAAGCTGTCCGGGTGTTGATTCAATATGCAACCAAACCCATCGCCAGCCTTGTATATCACCGGCCTGGGGTCGCAATACCCACCCTATCTGTTAGGGCCCCGGGATCTCGATCAGCTCGCGGGGCGCTTTTGCGATCTCAATCGCCCAGGGTAGGCTGTGTGGGGTTCCCTAATCGGACAACATCTAACCTTGATTCAGAATCAAAAAGTTGCTCCAGGTCAACCGTTCAACGGGCATTGAAACACGATCTGCAATCCTACCGTATGAGTCAGGGTTTGCAACGCAGCCGGACCCACCCTCAATCAGTGAGATTGACCAATTTTTTCGTCAAGCCGGAGTGGACCTCACTGTTCAGGCGTGTCAGAAGGCTCTCAAAGAGGCTAATATCGCCCCCGAGCAGATCACGCATACGGTCGGTGTCACCTGCACCAACCAAGGTAATCCAGGATACGACTTCCTTGTAGCGCGTCAATTGAAACTCCCCCTCAATGTCGATCGCACCCTTCTCCACGGCGTTGGGTGTGCGGGCGGGCTGTCAATTCTGCGGGCCGCCGCGCAGATAGCCGGCGGGGCGAGCCTGCGACGGAAACCGGCCCGCATTTTGGCGTTTGCTTGCGAGCTGTGTACGCCCAATGTGCGGCACTATCTGTCCATGGCAGAGATCAGCGTGGATTCGGACCGAGCAAATATCGCAGCGGCTTTGTTTTCGGATGCTGCGGCGGCTTTCGTTTTGTGCAATGAGTATGCTTTGGCCCAAGACGAGCAAGTTACTCCTCAATTTGAGCTGCTCGAATGGGGTTGTGATTTGGTTCCGGATACTGCTGAGCATATGACGTTCTATGCAGATATTTCCGGTTTGTTGATCGTCCTTTTTTTGTTGAAGAGACCTGGGCTGATCATCTGTACCGACTCTCGGTCCCGTGTATAGGTTATCAAGCCACTCTCCATCGAGAGATTCCTAAATACACGAAACATGCGATCGGACCGATTTTTGACAAGCTTCTTCCATTGTACGAAGAAAAAGTAAGGTCTCGGTTGAGACCAGACCAGCAACCGGTGACACCCCTAGGAATCCACGATTTCGATTGGGCCTTGCACCCCGGGGGAAAGGCAATCATAGATGGTGTGGCCGACGTCCTACAGTTGTCAGAGACTCAGCTCCAAGCAAGTCGAGAGATATACCGCACACGTGGAAACTCTTCTAGTGCTTCGGTGTTGATTGTGCTGGATCGACTTCGTCTAGAGAGCAAAAAGGCGCATGTTGTGGCTGCCTCGTTTGGTCCGGGGCTGGCAGTTGAGATGGCGTTTCTGAAGAATTGTCATATAAATCAGTCATAACATTGACCCCAGAGGCTTTTGATTTCATGTCGAGAGCTTCGAAATATTTAAATACACTCAAATAGTCTCGTTGATCGTATCCAGCTCCTTGCCCAGTGTGTGCAAAAACTTTTCAGCCTCATCATCTGTGATTGAAGCCGACTTGTAGTCCATTTTCCATCGTAGCCCATTGTTTTCCTCGTTAGGGCTGACTTCCAGATAGACAGTGTTCACACCAACATGGCTGGCCCAGTCATACTTGTCAACGGAGGTGGTGCCGGTCGGGGGTGCAATTTCGGGTTGGGTCAGGGAGCCGACCGAGAAAGGGGCGAAGATAGACTGATTCTCCTGCTCCTCGCTTCCAGCATGGAGCGAACCCCAAATAATGTTGACAATGACGTTGAATTGCAGCTCGTTACCAAGCTCACGCAGCTTTCGACGAATATTCCTGAGATCACTCTGCTCATGACTAACGCGCTGCACTAAGTCTTGTTGCATGGTGAGCAACCCAGCCACCGTCGAGCATTTCAACGCGTTCGGAACTACTACCGGGAGCAGGTTGACGGTCGGACCTGCAAGACTTTGAATGTCGGGGTACTCGCTTGAGCGCCCGGATTGGAAAAGACCAAATGTTGGGTGCGCAACACCCGTGGTTTGTGCAAGCGCACGACCAACTGAGAGTAGAACCAGGGATGGGACCGAAACATCGATGCTGTGGCATTGGGCTTGAATATCACCCAATTCCTGCTGGAAGGTTCGCTCCAAGGATTCGACGCGCAAATCGTCATTTTGAATTTCCGACGTGATTCCCATGAGGGTTTGCTGGCCGAGTTTCAATGAGTTCTCCCAGAATTTGAGACTGGAGGGGGAGCTTGCGGCCTGAACACTGCTGAGGATGAAGTTTGAAAAACTGCATGGAGGTTCCAGTGTGTTATCGTGGTAGATTTCCTCCAATTCTTTGAGAAGAAGTGGGATTGAACGAGCATCGTACAAGGCATGATGGAGGGTGAGCAAAATGGCGTCGGACTCAGGGTGCTGGACCAAATGGAGTCGAACAGGAGGCGTGAAAAGATCAGAAGAGTCAACCGCAATCTTGCCGAGAAGGCCTTGGACAACGCTATTTAGGTCATCGGTCGGTTGCTCACAACTCAACTGTGCAACTTGGTTTGCATCGTTCGGTTTTCGTACCACTTGCAAGATGTTCTCAGAGCTAATGGCCGCAAAAGAAGTACGGAGAATCGTATGTCTCTTTTGCAGGTGAGTCCATGCGCTCTGGAGTCGCTCTGGATCAAGCTTGGTGCGAGCCTTCAGCGCGAATGAGAATTCCCACAGTTTGCGCTTTGATTGCAACCACGAAGAGAGGTAGAATAGCTGACCACTAAGACAAGGCAAAACTTCCTCCACGTCATCTTCCGAAATACCGAGTGTATCCAGTGCATGGCTCTTGGACTTGGAATCGATGATCATCCTTTGAGCCGCAATCGCTTTCTGGGAGTTCTTGAGTTTTTGGACTTTGCTCGCGGCGAGCACTGCAATGCCCCGAATGGTTTCTCCTTGAAGAATATCCGTGACTGTGACTTTCAGACCAGCTTCGCGGCAACGGGCGCTCATGTCCAGAGCTAGGATTGAGTCAACTCCGAGGGAAAAGACCCCACTTGAATCATGGATTCGTTCAACTGGAATTTTGGTAATGTCCGAGAAAATATTTCGTAGAGTTTGGATATCCTGGTCCATACCCAAAACATTCTTTGCGGTCTGCCTTTCATCGGGGTTGAACGGCAGTACCAAAGGAAGCTCCTTGAGGCCGGGAGGGAAGCTGGTTGCCGATTCATCACCGGCTGAAATGATAGCCTCAATACCTTGGGCAATACCCAAAATCCAGTTCTCTAGCTCGCTCTTACTGAGTTGGTCACGGCAAGTTGCCCGGATAACAAGAGACTCCGGTGTCTGGTCAAATTCGACATTCAACGGATAGTGCGGGACATCCGGATTCTCAGCCAGTTTGTACGGCTGGAAGATCGAATTGAGGTCCGAAGGCTGTGATTTGTTGAAGGAGAAGATAGAGTTGAACAGCGAGGGGCTGTTTGCATTTGTCAATAGGCGCCATTCTTTTTGAATGCGAGTCAACGGGGCATGATGATGGGGCTGTGAATCAATGCAAAAGTTCTGGATGTCTTGTAGGGTTGAACGAACACTTCGAGAGAGGGATTCGAGCTTCAATCGGAACGGCACGGTGTTGAATAATGGACCTATGACTGATGCCATATCATCAAGCTCGGACGCCCTTCCAGATACCACTTGGCCGAATACCACATCCCGCTGCCCCAGATGCAATGCCAATGACCGACCGAAGGCAAGGAGTGCCACTGTTTGCAGGGTAACATTTAGCAACCCACACTGGCGCTGCAAAGTAGACACAGGGGTTTGAATAGTTGTTTCTGCCCAGTGCACATGACTTTCTTTTGTCGACTCTGGCTGTGCTGGCTCTTCCGGGCAGTGGTAACCTGACACCGAATTGATCCAGAACTTAGCTGACTCTTCCTGAGTGGATGAAATCTGGCGTGCCACAGATGCGAACGAACGAACATCAAATTGAACACCATGATACTGCTTTTCAACTGCATCGAAAAGCATGGGCAGGGAGAATCCATCATAGAGACAGTGATGCATAGTGACAACCATCAATCGACTGTGGCCTTCGGCGAGGAAGGTAATATACCAAGGTGGCCTTTCAAAATCTTGGATATTCGGGTAGGCAGCCTGTTCGGATATTCTTTCGATAGCGGCAGGGAGGGATTCAACGTCTTGATATTTCCAGTTGACAACCGAAGCTCGATGAACTGTAGCCTGTATCTCACGGCTACCAATCTTTCTGTGGAATGATGTGCGAAGAACATCAACCCGCTCAGCAACAGATTTCCATGCTTTGATCAGTGCTTGAAGGTCGATCGAGCTTGCCAATAGGACTGAGTGGTGGTGAACATATCCCTTTCCTTCGGAACTGAGACATTGCCCGATCATGGCCGTTTGCAAAGGTGTGCAAGTATACATTTCCACAACTGAATCATCATTATCGAAAAGGTCAACCTTAGATGGCGAGTCGATGATTCTCTCCACGGTAGCAGTGGGTCTTTTTCTAGTGATGTGCTTGTTCAAACGCTCACTGAGAGCGCCGATTGATGAATATCTCAAAATGTCACTGGAAGACACCCTGAGGCCTTTTTCCTGCAAGCGGCGACTTAGATGAAGTGAAACAACAGAGTCAATTCCCAGAGCAAAGAAAGAGGCGCTCTTTGAGACATCAGATTCGGGGATTCCTGTAATCTCCGACACAGCCTGACGCAACGTAGTCTCATCGTCGGTCCATTCGGTCTCATTCCAACTAGTCTGCCGTGTTTCTATCCGCTGTGAGATAGTCGGGGCATCGATGATGGCATCTCCATCAGACAACAGATCTTCAACAAGGGAAGAAACGTTGTCGACAAACCCACCAAGCTGGTCAATCAAGGAAGGGTCATCGGCAACTCTCAGCCTCAGTGTGACTGTATCAGGATCTGACTCTGCTTTGACTTCCAAAGCTAGAGGATAGTCCACCTGCATCGAGCTTTCCATCTCGACCAACATTTCATCTGCGGGCGTTTGTGGACCGATCGTGAGGTATGAAAACATAGCGTTGAAAAGCGGCCCGGTGACATTGGCGTATCGCTGAATCGCGCGAAGTGGAGTGTGCTGGTATGGAATCGAGGCAATGATGCTCGCAGTATGTGTCTTGACCTGCTCAAGCAACTTTGAGCTACCAGAAGGGAGCTGAAGGCGGGCTGGGATGGTAGTGACAAGTGGGACGAGCATTGATTCGATTTCCTCAATCGGAATTCCTCTGCCGTTCATGACTCTACCATAGACGACGTCATTTTGGCCTAGAGTCTTCGCAAGCGTGATAGCCCATGCCGTTTCCAAAATCATGGATGCGGTAGTCTTGTGCTCGGATGCAAACTTCGATAGCGCAGAAAATGAGAGTGGCAATTTCTTAGCAAGTATTTGGTAGACATCATCGCTGGTCTGGTAGTTGATGATGGCTGGTTTACAGCCCGTCAGGTAGTTGGTCCAGAAAACGTCTTGCTTGTTGTCATTGCCACTCACAAAATAGCGATAAAGTGATGTGAGATCAATATTCCGCAGAGCTGCATCCCCAGTGTAGTGTCGGTGTAGGCGGCCAAGGAAGATATCCATGCTAGCACCATCAAAGATAGAATGATGAATAGATAACATCAACCACCCTGGCTCTCCATTGGTACTCTCGCCAGCAAGAAGATGGAACGGGGGTGTGGTCTCGATTCTGCCAACAATATTTGATCCAATTCCGTCTTGGAGGCTTTTGAAGAGGGATAGGGCATTGGCTTCTTCCGACACAGGAACTTGAATCCAAGGAAGTTTGGTGGCTCGAGGCTTCAGAACGATCTGTAATACTTTGCTGTCGGTGACATGGAAGCAGGTACGTAGAATTTCGCTCTCGTGCATCAAGTCCTCGAAGGCCGCCCGCAGTGCTGTCAAGTTGACTTCCGTCCCCAAGCGGCACATGATATGATTCACATATAGGGGGGTCGTATTTCCGACAGAACTGGATACAAGACTCTCTTGAAGAGGCAGGCAAGGCCAGACGGCAGATATATCGGAGCATGTGAAATCTTTCTGTGAAGCACGGAACTTTTGGTCAAGGTGCACCAACTCTTTAGATGCATCATCTGCTTCATTTGACAGTAACTCCGCAGAAGTTCCCCGGGTTAGACCAGCATTGGTTCGTGGTAAGCATGCAAGCTGGCCAACTGTAGCATTGGAAAGAACATCAGCTGCAGCACAAACATAGCCTGCCTTGCGCATACTGGCTGCCACAGCGAGAGAAGTAAGGCTATCCATCCCCAGTTGGAAGATGTTTGTCCCTCTATTGACCGAGTCGTGATCTTCAACACGCAACTGAGTACAAATTATACTCCGAACGAGTTCCTCTTCGGCTGTCAATGGTGTGATAGCCAAATCTGAATGTGGCTCTGAAACTTGAGCACTTGTTGCGCCAGCTTTCAACAGTAGCTCTGACACAGGAATGCTTTCGTACAGCGCAACCAGTCGGCGAGTATCTGCTTTACCGGAGATTTGAATAGGAATTGAACTTATCGGCAGCAGTACACTTGGCACCATGTATGCTGGAAGTTCAGCACAGCAGCGTGCAAGAATTCCCGGCACCCATTCCTGATACTTGTCTTTGAGGAAAGTAGGCTTCCTAGGGGTGCCGTCCGACCCTTTTGTGGAGGGACTGATGAATGACACAAGCTGGGGCCGTTTTGTTATGGGAGAAGGAGTCACTATCGAAGTGACATTGATAGGGAAGTTGGCGCAGCGGCGAACAGCGACTGAAACCTCTTCTAGCTCGAGTCGTTGACCGCGAATCTTAGCTTGGCTATCGCGCCGGCCCAGATACTCGACGCAGTGATTTGCCATCAGGCGCACGATGTCTCCAGTGCGATACATTTGTTGTCCATGGAAATCAATGAAACCTCCGGCATCTGGCCTTCGGTGATATCCGTTGGCGACCAAGTCACCAGTGACGCACAGTTCACCTGCCTGGCCTCTTTTGACATACTTCAAAGTGTCACCCTCCAAAACGTGCAATGTGATGTTACCAACGGCTGTGCCAATGTTGCGCACAGTGGACCAGGGCTTCACAGTGTGGCTTGTCATGCCGATTGTCACCTCAGTTGGGCCGTATGCGTTGACGAGTGCGATGGATGGCTTGCCAACGAAGCGCTCGATGATAGTCTCAGAGATCTTCTCACCACCGACTCCCAAATATCGAAGGTCGGGTAGTAACTCGGCAGAAACGCCAGCGTGCTCGAGAAGTGAAGGCACGAATCCCGCATGAGTAATTCTCAGTTGGCTCAAAACGAGGAATAGATTGTCCAGAAGCATCGTTCGGGGTCCGGTAACAAGACGAAGCCCATGTCGCCAGCCTAAGACCATCTCACATATATGCACATCGAAGGCCCGGCTGGCATGCGCCAGATAGCTTCCTGAGCCCTTTAGGATAAGGGTATCCGGAACATCGCGGCAGATATATTCTGATTGAGCCTCGGTGAAAGCAGAGAGATTACCCCTGCTGACAAGAACGCCCTTAGGTGTCCCGGTGGATCCGGAGGTGTAAAGAAGATAACAGTCATCATTCGGATTCGCGCTCACTGGAGCTAAGCTCTCCAGTTCAGCCGGTGGTGTAAGAAGCATGGGATCATCGATATCAATAACCGCGCAATCTTCGGGAGGAACAATCGTTTCAGCAACATTTTTGTCAGCGAAAAACGCAATGGCACCGCTATCGGCGAGCAGGAAAATTTGTCGAGCCTCGGGAAGGTCTTCAGCAACAGGAACGTAGCAATTGCCGCTTTTCCAAATTGCAAGTACAAGCGCGTATGCCATGAATGAGCGACCGAGACATACTGCAATCGATCGATTCTGCCACCCACGGGACTGAAGCCAAGCACAGAGCTGATTCGAGGTTTGGGACAGCTCAGAGTAGGTCCAGGATTGAGATTGTGTGCCATCTTCGCTAATATCACTTACGATCTCCACGGCGTTCCATGTGGGGTTGGTGGCTGCCCAGTGATCGACCCAATGGGCCGGGGACAGCAGTGGAGCATTTCTGAGCTGCTCACTGGCATGTGGGGTGTGTAATGACAGGAGGTCATCCGGGAAGTGTTTGGTAAGATCTTGGATCGACTCCGTGGAGTGGGAAAGAAGAATTGTGGTAAGTGCGCCAATCTGCCGCAGTGCCAGATGCAAATGAGCTGAGTCTATCAATGTGGCGCGAATGGATAGCGTGATCTCAACCTCATCGTTGTCTAGGCGTTGAAGATGTAGTTTGATGGCAGGTTCCGAACAGGTGGTGAGCTGAGAGAGAGGAAGGGAGTCCCCAATTTTGGTCCTTTCCACGTGATGTGTGAGAAGTGCGTTGTAGATGGGACCATCTGAAGGACTTTCGAGAATTTCACGAGCAACTTTCACCGACACCTTTGGTGTGTTTGCTGACTTCGCAGCGAACTCATCAACGCGAGACAACAGGGACTGGGCCGTGTCGTTAGCTAGAAGCTGGACTGGCACCAGAGCTTCCAAGCTGTTATCCACGGGGTCCGTTGAGGATCGTTCCGCCAAGATTACTCGATCCGACTCAACATACTCAGCGAGAATGCACGCAAACGCTGCGCGAATCGCCGAGATGACTGATCCCAAGTGGCGCTGTTGTGTTAAGGCTTCCAGCTGCTCCCATGAGACATCAAGGGTAAGGCTTTGGCTCAGGGCTTCAGTACTCCCTGGAGCCACCACTAAACGGTCACATGAAATCGTTGGGAATTGTCTCTCTGTGCAACCAACAAATTCCTGCAACTCCGTTTGCCAAAATGATGCAGCATCTTGACCCCGCAAATATGATTCCAAGTGGCTATCTTCCAACAAATTTATTCCTTGGGTCGAAACTCTTCGGTGGGCGAGGGCAGCGACTGACTGTTGCATATCAATCGACAATGTCACTCGGACCTACAGGGGAATAGCAATTTTCAGCAATCGATTCTCTTTTGGATGGTCACAAGTATATGCTTACCGAGTCTGGAAGGTTCACCTCTATCGAGGTTCCCTTGATCAGACACAATCCAAATTCAAGTCCCTTTGGGTCTGCCCCAGTGGGTTCATGTGCCTCCCAGACAAGCTTGTCGGACTCAGCCACAATTTCGGCTACTACAACCGCAGGCTTGACGATAGCATCTGATTCTTGTACCATGATCCAGAATGCAACATTCTTTTGATCGCTGACGCTCATCAACCAACGAGTGTAACGGCCGATCAACGTTGCAAGTCCATCCCCGTCCCCCTGGCGGCTTAGGAACCCGACATCAATGGAAGAAAGACGTCCAAAGTCCCATGAGCCGTTGTCCTCAACCTGCGAGTTAAGGGCAGTAGGCGGGGCATCGAGATTACCCGAGTGAGCTGAGAGCTGAAGGGAGCACTCCCATGGCTCTCCTTGACTTGGAATCTGAGAATCCTGCATCGAATGAAGACTTTGGTCGGCAATGAGTGAGTAAGATTTTGCTCGACTATGTTCGATCTGACACGCTGACAAGGACTTCAGCTCATTCTTCTACAAGGATGATCTATTCCTCTGTCTTGGCCGATACACCTCTACATGAAGGACCCACATGGTAAAATACCAGGGTCCGGGAATGATACCGCTTGTATTTTTCAAATACACAGAACCGGGAGCAGGGGCCTACTTGAAACGGGTCGTATCACTACGCAGCGGAGCTGCTAGCCACTTCTTATTTTGCATTTGAGACATGAGACTTGGCAACCAAATGTGGCCAAGTCTTTTTGGCCCCTGATCACATTCGAAATCCCTGCAGCTTAGGCTTTCTTATGTAACAGACTTGTACTGTTTGGGCTGAATGAAGGTTTCATTGGTAAATTTGCCGAATCGCACGAGAACGCCTATGGCCACACTCCGGCATTGTGCGCCGGGCCACGGCCGAGAGTTTGGCCAGCCCAGAACACCACTTAGGACATATGTTGAGCTGGTATTTCGCGACCTATGTCCTATATCATGTGGCCAGGGCCGTACTAGAGGCCAGGGAGAATATTCCCACTAGTCCGCGTCAGAATATGACTGTATAAATTCACTAATGGCATGTAGGAAAATGCATAAATAGATCCACCTTGCTGGAAGTGTCTCATGCTTTGGCGTGACTGAACGCTTCCCGAATGCGCTCCACGAACCTGCCGCTCGATCTTTTGATCGGATCAACAGCCGAATTTGGCGCGCAGATATGGAAATGCCGAGTCATGCCATGATGGTTTTGATAGGAATCGCCGTGGGTTTGATCATTGGCCACACTTTCGTTAGTGGAAGGCATTTTTTTAATTTGCTACCCAATCAGCAGACAGAGTGATAGCAAGTCTGAAGCCTAGATTTCTGCTAGGGGCGTTTTCTTTTTCTCTCGTGGCAACCGACGCCGGAATCGGTGGGCGCACGCGCATCAGTCAAAAAAGACCAATTTGGTTAGATCGACGCGCAGCCTTCGATGATATTTATTGCTGGCTCCAAGTCTCTCCGATCTTCCACAATCTTTCCTTTTACATTCAGAACGGGTGTCCTGTCACACAACATATTCATACTCATTGAGCTGTATCATGTTGGGCCACTCTTCATCCAACCCCTCTAAGCAGGGGGCCCAATTCACCTCCGGTAGAGTTGATACAATGACCGAAAAAGACTCGGAAAGGCCTGAAGGCCAACCCTCAAGCGAGAAGGTAGTTTTGGGAAGTGAAGACCAAACTATCATTGGTGAGGCTGCTGGTGTGCAAAAGGCCGAAGCTGTGGTGTTGGCCTGGAGTAGGAACGCTGTCTGGGGAATCTACGCCTGGTATGAAACCACCACGAAGCCAATGTCTTCACTTAAAAATCCATGAAACGACTGACCAGGATTTCATCACTCTAGGATTTGGGTCTGCTTCTTCATGTTGGCATTTCATTCGTCGATCGGCCTCAACGTTATCGTCAATGCCTATGCCAACTTTAGCAGCGCCCCTGAAGTCTCAACCGCCGCAATTCTAGCCACGGTCGTAGGTGGAGTTGTGAAGCTCCCCATCGCCAAAATACTGAACATTTGGGGTCGAGCCGAAGCCCTGACCATCTTCACATGCTTGTTCCTGCTGGGAATCATTGTCCTGGCATCATGCAATGGTCCTAATGGATTTGCCGCGGGATACACAATGTATTGGGTTGGCTACAATGCCATTTACCTGATTCTTGATGTGTTCATTGCCGATACCTCCGGCCTGAGAAACCGTGCCTTTGCGTTCGCTTTTTCAAGCACACCTTTCATTTGCACGGCTTTCACTGGTCCTCTGGCTGCCCAATCTTTCTTAAGTATGACAACCTGGCGATGGGCATATGGAGCATTCGCTATCATTTTCCCCTTTACCCTCTTGCCTCTCGCTGTGGTCTTCAAATTCTATGAGCAGAAGGCACAAAAGATGGGTCTCTACAAGAGACCTGTCTCTGACCGAACCTGGTCTCAGTCAATTGTCCACTACATTCATGAGTTTGACAGTAAGTGATACTCTCCTTTTTTTTCGGGACCAAATGCTAAGAATGTGTCTTCAAAAGTCATCGGCGCCGCCCTATTGATGGCCGCCTTTATCTTGCTACTATTGCCCTTCAGTCTGGCAACCTACGGACGAGCCCAATACAAATCCCCCACCTTCATCGCAATGCTGGTGATCGGATTCTGCCTGTTGTTTGTATTTTTCGCATGGGAGAAATTCTTTGCTCGCAAACAATTCATCCAGTACAATCTGCTCAAGCGACGCACTGTCCTCGGAGCTTGCGTGTTGTCCGCCGTGCTCAACCTCGGCTACGCAGCTTGGGATCTATATTTCCTGAACTTCGTCATGGTTGTATATGACCTCAGCGTTTCCGATGCGGGATATATGAACCAGATTTACAACATTGGATCCTGTTTCTGCGCACCCCTGTTCGGTCTCTACATCAGGCAGACAAAGCACTTCAAATGGGCCTGCCTTTTCTTCGCTCTCCCCTTGATGATTCTCGGGTCCGGACTGATGATTCATTTCCGCGGCTCGGATGACGGTCTTGGGTACATTGTCATGTGTCAAATCTTCATCGCCTTTGCTGGTGGTATGTTGGTGATTGGACAAGACATGGCAGTCATGGCCGAAGCAGACCACGACGGAGTGCCAATGATGCTTTCCATCCTTGGCCTCTTTGCCAGTCTTGGCGGTGCCGCTGGAAACACAGTCGCTTCTGCAATCTATGCCAACGTGTTTCCTAGTACTCTTGTGTCAAACCTTCCCGCGGAAGCACAAGCCGACTGGGTGGACATCTACGTCGGTGGGTATCTGGTTCAGATGGGCTACCCTATGGGATCGGAGATCCGAACTGCCGTCAACCTTGCCTGGGGCGAGACTCAGAAGTATAGCTGCATTGCAACCACTGCTGTGGTAGCACTGGGTCTGCCCTGCATTTTCGTTTGGAGAAATATCAATGTCGACAAAAAGCAAGTCCCTGGTACTGTCCTGTAAGCTTCAGGCTTGGGCATCTCTACTCTCGGATCTGTCGCGAAAATCTTCGAGGCTTTGGCTGGATCCATCAAAACCTTGGAATTGTGAATTACCTAGTGGGCCTTGGAGGGTGTCAGTCCCAATATCCTTCACTGGTCCCTATCTTTTTATATATCACCACAAATATTGTTTAGTTTAATAACAAATCAACTCCCTGTCTCATAGGTCCCGAGGTCTCTACTTTGTAAACCTTGAAGCATATGCCCAGGTGGGCAGCAATGGAACTTTTTTCTCTGGAACGCTCCAAGTTGGAACATTTTCCCGAGTCGCAATAAAAGAACAAACCTGGAACCGCTACCTAGTACCTGTGTGATCCATTAAGCCCGCCAATGTTCAACTTGGAATCTTCAAGTTCCGAGATTGAAAATTACTTCAGAAAATCGAGGTCGTTATTGAAAATCAGATGATTTGTTCCGTAAAATATATCTATAAACATCTAAAAGTGCGAAAATGAGCGTTTAACTGCCCACCTGCAAAGGGCAAAATAGCCTCAAGTCGCAAGGGACTGGTGCAACACGCTGTCCCGGTACATTTCACTTTTTTCCACGAGCTCTCCATGAGTTCCACGATCCACGCAGCGGCCGTCCTGAATGAGGAAAATTTGGTTCGCACGGTAGATTGTCTTCAATCGGTGCGCGATGGCGATAATAGTTGTTTTTCCTGCCAGCGCCGCCAAAGCGTCTTGAATTTTGCGTTCGGATTCACCATCCAGTGCACTGGTGGACTCATCCAGCAAGAGTAGGCCTGGTTTACGGACCAGAGCCCTTGCAATAGACAGTCTTTGACGTTGCCCACCGGAGAACTGCTTTCCGTCATGTGTACAGAAGGTCTCATAGCCATCAGGTAGACTCATAATCACGTCGTGAATTTGGGCAAGTTTACAAGCCTCCTCGATTTCAGCTTGAGTCGCCGTGTGCGAAGCTCTTGCTCCTAGTCCGATGTTGAAGGCCAAGGTTCCTTCAAACAGAACATTCTCTTGTGGAACAAGTGCGATGTCATCTCTGAAGTGGGCTGCAAAGACTCGGTTGATGTTCTGTCCATTGATGACAACGGACCCTGAGGTGGGGTTATAGAACCTTTCCAACATGCTGAAAATGGTCGATTTACCGGAGCCACTGGGGCCCACCAAGGCGTAAAAGCCCCCTGGTTTGAAATCAACACTCAGGTCCTTGAGCACAGGGATGTGGGGTGTCTTTGGGTATGCGAAGTGTACTTGATTAAGCACTGCACCTACTGGGCCGGGTGAAGATAGGGGAGTTGCATCTGAAGAAACGCTGGCCTCAGCATCTTTCTCTTGCACCATAGCGCCAGTAGCCGACCGAGTGAATGATTCACCAGATTTGTCTTCCTCGGAAGAGTTTGATTTAACAAGATCAACAATGCGTGAGGCCGACTTTCCTGCCTTGGAAAGATCAGGGGCCAAAGCAAGCATCTGACCGCAGGATTGCGTGCTGAATAGAAGTGCTGGGAGGACAATAAAGAATTGTGTCTGGGAGTAAAGACCCGATGCAATCTGCTTGGATCCCCACCAGTATGCAAGAGCACTGATGAGATTGCTCACACTGAAAGCCCATGCAAGCCAAAAGTTACCCCAAGCAATGGCCTTCGTGGTATTCTTGTAAGGCTTTTGAATAGCCGAAAGGAACTCCCGGTAGAGCTGATTCTCCAGAGAGAAGCCAGCGACAAAGCGCAAATTTCCCAAGGCCTCCACAGTGATCTCTGTGGCTCGAGAAAACGCTTTCTTGTGGCGTTCCGCAAATTGACCCTGAACGCGGAGCTTCATGAACCCAGCCAACAAGAGAATTGGTATAGTCGGGACCAGTACAATCGAAATTTTCCATGCCACGACAAATGATATGATCACACCCGCGAAGAGGTTGACACCGGTCGCAAGGAGCAAACCCATAGTGGTTCCAGTGATGCCACTAATTGCAGAGGCGTCTCCGGTAATATAAGCAATGAGGAGGCCTGGGGTACGCCCATCATCACTGTGCCATGTCATGGATTGACTCAAAAGCGATCGCAGTGAAGAAATACGAAGTCTGTACAGAACCTGATCTGCAGCCCATCCATAGGCACACCCGCCAATGAGATTTGCGAAGAGCTCCACGAAGCCAACAAGGAAGAACATGCCACCGAACAAATTCCCACTGGATCGGATGCTGGCAGAGCCATTGCACGGACTAAGTCCACCGATTGTGTTTCCGAACAGAATGGCATTGGAGCTATAACTAGCCCCGATGATGACCGACATAACCAGGCCGATAAGAATGAGAAGGATGTTTGGACGGATGAAGGCAAAGCATATCTTTGCAGTGAGGCGCTTTGAGGGTTTTGGAGAGTCACTTGTCTCTGGTTTGCCTTCATTGCCATCTTTTTCTTCGGCCACGTAAACAGTTTGCTCTTTATCAACTGCGGTGTCTTTCGAGATTGGGTCATGTTTCTCCAAGGTGAGAGAGCTGTTGTCATCACTGAAAGAGCCCCGAGAATTATCAAACTCGGCGTTATCAAGCTTCTGCTGGTTGATCATTGTCGCATACACCCCCTCTCTCTGAAGCAGGTCCTGTGGAGACCCGTTTTCAACCGAGCGGCCATTTTGAACGACGATAATCTGATCGGCATCTTGAACCGCGGCCAGACGGTGTGCAATAGACACAATGGTAGTCGTTCCAGCAAGTGCGTGTAAAGAAGCCTGAATCAACTGCTCACTCATTGAGTCCAGAGCTGCAGTTGCTTCGTCCAGGATGAGAATCTTTGGTTCACGGATAAGTGCCGTAGCAAGGGCAATGCGCTGCCTTTGACCACCACTCAGCTGGCCTCCGGAAGTACCCACAGGGGTAGAGATACCAAAAGCCAGTGATTCAATGAACGATAGGGCGTTGGCTCTTTCCGCCGCCACTTTGGCTCGTTTGAATATCTCAGCGACTCTGGGATCGGATGATTCCAAGGCCTGCTCTTCCGAAGACCCGGATTGAATGCTTGCGACGACATATGTCAGGCTCATATCCATGATCACCTCAGCTAGATCATGCTCAGCAGAGCCGACTAGTCCATAGGCAATGTTCTCCACAATAGAACGGTCCAACAGTTGAGATTCCTGTTGCACAAAGCCCATTTGGCCTCGCAAACTCGCAACATTCAGGCTCTGGATATTCTGAGTTCCGACAAGGATGGTTCCACTTGACGGATCGTAGAAGCGCTCAAGAAGAGCAACAGTGGTAGACTTTCCACCTCCCGACGGACCGACGATCGCCGTGTGTTTCTTTGGTGGGATGGACAAACTCAATCCCTGTAGCACAGGCATTTCAGGCCGCGCGGGGTAGGTGAAGTGGATATCCTTGAAGATGATCTCGGCATCGCCCAAGTTCGTGGCTTCTTGTCCCTCTGGGGTTGTTCCGTCAATGGCGGAGTCTCGGTCGATCACGTCTAGTAAGCGCTCGGATGCACTGGTAGCAGCGCTGAACACGTGCATATACGGGGATACCTGACTGAAGATGAAGGTGGCTATTGCCCAAATTTGTCAGATTGAGATCAACACGAGAGACATGAGACGTGCTCTTACCATCAATCAAAATGAAAATCACAGTATACACTGCGCCAATGGATGCACCAGAGCTCAGTCCATCGACCGAGTCGGCAATCATATGTGCACCCTTCCAATACGCCAGTGCATTGCACGAGTAGACGATGAAGAACAAAGTTCCCATCTGTCCAGCGTGAACAGCTGCTTTTTTGACGGCATCTTTCCGAGAATGTATGAGATGACTGGAGAATAGATCCTCCAGGCGCTTTTGAGCGTTGAACGCATGAACGATTTTCAAGTGAGACAGACTCGACGAAGCGATCGAGGTGGCAAGATCAACATTTTTCGTCACTCGAGCCCCGTAACGTGCCGCAAGATGGCCTCCAACGAGGGCCATGGCAAAGAAGCAGGGGATAGCTGCAATCAGGATACCAGCAATGATGGGTACCTTAATGAAGGCGACGACATACGCAGTGACAAAATATGAGAGCGTAGCCAGGTAAATACCGACCTTCTCAGAAGTACCTGATTGCAGTGTCTCGATGTCGCTGACCAGTCGCGAGATGACTTGACCGGAGGGTAGGTTATCGTGGAATGCGGCTTCCTGGCGAACGACGCTGCGGAAGTAAGCCTTTCGATAGCGACGGGCGATTCGCTCGCTGACCAGACCCCAGCATGACGCGTAGATGTAGATACTCGCAAAATTGAAGATCGTGATATAGATGAGGTAGAGGACTTTGGTTCGAACGGAGGAGGGATCGTAGGCGGTCGCGGAACAGGAAACTTCATTGAGCTCATTGATCAGTTGACCCAACACAATTCCCAGCAATGGCTCAGGAACACCGGCGGCAATGGCGAAAAAGGTTCCCACGGCAATCAGCAAGACATCGATCTTGGTGTAGTTGAGGGAGAAGAGAAGGCGGGCGAAAGAGAAGGCTCGCTTGAAATCCTTCTTCTTGGGAATCTTGTCAACGACATGCTTTATCTGTGGTAAAATGCGTCAACATTGGGACCTCATCTATGCACAGGTGGTCTTCCTACAAAAAACGACCCTTCTTTTGACTCCGTCTTTTCACCGGCGGCCTCCATGGCTGTTTCTGACTGCTCTGCAGTATGTCGAGAATCCTTCGCAAGAGAGGAACCTGACAGAGCGAAGTAAGAAAAAAAAAATTAAAAAAAGCTATCGGATCCCTCAAATCCAGATCACGCGGAGAACCCTGAGGAATCCTTCATCGTAGTGTGCCCATGTATTACATTTGTAAGGCTTCGAATTGAAAAAAACACGCGGGTACGGACAATTTCCACTAAGACCCTTATCAGATTAGATCGCCGTTCCGCCGCCAAGCTCGGGCCAGTTCGGCTTGGGCCCGTGTCGGTGCCTTCCAGGGTGAGTACAGACAGAATTGCTTAATTTGGCCGGCACCAAGGCTTTAAGCGGGGCATGATATCAGATTGATTGTGCTTCTCGCACAATTTATATCATTTTGACTAAATCATACCGGTTTGCCATGATCGGGTTTTCTACGCCCTGCAAATTGTCGACATGTCTACCTCGTCCTTTGTTCGCACCTGAGGGAGTGGAGAATGGCCTCTCATCAATATTCCAGCGCACTCAGGCTAACTTACCTACTGATACAGCGGGTCCTAGCGCTTACCACATGCTAGTCTGGGCGGATCACACCAGGGCTTGGCGCTGTATACACTAGCGTGCACTTGAGCGTCACAATGTGTAGCTTCTAGAATTACGGACCCTTGTATGCTCTGTAATGTTTCCGGGATCGGCAGGCAGGCTCCGCCAGCTAGTGACAGTCCGGAGCAGACCGATCGGGGGAATCGGTCAAACTCGCAGCGGACAGAACTTAATCAAAGGGCCAATAAAATCGCCACTCTTTGAACTTCCTTACCTCCACGGGTAATATGGAGTAAGACATAGGCTCGAACTGTGTGGCTCAGCAGTACTCCAAAACTCCATTTAAAATCTGGATGGATGCAGAGCATGACTTCGGAGACCCGGCAAATATCTTAATCAAGACAAACATTGAAAGGATTCTAGTTGAACCAAAGCGAGAATCCAAAATCTCCGAACAAGAGCGTATGATACGGCGTAGAGGTCTGAAATCCCCACCCCTTGCTTGGCACCGGGATCCTCGAATATATTGCGCCGTAAACTGCCTTATGCAACTCTCAGTGACACTCCGTAGTTTAGTATCGAGTTCTTTGGTCACATACACTCTACTAGTAGTACGAGCTATCCTAGAGGATCCTGACGGCCATGGACCGCGGGCGGCAAGGGGTCTCGGTACGGAAGACCCAGTTTGTTTGCGTTGAATGCCCGCGGGTAAGTCTTCGGTCAACGTCCGAAAAATGCCCACCTGTTAACTAGCAGAACAACGCTCATGATGGTTTGGGGGCTGATCTCTGGGCCCAAGAGCTTTGAATTGTCAATTTAGGTATGCGTAGTCGCCTCCCAAAAGTTGTAACGTACCTAGTGAAGTATCTACATGCATACATTGGCTCAGCAAGAGTGGATCTTCGCTAGCCCTGAATGTAACCATTCCATTTGTACTATCAGCCATTTTCCTAACTCTGACTAGTAAAATTATCGAAAGTAGTTAACTCCACGACGATCTCACCTAGTGTAAGGTTTATCAGATGATCAGATAATCAGGGTCTTCCCCCCGGGGCCTTAAGCGGAATAGCCCCCGGTAATATTAAATTACGGCGGACTCACGTATCGGTCATTTCGGAATGTTAGGCTGTATTGCAAATTCTCCAGAACAGTACTGATTTATCTTGGCGCGGTTCATAAATTAATATTGGGCGGGGCTCATGCTGAATCCATCACTTGAGTACTAGGCACATATCGGAGGGTCATACCGAGGTAGAGTTTTAGGGAGGTGACAAGTATTTTTGATTTTATTCTACCATTGGGATTTCATGGTGTAATGATGTGAACCGATTCCAAGTTTCTTGAGACATGCTAGGACGATCTTGTCTCACCATGAGCAACACCAATTTAGTAAAAACGATGCCTCAATAGAGTTAGCCAAAGATAACATCTTCAAACAGGTTACCAAATGGAAATGAAAATGGAAACATTGTGCCCAAGCTATCCTGCGGCACTTGATCAAACAGCCCTTCAGTGGTGTTCAAAAGATTATGTTGGATTCCAGTTTCCGCGTTACACGCTTCGGGTTGAGTCGTTTGCTCTGGTGGACACTCCTGTACTTTTTCGCGACCCAGTCTCTGTCCTGTATGGTTGCTCTTGAGAAGTGACTCATATATTGGGAGAAAGGCCGCCAATATCGGCAATCTGTCTTGTAGACTCTCAAGTATCATCATGCAGAATCGGGCGCGATGCTCGGAAATCATTCGAACACCTGATTCACCTTTGTGAATGTTCAGTACCTGGATCGAAAGCAGGGAGAGGACTGAAGCGATTCTAAAAACAGTTAGCGTTTAGTTTTGATTTAGTAGGGGATATCTGGCAAAACAGACATATTTCCAGCAGTTGAGTTTATGAGATCCTTTGCCAATAGTATCTCCAGCATGTGATATATATCCGTGCATATATCGTATATTGGAGTACCAGGCCCTGTATTACCAGAGAACCGAGGATTGCTCCGATGCAAGACTAATCGGTATGTCCTGGTCATCCAGTGTGATGAGCTTCCGGTCACTCTTAGATCCAGAGTATCTTACTGGTATAAATTGCGAGTCAATATAGTCCAAACAGTGCCGTTCGCGGACAAAGAATGAAATTCCGGTGATAATGAGCTCGACCATACTGATATCTGCTCCAAGCATATATCTTGTGAGTGGCCACTGTCTTCATCAAACTTTATAGTAAAATGGCGGTCCACTACAAAATGTTGTCAACAGCCTAACAGAAAAAAAGCCCTGAAACAGGTGGCTTACCAATACGAGCAAGCTGTACTGCCTTGACAAGAAAGTCGCCGCTTGCGTAGGACTGTTCGACGGAATCCCCACTGTTTTTGGGATTGTCGCCTGTCTCGAAATCTGCTTCTGTGAGAGGTGGGACATTGCAAAGCCTTCCTTGGACGCGCGGTGGGCGATCAAGAAACATGGACAAGTTTATATCCATGGCCTGGCTCAAGATTAGTTACAATGCAGCCAATTGGAAATGAAGACGTTTCAGGCAAAGACTAACATATATCATCCACCACAATCGGCGCCATAACTTACGATCTGTGTCTCCTAATCGAACGTATGATTTCCTGGTATGTAAATTAGCGCATCAATTCAATAGATAAAAGTTGAGGAAACTCACGCCTGGTGCAACCCCAAAGCTTGCGCCATCCCTACAGAGATACCGATCCAGTGCCAAGGGTCTTTTTGCTCGAGAAGACCGCTCCACCAATGACACATGAGGAACGTGGCTTGAATCATTGTAATGGTATCTGGCTCAAGTCCGGCATCGTAGATCGATTTGGCTCTCTGATAAAACGTGAGGCTGGCGCTGTAACGTGAAGTAAATCCAGCACCCAAAATGGTTAAATCGGAGCAGTAGACGGTGCCAGTGAGGTAAACCGCATTCAAGAGTAACTGTGAAGCAGATCCCTCTTCAAGCTGGGCAAGAAATCTAGACCGATCGAGGATAGGCAGTGCAGCAAAGGAATTTTGGAAATATGAATCGAGAAGAGCTTGGCTGGTCTCGGGGTCCGGCGAATTAAAAGCCCCCTCAGCTCTGAGGCGTGTGATGTTGGAAATTCGGGATTGCTCAATTTCTTGCGCTGTAGACTGGCCAAGTCTAGCCAGCATTGCGCCTTGTAGGCGGTCTTGAAGTGGGCGAGTATCCGTTGTACCGTCAAAGGGATTTCCGAACTGCTGGACCAAGTAGTTAAGGTTAGAGGAATCTCCAACATACGGTGTTTTACCACCAGGGTCAAGGGCAGGAAAGCATGGCCTTTGCCCTGGTTCCCCATCGTTTGCAGCGGCAGTGACTGGAGGCCTTTTTGAAGACGGAACCGCTCCATGCGTCAAAGAGTGGGAGCTCTGTGGAGAAATTTTCTTCGAAACTGACTCTGAGAGCACGAGAGGAAGTTTTCGCTTTCTAAAATCATGTGAGGATGAGAATCATTACAACGTTGACTCAGTGCCTGGACCATACCGTCCACGGCGCGAAATAATGGGGTCACAATCGCGCTGGGCAATTTGACAATTGGAACACGCGACGTCATCACTGCGATCGCACTTTACCCGGCGCTCGTGACACAGGGTGCAGGCAACCTTGGTTGCCGGGCTATTCCGCGGCATTGAGAAATGAGAGCGATGTGAAGTGCTTCGTTGGAGGCAGTTCGGCGTCTTGAGGAAGGCGAAGTTCGCCAGGAGAGCCCCACCAAGTCGGCGAGTTGTAAAGATTGTGATTGGCCGAAGCATCAGCCGCGCCCTCTGATTGGGCCTGCGATTCTAGCCTTTTGTAGTAAAATATAAAAGTTGTTGCGAAAGTGAGAAACGAGGTATTTCTAACATCCCTCGAGTCTGATTTCTCTAGAGACCCGTTCACTGCAAATGGTCAGAATGTCTTCGGCTGTGCGTTTGTGCAACAGCTTCAGCCGCTCCAAATCCAACAATCTAGCTCAGCATTTCTTGGGACAAACAATTGCGAGTCCGCGGTATACACACACATCCTCCAACGCGATTCGAAAGAAAAGTTCGTCAGCAGGAAAACTGGAAAGGCAAAAAACAGGGGAGTCTGGGTATCTATTGTACGTTCTTCATCGACCAACGTGATTGTTTGGGCCCAAATGTGCCAGACATTGACAAGTATATTGCATTCAGAACCAAGGCCGATGACTTGATCAACTGGGGAAGACAAAGCTCACTTTGGCCTTTGTCATTTGCCCTTGCTTGCTGTGGAGTCGAGATGATGCATACTTCCATGCCGCGCTACGACCAGGATCGATTAGGCATCATTTTCCGAGCCTCTCCAAGACAGGCCGATGTCATGATCGTGGCCGGCACTGTCGCTAACAAGATGGCTCCTGCAGTGAGGCAACTTTACGATCAGATGCCTGAGCCTCGATGGGTTATTAGCATGGGCAGCTGTGCCAATGGCGGAGGATATTACCACTACAGCTACAATGTGGTACGAGGAGTGGATCGCATTGTACCAGTGGATATTTATGTGCCGGGCTGTCCACCAACAGCTGAAGCGCTGCTTCAGGGTATATTTCTTCTCCAGAAGAAAATGCGACGGACGCAAGTGACGAGAATGTGGTACAGGCGCTGAACACCGATTGTATTTCTAATTTTTTGCGACTATGCACCTCCTACCATCCCCGGGGCCTTGATTTAAATAGCATGGAATGGCCAGAAAATGGCTACAGAGTTCAAAAAAGAAATATCCGAGGAAAAATTCCTGGTCCTAGTGTTTGCATTCCTACGCATCATGACCCATGGAACCACCTGTGGACCTATGTTGGGCTCGCGTAGTTCAGGATGGTAGAATAGGAAACGAAAAGAGTGACCATCACTTTAATGACCCTGGCTCTTGAGTCCAATCAGCTCAGGTGTCCCGCAGCGAAAGGTCGGCTGCTAATCCGTACACAGCAAACATCTCATCATAGGCTGGATTCAATTCGTAGTATTCTTTTGTGGCACTCATATATCCATATGATAACCAACGAGAACGGGAATGCCTTGATTAACTTTAACACAGTCTAGCCCCATCCTTGGTGCATGCATTGGAAACGTAATTGTAGGTAAGCTGTCCGTGGTCCACGTTGTTGTCTCCAGGGTAGAAGTATGGCACACTCCCACAGGTTAGACATCTAATTGTGTCAGTCAAGAAACTTGTTAACTTGAATTGATAGAGAACTCACCCATGCTCTGGGATATAGTGAGCTAGCTCCTTGATCTTGGCACCGTTGGTCCCCCCGGTTCCCTGTAGGAAAGCACAGAATCCACCATTTCCGGTAATGCGGGCACCAGATCCAATACAGGCGATATGGTCCCCATTGTTATACCATCGGTTTGGGTCAATGCCATCAATCGCGCGAGTGAGTTGGATCGCCATCTGATTGTCACCGAAGGTGTTGCAGTTTGCGGATCCTCGACAGTTGATTCCGAGGGCAGCAGTGGCAGTCCCGGTCAGGGATAAGGCCAGAAGAACAGTTCCAAACAGAGACGAGAAGCCCATGATGAATATGATCGACCTTGAAGATTGGTTGATGTTGAGGATGGCTGAGTTGGAAAATGTTGGAGTGTTTTGATGTAGTCGGTAGGGGAAGTAGCACCCTTTTATGTTGCTTCTGAACTCATCAATCTTTCTGCAGTCTGTCACATCAGTAATACGACCGAATTTTCCAAGCCGAGATAGCCCAATAGCCTTTGACTACGGAGTATGTCTATGGATGTTATCGGCAGTCAATCAAATCGAAGCAATGGTAGCTCTCAAGGCTGATGCCTAGGAGGCTCATCCACATCTGGGGCAAAAGCTCGTAGATGGTACACAGGAAAGACCAATTTCCCAATTCACAAGAAACACTTTCCTTTCATGCAACGCCACATTGCCGAAACGGGAGACGGCTATACTCGAATGGTTTCGACGCTGCACTGGAATGGATTGATGATATGAAATAGGAAACTCCTCTTTCCCTCAGCGTCAAAAAAAAAGCAATTATTGGGAGTCTTTGAGTCCGACTTTTGGCAAAACCACCCGACCTGGGGACTGTGGCGTCAAACACTAGAGGGTGGATTGTGCGGCTGGGCCCGGTGCTTGTTCAGGGGATATTCGTTTAATTTGCTCATCGATACTACCCTAAAAAGAAGGATCGCCAGGGCTGAACTTACTACCGCTTACTTGCAGATCTAACCATGCACAACTGATCGAATGAGACGAGCTACTGGCCTTGGGTAGTATTCTTGGCAGGCCCAAAACGACAGCACACCCAGTACTCAGGGTCATCTGAACTGAAAGGCCACACAGTCTTTTTTGAGCTAGCAAAATTGAACAGCATGTCTTATCGGCGTTTGCGGAAGGCGGGCACCTTTCAGGCTGAGTCCGTGATTGATGTTTCAATCATAACACGCCAAGGCGACAAATCAACAAAAAAGAAAAGAAAGGAAGAAGAAAAAAAGGTCGAAAAGGCACCTGGTGGTGTGGGGCAAAGCTGAGGTGGGTCCCAAACAGTGGCTCCTTGTCAGTTCCAACTGAAGATTCCTCCACCGATGTAGATGTCAGCATGAATTTATGAACGCCATCAGTATACTAGGACAATAGAGGATAATGGTCTCTTTGAGTGACTATGGGCAACATTGGTCTGCCTATAAAGCCGACCTTTCACCTGTGTCTGGATGTCATTCAGCAAGAAAAACGGACTTCGCAATTTGACAGAATCATACACAGTCCGTGACCAAGCCAAATACTCCTTCAAGCTTCACAAAGATGAAGTTTACTGCCGTCATTTCTCTCCTCCTACCAGCTGTCGCTGTGAATGCCGCACTAGGTATCAACTGCAGAGGCTCCGCCAAGTGCAGTGGCCTTTGGGGCCCAGACAATGTCGCTAATGACCTCAAGAAGTCAATCGATGGAATTGATACCAACAGATGGTATACAGCTCTCCCGCTATCGGTTCTCAAAGCATGATTCTCACTCCAATTCCGTTAGGTACTATAACGGCGAGCATATCGCTTGTGTAAGCAACCAAGCTGGTAACGGCGGTGGCTACTGTGCATTCCTTCAGGGCACGGGAGGTACAAATGGTGGAAAAATCAAGGAGCTCGCTCACTACATTCCGGATCATGGGTTCGCTCATCCAAACTATACCTCGTTGGCGTTGCTAACAATTTTAGGTGCAAAATGTGCGGCAGCGTTCCCTACTTCTTCCCAGGAGATAACAACGTCGAACATGGACAACTCACATTCAACTACGTGGACAGTAAGTTGGTCCATAATTTGCGGCTTGATCGATCTGGTGCTAAAATCACACACAGACCCTTGCAACACGGCGGGTACTACTCTTTGCTAGCATTTTCCTTCATAGCAAGGTCCAAATCTCAATATTTCCAGCAAGTAAATCTTGAAATCTCGTTGAGTCTTTAATATAATCTCATGTATTCCCGCTGAAGGCGCTCTGGGTTTCTTGTTGGTCGACACAGTGCAAAGAAAGCTTGATGATGAAATTTACAATATGTATGCAAGGGGGTTTTTTGGCTCCTGGATGGATCTCACTCCTAGGTTCAGCCTGCCGAACCTTATTTCGACGACTGAATCAAGATCGGAAATCCGAGCCTGCGATGTAGGTGTGACATGATTGCATCATAGTTCGGCTCGTTCACGCAATTCAGAATACCATGCTGAATGAGGAATTCCACCACGACAATAGCACTATTTGGCTTGAAACATCCTTTCTTGAGATGATCTAGTACTTCATCAACGGTGAAGAGCTGGAATGATTCCACTTCGTTGTCTCGAGGTCTTGGTATTATGCTCTGATCCAATTCCATGGCGTAAGTATATTCGACTTCTGGCTGAAACAAGCCACTCTCCCCGCCTGCTTTATTCCCACGCACATGGAAATACGTGAGCGCATTCATTGGTTTGGCCTTCGCTCTTACTGTGTCTTCCGAGATGGATGCCTCCTCATACGCTTCGGAGATAAGAGCGTCAAATGGAAGTATTCCAGAGCCAAGGCCGCCAGCTGCAGTTGTGTCGAGCATCCCCGGGTAGGTTTGCTTTCTTTCCGACCGCTTGGCTATCCACAGTCGGGGTCCTTCTTTGCAGTTGACATAGCATAGAAGTTGGACACCATAGGTCACAATTCCGAACAACGCGCTTGCGCAGCGCTCCATGTTGAGGAGTACCTGTCCTTCTGGGCCGTATACCGGGAAGGTTTCGTTTCGCCAATTATCTAGCAATGAGATGGTGGAGAGTCCTTTGTTGATCTTGAGGCATTCTTCAACGGCTAATGAGCGTTGTTCAATTGTTGATGTGGCTGGCATGTTCAGGGTGACCGAGTGTTGATGGTGGTCAATAGACCATGATTCAGACCATTGAATTCTCTCCAGAGTCGACCGTGTGATGTAGCCTAGGGAAGCATCGCAGCCATTCACTTTAAATGTATACTTGCTCTCAGCATCCGGTGAAGCACATGAGCTGTGCGGCGAGAAGCTTTCATTTCACAGGATAGAAGTCAGCCGTTGAGCATGATTTCAGGTCAAATTTCGTCGCTTACGTACTTATCACACGCTCTCACCACATCTAAGACTGATCCTTTGCATTTGGAGGTCATCATGCAGCCATGCGTTGTGAGAGCACTCTGCCCAGATGGTGAGGAGATTGGTCAAGCGGAGCAGCCAACCCCTCACCAACATCGGAACTCGGGCGGCGGTGGGGATCAAAAGCGGATGCATATGCGATCATGTCGGTCGACAACGCGATAATCTCTTGCTCCTTAAGAAAACTGAGGTTGTCTCATCGGGGCTCTAAAAAAAAGGAAAGGAAAGAGATTTAAAGATTGAAAGAAAATCTCGCCGTCGAATTTCCCCGTTGTACACGAAAACCAGAAACATATCTGCTCGGTATGAGGGCACGATGAACATTTCGGGGGGCTCAGAGCCTGTAGGTAAGGTACTAGGTAGAACCTTGAAGATCTGCGTAGTGATGAAGACCACCCGAGGTCGGTCGGGACCATGGAGTTGAACATACTAGTATCCATGGATGTATCTAGTACGTACAGATCTTTTCGAATACAATAAAAAGGTCTCTACCTACAAGTCAGAGAATGAGACAGAAGGGAAAAAAAACAGCAAAAAAGATTCCTCTCACGCGGGATCGAACCGCGGACCTCAAGATGTCAGATTTCTGACAGAAACAATTACAGTCTTGCGCTCTTCCAGCTGAGCTATAAGAGGATTGTTAAAATCTTGCTGGACAAAGGTACACTATGAGGAGCAACTCAATTGATGGAGCAAATGGCGTAACCGGGCTCCCTGATCCTACCGTCGTCCTCGGGTGGGTTTGATATGGCTCAACTGGTATCAACTAGAGAGGAGGTTCGACCTCGGAGCTTACACCTCGCCCTATTTACTTCGTATATTAAACTTAAATACCAGTATAGGTAGTCCACCATGTATTGACTAAATTCAGCCCAAAACTCATACTCGTCGACATTGAATGTGGTGAATACAAGATCGTCCTAGATCTAACGCTTCAACCAAAAATATTTCCTTGCTGATACCTACTGTAATATACCTAGGCTGCACCTCAGTCTACAGTATGCTTCCAGTCACGACATCCCGTTCATGATAATGTTGCTTTTGTGCAAATCACATCCGTGAGCACTTTAGTTTCATCTCATGGCCCAAAATCTCGGTGCGGATATTCATGCACTGAATAACGCGGGAATGTCACTGCTTCATGTGATCGCCGCCGGGGAACTACTAGGCACCACATATATGATTGATTCGGGGCGAGGAGGCCAAAATCATCACGGACACCGCCGCCCAGCTGTTTGAACTCATCGTGGCCTTAGGCGTGGACCCCATACTTGAGGATAAACAGCAGCGAGCTTCCCTGGATGATGTTGCCGCCTGGGCAATGACTCTATTTTGAATCTATGCAAGTAGATAGACGCCCGTCGTTAACAGGGGTAGGGCCTTGTGATGATAAGTGCTCTCTGCTGTCTACCTAGTCATGCATCTTTCAATATTGTTGCCTAGTTATTTTGAAACCAATACTTCCATATGCACTACGTATTCGCTACTGTTTACAGAGGGCAGACTTTGTACCTAGTATTTCTCGGACCAAGTTTTTGTACCAGGTACTAGTACCTAAGTACATTTGACTTGGACTTGGGACGAGACTTCTTCCGGAACAGACCTAGCGTGGGCCGGCATGTGCAGCACGCTCCCGACCCGCACCCCGGTGGGCACCCGTCGATCCTCCCGGTTTGTTTCAAGCCATTCCGGCGTCCCGAGGTCCCGACCCGTACGTACACCCCCGGGGGCCGCAGGCATCGGGATGATTAAGCCTCTGAGGATCCGACCTCGGGAGCTCTGTCGCTTTCCCCCTGTGATCGCCAATAGGGCAGTTGTGAACACAGCCCCAGTAGTAGCGAGGTTAGAAATCCTGCATGGTTACTATGGTGATATACCATACGAAGATCCAGATGGATAGCCGGCTTGGAAACGTCATCGCTTACCTGGGCACACCGAAACTTGAAAAATCGCCATTTGCTTGCAGAGGAAAGCTTAGGTACCTCCTCTAATTTGATCCAGCACTGTTTGTTGATGAACCGAAGTAGCGCGAAGGTCCAGAACAATGAAGTTGGGGTTAAAAATGGAGTGAACAGGGACTCATTTTTGAGCAACCTCCTGAACCGAAGAATCATGATGATCTTGATGCATCGTCAGGGTATTAATTGCGGGAATGACGTATTGATACCCCATGCAGATGAAGTTTTTAATAAACCAAACGCCTATGCATGTATGTACCTGGATGGAGAGGATGTGCACTCCATGGCAGCTCTCCCATACGTGCAGTAGATCTGCCTCCTGATTCGATGACGACATCTATTTCATCAGACACCAAGATCCTATTCTTCCCAACATCACCTCCACTTGGGTATTTTTCAACTTCAACCAATCCATTTTGGTACTTTAATTGGGTCTCGCTCGACATTCGGACCCGCTGAACCTGCTTCATTGTACATACATTTTCTTCTAGTACTGCACGAACGTGTATATCCCCCTTTATCCCCCTCCAATACCCATCGCGTCACCAATCCTCCCCCTAGCGAGTGGGTCGGCAACGCGACCGTTCTGCATGATCGTCCTAGATCGACGGCATCTTTGAAAATCACTCTCGAATCAATTCCCCTTTTCAGTCAAGCTTACGACCAATATCATTGATCTTCATGGGCTAATCTTGGAAACTCGTCTAAACTGGCGAGCCCTATACATATCTTAAATACTCCTTACTCCCAAGCCTGATCTAATCAGATCTTCACTGAAGAAACTCAACAACAGAGAGGTAAGCGCATGCCAAAACCAGGGATCTTCAGCGCCCTTGCATTAAAATATGACAAGAGCTAATGAACATAAAGCCCTAATCAAGTCTACAATCACAATATGGTAGCCACGTTAGCATCCCAGGCCCTGGCTTGGGGAGCTGTTTTGGCAACCCTGGTCCCTGGCTCCTTTGCGTTCCAATACAGCAAAAGCGAAGATGGACTTGTCAACGTGACAAACACACATGACATTTATTCCGCACAAGCAAAAGCTATGATGAATAGTAATTCAACCGAAGATGGAGAGGTAGGCCGACACTCCAAGGATCTCACCTCACGGCATCAGTCTAACGGCTTTTTAACAGGCTCATGGCGACATCAAGGTGCCCCATGGGGCTAAATTCACCTCCTTCAATGTGAACGATAAGGGCAACGAGGAAATCGCTGGATTTATTTCAAAAGATTTGAACGCGAAAACAATTGAGCATCTCTACATTGTACTCCACGGGAGGCTAAGGGATGGAAATGACTACTGGAAGACGCTGAACAATGCCATCAACAAGGCCCGAGACGATAATTTCACCGGCACGGACCGCAAGATGGCCGTCCTGGCCCCGCAGTTCTTTTCGACGAAATACAACTCCGGCCAGTACAAGGACAACCAACTGGCTTGGGACGATTTGAACGCCTGGCAACCCGGTGGCCAGGCTAACCATCCCGCAAATACCACTCTGACCTCTTTTGATGTTTTAGACGGCCTGGTCAAGCTTCACTCAGACAAGGAGAAATACCCGAACCTGAAGAACGTCACAGTCGTTGGCCATGGCGGTGGTGGTCAGCTTGCACAGCGTTACTCGGCTGTAGGCAACAACCCCCCTGATAATGTTCATCTTCGATACATTCATGGCGACGCATCTTCATGCATGTACTTCACCAAAGAGCGTCCCACTCTCTCAGACTCAGGCACCAACGCAACGACTGAAAATTGCCAAGACTACAACATCTGGCGGTACGGTTTCGATAAATTCCCTGGCGCGGGTGGGAAGGTCAAGACGCCAAAAGAGTATTTCACTCAGTACACCAGTCGAGATGTCGTTTCGATTGTGGGGCTCGATGACACAGGAAGTTCTGGGGATACGAGTTGCATGGCACATTTGCAAGGAGGTGTGAATCGGCGCGCTCGGAACTTGGTCTGGTTCCGATACATCAACACCCTGGCGCGTACGGACGAGAGGCTAGATGAATTCCCTGGTTCCTTTGAGGATCTGCCGAATTGGAGCGACGCAGTGAATGGAACGAGCAAGCTGCGCCTCGTTGCTGTGGAAGGTGTCGCCCACAATGCCGAAAAACTATTTGAAGACCGACTCGGACGAGGCGCGCTCTTCCACGATCGCCACATTGACGGGGGATGGCGTCCTTACCAGGACGACGCTTAATTTTTTTTTTGATAAATTGAACATCGCCTTGGTTCCAACTTTGGAAGTGTACGTAGCAACAGCAACCTTGACATCCCAACAAGGCTTTATGTTGAAGATATAGTCGCTGTACCTTCAAGCTTATTCTTTTTTCTAGCTCACATTTTACTAGTAGTAGTCTTTCCAGGTTAGTTTCCGTCAGTGGCCGAAAACCAAAGTTCATTTGGCTCGGCTTAGTTTCGTCACTCGGGGCTTGAATGAAGACAGCATCTTGCAGTGATGGTCGAGACCGTCCTTAGAAAACAAGGAAGCCCAATACGGCCAATTTGTGTGCAGATCACGGCACACGGCCACCCCGTCAACACCGTGTAACAGTACGGCAGTGGAGACCAAAAAAAAGCAATAAGTTGGGCATATGCGCCAAGATAAAGCCGTTTCCTTGCAAGGCCGCCAAAGGGCTCAATTTTGAGTCCCCCATGCCGCATTATCCCAGTACCCTGGCGATTGATACCCGGGATACTCCGTTTTTACCTTGTCTTTTCTGATATTTCTTGATTTAAAATTTGCTGTCATCCTCTAAATATTCTCAAGGCAACAGGGGCTGGAAATTTTAGCACCCACTGAGTTTCAAGGTTGAAGATATGAAGTATGGAAAATATCAACTTCCAGCCCTGGAGTACGGACCTCGGGAGTACAGTAGGAGGGAAAAGAAAAACTTGCTCCGGGGTACTACTCCACACTCTCCATCATGGGCAGTGGCCAGAGAGTACTACTCCATAGTGACACATCTATCTTTCAGTTTGTTTTCTGTCTCGTTTTACGAGCGTCTAGGGCACAAAGTGCGCAGCTACATACATCCCTTACAATCCATTTACTCATCATCCCTTCACCCCGGGGCCCTATCACTCTAGTCTTCTATGGGCAATTCGATGACATTTTGGATTTTAATTCGTTAGCCCCGGCCCCCAATCATGTACAGCCCCCAATTGTTGATAAACGATCACTCTCGGAATAACCAATGATCCTTGGTTCTACCCCTGATGGCAATGATCTTCTTGTTTGACAGTGCTAGTGGTTGACCGAGAGACACAATGTCACAGCTTTCAACAGTCACGAGATATGCGAGTGAGTACCGAATGCTCTTTCTCCTCCAGAGATAATAATATTAATAAATTATCTTGACGCTCAGGTCCCAACGAGCGCCGCACTATCAGTCGCGAAGACGTCGGTTTCTACCATGCCCTAGTGATCGGAGCCATTTATGAAATTCCAAGCGATGTTGTAGATATCAAGTCAGCTCGCTCATTTGTTTCGCCCCTAGAATGCTGTCTTCGAGAGCAACCTTATCTCGCCGTCGTTGTCAAGGACAGACATACTGAGCAGCCATTCTACGAGACATGTTCGAGCGTCAACCTCGAACATCATATTTCTGTCATTGAAAACGATATCAGCGCCGATGGAGATAATGCCACCATACAGCAATACCTGCCGGGAATTCTTGACAGACCATGGCCCGCAGACCTACCACCTTGGCGAATCGTTGCCATTCCTCTCGCGTCACAAGATCCCAGGCTGACCCGATTTTTTGTTGCATTTGCTTTTTCGCATGCTCTCGGTGATGGTATGGTTGGGGTCACCTTCCATCGCGCCTTTTTGAACGCTCTTCGGAAATCTCCTGGTTCCAATGACAGCTCGTTCTTGGTGACCCTCCCAAGCAAGAAGCTTGCAGAGCCCTTTGACACGCCAGAAAGACTCCCCATATCATGGAGCTTCCTCCTAGGGCCTTTGATCGCAGTATACTTGCCAAAATTCCTTGCAAAGCTGCTTGGTCTCCGCGCTGCTGCAAGCACGGTAGACGCCGGCACTTGGATTGGTTCGCCGATGTTCTTCGATCCGACCCCCAAGGAAAACAGCAGGGTACAACTTCTCGAAATTGAAGCTCCTCTGGTCCGAAATGCTCTCAACGTCTCGAGGAGCCACGACACCAAACTCACTGGAACGATGCATCAAATGATTATACGGGCTTTGAGCAAGGCCATTCCTGACACTAGCATCACCAACTTTGTGTCCGCCACACCGGTTGATATGCGAGCGTCTGTTGGCATACCAGGTCTGACATGGGGACTGTTCGTGTCTGGGTATTATGGTGTGCATGCCCGTCCATCCGACGCGTCAGGACCTGCATTGCCCAATGAGCTGTGGGAAGCTGCTAGCGCGATGACAAAATCAATCTCCGCCTGTGCTGCAACCCTTCAGGACCAAGCGATCGGCTTGTTAAGATACCTTCCTGGGATTCGGAAGTGGACCTTGAGTAAACTGGGCCAGCAGCGGGACTCGTCATACGAGCTGAGCAACCTGCTTGCGTTTGACAACTTCGATGAGAAAGGCGATCGATACAGAGTCTCTAAGATGGTGTTCTCGCAGCCTGGCAATGTTACCAGTGCCCCACTGGTGTTCAATGTAATCAGCGTCAAAGGGGGCAGTCTGACGTGCACGGTTAGTTGGCAAGCCGGAGCGCTGGGCATACCGCTCGAAAGTGAGCGTTCATTCGTCGATGGGATTTGTCTCTCAATCCGAAATGATTTCGAGACCATGGTCGAGTAGGTGAGGCTATTCTCCAACATGAGGATTCCTCGAATACTCCCGAGGTCCCGAAGATAACCTTGGAAAATTAAGAATCCCGAGGTCGGTTCCAACCTTCCAAGGTTGAAGCATTGGGTTCAAGGTTGTAGATAGGCGGAGTCGGAACTCTCCGAGGTCGTGATGGCACAAATTCTACAAATACATAATCTTTAATTTGTCCAGCACCTGTCAGGACATCGCGAACAACATTCCAGGTTTGGAATATGTTTGGGGCGAGGGACCTCGGAACTGACGTGCCCAATGACCCGGGTGCAATATATAACCAGACACAACAGTGAGAGTCAACGGTCGATTGTTATATGTATCGAGGCAACTAGAAGACAACCATTTTTTCCATCTTGAATTTCAGTGGAGTCCTTTCAAGATTCTGTTTTTGCAATGAACAGTAGATGTGATTGGAATTTGATGTTCCAACTGCGATGGATCCATCCATGGATTTGACTTTCGAATTTGGCGGGTTCTGATTGGCTTCCATGTTGACACCTTAGTGCCTTAATTTCCTGGATAAGCCAAGATCAAATGCGGTAGGCGGTCTCCCAACTTTTTTTTTTCTTCGGCATCAATATCTCTGCATACCGGGCCTTGTCACTCACGGTCACAATCAATTCCAATCATGTCTGACGAGATTGTCTGGCAGGTGATTAACCAGCAGTTCTGCTCCTACAAGCTCAAGTGAGTCTCACCCTTAACCCATATGCCTTACGAGTCTTTCGCCTGTTTTCGTCTTCAACCCAAAAATTGAAAAACTATTCTCTAACAACACTGTCTCTAGAACTACGAAAGAGCAGAACTTCTGTCGAAATGAATACAACGTCAGCGGTCTTTGCAACCGCCAGTCCTGCCCCCTGGCCAATTCACGGTATGCGACTGTTCGAACCGACCCCGAAACTGGTGTTATGTACCTCTACATGAAGACCGTCGAACGTGCCCACATGCCCAGCAAATGGTGGGAGCGAGTCCGCCTTTCTTCCAACTACGCCAAAGCCCTCGAGCAAGTGGACGAGCGACTGATCTACTGGCCGAAATTCCTGACCCACAAGTGCAAGCAGCGTCTCACACGCCTGACGCAAGTCAACATTCGCATGAAGAACATCGCTAAAGAGGACGAGCGCCTCGGCGAAAAGCTCGTGCCCAAGCTGGCCCCGAAGATCCGTCGTCGTGAGGAAACTCGTGAGCGCAAGGCCGAGTCTGCTGCCAAGGTCGAGAGAGCCATTGAGCGTGAGCTTATCGAGCGTCTGCGCAGCGGTGCCTACGGTGACCGGCCACTGAACGTCGAGGAGGGTATCTGGAAGAAGGTCCTCCGCGGTCTTGAGAGAGCTGGTGACGGTGAGCGTGATGTCGACATGGATGACGGCGAAGAGATCGAGGAAGAGGAAGAGGGCGTTGGCGAGGTCGAGTACGTCAGCGATCTCGACGAGGAGGAGGATCTCGAAGACATGGAGGACTGGCTGGGTGTTGACTCGGCTGACTCCAGTGATGATGATGAGGATGAGGATGAAAGTGATGACGACAGCGAGGACGAGGACAGCGAGGATGAGAAGCCCAAGCCCAAGCCCAGTGCCAAGCGGAAGCACGCTGCTCCTCCCGCAAAGCCTCGCAAGAAGGGACCTCGCATCGAGATCGAGTACGAGACCGAGGGCGCTGGCAAGGACCAGGTCATGGCATGATTGGAGATTTGGAAAAAAAAAGTTCACCGGATCTTGCATGGCGTTCGGGTTTTTGTTTTATATTCTGTGCTAGTGATCGGGCATCATACCCTGTTATTGCATTTACGATACTAGTATTTCAATGTCTATTATTTTGTCACTGTCTCTTTGACTCCAGCTCAGTAACTCGCAATCAGATCGATTACTCAGTGCGTAGTCCTGAGGTCTATACCCTGTTGACGGTTAGGAACAGCTCGAATCTCTACTTTCCATCAGGCAACAACTTGGAACCGACTTCGGGAGCGTCTGGCCTCCCTGTTGACGATACCTAGGAATGGTCTTACATCTCAGCATGAATCAGCTCAAGCCCCAGCTCTTCTACAAAAGGAAATATAAATTGGAAACTGAAACTTCTTTCCAAGTGCAATCAAAGAGAAAAGGAGAAAAGGGCACTTAAACCGAAACACGTGATCACGTGGCAATCGGCACCAACGGCCAGTTGGTTTCAGTTCACTTTCCCTCTCAACTGCAACTTCAGAAGCCGGTTCTTCTGCGAAACTAATAACTTGTCACATTTTCTGCCTTTGGCGCGATAATACTCGATCTCCAATCCTTTGCATCGGTCCCATCGCTGAAGCTCCAAGCTCCGAACCTCACCCCGCATCGAAGCTCCCGCTCTGCAGACCGCGCATCACCAATTACAATATGAGCTCCTACTTCTCGTCATTGACTTCTTCGTCTGCCATTTCTGGTCTTGGTTCTAGGCTCACAAATCTTCGCCGCGCCATCACTCTCGGCGATGAGGGCGACGACCCAGACAATGAGGACTGCTCTCACATCTCCAACGCTCTCCGAGCCTACTACACAGAAAAGGGCCGACAGTTTCCACCATGGCTACCTCAAGATCCCAAAGCTCCAGCTCCAGCCCCCTCGCGCACAATCGCAACCTCGCAACACCCCTCCGGCCAAGCTCCCGTCCAAGGCCGGAGTGGCGGTCTAGGCGATCTGTGGGGTGACTCCGGCTCACAGCAACAAAATCCACAAACCGCCAGTTTGCGTCGCGGCCGGGGAGGAATGGCACCACCGCTTGCATCTGCCCATAGCGCACCCTCGGGCCATTCCCCGTCACCTACGCCGCCCCTCACACAATCACACTCCTACTCCCCTGCCCACGCATCAGGCAACCTTCACCCGGGCGGCGCACGACCACTGCCAAGCCAGCGGTCGGGATCATCTCAGTCCTCGCAGAGTCGGCCGAACCTCGACCGCGCTGGCTCCGGAGGTGGCTCTGCCCAGGATCGTCTCCGGGCCAGGCTGCAGGGTGGGAGGTCCCCAAGCCCCAATGTTGACCCAAGTGTTCGGAAACCAGTCGGCCTGCCTCGACGGTGAAACTTGCATTGTAGAGCATGGCGCTGGGAGTCACTTTGTTTTTGTATATACATTTCAATGAGAGTTTCAATCGGAGAGTCAGATTGGACGTGTAGCCCTGGTATGTGCCCAGGTGGGTGTTGACATATGAACTCGCTGGGTCTTCTTGTTGCCTTGCCTGTCTCTTGATTGCAATCTACATGGCAAACTCAATTATCCTAGTCCCATGTCATTACCTTGTGAATGCATCGCCCCGGACCTCGGGAGTCATGGTCCAACTCAACCTTGGGATCATCTGAACTTCGCCAAGGCAGGATTCCAGATTTACGATTGAACGGTTGGATGTCATCAATGTCTACTCAGAGCCGCCTAGAAAAGCTTGGCACATTGGCGAACGAGCAGCCCGACTCGTAGGGAACAAGCTACGTACGCCCACCTGCCCCAGATCTCGTGTTTTGGATGGTCGTGCCTGTCCGAGTGAGGCATCAGTCGAAACGGACGAGTGGGAGCCCAGTCCTGCTAGAGCTGCCTACTCCGAGTCTCCAACCTTGGAAGAACGTCACGAAAGTCATTCCAGTCGAGATGTCAATCTCATCGAAATGGTACCACATCTTCTCGGTTTCTCCGAAATCTTGCCGAAGCCCTCCACGGGGAACCCCGGATTTTTAGCGTGATTCGCCAGCTATGGCCGGCCCCGGGGATTGCATGTGGCCCATGCGATGAGAAGGCGAAGCCTGCCCAGGTGCGCGCTCTCTCTCTTTCGCAGGGTTGGCCGCAATGCTGTGGTCACCCGATCTAAGCATGGCCAAGCCTTTCTACGAACTACAACACGAGGTCAGGAATATTCCAGAAATCAACGCCGAAATCTGTTCTACGTGGTGGCTACTGCTGTGATAGTCAAGTTGCGGTCTGAGAGCCAATTCGCTCATCACTCTGCTGCATCCTGAACCATGAAAGTGGACAACATGAGATATGGTGCGATGGCATTCGTCGAGAGGCTTGCTTGCATTCCGGTCTTGATCCTCCTCATTTTCATCCCTGCAGTCCTCTGGCTAGCCTGCTTTTGCCCCCGATCTTCACGTCTTCCCGTTCTGCCCCTCTCGTCGCTTGATTCCGAATACTCAATCCCGAGTCTCCTCTCCTTCCCCATACAGTGGAGTGCATTCACTCCACATTGCACCCCCGGTTTGTTATATTAACTGTGAAGGTCGAACCCCGCCTGCATACCGTGCGTGGCCGGTAGTAACAGTAACCCTTCCCGCTCTTGGTACTTATATTTTTGCATGTTCCTCAAGACTAGGATCCGTGGGTTCATTCTCGGTCCAGACATCATCAGACCAGGATTTATCATCTATACTTCACCGTTCAAATTTTGCCACAAAGAGTTCGAACCCCTTCCAAGGGATATAACATACAATGCCTGAGTCCAAGGACGCGGAGGCACACGACGTTCATAATGAAGAGAAAGACCCCACTCATGAAGCGGATGATATAGCCGATGCAAAGCTCCAAAATGGCCTTACCGAAGAAGCTATGGATGCCGAGTTGCAGCAGCTTGAAAGCCAGCTGTACGATCTTCCTGTATCACGCTTTGACTTCTCTATGGCAAGCCCGAAGAACTTCACCTACATCCTCGTCGCGTTTGCGTCGATGGGAGGTATGCTATCTGGTCTAGACCAGTCGCTCATCAGTGGTGCAAATCTCTTCTTGCCCAAAGACCTGCACCTCTCATCTGCCGATAACAGTCTTGTCAATGCGGGCATGCCGCTTGGCGCTGTGGCTGGTGCTCTCATTCTTTCCCCGGCAAATGAATATCTCGGTCGTCGCATGGCTATCATCGTCTCTTGCATCTTGTATACAATTGGGGCAGCGCTAGAGGCCGGCGCCATCAACTTTGGAATGATCTTCGCAGGTCGGTTCATTCTCGGGGCTGGTGTTGGTCTGGAGGGAGGCACTGTGCCCGTATACGTTGCCGAGTGTGGTATGTACCTTTCTCTTGCCCAATCTACGAACCAGACTCATCAAAAAAAGTCCCTCGCAAAATTCGCGGAAACCTCGTTTCACTTTACCAGCTTAATATTGCCCTTGGTGAGGTTCTCGGATACGCTGTGGCTGCCATGTTCGTAAGCGTCCCTGGAAACTGGCGGTACATCCTAGGCTCGTCGCTGGTCTTCTCCACCATCCTGTTCATTGGCATGCTCTTCCTCCCGGAAAGTCCTCGATTCCTAATGCACAAGGGCCGCGAGATCGAAGCCTATGCAGCCTGGAAGAAGATCCGAGGCTTCGACGACCACGAAGCAAAGGACGAGTTCCTCGGTATGCGTCAGGCAGTCACTGCTGAGAGCGAAGAGCAAGCCGCGACGAAGAAGTATGCATGGATGGACTTCTTTACTGTTCCGCGCGCCCGCCGCGCCATGGTCTATGCCAATATCATGATCTTCTTGGGCCAATTCACCGGTGTCAACGCCGTCATGTATTACATGTCCACGCTGATGCAAGCCATTGGCTTTGACGACAAAGATGCCGTCTTCATGTCCCTCGTCGGCGGTGGATCGCTTCTCATAGGCGCTATTCCTGCCGTGCTATACATGGAGCGCTTTGGTCGTCGGTACTGGGCTAATGTTATGCTTCCCGGCTTCTTCGTTGGACTTGTCCTCGTCGGCGTGGGCTACACCATCGATGTGCACAAATACCCGTCGGCTGCACAGGGTGTCTACCTCACCGGCATCATACTGTACATGGGGTTCTTTGGCTCGTATGCTTGTTTGACATGGGTTGTGCCTTCGGAGGTTTTCCCGACGTACCTCCGATCCTATGGAATGACCACCGCGGACGCGAATCTTTTCTTGTGCTCGTTTATCGTGACTTATAATTTCACGCGCATGATGGAGGCCATGCATCGCATTGGCTTGACTCTTGGGTTTTATGGGGGTATCGCGATTTTAGGATGGATTTATCAGATCATCTTTATGCCTGAGACGAAGAATAAGTCGCTGGAGGAGATTGATGAGTTGTTCTCATTGCCGACTGCGGTCATTGTGAAGCGCAACATCAAGCAAACTGCACAGATTGCTGGAGATTTGTCGAGACTGAGGCTGAAGAAGGTCTTTTCGCCCGAACCATACAAATAGAGGCTAGATGCGTCCCCGGGGTTTCTCCGGAGGTTCTTATACAATAGTACCTACTTCATCATATGTTGATTTTACTAGGACTGTGAACCAGCACCACTATACATGTGTATACAACTTAAATCCAACAATTATGAAGGAAGAAAAGTGGAACGAAAAGAAGAGGTGTGCAGTGAGATTGTCGAAGTGGCAAAACATTTGAACGGACTAACCCTGCGCTAAAATGAATCATCATGAATCGACGTGGGAACTCGTAAAAAGTGGAGAAATCTTACTTGCATCTTGAGAACTTCAATTATTTAAACAGCCTGGAGCTCTCCTTTTCTTTTACCAAAGATAAAACATCCTTCTCAATATGTCTAAGTTAACATTTTACGATGTGGCCATGGGTGCCCCCCTCCACCAGCGCAACAGCGCCGTCAACCCATGGAAGTCACGCCTGGCCCTGAACTTCAAAGCCATCCCTCATGAAACAAACTGGGTCACACTTCCCGACATCACAAAAGTGCGCAAAGGGCTAGGAATCCCTCCGTGTCGCAAGTTCGCCGACGGCACGGACTTCTACACCCTGCCCATCCTAATTGACCCCACCACATCCCATAAGATTGGCGACTCGTTCGACATCGCCGTCTATCTGAACAAACAATACCCCAACTCCGGCGGTGATCTGTTCCCGCCCCAACCACTGGATTACACTTACGACCCCGGTGCGGCAATCCTGGTACCGCTCTCCGAGCTCCAACAGAATGAGTACCCACAGTATGCGCGCTTCAACGCGAATGTCGACGCGGTATTCAGCATGCATACCATATTGATGATTGGGGGTATGCCATTCGATCCCGAAACAGCGGACGAGGCCAAAAAGGAATTTATTAGGCGCGCGGGCGTGAGCTCCTGGGATGATTTCGCCATCGGGGATGAGCAGCGGAAGCAGACGCTGGTATCTTTTGAGAAAGCTCTCGGCGACCTTGCTCGGTTGTTTACCAACGACGGTCCTTTCATTCTAGAAAAACTTAGTTATGCGGATATCATTGTTGGTGGCTGGTTGCGCATGACGAATCGCACCTTGCCAGCGGAGGAGTGGGAGCAGTTGAAGGGGTGGCATGGTGGTGTTTTTGGGAAATTGCATGACGCCCTGGAGGTGTATGCAACTGTCAATTAGTGAACCGAGAACTCATAATTGAGTATTGAGGATAGTGGTGCTGAATGTCACAGTCTAAAAATGGCCATTGGGGATTCTTCTCCTGTGTGGGGACTAGAACTGCTCTGATAGGACCGCCAGTATTACTCCGTACTCCGTGTGGCATTCGATATTGACTCCAGGGCCTAGCACGACCTAGACTGTCCCACTTGACGTGTTATATGGTGTAGCATTCAAGAGAAGTTGAAAGGCTGGGCCCAGCAGTCTCGCTCTTCCCCCTCGGCATCCGCAAATGTTCTTGCTGCCCCAAGTTGGTGACGGATGTCAGATTGAAGGTGGGGCTTTGCATTGATAGGTCTGTAGCTTCAATTATCTTCATGCTTCAGCTCAAGCCAGGTAGACACCAAAGCCGAGGCACTGGAAAAGACCAAAGTCCGAATGGCGCTGCACTAACGCACAAATAGACTAGAAAGGATGCAACGACTAAACCGACTTCAGCACGTTAAGCCTGGCCCGTGCTTCTTTCTCGCTAGAGGCGAGATAATCAGGACGGACAGAAAAAAGCGTGAAAATAGCCCCCAATTGAGACAGCCCCCAAAGCGTAAGACTGCAAAAAACTTGATATTACTACCCACTACGGGAGCGGATCTTCTTATTTATAGTCTTGACAGCCGAACCAGAACTGAAATCACAATCCAATTTCTTTGACGAAAACCCAAGAATTAATCCTCAATGCTCAAACCAACCTCCCCTGGCGCCGACGGCGCCTGGATGTACAATCGCGTTATGTTAGCCGTATACGACATATGGGTTCTAGGCGTGGTGAACACATACGCATGGCACTGCCCGACCAAAACGATGCAATTACCGTTCTTCAAAAAGCACCTCAGCTCGCGGCATCTGGACATCGGTCCCGGGACAGGATACTACCTCGCCAATGCCGGAATCCCTGCCACCACATCTGTGAGCGTGCTGGATCTCAATCCAAACTGTCTCGAGGACGCAAAGGCTGCCTTGGCGAGGCCAGACTTACCTACCTTTCTGGCTGATGTGCTGGAGCCATTGCCTTTGGAAGAGAAATACGGATCTATCTCTACGTTTTATTTGATTCATTGTCTGCCTGGGCCGTTGGAGAGGAAGATGGTTTTGTATAAGAATTTGAAGCATCATTTGGAGGAGGATGGGGTGGTTTATGGGACGACAATTCTTGGTACGGGGGTTTTCAACTGGTTTGGAAAAATCATCATGCATTTTTTGAATAAGGGTCGCGTGTTTGACAATCGGGGTGATGGGGAGGTTGGAATTAGGGAGGCATTGAAGAAAGATTACAAGGTGGTGAAGACAGAAGTTGTGGGAAACATCATGTTTTTTGAGGCCTCGCAGCCGATATTTCAATGAGCTCTGGAACCCCAAAGCTCCGACTCAGTATCCCAATACAGGTTACCTGCCAGGTGGGTACCAAGAAAAATGATATGTTCGGCGTGGGGAGGTGACTCTAAGTTGACCTTGGAACGTTCAAGGTTGCGGACAACTATATATACCCGTGAACCCTTCCAAGCCTTGGACCTGGAGGTTTCTAAGTTACCACGCTGCGAGCGCTAGACCTCAGCCTGGAGGGCTCGACCCAACCCCGGAACCATAGAGTACATACCTAGGCATCGAATAAATATATCCAAATGAAATATCCAGGTTCAAGGTTTCTCATTTCGAAGATTGAATACCCTTACTCCGTACCTAGTACAGATGAGCTATGCAACAAACGCCATATTCGCTTTACTCAATGCGTCGAGATAGATAGTATACAGGCCACACCAGGGAAAGCAAACCTTCGAATGGTGGTGGAGCCATGTGTGGAAAATGCCAGACGGAACATAAATGGCAATGCAAATCCCTAAACGCGCTGGCCTAACCGCGAACTTTCCTATAACTTGGTGGGTGCCAGGACTGTTTGATCATTTTACCAGCCCAGACAGGAACCAGCGAGACAGCCAGCACAACAGCAACACGCCACAACCAATCCAGAGTAATGACATACCCGAGGTCGAAGTATTCGCCCAAGAAAGGGACGCTACCCGCATAGATGAGCAATGTACCAATCAAGCAGAAAATCATGACAGGGTGCCATGTCGTGATTGCAGTAGCGACCATTCCAAGCTCATTGAGCACAAGCGCAGTAAAAGAAAGACTGATCAATTGTGGCCCTGTGATAGTGTCCAGCAAAATCTGCGAAAGGCCTTGTATGACGGCGCCCTGGTAGACTGATATCATCACCCAACCAAAGAAAGAGCGGTAGCTCAAACTCTTTCCGGACTTGAGCTCTTTGTACAACTCCGGATAGAGGTTCGCAAGACGCTCATCAACGTCCCGATCAAATGCAAGCGAGAAGACGGGTGCGTTTGTGTAAACGGTCGCGTAACCAACCATCAGCCAGTTGATGAAGAGACCTTTGGGATCAAAGTGACTGGCGATGCTGTACATGGTCTGACAAACACTGATGATAAGACCGCGGTGCATGATAAATTGAGCTAGTTTGGCAGAGCGCTTGTATGAGTTGCGGCCGTGCCAGACAAGGAGTTTGGTAATGTGGTGGAATTGGGTAATGCTGAAATCGGCAGCGAGAGATGCTTGTCGACCTTCTTTGCCGACGATGCCAATGCCGACATCGGCAGCTTGAATCATAGAGACATCGTTACCGCCGTCACCGATACAGCAGACGCGCTTCTTGGTATGTTGGCGGATCAGGTCGGCTATTTCGGCCTTTTGAGTGGGGGAGCATCGGCACGCAATCACAGCAGGTAAAAGAACAGCGACGGAAATGAACGCTGTGCGGTATTGGCCAAGCATGAGATTGAGGGACTCGCCATCAATCAGCAAGCAACAGTCGGTCTTGTTGCGCAGGAAGTCGAGTGCTTCCTGAGCCGTGGATCTGTCGGTAACCTTCGTGACAGTGTGGATGTATTGGCCCCGGCTAACCAGTTTAGCTGAGATAGCAACACATCGCGCTGTCTCCACCTTGTCACCTGTCAACATCCAGATCTTGACACCAGCATTACGCAAGAGCTCTAAAGATGGCTTGACGTCACGCTGCAAGCGATCCTCCACACCAGTCACACCGGAAAGTTCAAGATCTTGTTCAAGATATTCGCTCACGACCTTTGCCATTCCCGCATCACGCCCTTGAAGTGCCAAGGAGGCCTGGCGGAACTTGCCTGCAAACTCTTGATATTGCTGTGCCGAAAGGCGTTTTCGGCCCACGACGAGGGTTCGCAAGCCTTCTCGAGCCATGTTTGCGGTTTCTTCGTCCAGCCAGTCATTTGCCGCGACTATCGATGTCATGACAGTGTCGGCACCCTTTTCATAGAACCAGATCTCGCTGTCATCTTTACCAGACTCCAGTATATCTTCATCTTTTTGGAATTGAACAATGATTCCCATGCGTTTGCTTTCAGATGTAAAGGGGAAAATATCGAGGATCTTGACTCTAACCACGACTTGCTTCGAGTGAGTTGACTCCAAGACAATGCTTTGTCGGTCGCGGTATGCTAGCTTCAACCCAACTTCTTCGGTGTAGCGAACGATGGCAATTTCATCCGGGGATGAAGCTTGATAGCTGGTGACCTTCTGGCCATCTTCTTCCTCGGTTGTTGGCGTGACATTATGACAAAGAGCAAGTGCTAGAATAATATCCCGCACACGGGAGCCAATCTCTCTCCTGGTTCTAGGTGCCGTCGCTTGCCCAGCTTGGGTGCCAAAAACCGTCGAAGGTGTAGTCAAGGCCTCGCCCGCAAAGCCTTGACGAATGAAAGAGGCGACTTCATCCATTGCCTCATTGGCATATGAGACTGTGCCGACGTGGATTTTCTTCAGCTCCATCTCATTTTGGGTCAATGTTCCGGTCTTATCTGAGAGAAGGTATTCGATTCGACCCAGGTCTTCAGGGATAGTGCTGGTTCGAACAACCGTCCCCGGAATATCTTTGTCTTTTTCAATGAAGCGCCCGTACACGGACTTGGCCATATCCAGATTGACGCGGAGACTCATGGGGATGATAGTCGAAAAAAGAATGAGGTAAATCATAATGGCGACGTACCATTTCTTATCGTTGGTTGGCTGAAAGCCTTCGAGGCCGACAAGGATAACCGAGAGCGTAAGCGTCAGAATGCAGAGAATCTTCGTCAGATTGTTGATTTCGTATTCGAGGAGGCCAACTTTGGATCGAGAGGCTGAGGTTGACAAGGCAGCGCGAGTTTGGGACCCTGTGTAGATGATGGCAGCATATGTGATGGTGCTGGAGGCGAGGACAGTATTGGCCCAGGCGGTGTTGTCAATCGTCAAAGGAGCAGATGGAGCAGTCTGGTTTGTTGTAGATCCTACTGCATTGTTGGAAGCGACAGACGACTTATCGACGTGGGCGTCATAGAAGCCATTGGGTGCTCCCAGTTCGATGGTTCCCACGAACTCGTTGACTCTCTTATCAGGTGGACTTGCAGTGATGTGGAGTCGGCCAAGATCGGCCAAAGGTATCGACTGAGACAAGACCGAGGGAAGACGGAGTTTCCAGTCAGTCTCGCCATCTAGTTGATCAGTGCGAATGAATGTGTCCCCAGCAGAAGAGTCCTCAGAGCCTTCGGTGGCAGTGGGAGGTGTGTCGGCTCTGGACTCGGAAGATCCTTGGCCTGACTCAAGTAAGTTGTTAGGCTCCCGCGAAGCTTCTCCTTGCGCTATTGATGGCCGGGGAGAGCCCGAGTCATTTGAAATACTCTTCAAAATGACAACGTCCGCGGGCAAGCGTTGGTTCTTGCGGACCTTGAGGATATCACCAACTTTCAAATCTCGGGACTTTTTCGTAACCTCCGTAGTATTGTTCCTGCCCATTGTGACGATACAATATTCTTCCGCATTAGCCTCAGCATCGCGCCTTCGGCGTCCAATATCATCAAGCGCTTCCTTGCCCAAGGATATTGAGACGACAAACGCCAACGGGGCGATGTAAGATGACATGTAACCAATCCGGAGGACTGGAATAATCTGCGACAAGGCCACCAGCAAAAAGTAGATGTTGAAGAAAAACGAAAACTCGTTGTAAAGAGTCCTCGGCAAAAAGCTCCATGGTGTGTATTTTGCGTTCGAAACCACATTGGCGGGATACTTGGCGGCTTGATATTGCCCAACGAGCACTTCGCGGGGTGGTTGGTTTGTACCTTCATCGTGTTTTGTAGGAAGCTGAGCTGACCTCCCTTGCAAAAATGCAAGGGTCTTGAATGGAAATCGTAGGAGCCTAGTTTTCTTGGGAGTATGGGTGCTGAAGTCGCGAGTCGAGGACCGGCGGTCCAAAAGTGGTAGACCGTCTTCTTCCAGATTGTGGGAGCTCGCATGCGAGTCTCTCACACCTTGATCTTCTCGGTTTTCCAATAGGGCATCGGTGTCTTCCTCAAACTCGCCTCGCCCAGACGCGCTGCGTCTCCATCGGCTGCCAGCCCCAACCCGCAAGTTCCGTAGAGCTATACCAGGCCCATAGCTTCGCTTTCTGCCCGTATAGTCTCGTGAATCTCGGGTTCGCTGAGGTGAGGTTGAATTTGGATCAAGTTCCTCGAGGTCCAAGTCATCGTCCGAATCCGAGAAATCGACCGGCGCATCGGGGTGGCCCAGGGGGTGTTGATAGCCGGGCGAGGAAGGCATGATCCTGCAGATCGTGGGTCGATAATCCGAACGGGGTTTCACAGGATGCAGTGTGGTGTTATGCGATATTGCATCAAAGAAAGCTTCATCTCAAAGTATGTGTTATCATGTGCTGTAGCATTGATTGAGACTCCAATGCAGCATGACGGTGAACGAAGGTATGCTGCTGTCGTATAAAGAGAAGCGCTGTTCCTTGGGATCAGCCACAACAGCCACGCTCATTAGGCAATGGCAGAATTGAAAAAGTTCTAACCGCGACGAATATCGCTAAACGATTAATGACTGCCTAGTCGTCGGCCGCGCAATCACATGAGCGCATCACTGAGAGCCGCTGACATAAGTGCTTTATTTGCTGAGTCAGTATCATCACCGTCACGGGTCCAGTCGCATTCCAACTTGCTTGAAGCTTTCGACAGCAAGGCATTTGTGGTGGACTTATTTCTCTAATTGTGCCACTTGTTTGAATTCTCCGATATTTCATGGATTGTTGAGTTGACGACCTCAACCGTCGTTTATTCCTTCGATTGTTGGACTCCTGAGGCGTCATTGGAGACGTGTCAGGTTGATCCCCCCGGACTGCGTCCCCATTTCCAGTCCCGTTGGTAATAGACAACGAGGCCGTAAACATGGCGCAACAGTTGGACAACGCCGACACAGATTCCTGGAACCCGGCATTACGGCCCGAGAATGGTCACCCCGCTCACACGCCATCTGCAACTGAGGGGGGTTTGTCAGATCTGGTCGCGGCCGAAGATTCGCAAGGCAAGTTCCCAGCCGATTTGATCTCACCACAAAGCGAGGATTTCTCTGCGTGGGATATCTCAGATGAGTTGGACGCGACTCCTGCCCAAAACTCAAACATGGATGAATTCGCGAACAACACATCGCCCGTCCTCCCCGGAGTTCCGTCATCACAGATCCCTACCTCCGACCAAAGCAGCGAAATACAAAGTGACATGACCGAACCAGCTCCCGAGGCTGCTGTATCGTCCGAGTCTGCCAACGTTGCCCCGGAATCGACAGCCCCGGAGAGACACATCGCGGATCCCGAGCCTCCTCAACCGGAATTACATGTAGTTGCTGCCTCGGAGGAACTAGACAATGGCCTCCCCGCTACTGAAGATATCGTTGAGCTATCTGAACCATCTTCTACCGAACCAGTGCAGCCGGATTCAATGCTGCCTCCTCCGGCGCCAGAAGAAACAGCTGTCTCGGAAAACACATCTGGCAGAGAATTTACGCTTTCCCCAGAGGGTCAAACAGCGGAGCAAGAAGGATTGCCAGAGCACAACCAAGATACGAGTAACGGCGAGTCGAGTTCTTCGAAACAATTCTTCCCTGAAATCGAGGGAGCAAACGCCGACTCCGAAGACCCCTGGGCCTCCTTTGAACAGCAACTAAGCGGCGCATTACCTTCCGCCGAATATGCCCACCAGCCTGAGTTGGAAAATCTCAAGTCCGACCCTGAAGCCACACTCAGTCCGGCTATCAACACCCGTGAGCTGGCTTTCGTCCACGAGAACCTACCACAAGCTACAGAAGACTCTGCGATTGTTGAGACTCCCTACAAGCAAGAAAGCGATGGTGAACTCCCGAATGCAGATGCTGTCTCTTCCATGGGGCATCACGCTGAGGTATCTCCCATCGCACAAGACAGCCCCTACCCACCTGAGCATACACCTGTCGACGCAGCCGCGGTGGGGCTGAAGACGACAGGAGACCCACTTGGCTGGGCCAACGAGCTGGGTGGTGGGGAAGAATCGGAGGAGGCTGGCTTTTTCAGCCAATTGAACACACAGACCAAACCTATTTTCCCAGAGGCCGAGTCGAGGTTTGAGGAAGGCGTGCCTTTGTTGGATGATTCTGCACCAGCTTCGCCTGAACAGCTTCCGGGGCCAACATCGTCCATAGATAACGTCTTCGCAAATGACGATGATGATAATGCTGCCAGCTTCTTCGCTTCTGGGAATCAACAGGCGGAACAGAGTGAAGGAGATGACTTCTTTGGTACCGTCGGGAAGGAGCAGGTCGAGGAAGAGCCAAAGGCTCAACTCACTCGAAAGAGCACAACCCAAGTATTAGAATCGGCAGGATTCGACCTTGACTCCCCGGCGAGCGACGCTTCTGCCGCGGCGCAATTTGATGAGCTCCTCAAGGGCGTGTCATCCCAGCCGCCCACAGTGAACGAGCCACAGTCAATGGCTGAGCCCACAGAGGAAGAGCTAGCAGCACGGTGGGAAGCTGAGCTAGGTGATTCACCCGACGACGATCTAGCTGCGCGGTGGGAGGCTGCCTTGGATGATGATGATATATTGCTGGAGACAGAGCCTGCCCAAGCAATGCCTGCACAGAGTTATATTCAGCAAACGCCCGCACCACCTCCAAGTGGGTTGGCCTTGGGGTTGAGTAGTCCGTTTCAGACCCCTCAACCGCATTCACAGCCAAGACCAGTCCCGGGTGTATACACGCCCCACCAACCGTCCACGTCGGATCTTCTTGGGGGAGTATCTATGCCTGGGACTGCACCACCAGCAGCTGCCCCCATGTCGTCATATTTCTCTCAAAAACCAGTAAACCCAGTTGCAACCAGGGGTGAGAGTTTCGCAGAACAGTCTAAGCAGGGATACAAGTCTCCCTATGACCTTCCGGATGATATTTCGCGACCTCGGAAGCCTGTGGTTACCCACAAGCCTGTTCCCCCACCGGTGAGCAGTATGCCCCCGCCTCCTCTTCCCGGGGCGTCTGGTATGCCTCCTCCCCCGGCAAGTGGGTTCCGGCCCCCGTCAGCTCCTTCCCAGGCTGCGGCTGCTCCACCTCCTGCCCCCAAAAACTTCTATGAAGAGCTTCCCATGCCACCACCACGGTCTAGACCTGCTAGCTCAGGTCGTTATACACCAAACCCTGTGGTGGCTCCCACCACAATGGCACCGCCCCCAATGCCTCAACAGCCACAAAACCCATACTCAGCGGTTGGATCACTAGCTTCGCCCCCTCAGAGCCAATACCCACCTGCGACCTCAGCTGTGGCTCCTCCAGCCCAAGCAGCGTATCCTGCTGCACCGCCAGCGACTCAGCCGATTGAGTTTCCACTCCAAAATTCGCTCCAACCACCCGAACAATTGGATCCGTATGCTAGTCTGGCTTCAAGTGCACCAGCTGGGCCTCCATCCATTTCAAGGTACTCGCCACACCCACCGGGCTCTCAGGCTCCAGTCAAACCACCTTCATCGTCAAGATATTCTCCGGCTCCCCCTTCAAGCTCAGGAGGCCGCAATAGATATGCATCTCAACCACTGAACGTCCCCGGCCAGAGTCTGCCATTTCAACCGCGTACATCAAGCCCCCTTGCATACCATGAGAAGGTGTCCTACCAACCTGATCAGTCACAACAACCGCCTACACTGGGGCCTGCGATCAACTTGTCACCGCCCCGCTTGCACGGCTCTGGTTTGGAACCCCACTCCCAGCAGCAAACAGGCAGTCCAATCAACCTAGCACGAAGAGAGTCCGAGAGCTCATTCGCCCAAGCTTCTCCGCCTCAGGGTCGGTATGCTCCACAAGAGTACATCAATGAGTTTGCCCAGCGTCTTGCACCAAATTCCAATTACGCTCCAGTTCCGCCGGCAGCAAATGCTTCTCTGTCTCCGCCTCCCGCCGATTCCCAGGCGGGTTTCATCCGTAGGGCTCAAACTCAATCACCGGGCCGCGATGTGTCTAGCCCGCGTGCATCTGGACCAAGTCTTGACACCATGCAGCGACCTGCCTCAGTACACGCTTCTGGCTCCCCAACAAAGGTCGCGAATCCATATGCACCTGTTCAAGTGCCCCTGCAAAATCGCGCTGTTATGCAGCACCTCGAGTTCATTGCACCCAACGATGGCCAGGAGAATGACCATCTAGAACGATGGAAGGGTGCCCCTATCTTCAAATTTGGATTTGGCGGTTCTGTCGTGTCCTGTTTCCCGCGACATACTCCTCGTTACTCAGCTGGCCAAGTCGCACCAATGATTAAACCTACACCTGGCGAAACAAAGATTTCCCAGCTGAATGAATGTCTCCCACCCTTTGACACAATCGTGCAGCATCCCGGGCCCTTGAAGAACAAATCCAAGAAGAAGGATCTTGTCGCCTGGCTTTCTAGCAGAATTGCAGCCTTTGAAAATGTTGGTGTGCCAGGCTTCGACCAAGTCCAATCTGACACATTCAAGCGTCACAGCGAGAAGACTCTGCTTTGGAAGGTCATCAAGCTGTTGGTAGAGAATGATGGCAAACTCGAAGGTTCCCCCGATATCCAAACCTCGCTTCGCCAGGCTATTTTCCCAGACTTGCCTGCTGCAGATGCAGATGGGTCATATGCAAGCACCTTGGATTCTAAAGGAATCGGCTTAGCGAATACGGGATCTCAGCCTGATAGCTTTGACACACAGTGGCTCGAGGAACTCCGCCTGCACCTGATATCTGGCGATCGCGAGAAAGCAGTGTGGGGTGCCGTGGATCGCCGTCTTTGGGGACATGCGATGATCATCGCATCCACTATGGACAAGGCCATTGGCAAACAGGTGGCACAGGAGTTTATTCGTCGCGAGGTCAGATCCAAAAGTGCCAACTCTGACTCGCTTGCCGCACTTTACGAAATATTTGCTGGCAATGTCGAAGAAAGTATCGATGAATTGGTCCCACCTTCTGCTCGGGCGGGCTTGCGGTTGATAAGCAAGGCGGATGGCCAGGGCGCTACCAAAAACGCGACCGAAGGACTGGATAAATGGAGAGATACTCTTGGATTGATTTTGAGCAACCGAAGCTCAGAGGACCATCAGGCTCTCATTGCTCTTGGAAGATTGCTAGCATCTTATGGACGCACAGAGGCGGCTCATATCTGTTATATCTTTTCGCGCTCCGCCGTCTTCGGTGGCCCGGACGACGCGCAAGCCAATGTGGTGCTTCTTGGGGCCGACCCTCGGTCCTCGCCTTCATCTATGCTAGATGAGGATGCGATCCTTCTCACTGAGGCATACGAGTATGCTATATCTGTTCTTGGAAACTCTCCAATGTCCAACATGCCCCACCTCTTGTCCTTCAAACTCCTGAATGCCAAGTGTCTCGTTGATCGAGGTCGTAACTCAGAGGCACAAGCCTACTGCGATGCAGTTGCATCGGCACTGAAAGCAACGACGCGTCCTTCTCCTTATTACCACCAAAATCTCTTCGCAGAGGTCGAAGAGCTGAGTGCAAGATTGCGTCAGACAACTACCGACAATGGCTCGTGGATTTCTCGACCTAGTATGGAAAAAGTGTCAGGCTCTATGTGGGCTCGGTTCAATAGCTTTGTGGCAGGTGATGAAAGTGATGCTGCGTCAACTGGATCTGGAAAGGGCGAACAAGGCGAAATCGGTCCCTTCGCAAATGTTGCCGGGACCCCGACCATCAGTCGCTCCCCGTCAGTGTCGGACATTTACGGTTCTTACCCTGGACCCGCTACCGGAGGACACCCAATCCCCTCGAGCGGTGCTTCTAAGTACCATCCATCCACCCAATATGCGCCAAATGGTTCCCCTGAACAATTCAAGGGTCGCTCCTCAATGGATTCCCAGCGATCAAACCCCTACTTCCCTCCTGCTGGTCGCCGCAGCTCCCAGGAACTATCCCCGTCACTTGATGGACAGATGTCCTACGGAGGCCCAATTTACGGATCGCCAAATGCTTCCGGGTCGGGCTATCAACCCACCCTGCCATCGTCCTCCTACGTGCCTCTTGCCCCCGTGGAAGAGGCTTTATCTCCAGCCGAAGGGCCTGTGGCTGCGCAGCCCAGGATCAATGGTCTTTTCTACCAGCCCCAAGGACAGCCCACTGCGGCTACCGAGTCTCCTTATTACCAGGGGCCGCCCGGTATGCCGGCCGGTGGGCAATCATCTGGGTCCCCTTACGCGCCTCCGATCGCGAACTCTCCCTATGATCCGATCAGCACTGGCCCTACTTACGAACCAGCTGGGGCCAGCTCTTATGAACCGATCGGTGGTAGCTCTTATGAGCCCGTCAGCGCGGATATCGACGTGAATGGTGCCGATCGACAGGAAGACACCGAGTCTATCGAAAATGAGCAACCCAAGAAAAAATCGATTATGGACGACGACGACGATGATCTTGCTGCCCGGGCGGCGGCTATCCAGAAGGCAGAGAATGACCGTCTGGCAAAGGAGGCATTTGCCAAGGCAGCCGAAGAAGATGGTATGTATCGATGATTTGGAAAGCCAGAAATATTGCTAACGTGCTTCCTTGCAGCTAAACGAGGTTCTCAAGGTGGGAAGAAGGGTTGGTTTGGTGGCTGGTTCGGCGGAGGCAAGAAAGAAGAGAACAACACAGGGGGCGGTCCTATTAAAGCCAAGCTGGGCGAGGAGAGCTCGTTCTACTATGATAAGGATCTGAAGAAATGGGTCAACAAAAAAGACCCTGGTAGCGCCGCGCCAGTCCGTGCCACACCACCACCTCCTCGAGGCTCTGCACCTCCCAGTCGAACCGCTAGCTCAAGCAGCATTCCACCTAACGGGGCGCCCCCAGTGCCTTCACTGCCCCCTATGTCGGCCTCTGGGAGCCGACCTCCCTCTTCATCTAGCGCCGCGCCTCTTTCCTCTAGCCCAGGCATGTCTGGACTTGCGGTACCACCTCTTCCGCGGTCCGTCTCTACGGGTGCATCTATGCCGACGCCACCCGGTAGTTCTAGCGGACCGCCGCCGCGTCCCTCGTCGTCCTTGACTCACGCCAGTTCCATTGATGATTTAATTGGTGCACCAACGGCTCGCAAGGGCAACACCGTTCGTGGCAAGAAGAAGGGTCGTTATGTCGACGTGATGGCCCAATGATAAGAATTCTCGCATGAATTCTTAACAGCACTTGGCCTTGTTGTCAAGTTCTGTGATGTCCTTTTCTTTTGTTCCATTATGTTTTTCTTGATACGCTTTTTATTTGTTACCCCATGATTGCTTTTGACGAACTAACCCCCTCTGCCCCTAAGTAATACACACCTGATCCATCATTGCCCCATCATTTTGCATGTGTTGTGCCTCCAGGCAGACACTCCCCTGCGTTTTCGCTCATCAAAGAAGCCTTGCTTTTGCACATAGCTTGATCTCTGCTCTTTGGCGCGTGCTCATCCATGGAGAGGATTCCTCCTGGCATTATGTATATCACATCACCCCTCCATCGGGATCTTGAATCTGGAGGTCTCTTCTTGCATGGCGTTGCCCTGCCTTGTTTTACTATTGACTCCTAATAATTTATTCGGATTTTGAACCCTGTTAATGTGGGCCTTGGGTTGGTCGCTTTTTCGGTATCGTCATGTTGTAAATGAATTGATATAATACTGCAGTCATTAGTGGGCTCATACCCTCAATCGATTTGTGATCGAAGCAACTCACAGTCAGACAGGATTCTTCGCCATTCCAGCTCCCGGGCAAATAGACATACAGGACGAGGGCGATATCATTGACAAAACCTATGCGAGCAAATCGAGTTAGCCTTGGACTGACAGCACACCCCGCAGACTCACAAGCAACAACTTTGGGACTGAGCCGTCCGATACTCAGCACTCGGCTCCAATCTTTGCCATCAATCCGCACCTTCGCCCACCCTGACTCATCTCCTTCTCTAGCCTGTCGCATCCGGTTCCGCTCACTAGGGAGTTGGTCGATCTGTTCCTGCGTCATCTGCGCAGGGTCAAGTGGTGGATTGACGAGATCAGACCAGACACTCGCAATGCGCAATTCGTCAGTAGCAATGGCCAGTCGCAGCGAGCCATGCATGTTAGCCGACAGTTCCAGCTTCGGCGACGAATTAGTTGAAGATGTGGTTTTATTTGCCTTAAATGATGTATCATTGTCGTCACCCGGTGCTTCGGGGGCCAGGATTCCAGGCTGATTGCCTTTGGCACTGGTGGATGCAAGTTTGGTAAATCGATCCGATATGCTCTTCAGATGGCCCAGATTGGGCAAGATGATGTGGACTTCTGGGTCTGGGCAATGCGGCTCGTGCAAGCCCTCAACTGCAGATTCGTGTAAGATCTTGATGGGCACTTCTTGGGTAATCCAAGTTTGGCGTTCGCGGGGACCCCGATCACCTGTCGTCTCGCCGGGTGTTTCGTCTGTCGCGAGCGCCATGTTCCCATCTGTCCATTCACTGGCGAGAACGGTAAGTGCCAAAAGAGGTAATTTGTCTTTTTTTGTCAGACGAAGCTGGGTATGCGTTGAGCCCCATGCTGAGCGTAGTGCGCGATTCAAAACGCTGATGTTGACCTCGATATTGATGGCGTCTGAGTTGGATTCTAATTCGTAGGTTGTCTCATCGAAGATTGTGCCCTTGTTACTGTGAGCGAGGTCAATTTCCAGGTGATTCCGGGCATACCACTGGTATTGAGGCCCATACTTGGGTGCCTTGGTCGGGGATAATGGTGAAGCGGACCACCTCATACTCCAGGCGCATCCAACACACCTTGCCCAGGGAAGAAAGGGACGCAGTGAGCTCTGAGTTGGTCAGAACCGAGCCAGTTATAGCGTTCGAGAGTACTAGGCTTACTAGAAAAGGTCCTGCTGTCTTTCAATTGCGTTCGGAAGCGCATGGCTGGAGGAGATGACGAAGGGAGGTTCTTATCGCTATCTCGGATCCTTTTCGATTTTGCCCTTTGTGCTCCTTGCCCAGGTAGACTCCCTACTCCCTACTCGATTTCGACTTCACCCTGAATCCACTTCTATTTCCTAACATGGTCCTAGTTCTTCGTCATCAATTCACAAACTCGCAACTAAAGCTGCTCCTACGCCAGATCCATCTTCCGCCGCGTTGAGTGCAATCAAGTCCATCTCACCAGGCTGCCAATCAAAAATCTCTCGAAGTCCCTGAGCTACCCGGCCCTTGAACATGCTATATTTATTGAACACTGCACCGTCCACTCCGACGTGGCACTGACGCATCTCGGTCTTCTTGCAAATGGCCGCAATTCCACACGCATAGAGACGCGCCGCACGCGTCGCGATCAGCCCGATAAGATAGCGGCAGGTCTTCAGCTCGTCCAGGGTGGTTTGTAGGCCGAATTTCTCCTCAAATTCTTCTCTCATGTCCTGAAGTCCCTCGGAGATGTCCATCTCGGCGATTGACAGAAATGACGCTTCCAGCGAGTTCTCTACCCGAAGCCGTGTCACATCTTGGCCTCGAAAGAGTACACCCTTCCCGTGCAGTGTCAATATCATCAGGCGCAGCATTTCGCCTATGTAAAGCCCTGCCACCATTTTCTCGTATATTTGGGTCCCGGGCCGCGATGACTGCTTGTCAATTTGGTGGTCAAACGGTGTAAGTGGCAGCACCTTGCGCTCGTTATCAAAAGCCCCGTATTCAGTGTTGATGATGACAGTGGCATCTTCAGGCAGCCCTGCATCTCGGAGCTTAGGAATATTGCGACAATTTTCCATGTATGCGGCGTTACATCCGGTACTGAATATGCTGCCCAATTTTACCTGCGGGTCTCGGTAGTGAGAGGCGACCAGTGTGCCTACTGTGTCGTTGAGCAAGGCGACTACTTTTACAGGGACATTCTAGACTAATCAGCAGCTGGAAACTCAACCGAGACCTGACACTCACCTTTCTTTTCAGTGCAGCTTCGAGCTGGGGCACCACGTCGTTTCCCTCCACCCCAGGCACGTTGAAATTCTTCGTCCAGCGCTGCAGAATTCCACTCCGGACAGACCTTTGGTCAACGGGAAAGGAAAAAGTGAATGACATCGGCAGTGGTTTGGATGGTTCTTCGCCATTGTGATGGTCACTCAGAAATGAGGCGAGTCTGTCCGCGATGAACTCCCACAGGACTTCTTTGGTGTCTGTCTTGACCGAATCCGGAAGCTTGTACTTGCGTTGGATCTGTTCGAAATCTCTCTTCCCCGCAGAAAGGCACACGTCACATACGCGCAGGTTGGTGCCACCCATGTCTACGGTCAAGATTCGACCTTTCTCGTGGCCCGTTGGGTATTTCATGACCCATGTGATATTCATGGGCTTGAAGATCCCTGTCCGTCAGTCTCGGGTGCTCTTTGGCCTGGGTCGCATCATACTTACAATACATCCGCCCTCGACGGAAAGCCCTTTCTCCAATTCCTTCACAAAATGATCGGTGATGGCTTTCAATTTGGCAGCATCCACCATGAACCAGTCTTCATACTCCTTCAATTCCCCAGTGAGGTGCTCGGCCACCCCATCCAGGAGTTCTGGGCGGTAACGAAAGGTGTGCATGGTTGTCAAGGCTCATCTCCATACCTGCAGGACATTGTCACGTAGCCCCATGGCTCTATTCTCCGACAACGCCATCATGACCACATCATGATCGTCACCAGAGGAACTGGCTCCCAACCCCATGCGGTAGTTTGTTTTCCTGTTGTGTACTCCGTAGAAGCGCGAGCAATAATCGATTGAGTATTCGTTTCTCTCCTTGCAGTCGGTGATCTGCACTAGTCGACGTAGTGCATATTCTGCTCACATGGATTTTGTGAGATCCAAACTCAATCCTGTTTTGTTTTCATTTTATTTTTCTCTTCGCTCTTCTGTTTTCTTCAAACGCGTACGATCTTCATCTGCTATCGCGCTCTATACTTCGTACTGCCGTGTACCGTAACGCGTTCGCGGATCGGACTGTGCACCGCTCCACAGTTAACCGCTTCCCCCCTGATCCGATCTCCACTTGAAATATTTCCAGCTTCAGAAAAACTTCCGACTATTACTCTCTCAGGACTCTTTGACTATTGTTTTTCTCTCTTATTGAATTATTTGTGATCAGAAAGCCGGCCTTTCTGTGTCCCCTCGTTTGCTCCACTCGAGTCCTTGCCTCGTCCCTCGACCTCATCTTGCAAATAAGGCCCGATTTCGCCTGGTCTGCTGCGTTGTGCTGCAAGTCTTTGTTGATTGTTGTTTTTTCTTTCAACACTCACGTTCGAGCTTCGCCAAGTTCTGCACTTTGTTGTTACGCGCGTCTCAGCATGCGGGCTCGACAGTCCTCTTTTCCGCCCTCGTTCCGACCTCCATCATTTACATGCCACCGAGCTACCTTGTAGGTAGTTGCCTTTCGCTGTGAACACACAGTCATTCGGAATGTCTGCTCGAATAAATCCTCATCGCCCCTCCATTCACTTCTCCCCCTCCCACTCCCGCCAAAACTCCTCCACCTCCGACAGAATCGGCGCCATCTATCAACAACTCGACCCTCTCCTCAGCAACCTCTCTCCCGAATCCACCCTTCAAGCTCTCACATCCACCGACGCAGTCCCTTCCAACGAAAAAGCCGCCCATGATATTCTCTCACAGAGCATCTCCCAGGTATCGCCGGCGGAACGCGCGCTTGGGATTCGCGCCGCGGTAGCGGCCCAAAACCTGGACCTATGGCACAAGGAGGTTCAAACATGGGCCTGGGCCAGCGTGAATGATGCGAAAGTCGGAAAGGGCTTCATTCCTCCTCCATCAAGCTCAGGTGGCAGTCCCTTGAACTCCAGTCCCCTTTCACCCCCTGGCTCGGACAACAGTTACTATGGTAGCTTACCAGCAAGCGTGGTGGAGCGAAACGAGAAAAGGATAGAGGAGATCCGCGACGGAATGGACGATCTTCGCGTGGAAGAATTGAAGGAACACGTTTTGAATGCCCACATTCCATCCAGGTCTCGGCCCTCCTCCGCCACAAGCTCGGTTTCGGTGCCACCCCCTCTGAGTTATGTGCAATTGAGCGACTTCACGGCGGTGATTACCGCGACAATTCTGCGCGCTCTTCCTCACTTGTCGCGTCTGAACGCGTTACTCATCACTTGGGATGTTCGCCTTTTGGTCTTGCGTCAAATCCCTGGTTTGCTCAGAGAGCTCTCCATCACACGCTCCGCAATCAACGCCTGCCTTCGCGCGTTACGCGATCCACAACCGGACCTCGAGCGATACTCCGACGAGTCTCTTGCCGCTGATCATCTTAAGTTGGAATCTGCTGTGGTGACTGTGGGTAGGCGCATGGATCGTATTTTGGACGCGTTAGAAGGTCGCCCCGACTCATTGCCCGAGCAATGGATCGACGATTTGGAATCTATAGAGTCCGACTTCGCTGCTTGGGTTGTCGAAGCTGAAAAGTATAAGGTCCACAGCGCGTGGCTGCGGTCCAAGCCGGAGTCTCAGGCTGAAACACCTGGAGCAGCTCCGGTCCAACCGCAGACCTTACTTGAGAAATCAGATGACGATCACTCGTTGGTCCCAGTACCCACCCCCGCAAAAGATGAAACGTCTCGTCAAGAGCTCGGTCTTCAAGTTGGACTTGCCGAGTCCTCTGATAATTCACACGTTGACCATTCAAGCATTCCTCGCGTGGAGAACCAACCATTGCCTGATGGGACAGCCCATCGGCACCTCGAAATCTCAACTTCCTCAACCGATCCCCACATTGCAGAACGGCGTGACCGTGCGACACCTGTCTTGCTTGCCGAGGAGTCGGAAACACCTACTCAATCAGACTTCCCGCCCAGCACCTCCGCTGTCAGTGGGAAAGGTTCAAACCTCGCCTCTTGCACGCTTCATTCTGACTCGGATTCCAAGGAGAATACTCCCCCGCTGGGATTCCATCAGACAGATGGATCTGATTCTCCGAGCACAAATACACCCACAACGCCAAATGCACTATACGAGAATGTACCAATAGTTACGGATCGCCCGGCTGATCATTTGGCCTCCCATAAAGAAGCTCCTGAACCTCGTGTCATTATTGCCGGAGATGTGCCCCCCGCGCAGCTCAGTTTTGATATCCCACAGGCAATTTCCGATGTGCCAACAGATACTCAGACCTCACCTCAACCTACGCCGCAGTCCCAGTCGGTCGATTCTACCCCCGAGCCCACGGGGCAGAGTACTGCTCAAACCCCCGAGGTCGAACATCATTCCGGTCCCAATGATGAGGTCGATACTCCTGCGCCACAAAACGTGTCTCCCCTGTGCACCCCGAGGACATTGGATAGTCAAGTGCCCAGGACGAGGCCATCTATCCGGGGGTCCCAAATTCCTCTGGCTTCCCCCAGGGCTGGGTCCAACCACACACCTATCAAGCCCATGTCTCAACACCAACACGATGCGCAGCCTGACCATGTCCAGAAAACTGTGCGGAAGCCGCTGCAAAGCCCTATCAAGCTCTCTGACTCGCGTTCCACAAAGCCGGGTCTCGACAAGAATGCGCCTTCGACTCACAAAATTTCCCACCGTCGTCGTACATCCACGGGATCTGTTGGCTCCTTAATCTCAGACAACTCGTCTCTCATCTCGAGCCCTGATGCCCCTGAACCACGGAAGGTGTCTTTGCATGAGACTGAAGGACGCGCATTGGCCCGCTCCAAGCCCATTGGCTCTCCCTCGCGTGGAATTCACCCCCTCAGAGAAGACCGCCTGCGCCGGTTTGAGAACCAAAAGCCCAACCCTAGCACGGCGTTCCCACAAAACCGCGCCGTCAGTCTCCCCTTGGAACGATTCATCAATGAGAGACTAGAGTTGGGCCTTGCCAGGGAGCCAGAACCTGGCGTGAAGTCTGCTCTCGACCGTCCCATCACCTCTTCCGACTTCCCCAAGCCTCCCAAGGTATGTACATTCTCCAAGTAACTACAATCCTGGCCATTACTAACCAATGCGTATAGTCACGGACATCCTCTCCTGTGCCAAGTGTTACAAAGCCAATCTCGTATGTGCCCCGTCTCTCAGCCCGTCGTCACACACTTTCCAGAGGAAAGTCTTCATCTGGCCTGAATATTCAACACGAGGCGGCGAGGGTCACAGAGAGCCACAGAAATGCGTTTGCGCAGAACACCGCCAGGCGGGCCTTGGAGCACCAGGCGGAGCCTAAGTCGCTCCGCCTCCGCAAGCAATTGACGGCCCATCCCAGTCTTGAAAGCCTCGGAGTCAAACGACAAGAGTTGTCATACGTGGAAGAGCATGCATCTGAATTGACTGATTTCGGGTCTCGTGCCTCTTCTCCGGCCAGGCATCACAGGCAACCACGAGACCACCTCGACGAAAAGATCAGTTCTATCCTTGACTCTCTACCGGGTCGTATTCATTTGGTCGATTCTCAGCACGAGGGAGACACATCCTCTTCCTCGTCCTCTGTGGATCGCCGAGTTCGTCATCGATCGGAATCTCCTTGTGGTCCCACAGCTCGCAGCACGACACCGGCACCTTCCCTCATGCTGATGCCTGCCGGCCGCAGAAGGTATTCGCATGCCTACAAAGCTGAAGACAGCTGTGTCAAGCTCTACCATCTCCACTCTGGGGGCCAATCTGCCCCCCACAAGCTCTTCGTTCGTACTGTTGGAGAGGAAGGACAGCGAGTGATGGTTCGCGTTGGTGGTGGCTGGGCTGATCTTGGGGAATACCTGCGCGAATATGTCATTCACCATGGCCGTCGAAAGGTTTCTGAGACCCCTCGCGTGGAGGTTCAAGGAATCAAGACCCGCCTCTCGCCCTCCTACAGTTCGCCGGGTACCCTCTTGACACCGGCCACCTCCGCCTATCTTTCCTCTGGACGAGCCACACCTTCCAGGCCCCCATCCTCCCTCAGCGCCCGTCCCGCATCGTCTTTGACGGTTCATAAGAAGCGCCGGGGCTCCACAGCCTCAGACGTGATGGGCACCCGCGCAGTCACCACCGGTCACATAAACTCCTTCACTTCACCCCCGCCACCTGTTCCCCCTCTCCCCTCCTCCACTGGCCGACGTCTCTCGGTATCATCAGGATACTCAGTCGGCGACTCACACTCGCCTAATACTACCAGCGAAATTCGTTCCACGCCTCTTGGTCTAGCTGGACCTAGACCACGGGCTCGCTACGAGTCCATGAGCCCAGAAGGCGAAGCTTGGGTTGAGGACGTCCTCAACAAAACCCGACGCTCCAGCTCACACCAGCCCCCACGATTCACATTGGGCTCGCCGCCCTATGTCGATTCCGATGACCGATCAGAAATTGACGGTGGCGGCCACTCCCTCCCCAAAGTTCGCAGCATTGGCGACATCGGATCTATCGGTACAAGTCGACGTGTCGTGCTCAGGGGACTTGGGAACCGCCGATCCTAATTGCCAAAAGTCAACCTTTATCTTTTTTCCTTTTCTTCTTCCGATGTTTCTCGGCCTGTGCATTTCACATTCTGGATTTTGCGTTTTCCAAGCATTCTGCATTTCACATACACATTTTCACATTTGGGTATTGGTCGTACATTCTTGGCGCCGTGCTGCATTTCGGGGCTCTTCATTTTTTGCATCAGCGTGGCGAATTTAATGTGGTTTCGGGGGTTGGTGTTAGATCTATCTACAATACCCTGCTGTTATTTGATTACTAGTTTAGAATGCGATATACATATACACAATTTTCTGTTTACAACAAAATCCACCTAAATTCACTGATCCTGTAGGTATTGCATGTTGACTTCGAAGGTTTGTATTTTCCGATGGTAGAGCCTTGGAAGACCCCAACTGCCCAGCTATAACCCCCCACGGCGCATCTTTTCTTCTTTCATTCTTGCTCGTTGCTAAATGACCTCGGGATGGTCCATGAAGTTCTCATCGGCCATCGGAGCCCGATGTCCGGATCCCCCCCAGAGTGAATACCCACGGGATGTCTCAGATTATGACGATGATGATCTTCTACCTTATTGGAAACAGTAATTCGAGCACTTGAGTTCCCCGCAAACCTCCCCGGCTCCTGCAAGGACACATCGGTAATTCAAGTTGTGCGGGGGAATCGTGAGCATTGTCTATATCTTTGGTTTCGCGATGGACTCCAGAGCAGTTCATCCAAACCTTGGAAGTCAAGCAATAAAACTGACCTCGTTGCAACATGCGTTTAGCTCTCGACCTTCTGATAGCATTCAATTCCTTGGCCGTCGCTCGGGCTTCCTCCATCTCACAACCCGCATCTGACTGCAGCAGCCTGCTCAATCTCACGCTTGCTCCAGGCTATGAGGTGTCCAATGCGGCGATTTTCCAATCTGAGACCCTCAACGCATCAGGCATTGTCAACACAGTAGCACTTTGCCGAGTTGAAGGCACCATACACTATGGCCATGATCTCGCGCCTGGCGACGATGGTCCCAACACTCTCACTTGGAACCTATACCTACCGAAGCCCAACGACTACAATGGTCGATTCATAGCAGTAGGTAAGGATCATCCGACAATATCCATGGATTCATCTCCATTGCGCCCAAAGGCCGTGAGCTTACTTGATATACCGTTAGGAAATGGCGGTTATGCCGGTGAAATTGACGAAGCATCTATGATGACCCAGCTCAACCTCGGATACGCCGTTGCTGGCTGTGACAGTGGGCATTCTATTGCTGCCACTGGCAACTCAACATCCGCTCCATTCCTGAAAAATAACGCAGAGGTCAAGGCGTGGATACACGATTCCATCGCAATGACCACCAACCTCACTCGGGACTTGACTACTGAATTCTACACCGAGACCCCAGCGTTCAGTTACTACTACGGGTGCTCTACCGGTGGCGCCCAGGGATATGCCTTAGCCCAGCTTTATCCCGAGATGTTCGATGGGATTTTCGCTGGAAGCCCTGGGAATTGGTATAGCCACCTCATCCTCAGTTTCCTTTGGAATGGACTGCACACACAAAGAAGCGGCTATATGAGTCAAGAGGTGCTGGACTTCATCACCGCAAAGGTCGGATCGGCATGTGATCATCTCGATGGTGCTATTGATGGGCTTATTGAGAACCCTCAACTGTGTAAATACAATATTACACAACTTGAATGTGCCTCTGGGCAAAACTCAACAACGTCGGATGGTGCAGTTGAGTGTTTGACTTCTGATCAAATTTCAGCAACAAAAGCTATCTATGATGGCCCCAAGAGCACGATTGACGGAGAAGAGATCTATCCAGGAATGAGTCTGGGATCCGAGAGCAGTTGGCTTTTGCAAGAAACCACGCTGTACACCACCTACTCGGCCTTAATATTGAAAGAATTAGTGTTCGACCGATCGTCATATAATGTCTCCAAGTTTGACTGGGGTGAAGACGTCCTCGAGGTCGATCAGATCGCATCACCGCTTATCGACGCAATTTCATCAGATCTCTCTGCTTTTCACAGCCGTGGGGGAAAGTTGATCACCACGCAGGGCTGGGCGGATCCTTTCAACGCAGCCCTGTGGCCAATCCAGCACCGGAACCAAATCCAAGCCAACATGAGCGGAATAAATGCCAGTGATTTCATGGAAATTTTTATGGTCCCTGGCGGTGGACATTGTGGTTCGAACCCTGCATACCCCCATGTCCCTGGCACATATGATGTTCTCGACGCGCTGGCCCTGTGGGTAGAGCAAGGCGTTTATCCGGCGGAAATAAAGAGTTCAGACCCTCCAGATGGAACGAATACCACGCGTAAGCTTTGTCCGTGGCCGAAGAATGCGCGATATGTGGCTGGGGACATCGATGATTGGGTTTCGTACGATTGTGCATAGCTTGGCATTCACAATCCGTTTTGTCTCTAATAGAGTCCCAACCTCGGGAGTCAACATAGCCGAATCAATCACTTTCTCTTGGACAATGGGCCATGCGTTAACCAAAAAGGGAGAAACCGCGGGGAGACGTGCTGATCCGTCGGGCCAAGACCTCCGAAGCCTTCGGGGCGGGACCCCGAAATCGACTCCGCGCTAACCCTAGCCACGGAGCCCTGGAGAGTGTTCGCGCTTTTTCAGTCTAGTCTTGATGTTTCATGACGTTTAAAAAAAAAATTCGTGCCTTTGATTCCCTTGATTGTTTGATTGTTAGACGTGTGGAACTTCATCGTATCAAGGAAAAATGCTCACCAAACGTGATGTTCGCATTGGCAATGTCTCCGGTGCAACGGGTGACAGCCCACATGCCATGCGCCGAATGGCAGAAGATGGCAATGTGGACGTGATTGTTGGCGATTGGCTTTCAGAGATGAACATTGCCTGGAATGCCATCACAAAAGACCAAGACCCAACGCTAGGGTACGAACCGGGATTCCTGACACAGCTTACTGAGTCAATCGATGTCATTGCCGAGAATGGAATCAAAGTTATTACCAATGCCGGAGCCCTGAACACAGAGGCTTTGGCAGCAAAGGTACAGCAGATGTGTCTTGAGAAGGGTCACAAAGAATTGATCATAGCCACGGTCCTCGGCGATGATATATCAGAGACTGTGGCCGATCCCACGAAACGCGAGAAACTCCTTCATTTGGACCACCCGGAGTGGGAACTCAAGAACTGGCAGTTAGAGCCATACTCTGGGGTTGCCTACATTGGAGCATGGGGTATTGTGGAAGGTATCAGAGCCGGCGCTGATATTGTCATATGTGGACGGGTCACCGACGCATCCCCAGTGATCGGAGCTGCAGCATGGTGGCACAACTGGGCCAAAGATGATTGGGATCGACTTGCCGGGGGTCTGGTTGCTGGCCGTGAGTAAACTCTTTTGAAATTAACTGCGACTAGCTGACCTCGATCAAGATCTGATAGAGTGCGGGCCTTACGTGACCGGGGCCAATTTCTCTGGCTTCAAAGATATGCTCTCTCAATTAATTGACCTTGCATTTCCAATTGCAGAAATCAGCAGAGATGGGACTTGCATCATTACCAAGCCAGAGGCACATGCTGGAGCAGTGACGAAGCATAACACTATTTCCCAGTTCTTGTACGAGCTGCAGGGCGAACAATACCTGAATCCGGACGTCGTTGCCAATCTCCACGATATTTGTATTGAAGAGATTGCCTCGAACCGAGTGAAAGTACATGGAGTGACTGGATCGCCGCCGCCGCCAACTACCAAGGCGATGATCGCCGCCAAGGGCGGATACCAGGCCGAGGCCACCTTTTACATCAACGGGCTCGATGTCTCAGAGAAAGTGGCAATGATGCGAAACCAGCTCTTTCACATTTTCAAAGATCACAACTTTAGCAAATTTTCGATTGAAATGTACGGGTCCCCTGCTTCGAATCCCAGCAGCCAACAAGCCGGCACAGTCTTTCTGCGCGTTTTTGCACAAGCGAAGAGAAAAGAGGACATATCCGCCGACAAGTTCAAGATCCCCATTTACGCTCTTCGAATGCAGAGCTATCCAGGGTACCACATGAATCTTGATTTCAGAACCATGGACCCAAAGCCATTCATGGAAATCTTCCCTGTCGTGGTGCCGATGGCCTCTCTGCACTTGGAAACCCACGTCTTCGGAGATGGCACCCGCAAAGCAATCGCAATTGACCCACCTAGTGTCACCTCGCAGTATCCGAATATCAGAGATTCATATGAGACTTCGAACCCAACCGACTTGACCGAATTTGGAGCTACACAAATGGCTCCTTTGGGATCCATAGTACATGCTCGCTCAGGCGACAAGGCCGATAACTCAAACATTGGGTTTTTTGTCCGGAATGCGGACGAGTACCCCTGGATACAGTCATTCTTGACAATTGCGCGGGTGAAAATTTTGTTTGGTGACGATTGGACAAAAGGTGAAAATCATCTTCAGCGACGAGTGGAAAGGTGCGAATTCCCCAATATTCTTGCCGTTCATTTCCGAGTGCTGGACTTCTTGGATGGGGGTATTGCTAGTTCCAGCCGAATCGATGGATTGGGCAAGGGGATTGGTGAATATCTTAGAAGTAAGGTGGTTCCTGTCCCGGTGAAATTTTTGAATCGAGGGTGTATTTAGATAATTTTCAACATTTCAGATTGAGACAAGACAGAATGTTGTTGTTTTTCCCTATCACTATGTTGTCTAAATTCTTATGTGTCATTTTCAGCTAGCTGTATACCCCCGATCTGTCCAAGCCAATCTTGTGAGAGTTGGCCAATGGGATCTTCACCAAAGGTGGACTCATGGAAATGTTGTAAATCATCAAAACAATCGCGGAACACGTCGTCAACAGCCAGAATAGAAGATGGCATTGCATCATTGAAAGTCCATCCCCCAGATGGGGACATCCCCATAGCATACTCTGAGGTGGCGACATTGGGGAAGTTGCTGTTGAAAGAAGGAACAGGAGGAACAGGAACCGATAGGCCTGTTGATGGATGGTTGGTTGTAGGCTGTGTGTGATACTCCACCGCATCCTTCAGTACAGCGTCGCTCAGTCGATCGAAGACACGGTGGCAATGTCGAGGAATGTTGCCGCGTTCCGAAACTGCTACTAAGACATTCGAGCACATGCGGCAGACATTGACAATCTCCATTATTGATGGGTCTGATTCCAGTATTGGTGTTTCTGAGGCATGTATTCGGTTCTTCTTGTTACGGAAGTGCTGCCCAGTAGCGTAGACAAATGAGAGTCCGGCCATGAAAACACTGCGCAAAGTGATCCAGGTATAATTGATACGCTGTAGCTCATGTAGCTGTGCGTAGAAGCCAATCGCCTGCTTTGCAGAATCGTATATTATGGGTAATGCCACAGCCGCTCTGGACGAGCTCAAAGGGAGAGCCGGAGAAGGCCGGTAGAGCATAAGTAAAGCATTGTGATATATCATTTCGTACCATTCGGCAGTCAAAAAGCTTGACAGCTTAGCAGCAGCTGTTGAGCCCTGGTTGGGAAAAATCGTATTTGTTTTGCAACGCCACTCTTCTAGATCATTGGCAAGGCTCGCTTGTGCAGCCAAAGCAGAGGTTTCATTGTTTGTGTGGCGGACTCTGTGCAGGGATGTCATGATCCTGCCACAAAGAATGCGATATTGTGTAATATGGGCAAACACGGCTTCTCGGTACTGTTCGGTGCGAGTCAAGCCGTCGGTCTCTTGAGGACCCATGTATGGTGACATTTCATAGGCGGGAAACTTCAGGCTCACGTCTTCTAGTTGAATAGCGAATGGACGACCTAGAGTTATGCTGACGACACTGGATACGCAAAAAAGGTTAGCTATCCTTCACTCGTTGATCGCTGCAGTGAGCTCACCGATCCATTGCCAGTACACACCAGAGCCACCGTTGTCGAGGCGTGGGTGATGACCCTGGCACATTAGTCTTGCCTGTATGATTATAGGCCTCTTCACGATGCAGACCCATCTCGAAGCACATGCGGGCAGCCATGCCGACCATGTGCCAAAGGCTGGCGGATGTCATTTGTGTCGAGCTTGTCAACTGGTATTGACACAGAAGAAGTATTGCCTGCAAGGCTTCTAGTCCTCCTAAAGCGAGTATATCATTCAACCGGGAGATGGCATGCGTGTGGTAAAGTTCTGCTTCAGGCAACGATTGCCAATGAAGCTTCTGGAGGTTTGACATGGATATGGCCATAATCATATAGAAGCAAAATGTCTCCCATGGCTTTTTCTCCAGTATAGTTGGGTCTGCATATATATTGCCTAGGCTAGCCACTGCTGATTGCTGGGAAAGAATCGGGTAGCACAGATGGTCATGATAAAAGTACGCATCGTGAAGTTCTCGAGCCACGCTTTCCAGCACCGGAGGAGGCGCTTCTCTGGATAGCCTTGATGGCGGCGATGCTTTGGTGGGCAGCCCAGATATCGGTGTAGGCCCAGAAGACCCCTGTGGTGCACTCGAGGCATCAGCTCTAATCGCGGATCTGATCAAATCTGCAAAGAGCACGCCGCTCGTCGAGCCTAGAAACTGCCGCTCGCCGCCCGCGTTCAGAGAAAGAAATGAAACTTCATCCGAGACCTCATTTCGGTTTTCTCGTGTTTCAGAGTTCCTCGTCGCCGGAGACGCGTTTTCAACAGGTGGAGGGGAGTTTGAAGCCGCCAGCCTTGCTGCGAGTGCCCTATTAGTTGCCTCGGTTTGACGCAATCGCCTCTCAAGCCTCTCAATCACATCTCGTCGAATCGGGGCTTCCTTCGATCTGTCGCTATACACGCATGCCACGCCTGCCTTGGTGCACAACCCACATGACGGCTGCTCCTTGCCGCATCCTGATTTTCGCCTACGGCACCGATCGCAAGCTTGCATATTCGCTGGGGTCTCTGTCCGAGGCAGGAAGAAGTGGATATCTCGGAGGGCGGCCGAAAAACCCCGACGGACAGGCCGATGCCGCAGCTCCCCGCATTTTTGCGGAGACCCGTTTAGCCGGAGACGGACGCCGACGCCGATGGAAAGGTTGTGACAATTGGTTGGGGCATTGGTATATCTGAAAACCCCTTTCCCCGGATTTTGAGTACCCCGGATTTTGTGGTCTTTGAATTCCTCGCCTGTTCATTTGTCAATCACATACCGCGCTATGCAGGAGCTGAAGCACAGCAGTGAACCAGACATGGTGGAGGATGTCGAAATAGGAAACAGTGTATGGAGCTCTCCTCGACAACAAGTCATCAATCAAAATGCTGACTGGAACCACAGAAGGAGACGCCTCCAAACGAGGAGTTAGGTGTCGATTTGGAGCAGGAAAAGAACCTCATTCGGAGACAAGACCTGAGAATCCTGCCCCTATGTGCTGGGATATATCTTTTGTGTTACCTCGATCGATCAAATATTGGTACGAGGCCATACCAGCATGCGATGCGGCCAATGCTATTGCTAACCTACCAACCATGTCAGGAAACGCGAAGACCCTCAATTCTGCTACAGAGAATGATTTGCTCGATGAGACAAACATGACAGAGCACCAATATATGTGAGTCGGTGCAAAAATGTTCATAGCTTGGTCACTCTGACCAGTGACAGCATTGCATTGATGGTCTTCCTCATTGCGTACGCCTTGTTCGAGGTTCCTTCAAACTACTTGCTGAAAAAATTGAAACCAAGCGTGAGACTTTCCCTCCCCGGTGGTTGAGAGCGGTCAGTTAATTCGTCAATACAGCGATGGATTGCATTCCTAATGTTCTCTTGGGGAGCAGTGACCGTGGGCCTTGGAGGTGCGCAGAACTATGCACAAGTTGCAGGTGTTCGGTTCCTACTTGGTGTCCTTGAGGCCGGACTATTCCCGGGGCTGGTCTTCTATCTTACGTTTTGGTATAAGGTATCGGAAAGATCACTAAGAGTTGCCATTATTTTGGCCTCCGCTACACTGGCTGGTGCTTTCGGAGGCGCTATTGCATACGGAGTGGGACATATGAATGGTGTCCATGGGCTATCTGGCTGGCGCTGGCTGTTTATCATCGAGGGTGCTCCTTCGTGCGCATCAGCAGTTCTTGTGTGGTTTTTCCTTCCAGACTACCCGGAAACCTGCCGTTTCTTGTCGACAGAGGAGAAGGCATTGGCGAAACAGCGACTGTCGGTGGAAGGAGGACAGGGTGAAGCCAAAGCAATGTCATGGATTGAAGCTAAAGCGGTATTGACGGAATGGCGTCTTTATGCACACTATTTGGTATGTCTTAAAACACGCACAGTAATGCGACACATGACTATGGGGCTAATTTTGATCGCCAGGTCTACTTTGGAATTTCCGTGCCTTTTTCAAGTTTATCACTATTTACGCCAACAATCACAGCCGGGCTTGGCTATGAGAATCTACAAGCCCAATTGATGACCGTTCCGCCATATGCTGTTGCTTATGTTGTGACCCTTTTGGTATCTTGGTCGGCGGATTACTTCAATGCGTAGGTGTTTCTGTTTTCAATTCTAGCTCACAGATCAATAGTCAATGTGCCCAGGTGCTGACACAGAAAACAGCCGTGGTGTGCATTCCGCACTGTTCGCATTGATTGGTGCCATTGGCTTCATAGTCTCTGCCGTTCTTCCACCAGATGCGTATTCGGTAAGGCAATATCCCGAACTCCAAATATTATGCAAACTGTACTAAAGTCAAGGAAAGCACCGTTACGGCTGCCTGATAATCGCTACATCAGGTGCATTCTCATGCATACCCCCTCTTTTAGGCTGGCTTTCCTCCAACCTCCGCTCGACTGCTGGAATCGGACTAGCCATTGCCATGAATATCTCGTTTGGAGCACCAGGACAGATAGTGGGTGTGTGGATTTACAAATCTGTACAGGCAAAACAGGGATTCCCGACAGGGCATTGGACAAATGCAGCGCTACTTCTCCTTGTCTCTTCCGTGTGCATTACATTGAGGCTGTACTATGGATGGCTTAACAGAAAGTCCCATGATGGTCAAATGAGATATGTCTATTGAGGCTGTGAATGCATTTTGATATTTCCTTCTGTGTTCCTATGTCTGCTCCTGAAGAGGATTCTCACATCATGGGTCTTGATTTGAATGTCGATTTGATAGTATTCTGTCGTAGTATTCATGGATGTAATGCATAAAGAAGTCACGTTCATGACCTCCGCTGCTACTAGGTATGCTTTTCGTTTCGATTTGATACCAAGGTCCATCCATCTACTTACACGTCAGCCCACGAGTCTTTGGTTACTTTACTAATTCTATTGTCTAATGGAAACATGAAACTCGCAGTCGGACCAACGCGAGGCCGCTGGTGGCCTTACACTCCAAATGGATAAGATTGGATCTAGGTAGTATCGAGATCGGCGGGGGGCATTGCCAAGCTGCAGTGAGCCTGTGAAGACGTTCCAATCAGCACAAAAATTCAAGAGCGGAGTTACAACAATGCTCCACTGCCCTATCGGACCCCCATCATTTACCTCCAACTTCCAGGTGACCCTGCATGATCGTCCATGTCTGCCTTCCTTCAGCCGTATACGTACATCACTTTCCCATCGTATCAAACAATGTGATCTACAGTATAAGGCGCCCGAGCCACTGCAAGGCGCCCGATTTCCCAAATCTACCAAGATGATCTTCATTCTCATCCCAAAGAGGAACAGCAGATTGAGCCCAGTACCCAGTCCTCATGCTGTACTTGAGGTATAAGTATATGTCGAATGATTCCCCGGGATTTCAATTTCTCTCATAATCATCCCTCTCTAGCACACCATATTTTGATCAAACTCTTCAAGCCAAACACATCCAGTATGTGGAATTGGTGTTCTACAAAGTGCCCTGACTAACCCTTCCAGGCCACCAAAATGAAGTTCCTTTTCGTCCTCGCTCCTCTGCTAGCCTTGGCCATGGCCGCCTGTGATGAGTTCCCCTGTTGCCACCGTCCCGGTGACCTCTGTAGAATTGGAAGTGGAACTCCTGGCGACGGTGTATGCTGCCATGGCAAGACATGTGTGAAATCTAGCGGCGAGAACTGGGTACGTTACCTTCTGCCTTCATGGCATCTTGAGCATTGACACTAATGGTCTGGATATCAGTATTGCCAGTGATAGACAATTGCGAAAGATGGGATGCTAGCTGCGAAGGGACATCTCGTTGGAATCGCAATTTCGGATCTCATTTTACATACTCCGTACAGTCTTTTCAATAACAGAATTGATATTTCCATCATCTCTGGCTTTGCTTTTCCCGTTTTGTTTTTCGTTTACTGCCTTGGTCTGGCGGTTTGTCCAACCAGGATTCTAGACCCCAGGATTTGGTTTTCATGTACTCCGTAGCAAGACCTCTGAAGATGGTCTAGTCTCGCGAAATCTCATTGGGTTCACACACGGTGGCTTATGCATGTACCCATTTTCGCGCTACATGCAAGTGAACACCGCTCAATTTGATGGAAGTTGCAATTGAACGTACCATACCCTACGGAGTACTAATTCGTACTGGTCTCCAATTTGAGGTGGATCTCCCTGAGCGGCCCAGTGGGTCTCGATGATCGATAACGAAACAAAGAGACTGGCAATCACTGTACAACGCATACCCCCTACTAGGTACGGAACAAGAAAAAGCAACGCCGAACTGAATTCAGCAACCACGAAAGAACCGAATACTGGTGCCTGGGGTGCCCCCTGAGGCCTGTCAGGGGTAAGACCCACGGCGCCTTTGGCGCAATATTGTATCAACCACAGAAAACGCTCACTCTATCATCCTCGCTTCATCATACCAACTCAGCACCCTGCCCCATCTCATGTCCTCTTACTTCGTACTGATATCCTGAAATGCAGAAATTGCGCGATTCCTTACTAAGCTGCTCGCCGAAAGGCTTGGACGACATAAAGGCGACGGATGAGATCCTTCATGACCAAGAAGACGTCCGCAGATGTATCGCTCGAGGTGAATTGGAGGAGGTTCGTGGAGCCGCCTTTTTCAATCGAACATGGATTGTCACTGAGCGGTACTGCGATAATGGAGACGGGGTGGATTCTCTTGTGGGATACGTTCATAACATCTGGTATTCATACTACCAACTTAGCCGACACACATCGCATGACACAGCCGAACATAACAGCCTGGTCCTGGATCTCATTCGTATCCAGGGGCAAGGTCCATTGACGAGACCTGTCAGGGGAGATTATGGAATCGATATTGCACGCACAGTTGAAGGCACTTTGTGGAATGACTTGCCGTTCTTGGTGACTGATATGACCGAGTTCTGGCTCAACGACTCCGCATCGATGGCGGGTAGCCAGCGTCTGAACTACGCATCTTTCCTGGCGAAGCTGGCGTCAACACGCGTCAGCAAAGATCGATTGTGTCAGATCGCCCTGATCTTGTTTCGTGATCTCTTCGAAACCCGCCAACAAGTCTACCCCTTTGGTGAACCGGACAACGAGAGCCCCCAAAGGAGCCACAAAGACCTACAAGTCCAACATCTCATGCCTTCTGTTCATGAGTGGACCAAAGAGGCTGGAAAAAACATTCTTCTGCTCTCAGAGGTGTCTTGGAATGACTGCCCCAGTACCATTGCGCATGGTGGCCCGTTGTTTATTGAGTCTGAGTTTGGCAGACAGCATTCGGCTGGGTTCACCCCATGGAGATGGATGTTTTGGCTCAAGCGACTTCATGAGTTTCGGGAAGAAGCGAAAAGGGTCCAAGAGAAGGGTGTTGAGGAGCTGTGCAATGACACCATTCGCCGTATGCTTTCCGAGACTAAGACTCGAAACTCGGAGATCTTACGTGCATATGTGTCTGGCGGGGAGTGGCTACAGCGAGAGAAATATCTGAGATGCCTTCAAAAAATTGCGGATGGAGAGGACTCCGATGAGGGCGAGGTTTTTGAGGACGATGAGGACAAGAGCAAAAGCAGCTGAAAACCGTAGTCTCGTCGAAAGTTCTCGGCGCTCAGGGACAACGCATACGAATCACATATTTTCTAAGCCTAGATGCCAAGAGCTCCAAGGTACAAGGCATATATCGATCTGCTACATAGGCAGCCCTGAGATCATGAAGCCGAATGTGGCGGGTATGGCGGATATTGCTAGCGCGGGGTAGTCGATAAGCATCGTAGGGCGCTAGGCTCACCGCCCTGGCCAGTCCGACTCAAACTGCCGCACAAAAGAAAAACCCGAATGCAGTACGCGCGCATTTCTACAATCGTCTGCAAAGGCAGCATTTGAGTGTACAGTTAAGTCATGAATCGAGTAGTGGTACTTTCAATTTAAGAGACATTCTGTCTCTCAATCTCATCCCCAGTTATTGTCATCACCTGTAAATTGCTCTTTTCTGGCCATGAGTCACCCATAGTGCATTTAAGGCGGTGCCCGACTTTGGAGGCGGTATCACTGTACCCCACGGCTTTTTTTTTCACTCCAGTACCTTTATCACTTTTGACATTGCAAACATCGTCAGTCCTCTCAGTCAGACTGAAATCTCGTCACAATGGCCTCCACCGCAGATGCCGATGCGCCTCACAACAGCTTCGACGTACGTAGTGTCACCATCCCACCAAAGGCGAGAATGGGCAACTTCGTTCTCGCCCTGCTCCCCGCAATATGCCCCCGATGACTCTTAGATTGGGCGTGGATGCGCAATTGCTGCAAGATTTCACGAGGGATAGATTGGCTAACAGATGACTCTTTAGACGATCCTCGTTCTCGACTTTGGCGTACGTGAATATCGGCAGCTCCCATCACCCTCTCGGCTTATCGCAGATAACAGCCCATCCATGCTGTGGCTGGGCTCACGAGGGGTCTCTTCCGATGGTTAATACTGACTATGATTGAAGTCCCAAACGAGTCATCTGATCCTGCGTCGGCTCCGGTCCCTCGGCGTCTTCGCCGAGCTGCTTCCCTGCACCACCAAGATCGCTGATCTGACATGGAAGCCCAAGGGAATTGTGTTCTCAGGAGGTATGGATGGTTTTGATGGACGGTTTTTGTTATGGTCTAACTGAGTAATTAGGTCCTGCCTCCGTCTACGATGAGCACTCGCCCCGTAAGGCTCTCAGCCCCCGAGCTTCTCATCGCCCGTACTCATGTGTCTAGATGTTGATCCCGCTGTCTTCGACTTGAACGTCCCTATCTTGTGAGTGCTTTCTTTGCTTGTCTCTGGAGTATGTGAGTTTGGGCTAACACGCGGCGCAGGGGTATTTGGTATGGCTCCCCGAAACATCGACACCACTATCCCGCTAAGACAATATTCCCAGCTATGGTTGCCAGGAGATCGCGTGGCGGGTGAACCCCAAGAATGTTGCCCGTGGAGAGACCCGCGGTACGCAAGCTATGGAATCCCAGCATGAGCTATATCTAATCATTTTTAGAGTACGGCCACGCCGACGTCAAGATCACCAAGGTTAACAGCAACGTCGATCGACTGTTCGCCGGACTCGGAGAGGAGGTCCCCGTCTTCATGTCCCACTACGACAAGCTCGTTACCCTCCCCGAGGTGAGTCGGACGAATTTTGCTTTCCTGGTACAATTTTTCTAACTTCAGTAGGGTTTCGTCGTCGTCGGTGCCACTGATCACTCCGAGTACGCTGGTATCGCTCACCAGGAGAAGCCCATCTTTGGTTTGTTTCCCCTCAGGTTGCCGTCCATGCCCAAACAAGAGAAAAAGCTAACACAATGCTTTAGGTGTCCAGTTCCACCCCGAGCTTGAACACGTTAGTAATTTTCTAGCCACAATAGGCCGTTTTCTAACATTGAAATTTAGACCCCCTGTGGAACCGATATCCTCCGCAACTTCAGCATTGATATTTGTGGAGCTCAGGCCAACTGGGTTATGGGCGACTTCGTCCAGCTCGAGATCGCTCGCATCCGCGAGCTTGTTGGTGACCGTGCGCTTGTCCTCGGTGCCGTCAGTGGAGGTGTCGACAGCACTGTCGCTGCCGCTCTTATGCGTGCCGCTATTGGAGATCGCTTCAAGGTAAGATCTAATAATTTTATTTCCACAACACTGCCGTGCAGGCGAATTACGTGCGCTTCGTCACGAAGTCCTTTGAGGCAGCGTCCTTTTGTGTGTGACCCAATTGCTAACACAGATATAACAGGCCATCCTGATCGACACAGGCTGTATGCGTCTGAACGAGTGTGAAGAAGTCAAGCAGACGCTCGGCAAGCACCTTGAAATCAACCTCACAGTGGTCGATGCTGGAGAGTTGTTCATGTCCCGTCTTGCAGGTGTTTCTGACCCCGAGAAGAAGCGAAAGATCATCGGATCCACTTGTGAGTTCATTTCTCGTGAGGCGTATAACGGGTGCTGACAATAGTGAAAGTCATTGATCTGTTTGAAGAAGAAGCTATCAAGGTACGTTTTTTCTCCCACTAAAATCCTGCATATCGCTAATAACCCGCTAGATTGAGAAGGCCGCAGAGAACACCCCCAACACCGGAAAGGTGGAATGGTTCTTGCAGGGAACATTGTACCCCGATGTGTAAGTTGCCTTTACCCGAATGCTGGATAAATGCTGACAACAACCTAGTATTGAATCTCTGAGCTGGCGCGGACCTTCCGCCACCATCAAGAGTAAGCGAAAGAACGACCCTCCAGGGTCTATTCCCTGCCATGCAATTGGACCACGAGCAGATAAAGCTGACATCAGAGATAGCTCACCACAATGTTGGCGGTCTTCCCGAGGTAAGCAAGACTCACATCGTGAAATAGAGCTTTTTACTGACTAGTACACAGCGCATGATGAAGGGCGTAAGTCGAAGTACCCCAAGAATGTTTAATCCCTTTTTTTGTACTAACGTACATGGCCCATCTAGCAAGGGTTGCGTGTAAGTATTTCTTATAATCCTTTACCCGTCTACAAAAAGCTAACTGGGAAACTTTTTAGCTCATTGAGCCTCTCAGACTTCTCTTCAAGGATGAAGTCAGAGCAATTGGTCGCCAGCTTGGCATCCACGAGGACCTCGTGAACCGACACCCCTTCCCCGGTCCCGGTATCGCCATCCGTATCCTCGGTGATGTTACCCAGGAGCGAGTCGAGATTGCCCGCAAGGCCGACCACATCTTCATCAGCATGATTAAGGAAGCTGGTCTTTACAACCAGGTGAGAGAGATAAACAGAGTGAAAACGATGCTCGCTAACCTTCTCATTTAGATTTCTCAAGCCTTTGCTGGTCTTGATACTAACCGCAGTGTTGGTGTTTTCGGTGACCAGCGCGTCTGGGGATACATCGTCATCCTGCGCGCTGTCCAAACCAAGGACTTCATGAGCGCCGATATCTTCGACTTCGACAACGCCTTCCTGAAGGTTAGTCAGATATTTTCGACCCACTTTACTCGCCATAGGTTCATGATTGCTAATTTCTTCACCCCAGAACGTTTCGCGCACCATTTGCAACCAGGTTGATGGTGTTTCCCGCGTTGTATACGACCTGTAAGTTGAAACATTGTCTTTTTTTGTATCCTCCGCGCTAACGTCATTTTGCTAGGACCTCCAAGCCCCCTGGCACCATTGAGTTGGAGTAAGGGACTCATTTGAGTAAATGAAAACGGAACATAGATAGAAGATAGATCACTTGCTGGCTGCAGCCTGCAACGATGATAGGAATTGACTTTAATGGCGTTTGGAGAGCTTTAAAAATGGCATCTTGAGTGAAGCGAAGGAGTCTGAGGAAACACAAACCCTTGTACCCCGATGGCAGCGGCATGTTGAGGAGACGGGGATATCCGCTACTCTGCGCTGCGCATGCTCAGCCTATGTGTATATAGAAAAACAGGATTTTCATGCTCTTTTAATATGCTTGGTCGCAACGGGCTTGGTCCTAATCCCGCGGGACCAAACCCCAGCCCCTCGGACGTAGTTCTTTCCAGTCCGTCCTATCATTCTTTTTCGGGGCTCCATCTTGAGCCTGTAACGGTTGAGATGACTCGGCTATGATTCCTGACTACAGATGTTTTATACTGTTCACACCTTATGCAACTATACTAGAGATGAACGGCAACCTACTGTAAACATTGAACCTCCGAGGTTGGAACGATCTTAGGGCTTGACTTATCAGTCCCCCCTGACCATACAATACCTGAGATTACCATACATCCGCACTCACCCGCACATTCCCTCCGCATTTGCCTGTGGCATCTGGTACGGATCTGTAATTTCCTCGGAGCCAGCCGATCACCGACATGGCCAGATCTCTTCACCTGGCACCCTACAATGGAACTACGAGATTGTGATTATGATCGGCCTCCAATATAGCAAGTATAACCTTCCTGGCTGTACAATGTCACAATCTCACCGATGCTGCCCTGCTATGATTGCCTCTTCAGGATGTTTTCATTGCGTATCAACAGTATATGAACCACCGGTATCTGCAGGTTGACTTGATTCAAGTGAGCATTATTCTGCTTTAGCTAACGCCATGTTTCTAAATTCACTCAGGATCTCGATAGGTCTGCCCACGCTGTGGCTAGTGTTGGCGGTGCTCAATGCCAGTGCAATGGCCGCGACGTACCCGTACACTGTTTATCGTGGCACGTTCGTTCAACTTCCCCGGCTCAACTCGAGCTCCACGAAGCCCGAGCTGGCTCGTACCCAAGGTGCTCTCTGGGTCGGTGATGACGGCCGCATCAAGGGCTATGACTGGACTGTTCAAGATGATGCGAGCTTTAAGTCGTTCCTTTCCAGCCACAGTTGGACCGATGCCGATGCAGGCAGTGGAAATGCGAAGGCAACCAAAGTGAAGGTTGTGAAGTCGAACGATGACCGAAATGAGTTCTTCTTCCCCGGTTTCATTGGTACGTATAAACCGTGTCAATCAGGTGTGCCGGGGCTAATAGTACTTCCAGACACTCACATCCATGCTCCTCAGTTCCCTAACATCGGACTTTTCGGATCTTCCGGTCTGCTGGACTGGTTGAACGAGTATACCTTCCCAATGGAAGCTAGTTTCGGCTCGAAGTCTGACCCAAAGAACCAACAAACCGACCCGAAGAAGACACCCCCGGAAGGCCTACGCGTCTACGACCAAGTTGTCGCCCGCACCCTCGCTCACGGCACAACGTGCGCATCATACTTTGCAACAATCCATGTTCCCGCAACGAATGCGCTCGCGGCACTATGCCACTCCCACGGGCAACGCGCATTCATTGGCCGTGTCTGCATGGACAACAAAGATCAATGCCCCTCCTACTACGTTGACCAGTCAGCTGAACAGGGTCTCAATGCTACAAAGTCGACGATCGACTATATCCACACCCTTGATCCAAAGGGCACTTTGATCAACCCCATCATCACCCCACGATTTGCTCCCAGTTGCTCCAAGGAATCCCTTGCTGGTCTCGGCAAGCTTGCAGCCTCGTACACACCGGCTTTGCATATCCAAACGCATATTTCGGAGTCAACTTCTGAAGTCGAGCTCGTTCAGCAACTCTTCCCCGACTCGACCAGCTACGCCGATGTCTACGATAAAGCCAACCTCCTGACGAACCGAACAATCCTCGCCCATGGTGTTCACCTGACGAAAGAAGAGCTCAGCCTAATTCGCACACGAGGCTCCAAAGTCGCACACTGTCCCGCCTCCAACTCGGCTCTGGGCTCTGGGCTCGCGCCCGTGCGCTACATGCTCGATCAAGGCGTCACAGTCGGATTGGGTACCGACGTCAGCGGTGGCTATAGCCCCAGCATCCTGGAAGCTGCGCGACAAGCCAGCCTGATCTCTCGACTTGTCCAATACAGTTCGGAGTACCAGGACAAGACTGGTAATAAGACCTCGGACGGAAGTGAGAAGTTAACTGTTGACGAGGCTCTGTACCTTGCTACTCGGGGTGGTGCCGCGGTTGTTGATAAGGCAGATGACTTGGGTGGCTTCGACAAGGGAATGATTTGGGATGCGCAGCTTGTTGAGCTAGGAGCTGTGCGGAATAGTACCAAGAGCCCGCTTGACACCTCGGCTACCAATGGTATTGTCTCGCGTGCTGTCGTGACAGGCACTGTCGGTAATGTGGATCTTTTCGGGGATGAAACCTGGCAGGAGCAGATTCAGAAGTGGATGTGGAGCGGCGATGATCGCAACGTGAAGAACGTCTGGGTCCAAGGCAAGCTGGTGCACACCAGGAAATAGTTTGCCTGTCGGTATAGACTACCACCACGACATGCACTAGGTATGTTTGTATCAACAATCTCTGTGGGATGATGAAACTGCCCAGGTGTCGACTGTGACCTCGGGATATACATATATTGGCCTACAAGTAACATGTAACAAGCTCTCAAGTTCATTCCAATGTTCTTATTCATGCTATGCGAGTAACATCACCATTTTGGATTCCGTTATCGAAGAGAAATCCATATCCTTAACCTTGAGAGTTTCCTCGTGAGCAAGCCCTACCTCGTTCCAAGTTCATCCCAGGGTCGGCCTTCCTGGGCGATGTATCCTCAAGTTCAAGGGCGGCTGCCCCGGGGCCCGGGCCCAGTTGGCTGCTTACGGGGGTTAATCACAAGGCCCCGGGGGCTGGTGGCCGTAAAATTTCGATTCCCTACACCTACTAGCTATGAATTCATCAGAAAATTCAAACAGGGAATCTGAATTGAAGAATGCAGCAAATGCCAGTCCCAATCTGGCTTTAAACTAATAGCCCAAAAATAAATGAAATAAAAACACCAAGGATATACATGAACCAATCGTAAATCATAGCTAAAGGAGATCAAAAGTCGGGAATAAGAGTATTGAAACAGAGCAGGTGATGGTAGGAGGTCAAATACTATGAACTCGGTTGTCGTCTCCACGGAATGTCCTTGCGAAGCAACTCTCGAAGCTCAGGGGATATCACCTTCGGCTTATCGGCATTCACTGCATTCTGAAGAGTTGAAGGACCGCTAATTCCACTGCTCGACCCGATTGCGGCCTGCTGGGGTGATTTGCCTTTGTTCGAGGAATCTTGACTGTTACCTGGCCGGCGTTGATGGGCAGTTGGGGCAGCTGGGAAATTGTCCTTCTTGTCAATGGCTTGCACTGAACGTTCAAATCTCTTGAAGAGTGATTCGGCCCGGGTGAGAATCGGAACGAGGTCCATTGTGTTGGACAATTCGTTGACTGAGAATGGATTAGCACGTGGGAATCATACCCTTGCACAGGGCGCTTTTGACATACTGTACTTGAGGACTTCGTCGAAGTGCTTGAGGTGATCCATAATCACGTCTCGGTGTTTCTCAAGGATAGCCAGTGCAATGAACAGATGGAAGCTGCTCGAGTAGTAGTCGGTCCAAAGTGTCTCCCACAGACGCAAAACATCGCTCCAGTCGAACTCGCGTTTGTACCAAACTAATAACATGCGGAAGAAAAAGAAAAAGTTGGTACTGTCGGCGGACTGGAGATGCAAATACAGCTGTGGGTCCATGAGCTGGACAAGGTTGTCCAATGCCAATAGCTGGCCACGCATTCCAGATTGATCACGAAGGAAGTTGTGTTCCTGTCACACAAAATTAGCACACGAAAAAAATCCAAGATGCGAGATTGTATATACCATTCGATCCATGAACCCAACAAATGCCCAGGAAGCGACTGCATCATCTTGCATCACGGCATAGATCGGTGCAAGTAAATCACTCATGCCTTGAACATAACCCAGGTCTGGGTTAAACTCATTGTATGTGAGAAGCATGTCCTTCATTTGCTCCAAGTGTACATTGGTGCCTGTCTCTGCGAAAGGAGAATCGGGGTCTGGGTGAGGTATGTCTTCGCCCGCGAACAATGGAATTGTTCGATCAGTACGGTGAACATCCTTTTCTGTGATCGATTGTTAGTCATGGAAATGGAAAACATCCACCATCGACGTACCGATCCGATTCTTCTGTTCCTTCCAGTGATCGAATTGTTCGCTCGTTGAGTTACCTTCCACCATTCGCTCCCACCATCCTGCTTTGAGCCGAATGTATTCATCGCGCTTCGAGTTCATCAATGCTTGTCGGTCCTCACGGCTACTGTCCCATGGATATACCTCCAGGAGGAACAGCCATGCTTCCTTTCTAACACCATCGTTGGGATCGAGACCTCCGTGGAAGATTCGCTCTTTGACTTCTTCGACGGTGATCTGAAGTCGCCCAGATGTTTGATCGAAGAAGCCTTCCCACTCTGGCAGTTGAAGGACGCGGCGTCGCTCCTGGAGACCCAAATTCCCAGTTTCCAACTCCAGAATCTCGAAATCACCAACAGAGCTGTTCTCCATCTCCAGCATATCCTGTGCTGTCCAGATACGGGCATTGCGCTCTTTATCGCTCTGCTCGGCAACACTCATTGCCCAGCGAGCCAAGTAGACACGGGCGCTGTCGAACTCATCTTGCAGGGTTTGGATTTCGGGATTTTTCATCAGGCGACGCACCTGTGGCGGAATGCGAGGGTTGTCGGCGATCTCGTTTGCGGTCCGACGGGTGAAAGTGGTAATCTTGCTGAGCTGCTCCAGCACTTTCCACCTGGTTTCTTTGAGGGTTTTCATGAAGGGGTCCATGTTGGCATCAGGTGTCTCCGGTTGTCTAGAAGCGGCTGCAGCTTCTGGCTGTGCCTTGGCTGAGATCGACCTATCACCATGGCTCACGGGCCGACCAAAAGACAACTGGTCTTCATCTGAAGGGTTAATGAGATAGACATTGCGATCCACCGCCGATCGCTGTACCTCCGCATATCTCCGCAACCACCGCAGTATTTCATCACCACCCCAAAATAAGCTCCCTTCTGTGCTGAATGGGTCGAAGCTCTCCTTAACCTTCTTTTTCTTCTGCAGGATTGTTGATTCACATTCATCATCGTGGAAGAAAAGAGCTGGGAAGCCATCGCCCGCACGGGTATTGATCACCAAGCTGCCGAACCACCATCCCAAGCTCGGCGGTCTCACTAACAGTGAGTATATTTCTGACAACGGTACTGCGAATGAGTACAGCCCGATGGGATCTTTGTAGGTGGTCGTGGTCGGAAGTGGCGGAACCAGGTACTTCTGGCGGGGTGTAGAGTCATCTCCGGCGAGATCAACTTTGACGTATGTATCATAGGCTTCTCCGAGTGAGGACTCTGGGACCCAGGCGAGTAAGTAGGAGGGTGTCTCGGGTCTGTTCGGATGGGATGAGGATGCATGTGACTCGGTCGGCTTTTGTTGAATTAAGGCGATGAAGCCGGCGATATTGTCTTTCGAAGATGAGGTTGGATGGACATAGACCTTATTCATTAGCTTGAGACATTCCACCAGGGCGCGTCCAATCATACCTTGCTTTTGGAGAATAGTAGCTTGACCCCTCTCCTCGAGGCAACCTGGGCGATGGTGTTATATTCGTCTTCATCATCATCACTCATCGCGTAACAAGACGCAGAGGGCGATGGTGTCGCAGGAGGGGTGTATTTGACGGAGCCCATGGTGGGATGTGAAGAAGCAAAGGCAGCCCTGGAGAGAAGTCGACGTAATGATGGCCGATAAGATAAGCGTGATATCAGCTGGCGCTTTCCACTTCGTTTTCCACTGTCCCGAGGTCTCTTGTCTTTCTCTTTGCCTCTATTTGTTTGACTCTTTCTCCTTACTTGAATCGGATAGGATGCCTGTTAGAAAACAACATTTCCGTTGAGATTCTGTGCTCCTTGTCCATCTGCAGTCGCCACTTACCCGCTCTCCAGGCAACCAAATTCGCCGCTAGCAACGAGGATCCGCAAAATTGTGTTGATTACTCCCGATGGACCGCTGTTGGCTTCAGAAGGAATTTAGGATGCTGGGCTTCGAATTTGCTGCGAACACTGGAAACATATTCGAGTAGGTATGTCCGGCATCTCTGAGGCGATCATGCAACCGTCCCAATGACGATCGCATTTTCACCCACGCCCAGTAGTTCAAGTCTCAAGGTCCAATTTCTGTCATGAGTTTTCCACATAAACAATTCCAATCATCTTTAAGGGTGGAAATCAACAGTTTATGCGAAACATATCATGCTTGACCTCATAATTGTGTTCCTGGCAGCACAACTATGTACTCCCCATGACAACACCCTTGAAGCCTAAAAGATCGTTAGCATATACATACTCGAACCCTGTACATTGTCAGACCATATAAGAGCTACCAGTCACCTGTTGCAGATCAAATCAGCTGCGATGTCAACGGGACTCGATAACCTGTTTGGGAAACGAAATGCCGCCATCTCATAGATCACACAAGCTTTGACAACAACTCAACCACATTTATCGAAATTTGTCTAATTTTGAGGAACATGAAGAGACACCACATTGTAGTATAAAGGTGCGCACATATCTTCGATAGAAAACTATTGTCGCATCGACATCAGAGCCCAGTCCCAACACAAGATCAACGACGACCCACTTCCAATAATGCCTGAGCTTCCCCGTACCCTGCCAGCCTCCTGGTATTGCAGCAAACCACTGTATCAGATGGAGCGCCGGGCCGTCTTCTTCAAAGTATGAATATGTCATCTTTTGGGAGTCTGATGTGACTAAGATCTCATAGTCCTGGTACTTACTCGGCCCTGTGACCAGATTCCAGGTCGTTGGCCAACATATTCCGTACGAGGTTGCACAACAGTCTGTCTCTGCTTTTCGCACCAGGGGCGAGACTTTGAACCCCACTGCCAGAGAACTGAAGGTCATATGCTCCAAGACAGTATGTACGACCAAAGTACGATGAACACGTGTGCTTGCTGAGATCGAGTAGGGGAGGGAGCTAAGAAGCCATCTCACACCAACGGGACTATTGTTCTCCACCATCTCCGAAGATGCACCTAGCTTCGAAGAGTTCTTTCCAGAACTGGAGGAATTGTTAGGAAAAGTTGATTTTGCCAAGCTTCCTTACCGACGAAGCATTCGATATGAAGGTCGTTTCAACTGGAAAACCATGTAAGAACGAACGGTTACCCCAGAGAATGATTTTCCGTGTCTAATACCTTTCCAGGGTTGATGGATATCAAGAGTGCCTACACTGCCAGTACACTCACCCATCGTTCTCGGTTTTCTACCCACCGACCTTTTACACCGTACGTAATAAGCACAACTTCTCACAGCACATTGCAGATCCCAAGAAGCCCGATGATGGCTTGTTCCTCTACTTCTTCCCCAACTGTACCTTAAATGTGTATGGTGGGGGAATGTCCATGTTCAGGGTGTGCCCAACGCCCGACCCCAATGTGACTCGAATGGAATTCGATTATTACCACCTCGAAGTCGGTGATAAATTTGAAGAATACTACAAATTCGTCCGTCAGGTGGCCATGGAAGACTACGAACTCTGCGAGAAGGCCCAGGACAATCTTGCCAAGGGTGTATACCATGAAGGAATACTAAACCCGGAGAAGGAAAATGGAGTTTCGCGTAAGTGGATAAGACTATAGATTTGTAGAGATCGATAACTGACAGGATTGGAATCTAGACTACCAGCAACGGGTGTTCCATATGGTTTGCGAGCAGCATGAATCCGACAGGAAGGCTAAGACGACCGCAGAAAGCGAGAACGGGGAGAAGGGCACATCAATCATGGTAGAGATGGCGGCCTAGTACCACTCAGTCTCAATCAATGTGTTTTCGCTTGCGCCCAATGTTACCAAAGGTGTAACGAGGATCATTATCTTGTACTTGCCAAGCCAGCACAGATAGGTATGACATGTGGCGGTTCTTGATATCTGCAATCACGACGAAAGATATCATACCCAGTGAGAACCATCCTACATCAGACAAATATGCAATGAGAAACAGTGACTGGAAATTACAACCTAATCGGGAAATACAGTGGGGAGGGGGTGCAGTTTACGCTTCTAGGGCGAAGTGTGTTTTGTGGAGACAGGGCACTTGGGCCTCTGCATCAGAAGTATATCAACGTCGGCCCCAACAACCGCGTCGTAGAGAACACAGACACTGGACTATTCAAAAAATAAAAGTGAGATTCAACTGAATGGACTCTACCGATCAAACACTCTTTTTTTCACCTGGCTCGGTCCTAGTAGCCTTCCTGACCGTGGCCTTTTTGATACGCCAAGCATGGCCTCGCTTCGTTGATTTAAAATTTGTCAAGTGTCAGACTAATTCTGCTCCAGTATCAAGTCTGAGCGTTTTGAAAGAACCTGAGATTCCCGAAGGCTGGTTGGGTGACAGTGGTATCTTTGAGTTGGAACGCCGCGCGATCTTTAGCCAAGTACTACGCATGCCATCTATGAGTTATGTACATCTGACATGATGGTCTAGGCATGGATATACCTAGCTCACAACACGCAACTCACAAAGCCTGGCATGTACCAATCTTTCGACATTGCTGGTTTCCCGGTGTTTGTGATTCGAGGAAAGGATGGAGAAATCCGTGCATTCCATAATGTCTGTCGCCATCGCGCCTACACAATTACCAGGAAGGAGACTGGTGCATCAACCGTTCTTGGCTGTCGGTATCACGGATGGAGCTATGATACAACCGGATGGCTTGTGAAAGCCCCTCAATTTGACCAGGTCCCCGGGTTCGACAAGTCACAGAATAGCCTCTTTGAAATTCACACACATACTACCAAACAGGGTCTGATCCTCGTGAACCTGAATACCGAGAAGCCAACAAACCTGGACGATGAGGCCGTTTCAACATTGGATGCTTTTTTCCAGACCTCTGGCTGGCAGCAGAACTCAATCTGGGTTGCTGGTCAAACCGTGAGTGGTGACTTCAATTGGAAATCACCAAGTGAGTACAGAACCTAGTATTTGAAACCTTTGCCTAATCCTTGAAAAGTGGATATATCGCGCCTAGAAGCTTTTGCTACAGATTTGGGGAACAGCTTACCTCGGTCATCTAGTCTTTCGACCTTGAAAATGGCACTGAGGCGTATCCTTAAAGCAAGCCCATCGACCAACCGCTTCCACTTTCCGACTGCATTCTTTCATCATGTCATTCATACAGACTTCTTGATTGCTCTTTCCTTATTTCCTACATCAGCGGAGAAAACAAATATTCGATGTGATATATTCTCGTCCTCCCCCATCGCCCAAAAGGAAAGGGAGGCCATATCAGAAACCCTTGGGAGTGGCTTGAAGAGATTCAATCAAGAAATTGAAGATGAGTTTCAAATTCTTTCCAAAAGAGAATGGTGTGCCCTTTGCCTTCAACCTGCAGCCTATTGAGCCTAACATGTGATTATAGCAATACACTTGAGCTTAAAGACCAAGGTATGTGTCAGGTGGCATTATGAAGCTCGGAAATTGATGAAAGCACTTAGTTACTCGAGAAACGCTTCGCCGAGTTCATGAACACAGAAAACTTGAACGAACACATGGCAGCAAGATACATCCAGCAATGCGGGAGCCAAAAGGAAGCAACTTATTCCAACAGGCCGAAAAGTGTCAGTTGAGTGGGGAAACACTTTTTATCATGCAACCTCGAAACTGACACAGTCTTAGTGTGCAAGGAACTGGACTGTATGAGTGGCATATCTCAAAACAGCAACTCGCCAGATGTACTTGATTGGTGAATCTTCTAGATTCAGTTCATTATGTCCCATTCTCCATGAAGGATATTACTTGGAAAGAGCTAGTTGTATAGATGCTCAGGTGGGATACTGATCGGGTCAACAGAGCAACCTGGGCATTTCACAGGGCTTCTGTCAAGCGTATGGCCAATGGGACATGAGAAATACATTGAACTGAAAAGAATGACATGAATAAAGCCTGCAGCGAAGGCACCTGAGACAAACAAGCAAGAACGGAAGAAAAACAAAAAAACAGGCAGCTCATATCTATCAGCTAAGCGAAAGAAATTCATCGGTGTACATCGCGTCAAAGAAACCTTCCTCGAGCGCCTGCGCTCTTGACCTCCAGAGGTAGCCCACTAGCCGACTCAAATCGTTATTTACCTCATATCCGTCTCTCTCCGGCGTATACTCTTGGTGACCATGTTATTCGAATCCTTCGTCCTCCCAAGAGCGGTATCTCTTGTACGGCTCTGAGACCGAATGGAAGGTGTTTTCTTCCTCTGTACAGCCTTAGTTCGATGCAAACCCGTCTTACTGGAAACAGTCACCCCGCTCAGTCTATTCAATGTAGTACGATCATCGTCGTCGTCATCACTCTCAAGTCCGAGCCTAGTTGTTCTGGGACCCCGTCGCCTGCGACTTGAATTACTGCGCGTGCGTCGCGTCTCAGTTCCCATGCTGTGCTTCAAAACACTGACGCCGTTATCGTGTGCATATGCCTCCAGCGCAAGGTGCCAGCTACTTCCTGGCCATGCCCCTGGGAGTCGTCGCACAAGCGCCTGCATTTTATATACCTGCTGGCGCTCGATGTCAACCGGGGCGGAGTCTTCGATGTCTCCTGTGGACGTGAGCTCCTTGTGTCGGACAAGACGTGCGGCGATCTCTGTACCGCAAATTTTGCCATACTCGAGGGTGAGCGCTTCCTTTGGCATGTGGTCGAGGATGATGGAGAAGATCTCAGTGCTAGTTAGACAGGAACTCCTGGCTGCATTGAGCAAGGCGTGACCTGGGGGCCCATCCTCCCACTGAGACAACGTAGGGTCACTGTTTTTGCAAAGCCAAGCGATGGCGCCTGGCTGGTCGAACCTTGCGGCATACATCAGTGCAGTTTCGTTCTCTTGGTTCCGGTTACTGGCTGTAAGAGAGGAGAACTTGCTGAGCCACTCGATCATGGAATGGGCTTTGGGATTGAAGGCTGCTGCCATGTGCCAGGAGCCATCGAGCTGGCCACCGAGTGGGTGGTGCTGGTGTTCGACGTTACCAATATTGATCCCCTTCGCATATAGAGCTGCTGCGACGGATGGTGGCGCTATAGCGCATAGTTCGTGCATTGCCGCTGCATGGAAAACTTTCTGAAGCTGTGAGTTTCCCATAACACCTGACCTGACCATTTTGTCAAGAGCGACTTCAAATGCTTCAAAGGCATGTGCTCCAGCGAGGGCGAGAAGAATATGGTTTCCGGTTGAATCGGGTTCGCGGACATCGGTGGGCTTGAGCATATCCTGTGGCTCCATGTTGGCGGCAACGACGGCGAGCAATTCAACGTTGTTACCCTTGAACCCTGCTTCTAACCAATTTCGTCCTGATAAATCATAGCCATTGATGGTGACAAATGCTTCCTCGCAAAGAAAGCCAAGACACTTATGACATTTCAATGCCGCGTCGTAGGCTGGGTTTGTTTTGAAAGGATGGTTATCCTTCTCTCTTGGCCAATTCTTGACTTTTTCAAGGTTTTTCACAGCATCCTCATAGCTGTTGTAAGATCTGATCATTGAAGTGAATAAATCTCTTGTTTCACTCTTCTCTAGCCAAGCTTCGGTTTTTTCTTTGAGCGGGGCGTCCTCCTCGATCAGTTGATGTATGGCATGGATTTTACTCTCCTCCATGTATCGAACACCCAAGGAAAATCCTACAAACCTGTCGAGGATTTTGTCGATGGTCTTTTGATTGAGACTCGGTAAGTTCAACCTGGTGGCCCAGTCAATTTGCTGCTTTGCTGTCCTTTCCCCGATTGACTTGCCGCTGCTCACGTTGAAATGGTGAGTGGCCACATTCCCACTCGTCAATCGATCGAAAATGACCCCCCAGACAGGAAGGGTCCAGGCGTCAGTATTTTCTGGAGCAGGGCCGAAGACGTGCATTGTGAATTTCAAGTTGCTCTCCCAGATGGTGTATATTTTCGGTGACCTGAAGACACCCCCGGGGCCAGGACCTGGGATGACTTATAGCCTTTCCCATACTGCTCATGGTCCAAATCCCGAGTATCTGTTCTTTGTCACTCTGACTTTAAAGGTCAAAGGAACTATATATAGATCGAGTAATGCCAGTATGTCTTTTGAAACTAAGTTGAGTCCCCAGTACCAAGGTCGCCCGCGACCGAGCGCTTTCTCTTCCCCCCTCTTTCTCGGCGTGAAACGTCGACGCTCATTTTCTAGCCCAATGCTTCAGTTCAAGTAGTCTCGTCGATGTGCTTTTATTTAGTGAGTTATTAGAGATCCACCATTAAAAAACAATTTCTTGGATGAAGATACTTCTTCCCCTCCGAAACAAGAGAGACTTGAATAGCTGTGTCTTCTCAACAAAGAGAACCACAGCCTTCCGATCGCAAAGAAACAATATCTCTGGAAACACATTTTCTTATTCTTTCATTCAACCCTATTGAATGAGATATCTTTCGCAAAATCAGCCTGACGCCCAGGGTACATGCAAAGTTGGGAAAAGAATCGTTTGTGAACACGGCGCGGCCTACATATATCTACCCCACACTGGGCCTACCAACATCACATAGTATATTTCCAAGGGTTTCAATTTTTCCCAAGTTCTTTGAAGCGAAAAGTTAAGCGAGCCTCGGGAGACTTCCAAGTTCCAAGTTTTGTCAGTGTTTTCGGTGCAAAATTTGATGTCAACGAAAAGTTCTCTTTCTTTCTTTCTTTCTTTTCTTTCTTTTCTTTTTTTTCTTTTTTTTCTTTTTTTTCAGGGTGCCGACTTCGGGATGCCTATCGGCTTGCCGCGGTCGGGAATCTAGGGGGTTTTATTAGTGCCCCAGACCCTTATCGCAGTGATGATTGTTAACATCGAGATGATCGAAAATTATCATGAGCCGTCAAATGATTTGAGCGGGTGGTTCTCATGCGAGACCTGAAATAGATAAACAAAGAGGACAATTGCCAGACAGCCCACGAGGTAAAGATACGCAGAGCTCCTCAATCTTCAACGGCATGGTTCTATGGTCCGGAGGTCTGCAAGTCCCTCATCTTAGAAAATGCTAGTTCGGCTCGACCCCTGACCTGTGAGTCAAGATCGTCCGAATTCGCACTCATCTCGAAACCTTGCTTCCAATCATTCCATTTTTGCAACTCAAATCCGCTGGGTTGGTTACTACCAGAGCTTTGTAATGACCACAGATAGATCTCATCACCCAAAATGTCTATCCAAGCTGCCGCTGCAGGGATATGGTAAACCTTTTCGTTGGGATCAACACCTGAGCCGAATGCCCTGCTCAAAGTTCGTAAGGCGTAATCTTCAAGTGACGCAGCGTGGGATTGTGTTAGATGGGCAACGAAGGTGTTCAAAGAAACCCATTCCTCGACACACTGGTCCATCCCTTTACTCGAGCTGGGATTGTCTGGTCCTAATAAGACACGCTTTAGATCGATTGATTGCGATTCGGAATAGGGGGTTTTCAGACATACCATTCCATCGTTCTCGCGTGTTCGAGGCAAGTTGAAGCTCGAGCTTCCTGCTCAAGGGACCCGGCAGGTTGTCGACCAACGAATGTATGATCTCTGCAAGATCAGTACTCGATAACGGCGAGGATAAAGCTGCTTCGAATATAACGGCAAGTAAGTCTTCCAGTGCTCCCTCGGGATTCTGCTTCGACTCAAGTATCTTTATAATGGCCGATGCAACCGCAGCAGGGCTTGTTGTGGATGTGCTGGTAGACTTGGACTCGGGAAGTCCCTTCAATTCAGATGTGACTTCGTCCAGAAATTGTAGAGACTGTTTCGTGTCGGGCTCAGTTCCAAAATCATCGACCCAGCTCTGGAGATATTTCGCCGTCCATGCATCCATCTCGAATGAGTCTGTCCAAGGGGGGCGTAAAAGGCTTAGAAAATCAGTCCGTGAATCGAGTTGACTGTTGAATAACAACGTGGGCTCTGCTGTAAAAGTATCAAATGAAACCTGTCGAAGATGAGGATGAGTTGAATGGAAAGAGAAGAAAGGAACCTTGGAAGTAATGTATCTACCTGTCAAGGTCAAGCATGAAGGCGGTCAACCACCTGAGCGTCTTTAAATCATCACCACCAGGGGGCCAGCATTGCGTCACTCGATGAAATACAAACCGGATTGTATTGAGGCGGAGATGCTTGGCGGCTGATTTGGAAATCCCGCAGGGGGCCAAGTTGGCGGCTCAAATTTAGGGCTGACATACACTAAACCTGATATTCAGTTCGTGCGGTAAGGAGATGGAAATACAAACGTGCAGTCCTAGAATTCTGATACTTGTTGATAGGAACTATGGGGAAAAAGGCGAATACATAAAGACAAAGATATCAAGCAGAGTATGCAGGTAGACACCCTTCTGCAAGTTGCATGAGTCTACCGGGGTGTCTAGAACTTCACAGGTACAGCCGCAGACAATGCATTAGCATATTGCAACGTCGGGCTAGACCCGAAAGATTCTAGTTTGTACCATGATCTTCTAACATGCTGAATATCAGGCTTGAATTAATCTTCATACCGCTCTACAGTGCCGTCTTGTTCCAACGATTTCCTCTTTCTAGCTCAGTGCCATCATATATGAACCTTGGAAATTGAATGAAGAAAACATTTCGGTACAATAACTGTGCCGATCATTGTAGTATACAAAGTACTGTGAAGTTATATCCAACCGTTCTTTTTTCCACTTTGCTGCTGCCTGATGAAATCTGGATGTTGTTCATCAGGTGCACCATGCTTCTGGCCCCCTGGGGCAGAGAATGGAGTCCAGTCCAGCGTTTCACAGAAGCATGGAACATCGAAATCCACACTTCAGCTCTTCTACTAGTGCGGGTCCTACAAGCTCCATTCATCGAATTATACTGCGAAGACTCAGATTTCGGGCCATGCTAAGATCCTGAGTGATTTTTGATGAAAGCCAACGCCGAATTCGAAAGGCAGCCTGTCCCAAACATTATGTCCCAGTGTTGATTAGACCAATGTATAATGGGTGAAAAGATCCTTTTGAGGCGGGATGAGCCTAGATACACCCTTCAATCCTCGTTCAATAAGTCGCGCCTCACAAAAGCATTCTGCACAGTAGGACGATGAGAGATTTTTCGAGACATCTTTTGGCCAATTCTGTACTATTTCCATGCACAACTGATGTAACTTGCTGGCCCCATGTTGGCCCCAATGCAAGGAAAAAGTGGTTTCTGGTATCAGATGGTCTTCTTGGCTCTCTTGGCTTTATCAGTCTCGACTGCTGGGCAGCATATAAAGATGCACTCAAATCTTGGAAAAGTTGACAGAACCAAAGTGGCTTTGGATTATCCGTTCGAGCATCAAGCCTATTTCCGATCAATCTAGACCATCAACGATGAAGCTGACTATGTTGCTCTCTTCCCTTGGCCTTTTGGCAGCTGGAGCTTTTGCTTTCCCCGTCGAAACTCTTGAATTCCGAGTGCCCGATGGAAACGACAATCTTTTGGTCTCTCGTGACAATGGCCTAAAATGCGCAGACCGTATGTTCTCTGTAGATTATTTGGGCTAGTTCATTTTCTAAAAACAGGAATTTAAACTGAATCCTCTTATGCAGACCAATACAGCTCTGGCAGCATGAGTGATGCGCTCAGTGCTGGCCTCAACCATGTCTCAGGAGGTACCACGATCAGAAGCAGAGAAGGAAGTAAGTTACTCTCCACATTGAAAGGAAAGCAAAGCGAAGCCATTTATCTGACATGCAATACTTCATCAGACCGATACCCATACCGTTTCCTGAACAAAGATAAAGATGGAAATGACGAAGTCGACTTGCCCGGTGATAGTCTCTGTGCCCAGGACGGGGCTGACAAGTATGAGTGGCCTATTCTTCGGAATGGCAACATCTTTGGTTCCCAAGGAAACAAGCGATCTGGTGAAGATCGAGTCATTTTTGCAACTTATGATCCTCCTGGTGATGCGCAGCAGGTTGAGGCTTTCTGCGCTCTTGTCACGCATGAGGGTGCTAGCCGTCCAGGGGGCTTCACTGAATGCACCTAATGCTCGAAGCTGCACCAGAATGTATCAACTGAGTGGCATCAGACCACGCAGCTGGAAGTGAAGGTCAGGCAGAGCCCACGGGTCTCGTCACAATCGACCTCGGGTGTTATGTATGTAGGGGCTGAACATGATATGAACTCTTGATTGTTCTTGTGGTGATAGTCGGTCACAAGCGCACCGACATATCAGATCACCATTTCGAAGTTCTTTGAAAATTTCCTGACCATCTTTCCTCCTCGCGCTCCCTAGTAATCTCCAGTGATTTGGGGTATGTCAGATTGAAGAGTCTCTCAGCTTAGGAGAGAGACTCCAAGGTACATGTCATTCATGGTCAGCGAGGTGTCATAGAAGTGTGTATGAAAAAAGACTACGAGTGTGGAGAAAGAGACGGGGGCTATGGGAGGCCTTAGTCGGGAGGTGTGGCTCCGGGTGTGCCCAGGTGGAGTATAGGCACAGCGATCACGAACAATCCATGGATGTGCCCCGGGGTGGGGTTGAGCCATAGCCCGGACTCCCCAAGGATTGCCCAGGGGCCCCGATGATTGTCGCCGATCATATCCCGAGGTTCCCCAGTAGACACTCTATCACCATAGTTTCTGATGGGCGCACAACACAATGCCATCATGGCACATTCAACTGATATGACGATTTGGACCCCACGGGGGCCAAATTTGCGGATCCAGCCGTGCCAACGTTGATGTCATATCGCAGACCCACTGTAGTCGCGGGCTTGGAATTGCCCCCTGGTGTCCATCCGTGGTCGCTCCAGTCGACACCCGTTACTCGAATGTTTTTGGGTGCTCTATAGGATATCGATCTAGGCCTTTTTCTGAAATGAACAAGGTGATTCCACAATTCTGCCCTCAACATAACACATTGTATTCCAACATGTGCCCCTGTGGGGCCCCGACAACACTAGCCTCAATGCAGCTATTTAATGGCCATCATCCTTCGACAGGTCAATCACCACTGATCGGCATCCGCATCCGCAAAGGCACTTCCAGCAGCGATTTGATCATACCAAATCTGCCTTGTTCCCTGCGTGCCCTTCATCCCATTGTCATCATGCCATCCATTAGCATAAAGTCCGACCCGGAACTGGAACGCTCGATCATCATCAATCGTAGTGGCAAGGCCACTCTTATCCAGCACATTCTTTCCATCCAACCAAAGCGTGTAAACACCCGTACCATCCGATTTCCAGGTGGCCTGAATTTCGATCTTGTGCCACTCTCCAGCAGAGATGGTGGCCAGCTTGGGGAAAGTCTGGGTTTTCTGTGCACAGATGTTCCCTTGTTTGACACGTGTGTAGAGCTGGTCACCCACAATCCAGATCATACTGGAAGGCATGTAGTCATCGCAGCCGGTGTCGCCGAAATCGGCGATGAATTGAGCGATGTTGTACGATTGGGCTGGGGAGAATTGCCAGTTCTCCTGCAGACGGAACGTGAAGCCATAATAGCCAGTGTCGCCGCGTTTGTAGACATTGTTCTTGACGACTTCAGAATGGTATCGTCCGCTGTAGCTCGAGTCGTAGACCTGGGTCATCTTCAGGGCCGTAGAGCCCTTGTAGACCACATTGGTCACTTGTTGCACGGTGCCAGAGTGCTCTTTGTTGGTCGAATCCCAACCCGAGGTGGTTCCGGTGTTCTGAAAAATTTGTGTTGCGGAGGCTGTGAGGCTGAGGACCAGCAGCGCTGCTGCTGATAGGGTTCGAAACATCGTGGATGAGAGATACTAGTCTGTTGTGTGTCCCCTTTACCCAGCAGATTGAGGGTTTTTATATCTTGCCGCGGTCCTTCGCACTCTAACAAGCTTCGGAGTGGGGGGAAACATGCTCACGATGTCTGCTGGCTCGCTGGGTTCTGATGTTTCGAAAGTCGAGAGGATATTCCTAAAGGGGATCGAACTTGAGGCCCTGGATCTGGTAGTGCGCTGTCAGGAACGGACATTCCGCCGTGAAAGGTGGCATCGAAGGGGTGGAAATATCATCAGTTGTTTGTTATTGGCCCCAAACCCGGGGTCAAGCTGCAGTTTGGAGAGCCTGACCCGCAATCCTGCAGATCATGCTAGCGCCAGTGTTTGACCAGCTCCCACGGTGTTACATCGTGAGGTTGCGGAGCAGAAAGAGCGTACCGAACTTCCCTCGGTAAATAGCTCTGCTTTGATGTGGACGCAAGGTATCAAGTTGTTCAAAAAGGGAGGGAAGACCGCCATGAAGAGTGATGCAGTGGTCACGAGGGGTACTCGCAGGACGGGCCAGCCCAGCTGCGGATCAAATGTGAGCTGTGCTGCGATTTCCGAGCTTGTTGATTCTCGCCATTCCGTCTCTTCTATACACTCAACCACCTTGGATTTGGTTCCGTCGACCTGGACTCGTTCTTCACTGGTATGGAACAGTGCATATCCGCACTCTAATTGGACGTTGACAAATCTGACTAAACTTGCAATGATACCAGTTGGCCATCTGGGCCTATTCCCGACGTCTCAGCAATTGTCGAGTATGATGTGAGAAAGACATCCATGGACCTCCTCGCGCGGCCTCATGATATCAGTGAGGAAGATCCCCCACCTCTTCCGCCCCAATGTTGCGCCCCCATATTCCGCCCCCATCGGCTCTGCATAACTGACAATCACGACGCGAGACATTTGACGATAAACACTCTAGGAAGATAAATCTTCTCCACATTTGAGTGCACATGCCAGACTTAATGGCGGAGACCCACAACATAGTTGGGGGTCGAAATAAAATAATTGGGGGCGAGAACATAAGGCGATGAAAGGATTTATCTTTCAATGTTGAAGTGGCCTGAATGAAATTGCTGAAACGGCCTGCTGCTTCAGAATGAAATTCCAGCAGAACAGCGCCGAACTCCGTACTATGGCGAGCTGTAGACTGAGAATGCATAGAGTTCACAATGCAATAGTGGACCCGACGCCGTCGTGGATCATTCCATGCAGACTATTGCGAGGCGAGCTGCTGATTGGAGAGGGTTCGTGCCACCTTACACCTTGCTGATTTGGGGGCCCAAATAGCAATGATTAAAATCGCAAGTCTTTCTGCGAATTTCCTCTCTTCCTTCACACCTTTGAGATCGACTGGGGTCGGGTTCTTTGTTTAATCCAGCCACACCCGCGCTAATTTTACAACAAAGAACTACAAGTTCCCCCTTGTCGATAAACAGTGAAAGGGTCCACGGGTACGTTGAAACCGATTTTGGCTCGAGGTTCGAGTCTCCAGTCTCCAGTCTAGTATCGCACCATGCTGAGAAAAGCCAAGGACTCATCCATGGATGGGAACTATGCTATGAGAGTAGAGAGATTAGCAGGACTACAAGATGATATCCTCCCAATTGCTGCAACCGCTGCGGCCTCGTCGCAAGCAATCGACTAGTGAAGCGAAACCGCCACATGAGCTGCAACTAAACCTGCAACGCCGGTTGTCCAAGGCGAGACAAGACCTGATAGCTGTGCGCGGTCATGAATCCAGTTTCCCCGAGGAAGATCCACATACAATGCCAGTGCAGATCGCGGAAGCCACCCAGGGGCCGATGGAATGGGTCCCAGGACCCCCTGCACGACACATGGCTCCCGGGATTAAAGAAACGAAAGAATCGCAAGCCCAATCAGAGGATACAGATCTCAAAGAGGAGGAGGTGGCGTTCGGGGAGTTCGGGGACAGTCGATGTCCCTCCCCGCAGGAATCAAGTATCATTGACTTGGATTCACTCCTGGATTTCAGTGATTCTGAAATTTCCTCATTGTCCGACAGAAACTCCCTGCGATCTGCATCTCGCCTGGCCCGCTTCTTTCCCGAGCTTTCTTCGCACTTCTCCGTCGTCTCCCCGGTCAGCGCAGATCGAAACATGGAGGAACCAGGCCCCACGCTCTTCGAACGAGAGCTCGAAGAACGAGTCATGATCCTGTATCGTCGCTCGCTGGAGGTGGATACTGAAAATCAGCAGCCTGCACATCTATTCCCCCAGTCGGAGGGAGTGGACGCGTCTTCGTCTTGCTATAGTCGGCGCACTTCCGTGACTACCCTGGGGACCGAGTTCTGGGGTGATGATGGGCAATATCCACACAAGTCTCCCGACGCATACTCAATTCGCTCGCCCGCTTCGGTGGGAGTCTTTGATGACATCGCTTCAATGTCCCGGCGATCCTCCACCGTGCCGCCGTACACCCTGCACATGCCCCTGCACGAACGCACACCCACCAAGCCGATCTCAATGACCGATCTCAAGAACAAACCGTTACCCCTTGAGCCAGGGTACAGCGACTCCGAATCGACGAATCGCTGGAGTGGCTCTTCTCGCTCCACGGACTCAGCGCGCTTCCGGCCGCACGTGCCAACATCCTCCCAGGATCTCTCGGTGTCGCCATTGCACCCCGCCTCCCCAGCCAGTCATAATGAATGGAAAAGTTCCATGGCACAGAAGATGGGCTCGCATCGACAGCCTGGGCACGCGTGGTTCGGTTCCGAGTACAATGGCGATCAACTGCCTCCTCGCATGGGTCGGCAAGGGGAAGCCGACCGACAAATCAATGCTCTGCGGAGGCAACACGCTCCAACCTTGTCGCAGGCGACGAAAGAACTCGAAGGAACACTCGCGGGACTGGCGGATAAGGAATCCCCACGCAAGCAGTCAGATGGACCCGTTCAGGTCAGCCGCAATAAGGGGAACTGGATCTCGACCCGCCGGGCGCCCCTCCCGCCATCGCAACCTTCAGAGACCCGCCTCACGCCCAAGAAGGGAAAGGGGAAAACGGACAGTCGTTCGGTTCAGCCAAGTCTCAGTCCAACCAAGACAAGTCTCAAGAATTCACCGCAAAAAGTAAAGGAGCAAAAATCCAAAGAAAAACATGACGCGAAGGCCAGTGTCAATTCGGACGATGGGAAGAAAGTGAAGAAGAAATCATTTCTGGCGCCGTTTCGCAAGGGCCAAGTCCGCGTTAGCGCCCGGTCGGAAAGCCAATCCCACATGACGTCCGAGTTGGAACCGCAGGAAGACATCACCACCGAACTTCTCGAGCGTGTCGTGGAACACTTTTTTAGTGGCCCGAAAGCGGGACGAGCCGAAGGACAAGCCCGCGATAAAATGCGCCAGAGTTACGCGCTCGTCTCAACGGCCCAGGCGAGCAGTCTTCAGCTCACAGAGCAGATTTACGAACTTCCTGCTGAGCCAGATCGTCCTGAACCAGTGATCGCCCCGTCGGTGATTCCCACCCATAACAATGAACAGTCCAGTCTTCCGGCCGATATGCCGTTGTTTTTGATCCTGTCGATCATGGAGAAGATTGACTCGCTGGATGATCTGTTCAATTTCGTCCTTGTCAACAAGAGAATCTATTCCGCATTCAAACGTCGCGAGTTGCCACTCATCAAAAATGCCCTGTTCAAAATGTCCCCGCCAGCATGGGAGTTGCGGGAAATGAGTCCCCCGTGGGAGATGGAGTGGCAACCTCTTGTGGATCCCGACTCCCGAGTCCCCGAGTACACGCCCACATTGTACCTACAGCGATACGCGCAAGATATCTTTACTCTGGCGAAATTGAAAGCGCTTATTCTTGCGCGCTGTGCCCCCTTCCTGCGTCGTGAGACCGTGCGTGGCTTGGCCGGTGTGGATAACCAGCGCGCAGAAGAAGTCGACGACGCTTTCTGGCGCGTCTGGACATTCTGCCGTATCTTCGGCAGTGGAAAGAGACGCGAAAATGACCTGGCTGGTCAGATGGATTGGTTGAAAGGGGGTTGCCAAGCGAAGAAATATTCCGACCCGGTCTCAACTATGACACAGCCGTTCGGAATTAACAACGTTCTGTTCGAGCCACCTGAGGGCTTCGGTCGAGGGAATCTATCCGGTCTCTCGCAGACACAGATGTACGACATGACCGAAATTTGGACCTGCATGGGTGTCCTACTCCAACCGATGCACGGGAAGTGCATTGAAGCGCGCAAAGTCGGTATCTTCGATAACATGGATGTTCCTGATAACGACGCAGTGCGCGAAGAGATTGCTCTAGGTAAGGCAAGATGATAACGATCCATGATCATCGCTAACCCACACTAGAAGAATGGACCTCCTACATCCTCACACTGGGGCTCGGCGCCGTGATGGCCCTAAGCTCCGTCTGTCAGACCGATACCACGGCCGCGAAGTTCGCAAGAGCCCAGTCAATAGGACTGACGAAATGGGAAGTGGCAGAGACAGAGGCCAGCCGCTCCTCATTTCTCAAGGAAGCAATCTCACGGGCCTACGAAATCCAAGAACGCGACTCTAGTCCAGCAAAGCTCAGCCCCTCTCATTACTTGAGTCCTGTACGCGCCAGTCGAGAGCGTCAAACTGCTTTTGCAAAGGAGATTCGTCAGCGACGTGCCCGTGGTCTTCCAGAGCCAGAAGGCGCACTCTCTTTCGCGGACGAGCGTCCAATGTCGGAGTATAGCACCATCCTCCGCAACTTGGATGGAAGGGACCAGCAGGTACCACCAGTGCCTACACTGGTACTTGATCGCTCGTCCTCGACAACCTCGATCACAGAAGAGCCACGCACGCCTGTTGAGACGGGTTGCGATGCACCCTTGGTGTACTCGCGAAGTCCCCCTCTTTGCCGGTCGCCTCCTCCGAGCTTCCCCTTATATTCTCCACCGCCTCCCGCTCACTGGCCTGCTCATCGACCGCAGGTTCTTGACCCAGTCGATCGGGCCATCGATATGATTGTCAATGAGCTGGGTTTCGCTACCGAAGATGCCAAGTGGGCTTTGAAGATCACAGATACTGGTGAAGGGATTGACGCCGAGGCGGCAGTCCAGTTGTTGAAGAAGCAGAAGAAGAAGAATGAGCGCAACCCGTTTGGCAAGAGAGATAGCCTGCTTTCGTCTGTTATCAAGAGACAGAAATCTCATGAGTCTGGGTGGCGGTGGGCATGAAAGGGATGATGACCTCGGACGATGATGTTTATATGTTGATGTTGATGTTGATGTTCACGTTATCCACGCGTTGCCTGTCTTTGAGTTTGTACCACACGATCATTTTGTGCTATATACCCTTGTCGATTTATTCAACTGTCCCTTGCTTCCAATGTTCAATTAGCTTCCAAGTTGCATCAAAAATCGATTTTCTACCTATTCCACTTTCTTTCCATGAACAATCGTACGCAGAAATCAAGTGAAATCGAGCCTGTGGAGGCATCGGAACTTTAAGTAACCAGCATCGAAGTTGAGTCGGCCAAGGCTAAGAACATCTGTCACGGTTAAGAAAGGCCCAAAAATACACGTTCCAGGAGGTGTGCACCTTTTTGGTTTAGTGGTTAAAAACGTTGGTTTTTGAGGTCACAACATCTCATGGTCTCGAGGCGTTGGAAGACATAACCAGTCACGTGCAGTTACCCAGAGTCAGGCCAACATTCCCACTTTCAGGCATCATATACCAAGCTCGGGAGCCCTCGACGATGGACTCTGTAATAACGACTTCCATGGCTCTGACGGTCGAGCATTTCGTTCTTCTTTCATTTTCAAAGTAGACCTCGGAATGTATTCATGTCAGGGCCTAAAGCAGGAACTGCTCTTTCGGTAGCATGTTTGCCAGTCTGAGCGATACGGATGGCTTAGACTATTAGTATTTGTGTTGAACCTTGGACCTAAAAATGACATCTGCTAGGCAAAGTGCACCAATGTTTAATCCCAAGAGAGGTGACCACAACCCAAACTAGTCCAAGGGCTAAGCTTCCGGAGAGACCGACAAACAGAAAAAAGTTGAGCCTTGCGGGGTAGTGAATCCTCCCCACTTCAACACCGCAGTCTCTTTAGATTCACAAGATGGGAATTATCACAGCTCCATTTGGCCAGTGGCAAAGCCCTATCAGCTCGACTCTGCTGGGTGCCGATGGCGTCCAGCTTGAGTCCATCGCAGTAAGTTTGCCGATCGGTCCCGCGATCGCGTGTTGACAGTCTCCACAGACATCCAATGGGAAGATTTATGTCATTGAAGGTCGACCCAAGGAGCAAGGAAGAGGTTGCATCGTTGAGTACACTGGTAAAGAGGGACGCGATATTCTGCCAGCGAAGTACGCTATCTTCATCCGCAAATTATCTCATTTGCTGATCCCCTGTCGCCAGATATAATGCGTCCAACAAGATTCATGAGTACGGAGGCGCGTCTATGATTGCCTTCAATGAGCAAATCATCTTCACCGACAGTGCATCGCAGGATTTACACAAATTGGACCCTTCAACTGGTGATGTCGAGCGCATTACCAACACTGGCGCGACTCTGCGCTACGTGTGTACCGCCGCTATCAGCACTTCAGCCGGCAACAACGTCGAGCCAGCATGGCTTCTGGCAATCGAGGAAGATCACAGCAAGCCGTCGCCATCTGAAGTTCAAAATCGCCTGGTGGCCGTGAATTTGCAAAACAAGGAAATCGTCAACGTCGCCTCCGGTGACGACTTCTACAGCGCTGCGCAATTCTCACCTGACGGGAGCCGAATTTGCTGGAACCAATGGTCTCATCCTGACATGCCCTGGACGGGAGCTCGCGCATATGTGGCCAACTGGAACAACGGTCAGGTCACTGATGTGAAGCTCGTCGCCGGCGTGCCTGAGAAGGAGAGTGTTTCTCAGCCGCGGTGGGGTGCCGATAACACCTTGTACTTCACGAGTGATCGCACGGGCACTTGGCAGCTGTATCGCACTAACGTTGAGAACCTGGAAACAAAGAAGCTGGAGCTCCATGGTCTCGAAGATGCAGAGTTTTCGCAACCGGATTGGCGTCTTGGAAAGTATGCTCGAACCCACCATGACTGTAACTGAGATTGCGTATACTGATCGTCTGCAGCTGCACATATGTTGCGCTCACTTCCAACTCGATGCTCGCGTCCTACAACAAGAAAACTCGCTGGACATTCATTCTGATCGACCTCACCACGGACACCTGGAAAGATCTCAATGTCCCAGTGACAGACTCAATCATCATCGCGGATACCCCAATCTCAGACTCAAAGGTTGCCCTCCTCGGGTCCAGTGAGACAAACTTCAGCACATTGTTCACACTGGACATTTCCGAGCAAGTCCAGCTCACTGCGATAAAAGCCGCATCAGACTTCGCAATGCCTGATTCCTTGATCTCGCGCCCGGAGCACATCTCTTTCCCCAGAGTTCACGGTACCAATCTCGAGGGGGAGTCGCATGCGATCTACTACCCTCCCCAAAATCCAGACTACCAAGCACCCTCTGGGACTTTGCCTCCTTTGATTGTTTGTGTTCACGGTGGACCGACCTCCATGACTGGATCTGGTCTCAATGTCACTGACCAGTATTGGACATCTCGTGGTTATGCCGTCGTCTGGGTGAACTACGGAGGGAGCTCTGGATACGGCAGAGCATACCGGGATTCATTGAATGGACAATGGGGTACGTTGCCGTCCGTACTTAACCCAAGAGATGTACTTTCATGCTGACCAACCCCATCAGGTCTCCTCGACACCGCCGATGCAGCCAGTTGCGTGTCGCATCTCACCTCCACCGGAAAGGCAGACAAGAACGGAGTCGGGATCCGTGGCGGCAGCGCCGGCGGCTACATCGTCCTCCAGGCTCTTTGTGACTACCCCGACATTTTCTCCGGCGGTGCCTCGTTGTACGGAATTGGGAACGTTCGGACTCTCTGCGAGGACACTCACAAATTTGAGAGCCAATACGCGTTCGCGTTGTTGTTCGAGCCGGGCACGGATGAAGCCGGGAAGAACCGCATTTTCTTGGAACGTAGCCCTTGCTACAAAGCTGACAAGATCACAGCGCCCTTACTGTTCCTCCAGGGAGACGAGGATCGCGTTGTTCCCCTAAACCAGGCCGAGGAAATGGTCGCAGAGATGAAAAAGGCGGGTCGCGAGTCGAAGTTGGTGGTATTCAAGGGCGAAGGTCATGGATTCCGACGGGCGGAGAATCGCATTGATGCAGTGGAACAAGAAGAAGCGTGGTGGAAGAAAGCTCTATTGAAGCTATAGGAAGGTACATAGGCCTCTGTGGTCTACGTGTCGGATTTGGGGTCTGGAATTCGGGAACTTCTCGGGCGCCCAGGAGAGTTGTCGGGCCTGGCAGATATTCTACGGTGTACTCCGTCTGACTCGTTCTGCGCCTAAAAAGGTCCACTTATGCGCACTGAGCGCACTGTTTCCTATATCTTCCGCCGTGGAATTGATAACTGTTTCGTAACATAAACTGGATGATATCGTCATTGTACAGCTATGCGCGGTGGATCTGTCGTGCGGCTCCATCTATGACTTCATTCTCCATATAAAAATCTGATCGGGTGTGAAAAAAGGGATAGGGTCGCGACCCTAGTATGCCCGAGCAAATGTATTTAAGGTGGTTCAGAGCATCTGCTAGTAAATTATGTATAAATTTCTTTCAGTCCAGAGTCAAGCTGATTTCGCTCTCCCTTCATTTTGGGTGCAGTGATTGCCCACACACGACGAAGCAACAATGAGGCTCATTACAATGTTGTATGATCTCCACTAATCATTTAGTGTCCACCGTGTACACCAGGCACGCCACTCTCATGAACTGGGTACCTTTTCCGGGGTGTGTATAGCCCTGGTCGCGTCTACGGGTGTTCTCAACCCCCTGCCGATTAAAGGTAAGGCTATCCAATCACACCGTCCCTTGCCCCACAGCCGCTATGATGAACGACCACTTCCCTTTCTGCAATTATTTTGTAGAGATTGTGTCAATCTACATTGTTTTCGAATTGGTCTCTGAGTCGCTTTCACTTCGCATTAAATCCTCGTTTCGGAATTTGCGATCCGTTGCTAATTGCTTCGTTAGGTTCTTCTACAATGTGCACAGCTGTTAGAAAAAGTTGAATCTGTCGAATTCAATATACTGTTTGTATATACACGATCTCTTCGCTATGTAGCGATTTCTGCATCCATAACAAAAAAACTATTCCGTAGTCTACGAGAAATCGACATGTGTCTGGCCTCGAATTTTACGACGATCGGCCATTTCCATGGGAACGCCAATGGGCGGTGAAATTCCAAATCGAACGCTGATCGCGACAACACCAGAATGCGGTCTACGGGATATCGATGATTTGTCTATCTTTAGAGAAGGTCTTACCGGCTAAACCACACCTGGGCAGACCTTGGGAATGCCCAGGTGTCAAGGTTACACAAAGTGTGGCCTCGGGCGCAGGATTGGCTACGGTTGAGCCCCTAGGGGCTGAATTCATCAATGGGTGCAGCTGTGAGATAGCCGTGGGGGACTGCAAGCCTGAAGGTTCGAACAGAATTTTAAGATTTGGAATAACCCTGGAACCTTAATGCGGCTCCGGTAACCTTTCCAAGGTTGAGCCACCTACGCTTTTCTGGCCCATACTTATGTAGGTAGATAGGTACAATACCTAGGTGCTTATTTCCAAGGTTGTAGTATGAATAGAATAAAAGGGAATTGAAAGAAATTATATACAAGTCATTTGATTGGTGAACGATCGATTAAAGTATACATAGTATAAAGAGTGGTATATAAAGAGTGGCGCCACAAGAACACCGAGCAAGCCATCCCAGCGACCACAACGCTCCAAATCACATATCTAGAAATACATTGGGACCATTTAAGAGTCGGACTTGAGTCCGTTCAGAATGTCCTCAGCGGCCTTCTCGGCAACCATGTAGGTGGAGACGGCGGTGAAAGTACCGGGGATTCTGGGGTAGACGGAGGCATCAACAACACGGAGACCGGAGACACCACGGACACGGAACTTGGAGTCCAAGACGGCCATGGGATCGTTGTCAGCACCGATGGGGCAGGTGCAAGAGGCGTGGTGGCCCCAAGCGCCGTTCTTGACGTAGTCCTTGACGTCTTCCTTGGACTGAACGTCGGCACCGGGGAGGACCTCGGTGATGTTGACGAGCTGACGCTTGAAGGCATCACGGGCGAGCTCGATGGCCTCGTAGAGGGCAGTGAGATCGGCATCGTAGTCGCCGACACCGGTGTCAAAGTAGTTGAAGGTGATCTTGGGCATATCAAGGGGATCGGAGGACTGGAGGGCGACGGTACCGGCGGTGTTGCGGGGGTGAGCCTTCAGGATAGCCCAGGTGAACCAGTTGTGCTCGTCGGTGGCGTTGATGCTGTAGTCGGGGAAGTAACCGCGGAAGTTGACGGGTCCACCGAACTCGAATATGTCGAAGTCGTCGCCGGCAGTGGAACTCTTGTAAAGCATGGTGGCGGCAAGACCGGGGGAGGAGTAGATACCGCGGTCACCGAGAACGGGAGACTCCCAGTCGTTGATGCAAGGGTCTTCCTGGTCGCGAATGCTGAAGGTACACTTGTCCAAGCAGGAGAAGTCCTCCTCGATCTTACCCTGGACGGAAATCTCGTAGTGGTCCTGGAGGTTGGTGCCGACACCGGGAAGATCCTTGATAACCTTGATGTCGAACTTCTCCAGCTCCTCGGCGGGTCCAATACCACTCAGCTTAAGAATCTGAGGGGAGTTGTAGACACCACCAGCAACGATGACTTCACGAGAGGCAGTAGCGGAACCAGGAGTACCGGGGAGAGCGGAGCGAGACATGGGGCTGGCCTTGTAGAGGTGCTCACCGTCGAGGAACTCAACACCAGTTGCGCGGGGAGGATCCTCGGACTCGTCGAAGACGACCTTGGTGACGTGGGTGTTCATGCGGACATCGAGAGGGTACTTCTTGGTGCCATCGGCGTTCTTGGCATCACGGACCTCGATGATGAATTCACGGGGACCGTTACGGTGGGCATCGTCGGTGGAGATGGGGATCTGGTAGTAGCCGGGTTCGGTGTCACGGGTCTTCTTGTCGGCGTTGGCGTCACCAAGCAGGAGAGTGCCAATGTTCATGATGTTGTCAGTCAGGTTACCGAGAGCGAAAGCACCACCAGTGAGCATGCTGAGCAGCTGGGTATCCTTCAAGACAATGCTGAGGGGAGCGGTCTCGGTCGATAGCCAGCCATCGTACCCGTGGCCTTCCTGGGCGGGCAGAGAGTAACCGTTGTTCTCCAGCTTGGTGAAGTGCTTGCGCATGTTCTCGGGGGTCCAGCCGTTGTCACCGGTGATCTTCTCGATATATTCGAAGTCAGACTGGTGAGGGTACACAGCAATCAGGGCATTGTGGGCGGTACAGCCACCAAGGGTACCAGTACGAGGGTAGAGAGTTCCCTTCAGGGTCGAGCCCTCGGGGGGGTTCAGACCGGTGTAGATATCACCGTCGGGGGTATCGTAGCTGGCCTTCCAGTCACGAGCCTGACGTTCCTCGTCCTCATAGTGGTGGACGAAGAAGTTCCAGGAGAGCTTCTCATCTTCGGAGGCTCTGGCGGAGTAGGCTGGAATGGTGTAGTTGTAGTTCTCACCCTGGTCATCGCCAGCCTCAAGGAGCAGTGTCTTGTGGCCAGCCAGGGCGAGACGGGCAGCGAGGGGACCACCGCCAGCACCAGAACCGACAATGACATATTCATAGCCGGTGATGTTGACGGCCTTGGCCAAGCCGGATGTGGCAACCAGCAGGCCAAAGATGTACGAAAGAATCATATTGAAAAGAGTGACTGTGAGTGAGTTGTCCTTCCATCGATGCGATTGTGGCACCTTTTATGCCAAGTCCCTGTCTCTCCCCTGTCTGTGAATCTCACAAAGCCGTTGAAAACTTGCCGTTGTGGGGCGGCTGTCATGCCGCGGGCGCCACTAGCCCATGGCGATCTATCCACAGGCAGCTTAGACACCGCAGCCTAGTACTATCAGGGGCGTAATTCCCGACCGATCGACGATAGTTTAATTCGGACAATAGCCCTAGCCCTCCTGGCCTGCCATCCCTGCTGATCATCGGTGGGCTCTCCACACTGGTTCGGGGGTTTGACCTTTTTGCTCACCAATCTGAACTGACAGTTCGCATTTGCCAAGGCCCACCGGCGGAGGTTTTCGGTCCAGTCCCCATCGGTGATGATTCGACGCACACCGTCTTTCTCCGACTCGATTGTCCACTGCCCATCAGATTCTAATCGATCCCCCTGCAGCTCCCTGCAGCTCACTATGCCATTCAGGGCTTCCCCGGCCCCGCCAGGCGTCGTGCAGGTCATTGTACCACTACCCAACAGGGCTTAGGTACATTGGGGATGCGAGATGCGGACTTCCGTCGGGAGTTCCGTCCGTTGATCGATTTGACAGTTACGGACGTTTCGCTCTCGGTTTCGGAATGTGGGCTCCCGCTCTAGGGCCCTGGCTTATTTTAGCTGTATCCGCTGGATTTTCCTGTGGGGTACCCGGTGTCTCCGGTTTCCTTGGAAGTCGCTTTGCCTCGGCGTCGTGGTCTGCGATTTGCCTTTGCTGAAGTCCGACGTTTGGTCTCCGCGCCATTTCGCGTACAGTACTGTACTTTGGGAATTGCCGCTTTACAGCACAACACAGTACAGTACTAGTACAGTGTGTATAGTACTCTGTAGAGCCTGCCCACTAGAGAGCAGTGCTCTCAGAAAGAATGTTTCACGTTCACAAATCCGCACAACTAGGGCAGGGATGAGCAGAGCCGCGTCGACACGAGCAAGCGGGGTAGTGCATGTGGGCTCCCTCGTGCTAGCGAATGCGCTGCTGCCAGGTTGTGAAACTAGAACGATTCTTAGTGTCTTCGTCGCATGCCCCTGAATGTCCTACCGTGTTCGCTGGAGGCCCGTCGAGACCTCGATTCGCTTCCCTTATCTCCGTGTTAGAGACCGAGACGATCCCGGGGCGTTGTGCTCTGCATAACAGCACATGTGGATTTCGCCATTTGGAAGATTGCCAGGTCCACTCGGACAGTTGGGCCCACTTGGCCTGTCCCTGCTAGCCTTTTTGGGGAAAAGATGCCTTCGCTTGTTCCCAGTTTTACTTTTTTTGACGCCTTGAATCCTTCAGGGGATGTTTTTTTTTTTTTTTTTTTTTTTTTTTTTTTTTTTTTTTTTTTTTTTTTTTTTTTTTTTTTTTTTTTTTTTTTTT